CGAGAGATATCGGTGCATGACATAAATCAGTAGCCACGTGGAATCCTATTCGCCTACAGAAGACCTGACATGGAGCGATGAAGGAGCTCTCGAGATAGACCGTGGGATGCAGGAGCTGAATTACAGCGCGCACTCTTATTTTGATGTGTTCGGAATAGCACGAGGCCATTCTGACGCAACGAATTAAGTAGACATGCTCTTGTACTCACACCACCCCCGTGCTGGATTTTCAATATTGCTTCCTTCTATTCCCTGGATTGGTGGCGACCCAGTTTCCGTGACCTCGAGAACAAAAGCACGCTGGCGCGATATTTTTTGGGCGAGCAATGCGGCACGATCGGCCTGTAGCGGGCAGTCTCAGCTTCAGGCAACTTCCTTATCGCTATGCGTCCGCTCGATGAGAGTGTGAAGTTCAGCTCTGGCGCCGCGGAGCCGCTGGTCTGATGTGGACCATCGTTCGGCTCTTTGTATTGAAACCAACAGAGCTTCAGAACCTCGCGAACTTTCAGATACGCGTCCGGGCTGTACGAGTCAGAAGACGTCGAGGACAACGTCCTCAACAAGGACAATATCGGACGTAAAGTAAGCTACTATCAGACCACCGTTCACGACAACTACAGGCGGATGGCTGCCTTTATTATATCTCGACTGTATCGTTCACTGGATCCGCGCGCTCTTCTCATCTGGTTTACTTGGCGCCAACGCCCAAATCGTCGCATTGTTGGACACAATCCGCAATCCGTTCTCTCCTGTCACGTTGTCTCTGGCGGCGTTGTAGAGCATAGTATGCCTCGTCAGGTCCGGAAAAGGTATCTGCTGTGAGACAGAACGAGCATCAGGCCCGTTTGATCATCAGCGCAATTTACAGTAGGACGACCTCGCCATGGACGTCGACGATAGGAGAGGTTTCAGGTTGGCCATTCTGACAGCGGCCAGATGTTGGTATGAACCGGAATGAGATCGCTGAAGGACAGGATAGACAGACATCTCGCAAGAAAGACAAATGTTATCAACTATCTGGACACTGATCTACGTCACAAATATGATTCTGCTCACCTAAACCCAAAGGCAACGATGTATTATTATAATGTCCCCGAACAGTTCAAGCATGAGTTTCCCTTCTCTTCTCCCCTCTTGTTCTAGGCGACGAGCTCTTCGTTTTTCTCGATCAACGTGCCTTGTGTTGTGTTTTCAGACGGTTGGGTTGGAATCTTTTTTTTTGCTGAGCTATATGTTCACACATAGAGCAAATAAGATGGCCTCTGTGGTGCACAACTACCTCGTGGTAGGTCGCCACCGCCTTTCCAGACCAGCTTGGGGCGCTTGACACCCCATGCCCCTAGATAGAGGAGAGCCAGAGCTCTCTAGGTAGATGATAGGCAAGAATTTTCACCGGTCTTCGTTCTGTCCCCCACAGCCTCTTCTTTTCCGACCAAGGAGTCCCTAAGACCAGCCGAATTGGACGAAGACCTCCACAAAGAGGCAGATTGAAGAGATTATCACTCATTTCCCAAAGGTAAACAACAACGACATCATGTCCGTTTTCGACAAGGTCAGAAAGGTAATTTCTGATTGCCAGGAGAGAGAAATGTCGAACGCCTACATCTCCTCCGCAGTCTCATATTCGGGTGGAGGGCCGAAGACGAAGGACCGTTTTTAGTGGTCTTTTAGAGGTGGAGATCCTGATACCAGACACCAGTTCGAAGATGCACAATGGTGGCATATTCTTTCCAATCGAGATATTCTGCACATTTTGGGGGCATTCCTCCCAAACCCCACATGTATACACTTTTTGGTCATCGGCTCCGTGTGTCTTCTTCTCAATGTGTTTGCAGGGTTCTGTAGACTTATATGGTACTCAAGATAGTACCTAGATAGACATTGTCGGTAAGAGCCATGGCAATGCCGCTATAATGGGGATGCCAACGACTATCCTCATCTAAATCACCATTTTGCTGATATTTCTCTGCGACGAGTCATCCCCCATGCACACATGGATATTCCGGCCTTTGTTTTATATTCAATTAATCGGTTTTGTCGTCAAAAAAGCTTTCCTTTTGCGTCGCTTGAATTTAACTGACTCATTCATTCTTTGCCCTAAATGGGTGATTACATATCTAACATCGCCGAAAATGGGTATTGACGATATATACGAAAACGAGTCATGCCCGAGTTGGCCAAATACACCCTGAAATCCGGGGCTAGCATTCCGCGCTACGCGCCACCACCAAGACCAACGGTGTCTGGGCACATCTCGTATCTTTTGCCAAAATGAGGCGTCTGGCGGCGTTATTCTGCAAAACATGATTGGATGAAATGGAACATGCACGGCTACCTAAACGGGCGCAGTTCTCGTATTCCATTTCAGCTAGACAGACACTTGATCATTATTGGCCAGCCTTATCCCAACGTCATGAGATGGAATGGTATCCCGTGAACCACAGGATGAGCGGGAGCATCGTGATAGTGCTTGCTGGTGCCCACATTGATATTTCTTTAAAATAGCCGGCGAGGTCCAGCTTCATAATACCACATTAAAATCCGTGTTGGACCAGCCCCATTTGGTAATTCCTGAGACCTCTTGGCGCTGCGGCACCGCTAGTATTTAAGCCTCTTCTATCCGGATGGAACTTCTCTTCTTTCTCAACACCGATCAACTTTCTGGCGCCTAGATTGGTCAATCAATCCAAACATCCAAGATTGCTAGACGAATCCCTGGATCATGGCTCAATCTCCGGAGTCGACTACTGATGACTTAGCTCAAAACCCAGTTACCCCTCATCCGCACAACCCAGTTGACAAAAAAGGCCTTATAGCTACGATTCTGCTGTAGAAAAGGTGGTTCGCGAAGATCAATGGTCGAGGGCCTACATCAACACCCTCAACGGTTAAAATCTTGGAGGTTCAAGCCAGGCTGGACATGGCTGAGAAGACAAACGAGCACGCTTTGGAAAGGAGGGAGAATGGACTGGGTGGAGAGTCTATTTTGACATCCCCAGCAGTCGACATACCCAGTACTTGAGGCTTCCCCTTGTGGACCAAGAAAAAATTGAGAAAACGTACGAGCCCGCTCTACAAAGTGGAGACAGGGCAGTGCGTCCAGATTTGACTTCAGCACTCTCGACAGTTGACGATCTGAACATAGACCCCGTAAGCAGGATGAGACTGAAGTCCGTGAAGTTCCAGCGATAGCAAGTGAGACGCGCCCCAATCTAGCCAACTCCTATACGATCATATCATTAACTCTCGTTAGTTCTACTTCGATTATCGAACGAATTACCCCAATTGATAGCGGAGAGTATAGTGAGGATCATGGTACGGGCATGAGCGAGGGACGACGGATGGTTTGGTTGGATCCGATAAAAGATCATGAGCAGCATGCTCATGAGCCTGCCCGTACTGTCAGCAGCTTGTTGCAGACTAAGCAGCAAAGGGGCCCAAATACTGGCAGTTGAGTTCCTGCAGCCGGGGATGTCTTTGCTGTGTCGAGCGCCATTGACGGGGTCGGAAGAACTCATTGGGTAGAGAAGGTACGGTCAAGGAGTAAGAAGCAGTAAGCAATAAGCAAGCAGAAAGACAGCACCAACTGCACCAACCGCAAGATGTATGCCTGTGGTCAGGACAAAAGGAACAAGAGGAATGGATTGACAGGAGGAAGGCACTTCTCGACTTTATAGGTGTCCTATGCCTAGCTCAAATCGCGCCCCCTGATCTCTGTTCAGTGGACGCCTGTCGAAGCCTCCTGGCTTCATCCATTTGGGCGAGACGGACGAGTCGATAGAGTGCAAAGAACGAAGAGGACCGCAAGTACAGGAAGCATAATCTCGAAGAAAACTTAATAGCTTGATGTTTGATGGGAAGTGATGGTTAGGATTGGACAGTGTGTTTTTGTCTCGCTTGGCCAGGGGCTGCGCATGGCACCGAAGGCAATTCTGCCGACAAATAATAGTGTGAAGAGCGCACCAGCAAGACCCCCAAACGGTACATGATCTGCAACGATGCGGACGGAAACGAAAGAACATTTCTTGCGACAAAGAGTTGAACAGCCATGGTCAAGCTGGAAGGCTCGCATTGGCTGGTACAGTTTTGTCTGCATTAGCCTTGCATTCTGTAAACGTCGGTGCATGAACAGCGCATTGAGCCGAAATGCGCCTAACAATAAAGGGCCGGGAAAATCAATACGGAGTGGAACCCCTCGGCCGCGCCCATTGGCCAGTGCTCATTTGTCTCTCTTGGCGTCGCTGCCAGATTTGACCTCATGCCTCCTCCCTTCCTGACCACACCGATGAACAAGGCAAACATGGGAAGGCTGCCTTTGTATAACACGATGTGCGACTCCCTTTCTCGCCGCTTGCCGCCGATTGTCAGCCTGGTATTCCGCCGTAATTTCGTATTGCTTATGCGCACGCCTCCCATCCCTCATCCTTTGAGTCCCTCGTCTTCCATGTCCACAGCCTTATCCTGTGCAACATCTCGCGCTTTCTTTCTTCCTCTTATAACGTGTATCGCCTCCGTCTCCGACCGGCAGTCTGGGTCTACTTCTCATTTCCTTGTTCCCCATTTCTACATTCTGCCTCAAAAATCTTCAACATCCCAAGCAGACTTGCAACGTTTACTTCACGCAGCTCCCCATGGAAATACCCATGGATTTGGACGCAGATAGCCGCCTCGTTGAACCGCAATCGAGGGCGGCCTTCCTTGCAGGCGTCCCCCACGACAAAAAGTGGGCGTTGCTGAAGGACATCCTCCAGCCCTTATTCCGTACTCACAAGGTCAAAGACATAGCTAGGATCATGAAGGAGCAACACGGCTTCAATGCAAAGTAGGCCTGTTCCGGGAGCACTCGTTTTCAAAGGCTGATCTTGTTTAAATTTAGCGAAGCGTCTTACCGCTATCATTTCAAGCGGTGGGGTTGGACAAAGAGCGTCTCTGCACTCACAAAGAATCTCATTCTGCAACGGGCGCAGGCAAGAGCTATGCAGGGAAAATCTACGACTGCAATGGTTGCTGGCTCCAAGATTGATGGGAAGAAACTGAAACGACAAGTCAAAGCCAATGCTAGGCAAGAGTACACGATTTTGGACAGTACTTCTCGCCGTGTTGATCACCAGTCCCAAGTCTTTGGGCGCTTCCTACCCTTTGGTAACAAAATGTTGTGGATACCAACGCTCCCACGGCAAGAACCGTACTGATGAATCATAGATTTCTCAATTGGAACATACCATTGGCAGCCAGCGGGGATATATGGTCACAATCTCCCAAATACACACCTCCATTCGGCTTTCCTGTCTCGACCCCGGACGGCGGCGTTGTTCGGACGCCCTCGGCTACTGGCGGTTCTCCCACGCAAATTACCTCTCTGCATGACAAGCCCTCGCCACTTTCTGCTGCTGTCTCAGAAGCCATAGCATTAGATCGGACACACCTTTTCCTGCATGGCAGGTTCGATGATCTTGCAAAGACATTGAACAGCACGGAGAAAGCTACGATGTCGAGCTGGCTGTACCAATTCTGGCTGTTTGCCTTGGTGACATCCAAACACTGGGGTCAAGAACCACGGACCTGGACTAGGTACAACCTAGCCTTTGACACTTATGAAGGCCTCTGCCGGCCCCCATCTGCAGCATCTCCGACTCTGTTCATTGATTGGTCTTCAGATGTGGGAGTCCACGAAGAAAGCCCGGAGATTCAAAGACCATCACAACGTTGCCGTTGGTCTATCCATATTGATGAAGAAGCACACGAAGTCGAGTTCGACGCCGACTTCAGCAATCCAAATACTGAAAGACCGCCAGCATCGCCCCTGGAAGAGCAGCTGGAAAATGCCCTCGAAAACAACGATTTCAGTAATATTGCAGCAGACAAACTACCTCTAGCTATGTCGCAAATTGTCAAGGCTGTCAAGAGGTCACCTAACGAGCTCTTGCTAGAATCGTTGTCGTTCAGCATCATGGCTAGAAATATTCCACTCTTGGAGGAGATGTTGAAACAAGTCAACGCTCGAGCCATTGATGTGAAACCGGTTTACCCGTTACATATAGCTACCAGTTACTTCGACGGCGGATCGACCTGCTGTCTTATCCTCGAAACTCTGTGTTCAAGGCTTCGAAGACCGAACACTTTCTACACCAACGACTATGGCCATACAGTCCTTGACAATTTGATGATGACCATTCTAAAAGGCCATTCGAGCAGCTCACCAGACATCTTAGATGACACTTTGACGCAGGACTCGCGCTTTGCGGGGATCGAGGTTGATTTGTGTGGACGCTGGGATGCTGATTCGCCATACTTTCGAGTTCTCTTACAGTCTGGAAAAGCCCAAGTTCCGCTCAAATGGAAACACAAATTCTGCCATACTTCTATTCTAGCGGTGTGCCACTGTATTGATGCCTTGCGCGCTTGTGGTCTCCTTGGCCAGTCAAGTGGACATTTTGCGAAGCGATGCTTCGGCTGCGGTCTGTCCCTACAACTCTCGCCATTCCATGTTCTCGTCCTGACAGCTTTTCAACTGGCTCGAAGCGGGTGCGAAGGTGAAGATCTTCTTGGCATGATCGCTGTTTTGCTGTGTATGTTGGCAAACAAAATGGACCCGCAGACTAGGACTGCTGTCTCTATCGACTTGCTCCTGGGAATCGACGATGGCACCCGCTGCACTCACGAGGATCTGAGGGCCATTGATCTCGCCGAAAGGTTGCCATCTACCGATGGATGGTCTGCGGAGTTACAACGGGGCTGGCACATATTTTGTCACATTCTCCGACCTGTTGAGTCTGCTGGCACCCGATTATGCGAAACAAAGTTGCTGTACGAGGATTTCATGCTCGATTCCACCCTAGATTCCTTAGACGATATCAATCAAGGTTCCCCTAGCCACGATTCGGGCTCAAGTCGCGAACATGGTGTCTTCCCTTCGGAATGTTCGGCGGAATGCTCTGAATTCTAGGATGAGGACTGTGGCGAAACCGGGTACACCTCACAGTTTGCTAATCGCAACGACCTTGGTCATGTCTGGGCAGCCCTCCAAACAAAATTGCTCACCTATCGAAGAATCAAAGAAGATGACCCCTGGGTATCTGATTACTTTGACTTTGACGCGCTCTTGACCGAACTACGGACGGGAGAAGGAATATCAATGCCACTATTAGACGATAGAATGATCCAACCCTACTGCCGCTGTGGTCGATCGGAAAGTCCTTGGGCGCCTGTCCTACGGGAGCGCATTGCGAAGTATCATTTCGGCAACCTGGATGGTAACCTGGATGCTTGGAATCGTACTTCTTTCATTCCACTCGCACAGCGCTTTTTAGCGTGATTGAATTGAGATTGAATGGGTTTTTCCAACCACTACGCCGCAACCCAAGTCTGTGCTACCTGACTTCTAAGTAACTCCCTCCTCCGTAATGTGCGGCTGAGGCTTATCGATTTATACACCAACTGAGGTAGCGCAATATCCCAGCCTTGCGATGCTCTCCCAATTTCTCGCGAGGATGACCGTTTAGACCCCCGCGACTGGTGTGAGACACTGGTGATCATTGGCCCCGCCTGCGCGAGCCGGGGGGAGCACGGGGCGGCATCACTTTTGTCCAATTCCGGGGAAAGCTGCGACCAGTTTTTACTCTGCTTGTGCTGTTAAGACTGACACGAGTTATGATTGTCTATTTAGGTATGGTCACGCATCCCTGGGCCGACGATAGAAAAAGACAATTTGTTGCATACTCCATTATCACCTCCTCTACAGGCGCCTTGACTCCAAGTATTTTATCCGAGGAGGCAGTTCGACCTTGTAAGGTCCTAAAGCCTTGTTGCCATGGCTGCATCCAAGATTTGGCAATTTCAACAATCGCTGAGGGCGGGACGTGAGTCAGTACATGTCCGATTTAGGGAAGCATTTCGATGACATGGTTGAGATATTAAGCCTCCCGAGAGCCCATAATTCCAGCAGAGCCAACCTCCTCTTCATGAAGGACAGCAGTCTCGACTACCTCTTGTTCCTTTGTCATATGAGTGATCAAGATGGACGAGGTCTACACCGTATTGACGGACCGTGCTCGCGAACTACACCAGAAGTCGATGCTGGGAAAGCCAGACCAACCCGCGCGTATTCTTATCGCGCTGGCTGGCCCTTCAAGGTCAGGAAAATCTACGGTGGGTGTAGAAGTGGTGCACTTCTTGAATAAAGAGTCGCTCACAGCGCCCTATGCGGCGGTTCTTCCCATGGATGGGTTCCAGTTGACCCGTGCGACACTGGATTCGATACCAAACAGCAGAGAGGCGCACGCCAGAAGAGGCATTCACTAGACATTCGACGCAAAAGGACTGATGAATCTGGTCATGGCCCTTCACCAGACTAGATGTGATCTACGCCACGTGCGCCTTGTTCCCAGTTTCGATCATGTTGCTCTGACATGGCTTGCCAGAATAATGTGAAGCTTACACTGAGCCCGTCTTTCAATAGCCTGTCAGGATGAAGAGTCTGAGAACGATGCTAATTTCATGTTATCCTCCCGGCATTGGCGGGCCATTCGTCTGTACGGGTACAGTACACAAGGGCGACGCGCGCTACTTAGCTCCATCCTTCCCTTCGTGATGTTCAACACTTTCCATGCTGCCGTACGAGGTAGTGACAAGGCTGACGCAGAGCCTCACATTCAGCGTGGTGACGCATGCCAAGAATTAGTCCCATGCCCCCGAAGTTTGTCCCGGCTCGCCAGGCACTTCTGTATCGAACATTCGTCGTGGTATTGCCCCCAGACGAGCCCCCATTTCCCCCCAAACGAATCCCGCCCAGTCTTGAAAGGCAAGATTCCTTTACAAACCAATACCCTCGACCCACGATCGTGCGGAACAGGGGGATTCGCAATTGATTCGAGCTCGGAGAAATTCTCGGCTGCCAGGGAGATTCCTGCATGTCTACCCCTGCACCACCTCGAAAAATAGCTGCACTCCCAGCGATTATTTCGACTCATGACCGACTGACATGACGCATCATTCAGCATCTCGGTCCTAGCGCCAGCCTGGTCTCTCTGGGTGCCTTAAGCATATGGGGGGACTGATCGCCGCCTTGGGAAATGTGGCCGACTCTGACAAAGCTCCTTCACGGTCAAATCTCAGGCTCCAGAAAAAAACTGATCTTGCATCGGTGATGAAGCCTTTCCTACCTTTAAAGAGCACAGTGTGCTCCGTGTCCGGCGGGAGTTGATCGCGCCCTGTGTCTGTTGAATAAGTTACCATCGCTCCGGACACCATCGAGCGTAACGGCAACCTCCAGTCGGAAAGCCCTCTCACAAAAGCACTATCGACTGCTCAGGCCATCATGGCAAACACATCACAAACTACAACATTGAAGCCGCCCCTCCACCGTGCTTGGTGGAAAGAATCATCGGTCTATCAGATCTACCCAGCATCTTTCAGATCGGCTAACTGCACTGTGGACAAGGCCTCGGGCACTGTAAAAGGTGATCTTCGTGGCATCATCTCAAAGCTTGACTACATCTCTACCCTTGGGGTGGATGTTGTGTGGCTCAGTCCTATCTTACAATCTCCACAAGTTGATATGGGCTATGACATCTCTGACTACTGTGCCATTTATCCGGGATATGGCACGATGGAAGACCATGATGATCTTATCAAGGGCTTGCATGATCGTGGCATGAAATACGTAATGGACCTTGTCGTCAACCACACGTCAGATCAACACGAATGGTTCAAACAGTCGCGCTCCTCGAAAGACCATCCATATCGTGATTGGTATTTCTGGCGTCCGCCTCGTTACGACGACAATGGCAACCGCATGCCGCCCAACAACTGGGAATCGGCTTTCTCTGGGTCTGCCTGGACTTACGATGAGGCCACTGGCGAATATTATCTGCATTTGTTTGCAAGTGCGCAGCCCGACTTGAACTGGGAGAATCCGGCAGTCAGGCGCGCAGTGCATTCCATGACACGCTTCTGGCTCGATCGTGGGGTCGACGGCTTCCGAATGGACGTTATTAACTTCATATCCAAGGAACCAGGCTTACCCGATGGAAAAATCACGAAGCCCGGTTTCTTGCAATCTGGCGCCGAGTACTTTGCTTGCGGTCCACGGCTGCATGAATTCCTCCGAGAAATCGGTGCGATTCTCCGCGAATACGACGCATTTTCGGTGGGCGAAATGCCTGGTGTTAAAGACACTAAAGAAATCCTCAAAGCCGTGGGGCAAGACCGTGGCGAGCTGGCGATGGTGTTCCAATTCGATATTGTCGGTATGGACGTCAGACCCGGCGGATCAAAGTGGGAACATCAGGACTTCGACCCGCGAAATCTGAAGCACATTGTCGCGAAATGGCAGACATTTATGCTCCAAAACGCAGGCTGGAATGCTGTATTTATGGAGAATCACGACCAAGGACGCACAATTTCCCGGTACTGCGATGAGAGCGATGCATACCGCGCCAAATCTGCCAAGCTACTTGCTGCACACATGGGTCTCCTATCTGGGACGGTCTTCATTTATCAGGGCCAAGAACTTGCCCAGATCAATGTGCCAGAGTCTTGGGACCTCGATGAGTACAAAGACATCGAGGCCATCAATCACTGGAAAACAGTGCTGAGAGATTGCCCGCATGATCAGGAGAAACAAGCCGCCTACAAAAGACAATATCGGCTCGTCGGACGCGATAACGCTAGGACGCCGATGCAGTGGGCTGCCGACGCAGACACCTACGCTGGGTTCCTGCCTGATGATGCTCCCAAGGATGCAAAACCGTGGATGTCCATCCACCCTGATTTCGCGGAGTGGAATGCTGAGGCGCAACTTACAGACCACGACAGCGCATTCCATTACTGGCAGCGCGCGCTCAAGCTCCGCAGGCAATACAAGGACATCTTCGTCTACGGTGATTTCGAGATGCTCGACTTGGACGACGAGTTCGGAAACGTCATTGCCTATCTGAGGATGGATGATGCTGCAGAAAGTCCCAACTCGCAGGCCACGAATACCGCCAAGTTAAGAACGTGCCTTGTCGTTACGAACTTCTCCGGCGAGAAAGTATGGTGGACTCCCCAGGTCGGGCAGAACAGGTCTTGTTTGATGAGGCTGGATTGAGGAAATGTGCCGTTCTGCCGGATTTCCGCAATTACACACGAAATGGTGAAGGGTTCAATGAGGTGCTGAAAGATGGCGAGAAAGGTTGGGCGATCTTGCTGAGGCCGTGGGAGGTCGTGGTTGCGATGGTCTGAGACTTGCCACACCCATGGGGTACACTTGACCGGGTATATACATCTGGGATGTAGCAAGAAGTGGCTAGACGTGAGTACAATACCTCATCTTTGCGGTTGAGCGCCATCGGCCAAGTAATTGTCAGAAATACATGAAAAAGAAGCCCAAAGTCTTGGGCCAGCTGATCAAGAATTTCTCCTCTCTACTACTACTGCTGCTCAACGCGCCCTCCCTCGACAGGGAAGCCAGCGAACAAACCAACAAGCTAGTGACAAAGGTCCCCGTGCCTCCCCCAGTGCAACAGCACACAAGAGTTGACAGGGCCAACGAGGCCCAGGCTCATACACGAGATGGCGCTAACCCCGGCCTCGTATTCCGCGTGGCCGCATTGGCCTGGCGCTTGAGCTCTGTCTCTCTTCTTCGTTAGATCCGCCCCAATCCGCCCCAGTTTTTGCCCGCCAATCGTCGACAGCCTTGCCGGTTTAGGGGGTACATACATATAAATCTGGTACCAAAAAAGCTGTGCTGTGCCGGGCAACATGGGTATCAAGATGTGCATTCGGACTGAGACTTGGGAGCAGAGTTAATGCAGAGCGGCGTTAATGCCATGATATATGGTGGTATATCGTGTTATATCCGGCGGCATCTCGAGACGAGATGGTTCGCTTTCGTCTGGCGAGATGGAAAGGAAATAAAAAGACTATAAATGAAGCACCCTCCAAAGAGCGGTTTTGTCCATTACATACCCAGTACGACCACACACACAGAGGCTTCGACTATCATCCCTCCCTCAGAAGTCGTGTTCTCTTCTTCTCTTTCTTCTTCGCCACCCTCTTTCTCTTCCTCGAGTTCGAGTCCGAGTTCGAGTTCGACACCTCTCTCTATCAGTGTCAAACCACCAAAGGGCCTCGTCGAGTCATGGCTCAGCAGCAGCTGCAATATGCGAAGGACCAGCCCGCGGGCTTCAAGAACCGTGTCGAAAACATTGCCATTGTCGGCGTAAGTCATGTCAAGCCCATTTACTACGTTAGACTCTCGAGACGCCCTGCTCTGGTTCCATGTACATCCTGAGGGTTTAACTTTGCGGGAGACGCATTTCATGAAGAAATAGTAACAATGCGCTATTAGGTAGGAGGCAGGATCGGCAAACATTTGACCGAAGCGCTGCTGAAGACGGGAAAGCACAAGATCACGGCTCTGACGCGGCCTGAGAGCACTACCAAGCCGGCAGATGGTCTCGTCGTCAGGAAGGTAGACTACAACGACCCCGCAGCGCTGGTTGATGCTCTCAGGGGTAAGGACGTCCTGATCATCACGATGGCCGTCATGGCGCCCAAGGAGGTCCAGTCGAACCTGATCAACGCGGCCGCCGAAGCCGGCGTGGCGTGGGTGATGCCCAATGAGTACGGGATCGACAAGACAAACGCGTCGCTGGCCAAGGACGTCCTGATCGCGGAGCCCTTGATCAAGACTTGCGAGTACATTGAGAGTCTGGGTCTCTCTTGGATCGGCCTGACATGCGGCTTCTGGTACGAGTTCAGCCTGGCGGGCGAGGAGTGCCGGTACGGGTTTGACTTCACGACCAAGACAGTCACGTTCTTCGACGAAGGCACCACCAAGATCAACACCAGCACCTGGAACCAATGCGGACGTGCTGTGGCAAGTCTGTTCAGCCTCAAGGTCCTCCCCGAAGACGCACACGACACGAGTCCGAGCCTCTCCCGGTTCAGGAACAAATCCGTCTATATTTCCTCCTTCCTGGTGAGCCAGCGCGACATGTTGGCCTCCGTGCTCCGAGTAACCAGCGCAGGGGATGACGACTGGACCATCAAGCACGAGAACACGCAGGAGCGGTACAAGAAAGCTGTCGAAGATATGCAAAAGGGGGAGATGTCTGGGTTCGTGAGGCTTCTGTACACGCGGGTCTTTTACCGTGATGGAGGCGGTGATTATGAATCGGCCAAAGGCACAGCGAATACGCTTCTGGGTCTGCCGGGAGAGGATCTGGACGAGGCGACTAGGCGAGCTGTCGAGATGGCCGAATCCGGCGAACCCGTGTAGCATGGCCAAGGACAACCCGTCCTGAGACATTTGAATAGTCCTCATTTCGCCTTAAGGAGCGCCAAGTCATATTCCAATGCACATGCCCATCCTTTCGTATAGCTGTTAGACCAAGAGACGAGTTGATATGCATGTGCCGAGATGCCGCGAGCAAAGGCGTGTTCCGTTTCCTAGTACATCGATTGATCTTCCGACCCTGCCGCGCGAGGATAGAGGATCCGTCCTCATACAAGGTGTTCTTCTTCCACAACGCCCATAAGTCCGCTCAGAGGATGAGACGAGGGATCCACACGCCAGCACTAATGAGGAAACTTCTCGTACCACAACCGCCTAAATTATCGTCAAGGACGCCCTAAGGACCCCAGCTCTGCAATCTGCCCACTCAGGGAACGTCAACGATCTCGACTCGCAACCTTCCTGGTCTCTCGTTTGTTACCATGACTCGGGCTTCCCACTCTTTAGGCCACTTTTTCGCCTTCTTCGTCGCTGCATCCTCCTTCTAGAATGTGTTCCACAATAGAAAGGTACCATTTCGAGCATCAAATATAGATTCCTTGGTGGGCGGGTGTGTATCAGTTTCTCTTCGATTAGAATGGTACAGAATGTGACGTCGACGCTGGAGCTATTCCATCAGTTACAAGGCCAGGATGCTGTGAACGCTGGCGCACATAAGCGGATCAACGATGCCGGCGGACATGGATGTAGCTCAGGAGTTCCCACGATCCATCCATTGGCGGGCCATCCATTGGCGGGCCATCCATTGATCATGTTGCTGGTTGGAAATGGTGCTTTTTTCGTCCCTGTTTTCCTGAACTCCCTTGGCTTCGCAGCCGACATTGTGTCAAGCAGTGCTGACAATAATCATATTGAAACCAAAATACGCCTCACGTGCAAGTCGTGCAAAGTTGGGGGTCTAGAGCCGCTGTAAATAGCCGTTGCGTTCCAGGCACTGTGGCTCGAATCCTGAAGAACACGGAGACTGGAGACCCAAGAATCAAGCTGTTCATGCATTATGTGCCGCACTTGCTCGTCGCTTCTTCTGCATTCGCATAACCTTCTTTCTTTCTTCCGATCCCTGTCTGTCCGTTTCCCATTTTGCTTTCAATTCATTCACTGCCGTCTCCAGTCTAATGTAAACATTTCCAGACTCGAAGGTCATGCTCTGCATATCTTGCAGTGCCTTCAGCCATTCCTCCAACTGCACCTGGGAGGCCGGCTTCGCAAAGGTGGTGGTTCTGTCGAGGTTAAAGTCCTCCGTGCGCTTGCGATTGTCGGCATAAGCAAGCCCGCCAATGACAATGACATAGAGGTAGACAACGCCGACTGTCGCAACGAAGGTGATAAAGATGTTTCGGAAGTCGTCGCGTCCGCCGTCGGGCTCGACGTGATAAAGCCATGAATAGAGCAGGTAGATGCCGAACCCGATGATATAGAACAAGACAGCCACATTGAGCACGACTTTGGGCAAGTCGAATTGCTTCAAAGCAGCAACAGAACTCTCCAGAGGGAGGAGGATAAAGGGCTTGCGGTAGTGACGCTTCTCGAGCTCGACCTTGCCACGGCTGAGCCAGAGCCGAATGTCTAGTGGTTTGTTAAGCATGCCGATATCGGATTGCTGAGACGCTGCAAAGACGACCGATAACACTCCCAGGATCATAGAGCAGGTCAAAAGAGCCCTGGCACTCCAATGGGTTGAATCCATATTTGGTAGCTGAAGTGCAGTAAGTCCAACACTGGCGAAGATGGCACCCTAAAATCATGAGTAACTCGGTTGACGTCTCCCGGGACACCGGATGGTCCTTACGGCGACCTCGATTGACGAGCATGTTGTCATGTAAGATTGTTTCCAAGCTAAGACCTCCTCATCAGTCCAAGTGTTAATATTCCAATGCAGCTGCCTAACACTGCTGGTATCAACCAGTCCACAGAGAGAGAGAAAATGGCCGAGTTTACCCCATCTTTGCCACTCGTAGAAATAATCCAGGCCAATAAAGTGACAGAAGGCGCCGAGGAAAGGGTTCACTGATGGCCAGACGGAGGTTGAGTTCATCATCGTGTACACGATGCGTTTTGATGCCGTCGGTTGAAGCTGGGCCTCAGCCTGTTTGAGCACCTATGCCTTCGCATTCATCAAGTCTGCTAGCTTTATTTATCTTGTGACCGTCTTCCGAATAGATGGAGGGTGAATGAATGCAGGGAGATCGAGGGATGCTGCGCGCGTGACCATGTAGACAATTTTGCTGTTCTTGCTGCTGGGGCCAAAACCGCCTCGTAGTGGAGAGGATGGCCTGGTGGGCAAAAAATGCTTCACCGTAGTGCACTGTACGGTGGAACTTTAAGTGATTGTCGCATTTTTCATAAGGAGAAACCATGGTCGTCTTCCGATGCGACGACACAGAGGGTGCTACATTTGATACTGATGCCTCGCTTGCATGCAACTTCGAAGCATTTGTGCACCGACATGGCTCTGGATGATAATTCAGGTTTTGTTTGTTGGCTCTCGAGACGAGACTCTGGACAATTGCACAACGCAATAGACCGCTCTCGAGTCTCGACGTCCCCTCGGCGTCTCGGGTTGGGCAAGGGACGTCCGGGGAACATGTTGTCTATCTATATGCTGATTCATCTAATCGTCACAGTCCCTACGTGGCCATCGGCTTTCATGTCCGTTTTTAACACCTCTCTAAACATGTCCCAATCGAGGTCAGGTCCCGTCCCTGGCGCCACTGCGCCCTGCCTCACCACCGGGTCAGGAACAGGATCACACTTCAAGGTAGTTATGATCAGACCAACCCTTCGCATTGGTTCCCTGGAGGAGCTCTGCCTCAGAGCGAGCCAATATCCTACCGCTGGGTCACGAGGGTTCCCGCTCTTCTCAATATAAAGAAGTGCTGCCGTTCCTTGTATGGCTCCAGTGCCCGTGGTAGGCGCTCGTGGTAAGTTAAGATCTCCATGGCAAGAACATGGAGCTCGGATGTCGGCGAAGAGCTCAATTTTCTCGAGGTGGACGCGAACATCATCTAAAAATCGCCAATCAAGCACAACTGCAGTATCCTGTCTGTTGGAAAGGGCTCGAGGACCAATACTGAACGGCGCTAAACGTGTGGTGACGTGCAGAAAGTGGTACGAGTTCAGATCTGGCTTTACTGAGGTTGCCCAGTCTTCATATTTTCCTGTCCCATCTTCCAAACTCAATTTCTCGGCGCTGAAAATGATGTAGGAATGGTCACATTCGTGACCGGCAATGGGCAGCAGTGGCCGATAGTGGGCGAAAGGTCTGCATGAGGCCCATGACCACGATGGTGCCTTGGAACAGAGACTCCCGTCCACCTGAGCCTGTGGGAATGAACTTGGTACTGGCTGAATTTCGCATAACCAAGTCAGTCCTGTGCACGCTCCCGCGCTGGTTGTGTCTCCAATGGACTGATCTTCGAAATTCTGCGCTCTTGGTGGGTAGAACGGGATGCCGTGCACACATTTAATGCCAGAGTTTGCCAGGTAGCCTTTGATAGCATCGAGGCTATCTATCTCATTCGTCATCCGCCGGCTGCAATACTCATTGATGGAACTATTCAGGTCGAATGGCCTAGCATCTTGATAGCCGACCAAGTTTGCCCTTTGCAAGGGGGAACGGACCTGCCCATGGCTTTGTGCCACTTCAACAGGCAGTATTGTATGCAGAGAGCCGTTCAAAAGTTCTTTGAACGAACCGTGCTTGCAAGTCAAGAAGACCTGTGTAGGGGTGAAGCAGAGCATTCTCGTTGATAACAACGATTCCTGAAAAGTCCAAGCCCTTGTCTTATGATGTGAAAGCTGATAAAAAGCACCTAAATCCGGACCAAATCCAAGCAGTTTTGAATTAGGCGTCCTCGCGGAGTACATGGGAACTCGTGGGACAGAAGCCACTCCTGGGAGACCAGCCTCGTCATCGTCACCCAACGCTACAATAACTGCTTGGGCGGTTTTGAAAATTCGATGCATCAAACTTAACTGCTGGCTGATATGTGCTGGATTCGTCTGGTCAATACAGTACCTGTCTGCCCATAGGTATTGCAGGCCAAGTTCCTTGGTAACGGTCACGGCATCCTCAATAGTCCGGGCTAAATTGAGTGGATTCATCTCTCCAGCCGCGGTGACAAAGGGATCTTTGGAGCGTTGCTTTGGACCCCAGATATAGCTGAGGCCCATGTAGACTGCTCCTGTGGGAGCTGGTACAATTTTTCTGTCGTGGCAATTGATCAATAGCATATCGGGAATATTAGCCGTCGAAAGGGTTGTTTCATTGTCGTCCGCAATTTCCTGAATACAGCAATCGAGCTCGACCCTTAAACGCTTATACGGTATGTCGTTGACAGTCGATGAGGCTGTGGATTTGGAGATGGCTGCTTCTGAATAGAGGACTTCACCTCTCATCAGCGTATCACGCTGCCAGGAGTGGGATCTACCCACTAGGTACAGGTGACGCGGCGCCAGAGGTTGCATGGATAATCCCAGATACCATCTTTCAACAGCAGTGTCATTTGTGCCAGTATGTGCGAGCGAACCAAGGAAGCTACACAACGAACAGGTCTGAGAATCAATGGCAGGCACCTCGCCTAGGTCAAACACAGGTACTATCCAGTGAACGTTACTGTAGGCATCGACTGTACCGTCACCCGTGCCGATACTCTGGACTGACCCATGCTTCTGAGGAGCCGGTTCGAAAGCTTCCTGTGCAGACCTGCGTAAGTCCTCATTGACAGAAGCCTGGTCGATGGACCATATTGTCTTCCAGTTAATTCGCCTGCAACGGTCACAGACGCCAGTGGTGCCTTCGAAGCCGGGATTGTCACTGTGGCGCTCGAGCGAAGCGTCGTAAGCATTCGTGTTGGACTCCACATCCTCAACAGCTTTTTGGACAGAAATTTGGAGTCCCCGCGGACGAACCCTAGGCATCAGTGGGGGGTTGAAAGGCCAAAAAGCCCTGCCACAGTCTCGAGATGAAAGATTGAATGTGGAAAAGCTTGGTTATCTTTTCGATCAGCACTGCAGCAGCTCCAAGGTCAGCATTTCCAAAGTCATCAACTCGTGGTTAGGGAATTGTTCAGTTGCCCGTCTTTCTGGGACGAGGACAACTGGGCGACATGAATGATCAAACTTCAAGCAGAAGAAGGAAAGCGCACCGACGTACACGTACTAGAGAAACAACGAGGCTGGGTCCCAATGTGTGCTGCCTGTAGGTCAAGTCAGTGAGGTGCAATCTAGCAGTCATTACCGAGTGAAGCACCCGGAACATAGGTACATAGGCCTCCCTAGCCCCACGCAAGCTAGTGGGCTAGTGGGCTAGGGCGCTCGGCTCGGGATTGCTCGGTCCAACATTGCTTGGTCAGGAATCAGGAGAAGAAAAAAAGAGGGACGCTTGGCTGTAGAAACGGAAATAGATTTAGGAGAGGTCGCCATTCGGAGCTGAGTATTGTGGTATTAACAAACACGAGGAAATCGGCTTAGCATCTAGAAGCCTATACCCTATTCGTAGGGACTAGCACGCACGACCATAAAGCATGCAAATCTATGGCAAGGACAAGAGGAGCCTCACAAAGAGGGTGTGAGATGAAAATGGCCAATACAATAGAGTGATATGGGCACATATGCTACACTTTCCACTTTGTGGGACATTTCCGAGGAATTTGAGAAGAAGCTGTCCCAAGGTCCCCGGTAGGGATGCAGGATCGTAGAACGATTTCATCATATGCGAATGATATGGCTTGCAAGTGGAAGGATGGAACGAGCAAGCCACCTCGCTCATCAGCGAAAGTGGGAACCGCTTATCAGTTGGATCCTGGGGCAACCCGGTTCGTGGTGGGATGAGCAGGATCCATGGAGTTATAGGCTCTTGCCGAGGGTTCAGTGTGCAAGTGTATAAGGGAAACCATGGGCAATGGTTGCCAGATCATCAAGCCACACGACCTAGACATCTTCAGTAGAAAACAGCAAGGCGTGGCCATCAACCCAATTCACGATGGAAGAGCTTGGGAGCGAGAAGAGAAGTTTGCGAGTAGACATGAATCTAGAGAGCCCGCGACCCCCGAGAGCCTCCTATGCACCTTGAAGTCTGGAGTTCGGAAAGCATTTTGAAGTACATGCTGATTGAAATGGTGCAGAGCGCGAAAACGGGGGGTGCCGGGTTGAGTGCCGAATGTCAGTCGCATGTTATATCTTCATGATGTTCTTCATGCAATTGTCCGCATTGCTCTGTTCCCCAATATTATAGCGGGCCTAGCAGCAATCCTTGCAACATTCAAAGCACAAAAATCCGGCGCACCTGTATGATGTGTATCAGTATCCAATTTACCTAGACTTGGTGTAATCGCGACGTAATCGGCAGGAATTATAAGACTTACAAGCCACAGCAAATGTCCTCTCCCTCACCACCACCTCGAAGGCCCACTTTGTTGCTAACTCCACTGGGATCCATGGATTCTCGCGCGGCCTGTGTGGCAAGGAGTCAGCAGATGTTTCACCTGCTTGAACTTGGGACCAAGGGTATTGAAAGGCAACAGGAGAACACCAGATCGCACAGGGCAGGTCTATCATGCATCCTATATCAATAAACGACAACATTGCAACTCACAGGTTGTTGAGAGATAGCACGGTCAGCTCCGGGTTGGGGTTCAGGAGCCTGGATTTTCTGTTGTTGATTTTCAACGTCCATGGTGGTAGATTGTCCTTCTAAGAGTCTGTTTATGGCTTGTACGGCCTGTCAAATATGAGTGAGCGTCTTGGAGAGAACAGTGGCGTCGAAAAGACTGCTGGTTTCCTCAGAAGAAGAAGAGAACAGGAAGCAGAAAAGAGCTGAAGCTGGAGCTGGAGCTGGAGCTGAGCTGTCAATTTCAACTCCTGGCACATTCCAAGTTTTGGACCCATGGCTAAAACGGAATTGCGCGGCCTGGCTGGGAGACTAACATTTACTGTACCCAGCCATCCGACGCAGTGAGCACTGAGCAGGGAAGTCACCAGCAACGAGTGTTCCAATTGAAGTCGGCGATAGGTTGGACGACGTGGCGAGGGTGGTCAAAACCTTATGTAGCCCACCAGCCCGAGGATTAGGCCAAGATTAGATAGAAATCTGACCACCGACTGACAAGCACTGCCGGGAACCTAACCAGCAAAGCTTGACCGCTGCTTGGCATGCTTGGTGGATGCTTGGAGAAGTTTATTATTGCTTGAAATGTCGGAACTTGCCGCCGGCTCCCCGCGGGCATCTCTCCCACGCTACTGTACTTACTATTAGGAGAATATAGGGCGACAGATACATACCAAGTGCTTGTACACATCCTGAGTGTCCTAAAACTATCTCAGCAGGAATCGAATCCATCTCACTATCGAGGCCAATGAGTGCAACAAGGGTATCTTATCCTCAGAGCGCCCAATTCCTTACTTCAAAAAGCAATTCATGGCATCTGGTGGACGGCGTCAACGGCCGTGACACTGTGCCATGCCCTCTTTGCTCGGCTGTACTGGATTCATGGATCCGTGCCGTGCTCATGAAGGTCGCAACTTTCGCTTCGCAACCTGCCTGATTCTGCCCAAATCTTCTAAACATTGTAAATGCTTTTCGTTTGCCTCTTCCCACCAGGTCCGACACTGTGCATCGTCTTTCAGCCACTGCATGTACGCTCCATATCCAGCCTTCTTCTCGCCCGCGCCATCTTCATCCAAAATATCTGCGTCTAGTCCATCGCTCGGTTGCGAAATCCAATGCGGACTCATCGTGCCGCAAACACGATCCTGCCTGGATCGAAAATGCTCAATCATCTTCGCGTTGAATTTGTTCCATTCGTGCATGTAGTTATCCATATTTTCAACATACTGCGCGAAATTGGCCTTATCCAATCGGTCCTCGGCCGGCGGGGTGACAGCTTTGGGTGGTTTGGGGAGATTCAAGGCCCGGATACGAGCAGTCGTGGTACGGTTGAGGTTGACATCGTTGGATGCTCGGGATTCAAATGGAAGGTGTGTTACAAGGTCCTCTTTCATGCCTTTGAGACCGGCCGACGTTGGCGCAAATGGGGCTTGCTCAGTGAATTCTTTCAGGTCCACTCCTCCGTGCGTGGATCGGCGTTTCGGTTCGGGACGGGGCGGTCCAGCACTGACTGGATATTTGATGCCGTTCGAGGTAGGAGGCCTATTGCCGTTGGTCTGCGGTGTGTCCACATCCATTGCGTCTTCTTCTACCACAATGTAGCGATCTCTAGAATCGTCCGTGGTGTCGGACACGGGACTTGCTCTCGGGTTCCCAGGAGCCGTTTTCGCGGACGCCCTAGCAGCCCAGTCGTCGGCCAACTTGCCAGGTTGGAATGCTGTCGACTTGTCTTCTCCATGACCGTTGGGGATCTCGGACGGAGATGTTTGATCTTGTTCTGCTGATCGCGATTGCGCTCTCCCTCGCGACGTTGGTTTGCTTGCAGTCCGACTTGACTTCGAGGGTGACTTGCGCAGAGACTCATCCGCACGGAAAATATCATCGGCTGTGACCTTGTCATGCCAATCCGCCGCTGAAAACGTTGTCTGAACTTTCGGTTGAGTGGAGGCATGACTGGCGCTTGGGTTAGTCCTATTGATCCACGACTGAACGCAATCAAGACTGCCTCCTTCCTTGGGGGTGTCACTCTTCTTCTTATGAGGCCGGGGAGGCGTGGTCTGCGGAAAGACACTCGAAGGAACTGCCCATGAAGGAAATCCGTTGAAGGAACATCCTCTCTGAGCAGGACCATCGCGACTATTTCTTCGGGACCACGTGTGGGAATCCAAGAAAAAGGGAGCAGCATACTTGGGTTTATCCGAACCTCCACCATCACCATGTAACACATTAGGCTTGGGTGCCTCAACATCTGGGGATGCCATGCTTGGGAATGGCTTGCGCGTCGGCTCCCTCGCATCGGGAGGCGGGTACTGATAGCGACTGTCATCAACGATTCTAGTATAGTTAGTACTAGGAAATTGACCTGTCAGGCCCGGGTTATGGTCAGCATCGTAACTGAGCCCTGTTCTGACTTGTGGTTTGCTCCGAGGGACAGCCTTTGGCCTAGAATTCTTGGGCAACGTTTCTTCGTCGCTCGACGAGGTCTCTGAGAAATCTGCATGTATTCCAGCCTTCCGCATTCCGGGACTAGCGCTCCGATGGCGAGGAATATTCTCATAGCGAGCTGACGGCCTGCCAAAGGGTCCTCGGTCGTCGATCGGTGAATTGCGGACACTCGACGAACGATGTAGACCGTCCCCATTGATGTCCGTTCGCTCCCCACCAGTTCCAGCATATCTTGAGGGCGGACGACCCCCAAGATCGTTCCTCATGTCATAATCGGAAGATCGGGCATGCCGTAGAGGACTGACCGCGGGCCTGGCCCTAGAAACGGGAGGCGATCGCATCGAGTGGTTGTCTTGGACGTGGATGTGTGGATTGGGCGGCGGCTGCCCACGTGTGCCCTGGACATAAGAAAACGCCGAACGAGGATATTGCGACGGGTCGGGCCCAGGATAGTCTGATTTTCTTGCACTGGCCGTCCTAGATAGACCCGGAAAACTTGTGGGCGGTACGTTGGGCACGTATGGCATTTCCGAGCCAGAACCGGGTTTGGGGGCAGTAGGGGCTTGCCGCGGTGTCGATCTCGGTGGCATTTGTTGAGCGGATGATGTAGGCCTCATGGCGGGAAAAACTCTTGCTGCCTCTGCCCGGGCCTCGTCATACTTCGCCCGATCCCATGACTGTGGTACCCCCCGGGTGAAAGCATTGAATTTATCGGCACCAGAAGAGGCCTGCTGTTGCTGACTTTTCGGAGCAAACGCCGGACGGGGAGCACGAGTTTGCGCTGACTTGGGAGGTGGAGGGAAGGGATATTGCTGTTTTGCTGTAGGAGTCGATTTGGAGTCGTTTGGTCTTGGGAAACCATATGGATCGGGGGGGTATGCTGAGGAAGTAGTAGCGGCGGTTTTAGCAGCCAATCTTGCCCGACCAGCATCATATTTGGCCTTCTCCACCGGATCGCAGAGGATCTCATGGGCTGCTTGGACGGCTTGGAACTTGGGAACGACCTCGACTTCGCGACCAGGGTTTCGGTCCGGATGATATTGTTTCGCTGCAGCGCTGTGAGTTCAGCTCAGCTGTTCAGGCCGTTCTTTGTCTTACCCAGAAGTCTGAATTGTTTTTTGATCTCTTCGGTGTCTGCGGTAGGAGGCAGATCCAAGTCCGCATAGTAGTCCCGTTTAACATCCGCCTTGACCATGATTCACCAATGCCCAAAGGCGATAATTTTCAAAACTGTAATGCGGCGATCAATTGCCTTCTCTTCAGCTCAATCAACATGGTTTCTCAAAGAAAGGAGGGTCCGAGGGTTTGCGCAGGCTTTAGAGATCGGGCAGCCAAAGTCAAAACGGAGTGACCGAGTAGTGAATTGACCAGATTTATTCACAATCCAACCGGAGCTGGGGGGGGGCTGATGGAGGTAGGACAAGCGAGCGGTGATCGAGGGAAGGGCAGCAATTCGGGGGCTCGAAAACGAAGTAGAAGAGGTGACTACACCTAGATGCAAGGCAGATGATGAGATCAAGGTGCAGAATGTGGCAGGCAGGTGGCTGCAGTGGCTGTATCTCTTCACGGCATGTCCATTCGCTCGGTCACTCGCATAGGGTATCAGAATTGCAACCAAGTTGCGGCCTATCGCGAGGCGCACAGAAGGCAGGAAGTTCGGGACGACAGATTTTGGAGGGCAGTTCGGTGTTCCTGCGCAGTGTCTCGAGCGCCAGGCTGCAAGGGAAATCGGTGCAGATCTGCAGGGTGTGCGTGTGTGTGAGAGAGAGCATAAGAGAGAGCGAGGCGAAGCGGTGTGGTGCTGGATTGGACGGCCGTCGAGAAGGTATGGGCGATGTGTTGGCAGGATGTGACAGGATCAAGGAGAAAGGGTGTTGTTGCTTTCTATCGATTTTGGGGATAGCTGTGAAAGTCTATGGAAGTCTAGGTATGCGACGCCCATCAGCCGTCCATCTGCCATTAAAGGCCCCTTCCACTCATGGGGACTTTTAGCCATGGGATCTGCCAAAAAGAAAAGTCCGAGCAGCCTCCACCGGCCACCCACCAGCCCTAGGCACCCTTGGCACCCTAGGCACCCGCTAGAGCATGCACGGTGGCCCCTATGATATCACACTGTTGGCAGCCGCCTCGCGTTCCCCCTCACTTCGACTGCCCTTGTCGACCCCATTCAACCCATTGACCTTCGAGCCTTGCGGTGTTGAAGCCGAGTAAATGTGACCCAAGACAGATCTGAGTTCCTCTAAGAATCGATCTACTTCCTGCTCGGTGCCCACGGTGATCCTCAGACAACCTGTGCACCCGTATTCCTTTCCCCGGAACCTAACCACCACTCCTCGTTGCCCCGCCATTGTTTCGTACACATTCAAAGCTGTCGCGTTGTCTGGTTGTCCACCCTCTTCCAGCGGACTGTCCAGAATCTCCACCAGCAAGAAATTCGACGCGGTCCCTCCTCGGAAACGGCCAATACCTGGGATTCGTGGGAGCTCTCGAAGAAGTCGGTCTCGTTGCTGGAGGATTTTCTCGCGGTGTTGTCGCATGACTGCCAGATTCTCTTCTTGCAAGGCTGCTATTGCAATGGCACTCGTCGGACTTGAGATGTTGTATGGTGCCTTGATGTTATTGAGCAGCGCTGCAATCTCGTGACTGCTAAAGGCCACTCCTAAGCGAATTCCGGCCAGACCGAATGCCTTGCTCAATGTCTGCATTACCACCAAATTCGGCCATTCCAACACCCATTCCGCCAGGCTTGACCCGTCAGGTGAGAAATCGATGTATGCCTCGTCCACAATCACTATGCCGTTCCATGTGGGATGCTCTAAGATTGGTTGAATGTCTTCCTTGGGAATGAGGGCGGCCGTGGGATTCCCAGGAGAACAAATGTACACCATCTTGATGGATGGATCAGAGGAGAGCTTTTCCAATATTGGTTGAGGCTGCAGTGAGAAGCTATTGTCGGGGTTGAGGGGCACCTGGACGATTTCAACATCGTTGACGTCTGCGCTAACTGCGTACATGCCGTACGTGGGAGGACAAGTCAGAATCTTGTCTTTTCCAGGAGCACAAAAGCAGCGCAACAAAGCGTCAATGGCCTCATCTGACCCGACTCCACAGAACAGATTCTCCGGTTTGAGTTGTTTGTCTGTATGGGTATGTGTGTTCCTCAAACGACAGAACAGTTCCTTCAGCTCGAGTTGGTGTGGATCAGGATATCTGTTCAGGCCCAGGAAGTCGACAGTTGTCTTGTCATGTTTACCACAAACACCACCCTCTTCCAGCGCGAGCCCGGGACCATACGCGTTCTCGTTCGCGTCGAGGAGGATATTGGTGCCATCGTCTTTGTAGTCACTGGGTTGGTGAGTCAGTGAACGAACTGCAATGCGCGTGGACACACTTACTCTCGCGCACACCTATAAGGGTGCAGTTTGAGGATGTTGGGTCGCGCACATTTGGAGAGATCAAAGGGCGAAGACTTCGGAGCCATCTTGGCCTTGTTGAACCGTGGTGAATATTCACGGAACCGGTGAGTTCATTGCAAAGAATGTTTTTTTAAGTATTAGAAAATATCTCCAAACTCGATCTTCTCCGCAGTGCCTGGCCGGTTGCGGAGACGGAGACTGCCGCCACGGCCCATCAGCCTAGTACAGTAGTACCCAGCTCGCCAGTAAGTCGTGGCCGCTAGTACTGGCTCACTGGGCAATACGAGGTACATAAGCTGGCGATGACTTAACCCTTAACAGCCCTTGACCACCGAGTCTACCAGTAGTGACAGGCACCAGATATTAGATCCCAGATCCAGGGACTCGTTCCTGTTCCTCGTGGCACCAGGTGGATCTATTAATAAGTGGTTCCAGACGCACTTCACCTCGGTGTGACTTGGTTGTGCTTATACCGAGTACGTACCGAGTAGATCTCTCGCGGAGACCAGAGCTCACTGCTCCCTCACTTCCTTCTCATGTTCCTCACATCTGACTGTCTTCGCTCAACTCGACATGGAACCACATTGAATCCAGGATAACTTCAGTAGGTCGACTTTGCTTGAGAACATGTGCCAGGCACAAGAGATAGTGAAAACAAGACATTACCATTTGGCCTGACTAACGTATAAAGGACCTCTTTTGAAAAATTTCACGGTGAGCATGTGCAGTATTCGGTGTTACCATGGACGCTTGACGACCAGAAAACACTTCACAACAAGGTATTTAAACAGTCTAACTTCGACGTCCTTTTGCCTGTAGAAAACAACATCCGACAATTCTCTCACCAAGCTCAAACTCCTTCTCGACACGACAAATGCTCTCGGCTGAATCGCATTTCCGCAGACAAACTTCTCATCAAAATGGAACGCATCGTTCTCCCTATTCTCCTCTTCTTGCTTGCCCTCACCAATGCCACCGCGATTCCCTCATCTCTCGCTGGCGAAGGAGCTGTCAACGGTCTGATCACCCGCAACGAAACCTCTGCCTCAGCTGCATTTGCCGGTCCTCTCATCTTCAACATCAGTCCTAACCCGGCCGGTCCACCATGCGGAATGACTTGGGAAGTCAACATCAATGTCAAGTCTCGTGGCTCCGTTGGCGACGCCAGCACCTCCTGCAATGCTTTGTACAATTATGTCACCTTGCCCTCATCATCCGTCCCGCAAACCATCAGCAAGGATGTCAATTTTGTATACCTCTGCCCTGACACTCCTGAGCCGATCAGCCCCGAGGGGTACGGTTACCGTGACATCAAGTTCATCGTGAAAGGAACATCAGATTTCCCCAGTGGTCAGAACACATTTTTGGCCCAGCTGCAAGTCTTGAACATCGACGGTCTTCCCGAGACCAATATGGATATGCCGGTTGAGATTGGATACGCCATCACCGACAATGCGGATCCGTTGAAGCAGCTCACCTTGCAGTACATCTACTGTGGGTGAACTCCACAGACGAGGACACGCACAGTCCGCAGGTGGCGAAATCATGCAGAAGCAAGTCTGAGTATCTTGGGAAAGCCTTCAATAGTGAAGAAGATCAAGTCGAATGGGATTTCGAAGCCATGATCAAAAACAGGTTGGCGGCGGTTGGTGGCAGGTTATTCCGAGAGGAGCATTTTACCTAATGCCATCTAATATCTGTTCCTAGCCAGATCACAGGCGTAGCTGGGCAGATATGGTTGCAGATTGGTTGGCGCACGGACTTGGAAACTGGCTGGAAGGGCTCGCAGCCGGAAATATTTGTGATAGAACACCTTGCTAGGTACCTACCCAGCAATGCAGAATACCTTCAGATCACAAGAACTCCCTATGTACTCGGTAAAGGTGGCGAAAATCTCGCGGAGGCGCACAAGTACTTGAAGCTGCGCACCTTGGTGTCCGCAAGTGCCCGCCATCGACGCAGGCTTCTCCGCATGGGGATCTTTTCCGATCAAACGACGTAAATTTCGAGACCTTTGATTCTCCGCATCGCCTCCTCCCTCTCTTGACCACTCTCACGACCTTGAGAACCTTACACATCCTTCGGGCTCTTCTATCCCCAGAGTTCAAGGTGCGCCATCATGGCCGACCGCAAATCCGCTTACGGTACCGCTGCTGCCTCCGATACCGACTTCCGCCGCACTTGGGACCGCGCCGAGTACGAAGCAAAAGCCAAAAAGCAAGAAGAAGAACGTCGCGAAGAGGCAAAAGCCCGTTATGAGGCCAAACTCGAAGGCAAAAAATGGCACAAACCCGTCGATTTCTCCTCCTTGGACTCCACCACCGCGCGCGGCTCAAGGTTAGATGTGGCGAGTATGGTCGGGAAGAGCACAATTGTTCCCGCCGGTGCGGGAATCGGTAAAAGGGGGAAAGGCGCAGGGTTTTACTGCGAGGCCTGTGATTTGACATACAAGGACAACGTGCAGTACATCGAGCATCTGAATTCGAAACAACACTTGATCAATACGGGGCAGTCGGGCCAGGTGAAAAGAGCGACGTTGCAGGACGTTAGGGACAGGTTAGAAATGCTCAAGGCAAGGAAGAGACAGCAGGAGGAGGAGGCGAAGATGCTGGGCGAGGTCGATATTCAGGCGAGGATTAAAAAGGCTGAAGAGATCGACGCGGCAGAACGGGAGGAGAAGAGACGGAAGAGGAATGAGAAGAGGAGGGCGGCCAAGGAAGAGAGGGGCATTAAAAAGGAGGATGAGTGGGAGGGACGACTAGGGATCATTTCTTGACTTGGATGGAGTAAATGCCATGTTCACGACAGATCGGACTTTGCGTGATGGCGACGTGAGCACATGTCTGCCTCAACGACTCACTCAACTTGCTCATAAGCACGGGTGTCGGCGTGTGCAGGCCAACGAGGCTTTCACCAAAGATTCGATATCATCTTTACGGCAGCCTCCGAGTTAGAGTCGGCAGGAGGGGTGGTTATTTGAACCAGTCGGCTGTCCGCTTATCCGCTATCTCAGGCTTCCCCTTGGAGCCAGCATCAATCCAGGGCAAGCTTCGTGGAGCTTTTGCTCCTTGCGAAATGCTAGAAAAGGACAACATTAAGGGGTTCGCAGCACGAAGCACGAGCGAGGCAATTACGCAAGTCACCTATTCGTACCGACAACATGGTTGCTCAAGGCATGGAGTACATCCGAAATCTCAAAGCCCAGGAAGGCACCAGAGACCATCTCGACTTGCAGACACCAAAGCTACCAGACTTACCGCCGGTGTCTCTTGATGATATATTCCAACCTTGACCCACACATTCAGGGGGTCATCATGCTCCAGGGATGGCACAATCCGAACTGCAGCCTCGTGGGACAGAGCAGTGCTGTTTGCTAGGACGCCACAGGACGCCCAATGCAGATATGCTGACGTTCATTGGCTGGATGTGGGATCCTGGGTCTGATGCAGCCTCGTCGGTCAAAACAACGACATCTCTGCAACCACTGAACGACAAGTTCGTGAGAATGCATCTAACAAACTATGGCGGATTCCTTAGTGGATGGGGACGCGCAATGTAAACCGGCCGCTTCCAAAATGGCCCAAACATGAGTAGACTAACAAGCAGTCCTACCGCCGGGCATCACCATCCATGAGTGACGCACATTGTACCTGGATGATCAGCATCATCATCATCTTTCTGTGTGTCTCCGGTGGTGTGCAACTCCACCTCGCCCACCCTCGATCCATGCAAAACTCTCTCTTGCTCCCATTTCCAATGGTTGGAATTATTGAATCTTGCCTGACCTCATCGACGTCACCGTCTTCACACGACGAAGGCTCTCGAGTCTCTATTTCTTCAGTGCCACCTGTGCCTTTGTGACTTTGTATCTCACTTCATCTTCTGTTTTGCTCACAATTCATTCCCCAGACACATCGACAACCCCAGTTTTCTCCAGAACTTGAACTGAATTCCCAATCTCAAGACTTCCACCTCGAACGAACCGAAATGGCATCCGATCCGTATGTGGTCTCTCCGCATTGCTCTCGCTTGTCCTTCATTTCCCCAGCTCTATCGTCAAGAAGACAGTCTCGGTTGCCTGCTATCTCCCTCTCCAATCAGTCGTCCACATTTTCCTCTATGAGAGAGGGGGAACCCTAAAAAAGACTGACCTCCCACCCATGGCAAACACAGGTACAAGGCCAAGAACAAGGACGAGCCAGGTCTCGAGGAGAAGATCACCGCCCTCAATGACTTTGCCAAATCCTGCAAATTCGGCATGATGACCACCCGCATCGCTGACTCGGGCCTGTTGGTCTCGAGGTGCATGGCTCTGGCCGCTCAGGTATGTCAGCGATTATCCCACCGCGCCCCAACCCACCTGTGGCACATCAGCTAACACCATGTTCCTCGTCAGGAGTCCGGCGGCGCCGACCTCCTGTTCCACACCAACACCGAGTCAGGCAAGACGTCGGACCTGTCGTCAGACTCGCACGTCAACATCTCCTTCCTGGCCCCGTCGAGCGGCAGCTGGGCGTCGATCTCAGGCACCGCGAGCATCATCACCGACCGCGCCACGGTCAAGAAATACTACACGCCCACACTCAAGACGTGGGTCGGCGACCTGGGCGACGGCGTGCACGACGGCAGCGAGAACGACCCGCGCATCGGCGTCATCAAGGTCAAGGCCCTGACGGCCACGTACGCGCTCCCCAAGGGGACCATGCTGGGCCGCGGGGTCGAGATGGTCAAGGGCGCCGTCACCGGCGAGGTCGCCAATGTGAATGAGCTGCGCGAGATCAACGAGCAGGAGATGAACCAGTGGAGGAGTTCACATTAGCCCACTCACTCCAAATCGCGCACATGGGCAAAACGCAGACATGCCCCCCCCCCCCCCCCTTCCCTTTTCTTCCATTTTAGCCCCGGCAAAAAACAAAGCCAAACGCAAAGAGCACGAGCTCGATACGTCCGGCTAGCCGGGTTTGGACGAGGATAATGCCTCGGACGGAGAGATACCTGACATGTAGATATTACAATTGCCCAACGCAAGGTCATGGGGATTAATAACTTGTCTTGCCTGGTAATTCCTGTTTAGGGGAGATTCTTTTCTATTCTCGTGACTATCAAATCGCTTCTTTCCTTGCTGCCATCTCGCGTATCTCCCACCTTCTTGCATCCTAAGCTTTGTCAAGTGTTGAATGTCCCGCATTTCCTTGCTCCTTGTGACCCGTGATTGATTTGACCCGGCAAGTTAGCCTCCTAATATGCAAATGCAATGTTCCAACCCAACCTGACTCGCTATAGAGGTCGCGGATTGAACCGCGCAGGAAAAGACATGGTCAAAAACATGCATAATGATATACACATGAGAAAGGGGTATCCATCACATCTATATGTACAAATTCTCAACCACGCCGTGCACACTCGGACAGGGGACACAACGTCGACGGGGCCATGAAAGCACCGCGCCCGGCGATGGAAGATGATGATTTTCGTGAGACAAGCGGACGGACTCCACTCGTAAATGGGCCACATGGCCGTCATTTTGGCGATCTCTCTATCGAGCGGAGAGTTGCTGTAGGTATAGGAAAGACAAGGATGGAGAGTGTTTCCACGGCCATGGTTTTGAAACCTCGTCGATTGGCATCGCATCAGATCCTAGAACTCCCACCAAGCCATCCCTTTAAATGCCATTGAAAACGTCGTCTTGATATAAATGCTGATAAACGACACAGGGGAAACGAAGAGCGGACGGTCTGCTCGAAGTCCATCCTGGGTAGGTGGATGGAGGAGGCCGGAGGTCTCGAAAGCTGAATGACGCCTGGTTTCTCACCTGGTCAATCAATGCCATGATAGAAGAGATGAGTATGGAGGGCCGCTAGGAATTCGCCCTAAACCAGGCCCGCTTCAACTCGCAAAATGGCCCCCGGTGGTCAACAAACGAGTTTCTCTTGACAATTGTCCTCACGTCATTTAGTGAGTCGCACAGACCACCGAGCTCCTTAACGAAACCTTCTATCACCTCCAAATCTACCGCGACCACGATCACTAAACGATGAGCTGTCTTGACCAAATGCCCCTCGACCATCGGCAGGGGCACCCTGGCCAAACGGATCGCGTTCGTCATGTCTGTCACGACGACTAGCGCCACGCGATCTTGCGCCGCCGCCGAAACCACCACGGTCACTTTCCTCTCGGAAGGTCAGGCCTTGGACACCGCCATATCCTATCTTGTCGGCCCAGCTTCTCGTCACCGAAGGCGGGGATTCAAGGCCCCAACCGTACGTCGCTAGCTCGTTGACTTGGTTGACGATCTCTTGTCTCGAGGAATTACCGGCCTGATTGAGCACAGATAACAGGCTTTGGTATGCCTTCGCCTTGTCAAGCCTGGAAACCTGCCTGACACCTGATTCAACCATCTGCATGATCTTCGCGGTTTGCGGCGAGAGTTGCGTGGGCTGAGTCATGTCCAATTTTGCCGTGTCCAGGCTCGCGTCTTCGTAAATATTGTGGGCGTGGATGCTGTTTGCCAGTTGTCTATAGTCGTTTCTCTCATCGTTTTGCAGGAGAAGCCAGCCTTGACCCGGTTTCCCAGCACGGCCAGTCCGACCCAGGCGGTGGACGTAGTCTTCTCTTCTATGAGGTGCGCCCACTTGAATGACATGTGACACGTTGGGGAAGTCCATCCCTCGGGCGGTGACGTCCGAGGAGATCATCAGTGCGCAGTCGGCATTCCGGAATGCATGCGAGTTCGCGGTTCTTTGCCGCTGATCTAGCTGAGATGACATTTCAATAATCTTGCAGGGTGCAAGCGGGTGAGGAGCAAACATTCCTTTGGCTGATGGGTCGCGCAAGTTTTTGATGGTTTCGTATGCCATTTTGACCTCGTTTAACGACCTGAAAAAGGCGATTGCTTTGAAAGGCATGTTGTTTTCCGGGTCTCTCTTGTGAGCCTCGATTGCGTTGTAGGCGATTTCGGTCAAGGCTGGAATTTGGTTCTGCAATCCTGGCAAAAAGACAATGTGCTGTGGGACGGATTCATGCGTTGCGGCATCTTCTGGGTCAACAGTCCTGACAAACTTGAAGTCGGGCTTCATGGTCTCTCTGACCAGACCAACCACGGATCGTGGCATGGTGGCGGAGAACATGAGCGTCTGACGATGTTGGCGTGTGTGTTTGGGCATGAAACTCTGGATCTCTCTGATCTCTTCGGCAAATCCAATATCAAGGAGTCGATCAGCCTCGTCCAGCACGAAAGTTTGGATATTTTCCAGGCTCAGACCATTGTAGGGGTCGGACAACAGATCCTTGACTCTTCCCGGCGTGCCAACAAGAATGTGGCAACCCAATCGCTGCATAAGCTTCAGATGGTATTGCTTCTGAGTGCCACCGACAGCCAGTTGTACCTGAACGCCGGTCCCTCGAACAATCTTCTTTGCCTCCTCACCGATCTGCTCTGCCAGCTCACGGGTGGGGGAGATGATGAGGGCTCGTGTGTCTCCGATCGAGGGTTGTCGACGAGCGAATTCGGGGTCTCTAAGCATACGTTGCACGATGGGCATCAGGAAAGCCAAGGTCTTGCCGGTGCCGGTACGAGCTTGGGCAATGACATCTGTGCCGTCCAGACATTCGTTTATGGTCATTCTCTGAACCTCTGTCATTGTGTGGATGCTCATTTTATCGACCAGGGTATCGATGATCCTCTTGTCAATAACGCCTGCATCTCCAAGCTCTGAAAATTTGGTGAACTCTCGATTGACTGCAGAGATGTCCTCTGCACCGAAATCTTCTGCGCGGGCATGTTCTTCAGCGAGAGCCTGTTGCCGTTGGTAGAATGTCGATGAAAACTGTCTGGCAGAGAGGTTTCTGGTGACAGAAATCCGCGAACTCGAAGGAACAAATTGTGTTCGCGAAGATGAGAAGGAGGCGGATGGGAGGGATCGGAGCACTCTCAGGACATGTCGTCCTTGGCGTGCAGCGCCATACATGATGGCGGTGAGATATGAGGAACAAGAGCGTAAGGGAGAGAGCAGCGGCGATCACAGTCCGCAAGAAACACAAGAGAAAGGGAGTGAGGGAGGGAGAGACTGTAGATGGTGAAGGAAATACCTAGTATGTGCTGCGATACAAAATTTCTACGAGACTCGGAAGAGCTACGGCGATTGGCGACTTAAGTCTAACCTCTTTTGGTTGACATGGTCTAACTTCTTTCGGTCAATAGGGGCGCCCATGTGCCCGTCGCATTTTCCACTTTCTATTCATTGTAGCCTCGAAACCAGACTCATCAGCTTTCCTGGGATGAAGTGCAACTAGAGAACGAAGACGATGCATTGGGCAAGTCCCGAACACATACTCGGAGTAGCCATGATTGATATCTCACCTCAACATCGAGATCCTCCTGTGGGGAACCGGCGCGCTCACACGCTTTGTTCTCGTTCAGACGCCATCTTCGTCACGTCGATATGTTGGCATTCCGCAGCTGATGCAGCGCAAGGGACATTCGGTAAGCAAGAGGAGGTAATGTCAAAATACAGCAATGACGACAAGCATCTGTCGATGGGGACTTTGGAAGGTGTGGTCAATGAACATGGAATCATGAGCACCCCGACAACCCACGACCGCATTACGCGTCCCTCTAACCCACTCGTGCATTTCTCAGTGTGCCACATTCAAGTGTACCAAGAGTACTGGGATCAAGGAATGACCATTCGTGACACGACTCGGCTGGACCGTTTGCAGGGAGGGCATCGTCTTGGGCATTGAGGAGACCACGAGTATTTCCAGGTCCCAAGCATCGCCCGTCTTCGGTTAAACATGGGCAAAAGTGGTTGGATATCATCGCACGAATATCCAAGAGCAGGCTAATTGGGACGGGGTTTGTCAACCAACTCGATGCCTCGGTTGATGGCGCAACGTCTGGCACGATTTTGTCTCTTGGTGGTTGAGTAGGCTCGCGAAGACACCGATCCAAACCTCGAAAAGCCGCAGTTTCCGTCGGCCCATCGGGCGGCCCAGGGAAGCCTGAGATATCTCTCAAATGTTCTCTTTATCATTCGTGCAAATCCGTCTGCGGTAGACTCGGGGTATTGTCCGGCGAGCCAATCGAGTATCTGATCTCGCCCTCTTGTCCTCCCCGCAGCAACCTCCAAGTATCGACCAGAGGGCGTCAAAGGGCGGTTGAGGGCGTTTGAGGGCGTCAGAGGTGATTCGAGGAAGGAAAGAGCTGTCAAGAGCAGATCCCGCAGTGGCCTTGCTGTGGAGAAGAAGTCAAAGCTCACAAATCCGAGGCCCAATTGTAGAGAGTTGACTTTATCTGGTTGCGGGTTTTTTGCCACTCAGTCTTGAGGCCGCACCGTCTTGACTGTCCAAACCGACGGCAGTTCCCCCACATTGGACTTGACTCTCATCTCACATTTCACTCCTGCTGTACCTATATCAACGGACATTTCCCCTAAGCCTTTAAGGCCCTCTCCTGCTGAGTCTTTGTTCACTCCTTCTGTAATCTTGTGTCTCTTTAACATAGTCATCAAGTTCGAATCCAACCAAGCCGCCTCCCCATAGCGACATCTCACCCATCATGGCCCCTCCTACGGCAACATACACTGAAACCTCCAATGTCCCCGCCGCCGGTTACAACACAGCGGACGCTCAACCCGAAGGCACCGCTCCCAACGAGCCCAAGTTGAAGCAAGGCAATGCCGATGTTCAGATGCAGAAGTTCCCCTCCCCACCGCGCTTCACAGACAAATACGAAGAGAGGGAATACCTCAAGGGCCGCCTGGCACTCGCATTCCGCCTCTTCGGCAAGTTTGGTTTCGATGAAGGCGTCGCGGGCCACATCACTCTGAGAGACCCCGTGAACCCCAGCACCTTCTGGGTGAACCCCTTCGGTCTGGCATTCTCGCAGATCAAGAGATCAGATCTCATCCTCGTCGACCACGACGGAAAAGTCATCGACGGCGGGCCAAACAGACTGCTCAACCAAGCCGCATACATGATCCACGCGGCTGTCCACAAGGCTCGTCCAGACGTCGTCTGCGCCGCTCACTCACACAGCATCTACGGCCGCGCCTTCTGCGCCCTGGGCCGACCAATTGACATCATCACGCAGGACAGCTGTGCGTTCTACAACGATCTCGCCGTGTACAATTCATTCAAGGGTGTGGTCCTGGCCAAGGAAGAAGGAGAAAACATTGCCCGTGCAATTGGAAACAAGAAGGCCTGCTTGCTACAAAACCACGGTCTCTTGACCTGCGGACAGACGATTGAGGCTGCGTTGTTCTGGTTCTGCTCCTTGGAGAAGTGTTGCCACGCCCAGCTCATGGCTGATGCGGCTGCTGCTGGACGTGGAGGAGCAACGGTCAAGATCGACGATGAGGATGCTGCGTTTACCTACAAGTCTGTGGGCACACCCAGGGCCGGTTGGTTCAGCGCGAAGCCCCTCTTTGATGTCATGATTCAAGAGTGTGGCGATGAGTATCTGCAGTAGTGCATCAAGGGAATGAACCTATCTTTGTTCAGCTGCGAGCAGATTCGGTTCCAGAAGAGGAACAGCAGCGGAACGTCCCAAGTCTTTCGTCAAAGGATTCGACTGGTTCTAATTCACAAAAAGGAGTCGTCCTCTATGCGTACCCACGAATGAGACAAAAATAAAAATAAATTGTCCGTGTTCGATGTACCTGATGGTGAGCGACTGGGTATTTCCTCCCCCTTTGTCTCCAGGATAACCTCATTTATGCGCCTCTCTTTCGCTGTCTGTGCTCTTGTCCCAGATCACACTTCTCTGCTAGGATTTCCAAGACCAACGCCCCATGCGCCTGGCATCCTGTGCTCTCGACGCGAATCCTCTACCTCTCTTTACCATGCCCTGCATATCCCACGACCCCGAACGAGGCGAGGAGGATTCCCTTACCTTTGCACTCTCATCGCATGTGCTCGATTACGCTTGAGAACCGTCAGGACGACGGGGACCCTGTCAGCATGTCGTTGCATCACATCAGCAATCAAGCAATCAGGCGGGGTTCGTCGTATAACGGCGTTCTCCATCCGCAACCCTTTTCTTTTCTTTGATAAGGTGGGAATATATATATAAATATATATATCAGGCAGGATCCTACGCGTAAAGATGTGGATTTGGTTCGCCGCGGAGACAGACGTGTTGAGGATTACATATGAAAGACAGAGGGAGAGAAGACAAAAGGGGAGCAGGGGATACGGGGGTGGTGCGTGGGCGGGGCTCCATCCTCCATGCCGCATGCTCCACGCACAGTACGGATGTTGTCAGCGGAAAGTTGACTGCCTCAAGGCAGATATTATCAGGCAGGAAGGCCTACCTGCCTGGATAATATGCTCGTCTCGGAGGTGCCTCAGAGGGAGGTCGTAGATTCGATAGGGGCCGAGGAAGAAAAACGAGGAGGGGGCGTGTCGACCGTGGGGTTGGCTAGTTGTGTGATGTTCCATGTACAGGCTGGGATTTCTATTCCCGCCCCGTGGTGATATGATGGCTCCTGCATGCATCTCGCAGAGTACCTAGGTATGTCTCGGTGTTCAACCTCGTGTTTGCTTGGGCGGACATGGAACAGTAGATTCGGTGCATGACATTGCATAGCCGGGTACCCCACATTCACCATAAGCATCCTGGAGTCGAAGAGGACCGTCCAAATTCTGTCAGCCGGTCAGGATAATAGCTTTGCCCAACTTACGCACATCAAGGCTGCGCTGCCCGGTAGTATCTCGACCGCACCATACAAAGATGGCCAACAGACTCCCATTGATCGCCATCTCGCTCGGCTTCGGCGCCGTGTTCTGGCAACTGTTCCTGCGCGATGCTCTCTTCAACGGCATGGGACTGGGTCGCAAGGTGCAGCCCGTCGCTGACTTCCCTTACGAATGCCATCGAATAAGCGGTGATCCAAATATCCAGGCCTGCGAGGACATGTGGCTGGATCAAAAGTCCAGAACGCTCTATCTGGCATGCTCGGATTCGCTGGCTAGGAAGGACTGGATGCCAAAGTAGGTGTCTGCCCAAGGAGGTGTCCCGTTGAAGGGGTAGACTGGGGCAAGCGTGTTAAGAATGATGCCACTAGTATTCATCGCCTCAATGCTTCCGGCCGAGCGCTGAACGACCATGTCGTGGCCATGGATATCGACAGCCCAACCCGTTCAGGAGGCTACGCTTACCGTGTTCTCAAGATGCAGGATTACCCCGGTGTGCATGGTGACGGTCGAATCCATGTCGTGGGCATGACCGGCACCAGTTCTGTCGACGGATCCAATATCCAATTGTGGTTGATCAATGCGCGTCCTTCTGTTGATCCAGAAACGGGAGAACTGCTCGACAATGCGATCGTCGGCGGAAACTCGACCATCGACGTGTTCGCCACCAACCCGAATTCTGACGGAATGAGGCATGTCAAGACGTACGCCAACTCCCAAATCGCGACTCCCAACAATGTTGCTGTTACACGCGACGGCGGGTTCTTCTTCACGAATGACCACGGTCCGCATAAGGTTGGCTTGGTAAGGGAAGCCTTCAATATCACAGTCTACGCCACACTGACAGCAGTGCGAAGCAACACCATCTATCTCCATTTCTAGGCACAGGAGACGTGTCATATTGCACGGCGGACGGGGTTTGCAAGAAGGTCGCATCTGGGTTCCAGTTTCCCAATGGACTTCATCTCGGGAGCGATGGCTTCCTCTACGTGCCCAGCGCAGCTGTCGGGGGCATTACCGTCTTCAAGCCAAACCCTGATGGCTCTGTGACCAAAGTGCACAGTATTGACCTTGATTATCCCATCGACAACCTCGCCGAGGATGCCAATGGTGATATCTACGCCGCAACTCTGCCCAAGGCATTCAAATCGTTGGCTGCCTTCGAGGATCCGTTGAATCCCAAGAGCGCTCCAGCGACTGTATGGCGGGTTCGGAGGTTGAACAGAGAGGTTCCGAACACGTATAAGTATGAGCTGACGAAAATCATTGAGGACAACGAGGGAGAGGTATTGCCTGGCATGACAACTGTGATCCATGATGCCCGAACGGGGACGTTGTTCATGAGTGGTAAGTAATATACCCTCGGCCAGCATAATGATGGATTTTCGGGTAACCTTTCCCAGGCGTCGTGTCGCCCTTCATTACCGTGTGCAAGAAAACTTGAGGGCGCCAGCTTCTTCAAACGACCTGGAACGCAGCTTGGGCCAGCATGTAAGGCCAGTGGGCTCAGGGCATTTCCATCAGCGCTAATTGAGCTCGAATGGTGACGTTGTGCTCGTCAGGGACAGAATGGACATCTTCCAAGAGTTGCTGCTAATCCTGATGGCATCGACGACGTCAGCGGGCTGGGCATGTGGACTTGTAGAGGAAAGAAGCTGGTCGAGGGTCCTGAGGGTCCTACGTTGGGACCTTCTTAGACCTTCCTAGACCTAGCAAAGCTTGATGCCGAGATGCGTATCAAGATGTATAGGCATGTAGGTTGTACCAAGTTGTACCTAGATGATGACGGCGAGTCGGCGCCCCAGAACCGCCGACCTCCGCCCCCCCCCCCCCCCCCCCAAAATGACGGCAGCTCCTACTGTACATAGCAAGCGAGTATCATCACTACCTACCAACAGCGCTGACCAGCACTGACCAGCACCGACCTGCTTTGACCGGCGCCCTCTCTCATCCCGTCCCCCTCGCCGCCATCACCAAGGCCCATCCACCGACCATCCATGATTGACGCATGCTCTCCTGTGTTTGGCCCCCTTGTCTCCTTGTCCCCTTGACCGTCAGGCTCGTAGGGTCTCCTGTATGGGGTCTTTCTCCGCTCTCTGTGGCCAACTGCATGTACCCGTTGCACTTGGAGGTATCTTTGCTTCCTGCTCTATCGGGCGCCTGATACTTGACGACGTGTCATGATTTGTCTCTATGCCACCAGATCTTTTTCCCTCTCGGGCACCGAAACATCAACCGTATCAGCCGCACCATGCTTGGTACCTCTTCATTCTCTGTTTGGGGAGGCGGGCGACCGCCGCCTACTTCACCATCCAAAAAAGCAGACTCCCCTTGGCAAGCCACATTCGTAACCTAGACGCCTTGAGCCACCAAGTTTGCGGGGCTGGTCGTGCCTCGTATGGGGGCCTCCAAGGCGAACTCGTCAAGCTGAACACCAGCAGCAAGGTGCCGACATGCTTCATGCATGGTGCCCGAGAACCGAATAAATAGGCCCTAGAGCTGACTCTGTTTATTTTTGCAACACTTTCAACCTCTCTATCTACCTTGTGTCGAAGCAAAAGAGTAGGCCATTGACCTGATCACAGCCCAGAATTCGGAATCTGCTCCTCAGGCCCTACTATATCCTCGTATTCCTCCGCTGTTCTACAACTATACAAACCACGGAACTCTGCTCAAACTTCCTCTTACTTTGTTCCCTGCTGAAGTGCAACCCTCGCCCTTAACAAGCAGCTTTCCAGTCCGTTCGCTTGAAATACACGCCCACGTTCGCACAGATCTCTTCTATTCAAGATGTCAGCCTCGGCACCAGCACCCCCAACCATAGTGATCAACACCCCCGGATCACCAACCTCTACCGTCTCTGCCCCCAGAACCGAGCCCTCAAAAGAGCGACCTCAGAAACCGGCGCTCGTAAAGCAATGCTACCTTTGCGATGAGCAAAACCCGGGCGACTTCTCTCCAACCACCAAATACCTCGAGACCTGCTTGCTCTGCTCCCGGCATTTTTGCCCCATCCACAAGTCCGTCAGTTGGGACCAAGTCTGCAACATCAATCATGCCGAGTACTACCGGGGGTGCCTGGAGCGGGCGAGGCAAGAGTTGATTACTCAGGGCAGAACAACGGAAGCAAACAGGCGATCGCTTGCGGAGATGTTGATCAATGAGGGTATCTACCCGAGTTTGGGCGAGCGGGAGAAGGCCATCTTCACAACGAGCCCTGTCAGTGAGAGTGAGTGAACCAGAATCGGGCCCCTATGGATCGAGGGGAGAAAACCTGTGCTAATGGGAGGGTGTATAGCTAAAATGCAGGAACTTGCCAACTACCGCTCCCTCGACGCCGCGTTGGCCGGAACGAGCACGCAGCCCAAGAGCCAGCTGATTGAAGAGAAGGACTTTGTCGGGGCGGACATTGCTGTGTGACGAAGTCTTGCGAGACAAAAAGTGGCACCCTGCCCTCCACTCTGCTCGTATCGACAGAGAAGGCTATGACTGGCGTCCTCGATACTATGTACCAGCTGTGGTGGACTCTGAAAGCCGACTCCTGTTTTGGTTCTCCTTTGCGATGTCTGACTATCGATGCCTTTGCTTGATGAGCGCGCCGGTGACGAGCATTACACACGGTACCATGTTCAGAAGAGCCTACCCGTGGCGAACGAAGGCTCGCACAAGAGCCCGGAAAACCAATATGAGAAAATATGAAACATGGTTGAAGTCTGGAGAATTGTTCTAGTCCAGTATCACCACTTCAGTCTCGTGAATTGGCTGCCGGTGGCTGCAAAGACCCTCATATCCGTGGAATACTCCTCCCGAACACCAGTCGCTCCACCTAAGCCGATCAGTATGTGTACGGATCCATCGCGGATTGCCTAATCCAACATTGCATTGCATTGCCATTGCAGAGAAGACCCACTGCAAACCATGCCTGTTCCCCCACCGTAACGCGGACAGGTCCATAGTGTGCCAAACCGTAACCTGGAACGCTCAATTGGATAGATCAAAGCAACCTGAGCAGTGTGATCACCATAGGCTTCGAAGCCAGTTCCGTGTCCCAAAGCGCCGCGCCCTCTAAAGATATGCATGAGAAGGGGAAAAAAAAAAACCAACACTTGATTTTCCGCGTAGTCCATCCCGTTCGTCAATCGGATGCGTGTCTTTTCTTTCCGATACTCCTTTCGCACTGCCATTCCATTCCGTTCCGGTGAATTCGATTGTTTTCCCATTCTCAAGCACAAACAATGCCCTCGAGAGCCCTCATGGCCCTCTCTCCCTCGCGTTCAAAAACGCCCACCACGCGTTCCGCCTCGGCTCTCAACCCTTCCTCCGTCTGCTTAGCGATGTATTCAATCCATTCCTGCACCGTCATGGCCTTTTCATTCGTGGAGAGCTGCGAGGAACCCGTCATCAGGCTGAGGAGTATTCCTGCATCCTCCGCCTTCTGGGGAGATGGGGGAGTGAAAATCAATTCTATGTCGGCGGGCGACCATTTCGGCATTTCTGCAGCGCCCGCGTTGGGGGATGAAGCGAGTTGAGTTTGACGGGTAGGAGAGAATGAGCTAGGAGGAGGCACGGGGGGACGTTCGGACGCAGGACGCGTAGAGGGCGGGGCATTTTCAATGTCTGAGGTTGAGAGGGAGGGAGAAGGGGAAGAGTTATTGTTGGCTTTTTGGGTTGGTGTTGCAGAACGAGCGGATTTGATTCTGCCGGTGATGGGCTTCGGCGTTGTTGTTCTTACGGCGGATGTGGATGGCCGTGTCCTCACAGGCGTAGGTGATGCTTGAGGGGGTGGGCCGAGAGGACTCAGATGACGAGGCTCATTGGATATCCGTGGGGGAGTGTTGTTTTCGTCTAATGATGGATATGCGACCTCTGCGGGAGGAGTGGGCGCTGGACTCGGAAGATGTTGTTGTTCGTGAGACTGAACTGCTGGCTCGATATCCACACCATCAACCTGGGTTGAAACTTGCTCGGGCTCAACTTCTGCTGGAATCTCTGCTTCATTTATCGGCTCGGGTTCTGACTGAGGCTCTTCCTTCTTTGGTTTTGTCGACTTGGTGGTCTTCGCTCTTTTCGACTTTGTCGCTTTCGGTCGGGGCCCAGCAGCCTTTCGCTTGCTTCTGGTTGTGGCAGTAGATGCTGTTGACATAACCGACATCGCCGACATAGTACTCGTATCTATCGACTCATCAAGATCTGGTATTAGATCGTTAACAGCACTGGGAGCTTCTGACAGCACGGTCAAATCCTGCGTGTTCGACTGTGTCGATAAACGGGTCGAGGCCTTTGAAGAACGCGACGCTCTTGATGTGCGACCTTTCTTGGCTTTGGGGCGCTTGGCTGGCGCGGTGGTCCCTGCAAAATGGAAAAATGGACAGCTTGGGGATCGCCGATGATGCTCTTCGAAAGGGTCGTCTTTTGGCTCCCAGCCATCAAGAGAGAGTTTGCAAAACGCGCAGGACACATAATCTTCGCTGTCCGGTAGAGGCGCATAATGCCAGCCGGCTTCCACCATTTTCTCAATCTTACATCGCCAACCTCTTTTTGACTCGTGCGGCCATCCGACGGCGAAGGTGGCTCGGCGAGCGTCTGCAAACAGCTGTCCCGTGGGATCTTCCATTGTGCCGACGTCGTGTTTGGCATCTTGTCCCGCGCTCATCAATATCGCCCAGCCACAGTCGCTTGAATGTTTATAATGCTCTCCAATTGGATCATCGTCTGGCTCCCATCCGTCCAGCTGTCTTTCGCAAAGGTAGCAGATGGTGTTATCATTGCTGGCGCTGGAGGGTTTGTAGTAGAAGCCCGCTCGCGCGAGTTCTTCCGGCGTTGGTGTCTTATGCGGCCATCCGAGCTTTGATCGTTTTGATGGCGGTTCAAAGGTCGCAAGACGCGACTCGAGAGTTGCATATTCCATTATGCCTATCGGGTGAGGTTGTAGGGTGTTGCAAGATAGTGACGGGACCGTTGATTGAAGTCGAATGTTGCCAGTGTTTGTTGATTCTGCCGAATTTGGCCGCGTGGAGCTTGGCGCATGACGTGCCATGTTCGCCTGACCTTCCTGCTCGGTCGCGTCATATTGCTTCGGGCCCAGATCCAATAGACCCCCATCTCTCTTCTCCCTGCACATGCGTCAGCCCACAGGAGGCAGACATTGACTTGACTTGTAAAGCGGTGGTATAGCGCTCAGGAGACCCAAGCAATGGTTGCATCGTTGAAACACAAGCACCCGACTTTTCAAAGATGACCTTACGGGCCGTCCCCAGCATCCTGGGCAAGAGGGGATTTCAAGAACTCTGCGGCAACCCCAGAAGACTCGCTGTCCTCGCCGCAGCTCAGCGGTTCCCTCTCAATATCTGCATCAGGCGATATGCCACTGTCGAGGAAAACCGAGGGCATGACAGTGCTCCACCTCCAGGATTCGACGCCTCCAAGGCGAAGCAGCGCCCCAGTTCGTCTCCATCAAGCCAGCAGTCCTCCTCCAGCATCTCCGGTCCTTCCGAGCAGAATCCCTCGAGCCATGGCTCCTCCAAACCTCCGTCCTCTACGTCGACCCCGACCGATTGGGAAGAAAATCCTGACCTCAGTATCTCAAAGTTCTCCGAGCTACCCGGCAAGGATTTCGGGGTTAATCAACACATCATCATCAATGAAGAGTTTAAGGAGGCATTGAGACAAATCCTGTGGAAATTTCGGGCGCCTATCCGCTATGCCTTTGCATATGGCTCGGGCGTCTTCCCGCAGAGCGCGAGCAAAGGCGGAGGGTCCAAAACCCTGCACCCAAACCCCCCGGAGGCTATCGCCAAAATTCAGGACGGAAACCAGAAAATGATTGATTTTATATTTGGGGTCTCCTATAGTCAGCATTGGCACTCTTTGAATCTCCAAGAACACCGAGACCACTACTCTTGGCTGGGTTCTCTGGGATCTTACGCTGTCTCCAAAGTGCAAGATTCATTTGGGGCAGGTGTATACTTCAACCCCTACGTTACCGTCAATGGAACTCTGATCAAATATGGAGTGGTCAACTTGGATACTCTATGCAGAGATCTGTCCGAATGGGACACGCTATATCTTGCTGGCCGCCTCCAGAAGCCTGTGAAAATCTTACGGGACAATCCGGCGGTGCGCCTTGCAAACCAGGTCAACCTGATCGCTGCAGTCCGCACAGCATTGCTTCTCCTCCCGCCTGAATTCACCGAGAAAGAACTGTACTCGACCATTGCGGGGATCTCATACATGGGCGATCCACGGATGAGCATTGGTGGAGACGACCCTCGAAAGGTCGAGAACATTGTCAAACACCAGTTACCCAATTTCCGCCGTCTGTACGCACCACTGATTGACAACCTTCCCAACATCTCCTTCAATGATCCGGCCTGCTCAAATCGAGACTGGTTGGACGACCCAACTGTCAATTCTAAACTTTCTCAAAACATGGACCCCGTTACTCGGGGCCACATGGTTCGCCGCCTTCCCAACGCCTTCCGGCAGAAACTTTACTTTGAGTATCAGTCCAAGTTCAAAATCCCACGAGGCGAGTTCAACAAGATGCTGGAGAAGACCAAGGACGAGGATCCAGATCGCATTCGTAGGCGAGAAGGTGGACCTTTTGAGCAAAGAATCGCCCAAGATTCCGAAGGCGGTGGACTGAGGGAAGAAGTGAAACAGGTGATCGAGCATACGATCCGGTGGCCAAGCTTTGTGCAAAGTCTGAAAGGAGCAGTAACGGCAGGGTGGTCGAGGAGTATCCGATACGCGAGAGAAAAGAGAGAGAAGGGAAAGAAGGGTGCACAGGCGCTGGGAGGAGAAGGAAAGGAAAGGAAAACTGACTAGCACAAAGCCAATGGGGAGAACGAGGGATTTTCTTGTGTGTGTTGATATAAATTGGAAATGATCGGACGCGTGAGCAGCTACTTTCCTGCACCGTCTAGAATTACTATAAGTACAAGAGCATTGGGCGATGTCCGACACCAACGAAAGATGTTTGTTACCTCGACCGCCTCTCCACCGCATTCCTTGGTCTAGTCCTCACAATCATACACTTCTCCTGCTACATACTACATACATACATCCCTTGGATGGATCTCTTTGATCCAACCTCCACGGCCATCATCTTCAGCCCGTCCTTTTTACAGACTCGCCTTCTGACCGGCCGCACCTCGCGCAGACTCTTGCTCTTGCGCTGGCCCATAGCCGTCAACGATCCTCCACCCGGCCTTCCAGAGCACGTAGGCCGGGATGCCCACGCTCCACGCCCAGACCGCGGAGCGCAGGTAGCTGGCCCGCTCACTGCGCACCGTCATGTACAGCACGCTGTAGAGCGTGCGGGCGACGAGGTACTCCGCCGCGCAGGTGTTGAGGTCGCGGGCGTCGAGCTTGGCGTGTGTGCCTGCGAGCTGTGCCACCCCTGACGTTAGTTTTTTCTTTTCTTTTTGTTTTTGCGGTCGTGTGTGTGTGTGTGTTCGCTGAGCGGTTAAGGCAAGCAAGGACGCAAGTGGAGAGAAAAGAATGGTGGATGAAGGGAGGACAAAGAAAGAAGGGAGGGAAGGGTAGATGCACCTGTGTGTGAGTTGGAAGGGCTGAGGCAAGAGGTATAAAGACTGTGAGAGCTAGTGGCAACATACCATTGCAGCCGCGAACAGCGGGAACCCCTCCAATGCATTCAAATGGCACCCTCTCGCACGCCAGAGCATGTCGGCCGTGGCCTTTGGCAACGTCGGCGCCAACGTCGCCAGCTGGGCCCGCGGCACCAGGTTCGAGTACGCGTACCCGGACGCCGTCATCAGTTTGGAAAAGAGGTACGCGTGCGGCGGGACCGAGAGCATCCACGCGGCGGGTATCGAGTGCAGAGCGAAGGCGTACGAAGAGAAGTATGGTGTGGTCGTGGTCGTGATCGTAGGCTGGGAGACAGCAACCGTAGCACCATCGTAGCTAGCAGACGTAGTTTGCCTTGTGAAAGCCATTGTGTTTTTTTTTTTTTCCGTTCAGTCACCTGGAGTGAGTCCCAATGTTGATTCACAGTATGCACCTGATTGATAAGAGGAACCAAGAAGCGACACACGATGAGAAGGGCGAATTTGGAAAAGCAAATGTGGATGGATGAATGGTGTTGGTGTTCTTCTATCCTTGCGGGAGAGCGAGAAATATCTCATTCTTCTCTCGCTCTCTTCCCCTTGTATATAATCTCCCAGATGCCATTGCAGAGCAGGTAGATACGTAATGTGTCTGTGGACACCCACGATGTTGCCTCCTTGCGTCGCGTTGCGTTATGCTCCATCACCTGGAGCATAACGTACATCTGTCAGCTCGCGCCGCATTCTGCGTAGGGCCTCTTTGCGGTTTTTCACTTTTTTTTTCCCTTTTTGTCCCTTTCGAGCGATGATTAGTATGTATACACCAATTGGAGAGCACCAATAACGAAGGAGAGAAAACTGAGTGTGTTCAGTAGAGCGTTCATCAGTCTCGGAGTGTGTACTCGGTACGTAGAGTCGAGAAGACTGTATAGAGAGGAAAAAAGTAGCCGTGTCTGACACATGAGAGACACCAGAAAAGTGGAGGGATATTTCGTCAGACAGACACATATTTGGAGCAGTGTCCTTTACGCGAAGGTGATCCGGTGGATCAACGAGGGACTTATTCAGCACAGACAAGAGAGTACCTCGTCCTCCGGATGCAGATTAAAGATCAACCCCTTCCATCATGCGGGGGTCGCCGAAAATCGATATATCGTGGTATCATCGCAGAAAACCATCTAGAGAAACCAACTTTCCATCCACATACTCCCAAAAGACAATATTGGTGGCGTTCAACTCGAGCGTCTGTGCTTGATGGGCATCATCTCTTTCTCGCGCTCTCTTCTCACAGCCCATGCCCGCCTTTCTCATTCTTTCCCTTCCTCTCTCCGCGGTTGAGCACTTCCTTGCTCGTCAGATTGCCCACACCTTCGAGCAAGCCACCTTTGCCAAGTTGGCCGCCGACGCCTTGGTTGACGTCGTCCTGGATGGCATCCACGTTCTCGTCGCCGGCGATTTTGGTTTTGTTAAGGTTATCTACATCGCAACTGGTTAGCAGATACTCACATCCAAACACGTAATGAGAAGGGGTCATTGACTAGGAACGGTCACGACTGAGGTGAGGCTTTCTGTGGTCTTGTACCTTTGGCGACGTAGCTGGTCTTGTTCTCGCCGAACCAGCCGAGAACCTTGTCTTCGACCCACGGCACCCATGCCTCGTACTGCTTGTTGTACCAGTTCTTTGCGCCTTCCATGTCGTACAGTGTTCAACGACAAGATTTGCAGGATTGGTCTGGGTGGTGGATAATTGTTCGCTGGTAAACGAAAATGGTAGACTTGACGATCGAGTGCGAAAGATCAACTAAATCATATGAAATTCCAAGGAAACAAGTGGTGTCTGCAACGAGGGCGATCACGCATATAGAGGCGGCCAGGAGGACTTGGAGTGTATGATGCCATCAGGTGCGAAAGAGAGGCATGCGGCACGACAGGCAGCCTGGCTCTGGCTGGCACGTCACCTTGATTTCCAGACGTTTGTGGTTTGCACATTCGACCCATGCAGAGTAGAATGAACCGGTTGGACGAATCAACTCTTGCAAAACGAGGGATGAAAAGAAGACAAGAAGGGAAGACGAGAAGAAGGGGGGGAGTGGGAAGAGACTTGGATGGTGCAGGCTTGAGGCTATGACGTAGATGGGGCGAGGGTCACCCTTGTAGTACCAACAGGGGTCTGCGGATCGAGACTCAGCCTGAGAAAGAAGCTGGTGAAAGGTGAATGGATCAGTCATTGAATGTCAGAATAGATACGGAAGAGAACTTGTCTTCTATTAGAAACATTAAGAAAGGCTGTCCGCTTGACAGATTCCCGAATGCCAAAGTCCCCCAAAAGAGGTGTGCGTTATCACACCCACCATGACTGGCTTAACAAGTTCTGTGAATCCCAGTCGACGAGCCCGAAGTCGAACAATTGCGTAGTAGTACACGACGAAAAGACCCAACCCGCCACCCAAGGCCTGAGCCAACATGGTCGTGAATGACGATAAGAATACCAAGAAATATGCCTCCCGAGTGCCTGGAGAAACAATTGGAGCTCCAGAATATATATGTTGGACCCCTTCACCGGCCATGACCCGGCCAATTGCCCTCAGAGCGGCCGGTGTCGTAGCCGTTGGCGAGGCCGATCGGGATAGTGCCTTGGGGGTTGTTCTCGTATGTTCCTGGGTGACATCCTTGACCATTCTGGAACGAGTTGCGGTTACTGTGTTCATCCATATCTCTTCGCATGGAGGTAGGGCGGGAGACAGGACTGGAGACGGGGTTGGGGATGGGGTTGGAGCAAGCACTGCACCGCATGACTGGCTGAGGATCGAAGCCGGTCATGAAAACTTCTCCCCCACAATCCAGGACAAAAATGATGGCTTCGGTGACGGCTTGCTTCTCTTGTGCAGATGGATTGTGTACATCAACGGGGCCGTTGTGAGCGCCGCAGGTGTAGCCATAGCTCATTGGCCGTGGTTCAATACCGCCTTGTTGAGTTATGGTTCTGAATACCTCCGGCCCCAGCGTCACCGAGATCCCATGTTTGCGAAGCAACACACAATGCTCATATATGGCCAGGTAAGGCACCGCTGTTAGGCTCCTAACCAGTGGCGGACGTTCTGCTGGTGGCAGCGAATCCAAATTGTGACGGGGTGGCTCCGCTCTTCGCTGGAGTCGAGGGTCGACTGATGGCAAGTCATCATCCTCGAGTCGCTGAAGCCCTTTGGAGAGTTTGTGTCCCTCATGCCGGTAGCCTGAGATGCGCGTCACAGAGGAATACCCGGCGTCGCTTTGTGACCTGATGTCATCGTCGTCACGGTGCTTCCTGCTACTAGGACGGGGCTCGCCATGTTTGGGCCCAGGCCGAGCGGCGATTTTCTTAGTAGTGTTCTTGCTAGACATCTTGGCTCGATCAGCAACTAGTCAACTTTACCGTCTGCCTCTTTGGGGAGAGACGAGGACTGAGCGAGTAGTGGTTACAGAGGAAGAGCGAGCCTGAGGGAGGCCGCTGCATGTTATAGACCGGTTGCAGGAAAGGGTGACAAGGCAACTGGCGAGGCTGAGCGACACAATTCCGCAGTGCTTTTGCTGCACGTTGCCCCGCGAAGATTGAAGCTGCGTGTCAGAAAATGCTTTGCAATGTTGCCTTTTCTGACAGGGGGCCTGCTGTCCGGTTAGTGAGGCTGCGAAATATCAAACCAATCGAGCCCGGTCGTCAGAGACAAGCGGCATAGGCTTGGAGAGGAAGGTGGCTTAATCATCGTCACGCGCCATTGGTACAAGTAGCCCTAGGCACAAAAGACATTGCAGGGAATTTTCGTGGGTTACACAGGCGTAAAAGGAGGGTGTAGGAGAACCTCACTTTGCGGGTTCGGGACAGGGAATCTGGGCGCGGTGGCTTGGACTGAAGCCTCATCTTTTGGAAAGGCTTTCTTCGTATTCAGCCGGAGCGGCGCCCGAATAACTAGGTTGTTGTCTTGTACCACTGCAGGGAATTGGGCAAGCAGAGCTGCCGCAGGTGTCGACTTGGGGGGACTAAAGGATCTTGTATTCGGCACATTCAAAACATTGCAAAGTCACATCGCCAGGCAGATTTCAACATAATCACGTGAGATGAATTCACGTGGCTGTCGGATGTCAAGTCACGTGGTACGATCCGCGGCATTTCCCCCGAGAGACGCCGCCGGCATTTGCCTTTGTTCAGGTTTTCCGTTCATTCTCTCCACAATCCCAACAGCCGAGAACACAGAAGATCCTCCTCCACCTTTGCATCTCCACCTTGTTGCCCTTTTGGCATCGGTCTCTGCGCCGATATATACCGGGTGGCCATTGGCATTTAACCGTAGGGATGGATGAGAGGAAGAAATGTATCGGCAAGTATTTATTTGACGACAATCTTGATTACCTTTGCGTACTCAGACAACCGCTCCCTTCATTGACGTCCGTTTCGAACTTTACGATTGCTGCCTCGTTGATGATACCCCCATAACGTCGTCTGTGTTGGCTATCTCTTGTAATCCCATTCACAGGTGTAACTACCATCTAACTAGCGTCTTTCTGCCCCGTCCCGATCCGGAAACCGAAAGCTGTTCTTCTAGAATCATCAGACACCCATTGAACAGCAATGGCGGTCATGTCAACGGCGAACCAGTTCCCTCAAGTAGGGTTCATCGGCCTTGGAGCGATGGGCTTCGCCATGTCAACACACCTGGTCCGGACGGGATTCCCAGTCACAGGCTTTGACATCTATGGGCCAACGCTGGACCGCTGGCGGTCGACATGCGACGAGATCCCCGAGTCTCGTGCCAAAACGGCCAACTCACCTGCAGAAGCGGTCAAAAACGCTTCGGTCGTGTGTCTGATGGTTGCGAACCACCATCACGTCCACTCTGCCCTGTTTGACGAGAATGGAGCGGTCCACGCCCTCCCCAAGGATTGCACAGTCATCATCCACGCGACGATCCCACCCACACAGCCGTCGACCGTGCGTGACCGGTTGACTAGGGAATTTAACCGTCCCGACGTCCGATTGATCGACGCACCTGTGTCCGGTGGCGTGGCCAGATCAATCAACGGCACGTTAACGATCATGGTATCCTCGGACGACATGAAGAACCTCCAGGAACCTAATGCGAAGACGGTGCTCGAGAACGTCGCCAGCAAGGGCAAGACGCTCTTCCCCATCCCGGGCGGGCTAGGTGCGGGGCAATCAGCAAAAGCATTAAACCAGGTCCAGTGCGGGATCCATATCCCGTCGGCCTCGGAGATCATGGGGCTTGCGGCCATCAACAGCGTCGACACCCAAAAGTTCTACGACGTGCTGACCACCAAGGACGCCTCGACGGGGAAGACGCCCCTGGGGTGGAGCTGGATGTTCGAGAATCGAGGCCCGCGAATGCTGAGCGCGTCGCCGCCAATGGCGTCCGCAACGGCCATTATCAACAAGGACGTGGGCATCATCCGCGATGAGGAGGTACGCCTGGGCGTCGAGCTGCCGCTGCTCAACGCGGCCAGCGACGCCATCACGCAGGTGATGAAGACGCATGCCAGCGCCGACGACAGCTGCATCGTGCAGTACTACCTGGGCTTCAACTCGGAGCGAGCAGACCTCGTGGTGCAGCGAGCAGACCTCGTGGTGCAGCGAGCAGGGAACCCCGAACCCTCGGCAAGCAAGCAGGAGGAGGACGGGATGATCGGGGCGCTGGCCACCGCCCACGCCGTCATCCACCTGGTGTCGGCGTACGAGACGGCGCAGTTCGCGCGCGCCCTGGACCTAATGCGCCCGGAGCAGAAGAAGCAGTGGTTCAACATTATCTCGGGCGCCGCGGGCGGCAGCTCCGTCTTCTCCGAGGTGATCCCGCGCGCGTTTGACGACGCCGACGGCATCGAGGCCGCCTTCCGGAAGTATGCGCGCGACAAGTTTGGGTCAGCCGACGTAGTGGCCAAGGTCACCGACATCGTCGACGGCGCCAAGAGGCAGGCCTACGTGCCCAAGCTGCTCGAGGCCGCGCTGGCGAATCTAAAGACTTTGCTTGCCTGAATTGCGGATTGCAGATGGCTCAGCAGCTTTGTCGGCCCAAACAAACAAACACACAAACTCTCTCGTGTCCACATTGAGCTAGAGAGGAGGAAAGAGAGGAAGATAATACCATCCCATACCACACTGCATTCCTAGGGCGTCTGTATCTGTCTTTCTTCGCTTTTCAGGGTATCTATCATACGAGGGCCATGAGTCGTACTGATTGACGTGCTGACAGGCAGGCGGACATTGCGTACATATTTATTTTATTCTATATGCGTATATATGCTCGAGCGGGTCTCCTTTATGGTGTTATATTGCAGCCCAATTAAGATACACTCTGTACGTCGATGGTGGCATTGCTTCAAGTCTCTGTCGCCGATAGTGTGTGATGATATGTGACATGTGATACCTTCATTTGCTTTTCTCCTCCTATCGCTCTCCTCCTCCATCTTACCCGTCGTTCTTTTTGTTCTTCTCTCTCCGGTGGGGTTTTTGATTCCAGTTGCCATAATGATGTCCATTAGAGAGACCTGACACTGACAATGTCTGTTGGTGCGGTTTCTGTTACACCTGCCATCAGAGAAGCTGGCCCACAGATATATTCTCTAGCTGTTGGCACAAAGGGGGTCCCTTACTTACAAATTGGACAGACTGGGTTACCGATCATATAGACGGCCTCAGGCCAATTCGGCCCGTCGAATCCACACTGGTGCAGTTATTGCTTGCTCGAGCGGGGCTTTGAAGACAGGGTCTCCATCTCTGCCGCTGGCTTTGCAGCCTTTCCGTACCAGGACCGGGAATCCTAGCTTGAGGAAGTAGTTGTCCAGCTCTCTTTAGTGACGCAGGTTTTCTCGCGTTAGACGACATTAGTCCCTGAAGACGTTAGCTATAATCAAGTTTTTCTGTGTTAACCGGAGCCAAGCGAAACTCAAGCTAAGCTGCCATGGAGGGACGAGCACGAAAGAGGCTGGACTGGAGGATCGAAGTTGGGGACGAAAGACGAGCTGGAATGTGCGGCTGAAGTACAACTAGGCCCCGCCAATCAGAGCCAGTTATAGCAAACAAATATGAGGCTGAGGCCGTGCGCGATGCAACTAACTGAACGTCGGCCAGGAGCTCCCAACTCTGAATCTTTCAACTCGTGTAGACAACCTGGCCACAGGGGTGCGTTGCAATGAGTATTTCTGTGGTGTAGACGGAACAAACTGCCTAGAGAGCAAATCCACCAGCACATGAGGAGCGGTCGGAATTCACAGCAAGAGGAAATCATGACATCCTCGATCCTGAAGCAAAGTTGTGTGTGTAAATTTCATCCCAACTGCAATTTCCGGCGACCTAATGCCTGTTGTCTTGATGAAGTGAAGGCTAGAGACTGGTGGAAAAGTGGCTGAGCCATTGTTGTCCCGCAACTGAAGAGACGCCCCTGCAATGTGTTACACGGAGATTGTTGAAGTCGGTTGTCGCCATTAGGCTATTGATTAACCAATCCTCGTGGGCAACTTAGATGGTGGTCAATCCTACGTGAACAAGGTACTCCGTGGATTGAGTCAAACCGATCCTCATCGCAACCACTGCGAGAGCATTGCAAGTAGCCATCTCTCAGTTAATGCAAGACAATGCTTGAAATTGTCCCGTCAGGTTGTCCCCATACAGTTAGAGGCGGTAGAGAGGCTGTGTCGTAGGAAGACATCGCAGGTCGCAGGCTGCGCAGGCCCAGATGCCCACTTAGCCATCGTGAGGCGGCTCCTCAACGTGATTGAAGTGGAGAGCGCATATTCATACATTGCAGCGTCGTGCAATGGTGCTGGGGAAGAAACGCCGAGGTAGGAGGGAGATGTCGACGAAGGGCGCATGAGCTTTTTGCTGATCGCAGTCTTGTGGAACGTCCTCGGGGATTCGAGCCCCAAGCGCCGTCAGACTTGAGGTGCGAGGGCGTTTTGGCGAGGCGCCCAGGATGCGCCAGCTTGACGGGCGTCGCAATCGTTGGAGCAATATTTCCATATCGAATGCAAGGGGTATCGGAGCGCCGTCTCTGGAGCAGGGAGCTCATAAAGGTGCCATGGGTTGGGGGGAAAATCCAAGTGAGGAAGACGGTTGCGCAGTCGCATACAGAGGAGATGGTTGCTGAGCTTGCTTACCGGAGGAATGGAAGAAGGAAAGAAGGAGGCGGAATGATGAGTGATCGCCAAAAGACTTACTCTGTCTGTCAGGACAGAGGATCCATCCTTCAGCCTCAAGTTGTTACTGTGGCTGGTGCTGAAGGTTGCTCTCGGCGGCTCGTCCACTGGCGCTGGTCGGGCCCAACAAAAGATTTGTTTTTCGGTCGGTTTTGTACAGCAATTCTCGCTCAAATAACCCTCAACTTTTTGGCTCGATCATTGGGTACGGGTGGAGTTGCTGCCCGTTTATTTTGCACACAAATCGCCAGAAAAGACTCCGCTCTCATCGCCCGATCACGTCAAGCAGCCCAACCGGATCATGCGTGGTATGACCCCTGAGAAAGACAGCCTGGTGGCCCGTGCACCAATCAAGTTCGCTCAACTGCCTCCCTCGTCGTGACCGCACAGGCAGCGCGTGATACAGACAGAGATGGTTGGCTCACAGCGGCCGATCCTCAGCTCCCTCAGCTAGCCACCAACGGCCCCCATCATGCGACCATGTGTGATTTCGAACAATAGATTCTGTGAGGGGGCACAGTTTCGCTTCCAGAAACCTGGTCCAGCTGCAAGCAGATCCGTCCAAGCTGGACGCGCGACATTATAGCTCGATCTCGCTATCAGAGATCTTCCATGACATATCCTGGAGGGTGGATCAGGGGCCCTGCAGCGGGAAAGGAGGGTTTCCTATTCGTCGGGGGAGCTGAGAGCCACGATTCGTCTGAAGTCAACGACAGTTAAGAGATCTTGCAGGCAACATTTTCTCTCCTTGAGGCACCTGGTATCATCATGGCTTGTCTAGTCTCCCGACGCCTCATGGGGCGATGATGATGTGTGAAATGCTTGGTAGCAAGGTCGTCCCACAACACAGTGCAACGCACCCTGACGTATATGCGGCCTTGACTAGGACGAGTGAGAGGCAGAGTAACTGGAGTGATTCGAGACTGACGAGTAATATTGGTGAATCCCCCAGACTGTAGCAGAGCTGACATGTTCGGTTGGAGGGTTTCCGCCCGTCAACGCAGCATCAGCATCAGCAGTAGCATTGAACAGTATCACGCTGCACGGAGACTTAATAGCAGGTCCGCGTAGCCAGTCTCGTTTCAACAGTCTTGAACTAATATGGTTGGCTCACCGCTATCCTACTCATTCTCGGACACGAAGTGGTATCTTCCTGCCTGCGGTCAGATATTGTATGCTGCATGGGGGGTGAGGAGTATTTTGGGAGAGACCCGCGGGTCAATTGCATTCGAGATCGAGACAGGATTTGGCCGACTAGGCAGACGATTTGTCAGTGGAAGTACGGATAGGAGCAAAAGCCTTTGAATGCAGTGACGAGCAGCGGTCTACCTATAATCGGCTGTGGCCCGGCAGTCTGACCTGGTCAAGATTGGCGAAGAGGAGTGGCGCTGGTGTGTGCTCCTTTGGGATGTCGATGGTCAGATCGTCAACCGACTGAGAGCTCTAGTGCGTGAATTAGAGAATCCTGCGTCAATCAGCCATAGCAGTGAGGTCCATGGCCTTGGATATGATGGGGTTCCTCCCGTCCTTGGTCGTCTGGGACAATTGATTCGCCATTGGCATTGGCCATGAGACAAGGGCACTCTCTCGCAGAGGACCTAGGTAGTCAGGGATTAACAGCAGCAATACCTAGGGTAAGCAGCCATGGCTTCGAAGGTCTAAAGAACGACATATCCATCATTGTCACTGAGAGGAGGGAAGAAGTGGTGGGCGGGCTAATTCAGCTGGTCAAAAAAGTGAAATGGATGAGGGGAGCAAAGTTTCAGCTCGGCGTCGCCGAGTGGCCGAGAGGTTCAACGAAGAAAATGCAGAAGACGGTGCCACTGCCAAATGACAGCAAAAGAGGAGGAGGAAGCGAGGTAGCGGCCGAGGTATGAAGACAGAAGGGATGTATTGTCGTGCTTGACATGTACAACAATCTGTCGGGGAGCAGGCTCACTGGCGGCTGAGTGGTGACTTTCAATGGGTACAACACCACCTGCCACAATATATTTCCTACATAATAATTGCGTAATATGATAATAGAAGCGAGCGAGGTGCTTGTTCCCGCTCCATACACAGCTACATCAATACTAAAGAAAGAGCTGAAGTACATCGAAGGAAGACGCAGCTGAGGCGAAAGTGAGCTGAAAGTGAAGAGTGCCTAGGTACCTAGGTAGCTGAGGTGTGCCAGGTTCGGACGGAGTTGCCCCCTCTTAAGTCCCTCCCCAGTACCAGTGGAAATTTGTCGACGCACACAGTGCACAACAATAATAACAGCAACACAGCTGTGCAAATTGGCATCTCGCCACCTGAAACGAGTCGCTAACCGGACTCCGAGGTTGCTAGCTGTTAGTTGCCATGGTGCCACTCCGCCAAAAGTACTAACCAGTTATCCGGTAAGTACCTACTGTACATACCCAGTACTTGTTACTACAGTATGTACCTACTTAGTACAAGTACTTACCCCTCTCCACCATCATGAAACATGCCCCGTCCGTGTTTCAGCCAGTGCCACACTGTAAACATTGCACAAAGCCCGACGCACTTGCACACAAACCACGGTTCATCTCGGTTTCATCGTCACTCACCTTGTTGCCGCAATGGGTAAAAGTATATATATGGACACCAAATCTCCCTCTAACAAGTATAACCTCTTCCTGGCATCCTGGCTCCCTGGTATCCTGCATGCAAATCAGCATCCTCGGTAAACGCAATCACATCACAGCAGCCGGCACCGACTAAGTGCTGATCCAATCCAACCAACTCCAAGTCTAGACACATCCGTCCCAAATTACCTGCCTGTTCTATTTCATGTCATCAAAATTCGTCAAAATACCGTGTTTCAGGTCGCCCGATCCGTCATGGCGCCGTCCGTGCATTGAACCAGGGCTGACCAGCCTTTCCCATGTGGCTGATCACCGAAATCTCATGTGGAGCCTCAGTTACAGACCACCAAATGCAATCGCACCAGTGACATACATACTCGCTCGAGCTTCAGCCTTGAAACTCCCTGCTCGCAATCAATCATAATCATATCGTCACTGCCCCAACTTCCGGCAGGATGCGCCATTTCTTCGAAACACATTCCGTTTCCCCCATGTCGCCTACTCTCGCTTATGCCATGCCCATCATTCTTTGTCGTGCCCCATTCCTCCCCCCCTCCCCTTCCAAAAATCACCACTGTCAAATCGCCGAAGAGACCTTCTTAGGCATTCCTCTCCACTCGACCTCGCCCGCTTTGGCCGCACATTCCCACATTAGGTCTCGCCAAATCGACCCCAAGTCCCCACCAAATCTGTGCTCATGGCCGGCCAGCGCCTCAAGCTCCTTAAGCGACATTAAACGGCTAGCTAGGTCGTCGTTGGCCCAAGAGCCAGCTCAAAACGTTGGAGATGAAGGATCTCAGGAAGCATGACATGGCATTCGTAGCATGGTGTGATCCAAGCCGCGGTTGCCGAGGAGCTGCTGCTGCCGCTGTGGTGGTGGTGGTGGTGGTGGTGGTGGTGGTGGTGGTGGTGGTCTGATCGATACCTACGTTAGGCATACTGGCACATCCTGGTGGGTCAATCCATCTCTTCGCCAGCGTAGCCCCAAAAAGATGTGGCCGTCGAAGGTGGAAAGGCGGAAGGTGCAAAGTAGAAGGTGGCAGGTAGAAGGTAAATTCTCAAACTGGCATTTTAATACTGCCTCTGCCAACCGAGACCCAGGATTCGGCGCACGCGCACACACGCACAGTCATACCGAGAAATCGGCGGCTTGGCTGTGTGTGCCCATTCATAGTCGTCGACCCGTCAAAAAGATTCACTACCTCCAGTTGGAATGCCATGTCAATATGCTGTCCCCGAGTCGGTCGCTTCACCCTCCGAGTCTGCCAAGTGCCTCGTATTATTACCGCGTTTCAGATTTGTCCCCCTCGTACCGAACAGGATTACTGTCTTCACTTGAGCCACTGGTGGAGGAGCCAGTCAATTTCCTTCTTGGGCTGGGCCCCGCTCCGCCACTGAGCTCATCCCTGCGCTGTTGACGACTGCTCGGTCTAGCAATGTTGCGACCGCTCACCTCCTGTTCGCGAGATGATGCATCACTGTTCTGGCGTGAATGCCGAGTAGCTCTGTTTCGATGACCCGGGCTCATTTCTCGTTCTCTAGACGACCGGGACGACATGGGCTGTGACGGATCCGACGGTTGAGACGTAGGGGGCACAGGCACTGCATGCCCGCTCGCCGTCTTCCGTTTCTTCGGCGAGTTTTGGTATTCCGACCGTAGATGTGATCCTGCGTGCTGTGAGAAGGGCGAGCCATGCGTGCTTTTGCCCGAGGGCGTCGGGGGCTGGTTGCCTGCTGAGGAAGACGATGGGTTTGGCGGAGTCCAGTGATGGAAAAATAGTCCCGGGCCAGATGGTTGCTCAGCCGCCGGAGTCTGCGCTTGTTGCGGCGGGTGGTGCAGTGGTTGTCGGCTCGTCTGGCTTGCGAGGGAACTGGGGATAAAATCAGCGGTGTTGAGTCGTGAAAGCGCGCTCGGAGTAGCTGGTGTTGGGCCAGATATAGAACTGCGGCCCTGGCTCGGCTGTGCGGTTGGAAGGGCTTGCGCAAGTGGCGGTGGTGCTTGTAAAGGTTGATGTCCTGCGTAAGGATTCGATTGAATCATTCTATCTCGGTGCATGTCCGGTGACATCTGCTGCTGCTGCTGCTGCTGCTGCTGCTGCTGCTGCTGCTGTTGTTGTTGCTGTAGTTGTTGCTGCTGAAGTTGCTGCTGCTGGGCTTGGATCTGTTGCTGTTGTTGCTGGTTCTGGATCGTCAAGCTTGCTAGATACTGTTGCGCCCACTCCAAGGTATGAGCCGGAAGGTTCCCTCCGCCAATGCCCGCAAAGATCAGAGGGACCATAGGAGGAGGAATTCCTCCCTGAAGAGATTCCCGCAACATATCCTGCTCGATGCGTCTTTGGTCGAGTCGCAGACCTTCCTGCCGGGTCTTCTCCTCCTCTTGCTTCCGGCGATCTTCCTCAGCCTTTGCATGGAGCCAACTTCGCATCGACTCATCCTGGCCAGCCCATTGAGAGGGCGGAGCCGGGAGGTGGCCGAGTGGAGGAACAGTAGAATGCCCTCGCTCTGGAGGGGGAAGACTGAGACTACCAGGGAGACCAGCAGGTAACGGTGGTAACCCTCGGTGAGAGTTGTTCATCCTCGAGTCCTCTGAGAATGGAGGTAAGTTGCGAGGGGACGGGGGAGGGGAATATCGTGAAGGTGTCGGCTTAGGATAGATTGGATAGTCATGGGGGGGTTTTACGTCGTTCTGCTGCATATGGTTAGGAGGGACCACTGATAATAACATGGAGGCGGTTGTCGAGTGGTCTGTTCGAGCAACAGAATGGTATGCTGTCGGTCGGACATGCAGGACCAGAACTGACTGCAAGTGCTCGTGCTTTGTGTCCGATCCAGGCCTGGGTGGTTCAAACTGGTATATCGCTCAGAGAATATAGTTGTTGACCGAGGAAACCGTGAATGACGTGCAGCCACAAAATCACAGATTGGCGGTAGTGGCACTTTCTTGATCAGAGACCGTCCAAATTGTGCACAGTGAGGAAGACCACGTAGATATGGAGTGGAAACGGTGTGGATGGACCCGGCGTTCTACCAGGGTGTGTTGAAATTGGGGCTTTTCGCCAGCACCCCAGACTGACATGAGCCCTGTCGGCTGAAGACACTTGGTTTGCGAGGACGGCCACGAATGCCAGAAGCCAGACTAGACTTTGGGTGATGGACAAGAGGTTACGTCTCTGTTGGAGCAGAGAAAGAGTTTTGAACGGGATCTTTGCTCGGCAGACATAAGCAGGGACCAGACCAGACCAGACCAGACCAGAGGTAGAAGGTATACAACAGTGCAAAGGGTCCGGAATCAGAACAGGGACTGTACCTGAATCCCAAAAGTTGAACAACAAAGACCGAGTGGACCGGAGAAATAACGAAGCTTAAGCGATGTGAAGGGTAGGGTGAGGTCAATCCGAGGTGAGGGTCCGTTCGAAAGTGACAGGATAGGATTCTCTGATACACAAGAATGAAAAGAGACGGCCGTTTTGGGCTGGTGATAGGGCCGGATGGGAGCTTTTTGGGTGGGCTGGCGGCCGTGCGTGTTACGAAAGGCACAAAGCGGATGGAGACCCTCTGGGAGAGGGGGGGGGTGTTTTGGTGGAGGAGGAGGCTAGAGGAAAGGTCGAGGTGACGAACCGGGATGTGTCCTGGGAAGGATGAAGTGGCGTATCAGAGTGGAAGAGGCGGGACTGAAAGGGACGAATAGATTGTAGCAGCCAGGTATCGAAAGGTTAGGGAAATGAGGCGGACTCGAGCGAGATGGGGAGAGAGAGGGTGTAGGAGGAGAGGAGGAGGACAGACATTGGACGGCTCGTTGGATGGTATTCCTGCTCTTGCTGTTGAGGCCAGCTAACTAAACAATTTTAGTCGGTCTAGAAAGGGCCAGCTATGCTAGACATGCTTTACATTGAAAGAAAAGAAAACGGTGGCTCAGCAGGGAGTGGTTTGAGAGGAGCAGCGTCGTCAGTTTCCCAAAGCGACATTAGTAGCCACAGTCCGGGAGGGACAGACAAAGTTACAAGAATGGAGTCTTGCCGTGTTGGGTAAGGTAGACCGGTGAGCAGCAGCATGAGAAGCTGGAGCCCGGGAGCAGGAGCAGTAACAGGGAGCCGGGGAGCAGGGGAGCAGGGGAGCAGGGGAGCAGGGGAGCTACCCAGGAGGGTCAGCAGCAGGGTGCAAGGAGTAGGTAAGGTGCAAGGTGCAAGGCCCGGGATAGTACCCAGTATGGGCCCTCAAGGCTCTATCTGTCTGGGTATTAGTGACGTGAAAGGCGAGAAAAGACAGCGAGAACGAGTACAGGAAAAGAAGGAAAGACGCAGATGCAGACGCAGATGCACGCAGGGATCTGTTGCCGCTGTCTGTACCACCGCAGCGCAGCTTGTAGTAGTCCGTGTGCCAGAAGTCCGGATTCCAACAACGGGCCAGTGGTCACGCCTCGTATAGAGCTCGCCCTCTTTACGTAGCATCAAAGGCTACCAAGGCTTCCCACCAGCACAACTCTCGTTGAATGGGTACGTACTGCCGTATTTTATCAAGTCTCCAAATCATCCTCGTACATGCCGCAGCAGTCTCCTCCACCAACCATCTGTGGCCCACGCCGCCACAATTGTCATCCGCCACCCATTCTCTCTTCCCCTTCATCTCAGATCGGTCTCCATTCCGTTCTCAGATCGGACTCCTGCTTCGAGAAGCCTCTTTGCTTTTCCGTCGAAGTTGCTGTTTCGGCTCGCGGCAAGCCTGATTTCTACCTACAGTACAAGTACTCTCTCTAATCTTTAGCCACGGCCTGCTTACCGGAGTCGGACACCAAAAGAGAAGGAATAATGGCATTTAATCGACAGAACTCCGCTCACATACGCCGCAACCGTCCCTCGCAGACATGACTCTGTGCTGAATGACACCGACAACTGCTGATCGTCGTACAATTGCGTCTTTGCCTCGTGGCAATGCCACCCCCTTGCCGCCCCCCTGTCACGGCGGCGTCGATTGTCGGCTGTCGACACCGACTGTGCAGCAACGCTGAACCCTGTAGCAATGCGCTCCAGGAGCAACGAATAATAAGGAATTTCCAGATGAGGGCTTCTCGCAGTTGTGTGGGTTCTGGAGAGCCTAGGAATCCATCGGGGAAATCGCCTACGGTGTTAGGGCGGCTGTGGTAAAGACACCCATCACGCCCATCTTCATGCCCGCCATACCTTGCAAAGGGAGGATCTCCATCCCTAGAGAGTCCGGTGGGAGCTCAACAGGACCCCCCAACGGACCCCCAATGCAGGTGCCATGCTGCGTACTGTACCTAATTCTGCCCGTACGAAGGCTAGGTACGCGAGGGTCTTTTGGACGCCCGTCATGATCACCCAGGCACTTCTAGTCACACCTACTTACCTACCTACTTGGTAGGTCCTAAGTATTTGGTCCTACCTACTTAGCCGTTGGAGGAATGGGGGGGCTAGTGGGCTCCCCACCAGCCCACAAGAGCTGCCATCCCTGCGCCTGGGGGGGCCCAAGACCACGTTGCCGAGGCGCTGCCGCAGCCCACAAACGTGCTCGTCGCATGGCGTCCATGGACGAACATGACTCCCCTGGCAGCCACGCGCTCTTCCATGTCGATCATCACTTTGCCCACTTTGACGTCTTGGTCCCTGGTTTCGATATTCAAGTGGCTCTCCGAATTGTTCTTTCGGACTCACCTCATGAATAACAATATCTGCCATAACTGTCCCTTGAAGTATCTCAGGAGAGCACAGCACAACTCTGTCCCCATACAGTAGAGTGGTCACTTCGGGCCGTGACAAATGCATGCAACAACAATAATAATCAGCACTTGATTTGCTTGCTTGTGTCGCTAGTTGTGGAGATGGCTTTGCTGACTGGGGCCATCAGGCGAGTGATTCTATCACCCGTAACAGGCTTCAATGACGAGTATTCACCCTGACACCGCCTACCCTCCTAAGAAGCACAGTGCCAAAGCGGTAATTACTTCGTCCTTGCTGGGCTACGCTTTGACAGCAAACTTTTTTTGTTGCCCGCGGCTTCTTGGCTTTCTCTCACACTAAAGGTCGCTTGATGGGCAGCATTTCCAGCAAGAGCCATCGCAATCAAAACAGAGGGTCTTGGAATTCTCCAGGAGCCACAAATGCGAAACGCTGGCGGCGAGTGAGCTCTGATCGGCAAATGCACCTGCCCCAGACCACGATAAAAGCCGCGACAAAGAGCCCTACCTACCTACATACCTGCGGAGTACATAGCATCTTGGCCGCAGGTCAGGGAGCCTGGTAAACCCCATGTTCACTGAGCATTTGCGTTGCTGAGGCCGAGTCAAGTTCAAGTCGGAGCGTTTCCCTGACGCCCCAGGGACAATTCCAGTTCGCAGACCAATAGCACTAATACTAGAGCCATGGGTTGCAGGCAAAAGGCCCTGAAATGCCATGGAAACTGGTTGCTTCGGGCGAGCGAGCACAACCCAACAACCGGAAAAAGCATGGCCTGGATGCAGGCCTCCTGCATTCCCGCCTCGCTTCAGCATAAATCGGGGGGCCAGCATACACACCACTACCGTGAAGCAGAAATTCTCCGACGGCACTCACCAGCTGAGATGACATACTCAAAAAGAGCTTGTGACGCCGTCGCTTCTTGCAAATGACCTTTGTCAGCCATGGTCAAAACGCGAAGTGGTGTGATAGTTTCCCTGGCTAGCAAGGTGGCCCATCGCTTCATTCCCTGTTCCTTTTTGCGGTTGCTTTAAGTAGTCGGTCCAAGCATCGGCTCCTACGACCACCAACGCCAGTTCGCATTCTGTTCCTGTCCACTGCAACGCTGCCTCGTATTTGGGCAGCACAACACTCGAGAGTTTTGCCCAACCAGGAACACAGAAGTGCCAAACTTTTGACGGCTTCCGGATCCCTTGGAAACTTTTCTGTAACTGGGGGCAGGAGATGGAGGACGTCATGGGTGCATGCACCAAAGCAGCTAACAGCCACCAACCTCGCAATCTAAACTCCCGTAACCGCGAACGCTTTTGAGAACCAAGATCATTTCGGTCAAGCCCGGAGCTTCCAGCCAAGCCGACGCGGCTCGAGGACCCTCAGTTGGCGTCATGAGCCGTCGCTGACAGGCCCGATTTGGGCTGAATCCACCCCAGCTTAGGCCGGATGCGTGCTGGGCTGGCCTCCGCCATGTCCCAAACCAGTTGAGGATCGCCTAGTCCTTTCAATTTCTCCAAGCGAACAGAACCACTTCGAGCATTCCTGGCGCCCGCAGCATTCGCGAATAACAACGGGCGTCCTCCACCGCGGATGGTCTGAGCGTCGACTTACCCAGTAGTATGCTCCTGGTAGCGAGGCCATCGCTTAGGACTACTCAGACTGTCCACAAATGATCAGCACAAAAGTGATAAGTAGGGAACAAGAAACCCAATCCTGAGCGGCGACCTCCGCTGCCCACTCCTTAGGATTGCATGAGCCACAGTTCACAAATTCCGCCCTTTTTTTTTTATCTTTTTTTAAAGGGCTGGCGAAATCTCTCCCTGCATTTGCTTGAATTCGCCTTCAATAATGGTAGCTGACTATTAAGAAGCCGCCATGTGTTCGACCTCTGCGGGTGCCTCTTCGGACCTCCGTCTTTTGCCGATTCGGACAGTGGACGGGAGAGCGATCATCGCCTGCCCGAGTCAAGTCAGACCAAGCAAAGCCACAAGCATTTCCCTGTTCAAAAAACATGCCAAAACAGACCACCCGCAAAAGGCAACAGATCGTCCTCGCTGGCATGTTATTTACTCTATGACTGATCCTAGAGGTCATGGTACAGACGATCTGCGCTTCAAACTCCGGTGCCGCGTGCTTTGACGTACTTTGGGTCGGCCACCGTTTGACGGATCCAATCCCAGCTGGACTGGGCTCTTGCCCGTTGAACTTGTCATACCAAAAAGAGAACCTTGATACTCTTCACCCATGTGCTACCTAAGTAGCTCTAAATTCTGATCGCCGCACGAGGCCACAGGGGTTTCAGCACGCGATGTTTCCAAGCGAGGTGTGATCGACAGTGCCGTCTTCACCCCTATTTGAACGCTTGTTCGTCGAAAATGGGCATCGATCGTCCTCTTTGGTCAGCTAACCGATAACTGGGGCAGATTTCCATGCTTTTTCAGGCATGTGAGTGAAAGCACTTCAACACAAATGTTGCCTCACCAGCAGACTGCCAGACATAGCCCGTCCGTCCTCGCTTCACCTGCCACTGCCCACTCTAATCACAATTTTCGTCATGCTCGCCAACGCGGTACTGAACCAAGTACTCTGCAGCGTAGCTGTCCTACACGTCAACTACACAGGCGAAGCAGGATCACATTTGCCCCTTCTGCTGCTACGTATGACAAAGGCGGCGTAGCACGCAAAGGGCTTTTCGATCCGTGTGGAGCTGATGGAGATGATCGTTCTTGCATGGGTAGAGCTTCAGTGCTGTGTGTGCAGAAGAAGCTGCTGGACTCTTTTTCTTTCGAAGCGAACCTGCTGTTGCTTCTTGGCAAGAGAGAATGCTTCCGCCACGGGTTTCGTACCCTTGGTTGCTCGCATGCAAATGGCTGGAGCGTCAAGCCACAGATCAATTTCCAAGGTGCCTAATACGAGGTACTGCAGGACGTGCCGACCCAGTAATCAGTAAAATCAAGCCACTGACTTCACCACTTTCGAACACACTGCAAAGGACCATTGGACCCCTGATGAATGCTTCCGGACTTTTTGTTTTCCGCGCCTCAAAGCAGGACAACAACGGAGGCCACCTATTCGGGCTGCAAGACCTCCAGATTGGGGCATTCTCCCGCATTGGCTTATTATATGCCATCCAATCCGAGTCCGAGCCTGTCGCCTTCAAGGCCCAAATGCGAATTCCGGAGCTGAGGACGAAACAGAAGCTGGAAGTCCTCCATACACAGGGCTACGAGGATGGCAACAGATTGCTTATGTGCGGAAGGAGCTGGCGGGCATTGTGCGCGTCTCTCACACCTTCGTAAGTGCGAACCAAATACCGAGAACTCGGTACAGCTCCCCAGACACGCAAATCAAGCCCCATTGATTTGGGTTGTCCCTGCTCAGCATACACCCATCTCACATCTAGGGGATCATCCTCTTCAATTCACGAACAAAATCACTTCATGTGGGTTTGATCGCCGGGCATTTGATGGGATCTGCACTCCGCTTCTCGCTTGCTCGCATTTCACCAGGCTCTGTCGATCAGTCGCACGTTTCTGCCGAAGTTGACGGGTGGAAGACCGCCAATAGTGCCCAATTGGAGAAGCCACGCTACGTAAACCATCAACTTCGAACCCAACCTCAGTCCACGGCGCAGCATTTGCGTCCTTTGGCACACATCTGGCGCAGCCATGGGTATTGAAGCGAGATGGAGGGTCGGACCCAAGATTTGTTGCTCCAATCTCTGAAGCGAGGTAAGCAGCACCGACAATTCCATGAATTTCATTGCCCATGTATCAAACATTCGAAAGGAACTGCTCCATATGACTTACCCAAACATTTGAATTCCAACATCCTAAACGGGTGCTTTGCTGTGGCAATACAAGCACAAAAGTTTCACAACAATGGTGCCGCTTACCGTCGTCAGTGGCTCTTAGAACAGCTCACTTTCCGCAGTCACGAAATGCGGCTGTGGTCAGCACTGAAACTTGGATGGAACTTTGTTGGTCTTGGATCAAATTGAGTCAACCTATTGGTTTGAAGGGGTCTCTCTCAGTATTGCCTCTAAACCTCCATGCCTCGAGAAGAGAAAAAAATGTTATACTCTGGGGCACGTACCTCGTAGTTCTAGTTCTGATGCTAACGACGCAGATATCACTTCGTATGGTTTACAAGGAGTAGGTCACTTCCACCCCTCGACCGGTTTGATGCTCTCGGCGCAAAAATTTGTATATTTGGGCCGATGCTTTCTCATCGCTCGAAAATTCAGGAAACAGGTGAGAATGATCTCTGGCATTGTGGGCTATCTATCCTTCTTCCTATCGGTGTCAAGGTAGACAGACACTGTTTCTGTCGACCATGATGGCAATTGGCTATAAATATGACGGTCGATATGGATATCTCTTTCCGACAAACGACTGAGGAACTTTTTCGTCTACGGAGGGGATTATGAGCTTTTTTACCTGTTTGAGGGCGGTCATTGCTATGGCACCTTTTCGTCTCATGTCCTACCAGATGTGGTGGCTCCTTTCCTGCATTCTCCATGTGTGTGCCCTTCCCTCTCTCTGATTGCAGGGAATATAGGAAAAGACATCAATGATGATGGAGGAAACAAAACACAGGAGTTGGAAGAGAGAGAGAGAGAGAGAGAGAGAGAGGAGGGAAAAGGGGGTGGCTCTCGAGTTCATTGCTCTGTTTTCATTCACTCGCAGCCTCCTTCCCTCTTGAGCCTTCTTTACTCTTCTCTTGTTAACGGAGCACGTACATAAATGCATGCATGTGTATACCCACGTACGGACCTACATCCATACATGCCTTCTCAGCTTCCGGACATGGATCTGGAGGCTGGCCGTGTAGGGTGCAGTGTGAATGGAAGAGTGTGATAGAAATTCGGAAACCGCAATATGACAGAGCCGACCAGGGGGGACCAAAAGCAATTATCGACGACGAACACTAAAATTCAGACTTCCTTTTCCTTGTGGTTCGCTGTCTCCTCTCACCATGACATGGTATTAGAAATATGCCGACATCTCGGTCTCGGTCCGATCTTCGCCTGTACAGAATATACCAAGATACACGTTCCATATCTATGTTCATTTTTTTTCGTCTACCTCTGCCCGTCTGACCCATCCATGCATGAGGCATCCTCATCGTGCCTTTATTCTCCCGTGATGAATCTTCCACTCGGCCCTCGCAATCCGCATAAAGAGATCCTCGTCCTGAATGGGGATCCAGCTGGTCAGAACCTTCATGGCATTTTCGAAATCCGAATCTAGAAGGATGTCCCGCATGCCATCGATCAGGGCCGCAGAGGCGGCGTGGAGGACGTCCAAGGTTGTTCCAAACAAAGCCCCTTCAGCGTCGGCTTGACATCTGTCTTTCGACGACGACGTACCACGGCTTGGAGGAACCGCGGGTGAGTCTGTGGCCGTGACATCGTCGCCCAGCAACATGAACACATCCCATACCCTCAATTGTGCCGGAAACGGGATTGCATAGTTGAACAATGTGAGATACCACCTCGTTCCATACGCGGTGGGCCCGATATTCAGTGCCTCCAATTTTCTGGCTACTTCCCCTTGATCCAACCATCCCTTTTCAAAATCATCCAACGCGGCCATCAACCCACCAAAGCCGGATTTGTACAACTCCCCTAGACCGCGCAGTTCCCACATACGCACAAGCATCACAAAGGCTTTTTCTTCGTCATAGTATGCCAGTAACGTGACCGCAAGCGCCGCCATACCTTGAACATATCCGGTTGAAGGAATATGCAGCGACATAGCATGAAGAACGCGGAACAACAGACGTTGGCCGCCCCGATATCTTCTCCTGAACATGATGTGTGAAGATATCGTCCGCGGCACGTCCAAGTCGATCTGGACGTCATCCGGACTCGCTTGATCCTGGTAAGAATGAAATAAAGAGATCAGGTCGGCATCACTGGCACAATTTTTCCGCCTCGAAGCGGATGCGCTGAGAAAACTGTGCCATGCCGTTGCGCGCCACTTGTCAGGGATACCCTTCCAAGTTCGCTCGATGAGTTTTGGATTTGTTGTCTCGAAAGTGTATTCGCTTTCGGAACCGGCGCCCACGAGGGGGAGACCGCTTTGGGGGTCCTTTGAGGGAGTCTTCGCCTTTGCCATCCGCCGCCATTTTGCCTCACGTTCGAGCTCTTTCCGCCGTGCTCGCGCATTGTCGATGTGCACATGTCCGTTTTCGACCACCGATTGCGCCGAGGTTGGGAGTGTAAGCATGTCCATTGCCGAGTCCATTAGACGACGGTTTTTGGAACCTGGTAGTGGTATTCTGCTAGAAGCGTTTCGACGCTGCGGGCGCGCATAGGCGCTTTGGGAACTCACGGGCCGAGGTGGAGTGTTTTCTGGGCTAGCCTGTTTGCTCTGCAATGACCGCATAGATCCATGTGCGCTGCTGGGTGTCCGGCGGATAGTGTTTTTCCTCCGTGGCGTCTCACTGGCGAGCTGTAAACTTGTTGATACTCGGGTCAGCCGCTGCGATTTGGACTCGTCGACGCCGTCAACAGAGGTGGTCGAGGCTTTGGCCATGATAAAGCCGTAGCGGTCCACATCTGCGTTATCGATATCTTTCCAGTCTTCTAAACCGCCGGCAAGCTCGTTCTCCTCGCGCTCGGGGACCATATATGAATGAGAGGCCGAGGTGGCCATGCTTGGCTGCCTCGAGTTGTTGGCATCTTCGTAAATATCTGTAGTGGAAGTAGCGCGCGAAAGGGATGGATTGCCGGCACTGCGATTATCGGCGACCAATGTCGACTGCCATCGAGCTCCCATGCGCGCTGCCAGATTGACGTTGGACTCTGTGTCATATTGACCGTCCGTGCCTGCAGCGTAGAATGCGCGGACCTTTTCAGACAAGAGTTCTTCATCGGCGGAAAGGGTCTTGGTTGAAGGGCGGCCATTCGGAGTCCTTGCCACGGCTGTGGGCGCAGATTGCCCGTCGCCAGCAGTCGCCTCTGGCACACGGGGCTCTACATTCACTTTTCTTTCTTCATCCATGATCGGAGCAAGATTGGGGGAACTCTTGCGGTTGGACTGATTGACCCTCCTCCCATCAATGAGCATGCTCCCCCTCTTGGAGAACTCAATGCTGGTCGTGGGAAGAAGCTCTTCTCCGAATCCGGTTGTAGGAAGGTTGATATCCAAGGATAGACCATGGGCTTCTGAAGATGTATCCTGTGTGCCTTTGCCTGTCTCTTTGAAGGATGCAGCCGAACTCGACCGTGACTGTCCCAGTGATAACCATCTCCCGCTCTCTGTGGTGCTGATGTTGCTGCTGCGGTCCGCAAAAGACTCCCGAGTGAAGGCAGTCTCGTTGACGCGAATCTGAGGAATGCTCAGAGTGCCCGAGGTTAGGCTGGATATTGTGGGCGTTCTTGTATTGAGGCTCAGCGTGGTGCTCGTCTGACTCTCTCGCACGGAGATTGAGCACGCAAGTTGGGAGCGCGGTCCGTCTCCATCTTGCGGCGATGCCGACGCGTGCGGGCTGTATCTCTTATTGGAGGAGGTGGACGCGCTGTCCCCTGTCAGCGGAGAACACAGTGGCTTGTCTGGCTCCAAGTCTGCAATTCGATGTAACGATGAGACTGAGCGGGTGACGGGGATGGGAGGCTTGGACGCTCGAGTTTCGCTGTAAGGCAGTCCTTGAAGGCTGTAGTTGAAGCCGGACGGGGACGGAGTCGCAGAGGCAGACTTGTAGTCGCCCATCACTTCACTTGACCTGCTGCCTTCCTCGCCCGGCGTGCTCTTGGGGGTAGTTATCCTTGCACGCCTGAACTCAAACTGAAGGGGTCGTGTGGGCTGCGGCGGGTGGCTGCTGGTGAGGCATAGGCTGGTGAGGCATAGGCTGGTAGGCTTAGGCGGGTAGGCTGGTAGGCTGATAGGCTCCGGGGGCGTGAGGAGGATCGCAGGGTAAGTCGCCGAGTAATAGGCAGTCAGCACTCAGCACTCAGCACTCAGCAGCCAGTTTGTTCCTCTTCTTCGTCCGTCTGCTGAGTCGCAAACGCAGGTCGAGGCGCAGAGTAAAAATATTTTTGATGCTCCTTTTTCGAACGTTGGCCCGCCAGTGGAAAAAAGGAGATAGTCGACGTCATGATCGAGTCAAGCGAAGCGAACTTGACCAAGTTGAAGTTGCCATCGTCCCCTATTCTGCCCTGGTGGGCGAGGTGGGTTGCGGGAGATTTCGCTTGCAGACTTGTCCATCTTAACGGTAATATTGCAGACAACGGCGGCGCACGAACGAAATCCATTTTCCAGAAGACGAGGCAAATTGCAGATATGGACTGGACGCGCAGTCGCACGTTACACGACCAGCGGGGAAAGCCAGACGCATTGACAGAAGCACATTCTCGTCTACCATTGGAACTGTGCAACCATCTCACAGCAGGGATTCACATTTTGACACGCCTTATCGCAACACGCTACCATGTTGGCTATTGGGCTGCTATCCCTGTTGCTCAATCAGCCTAGCCTGCTGTCGACACAGGCTTGTTCATATTATGCATCTCTCTGCACCAGATCCTCAGCAATCCGAGGATCTCTCACCCCTCTTCTGCACAGAGACAGCAGAGTGTTCTTCCCTTTGCCAGACCGCCGACGAGGCCAGGGTGGACCAATGTGAGGTGAGAGGAAGATGGTGGTGGTATGCCGAGTGAGTGTGATATTGTGGAATGAGCACCCGCGACGAACTGGCCTCATCTCACTTCAAACTCGCCTCCTTGCGATCTGATTTCTTTCCTCCATCGAGTCCTGCATGCCTTTCCAAGTCTCGAGGATCCTTGTTGCGCTTTCTTTCCTTCCCCCTGGAATAGAACCTCCTCATACCTGTCAAAGGAGCTACCAACTTGGGTTGCCAGGTTCTACTGGCTGTCCTCTCCAGTCCACGGAATGAGGAAACCAATTTGACAGTTCCTTCACATGTGTGATTTCAAGGCTTACTTTGCGGCGTAATGAAACAGACAACGATTTTCAGGGACCCGGCCATATTCAACATTGTTGCCCTTATAGGGCAAGTAAGATCGGACGACGTCTCTGTTGGAATTCTTCCAGTTTCTTGGTCTTCCATACTCCTGATATTAATGCCTGGTTGGGCGTACTGTACTTCGTACCGAGTAGAGCCCAACTGACCGGAAAGAGACGTGCAAGGAACGAGGGCAATAGATTGGGCGGAAAGGTGGATTAGAGGCTATATTGGAAAGGAATCGATACGGTTCTATACACTGGATCATCGCTGTCGCCGGGCCTCCTTATCTTTCCCTTAACCTGTGTCAATGCCTACGGCATCCTACAGGGTTCGTCAAGTGAGACCGAGTATCTGAGACGCCGCAGAACTCAAGCTCATGTGGCGCCTATTATTGAGGTGATCCGAAGAGTGTGATCCGATACAAATGCTCTGTACAGATCTTATGCCTCAACCCAAGTACTTGCTAGATAGACATTTCTCCACAGAACTTCACCGGCGAGGCTGTGTATCTCGCAAGGCTCGGCATGCGCCAATGAGAGCGGTGGCTTATCTTATCACCATGTGACATGAATTCTCCGCAAAACATTTTTTTGGGCCACAGTGTGGAATTCAACTTTTACAATCATTTCATGCCTCTCAATGTTTTCAATATGGGTGTAGAGGACGATACTGGATCACTGCTGTCTGCTTTGACTGCTGCCCTTCAGTCTGCAGCATGGGCATTCCCAGAGACGGAACAGCAACTGCTACCCCCCGCCGAAGGCATCTCGCTCCTTGACACCAAGAATGACCTCCTCCTCTCCTACATCCAAAGCCTCGCCATCCTGGTCGTTATCAAGCTGCGCAGTGGCTATGCGGAAGAACCGTCGACGGACTTAGTGTCTGAAGTTGTAAAACATCTTGTCGACTTGCGGGTCTATCTCGAAAGGGGAGTTCGCCCACTGGAAAGCAAATTGAAATACCAGATCGACAAAGTTGTGCGGGCCGCCGAAGAAGCTGAGCGCAGAGCTGCTAGAAGGACCGCAGTGGACCAAGGGGCAAAGAAGCAGCCTGCAAGCAAGACACCCCAGGGAAATGTCAATTTGTCAAACGAGTTCGAATCTGGCTCGGAAGAATCAGCGGAAGATGATGTCCTCGAAAACAGTTACACTGAAGGCGATATGTCGGTGGGACCAAGGCCTGCTGCGCTCCTACGGAACATGGCTGCGCAGAAGAAGGAAGACCGATCTGTCAAGCCACGATCAGCACCCAACGGCGCATATAAACCTCCACGTATAACACCAACTGCAATGCCGGAGCCGGTTTCACATCGCGACCGCGACCCCCCCACAAGGAAGCGCAGGTCACAACTTCTGGACGAATATATTGACGAGGAATTTTCCACAGCGCCACTCGCACAACCCTCGATTGGCTCCAATAGTACCATTGTCAAACATGGCCGTGGGGCTATGTCGGCAAAGGAACGTGAAAAGGAGCGCGAAAGGACCGAATACGAAGAACGAAATTTCGTCCGATTGCCTGCAGAGAGTAAGGCTGAGAGAAGGAAAGCGAGGCTACGAGGCGAAATGGACAAGAGAGACCTATTCGGTGGTGAAGATTGGACAGGCTTGGGTGGACTGGGAGACCGAATTCACAGGAGCGTTGCAGGCAGGGCGAGGGGGGAAGGATCTAGTGTGCTGGAGCGAAGACAGAAGAGAAGAAGGGAGACGCAGGACGGCCCCAGAGGGGATGGTGGTGGTATGGGCATCGGTGAGAGTTTTGAAAAGAAAAGGAGAATTATGGAGCAGAGGGCGGACAAGAAGGCGACGAGGAGGAGATGAGAAGAGGGCGCATCTCGTTGTTGCCTTTCAATCTGTCAACCTGCTTCGGTGCTGGCAACCCCTCATTCTGCGATTAGAGGTGTGGTCCTCAATCGACTTCTCAGGACTGACGGCGATCAAACCTTGGTGCAATCACCAATGGTTCAGCTTCTCACGCAACGGCTTACGAGAGAGCTTCTTTGCGCGTCGGCGAGATTATTCTCCTCGCAACCTCTATCGCCTTTGGATATTTTGCGACCGCAACGCCAGGCAAACATCCAGAAGGGAGAGGCTCAGGTCTATCAAAACGAAGCGCATCATCGAGCATATCGCGTATGCTGAATGCCCTGCGTGACGCGGCCGCCTTTTCCGTCTCACTTGTGTACGTCGTTCCCGACTCGTCACCACACCTGTGAGCCTGGCGCCCTATCCGTTGATCGCTGCCCGGAATGATTTGTGAGAGAAAGGGCGACGTCGAAATCAACCGACCTTGACGGTAGACCATGAAACTGGTCCCACCTTTGAAGCTACCGTCTTATGACACGGCGTACATACGCAGCTCAGTCCTGTTGCGCAGTAAGTCTTTCGTGCTCCTTCACGAACCACACGACAGCGTGAAGGAAGATACGGGGGAAGCTGAGAAAATGCTCTTCAGTAATCAACCAATGTGACGTACCAGAAGAACAGGAAAAGACAGAGGCCTGCCTCCCCCACCGACGCACTCGCCTACTACTTCGCTGAGGATTATTCCAAGACGCAGCCAACGCCCATACCAGAAGTACGAAGGAGTCAGAATGGCTCATACTCAGGGTTTATCGTCCCGCTCCCTCCCTGATGCCTGCCCTACTTCCTTCTCCCTTGTGTGCCAGAGGGGCCAAAGGAATAAGTAATCACGTCTTTCCGGCTATGGTACGGCAATATGTACTATGTACCTAGACTTAGAGTATGTATGTACCTAGAGCATACCTGGAGCAAATCCTACATACGTAATTATTAGCCTTGTCCATCTCCATGTCCATCACAATCTCAATCTCTCCATCTTCACAGCTGGAAGCAAGCAAGCATGCACCACAAAATCCAAAACGGGAAATGCTGGAGCCAAGGCGAGCCAGCAAGCAAGCAAGCAAGCAAGCGAGTACCTGAGTAACCAAGGGTGACCTACTTACTTACATATGTAGCCATGTAGCTATCAAACAAGACGGATCTCATGAACGAAGCGGCCTAAGTACAGTATATCCCGTGGGGCCCCTCCTCCCTCCCTCCACTGCTGACACAAGATCGGCGCCTCTCCTCTCTGGGTTGTTGCCCTCAGAGCCACGGCCACAGCAAGTCTCGCTCGCTGACACAGCGACCCCCGCCTGATTCGCCAGCCTTGCGTTGCAATATTGATTACCTCCTCCTACGTCGCTCGCCCGCTCGGTGGCCGGCTGGCTCGTACAAGAGCGGCCAAGGTATGTAGGAGGGCGGGGCGCGCGCACAGCGAAGTTGAGTAATCATCATCGATCGTCAACTTTCGTCAACCCCCTGCTCCGAATGCGAATCTGAAATCGAAATCCCGGGTCTGGCAAACGTTATGCTGGCGATGTTGGACGGGACACCTGGCCGGCTAGGGACAAGTAGTATCCTGCTGTCGTGTCACGACTCCCAGCAAGGACCAGGGTTGAGTGCTCGTACGGGTTGTGATCCAAGTTGGGACAGCCGAGACGTGCATGTGGCGGACAAAGGTCCACGTTTGCGCACAATGCTTCCAAGGGCGTACATTACTATGTAGGTATCCTCCAAGCCTCAGTCAGATCCGAAGCATGAGTAGCAAGCTCAAGTATATAAAGCGTGCTTTCCTCTCTCCCTCCCTCCTGCCTCTCTTGCAGATACCAAGTCTGTGTCCAAATCCACGGGCAACGATACCAATAAAGCCTCCTGAGCTCTTCTGTTGGTAAAGACACATCCCGATCCCTTCTTCTCTTGTACAGTCAGGCGTTCATTCCATTACCATGCCTCTGTGGCGGATCTTTTCCCACCCATCCACCTTCTCCTCTTCCCAGAGGGAGGGCATCTCCAAGGCCATCACTGATCTCTTCGTCTCCTACGGTCTCCCGCCCTTCTACGTCGTTGTCCTATTCATCGATGTGGACGAGAAGGGTTGTTTCGTGGGAGGCGAGTCGAAGAAGAATTTTGTGAGAATAGCGGTCGAGCAGATTGCTAGAGTCATGATGGGGCCGGAGACGGAGTGGGGGAAGGCCAGGAGAAAAGCCTGGATGGATCGAATCAATGGGGTAGGCATCCTTTTCCCTCTGTGCTCGTCTTTTTCAACTTTTTGAGTGGACGCCTCTCAATCTGCTCACATCTTGCTGGGAGTTGTTTCAACTTCGATTCGGTTTCTTCGGAGTTCCGGCTGATGACAATCCTGTCTAGGTCCTGAAACCGTACATCATCGACAGGACGGAGCTGGAGTGGGAACTGCACATCTATGAGACGCCTCGTGATCTCTGGAGAACCCAGGGTTTAGATCCTCCGCCGCCATTCTCGGAGGAGGAGAAGATGTGGGCTGAGAAGAACAAGGCTATCGCATATGAAGTCGAGAAGTCTTGACACCGACACTGTCATGTGGCCATCGCGGAGGTATCGAGAGGGCCGCCTTGAGGAAGATATACAGTGCACCAAATTTTTTTTTCACACGAGTTTTGGAGCAAAATACCACAACGCTGCAAGTCCGGAAAGAATAGTCACGCCGGCCAGTTGTTGAGCCAACTGCGGTTTTTCTGAGATCTTCATTCTTCCAACTGTTTCCCTCTGCTTCGACAGGACCCTTCTTGTAGTGCCATTGCTCTCGCTCGTCCTTTGCTGCAAAACATTAGACATCTGTGTCTTGTTGCTCTCCTGGGCGGCGGCGAATGTCTCATATTCCTGTACTAGTCGCTTGAGACCTTCGATGTCGTCTTTCAGGCTTTCAACACCTGATTTGGTTGCCTGAATCTCAACGCTCTGGACATTTCCAAAGAAATCGACGACCCTTCGACTCCTTCCCGCCTGCTCTCCACCCGGAAACAAGTCCCATCTGACGCCAGGATTCGAATGGATCTTCTGCACATCGTAGCTGTCGAACAGATCCCCTAGCGTCTTATCCGACGTCGGCCCCGTGACCTGCGTCTCTAGAAACTCCAAAACATAATACGTCCATCGGTCAATGACGGCCACGCCAACGTCATTATCCGCGTGGTGGGAATACGAGCTCTCGTCTTCTTCCGAGGACCCCGTCGCGATGATCCCCGGAGCGTAGAATTGTCGATAGAGCGTATTTGCCTGACACGTGTCGATCATGAACAACATTTCGTTGTATCTCTTCTTCTCTCTCATCTGGGAAAACGCGTCGGCCAGATCCCAGCTCGAAATCTCCTCGCTGTCTTGAAACTTCAAAAACTCGCTGCCGCCATGGCCCGTCATGTATATCAGGATGTTGCTGCCCTCGTCTGTTTGTAGTCTCTTGCTTGCGGGAACACTCTCCTCCCAACGATCGGTCAACAGGCGGATAAAGTTCTCCACCGTGACTTCGTAGCCGCGGTAGTCGACCTCGACGTTCTCGCCATACAGGTCCATGCGTCTGTCCGCGTTGGAGTAGACGGTTCCGGAGAAGGCATTTCTTGGGTTGCAGGCCATATCGTCGGGCAGGAGGAGAAGGATCTGAGAATCAGGGATGCCGAGCCGTTTGACGGTGCGGTAGAGAGAGAGCGTGTTGGCAAGATGCCGGTAATTGAACCAAAAGCGAGAGGTAGAGACCAGGACAGCCCAGTTAGAGGTTTGAGCGGCACAGGCGACCGCGACAAGGGTGAAGAACACCCATAGCGAATGTGTTGGCGTCATCATGTCGAGGGGATCAGAGGATTGCAAATATCTTTCACCAGGACAGTGTTGGAGGAGGATAATGCAACGATTTCATCCTTCGTCCCCTTCCTTCCTTTCTTCCGGAAGTACAGAGTAAAAACACGGTGAGTAGGTGAGTATTGTAACACTGGTTGACAAGGAGTTGGTAAGCACCACGAAGCAGTTGGAGTGCAGCCAGGAGGGCGGCGTTCGGAAAATCTCCTTTCCGTAACGACCCCTGAAATGCACCACAACACGGCACGTACCGAGTGATCTTCAGGCGGACCCCACTATTCACTACCATCGCGTTCTCTAAAGAAAAGGAAATGTTACAAAGTGCCGAGGAACATAAGAATGACCATGGTTGTCTGGTAGCTCACATGGCGGCCTCGTAGTCTGCACTTCACCGCCACGACTCGACTGTGTCAGCCACCCCTGGTGGTCAGCCACTACTCGGCTTTGATGTACGGTAGAAGCCTTAGGTAAGTCAATGCTTTGATAGAGAGCGAGGGACGAATGCAGAGTATGTGTTCTGTGAATTTGGTCGTGTCTAAGAAGGATCTCTCCCTATGAGAATATGAAGCTTTCCCTACGAGACTGAGAGTTTCGTGCTGGAAACTTTCAGGTGAGGGATGATATCGTAAAGCCTGTTAGAAGATTCAAGAATACATCCTACTATCCTCAAAATTCGTCTACTTGGCCGTCACTCGAAGTGTCTTACTGACGCTTGCGCCCAGACGTCTCCAGCTTGTCGCTTCTGTTCCCAACCTCGCACGCACATTTCGGCCCCTTGACATATTCCTTCTTGCCTGAAGATGTTTGCTTCTGGTCATAAGGGAGTCCGAGCTCGCGCCATGAAGCCTTTCTTGATCTATTATTTGGACCTTTGTAGTTGGTTTCGAGCAAAAGAGTTTTCTTTGAAGAACTTTGCAGAAGTGCTCAAAGTTTTGGAACCGCACATTCGGTGGTGCCCTATCCGTCGATGAACAGTCGCATCGTCAGAGGAGCCGGCATGACTGCCTCCGCTTATTTCATAACTGTCCCGGCTTCTGTTGTGCCTGGTTTCAAACCGATGCATGTCGATGACAAAGTCTTTCAGCGTTAGAACGAGGATTCCTACCACAAAACTAGACGCAGGACGCTCGAAGAAAGCTGCCCAGCGGTGCGCCACGGTACCGGTCTCACTGGGAGATCATCATCGCTCGAGCACTCGCGGACAGTGCAGTTGTGGAATCCTACATTCACGTTGATATCAAGGGTCGACAGGGCGAGCTGGGCGTCAGCGCGAAAGAAGTGGAATCGTCCTATTTGACAAAGAAAGATGCCTGTCTTCCGGTGTCTGTAAAGTTCCATGTCCATTTCCACGTGTATATTGAGATGGGTCAAGTTTTTGAATGCCCCTGTGAATGCGCCGAATGCAATATTTCTAGCAAGTCGCTTCTTGGGAACGTCGACGATCTTCGACCCTTCTGGGGCGATCATGACCCACTTGTCAGCAGGGTCTCGGTCACCAACTTCAATGGGACGGGGAAACGCTCGGAACGTCTGCATGGGCAACGCATCTCGCAAACCCTCGAAAGTGATACTGTAGTTGCTCACTGTCAGGGTGAAGACACGCCTCGCGCGTAATGTCCGGACATGGGTGTTGAATTGTCTGCACTTGGCCGCGAAAGTAGGAAGGCCATTGCTTGATCCATTTTAGGTGCCAGTGGACGCGGTTATTAGTGGAAAGCCAAGTGCATCGTCGTTGTTGCTGCCCAGTCTGACCCCCTGACTGTGAATACGATAGTGCTCCATGAATTTTGTGGTATCCGCCTCATTTCCGGCCAAGCCTTCGAACTGTTCCAGGCCCTCGAGCCTCGTAGGGGTTAATTGTCACGTCCATCTCATCGGTTTTGAACGGCGTTGGCTCGGTGTGACCGGGAACGAGATCACTGCAGATGCGATCAAGAATTTCATATGGCTACCCCGTGAGTTTTCTGGGAGGACCACCCTGTGGTTTGGCCGACTCGGGCTCCATGACAGCTGATTGATCTGATTCAGTCATCTAGCATCGCTGAACGAGAGGTGAATTGAAAGGGGACTCGAGACAGGTTAGAGAGATGCCATGGGGTGAGGTAGGAGTTCTGCGCGCTTTCCAGGGCGGACGGTTGCAGAGAGGGTTCTGTCACTAGACGTCCTGACAAGTGAGAAGTCTTTTTGTATGATATTTGAGGTGATGAGAGAGTGATGGACCAAGACAAAGAAAGCAGTCAAGTCTCGCTCACCTTTCACTAAAAGAACACGGTCACGGTCACGGTCACGGTCACGATCATGGCAACCTCCTGCCGTGAGTTACCGTGTACACTCTGAAGATGCCGTAGCGTTGAAAGGGACAGACGTCAGAGGATGGGGAGGGTTGTAGTGATGGTTGAAGTGATGATTGAAGTGAAATTTAAGCTGTGCGAGAGTTGTTGGTGAAGGAGGAATGAGCGGCACCGACAAACAATTCACTTGGCGGAAATGAGTCGACAGCCAGTCAAGCTGCCACATGAAGTCAAGTAAAAGAAAGACTTTTTGTTCTGCAAACCAGGGTATCTGAGGTAATGTCAACAAGCAGGTGAGGATGGCTCACGCAATGCTATATCTTTTCATACAGGGTGCTGGGCTCCTCTCTTTCATGTCAGAAGCGCCCGCTAAAATAACAGTTGAGCTGGAAGAAAGGTCATGATCGCAAGCCAATAATCCCCCATGGCGTCGGGCTAGAATATACTGTTCATTAAGACCTCTCGCGGACGATCAAATCTCGCTCCTTGCGATCCACTGCCAGGAGAAATCGTCGCTAATAGCGAGCCTGGAACCCCAAATGTCGAGGAGGCGTGCCTTGGATGGTAACACTGATCCGGCTCCTCTCATTGCCGTCGATTTCAAGAGGAGAGGGCGGTTTGGACGGAGCGTGGATTTCAAATACTTGGGTCCTAGGGGCGTTCCTGTCACCTGGGCCTCTCCCTTCGAAAGCTTTGGTGTCCAATTCGTATCGTGGAGGAAGGTCACCTGTGTTGCCACTAGCCAGTCGTGTGAGCCGTCGGTGGCGTCTCGTTCGAATATACAGGGCCACGACCAGAGCCCCTCCGAGGACAAGGGCCCCAATGCCGATGCCAATCCCTGCCCCTGCAGCAGTACTGAGGCCGCCAGACCCCTTGTCCGAAGATGAAGCAGGGGTCGAGAGAGGCTGCTGTCCGGTGGTATTGGGGTTGAGAGGACTTGATTTCAAACGTCAGTCATCATGTCTGTAGAGATGGACCAGGGTTTGATGTAGCTCACCTGTCAAGTATCTGCAACACACCATTCGAAGTGAGATAGTCTCTCGTCTTAATGAGAGACGTGTCAACGTAGACCTGGCCGTCAACCTCGGTCATAGTCGCAGAAATTCCGTCCAGCGTCGGAATCTTGGTGTTGTTCTTGAACGCCGACGAGTAATAGACCGTTCCCTGAGAGATGCTGTACTCCAAGATGGACAGGAGATCGGTTTGCGAGAGACCGTCCCATCCTGTAAACCCGGCCGAGAATTGAGACGAGTTGGGCGCGAAGATGGTGAGATCCGAAAGCGAATTCACGATCTAGATATCACCATCAGCCTATACAGGCACTTGACAGAGGCCAATAACTCCTCCGGGAAACGGGGGGCTCACATTGACTGTTGGAGAACTGGGACTGAGAAAGCCTCCTATGCTCATCAACGCCACAAGATCCGTCAACCCAGTCTTTGTGACGGTTGCTGGAAACGAAATGGGGATTGTGAGCACTGTGTCTATAATGTGAATGAGACCTCCCAGGTAGAAAATGTCCTTCGTCGATCAGCATTGCCGTCGCACTGACATTGTAAATGGAATGAAACCTACAGCCTCAACCACATGAGACTCTGCCTTTACCCCGCTCACGATAGTGGGTAGATTGTTCAATGCCGTTAATTCCACTACTTGCCCGCCTGTGACATTGGTATAATTGGGATTGGTCAGGAGGGTTGGCGCAAACAGCGGTTGTAGGCCAAATGAGGCGGATGGATGTGTTCCACGGGCGATATGGTATTCTAGCAGTGCCCGGACTGCGTCGGTATTGTTGGCCAAATCTGGATTCTCATTGCCGAGGGCAGCAAGGGCTTGGTCATTTGGAATGAGGACTGCGAGGAACTTAGTATTGGTCGCAAGCAACGGGACTTTGTTTGTCAAACCACTGAAGGTCCCCTGGTTCAAAGTATTGACCAGATCTGTAAACTGCTCTAAGAGCCCAATAAAGGTAGAAATCCCAGTTTGTTGTTTCAAGATGGTGAGAACATCTTGGTCCGCTGCCAAACCACAGGAAGCAAAGCTGAGAGTGGCAAATGTGATCCTAGACAGCTTCATCATGTATGTTTGCAGAGCATTGGGCAGAGGTCAAGAGACATGACTGTACGCCGACGAGATGGATATATTACGTGGGCTCGAATGATGATGGAGACCTTTGTTATTTGGCGGGCACACGAATCCCACAGGCTCCACGAGGGAGCTCCATCGCGAGTGGTGTTGCTGGTGCGACTCTTGAGACGCGGTCTTCAGGCTTCAGGAGACAGTGAGACGCAAGACAATACTTGCATGGTTGGGACAGCGGGAGATACTCGGTACCAAAGAGGGAGAACATGGGTATGGTGTCCGCTTACCCTGTACAGACCTTGTCGTGGTGGGGACCAGAAAAGAGGGCCCTTAGACGAACCTGCCTCCGGAAAGAGCATGCCGATGTGATAGATAGTGGAGAAATGGGGCCAAGAGGCAGGGATCTGGATAAACAAGACTTGCCGTGAGGAAGCACTCATGCAGGAGTTGCTCACTGGTGACGCGGAGGGATGGTTGTTGAGGCCATGTTGTGAGATAATCCCTGGCAAACACGCCCCAAAACGTCCTTCCTAGCAGTGTTTCAGCTTGTGAGCTAGTTTCTTTTCCTGCAAGGGACCATCGATGGTGTCGACAGAAGACTGGAGGATTTCTCGCCGGCGCAGCGCCGTGCAGCTCAGTGGCGCCCAAGCAGCCGTTGGAACGCCTAACGACAAGCCAAACCAAGCCAAAGCTAAGCCCAAATCATGAAGTAGAGTGAAGTCTACTAAGGACTTTGACGAACCGCCGAATCCTTCCCTCGTATGTATGGAGCTCATCGTGCCGAACGCGGTGCCTCAGTGCAATGCGTTCGTCTGCAACATGCAGCGAGCACGACACTTGGCAAGGCGTCTTGCCGGAAGGAAGGAAAGAAATGATCAAAAGGGGAGGGAATACTTAGCTTGCCCAGCCGATGCGAATGTGCTAGGCAGGAGAAATCTCCCTTTTCCATCAGGATTTTCGCCGAACGCTCAGCGACCTTCCTCGCTCGGTTTCTTGTCTCACTTCCTTTCAATTTTGGCGAGAGCGCGCAATTTCGCGGTCGACGATATTAGTTCTGTTGGTGAACAAGATAATAGCTGACAAAGATGATAAATGAGATGATCATGGATTCTGTTGTTCTCGGTATACCTATGTATGAGTATGGTTGACTTGAGCGCCGTACCTTGTCTACCCATGGCAAGCCAACCGTCGCTGATCACCCTGGGAGTGACAACTCCTTTGCGGAACTTTGCCCCTTTGGTGCCTCCGTGCAGAGCTCGAGGAGTACTGGGTACAAGAAGCTTGCAGGACAGGTACATAGATCGAGGCTTGTGTGAAATAGAACGTGGCCTTTCTCGTTCGGTACCTGTGCCGAATACGAAGGGCATACCAAGTATGTAGTTAGTAAGGTTTGTCCTGCAGCCTTGCTATGATGGGCGGAGCCAGTTTTTCTTCCTGGATGGAGAAGTTTCCCCTTTGGGGCGTGTCCGTGCTGAATACCCGTTTTGCGAACGTTCAGCCTTGCCAGCGTCACACGCCTTCATCTTCTCTCCCAATCATTCTCCTCCCCCCTGGGAACCATATCTCCAAGGAGAGAAGCGATATAAATAGCGTCTAAACACGGAACGTCTTAGTCTACTCCCTCTATGACGACCGTCTTCATCACCCTGATTCTGTTCAGTCTCGCAATCTCGTCACTGATCTCCATCATCTACAAACCACCAAAATGGCTAATCTGTTGGCTTCAAGCCCGCTACCCCAGCATCCTATTCTACGTCCCAACTGATAAAAAGATGGTGGCCCTGACCATCGACGATGGGCCTTCTCCTCACACTCTAGAAATCCAGCGAGTCCTCAAGGCGCACGGTGTCAAGGCCACATTCTTCGTGATCGGGTCACATATCCCCGGCCGCGAGGAGATCCTGAGAGAATTGGTCATGGACGGTCATGAACTGGCAAACCACGCCATGCATGATGAACCGTCCGTACGCATCCCGCCTGAAGAACTCGCGCGACAGATCCAAGCCGTGGCGAGACAGATCGAAGACATCTACGCGTCGGCACTGGATCTGGATCTTCCATCTGTTGTGAAGCCGCCCAGGTATTTCCGTCCTGGGAGCGGCTTCTTCAACGCAGCAATGTTCTCCCTCCTGGAACAACCGTATCTAAAGTACAAGCTCGTCCTAGGAAGCATTTATCCCTGGGACGCGCAGATTCCATGGGCCAAGTTGAATGCCTGGCATATTCTTGGTAGCATGACACCAGGCGCGACCATCGTCATTCATGATAGAAAGTGGACGGCGCCTATGTTGAGGGTTGTCTTGTCAGAGCTGAGGAGACGAGGCTGGAGTGTGGGGACTGTGACGGACCTCCTGGGCCAGTCGATGGAGGCTATCTAGGGTTAGACGAGATGGTGAGGAGCATCGTCGGTGGACATATTACCGTTGACCAAGTGAAAGAATATGCTACATTCAAGGGGCAGTAATGATGTTTCTTTCGCAACCTGAACAGATTGTATCCATCAGACGCCGAGTATGTTATGTATGTATCTTGTTCCGACCCGCGTCGCCATGCAGCGAGAAATTGAACAAAGACACGATGGGCATACAAACGCATCTGGGCATCAAGTGTTCCATTTCACGCCCAGAAAGCCCTTTCACCCGAATTCATCAGCTTTCATCCTTAGTCCACAGTCGTAACATGAGCCATCAAACTTCGCACATCTTCCAACGAAAAACGATGCCCAAACACAAAGTACACCCTGCTTGCTCTCAATGTACTCTCTCAACGGCCACCATCATCTTAATCATCCGAATATCCATCTCCATCCCCATCTCCTTCCGATCCAGCTCACACAGAGACTAGATCAACGTCCAACAACAGCCTTCAGACTCAGACCCTCCAGAAACCCGGCGAGATCCTCCTTCTTCACCTCTACTAGGCAGTGATCAAAGGAATCAATCCTGACCCGCGCGTTCGTCTCCCCGACAACCTCTTGAAAAGCAATACCAAACCGATTGTGGCCATATCCTCGCTTGCGTCTCCTCTCTTGTTCTGCTTCGTCTTCTTGGTCGTCGTCCGACTCGGAATCAGGCTCTGATTCAGATTCTGTGTCTTCCTCCTCGGCATCAGAGTCGTCGCCCAATAATTCCCTTTGTGCCTTTCGGGCGGCGCGTTTCTCCTCTCTGATCTTCCTCTTCTTCTCCCTTTGTTCCTCTCTCCTTTTCCGTCGTTCCTCCTTCTCCTTCCTTGTTTCGATATCCTCTCCGCCACCAACTCCTCCACCGGTGCCCACAACAATGTACGTCCCTCTCGCCTCATCCAATGCTGCAAGAACCAATGGTGTTGGCGGTTCTCTGCCACTTTTATCTCTCTCACTCACCGCAATCGCTTCACCGACCCACAACGCTAACTTTACTAACGCTCCGGGACTGTTCGCAAAAAGGGCCAGATCTGGTCCTTCTTTGACGACGCCCATACGAAAAGCACGTAAATGGCGGATCTGGTGTTTCATCAGCAAGGAAGAGCCGGTGCGAAGGATTGAGCGCAGAAGATGCTGCGCTGCCGGGATGGCCGTGAGGAGATGTGTGGGATGGTTTGGCGCGAGGGCATCATAAGCGGCGAAGAAGCGTGGGAGCAGTGTTTCCGAGCGCTCGGGAATGTCATCAGAGGTGCTTGTTTGTTGTGAGGAAGTTGCATATGACGTCGAAGAGGAGGACATTGTCGAGACAGTTGACATGTTATTTATGCCGACGTCAAGTATTGCTCCCAGTATGACACCCACGTCGACGGCCGAGAGTTGGGCTTTCCAGCCCCAGGAGCGGATGAAGCCCCATCCTTCTTGTTCGTACGCTGCTCGCCCTGACCCAGAAGGGACAAGGCCGTCGAGGCCATAGACGCCAGCATACTTCAGAAGGCGGTCACGGAGCGTTTTCTTGAGATCCATGTCCATGTGTGTGTAAGTCTGTTTGCATTGAGTCAAAGACACCCCCATCTTGGCAAGGAGTTTGTGCAGTCGCTTGACACCGGATTCGTTCCAGATATGCAATCGAGAGGCAAGATAAGGGGAATGCATCATGCTGTCATATAGAGACCAATGCCTTAGAAGAAGAAATCGCGGATCCGGTGTCAGTCGGATGGAGGTGTCGCTGGGTGAACTTGAGCCGCCAGTACCGGGTGATATTGCAGGTGACTGATCGGCTGGTGGGGGATTCAGACGTCTGACCTCGTCGCGGAGTAGAGCATATGTTTGGGAAGACCGCGTTGTCCGCCATCCTCTGTGCTGCTCATGTGGGAGGGCCATTTCTCTTGAAACATCTGTCCCAAGACCGGTCGATGTGTGGCCAGACAACTCGAGCGAGGTGACGCCAATGATAGCAAGCCACAGGATGTCATTGTCTTCGCGCCCCAGGTCTGACGCCAGAGAATACGCCAGAGTGGAGACTGGCTCAGAGTAGGAAGTACCTAAACTGCTGTATTGCCTGAGCACCGATTCATGTTCCTCCCGTAACTTTCGTAGTCGTCTGCGTAGCTGTATTGCTGTCTGTGGTTTGGGTGACTGTGGTTTGGACGCTGGTGACACTGGTTGAGAGGAAGAAGGACTTCGGCTTCGCGGGGACCCAATAGAGGATCCTGAGTTGCTCCTCCGTCGTTGACGCGGTCTTTCTTCGTCTCCTTCGCTGTCTTCACCTTCCTTATCGCGATCGGACCAGGACTTCCGTTTTCTGGATGACGAGCTGTCTTGAGCTCCTTCCTCTTCTTCCCTTTCATCATCACCATCGCTTTCATCTTGATCGACCTGAGGCATTTCTGCCAGCGCACAGTACGCGTTTCTCTCTGTTTCTAGGTCGCCAGCAATGTCTCCATCATCAAAGACTATTATGCCACCCTTGCCGGACTTATAGGATTTTTGGATGCATCCTTTCTCCACTCCCCGAGCGCGTGGTCTCGCTTCGTTGATGATGTCGCCCAAAGGTGCTTCAATTGGTTGCCCGCCAAAGACATTGTCCAGATTGTACGGTCTTCTTGCATCCAGCACCCACACTTCGACTCCGCACATTGTCTCACTCGACTCTTCGCCCTCTAAACCTAGAAGAGCCCCTAGGTCAACTAGTCCTCCGACACCGAGACAGATGACGAGGCCACCACTACCGCCCTCTGTAGTTTTCATGGGCCGCACCAGTTCTTCGCCGGCCTTGGACAGGTCTGCATATCCCGAGACCGGCTGTATCTTGTGAGGGATGTAGTCGCGCTTGAGCAGCGCTGTTATGATGCGGCACGCGCATAATGAATCAGGTTCGAGAGCAACCAGAAGCAGGACGGGAGGAGAGAGCGGATGGTAAGAGCGGATGAGGTTTGTATAGAGGTGTGAGATCAACGGGCGCGGGAGGTACATGACGGGATTGGAGTCGCGAGTAATTCTGGTGGTTGTTTGACCGTGGTGTTGCAGGGCATTACGATGAAGAATTAGCAGCACATTATAAAGAGGGTCGTCTCTGGGAAGTGTATCGCGTCAAGGGGTGCCCTAATTCTGTCGTCCGTGTGTGTCTGTGACTGCGTCGGAAGGATTATGCTTGAGGTGAGTTATTAGTTATGGCACGGAAGCGATTAGACCCGTCGCGTGTGAAGAGACGCGTCCCCGAGTTTTGTTGCTAACAACGTCATCCCGCTCGCCGGATTCCGGCCGCAGCCCAGACCCACCAAGCCTCTCATCACACAGATGGACCGATCGATCGGCTACAATCAGAAGGACAGAGTAGACGAGACAAAATAATCCTTCAAAGCTGTACAGAAATCCAAGAATCGCTCAAAGTACAGACACTTGCATATCCTTACAAAACGCTCACAAACTCAACAACAAAGCTGCATTATCCCCCGCATCCTCCTCATGCTTCTGGCATTCCACGGCCTTATTCACGGCGATGAGGGCTCGAACGGCGGACAATCTCCCCCACAACCACCTCCGAGATGCCATGATGTCCAGGACCAGTAGGATGGAAAACCCTCCACTTTTTCATTTCCGGCCATTCAGGAACGACTTGAGGGTCAGGCATACCCTCTTCGTCACCCAAAGGGTTTTGAGACGTAGAGCCTCCAAGGGACTCTGCAGCCTTGGGCGGAGGCATGTTGAAGAACCAAGTAGCGCTCCTGTCAATCTGTGGTTCCTCGACCCCGGGCTCGCAAAACCGGTGGCCATCGAAGGCACCATCAATATCCAGATAAACAGCGCCATGAAGCTCTGTCGTCGCTTTGATCACGTCGTTCAACATCATCACCAGCTGGTTGAGTTCCCTTCTCTTGGATTTAGTCAGGTAGTCCAATGGCCTGGTTTGACTGAAGGTGGCAGTGTCGCAATAGTCCGTGTCCTCATTGAAAAACCGAGCATAGCCAGTAACGACCAGAAGCGCGCCGGGTTTCAGATTCCGGACGGCTCCGGAGATGATGTTCTCGAGATTTTGAAGCGCCGTTGTCTCGATGATTTCTCGGGCCTTGACAAGCTGGGCTTCACAGCCAATCGACGGCTGCCAATGATAGACGCACTCATTCAAAACCACAAAAAAGTTGACATCATTCCCGCTGGCCGTCAGGGTAACAAGGTCCGAGTCGCCGATATAAGGGACCTGGTCTCGCAGGATGACGGTGCTAGTCAACCCGCCACATGCAAGGTGCTTGAATCTGGACTTGTCGATGTTGATCAGAGAGTTGTTGGCGACTTGGATGGGATACGCGTCAGAATAACGCCCACACCGGAAGTCTGCATATGGTGGCCATCCGGGTGTGCCCGCTCCAGCTCCCGAAGCGTAAGAATCCCCAATCGCGGCGTAGGAGCGTGGTGATTGATGATCGGCGCGGAGGTAGGCAGGAACTGAGTAGCCACCCAGGCAGAAGAGAAGGAGCAGAAAGGCTACAAAGCTGACGGATGCCATGGAGAAGGATTCAGAAGTTACACACAAACAAAACGCCCGAGGCGCTCATAGCTCTTCGCATCATATAAACTATCTGCGCCGAGTGCGAGGAAGAGATGAACGGAGATGCGGAGAAGGAAGAGAGTCGAAGCAGATAAAAGAACGAGGTTGCCTTGCCCTGCTGACTCATTCCCTGCCCGCCTCGCCGCACATCTTGGGTTGTCAGACACGTCGATCCGGAGCCTTCGTTGCCTTTCAACGGAGCACGTGGCGTAAAATGTCCTGTCAGACAACTGGTCATTCTAGAAAGCGTCATGAGTCGTGGTCGTCTGACCATTCTTGCAACTCTCACAGCTACTGGATGCCGTCCAACACAGTCCGTTGCTGGACCTCGAGTCCCGGGCTGAGTCGAACCTTTCGTCAAGCATCTGCGCCGCTCTCACTGCGTTTGAGTTACTTCCTTCGTACCGCTCCCTGCCCGTCGCCATTCGATGGCTGGCGAGGAATGAAGCGATCCGCCACTGCCAAAGCTCGCCCTCAACTCCCAGATTACTGCGATGTTGAGCCACGACGTGATGATACGGGGAAACCCATCTGGCCTGCTCCGGCGGCCGCCATGGGGGATGCCAGAGCATTCATAAAGGAATGGTGTGACCCGCCCTTTTCGATTTGCCCTCGTCCGAACCTCGAACTCGTGGGCCGCAATGCTAACTTGAACAGCGCCGCAAGTGGCAAGAAAGCTCTGATTGTACCAGACAAAGACGCCGACGGTCTCTCATCGGGCGTCATCCTATATCGGACGCTGACGAGCCTCGGTCTCGAGCCATCCTTGATCGACGTCCATCTTATTCAGAAGGGTTCTTCAATCCATAGTCAGCCAGAGCGGGAAGCTATGGCCGCTAAAGGTAGTTGAGGGTGAGCATCCAATTGATTGAATGCATCTTCTAACAATCAATCAAGGTCCGGCGTATGTCGTCGTGCTCGACCAAGGATCTATAGCAGCGCCACCCGTTGTCGATTTGCAGTCCACGAAATCTTTGATCATCGACCATCATTTGAGCGACCACTTTCCCGAAGGTGCACAGGTGGTCTCTGCCTGCCATTATCCGCCGGTTTCAACATCGTCCCTTCTCACCTACGAGATCTGCAAGACTCTTGCCCCGGACATTACCTCATCCTGTGCCTACCTTGCCTGTATCGGCACTCATGGCGACCTTGGAAACACCCTAAAGTGGTCTCCGCCATTCCCCGACATGAAAGAAACATTCAAAGCATTCACCAAGAAATCCATCAATGATGCAACCTCGCTCGTCAATGCACCCAGGCGAACCGCCAAATATGATGTTATCACTGCATGGACTGCTCTTCTCCGATCAAAAGACCCCAAAGACTTGTTAAGCAATGGCCGACTTCAAAGTGCCCGTGCAGAGATAAATGCAGAGGTCGAGTTAAACACGCATACTCCTCCAAAATTCAGCCCTGATGGACGAATTGCTGTCCTGCGGATCAACACACGTGCGCAGGTCCATCCGGTCATTGCCACTCGTTGGGCCGGGTATCTCAACTCAAAGGCCTTAGAAATAGTCCTTTGCGCCAATTCGGGTTACGTCCCTGGGATGGTGAACTTCTCCTGTCGTATCGCCCGATGCGCAAGGTCGAGGCATCCACCTGTCAACATCATTGAGAGCTTGAAAGCTGCTGCAGATCTTTCATCCGACGGCCTGAGAGATCGGCTCGGAGAGAGCTTTGCCAGAGGTCATAAAGAAGCCAGCGGTGGAGTTGTGCCTGCCGAAGCTTTCGAAGAGTTGATGGTTTTGTTAAAGATTGGTGAAAAGCCAGAGAAGGCCGATGACGCGGTTGAGCCGAGAGCAAAGAAAGTCAAGACTGTCGAAAAGAGTCCACAGAAAAACACCCTTGCGAACTACTTCCGGAAACCATGAATGACCTTTAGCTGGCAGAAGACATCATGCCCCATTGTATCAACTGGAATCATCGTCGGTCAACTCCGCAGACCTTGGCGTTTGGTATGAGTCCTGCAACTCTCGCAGAACAGTCGGCAAAGTCTCCTCGAGAGCCATGTTTACGAGCCACTGAAACATCATAGGATCACCGCCGAAAAGCGGGCCGCCCATCCTTTCAGAGAGTCTCTGGGGTAGATGGTTCTCGAGAAAGGTGTTGTAATCTCGGACACTCTGCATTGTGGCCGGGGAATTTGCGCAATCCACATAGGGAGTATGGGGACGTTTTGCACCGGGGAAGAGGATGTCGAAGATTCCAAACCACACGGACGTGGCTTCCCTGCGCATTTTCCTTCGCTTGACTGCTTTGTACTGTTCGTGGCTCATCTTCTCTTGAAAGGGGCAATCCCTCAAAATGCAGGCAGGCCTGGCCCGAGCGTGGACACCGCATTCGCTTTCCGACTCGAATTCGGCATAGCAGGATGAACAGTAATATTCAGGTCGCCGATGGACTCTGTACAGGTGCTGCTTCAGCCGGGGAATGTTTGTTAGACATACGCTTCGGCATCGGCGATATGGTTTTTCGTGCAAATTCTGGTTCATTTCTGAATATCTGTTTGGGTCGTATTTGGCATAAGGACAGGCAAGAAGACCATCTGACGCAATATCATCCGGGATCGGACTCTCGATGCGTGGTCTCCGTGGTCTTCTTGGCTCGTCTTTATTGTCATGTGCACGCCGTTTCTTCTTTTCGGACGATCGAGTTATCCCAGCCGCCTGTTCAGTTGACGGCCGAGACCCTACCGCAACCTGCTCCCCACAGTTCGAGCTTGTCGATGATCCTTGCGAGGTCGGAGGGGTGCATAGATTCATCCCTCGGCTTGCAGAAACGAACCCTTGCATCAAGTCTTGTACAACCCCTGAAGCCAGGTTTTCAATCTCTCTTTCACTTTCGGAGTCCATGCATGGTGGGGATTGAGAATTGAACACGAACGACTCCTCGCCGGAGGAAAATATATCCATCTCTTGGGCCAGTGATGGGGTGGTGGTTGTGAATTCTATATCAGCATTCACCTCGCCGGCATTCCTTATGGCTTGGTTTGCCTCCATATGGCTGGAGAAACTGACGAGGTCGTCCTGATCACTCTCGTTACCTGGGGGGGAGCACGACGGAAAGAAACCATCAAGCCCTTCTTTCACAAGTGGTGCAGTTGGGGTGTCTTCAGTCGCTGCCGTCAGCGCCGATCGCGTCGCAGCGGTGAATGGCCGGACCAAAGCCGAGTTGATGCGGTCTAGAGCTCCTCTCTGCTGCCTGTCGTTGTCATTAATGCTACAGGTCATCCCATCTTGGGGTTCCCAACGGCGAGTGACTGGGTCAGGAACGGTGGAGCTCGAAGTCATTGCTAGTTTTCGACCAGACAGGCCCTCGATTGAGCGAAATGTTGAAGAAATGCTCTGCTTGGAATCTCCAGAAGGAGCTCGGATGGCGGTTTCTCCTTCCAGCACGCCTTTTGGACACCCTTCATCTTCATTCGCGATCGCTTTCTCATTCTGTACTCTGGGAGTTTGATTCTGAGTCTCTAAGTTCGCCTCCTGTGGCACTCCTAGGAAAAGGAACGATGACAGGTGCTTCATGTTGAATGTCGGAAAATATTGGGGTGTTGATGCCAATGCTCTCACGTGCTCCACATAAGCATGCACAGCAGCCAGAAGGGGGCTTTCATATGAGACACCTCTTTCGCAGTCTTCGCATCTCACTTTACCATATTTGGAGGCCCATCTACTCGCATCGAACTCCCATTTCTTATCTTGCGATGAGTGAGAGTGGTGCATATGGAGACACAATGCAGAATGGGTGTACTGCTTTGAATCGGCACAGAAGAAACACCCGTCTAGATGATATGAAGCAGGATCTCCATATGTTCTGATACATGGCCAAACTTTCGAATTCTCATCAGATCTGCAGGCTCCGCAGGGTTCGTCGCCGTCGCACTTGCAGAGTTAGCTCATCACCGCAAGTCTCTGCTCAGGCCAGAACCTTACCCGGTCATTCGACATAACACAATGTAAGCAAGGACGAACGGCTGGCTTTTTGTAGTGTGGATTTATGGGGGCTGAGAAAGAGTCGCCAGAGTCTGGAGTCACCATAGGTCTAGTGCGAACAAGCCGACGCCTTAGAAGTCGCCTTACGCGCACGGCAGGATGACATTCCATCGTGGGCTAACTCGAGGTTGAGAGAGGTCGAAAATATCTCGACGTTTTTGCAGCATAAGCGATGACAACAAACGCAGTTTAAAGGAGATTCTGTCCAGTGGAAATGAGGATCCTTGTTTGATACGTTCTAAGAATTTCTCAGAGAAGGAAGCCAAACGAGGGGGCAGGAGCTGGCGTTTTTGTAGATGCAGCTCTGGAGAAGGATCCACTGACTAATAACGGGCGGAGCAGCGGCTTGCCAAACGGTCAGAGCTGAAAAGTCACAAATGTGTGTACTTGTACGGGAATCCTTCGAACAGGTTGCACAGCCACAAAAGGCGTCCCAGTACATGAATGCCCCCATTGGTCGTGAAGCGAGAATCCTATACTCTGTACAGAGTAGTACTTGTAGGCGAATATGACCAGCACCAGCGGCAACAAGAAGAAGCGCAAATACAGCCTTCGGTGGCGGCGGCATCGAGCACGACATTGTGTCGGGGTTTCCGACATCTGCTCTCGTCCGGCGAGGCTCCGTGCGAGTTCTTGCTGCTGGGACAAGAGTCTGTCGGATTTGCTCCAGCTTTGTTTGTTGAAAGCCTGGCTCGGGCTCGAGCTCGAGCTCGGGGGTTCCTGGGAGCAAAACGTCGTCGACGCACTTCTTATTTGGCGAGGGTGAGAAAATCCAACAGAAGCATCAAGTGAAGATTGCTTTGAACGACTGGAGTAGAGGGAGAGGAAGAGGAGGAGCAGACGTTGAGATCCAAAGACTATGGAGAGAGGTCGTGGACTTGTTTCTGGTTTCCACAACGGACATGGGCACATAACATACCTGGCAGCAAAGACTCCACCGCGCCAGAAGATCGAGCGCAATACATTGTGGGAAACTAACTAACTGGGGTGCTCTCTCTCAAATTGATTCACACCACCCCCTTTTGATCTGATCGACATGACATGTCCGCTGAAACATACCTACAAGAATGTATGTATGTAACTCACGCAGCTCAAGCACTCACACCTGGTCTCCGTGCCTCCTCCTGACGGTGACCATGACGTTCTTCTGCTGGTGGAACCAGCCCTGCCAAACGGTCCACTCCTTGCCGTCCATGTGCATCTCGAATTCGAAATCCCGCAAGACGGCCGGCAACAGTTTGTACATCTCGGTGGTGGTGATGTGTTTCCCGATGCAGATCCTCTTGCCGTACCCAAAGTGCATCATGTGCCTCTCCATGTTGGCCGCCGCCTTCTCGCCGTCTCGGAACCAGCGCTCGGGGATGAACTGTTCGGCGTCGGCGCCGAAGACCGACGTGTCGAAATGCACGGCGTTCGCGTTCATTAGCACGGTCGTGCCGCCTGGGAAGAAGCGCCCGCAGATCTCCACGCCGGGGTAAGGTACAACGCGAGGCAGGCCCGTGCCAAGCGAGCCATGCATGCGCATTGCTTCGCGGACGACCGCATGGAGGTAGGGTAGTTTGATAGCATCGTTGTAGCGGATGGGGTATTTCAGCGTGCCGTTTGTAAAGGCCTCTTCGATTTCAGCGCGGAGTTTGGCGAGAGTGTACGGATTTTTATGCAGGTAGTAGAAAATCGAGGTCAGTGCAATGTACGTGGTGTCGGAGCCTGCCCAAATCATCGCCCAGATTTCCGTGGTGACGTCGAGAATGCCAAAGTCGTTCTTCGGGTCGTTCGCAATGTCAATGAGTTTGCTGAGGACGTCGTTTCTATTATATGGTCTCCCCGCTGCCATGTCGTCTAGGCGTTGCTTCACGGCCGCGTGGGATTGGTCAATAACGGTAAAGAATCCCTTCGCTCCAGCGCGAGTTGCTGGATAGATCATCTGGGACAAGAAATATAGATTCCGGAAACCCCACGGGAGATTGTTCAGTGCAGCGGCTGGATTGGGCATGACGTCCATCAGGTGGCACCAGTTGTTATAGTCGACTGTAGGTATCCGTTAACGCTGGGCTGATACCATCCAGCTCTAATGCCGCCCGCCCCTTCGAAAATGGAACAGTCTTTCAACGAGACAGGGACTTACTGTTATCTCTGATGAAACCAAAGCCACCTTCGCGACCGTAAAAGATCTCGCCAATAATATCAAATGTGTACTTGCGAATCCAAACTGATACATCGAAGACCTCGCCTGTCTCGGCAAATTGGTCCATCTGCTTGCGGAAGAGGGCGATGACCCTGTCGACACAGGGCTCGTATTCCAGAACGGCAGCCTGAGTGTACAAATGCGCTACTGTCCGCCGTCGCCAGGTGTGAGCTGCCTCATCCCGTTCAGCGAAGCTGTCCTTTCGCTTAGAAATATGGGTGAGGAAATTGTTGTAAAAGTCGCCCTTGGTAAACTCATACTTCGGACCATAGATTGTCTCGATTGCAGAGGCGTCCGAGATTTGAACCTGGTTCGGAGCAAGCCGGACCATGGTGCCATATTTCTTGTGGATGGGCAGTTGGTAGTCTTGTCCTCGACCATTTCGCACGGCTCTAAAGTACCAGAGACTGGTAACCGAGGCCCAAAACGGTCCAGGTATATCCCTCAATGGGTGGAAATAGCGATTATAGATGGCGTAGCCCAGGATATAAACAATGATGGTTGGAACAAGGATTTGAAGCCCGAAGACAACATTGTCCTTGGACAAGAGAGGTGATAACAACATCTTGTTGGTTCAGTGTAGGACTGCTACACAACGCAAGACACAGCGTGAGGGAGGGTGACACGAAGAGGGGAGAGACGAATAGGCGCTGAACAAATGCAAGCCTGTACCTTGAAGTCCCCTTTGATCTCCTCAGACAGAACCGAGTTGAAAATATGCGAGACCAGCCTACCCACCTATCATTAACATCCGAGGACCTCTCCATGCATGCAGTTCCTCCAAGGATGATGCCACCAGGGATATAAAATGCGGTTGGCTGTTGATTCATGCGTCCTGGGTCCTGCGGTTGAAATGTCCTGTCGGGTATCTTGATCGGACCAAAGGGTTCAATAGTTGAGATACGTGGCACTCTCCCTGGCCATCGTGTCAGGGCAGCATCACTGGATCGAGTTAGCTGTCAAAGCAGGGATGATGCAAAGATTACCCATACGGGCCAAACAAAAGCTGCGCATTGGTTTCCATGTAAGCCACTGCAAATGAGAAGTGTTGGGAGACCTCAATTGATATGACATGTGGAAGATGATTTGACCGTTACCATGCAGAAACTACTACTGCATGCAGGTTGCGGCGCTGCCGCCGGCAGTTCGATGAATGGCGACCGCCGGCAGCTGGAAGATGCGGGGCCGTTGACGGGATCGGTCGAACTTGGGATGATGGGATGATAGTATCACGGGGAGCAGCATGTGCATGCTAGAGGGATCAGAGTGTAGGAGAGAGAAGGCGTGTGAGATGCTGATTGAGCCAGAGATGCGTCTAGTGATGCTGGTGGGTGTGCAGTTGATCCCAGGTCCATGGTGATGGGACGTCGACGGAAAGTCACGCGTGTGCCAAGGCCGAAGCTTCCCTCGCAACCGTCGCGTCCATCGCCTCGGCCCTGTTCCGCCCGCGCCTCTGACCGAAAATGTTGCATTGCAGCCACAACCACGCATCTGAACATCCTAATTCTGTGCCTAGTCTTTGCCATCGTTGCTGATGACGATCTGAATCACACTGCGGAGTCCTCCCGCACAGCCATCATGGAGTCACTCGTTCTTCGGCCCTTGAACTCGATTGAGACTCACCTCAATGCCCTAGTCGCGTCCTTCACCCAAACCAATACCTTCGCCAATGCCCCGCAACTCGCCAAAGACCTCATCGCCGATGACGACGACCTTTCCTCTGCTCTCTCTTTGCTGCAGCGCCATCAACACAATTATGCACGCATACTCAACCTCCGTGCTGAAGTCGCTACATTACAAGAGCAATTAAAGGACACGATTCGAAAGTGTGTTTCGTTCAAGCAGGATATCGGCCAAATCAACCCGTCGATTCTCGACTCCGATTCGGACGAAGAAGGCGAAGATGGGGACTCGCAAGTCGCCGAAGTCGATTACCACACCCTCCTCACCTTCGCTGCCAGGATAGGCAAACACAACACCATCGCAGCGAGGGAAGCTGAAGCTGAATCGCTACGGAGGAAGATCGCCGCAAAAACCAACCAGGATCAAACATCTCCAACTGCAGCTCTAAATGGAGTGGAACCCTCGGCCACGGGTGAAGTCGCAGTTGAGAGAACAGAGGAGGGCAGAGATGAAAACCGCACGGCCGAAACAACGGCAGAACTGATGCGCATAAACAACACAATTGCCCTTCAACGCGCACAAATGGGCATGTCCTTCCCTGATGCCGCTAGTCTGCGCGTCGGCGCCTTGGGCCAGCTCCAGCTGTTCCTGGAGCGGCAAAGGCAGCAGCGCGGGGGCGATGGAGGCCTAGGAGAAGATGAGGACAAAGCTGTGCAAGAGGCATTGGAGACAGAAGTGGAGAGGCTGGTCAGGGAGAGTGAGGACGTCGCAGAGGATACAGGCACGGGTGGGAAGATGGCGGATGCAGATGAATTGATAAATCCAGAATTAAGGAGAGCCTCGACCGTCGATGGAGAGAAGAACCACGGTGCTCCTGCGGCTGGAGGACATCCTTCAACGAGTCAAGCGCAAGCCTGGAAGCCTCCGAAGCCACCCCAGCCGAAGAGAAAACTTGACTTGGATTTCCCCGATAGTGACGAGGAAGACGAAGACTAACGCTCAATGGAAGTGCTGTAAGGCTCCCGGTTCGGCTTCTGCCTGAGCCAATGTTCACTTCGTTGTTTCGAACGAAGAACAAAAGCCTGCGGCTGAATCGCTCAGCTCAATCGAGCATCGACGCTTCGAGAGCAATTCTCTAGACGTCAAAAAGTGGCCATTCCCCCCCCCCCCCTGGTAATGGCAGCCAACACAGTATGGGCTTCGCATCAGTGAGGACGCGGCTCTAAGCCTCCAATCCCCAAACTCAGGGATCACAACAACGAGAAATCTCACATAGACTGCTCTTTTTTCCGTTTGCAGCCACGCCCGCGTGATGCGACCTAGGCCGGACCGCCCGATTGACCGACGTCGAGCTGTCCAGAAGCTACCTTGTGGTCGGCAGGTCGCGCCAATACAGCTAGACCGAGGGACAATATACCCTTCCTCGAGTCGCCGCGAATCCGAGCACTTACGAGGCATTACACAGCCCACGTCCCTTTACCAGGTTCGTCGCGTAAGACCGTCATCATTGTCGTTGTTCTTGTTGTTGGTGTTGCTCTCTTTAATCGGGATAGGCTCTGGTTTACAGCTTCTGATCATTTCTCGCGTGGGTTCATGTCCCTATCCCTATGCCTGTTCCTATGCCTGTTCCTATGCCTGTACTCGGTATTGTTCTGCCCATGCTCGTAGCTCTAATCATCCAACACCGGCGGTCGTGATTGAACTATGATCATGATCATGCCTTCCACGAGCATTCCACCACAGTTCGCCCTGTGTCGACTCAGTCAGCTACATTACTAAACTCTTCCGTCTTGACTAATCGATGCTGTAACATACATGGGCCTTATCCATCCTCCAGGCTCGCAGCTCAAAACATGATCCTCGACCTTTGTCAACAGACGTCCCTCGCTGCATTCCCCAACCAAGCCATATCAGCCGTGACTTAGCGTCTCGTCCTTCGACTCACTCTTCGATTTCTCTGCCCGAATCCCTTCACGTTGCGGTGTGTCGGAGGCTGCGAAGATGAATTCCTCGGATCAAAATCCCCGTCTCTATCAGAGTCGTCGTCTCCTTTTTCAGAAGGTGTCTCACTGCCAATCAAGTCGGATAACGTTGGCGACTTTACAGGCTGTGGTGTTGGTCCGCCGCATTCATTCAACAACATCTCGTCTTCTGGATGATAGGGAGGAGTCGGTTCGTCTAGCATCCTAGCTTGTGGTTCCCACGGTGTTATGAGTCGCGTATCTTCGACCATTTCTCGGTCGAAATCGGCTTCACCAAGTGATGTGGCGGGAGTGAATGCAGTGGAAGGGGTTTGAGGTGGCTCTGAAGAATGTTGCCTTGGCCAGTTCGTCATGTGGCGTGGCGGCTGAGATGCATTTTGAAGTTTTCTGCGACTCCTGGTCCTAACCGTTCCAGAAACAGGTTGGAGATGTTCCTCAGCTTCCTCTGCGGTACCACCATAAGTCCTGTCGAGGTTCCGGGCATCAGCATCAGACCCGTCGACAACATCGTGCTTGGACACGAAGCGATAAGTCGGTGAGCTCATTATGCTCTCGTCCAAGGTCAGTGGCTGCTGAGGGTCCGTTTCGTTGAAGTCTTCTCTTGCCATAGCAGCCGCTACGTCTACGTCGTCCAAGAGTCCCTCGCGACGCCACAGTTGCTCATATCGAGGGTATTGTTGGGTGTAGAAGGCTAGGTGCTGTTGGTGGAGAACCGCTCTTTGTCTTGAATATTGACGCATCGCTTTTCGTTCAGCCTCTCTTGTTTCCCTTTCGATTTCTGCCCTCTTCTCCTCCAACTTCTGCTGGATGTACTGCGCCTTTTGCTCCTCCAGACAAAGGCGATAGCGTCTTGTCATCTCAGGATCACATTCTAGCTGGTGCTCCGCAAACCCCTGATAGACCATAACCTCCTCGGGCTTCTTCGTGGGGGCGATACCGTATCTCAGGTCGGAGAAGGACTGGACCCAAGAGTTGCTTTCTTCGAGCATGGCTTCTTCCCACGGAGGTAACGGAGAGCTTGCGCGAGGAAGAGGATCGTTCTGGTCCGTCAGCATCTGCTCTCGTAAGGGATGCTCCATGACTAAAGCACGAAAACCTGCCGCGTAGTGTATGAAGAACCTGAGGTACAAGTCGAAGGATCGTGGGACGATGGAGAAGAACTTGACGAGACATTTTGTTCCCGCGCCTGTGAGTGAAAGGACCAAGTGAAGATCGAGGCTTCTCGGTCTGAGTGTGTAATTAGCTTGGTCGACCGGCTTCTCCGATGTCAAGAGCCAAGTCATCAATCGAGGAAGTCGCGCTCACTATGTGCTTCTTTCTGTCCCTCACCTCCTTTCACTGCCGGACCAAATAGAATCATGTCTCCACAAATAGCAATAATAATGAAACAAGTTACACTTATCCATATCGCCGTCGACGAGTTCTGTCAACATTCAAACTGGTAACATGGTGTCAGTAGTAAAAGGCTTGTCCTCAGTCGTTGAAAATCTACCTATGTACCATCCATCAATCATCTCCCTTAGTCGCAGCCAGAAATGAATATCCAAGGACCATCGAAACCTTCGAGCTCTACCCCGGAACTCTCTGATTCGGCCGAGATGGTAGCTTCGGGTATGATCATAGTGGTTCTTCCCAAAATGCGTAGGAGCTCTGGAACGACAGGATCTTGGAACAATCAACAAAGCAATGTAGGCGGGAGCAGCTCGATTCATCGAACCGACCGAATGTGAAAAGAACCAAAAAAGAATTCCCTTCGCGGAGTTTTCACCCACGTCTGAGTTTTGTTTGCAACCTGATATCACAGATACCAAGGCGGCAACGCCAGGACGAGATTTCAACTACGAAGTCAACGGTTTCTCTTTTTATTTCTGTGGGTGGCAATGTCTGCTGCGTGTGCGGGAGAAGGGAGAGGGACTGTAAGTGATAAATGACAGAGATAGAAGTTTGGCCCTGGTGACTGCGATTTCCATATGGAAGCTCTCTCATTTTCACCGCCTCCATTCAAAGCACTGTTCTCTGTATGGGCTTGACCAACCTATATGTATATCGTGGTGGCCCTAACAAGGCTCCGAGTTTTGTTGACTCACATGTTGTGGACCGAACTGTTGCTGGTCCACTTCCTGAAGGTCTTCCCGTAGACGTAAAACAAGATCCCAAAAGAGCACCACAAGAAGATCAGAGACATATTCAGCATGATCGGCGGGAGGTATCCATCGCGGATGATCCATGGCGTAATAAACTTGCCCAAGCCGTATCCCCAGACATTTTTGTTGACCGTGATGGCGACGAAGATGGAACCTGCAACCGGTTTGTAGGAGTCGACGCTGTAGGTCGAGGCGATGGCAGGGATGGCGGCAACTTGAATGCCGGCACATGTGTAGCCAATTATGACAATAATCTGGAGAGAGAATTAGCCGTACTGTCAGCAAGGTCGAGTCTGAACATTAAACTTACTCGCCAATCCCACTTGTATTCATACCCAAAGGCCACGACAAAGTTGTTGATGAGCATGACAATCACGTAAGGGATCATAGCCGGCAATCTCATCTCGGGCTCTCGGATGCCCCTGTTTCTCTTCGTCGCCTTTGCTGCGATCCAGTCGCTAAGCGGCCCGTTGGTAAGCAGGCCTATCAACGCCCCGACAAGGATGGCGAAGTTTGTATATCCGACGCTCTGTGGTGAGAAGTTGTACGGAGGCGCGGCAAAGTTTTGAGACTGTGTCAAGTTGATTGTCAAGAATGATGACGCCGACCAAGACACGACAAACGCGGAGAACTCGATAATAGGGTAGAGATGAAGTTTCCAGGGAATCCAAAGATCCAAGAGGATGGCCTGGAATGGATGGGTGTTATTTTGCCACAGCATAAACTGTTTCTTGGACGGTGTCCCTCTGTGGAGGTATGGGTCGCGTTCAGCCGTTGCGGCTGCCGTCAAATCAACAATGGTGGGTTCCACGGCCACGCCATTCTTCTCTGGATCTTCAACGGCTTCAGAGGTTATCTTCTCATCGAGGGAGTCTTGCTTCTGCTGCGCCATCATTTCCTTCGGGTGTTGGCGATGCCATTTGGTTTCTGGGAAGAGGAAAAATAGCCCGATGAAGACAGCTGAGTGAAGGGCCACGTTTAGCCACCAAAAGTTCCGCCATGTAGAGTATTGCGCCATCGAGCCTGAGATGATCGGTCCAACCTGAGAGATGCGTGAGTAAGGGTCTTCGTGCTGAGGGAGCCTCCCCTACCATCAAGCTGCCGAAATAGACAGTAAAATAAAGAGTATTGTATGCGCCTCGTTCGTGAAGAAATAATACATCGGCAATGACTGTGGGTGCAGAAGTCTGTCTCTGACTTAGACACGATATAAATTCGAATGACTGTTGTTTCTTGCATACCTCTGCAGGCCCTGCACCTATGCCGTTTAGGATGCAAGCTCCCATGAAGCTCCGATAATCCTTGGCCACGGCTCTCCAGATGTTCGAAACGAGGCAGATCAGGGTGGAAAAAATAAGGACAGGTCGACGACCAAAAGCCGTCTGGATGGGCACCCTGTGTGAATCAGCAACAGAACGGCAATTGGGGTGTTAGATTGCATTGGCCCACCAGAGGAAATTGCTGAAGCCCAGGACGAGGATACAAACACCCGTGAACTGGACGGCTCCTGCACAATGGGTGAGACAGAAACAGTAAAAAGGGTAGTTCGACCATTACCTGCGAGATCCGTGTCGAACGCTTCGATCAGATTCGGAAACATGGGTGCAAGAGCCAGAGGACCGAATCCTTGGGCGAAAGTCACGACAATCACCATTGAGACACTGGAGAACTTCCAGAAGCGGTTCCAATTCTAGAAAGCCGTTAGAAGCATCGACCACCTGAGTTGGCCGAGTAGTTGCTCACCAGAGGATCATGCTTGTCCGCCGACGGTTGAGGCACCAGAACTCGATGAGATTTATCGGATGACTTGACGAAATGATGAGATCCAACATCGCTCATAATCTCGGTGCCGGGATAGATCTGAGTATGAAGCTCCTCCTCCAACTGCGCACCGATTAGAGAAGTGTTTCAGACAGGAGGATCATCATTCACCTGGTGGAGCGTCTACAGGGCGTGAAAGTCAGCACATGAACATTAAATATGGAGGATGTGGAAATACATTTTCATCATAGTTCATCTCCATCTTGTGGAAAAGACGCGGCGGCGACACACAACCAAAATTCCCTCCTTTGTTGATATCAGTCTCGCAGAGAATTTCAAGCCTGGAAAGCTGGCACTCGATATTAGCCTTGCAGCGGCGGGTCTCGCTCATATATCTGCGGGCGTCACGGTGACTTGATGAGGAGAAGGCCTCATCACCACATTGGCATCCTGCATCGGAAGGCCAGAACCGATAGCACGCTTTGACGAGAAATTCCTCGGAGCTGCCACCTGGCGTGGAAGTATTCCTGCAGAGACATAGAATCTATTGAGCTGGTCACTCTGTAGTAGCTGAGTAGCGGACCAAATCAACGATCGCTCCCAAAGGTCTGGCCCGTACGTCCGGGAGAAACCCCTGAATGGATGGAGAGTTTATCATCGTCTCCTTCGGCTTGGTCAATCGGCTTAAGGATGGCGTTAGTCATTGGAGAGGATCGTGCGAGGCTCCATAGTTCTCTTTGACGAGTCTGGGGACCCCATGTCAATCTCCACGTTCTGTAGCGCAAGCCTCGTGTCGCCGCTAGGCTAGAAGGAAGCTCTGGGTTCCCGCCACGCGAGCTGGTGTGGTCGGAAGCGTCCAGCCTGCCGGGAAGGGACTTCACCGATTAGAAACCCTGTTGAGGCTTTAAAGTTGGAAAATACACCAAAAAGGCGGGGTATTTCCGTCATCGTATTCAAACGCAGGACATCATCAGCAGAGGCATGGGTCAGCTTCCAGTCAGTCCGCAACGCTTGAAGCCCGAGACGTCTAGCAGCTTCGGAAGTGGGCGAACAGACAGGCTGGTCTTGTCATACTCCGGTTGGCTGTTGCAGGACGCGTTTTGCTTTTTCCCTTCCAGGCGTGTGGCAGGCAGGGTACATTCCCGATTTCCTCCTTGGTCGGCAGAGGGTTTTGCGGAGAAAGATCTGGTGATAATCTACTCCATCCTTGTATCGTACTGTACTCACCGTCTCAATGTAGGAAGGTACCAGTGGGAAGTGTAGAAGCTTGAGGATCCTGTTGTCCGGGAGGCGAAGGTTGGTACGCGAGGGTCCAGGCCTTACCCAGTATAGGCCTAGAATTGCAGAAAAAAATTGGAAGAAGTGTTCAGGAGGTCATCGATAATGATTCAAATGGCTGTCTAGATCGTCAATTAAATGAGTACGTAGAAGAATGGTATGCTCGTTGTCAAGTCCCTCGCTTTCCCCATCCACTGAAAAATCCTCCCGTGCTCGCCGTAGCCGCGTGTGTAGATTTGGGAGGTTCCTTTGTCGCTTGACTAGGACTTGGCGTAGACATCGTTGGTGACTCGGTTGTGCTGCCTCGCATTGTAGGAGAGGAGGTCGCTCCGCCCAAAATCTTACGCAAAGCATCTAGTTTTCCTTTGGTCTCCTCCAGCTCCTGTCGTGCCACTGCCTCGGCTGTCTTAGCATTCACTAGCTCCAATAGCAGGGCATCGTTGGAAATGGGTTCGTGGTTTTCTGTGGCAAGGACAGCTTGAGTGTTGAGGCTGCTTGAGCGTTTCGAATACGGCCCGACGCTGCTTGATCGAGTCGTTTCCGGCCTACCTAATTTTAACTCTCGAAGTCCAGATTTAGGAGGAGGCAACTTCAAGTCTGGGAATTCGGTGATAGGAGTGTAGACGTCGGCAGGTGAATCCGGCACCGAGTTGTTGCGTGAGCGCAACTCGCTAACTGTCCTTTCTAAGCGTTGCCTGTCGCGATGTGCATCCTGAATTCTGGCTCGAGCATCTCGCAACTGCTCTTTGAGGCTGTGCTGTTCTGCTTCTCGCTCATCAAGCTGTCTCATCAGGTCCCGACACTTGGTCACCTCAGCATCATGCTTCTCCTTCCACTCCGATACCGCATCACGAAGCTGGTGTTTGGATTGGGCTACGGAAAGCCGCCTTGAGCCGTCTCGACACAGTTGACATTCAGCTTGGGCCATGAGAATATCCAGCTCCATATCTTCGTCTGTGGCATCGGAGCCGTCTACCCCTGCTATTTCTCTAATATCTGCGGTCTGTTGTCGTAGACGCTCCAACACTCTTCGTGCAATCTGCTGATCTTCTTCTCGTTCTTCACGTTCTCTCTGAAGCTCTTGAGCAAGCTCGACATGCTGTCGTTGGACTTTAGACAGTTCCGTGAGCAGATCTTCGATCTGGTTATGGAGATTCCGGTTACTCGAATCTGGGGTTGGGATAATTGCCGAATGGAGGCTAGTGGCAGCAGATACAGTGGGTTTTGGTGGTCCTTCATCAGAGAGTTCTGTGCCAACTGTACTAGCCTCTGTGTTTGTTGTTTCGAGCGAGTTCAGTGTTGAGGTTAAACTTTGACCAGAAGATGATTTTCGGACCGACTTGTTGTTTCCTGGAATCATGAGGCTCAGATTTTGAGACCTGGAAGGCGTATGTGACGAGCCTGCCCAGAATCTGCCCAAGAAAGAAGACACGGCACTCTTCAACGAGGGTGCCGCTGTTAAATTCTGCGAGTGCCTGAAATTTGCCTCCAGCGACTGAAGAGACTCTTGGCTCACCAACCCCGTCAGTGATACGAAGTCCGACACCAGATCGTCTGCATGTTGTGCGTAGGTATCCCATAGACTCCTCGAGAGCAGAAACTGCATGGCATCCTCGAATTCCGTATAGGCAAGCAGCTTTTTCTGATTCCGCTGCATCAGTGACAAGGCAACCCTCATCAGCGTTTCCGTTGCACCTTCAGAGAGTATGACGTCGTAAATCCTGAGTAGCATAGGAAGTGGACAAGTGACGGCGAAAAATGACAAAAACCATTGTGATACGTAAAGCGGTTCGATCTTTAACTCCTCGAGATGAGCCGCTAGTGCTGGTAAGTGTCGTATTAGAAGCTGTTGAAACTGGTATATTCGAAGATGCAACCCTGACAAGTCTGGCAAATAACATGAACGAAGATCATAATTTTCCATAAGCCTACACCCAAGTCAGTATTCTTCTGAAGAAGGGAAATGGCAGACGGACCTAACAAGGATGCAAAATGCTTCTGGTTCACTCATATGCATCAGGAGTGGTCCGACAACGAACCCGAGACCTTGGCAATATCCGATTTTGCTGTCATAAAGTGAGAACGCTTTCAAGACTTTGCCGAGCATTCTTTGCCCGTCACCATCTTTCTCGCGAAACATGTCGACATTTGGAAAGCTCCTACCCACATCCTTTCCGATCAAACCATCGTAAGGACTCGGCTCATTGGAGAGTCTCTGGTATTCTGAATGGAGAAAGCCGTCGTGAGCTTGAGCGATACTAGGCCAGACAACCCCACGGAGAGGTGGTGGAACGCCTCCTCGAATCTTGTTGGAGGTTAGGGTGGGCAGTCGCTGGGCTGTCTGAGTGTAGTCTTGAACCAATGCCGCCCAGAATTCCAGTTCGGTCATTGGAGGAGCAGGTAATAGCGAATATCTCAAAGAGTGGCGCTGGGGCCCATCTACCATTCTTTTTAACTGTTGTATTGAAGGAGGCCGGGTATTTTTGCGTGGGCGCGAAGTCGTTGTGATGCCAGCCTTGGGATTGGTGGCTAGCGCTGCGTTCTCTTTTTCCAAACGCGCCAGTAACAATGTTGTGGACTATCTTCACGTCAGCCGCATTCATGACCACAGAACTGTCGGGCTCACTTCATCGGTGGCTTCGTCTTTGTGCTCTTGTTCCTCCGTTTTTTCAAGGCCCTCCCAGTTCACAGAATTCAACGAAATCGAGCTCTCGGAAGTGTGGGAAGAGGATCGACTGGTCCGGGTCGATGACGGGCCACTGCGAGGCAGCGAGGTCTCCTGAGAGACATCTCGTTCGGCAATAATATCGAGATCAGGGTCAAATGGGATATCTGAAAGTCGCACTGAGACCATAGAGCTTCGTGGAAGTGGGACGTTCTCGGGTTCGATATCACTCTCACTCTCGGGGAACACATTGGAAGGGACTTGAGGGACAGCTTCGACGTCGGCCATAGTTGGCTGGTCCTCAAGACTACCGAGTACAGGGAGGTCTGCTATTTTATGCCAGGGGCGGTAAGTGAGGCGGGGGATGGATCAGAGAGGTTGGTCTCCGGGGGGTGGTTGGGATTTGGTTAGCAGCAACAGCCGGGAGAGATCACAAAGAGGGACTGCTCGCCAGGTCTGCCAGCGACCTTGCGAGGGGAGTGCGAAAGAGGGAAGTAAGGAATGAATGTCGTCGAAGACGATGAAGGGGAGGAGTGTGAGTACTGAGCACTGAACAGTGAGCACAGTCCACAGACATGTTTGAGCAGCGGTGGGCCAAGGGGCTTTGAAACTATGGATTTGGCACTAGCTCGCCCAATTGCCCACACCCAATGCTTGATTGCCCACCGTTCAGGCAATCTCGGCTCACTGCAGGCCCTGAGTGCTAAACCATGAGAAGCAAAGGCTCCAGATCATGTAGAAAGTCTCAGCATGAAGGACTCAGCACCGAGTACGAGGTATTATGACCATGAATGAATGCTGGGTTTGAAGAGGGAGCTCCTCAAGAGAAAGAGACGCGTCAACCGCGGTGCGGGGATGAGATAGATAGTATTGTGGTTGACAAAAGGGTCTGACGCTTCTGAAGCCGCGATTGCCGCAAACTATGGGGGTTACATAGAAGTGCATGTCACGCGATGAGTTGCTCTTCAACAACAGGGCGATATGTCGAAGTCATATGTATGAGTACCCAGTACGCGGTGCGGAGTGGCCGCAATGGTCGATACCTAGCCAGGGCAATAGGAAGTCTGCGGCATAGCACTATTGGTGACCCAAAACCCGCGCAGTTCAGACTTGGGTCAGGGGCTTGTTCCACTACTTGTCGATATTGCATATTACCGAGGTCATTCACTAGCCTGAACGGATTTTCAGGATACTGGGCACACCATGGCTTTCTCACCCACCAACCCACGAGGTACTGATATGCCAAATTATCGAACTGAGTAATAAAGAAGCGGATAGTGAATGGGAGGAAATGGCGAGAGGGAATACAGGACTTTTGTCTTAGCCGCCTGTGGCGCCCCCCTGATGACCTAAACAGGCCTAGTGTTTGACGCGACTTCTTGGCATTGTTGGGTCGGAAAGTCGCCTCCAAGCCGCGGTGTTTACAATATCAACAACCGTCTCCAGAGTATAGACTGACAACTTGTTCAACCTTCTGCGATAGTTGAGATAATAAGGCTGGTGATATCTCTCTGTATTGCATGCGTTCAAGATCTCATCCTCCTTGACCCCAATGACTGGGCGTTTCTGATCTACATTTCTTTTTGACAACACCAGCGCGATGGACGACTCGATGTTCGACATCGACGACGGCAGCTCAGATTTTGAGCCCGCTGCTGTAAGCCTCGGCGCGTCTCAAAGAAAAGTGAATGGGGTCTCTAACAAGCCTGTCCAGAAACCCAAGACCAAATCAGCCAAGAATGCCTCCGAGCCGAAACCCGCGACAAAGAAGGCAGCAGCAGCAAAGGCGAAGGCTGGCCCGAAAGCGAAGGCCACCGTTCCCAAGAAGCGCTCGAAGAAGGACTCTGAAGACGAGGTCTCTACAAATGAAGCTGCCAACCCCTTCGACGATGAGTCGCTCCTCGCAGACACCCCTCCCCAGGCAAAGAAAGCGAAGCCGAATCCTGTCAAAGGGAGTCACCAGAAACCTCTGGGTGATATTATCAATGAAGCTATAGGCCTCGATGGCGCGAATGACTCCCCACAGCCTCGGAAGAAGAAGCGCGTCTCCGAGCAATACCAAAAACTTACACAACTGGAACATATCATCAAGCGTCCCGACACATATATTGGCTCGGTCGAGCGCACACTCGCGCGGATGTGGGTCTACAATACGGAACAAGATTGCATGGAGTTTCGCGACGTATCTTTTGTCCCTGGTATCTTCAAAATCTTCGACGAGATCCTGGTCAACGCCGCAGACAACAAGCAAAATGACAAGAAGATGGATGAGATCCGTGTCACCATCGACCGCGAAAAGGGTGAAATCAGCGTCTGGAACAATGGCCGAGGTATACCTATCGAGATTCATTCGAAAGAAAAGATCTACATTCCAGAAATGATTTTCGGTCATCTCTTGACCGGCTCAAATTACGACGACGACGAACAGAAGATCACAGGCGGCAGGAACGGCTACGGCGCAAAGCTAGCCAACATCTTCAGCACGGAATTCACCATCGAGACTGCTGACTCGAAACAGAAAAAGAAGTACAAGCAGACGTGGACGAAGAACATGTCCGAGATGGGCAAGGCCAAGATCACTGATGCCAAAGGAGAAGACTACACCAAAGTCACATTCTACCCTGACTTTGCAAAGTTTGGTATGACCGCTATGGATAATGATCTCGAGGCGCTTTTCAAGCGCCGGGTCTATGATCTTGCCGGCACCTGTAAAGGGGTCAGAGTGAAACTCAATGGTTCCATCGTTCCCATCAGAAACTTTAAGAAGTATTGTGAAATGTACACAAAGGCGATCAAGAAAGAACGCGGTGACGAGGCTGCAAATGACACATCTGGAATCATCACAGAATCTCCCGATGACCGTTGGGAGATTGGCTTCGCCGTTTCTGATGGCTCTTTTCAACAAGTCTCGTTCGTCAACTCCATCGCCACCACCTTCGGGGGCAGTCATGTCAACTATGTTGCCGATCAAATTGTCAACTACTTGATGGAAGTCGTCAAGAAGAAGAACAAAGGCGGTGCACAAATGAAGCCGCATCAGATTCGAAATCATATCTTCGTTTTCGTCAACGCCTTGATTGTCAATCCCGCTTTCACATCGCAGACCAAAGACCAACTGACTACGAGGCCCGGTCAGTTTGGAAGCAAATGTCCAGTGTCTGAAGAGTTTTTAAAGAAAGTTGCAAAGACCGATGTCGTTAACAACATTCTCCACTTTGCCCAGCAGAAAGCCGATCAGATCCTCAAGAAATCTGATGGAAGCAGGCGAAGCCGAATGAACAACCCCAAGTTGACGGATGCAAACAAGGCCGGCACAAGAGAAGGCCACAAGTGTACCTTGATCTTGACTGAAGGTGACTCGGCCAAAGGCCTTGCAATGGCAGGACGATCCGTCGTCGGCCCCGATCTGTTCGGTGTATTCCCGCTACGGGGCAAGCTCCTTAACGTCCGAGATGCTTCCATTGACCAGATCTCGAAAAATGCTGAAATCCAGAATATCAAGAACTTCCTTGGGCTTCAGCACAAGAAGGTGTACACTGACACCCGCGATCTCCGCTACGGCCATTTAATGATCATGACTGATCAAGATCACGACGGGAGTCATATCAAGGGGCTGTTGATAAATTTCTTGCAGGTCCAGTTCCCCAGTTTGCTGAGGATCCCGAAATTCTTGGTCGAGTTCATTACTCCCATTGTCAAGGTGTGGAAGGGTGATCCTAAGAATCCTACACAATCCCGCTCGTTTTACACCATGCCAGAGTACGAGGCTTGGAAAGAGGCACACAAACACGAGCGTGGATGGGAAAACAAATACTACAAGGGGTTGGGCACAAGCACGACGGAAGATGCACAGCAATACTTCAATGATATCGACAAGCATCACAAGGAATTCGACACCATGAAGGATGAAGAAGCCGCATTGATCGAACTTGCGTTTTCCAAGAAGAAGGCGGATGACCGAAAGGAGTGGCTGCGGCAATTCAAGCCAGGCACGTTCTTGGACCACACAACTAAAAACATTTCCTACACCGATTTCGTCAACAAAGAGTTAATCCTTTTCAGCATGGCCGACAATATCCGATCTATTCCCTCGGTCGTTGATGGTCTGAAGCCTGGACAGCGAAAAGTCATGTATGCATGCTTCAAGCGCAATCTGAGAAAGGATATGAAAGTCGCTGAGCTTGCGGGTTTGGTCGGCGGCATGACCGCCTATCACCATGGCGAAACATCCCTCCAACAAACAATTGTCGGGCTGGCGCAAACTTTTGTAGGGTCAAACAATGTCAACTTGCTGGAACCCTCCGGCCAATTTGGTACACGAAACCAAGGCGGAGGCGATTCTGCCAGCGCTCGATATATTTTCACACGTCTATCACCCTTCGCCAGGAAGCTATTCCACCAAGCCGACGAACCCCTTCTGTCCTACAACTATGACGATGATAAGAAGATTGAGCCTGAGGTGTATGTGCCGATCTTACCAATGGTCCTCGTCAATGGTGCCGACGGTATTGGCACTGGCTGGAGTTCCTCCATCCCCAACTACAATCCGGAAGATATTGTGGAAAATCTCAAACGCAGAATGGCAGGCGAAGAGTGGAAACCAATGCAACCGTGGTTCCGCGGATTCAAGGGTGAGGTCAAGGCCACCGGACCTGATCGGTTTCAATTCAGTGGCATTATCCAGCAAACTGGTGACACCGAAGTCGAGATTACGGAGTTGCCGATCCGTACCTGGACGCAGGATTTCAAGGACCGGCTAGAAGAGATCATCAAAGCGGAGAAGGTTCCATCGTTTATCAAAGACTACAAGGATTACAACACCCACGACACAGTGCATTTTATCATCCAGATGGATGAGAAGCACGTCAAGTCTGCCCTCGAAGAAGGTTTGGTGGAAAAGTTTAAACTCACAAGGTCAATAGCGACATCCAATCTCGTGGCATTTGACCCGGAAGGCCGCATTACGAAATATGCAAATGTCGAAGCCATCATGGACGAATTCTACAGTTATCGTCTCCAGCTGTATGCTAAGCGGAAGGAATGGCTACTGCAAGAGATGCAGAAAGACCTCAGACGGCTCACCAACCAAGCTCGATTCATTCAGATGATAATTGACGGTAAACTCAGCATTTCCAAGAAGAAGAAGGCTGTCCTCGTTGCAGAGCTTCAGAAGCTTGGATTTGACGTGTTTCCCAAGACAGAAGATGCGGCCAAACAAGGTGAGATCGAACCTGTTGTCGAAGAGGAAGACGCCGAAGAAGAGTCCGTTGACGCCAGCGCCTACGATTACCTTCTTGGCATGCCTCTTTGGTCCCTGACGCAGGAGCGAGTTGAGAGACTCTTGCGTCAAATCGGAGACAAAGAAGAGGAGATGGATACTTTGATGAAAAAATCAAAAGAAGATCTCTGGAAACATGACCTCAATGAATTCATCGCAGAGTGGAGGTTCCAGCTGGAAGACGAACACAACCGCAAGCGCAATATCCGAAAGGGACGTCGAATCTCGAAGAAATTCGCAACAGCAGCAACGACAAAGCCAACCATCAAGAAGCGGAAGGGACTGGGTGATGCGTGGGATGACGACTCTGACTTCGAGGCATCTGCCCCAAAGGCGAAGAAGAGCGCGCCTCCGAAAACAGTTCAGGTTCCAAAACAGCGCTCTATCACCGCGTATGCTGCCCCAAAAACCAATACTTTAAAGAATGCTTTGGAGAAGCGCAGCATGTATACTGATGGTGCCAGTGACCCTCTTGAAGACCCAGAGGACGAGCTTACGAAGCCCGGCGACAATAGCCTTGCCAACCGAGTAAAGAATGAGCCTGAGGACGCGGAAAGCCGTATCCCCAAGGCCGGTACCCGACAAGCTCGGGCAGTGACTAAAAAGCCAACGAACTACGCATTGTTGAGTGACTCTGAAAGTGACAACGGAGACGATCTGCTCGCTGATCTTGGTGATATGGTCAAAGGTCTACCAAGCAATCCCACAGATAGTGGCACTGAATCACGTGCACTTTTCTCCACTTCTGTTTCCCGCCCAAGCAGCAGTCATGGCTACAAGCCGGCTCTGAAACCAGCTTCCAAGGCCGCTATGGAGCTGTCAGAGGATGAGACCGACTACAAGATGCTTGCACCGCAACAGTCTCCAAGACGATCCATCATTCTAACAAATAAGGATGACACCAACGCTATGGAGGATTCTGACGAAGACGATATACCAGTAAAGCCCGCCAAGAAACCTGCACCTAAGAAAGCCAAGAAGGTCGTCAGCGATGATAGTGAGAGTGATATTGCCCTCCCAAAGGCAAACAAGAAAGGGCCCATCAAAAAGGCAGTGAAAGAGGAGCAGCCGAAAGCAAAGAAACCAGCCGCGAAGAAAGCTCCAGCGACGAAGAAGGTTGAACAATCCCCCGTTGCGAAGGCTTACGCAAAGAGACTTGCAAAGAAACAGGTCACGGCTATGGATGCCGATATGGATGCTCTGGCGGATGATATTCTAAAGTCTCCTTCTGGTTCTGATTTAGATGCTCCTATTGCAAAGAAACCGGCGGCAAGACCTGCGAGACGAGCAGTGACCACGAAGAAGCCAACGACCTATACTTTTGATGATGATGAGGATGATGACAGTCAAGATGCGGGCTTCGACGATGATGGTTCTTCAGCAGCGTTTTCGGACGGGTGATCACGCGTCAACAGCAGTGGTTGAATTGATCAAGCACTTGCATGGGGGACTAGACGTGGAGGTTGCATGAAATACGAAACGGGAATCTGGACTTTATTGCAGGATTTTCTTGGGGCCGCGTAGACTCTGGTTGGCACAGATATCACTGTGCGATTGTGACATGATTTCTTTGGGTAGAGCATACTATTGAATTCAGCCTTTTGCTGACTCGGACAGTGATCGGCTTCTGACCACAGCGAAATGCATCTTGCAGCACGATGCAAAGAGCAGATCTGTTTCTCTGTCTTGCAAGGCGTTTGAACCTCCACAAACTCTCTGGTTTCCCCGTAGCACTTGCGAAAGCTAGAATATGCTTGATGGGCCCAAGAAGGGATCTTACACTGTTGTGTATCTTGTCTGCATATCTTGACGCAAGCGTTTCTTTGTCTGTTCTATAGCTATCGCAAGGCTAACTAATCGGTGTATCGATTGTGCAACCAGCTAATGCAAGGTACCGGCGGAGGAGGATTAGGATCAACGTCTGGATGGCGAGGCCGGCACCACCTTGGTGAGTCTTCTTTTCTTCCGAGTGAAGATTCTGATTTGGCTGATGGGTAACGGTTGCTTTTACGATACACCCTTGCCCTCCTGCCGAACACCGTGGCTCGAGGACATCTGCAGATAGTAGGCGAGTCCCACGAACCCGGCCTCGGCCTTCAGAGGGAAAAACTGTCTGCCTGCTTTGGGATCTGGCTTCATCTGAATGTTGCCGGTGGTCTTTCTGCACTTACTCTGCTGTGTAGGCATAGATATCTCGCCTCGCGTCTGCCTCAATGCCACGAATAGCCTGGAGAACCGTCAAGGTATACTAATCTTTCACAGATTCTGATCTCCCTGGAGAACCTGGCCCTCGCGTCTGCGCCATTCCGAACCTTCAAGGACGAACTCCTACACCGCTCATCCAGCGTGTCAGCCAAATTCAGTACCGTGGATACTTTGATTCGTCAAGGAAGGACGATCATGGAGAGACCGCTTCGTCCACCACCTGGCCTAGACTGGCCGCCTGCCTCAGTTATTGCATGAATGCAAAGGCATGCCGACTTAACAGCCCTTTTCTTTGTATCAGAAGGGCGAAGTGAAACCGGCTGTGATCGTTTCATGAAGATGGTGCAGGTTGCAAGCTTCTAGGCTTTGTTGTGGCATGTTTTCCTATTTGCCATTTACCATTTGCCATTCCATCCCATCAAGCAGGTATTTTTGGGGCGCGAGCAGATATATCAAACCATTCCTGCAAACGTGAAGCCTTCTCATCCCTCACTTTCTCTCAGTCAAAGTGATCTTCGTTCGGGATGGCTGCAATCCATTCTCTCCTCAACCCGATCAGAGACAATGAGGACTATGACAGCAACAACGACAGCAGGGATGAGGTTTCCGCCCCCAACAGTCCAGCCTCGCCAATGTCTGACGTGGTTGAAAATGGGCCAGACAAACGCACTCGAAAGAAGCAAAAGATGTGCAAAGATGCCGCAGTCTTCAAGCCAGGGGTCATTCAAGGGGAATGTCGATACCCACCGGACGAGTATCAAGATGAGTTGCTAGAGGCTAAACATCAGATGTACGAAGTCTACCCGGTTGGCGATATAGCGACTTACCCCAGACATATTCCTTACAACAGCGAGAAGAAGCTGTTTTGGGAGAAAACGGGGCGAGAGAGCTTCGAAGGTACTCCCTACATCCTGTTGATACATGTCGCCCAGCTAATCACACCTGCCTCTAGTCTTCCAATATCAATTCAAGATGCCAGGAGACTCAAGTACCTACACAATGCTGTGGGACTACAACATCGGCCTGGTCCGTACCACGCCTTTGTTCAAATGTGGAAACTATTCAAAGGTACGCCACTGAGTAGTTGGCGCACACAGCTGAGCTGACTGCCGGTCCGCAGACGACGCCTGCAAAGATGCTAGCCAGAAACCCTGGATTGAAAGAACTCTGCCATAGTATCACTGGAGGAGCTCTGGTTGCACAAGGTACGCCTAAGGGGTAGTGCTTCTCGCTCAGTCCGAAGCTGACACAAGATCCAGGATACTGGATTCCCTACGATGCGGCTAAGGCAATGGCTGCCACATTTTGCTGGCACATTCGCTATGCCCTGACGCCGGTGTTTGGAAAGGACTTCCCAGACATGTGCCTGCCCCCCGACTCTGAGGATTTTGGCTCCATGCAGATTGATCCAGAGATCACCAAACGCTGTGCTTTGCAAGCTCGGCACTATCGCGAACTCGAGAGCAGCTTGGTTGCATCAGGCCCATCGTCTGGCATATCCAGTCCTCGGACACCACAGACACCCCAAGTTCGCCCTCAACTCCGAAAGATCTTGCCCAAGTCATACAAAGAGACGGACACGCTGAGCGAATACTCGACAGACACAAGCCGTGAGGACAAATATGAATTGTCTTCTCCCTCGCCCCAGGTTGCCTTTACCAACCCTTGGTCTGCGGTCAACACTCCTCGCTCTCCTTCTCTCAGAATCTCTTTTGACAACCAATCGTCGCCGTCCAGCACGACTAGGTCGTCTTCCCCTTGTCGAACGTCTCGCAAAGCTCGAATGGCGGCTAACATCCCAAGATCCCATACTCCTCTTGACCTTTTGCCACCGCCTCGGAGGCCACTGTTCGCGACTACTGCGCCCATGGATATCGAGCCTGACCAATCGCTACCAGACATGTCTCTTAGTTCGGCTACGTGTGCCACGGAGGTTGACGAAGACTATGATGGCGGGTCAGACGATTCTGAGGATTGGGAGACGAAGAACGGTGTTGCGGCGAGGAAGAAGTCGTCGATGGGATTCACCGACACCAAGGCTGCATATGTGTTGATGAAGTTGAAGACGCACGGGGCCATGCTCAAGACGGACTCGAAGTCCTTGAAGCGTCGGGCTTCAGCGTAGGGGTGCCTGGTCCCGAGGGGATGCCGCTTTGTCAAGTTAAGAGGCGTTATGAGCCACTGCTGAGATGAGTGATGACCAGTCGAGGAGTAGACAAACATAGCATACCTGCTGGACCTGTTGATCGTCTCTTTCATCCTGTTGGCGTGGATTTGTGTGTTGGGCGCCTTCCTTTTACTCTTACATTATGTCTTGGTTTGGGGGTCAGTCGCCCTTGCGCCTCACTTCAACCTCTTGTCTCTCATTGTGCCTACACACTACACACTCATCTCATCCGACAGACTATTTGCTTTTACCTCTCTCTCAATTCTTCTGTGCTCAGCTACGTCGAGAAGCTCAGCTTCTTTGACTCCTCCCTTACTACTGCCGTCCTTTTTGCCAGCCGCAGTATCAACTGTCTCTCATCTCTCACCATGCCCGCTGCAAACCCACGAAACAAGCTCTACACTTGCCGATACTGGGCTCTCGGCCCCGGTTGCCCAAACACTGATGCTTTCGGTTGGCTTACCTGCGAGTTCGCTCACTGCGATACCGGTCGACTGGCCAGTTCTGTTCAACAAAGAGGTACATGCCTCCCGTGGAAGCATTTTGGATATTGCGGCAGCGGTGTCGGCTGTTGGTATGAGCATCGAGAAACGGGGGTTACGGGTCTCTATCAAGGCAGTATGGAGGCCACCATGGAAGCATAGTTCAGTGCTGACAAGCTGCAGCTGTCGAGTTGGCCGGCTTCGAGCTGGAAGTTGCAGACGCAGCTACGGAAGCTGGGTTCAATACGTTTAACCATGAAGCCTTATTCGACCTCATCTGGGCTGTCAAACGACTTGCGTTGCAAGCAGGATCTTGTCATTTCCAAAGGACCCGTCCTCCTAAAGATCCAATATACCCTGACAGGTATCGCCCCAGCGGTATAGGTGATAATGAAAGAATGAAGAGAGGTGCAGTTACCATAGAGCCTCCAGAAAATCATTCCGTGGAGTTGAAGTTTCACCCTGTTCAGCCTTTGATGAGGAAACGGCCCCCAAATGACAGGAAGCAAGAGAACTTGATTGACTTGACGCTGTCGTCAGACAATGAAACCAACCCCACAGACTCATCCAATGCCATATTCAAACGTCAGAAAATGGTTGGTGGGAGTGATAACCCAACTGCAGTCGATCACCGCCTTAGAGCTTCCACCGCGCTCCGAGGGAGAAGCGCATCGTTCACTTCAGTCCTCCGATTCTCCAAGCGCCCATCTCGAGCTGCACACAAACCTGCCAACAAGGGAGCCCAGGCTGCCGCAGCCATTCCAGTCATGCTGAAGGCACCTCTGGCAGCCGAAGACGAGATTAGCAAGCAGTTGCTCTTGGTCAAGGCCAAGCTTGATGATGCCAGGAATAGTATGAATACCTGTCAAGGAACGATGAAGGCGCTATTCGACGCGCACTATGAGAGGTTTGACAACGATCAGATGATGCTAGCTCTTAAGAATCTGAGGAGCTCTATGAACCAAGTTCATGACGGTGGCAAAGAGGGTGCAGAGGAGGTTGACAAGGCCATCGTATTGCTGGGAGTCAAGAAGGACTGCATTTTGTAGACGAGGGAACTTGTGTGACGTTTGGAAACAACAACTAACCACAGGCATTCGGGTCGACGTTGTGTGTGTGTGTGTGTCAGTACAGATTAGTCCAGGTCTCGTAGCACAGGGTTGTAGTCAATGAGCAAAGAAATGGTCATTTCCAGAGACCAGAGTCTTCCATCGTGTCGCCAGGTACAGCGACAGTGGAAGATTCGCAAGGCTGACCCGCCTGACTTTTCCAGGGGGCGCGAAGTCTCGGCACTGCGGCTGCAAAGAATCCATGAAGATCGCTTGGAGTTGAGGATCTTGAGACGACCATCACGGCCGTCCACCTGCAGTAACTGCACCCCCCTAGTCGACCTTCGCAATCATGAGTGAACGCTGTAGAACGGCCCACGCTCTCACTGCCAATGGTCCACGAATCATCTGAGGATTTCCACCGGTCAATCGCCAGCCTCGGTGCGCAACGGTAGAGTCCAGTCACACCTGCAATCACCGCTGGGCAGATTACGAACCAGGCCGCCGCGCAATGTCCTGCATGACATGGCGAACGTGGACGAAGTCAATCAACAAAGGTGTGGCCAATTTATTCTCAACTCTAACGGTGAATCCAACAGTGGTGAACGGCCGCTGCTAAACTTCCTGTCAAGAATGAAGAACGCAGACACCATGGAACTGGAGCAAGATAGGAAACATCCTGAATGATTTGGAATGTCCCCAGAGGAAATGCGAGAAGAGAAGTTTTCATGTGTCACCATAGCGGCAGCGAGGGAACATATGCATTCTGCCGCACCGTGGTAAACATGGACATCAGATTGGACTTCACGCCTGCGATACTCGCTCATGGTGATCTTCACTCGTTCGCCAGAGCACGCAGTCGCGTCGTCTGAGCAGGATTCTTTCTTTTGTTCGCGCCGTTACGATTGGGCTGATTGACAGCATCCTTACTTCTTTTCTAGGACCGATGACTTAGGACATGTCTAAGCGCAAACAAATTGTCCTGCCGCACACTGATTTTTCTTGACTACGGCAGCACAATTGCCAGTCAGTACAGGATAGCCTTGTCAACTCCTTACTCTGAAATCTGTCAACACCGCCGCATGTTGGTGTTGGGACGATGGCTACTCAACAGAACAACGGTGGACAATCTCCGCTCGCAATCGCCCCCTCCCTCATCGTCGGCATAGTGATCCTGGCCTCATTCGCATGCATCATAATCTTCGCTAGCATTTTTCGCTACTGCCGCCGGAGCCAGTCTAGCTTGGTAGATCCTGAACTCGCGTCTGATATGGGGGGTACTGAATTCTACAACCCCAACAAACCGCCATCGGCGGCACAATCTGCAAGATTGAAGGAGGTAAGATGGATCAATAACATGTACGCGTGGGAGAGAGGGCGGCAGGCGCGGATGGAAATTGGAGAAATAAGACCGACTACTATGCTCGTGGGACGAAGAGGAGAGAATAAGAATTGGGATGAATATTCCCTCGCAGGAGATAATTCGTGGCCAAACGTAAGTGCCATTGAACGTTTTCGCATACCATTATGAGAAAATGTGCGCGACATTTTCTGACACTGTGGTGACAGCAGAGCACGAGCAATGGCAGTGGCAGTGGCAGTGGCAATGCTGCAGGAGGATACTGTCATACTCCGCATTTCTACGATCTCGATGACCCTCATGTACGGTCTTCTTCGCAGCAACGCTTAAACCACCTCGCACCTCCCGCAGATCATGTCCGAAACTCTTACCAATCTACTGCCAGCGGCAACGGTTATCTTCCGCGACACTCATCTGCATTGCTCCCACCACCCGCTCATGGTCGACGTGAAGCGCTAGGATCGGTGACCCCAAAAAGCCCTTTGAGGAATGAATATCAAATTCACGCTGAAGAGCCAAACCCAAGATCAGTGTTCGAGGCTAGACCGCCGTTCACGGGTAATATAGTAGAAGATGATCCCGCTCAACGCACCCAAGGCCGGAATTCTTCTGGCGATCCCAAAATCACAATTAGCGACGAGAGTCAGGACGCGGCAAATAGGCGGTCCCCAACTCCACTGGCATACGATGCAAATTTCGAAACCGTCCCCCTCGATGGTAGTACTCAGATTGCCACAGGCGGTAGGGGCACGGACGCGATCCAACACAACTCTTCGAAGCTCAGCCCAGAAATTGCGGATCATAGACCATCAGTGGTTGTGGTGAATGACGAATCGTATCCGCAGCTCCAACTCCCATTTCTGTCACAGTCACATTACCAGAACTCAGTGAGTGGGTATGAGGGTGACGAAGTGGACCTACGTAGCGGTCCGAATGAGCAGCCACCCATGCATCGCGCCGAGACAGGAATTAAGCAGCACAAAGAAGAAGTGGAGGAGACGGATGAGAGCACAAATGGCCATGACGAGATCCCGAGGGAAAACGTCAAAGGGATGATTCAGGACTGGGAGAGAGTGAATGGAAGCTTTGGAAGGAGTCACTTGGCTGCGCCATAGTACGTGTGTGCATATCGACCGATGACGGGGTCAAGAGAGAGCTTTGGAGGCTAGAAACCCAACGCAGGCCCTTGGCATCAGGATTCTTGTGCGGATATCTGGTCCCGAACGCCTTGGAAAACAACATCAAGTGCTTGCCAACATCGTCTTCATTTGTTGGATGCGCCTCAAAGGGTCTCTCTGATCAAAGGCGAACTCTGAGGTGCTGAGTGAAGTAAGATGTTGAACAAGGCTGCAGCCTCCTGGACGCCAAGACTGCTGCTCAAGGTAACTTTTTCAAATTCCACTGGCACCTGCTTTGCTGAATATCTTTGCTTGGAAAACGGGTCCTTCGCAGTCTCATTCTGCCATGTTACTAGATCTCATATGGAATGCGTGCGAATGTCCAGCCGTGGTACGTCGACCAAATTCGTGCTGTGAAACCTCGTCAGGCGGCCCTTTGGTCCTGCTCCAACATGTCGCTGGTTGAGGACCTTGACCTCCACTGCGGGACACATACCCAGAGGCCCTGCCGTTCATTGTGGTTTGTTTCAGAGGGCATTCAGGGTATAAGACAGGGCTGCTCGCCTTCCTCATTTTCCTTTTTTCCTCCACCTTTGTTAAGCCTGCTCTTTCTCATACCATACCAAGTGTACACCTTGGAGATACGTCAAACGTCAACAAGTCTCACAATACTATCCCCTTCCTCCTTTCAACAAACACGACGTCTATCTGACGCATATTCTCCACTACTATTCAACATGCGTCTCTCATCATCCGCCGTCCTTCTCGCCATTCTCACTTTGCTGTACTTCGTCAAAGCGGCTCCCCTCGGCGCAGTGTCCATCGCCACGGCTCAGGGGCTGTTCACGACTGTGAGGACCTCTATGTTAGCCACACCAACTACCGGAGCTATAGCAGGGACCAGCACCCGCCACAGCGGAGCAAAGATATCACTGGTTGTAAGGCAAGAGGACGCCTTCCATACCCCCGACGCTAAATCGGAGGAGGATTCTACGCTTTATCCTCGCCCTGCCCCGGTGCTTCCTACCTCGCTACCAATGGTGACCACGGTCATGAGCCTGACGGGGCCCCTTTCCATTAGTTGGTGCCCTTGGTGTGGTATTGGTCCTGTGATGCCCACTCAACCAGTACCAACAACTTTGACTTCGTCTGCACACCCAGAGCCCACCGCCGCCGACCGAACTGAAAATGAGTGGGAAATGTCGACGGAATCCTCCAGCAGCCCCCCAATCGACAGCTTCCGGACCCATGTCCTGCCGAGTCACGAGCGCAATCACAGTGAGTCGGGTTGAAACCAACCCAATGCCGACTTGTCCAGCGCGTCAGGAGGCTCACTAGGCGGCAGCATTGGCCATCAGGGAAGCCGCCACACAGAGGGCATATCCAAACGGCCATCCCGACAAGGGCGTCCGGCGGTGTCCCCATGGTCAACACGCGCGACTGAAACCGGGTGTGGGCCCATTCGTGCCGAATGGGTGCGGGGTGGGGATCTTGGCCGGGATGATACCTGGAAGTGGGAAGTTCCGACAGTGCTGTTTCGACCATGATATCTGTTTTGGTGAGTTTCTAACAACACTGGAATGCCTAATTCCTATCCAATCCCTTCAAATATACAAACTGTCACAGTCCTGAAGAAGAACAGAATACTGATCTCGTCACATCCTTTTGCTTGTAGCCGAATGCCCCACGGACGACCTCCTGCAATGCAACGACGCATTCCTGCAGTGCATGACCGAAGTGTGCGAGCACCGGGGCGACGGCCTTATTGGGTATGCGAAGAAGGTGTGGTGCTGGATCGAGCGGAACATGTACGACGAGGCGGTCAGGGGCAAGATGGTGCAAGACCATTTCATGGATATGACGAGAGACCGGTGTTTTTGTGTCGAGGACGGGACAGATCCTATGCACCTAGGAAATGGGACGTATTAGTGACTTTGAAGATTTTGTTGTCGTCGACGACCACGCACTCTAGTCCACTGCCGGCGTAACGAAGTAAACTGATTTTGTACTTTGATCGACGTCAAATAAATGTTGGGGCACGTTACCGCGCGAGAAACCCCTGCCCATGTTTTTCTCCCTCTTTCTTTTCCCGTATACAGATTGATCGCTCTATGAAGACTACAGAAGCAACGCCCTGTTACTCTATGATAATGTCATTTAGACCAAAAAACCCCATCCTTGTCCAGCGGCTTCTACAGCCCTTGTCCTTCGTGCTACGGACATACACATGGCCATCGTCAGTGAAACTAAATGCTGGCATGTGCCGGCAGATATCCGACGAGGCGGCGCCCCTGTCTGAGGATGCCAATACTGTTGCGTCCTCCTCTTTCTTCTTCTTCTTCTTCTTCTTCTTCTATGACATGGCTTTCAGCCGTAGGCGGAGCTGTGGACCGTTTAACGAGCAAGGGTCTTTAGTGCTAGCAGCGCCGTGGCGACGGTGACTGCCGCGAGGTGGCCCATGATGCAGGCTTAACACCAGCCGTCACAGAAGAGTTTAAACATTATCCAACGAGCGACAAATCCATGATCCTATACGGCGTGCGGAGTCAGGATGAACAGAGGCGGGTGGGACGCACACGCGCGTACCTCGTAACGGTCGATTCATTCGATGGTTGCAGCATCTGTGCAAGACGGCGTAAGTGTGTATTTTCACTAAACCGAATCTGTCCATCTACAGAGGCCGCTTTCGCTAGATGGACTGCTAGCCTCGTGGCTGTGATCCGCACATTTGCGCAGCCTGGGTACAATTCAAGCCAAGCTGTGAGATAAAATGGAGGATGTGCAGCCGTGTCCGACTTCAGGCTGGTGACTTCTGGAAATGGCATGACGAGTATGACGAGTATGGCGAGGTCAAGCCTGCCTGGGGAAAGTATATTGCTGGCTGCTGAGGAGACATGGGCGATATCAAGGGAGAGATTCGGCATGAAAGGATAAAAGTAAGCCTCTTCTGCCCGGTCTACGTTAGGAAGAAGCGGGAGAAATGTTTTGATGGTCTAAACTTAATAGTCATGGAATTCCATGCATTTTCCATCCAACTCGAGCGGCGAGGTTGGACAAGATACAAACAACGAGACAAGAATTGTTGAGAGACGAGGTGAGGTTAAGTTCCACAGTATTCAGCTACGGCCTTGGCGTTGCCGATAGAAGCTATGCTTACCCAGGTACCCAGACAGGTGCTGTGTACCTAATCGCAGCTCTCTCCTGTCTCCTTTTGTCACATCATATCGCAAGCCCTCATGGCCATCGGGCGGCTTTGCCAGATCCTGGAGAACTTGCAAAGAAGGGCAATACACTCGGCGCGGAATTTTCGATGTTCGTGGACGGGATGCGGAACTGTGTGCAGGGCGCTGCGATCAGATTGTACGGACCTCTCGTGCAACAGTGTTAGAAGGCCCCTGTTATCTGGAGTACGATAGAAGGCTAGTTTTGTGCAATTGAACTGGATCTAAACGACAGTGTTTCTCAAGGTGAGCTATACAGAATGTCAGAGAATTCGTGGAACCCCAGTTACGCCGTCGGGAAAAGCTCATTGGAAGAGTTCTCCGGGATTGGTGGTGCATACTCCGGACCCCCAGCTACTTTGGTGGCGACTTCGCATGCCCCCACGGCAGCGACTCTGGATAAATAAATACTGCCGGTCGATCCCGGATGTAGATATGGTGCGTGCAGCTTGCTCTGTGTTCCGCTCCCTCCATCATGGATCAACCATACCGCTGCCAAGCGGACAGAAGGCGATCAACCTATGAATTAAAGCACGGAGAGGAAGATACCGATACTAGGTCTTGCGTTGAAATGGAGCTCGATTAGAAATAGCCAGAAGCCGTTATCTTGTGGACGAAACCACAACAGCCATCAGTAACTACGAGGATCATCATCAAAGAAGCGAATCGGCAGGGCCCCAGTCATGACAGCCCTCACATATGGAATGGTATTCGAATGCTGCATTCTCCTCCTTCAGGCAGAAGTTACGAACATACCGTCTATTACCACCCATCAGTAAGAATGCATCAATACGGTGATTGGCAATCTCTCCAACCTGAAAGGCAACCCAATCAAGGATCTCAAACCGAACGCTAAACTACACGAAAGTCCCCTTGTCCATCTCCTTTACTTGGCGGTTGACAGCGAAGCTCGGAGGAAACATCATGAAGCAGGCTAGCCTGCAGAATGCAGCTACCTGAAAGGGCGCGCCTTCGTGAAAGAGATACATGGACGTTATTGGCCCGGGATTCCGACCTGTATCGTAGCATATGTTCCAATTTCGGGTCTGCAAACCAAGTACAGTATCTCATTTTTCCCAGGAGCTCCATGATGATTCAAATTGGGAAAATCTATTTGAGCCGTCTTCAAAAAATTGATGGCTTTGGTCTACAAAGCTGGAGGCCCCATCATCTCAAGCCGCGGAAGGTGAGCCAGCTCGGAGGAGCCTTTACCGCTCTCATACGACGATCGAATGATGGCAAGAGTCGAATGCCCAACGGTGACTCAGTCGACGATCAACTTGGGTCTCTCGCACTATGCGGATGAACATCTGGACACCGAGGGTCTGCTAGGATATTTAAAAGGAGGCGCCGCGACTCGGCCCTCATGAGGCCATGCGCAAGCGAAACCAGGCAGGTGTTTTAAGCTTGACAAGAGGGACAACATGCCTTGCTGGGTTCCCTTTTTCTCGATAACCTAAGTACATAGTACTTGGTATGCGCGGAGTATGTTCGTCTGACGCCGCGCGTGGCACGTCGTACGAGGAGAAAACTGGGACATAGATCGATCTAACTTGATTTGGCTCGGCGGATACTTAGTCTCGGCCAGGTCCACCTTAGCTTGCTTGGCGCCACTGGCTTTGTTGGCTTGGCATTCGTCATAGGGGTCCCGATCCCGACACCGTACTTCGTATTTCCCTATCGTTGCACAGGCACGAGAGTCTATTCCTGAGCGAGCTCACTAAGTTCCGAGGCCCGTCGATCTCGCTCCTGTGCGACAGCCTCGTTCAGCCTCGCGGCCCCTGCCTCATTCAACCTTCACTCGCGCTTGTACTCATGCTCGTACCCTGCCCCCGCGGCCGTTCCCAGGGCCAGATACGGGTATGTATATACACGGAAGGACAGAAATATGGGAAATAGGGATATAGCCAGGGTATCTTTATCCTCAGCAATACCAGCTTAGTCCGATTCGTCTGGATTTGAATCGATAATCACCAGTTTGTGTATGTGTGTGTTGTTCATCTCAGTGTGTCCTGACCCTGGGCTCTCAGCTCTTGAGCCCAGCTGGCCGAGTTCGGAGGCATTGGTTGCCTTTTCACACACACACACACACACACACACACACACATCTACCCTACATATGAAATACCTGCTCGGAGGCAACCCGCCCACTTGCCCGACACGTCACATCACATGAACACAGCTGTGTAGTATTTTCTAATTGTATCGAGGAATGCACTCTGTATGGTCGAATCTGGTTCAATGTGGGAGTCGAAGATAGCAAAGGCGCCTCAGGAGAGGAAAAGCGGCGCAGGGAGCGACACAAAGGACGGCGGCTTGAACGTCAGCAACTGTATTTTTACCACCCTCGTCAGCATGCAAATATAGACGAATATCGACAAGACAGGTATCATCAAGGTTGCACCAAAGCCCATATCGTCACCCCATATCCTGTCCGATATCGCAAGGACATCACTGTATCAACCAGATCACCATAACGAGCCATGCGCAAACGTCATCCTATCCCCAGCGCCATCGCTCAGTGGTATATGCATAAATTCTCAAAATGAAACATGACCAAATCCAGACATCCAAAATCATTTTTAACCCGCAGCACCACGATCTTCCCCTATGATCATAGACAATAAATCACATGTGCAAGGCAACTCCCCCAATGTCAACCAGGGAGGGACATGTCATCGTAATAACCCACCAGCGTCCGAGATACTCAAATCATCGGGTCCACTCGGCCTCGCCGGTCGATCGGGGAATATATCCTCCTGCTGCGAAGGGAAGCGATTTCGATTTGACGACTTCTTCTTCTCCGACCTCATAGGCGAACGACCGGGGCTACTTGTCTGTCTCGGCGACGCTGTCGACGTGGAATGAAGCTCCTCCTCTTCGCGTATCCGTAATGGTCGAGATAGAAGACCACCGATGTCCGAAAGGAAGGCTTTCGAACCGGACCTGACTCCGTGCTGGTGGGGCTGCGACAGGCGACGGGAAACTTCTTGGATGGATGCTTGGCGGGAGCGAGAGATTGGTGATTCACTGGGTGGTTGATCGACGAGGCCTCCGACGTCGAAGAAGCCCATTCTGCTTGGAGTGTCTGGTTCCGCGTACTCGCTGCCACCTGCGTCTTCGCGCGGTTCCTCTAGTTGGAGTTTTAGATCGCGGAGTTTAATGTCGGCCGTTGAGGTGCTGCTGAGGGTATCTAAGGAGGACTTTCGGCGGCTGCGGGACGCTTCTGCAAAATTCCACCTTGATTTGAACGGAGCATGTCGGATTTGGTCGCCATGCTCGATGTTGATATTAGAGGCTTTTTGGGGAACTGCCACCACAGCCACCTCGGCCAAACGAGGGGTCTGTTCCATATACGTCCCGCGGCGCAGTACTGGGGGTAGCGACACGCCAACACCCCTGGCGAGATCTTCATCAGAGCCCCAATGGTGTTGGGTAACGGACACAGTCCGGGCTCTTGTAGGTTGTCGACCTAGGGAACTAGCGTCATCGAAGGACGCTGCTCTGAATTTAGCCTTCTTCACACCTCTGTCACGGATGAAGCTGCCGATGACAATAGAATTGGATACTCCTGCAGCGGCCAGAATTTCCAGTGACGCCAATAGCGATCGGTACTGCTGCGACGAGCGGCGTGAGATGGTGGAAGGAACTCGATAAGCGGTTATGGCGATGAGGATGGTTGATAGGAGAAAGAGGAGGACGAGAGAGATCTTCTTTCGGACGCGCATCGAGGATTGCCAGACCAAGGGGATGGGAAAGACAATAAGGACCACGTCAGAGACGATGTCGCACGCCCCCATGACAATTAGTTGCACCAACCCTTCTCGACAATGAGAGCCCGGATCCGGGACGACCTGCCAGTAGTGCGAGAAAGGTTGACATTCGGACAGGGTGCCAATAACGACGGCAATAAAAGTGACAGCCAGAAAGCCATAGATGAACCGGAGTCCGACTTCGTACGACTTGGCCCACGACTTCCCAATGAGGCGCTTGAGGAACTCGAGAACGGTGAGTTTGGCGATCCAAATAAATGCGGCGTAGAATATTCGCGCCGCCAGGACCAATCTGCTTCCAATCTCGCGGTGGTGTATTTGTAAAGATGTCAGCCCCTCGGTTTTTGTGTTGTTGGTCCCCCAGATTAGAATGACATGAACCAGACCCATGCGGATCATAAGGGGAATGATGCTATAGAACATGATCTTATCTTCCCGAAACAGTCTCTCGGTGCGCACCCATCGTCCAAGGACACGAATCAGGATGGCTGTGAGGGCAAACAATGTGCACCACCAAGACACGATCAGGGTTGGGTTCGTAGCCACCCGCGACTGGAGGTCAGGCGGGTCATCGTGGTATATGCGACGCTCGAGGAATTCGATGACGGCCATTTCGTTGCCGTTTGGCCAAGGCAGCAGTTGTTTCGGGCTTTAGGGTAGGAGAGTTTCGAGATTCGTCATAGCTTCGAGAGCAACTGTCAAGGCGGATAATTTCTAGAACTCTGCACCACGGCCATGGGACGTCGAGTCGCGACAAACTTGACGGTCGGGCGGCGCAGGTAAGCTCAGGTGTAGGAGTTGTAGAGGTCGTCGGCCGGAGGCGCGCAGGAGAATGAGCAAGGCGTCAATTGATCAAAGTTGGAGAGAGGGAGGAGCCGACTAGTAGCGGAGTTGTGGCAGAGGCAGAGTGTGAAGAGGGTGACGAGGGTGGAAAGAAGGCAATCAGGTGAACAGGCGCAAAGGCCATGACTGGGCGAGATACAAATGTGAGTGCGAGGAGGTGTACTGGGTAGGCGGACTAGACCCTTGGAGGGCAGGAAGGTTATCGCGGTCGCAGGCAGTGGGAATGAGACATGAGAGGAGAGTGATGGGAGTGGAGAGTGGTGGTGAGGCCGGGCTCGGTGGCGCAACTGATAAGTGAGGATGGAGCAAATGCTGGGTACATAGTTGGGTGATTAGCTGCCACCAAAAGGCCGAGAAGAAGCACAACGGGAAGAAAGAGTGGGATGGCCTGTACCCAGTACGGAGTAGATGGATGGATGGTGCCAGTGGATATGAGTGGAGAGGCAGTGGAGGGAGAGGCGAGCGTGAGATGGGGGGGAGAGGGAGACAAGAGGGACTCGCCTCGATCGACTGATGTGGTGACCTGAATGAGAGAGACGGCGAACTGTTTGGGGCACCGGAGAGAACTAGTTGGGTTACCCGTAGGTGCTGCCGTGGCCTAGGGCCTGTAAGGACTATAAGGAGGTCTTGTACCCCTGTAGGGGCTGTAGGAGCCCTATTTGTGACTTAGGCTGTTCAGTGAGCTTGCGTTATCAGTGGTTAATGCTACTGTATCTGCCCCTCCCCCCAGTCGCTCACCGGGAGCAATAATACACTACGCCAATCGCGAGCCAGAGACGTGAGCAGCATCACCATGGATTGATTGATTACCTTTCATTTTCTTTTCTTTTGGCTATTAAGGACGGAGTACATGTGGTATCCATACACATGTACCGGGTGTACCTAGGCACTCCAGCAGAGTACGTACAGATAAGACTTGCGGGTGCGCATAGAGTCGAACCAGAAGCCAGAGGGGCCGGACCCAGATCTTATTTGCCTCCCACATCTCCTCCGTTAGGGTTTAAGCACAGGTCGGTGGGCTGCAACTGGACAATCTCCCGGGCAGACAAGAGACAAAGACAAAACGCACAGACCCTTGATGGAGTGACCGAGGAACAATGACGGTCCTTTTGCGGCAGAGAGACTGCGCACCACCCAACTACTGTATGTACCACCACCACCCACTGCAGAAACTCAAAACAAGAACTCTCACTCTCACCTACATATTACGACTAATATGTACATAGCTATGTATGTACATATCTATCCATCACTATCTATCCTTTTATCTCTCCAAAATCCACCTCGACTTGCTCCTTACTCCTTTTTGTCGCACCCTCTGTCCACGGTCCTCGGTCCTCGCTAAAGCACAAAACTCAGTGTCGCGTGGTTTGATCCTCGCCTGCCCGGTGTCTTCCCGAAGCACATGTCCAGATTCTATCTTCGGCATGGTCGGCCACGCTCAGACCCTCCTCGTCTTGTCAATCCCACGCTGGGCGACAGACCCTTATCTCCTCCTCCACTGCTTGGTCCAAGCTCAACCCAGCCCCGGATCCGATACGGTGGAACTCTTAGGCTAATGAGCGCCCTGTCGCTAGCTGAGCAATTACGCCCCCTTGCTTCCCGCTGCTGTCTCAGTCTGCACATACAGTACCTGAAACGACTTTTGATGTTGTTACAAATTCTGAATCACGATCGCCCGAAACAATTCATACATTACAAGGCCCGAGTCCTCACTACATCTAGAGAAAAGAACACAATGGTGAATTGGAGCTTGCTTCATACATGGCAGGGCAGTGATGCTGTCCGCCCTCTGGTGCACCACTGCCTGATGCAAAAGCCAACCCACAAAACAACGATGGCGGCCCCCAAAACAATGACTGAGATCAACGCTGTCTTGCCTACGCTGGCCGAGAAGACGGACACGGCAAGAGCAGCAAACACCAGCGCTACCACCGATCCCAAAGGTAGGACGAGCGCTGCAATGAGGTTCACGTATCGGAAAACTTGAAATCTGACCTTGGTCCACGAGACCTTCGAATCTGCTTGCGTCTCTAAATCCTGCTGCGTCTTCTTGGACCAGGACTTGTGCACGTACATTGCCGCGAGCGAGATACTGGCTAGACTCAAGTCCATCGTGAAAAGCAGCCAACTGATTGCAATGAATGTCCGGGCGTGTTCGGGCGTGACCTGTGGGTTCTGAGTCTGCGCGGGAACCGCCTGGAAGATGCACTGAAAGGTGATGGACCCTCCAAAGGCTGCAAAGGCCACAACAGCTGCGAAGAGCTTTTCGTAGAATCTATCTTCTGGTGAGGCTGTGGGCGACATCAGGGAAGTTGCGCTGCCGGTAGTGGCGGTTCGAGCCAATTCGGCCCTCCGAGGGGCAAAGTCCCTGGTCTTGATTTGGGGGACTTCAGGAGGGGTCTTGGATTTGTTCTGCATCTGCAGCTCGTCCAGGATGAGCTGGAGCAGTTGGTCGGATTTCGACTCATTTGGGTCGACGACAAAAGTCCGCGAGCTCCGGCTGCTGGCGACAATCGGCTCAAGGTTTCGCATCTCGGTGCCACTCGACATGTTTCTCGTCTTCGTTGTGCGTGGTGCTGAACGGTAATGTTGGTTCGTCTATCGAAGAACCATTTTGCTGATCTGAATCAAATAGGAGGATGTTATCGTTGTCGCTACTGCTGCTTCTGCTCGTGAGTGGTTGGGCAATTAAAAAAGAAAGACCGTCTTCATGATCAACCGCCTCAAATATATAGACATTCAGGCTATCTGTCTCTCACCCAGTGTCATAAAGTGCTTCAACAGCATTGCTCTGCAGCGCCCGGGGGCGTGCACACTCATCAGGACGGAAATGGGAAGCGTGGATGGCTGATGAGGCTGTTAGCATCGGACTATGGGTACTCTGTACCAAAAAAGGCCCCCCTTCACACTATCCGGTTGCTGCTGGTATAGACGCTGCTATTCGACGCACAGGGGAAATCGATCAATGGTTGGCTGTGAGCTCCTTTGATGCATTCTGTGTGAGCCGCATGAGGCTGTGAGCTGCACCTCTCTCTGGTGACTCCCAAATTTGTTCAAATGGCTGCAGGCATCGCCAACACCAAGGGTCCGGTGTGCGTGCATGCATGCATTGGGGCCCGGGAATCACGATTCAAGGCAGCGATAAAGGCGGATCATAGGAATCATAGGATGTGTAGCCTGATGACGATCCAACCAACCCGCCCATCGCTGAAACCAAGCCCATCTGATTCAGCCAATGGCCTGCAAACCGCCAGCACGGCCCTTGTGCTCGTGCAGACGGGAAGGGAAGGGAAGGGAAGGGTGGGTGTGCTACAAATAAACCTCGCGAACGCACCACAGCCTCCACATCCCACACCACCGAATAACCAACCAACCAACCAACCAAGAGAGTTCTGGGGTGCGGCTTCCCGTGCCCTGCCCAAGCGGTGGAAATCTCGGGAACAGACCGACGCCGCAACATTGCATGTAGCACTTGTACATATTTTTGCAACGAGGCTCTGCGGCCCGGCCACCCACCACCCACCACCCCACGGCGAAATAAAATGAAAAAAACAAAAACACATGAGGCTGAGACGGACGAAAGAAAGAAAGAAAGAAGGAGACAAGGCGGCAGAAGAAGAAGAAGACGAGGACGAGGACGAGGACGAGAAGGAACAAGTGCGCCTCCTCTCTCTCAACTCATGCACCACACGCCTCTCCCTTCTCTCCTCGGCACCAGTCTCCCGTCTGCGGAATCTCGGCCACCACTTGTGACTCTACAAGGAGGTCCCAATCATTTTTTATCCCGGCCAATGTGAAGGAGGGGGCAATCGCCATTTTCTTCAGTGCTGCGTACCTCGCTGGCCAGTGATGTCCGTGCAAAATTCAATGTCTCTCATGCTGACGGTGCGATACCGTCCTGTACTCTGTCAATCATCTCCTGGGTCTAAGACAGTATTACACAGTGCAGAATTCCCGTCCCAATTCAGAAGATACCGAAGAACAATGGAATCCGGAAGATGCTCGCTTCCCCCCTAAACTTGTATATGGGGACGATATTGTTCCCCCAGCTCATCTCTGTCCTTCATGAACCCATTGATTCTTGAACACATTCTCATCATAGATCTCCATGCCATCAGCCTCCACAATCTCGGTGGCGACGCCCATCTCAAAGGCGCCTTCCGGGAGAGCAAATCTCGGGTTCTCCGCGAAGCAGATATCGAATGTCCTTTCAGAGCCCATTCTCGCCCCGCCTGGATCCAGACATATCGGACCCCAAAGTTCCACGCCATTCACGATCCCACCTTGATGATGGAACATGTGCTCAAAGAGATGATGTTCCCCTTGAAACATGGACGCCGAGTCGCCAAGAAGAACACACAGCAGACACCTGTATAGCCTCGTCTTTTTCTGGCTAGAGGAAATGTGAGACTTGAAGAGCACGAGAGATCGCCAACGTAGGTTCCGAGTTGAGTGGACTTTGTCGTCGAATCGTGCTCGTCCTCGCTCATCTCGATCAGCTGGTGTTGCAAACGGACATTTTCGACAATGACATGCCCACTCCATGTTCTTCATGGAGACCTGGACTCCCTTCTCGTAGATTCCTTGCTGAACATAATATGCCCCTTTGCAAAAGCCGGCCGCGGCAAGCACATCAATGGACGAAATGGTTGAAACCGGGCTGATAGGTGGAGTCATGACTTGGGATCTGCGAGGATCATCTGAGGACCTGATCGAAGGTGATGTGGGGGAGGTGACATATGAGGGAGGTCGTGAGGTCGCTTGTGGCGGTGCCGATATTGTCTCTTTGTCTGCCGATGAAGTTCGATGCAAGATCTTGAAGACGTTCCAAGACGACTTGCGTGGAACGTCCCCCGGGGTGGGAGGTGTCTCGGACTCCAGAGTCCCAATGCGCTTCTGATGCTCTGTAGGTGCAGGTCCCTCGATGACTTCCTTCATCTCATCTTCTGGAGAGGACCGTGGTATCCTCTCTGCTGGCAGCTGCGGGTTTCGTGGTGTCTGAGGCACAGGTCCGGAGGTCAGGCCAGAACGCTTCGTCCGTTCCGTAGGTGCCAGAGCCTCGGAAACTTCCTTCGTCTCTTCTGCAGAGGGTCGTGATATGTTCGCTGGCAGATTCGGGTTTACCGACCGCCCATACGTAGGTTCGGAGACAGGGCTGGAGGGCTTCTGTTGACGCAAATAGAGTTCATTGAGGATTGTAACCGCGCGCAACCGGGCCTCAATGGCGGAATCAATACAGGCCTCGAAGTCGATGACATTGTCATCTTTGATAGCGAGCATGAGATGGTGCAGAAAGGATGCCTGAACTTCAATAGTCAGGCTCTGGAGAGCCCGATGAGCAATATCTTGAGAGAAAAGTCAGCGCCGTGTCCCCGGTCCCCAGTCCCCAGAGCGCGCTGTAGCAAGTTCCAGGAATAGTGCTCACCGTCTCCTTGCTCGAAAGTTGGCCCAAACCGCCGTATGCCCTTTGCTGTAATCTTTTCAATCTCTTGATGGCCTTCTTGCAGAGACTCCTCCAGCGCCACACTTGGGGGTAGGGCGCCTTTTGCCTTGCGTCTCTCCTTGATATTCTCAACGATGGCGCCGGCGTCTTTGTACGCTGTGATCAGGGCTGCTACCGCCCCAATCACGGCGATACCGATCTCGGCTCCTGACATGTTGGGCAGGACGACTGATGGTGCAGGAAAACGGCGAAAGGCAACTTCAATCACTTCGATTGCGGTCGAGGTTGTGGTTATTTACCGAGGGTGGCCATTGTCTCACACCGCTGAGGGTTGGCTGGGTGGGACAAACAAGCCGGCAGCAGGAGGGGTGTCAGAGCAAGGGATGATGGAGATACATTGTTGCACCTGTTAAGACTCTTTGTCCCGGAGGGTTGGTATCTCAGGAGGACGGGTCGATGAAAGATTTAAGAGGGCAAACGTGCAGTAGAGTCGCTTTTAACCCTTGGTACCCTGGGGACGTGTATGAGCAGTTAGTCTCAGACGAGCTCATCTTCTCGAACAAGCAAGACAAGGCACCCTTCATCCAGGCTACAGGCACCGGTGACAAGTACTCCGTACTCCCTAGAGTGCTGGGTACACCACATCCCATCACGCCCATGGTCGACAAGCATCCACGGGAGAGGCAGCCAATGGCGATGGCAGGTGGCGGCATGCTACTGTAGCCACGAGTCCGTTGCGACGGGGGCGCAGTTAGGAGCTTCGCCCTACTCGATACTCTAAAGGGGGAGGGATGGGAACTTGACGCATGAGTCAGGGTTTGGCTGAGGAGCTGTCAAGGTCTGAGAGACATAGTTAAAGGGTGAAGGTTCGATCTGGTGGCACAGGTTTGAAATCAGAAGCAGTGCAACAAATACCTACGGCCATTGCCGGTCCTTTTCTTGGAAGACGTGGAAGTGGAAGTGGAAGTGGATGTGGATGTCGATGTGGGTGATGGCAGCGTGTTGCAGCGTGCAAAGCGTGGCATGACGAACACGACAACACTCCAAAAAGTCGACCCTTCCGCCCTCCACCTCCAACTCGCCTTGCTCGACTTGCTCGACCCACCCATCCTGGGCAGTCAATGCTCAGCCTCGTTACCAAACCATGAGCTCCACGACTCTCTCCTTCGATGCCGTTTCTCCTTGGCCCCCAATGCGGTTGCAAGGAATGCCTCCCTGCCAAGGGCGTCCAAAAACGAAAACGAGGCATTTTTGTGCCCGTCAGGCAATTGCCGAACCTGTCCCAGCCCTTTACCAAGGGCTTGGACCAAGAGAATCGTTCATCAGGGCCATCTAATCCTTCTAGAAGCTCTCATGATACATACATACCAGCCAGTCAATCGGCCAGTCATGCTGCGCGTCGCAAGGCCGCACCAATTCATGCACCTGCTGGTCTAGCTCCAAATATCCTCACCACTCTCCCTCCTCCCCCTGCATCCAGATTTTCTTCTTCCACCCAGCCAGGCACCGGTTCTCCGCTGTCTTTACTTGCAGTCACGCTCCACACTTCAGGGAATCCTGCCTTCATAGGTCCCCCAGCCTTTTGACTTCCTGGTATGGCGAAGCGAGGGTTGGTGTGCAGAGCAAAACCCCTGAGTAGACCTTGCTGGATCAGACTCAGGACAACAGATTCTACTTCATTCATGGTAGGTGACTCCGCTCCTTCGCTGCCGTATGGGACATACTGGCCGATGTATTCGTCAATGTACAGTCCCGTTTCTGGGTCAAACCCCGTCTCGTTGATGGCTGCATCCACATCCGCAAACTCAGGGTCGACGTATTTCTCATCTGACGATGAAGAGAGTGAGCTAAATCCATTCGCCGTGAATGTTGCTCTCTGCCTGCTCAACGCCCATATAGCTGCGTGATGGACATAGTTCAACCTGAGGAACGGTATTTTCTTCTCCTCGCCCATGTACCCGACAAGCAGGAAAGCCTTGCGGATGAGACTCCTCCATACAAGGATTTCACACCGGTTACGGAGCTGGAAAAGGATGGACCGCTTGAGGAACCACTGCCCAGACTCGCTATCCAGATCTAGGTACTGGTGGAACAATCCAAGATCACCAGTTTGTATGATCTTGCAGAGAGGAGTGAATCTGGGCCCAATGTCGCTGGCCTCCGGACGCGAGAGGAGTGTTGAAGAGGGGAAACGACCGAGGCATATGTTTGCTGCTATTAGGTAGATCAAGATCAATCTGCGATGCTTAATAGCTCGGCGATGGCATTGTTCGTATGCCATTTGGAGCACCCTCTGTGCCCGCCGGAAATGGTTATTGGCGAAATGGAATCGGCCGAGATAGTACAGGTACGTGACCCGCTGCGCTGCCGGGTAGTAGGATAACGGCGGGGATTGGACGTCGATACTTGAAAGCATTTGCTGAGCATTACGCAGGCGGCGACACTGTAGAAGCAGCTTTAGACACGAATTTGCTGTCAGGTAGATTCCAACCCGTTTATCATCGGGCGAAGGCCGAGATGTCCGTGGGACCCCAGGGCTGCCAGCCAAGCACTTGATAAACGCCTCTCTTAGCACATTGGCGGCGTCTTCCACGAAGCTCACTTTGCCCGGAGCACCTTCGGCGTCTTGCGTGGTAGCCAGGCTGGGATTCCGAATCAAGGACGGATTTCGATCCAGATTGGTGGCTATGGCTGCAAGGGTACGGGAAAAGGAGAGGACAATCGGGATCATTATGATCCCGTACTTGGTGTCTCCCAAAGCGGTCACACACTGGCTGTCGACACAGTCAGTACGGAGCCGACAGAGAAGAGTCACGCATGGCCCATTCACCTTGTCAGTTGCCGAATCTTGGTGGCTTTGGCTTGATTATCGGCAGACGTAAAGTCTCGAAGATAGCGAAAATACTGGATGATGCATTCAGAGAACGAAGTGCTGAATGTCCCGAATTCGTCCTGCGACACGGTCTGCTTGCATCTGGCCACGAGCTCTCCGTCCCTTTGCGGAGGATAGTCTCGATTGAGCTCTTGGTTGAGGTCGGAATATGGCTTTTGACGCTCCGGACTCAAGCTGTCGAAGTCCAGTTGAATGAGGTCCGTAATGCGTTGGCCATTCTTGGTTCTGATGCTGTCGACGATTTCCGTCAGGAACGAATTCAGTAGTGAGACATGGGCCCCGAAGCCAGCCATCTTCTTTGACAGTCGCCAGCGAGGCTCTGTCGGGCGGAAAGGAGTGAGGGTAGACGCAGCGAACGATCAAAAGATACTTTCTGTTTTTTGGTGGTGTGTTTCTTGACAGCAGTCTGTCTGTCTCGGTCAAAAACAAATCATAGCAAAACGGATTGTTTCTACGGTGAGGAAAATGGTCGTCGACGACTATTCGGTTTCGAGAAATTACCCTGTTAGATAAACACAGGGCTAAAGGTATTTTATTCTCCAGCCGCCGAGGTTTTGCCTCCGCTGTAGGCCACCAGCCTTGTTTTTTTCTTCGTCTCCATGGACTGTCACCACCAGTCCAAACTTGTCATGACCGTAGATCTACGCTAGTCTTATTCTATGAGAAATCCCTCCTGGATGCTGGAACATTATTCGGATTCAGTCTTCCTGAATATTCGATGTCGACGGTCATTTCAGTTGCACAAAACCCCATCTGTTTTCCAGGCTTTCAATGGAAGCCGGTCCCCGGAATCCTTCGTATCCTAATATAAGCTAGTCCTATAGCATGCCGCAAAGGGGGGACCTTGCTTTGCCTGGTCGGTACTTTCAAGGATGATGTCAGTGCAATCGATGGTCGATCTGCAGCACCTTTCTTCCGAGTCGAGTTCGGAGCAGCCACAGCAATCCAACGAGGCTGGGTGACTCCGTCGCTCGTATTAGATCTGGGTTGTGCGGCTGCTCTCCGTGAACGCCACATGGGCGATGATCTTATTGACCATGTCGAAGCTCATTTCTCGGTTCCAAGCACCATCTTTTCTCGCTCGCTGTGTCGGGGCATACTGCCTTTCTTACTATGTTTGCGCACATTCTCCTCTTTCCTCTTGATCGACTTGAGCTCTTCTCCTTTGATTTCGGCTGCTTTCTTCACAGTTTTGGGAAGGTGACGATGGCGTTTGATGCGCCGAATTTCCGGCATGTGAGCATATCTCCGGATCAAGGCCTGGTCATACTCAAGCTTTTGTCGTTGTCTTGCCGATTTTATGCCCTGTCGATTCGATGCATTAACTCGCCATAATCTCACATTGCCATCGTCTGAGCCAGACAAAACGTAATTGTTGTCCGGCGTAAAGCGACAGCTGAACACTCTCTGCATTCGCTTTGTGTGGTAGATATCTCTTGAATGCCCTCGATCTCTATTCCACAGTCGGACAGTCCGATCGTACGAAGCACTCACCAACTCCTCGCCGGTGGGGCTAAACTCGACATCCATGACTGCAGCCACATGATCTTTCAACACGTTTAGCGCCCTGTCCAATTTTCGCATGTCAAATATATAGATGTTGTGATCCTCGTTTGCCGCAGCGAAATTGAAGGCTTCCATTGGATTCCAGGAGATGGCATTAGACACTAGCCTCAGAACCACTTTGGTCAGAGGCGAAGAGGTACGGAGGTCATAGAGGACAATGGCTCTGTCCAGGGCCGCTGATGCCAAGATAGATGTCTCGGTCTGGTTGAAAGAGACGGCAGTAATCGTGTCCGTCGAGGTCGGCCAACGTAAGACTTGAGAAGGCCCAGAGGAAGGTCTAGATAGGTCATAAATCGATATTGCACTGGATGACGCGGCAAACGAAGGATGATCTCGATGATGTGAGATACCAGTGAATGCTCCTTGCCCAATGTAAGTTGCCAGAGGGACTCCGTTCTGCTTTCCGTTGTATGGATCCCAGACTTTGACCGTCTTGTCGGTGGCGCAAGACAACAGCTTCCTTTCTGGAGTCCAACACAAACCTCTGACCACGTTTTCATGGGCCCTTACACTCCAGAACTCGTCGCGGGTCGGCAAGTCCCATACTTTGACCACACCATCACCGCTTCCGCTGGCGAATCTCTCCAGTGACCCCGGGTCTTTTGCCATGGAATAGACACCGTCGACGTGGCCTTGACCTAACTGTCCGATGAACGGGGCGGCGAACATACGTTCCATTTTGACGGCATTGAGGGCTCTTGTATATTCTCTGGCCCGTTCGAAGGGATGATGGGCTGGGTCGAGATTTCGAGGTTGTCGCACAGCACCCTCGCCCGGAGGCGCAGGCGGCCTCGTTAGAGACTTGATTTTCTAGGCTACTATAAGTTGCGCGCACAAGTGAAAAGGGTAGAAGGCGCTTACCATATTGACAGCAGCATGTGGCCAGCAGTTCGTCGACAGTAAACAGACCAGTGCGCTGAGTAGAGACTGAAAAGTTGATGTCAAGGTGGTGTTCGAGTGCAGGAACTTTTTTGTGGGGAAGACACAAAAAGCGGCTGGACCCCTGCGCCGCAATGGTGAGAGACAAGGCTGGCCACTCCACCGCATCGCCGCGTCTTTTCCGTGCCTTGCGTCGCTCTGTCGCAGCCTTCCCATCCTCAAAAGTCGAAGCCATCGTACTGTCCATCTAACCTTTTGCACAGCTACCATCGACCTTTACTCTCTTTTATCCTCTCCTCCACCCTTCCGTCCTCACGTTCTTTCCATAATATGGCGCCTCCACCTTCAAACGCGGCCAAGGTCGACGAAGCCCAAAAGTTGGCCAAATCCGACCCAGCGAAGGCAGAGAGTGTCTACAAGGAGGTGCTCGCACAGTCTCCAGGTTCGGACCAGGCTGCTTTACAAGTCTATGAAAATGCCCTGGTAGGCCTTGGGGAGCTGTACAGAGACAGCAAACGGTCAGATGATCTGTCAGAGCTGGTCAAAACGAGCAGGTCGACCCTCTCTTCGTTCGCCAAAGCGAAAACAGCGAAGCTTGGTGCGTCAACAGGAAGTCAATTTGATAGGTGCTGCTAACGCCAATGTCTAGTCCGGCAATTACTTGATTTCTTCTCGGACATTCCCAACACCATCGAGATCCAAATCACTACCACTAAATCGTGCATCGATTGGGCCAATTCCGAAAAGCGATCCTTCCTTCGTCAGAACCTAGAGACAAGACTGGTTGGGCTCTACATGCAGAAGCAATCATACTATGATGCCCTCACACTGATTAACGGTCTGTTGCGAGAGCTAAAGCGACTGGACGACAAGCTAGTGCTTGTGGAGGTGCAGTTGCTCGAATCTCGGGTTTACCATGCTCTCACCAACCAGGCCAAAGCACGGGCTGCCTTGACTTCAGCACGGACATCTGCTGCCTCGGTCTATACTCCTCCTCTCCTGCAGGCTGGGTTGGACATGCAAAGCGGTATGCTGCACGCCGAAGACAAAGACTTCAACACAGCATATTCTTACTTCATCGAGGCTCTGGAAGGTTATCATGCTCAAGACGACACTGTCCGGGCAACGTCGGCATTACAATATATGCTCCTGTGCAAAATCATGTTAAATCTGGTCGATGATGTCAATAATCTCCTGTCATCAAAGCAAGCGCAAAAATATGCCAGTACAAGTCTGGAGGCGATGAAAGCCGTGGCAAGGGCCCATTCGAACCGATCGCTAGAGGAGTACGAGCAAGCCTTATCTAACTATCGTTACGAGCTGGGCAGTGATGTCTTCATCCGCAATCACTTGCGGCGGCTATACGATGCCATGCTGGAACAGAATCTAATCAAGGTCATTGAACCTTTCAGCCGGGTTGAGATTGAGCACATCGCGAAAATGGTGGGGCTCGACACCCAACAAGTGGAGAGGAAGCTATCTCAGATGATTCTCGACAAAGTCATTATTGGGGTTTTGGATCAAGGAGAAGGTTGCCTGATTGTCTACGACGAAGTTGAGCGGGATACTGGTTATGACGCGGCTCTAGAGACGATCGAGAAGCTCAGCAATGTGGTTGATGTGCTGTACACAAACCAAGCCGCATTGCTGGAATAGTAGCAGATGGCCGTTCTAGGATTGTGGTGAGGCTCATTCATGCCCACAACAACGTGTGTCAGGCCACCTGCTCGGTCAGCATCTGTCCACTGTGGGCGTTGGACAGAGTGCATTTCGATGAACAGCGGCGAAAAGCATCGATTGGAGCTGAGCAAAGCCAAGATGCCTTAGCTCCTGCATCAAAAGCTCGATGAGCGAGGCATGACAGTGCAAATATCCTTTCCATACCTGACAAGGAATGTGCTGTCCGGGCGGCCAAGCTGCTCGTCGGAACGAATCGAACCGTCGAAGTGGATTGAAGCCTTCGGAGCAGATCAAAGACATCCAATGGCCTGGGGTTTGTGGTCAGACACGTAAACAAGCTGGACAAGCAGGGACAAGCACAGAGGCACGATGAGACTTTGGCGATTAGTTTTGAATGCGGAAGTCTAGATTTCTTAGCAGCAATAGCGGCCGCCGAAGGCGATAAAGGCGGCTTTGTCATTTGACTTTGACTGGTTCTCGAGGCTTGTTTGGCCTGTTTGACCCCCCGCCACGCGGAAACGCAGCAGGCGTCAAAGCCTCAATCACTCCCTTCTTGTACCAATTGATCTCCGCGTCAGGCTACAAGACGGATTTGTCCTGCGGATTTTGGACTCTCAAGAAACTTGGTCGTTGTGGAAAATTGCGCTCGCGACAATACCTCCAGATTGTCTACTTCTGTCCTTCTTCCTCCTTGGACTCGTATAAAAGAGAACCTACCCCGTCCAAATCGCATTCCTCCTGCGCAAGGCCCCTGCCCCGCGATCGCAATCGTAGCCGATTACGGTCCCCTCTCAGCTCGTCAGAAGCCGACCTCGCGCGTCGCAGTTTGAACATCCTGCTCCCGGTTTCTGAGACTAGTGATTGAATACTCGGGCCACGGGGCCTTAGGTGGGCTATCAAGATGGGTCAGAAGTGAGCGCAGTGATTTTGCTCGACACCAAAGTGCGGTCGGCGAGGGTCCTTGGGGCTGACTTCGTCTCTAGACAATCAAAACTGTCGCCGCAGCAACTGGAAGAGCTCCAGAAGTCGACGCATTTTGACAAGAAGGAATTACAACAATGGTACAAGGGTATGCGATGTCTAATCTGAGCCGATCAGTCAGGCGAGAGTCTACCCCTGCCCTGAAAACGATCGCGGCTGAACATGTCTTCGCATCTCGCAGGATTCTTGAAGGACTGCCCCACGGGCATGTTGACCAAGGAAGAGTTTCAGAAGATCTACCGACAATTTTTTCCCTTCGGCGACCCGAACTCCTTTGCCGACTACGTCTTCAAAGTATTTGACTCGGATAAAAGCGGGACGATTGACTTCAAGGAGTTCATATGTGCCTTGAGCGTGACTAGTCGAGGCAAGATGGAAGATAAACTAGACTGGGCGTTTCAACTTTATGATATCGACGGGGATGGGAAGATCAGCTACGACGAGATGTTGGCAATCGTGGAAGCCATCTACAAAATGGTAAGACGGTTTCTCGCTTCCTGTGCCATCACGCTGACCAATTTGTTTAGGTGGGTTCTATGGTTAAATTGCCCGAAGATGAAGATACGCCAGAGAAAAGAGTAAGAAAGATCTTCAGAATGATGGACAAGGACGAGAACGGGAGTCTCGACATGGCTGAGTTCAAGGAAGGAAGTAAACGGGATGAGACGATTGTGTCGGCTCTCTCACTGTATGACGGCCTGGTATGATTGAACTGACAGAATCACCGACTCCAAACATTTCATTTTCCTCTTTGGCATTATGGGAAGGGAAAACATACGACGCTGGCGCCTTTGATTTTCTTGTCAGACTCTTGGATCAGAAGCCGGTGGCTTTATCTGTCCTTGGAGCAAGGGCGAAGGAGGTGCTTTTGGAACAAGCTGAAGCCCCAAGGCTACACGAAGAATACGCGCGATGAGTGGGATCACCTCGAAAACTTTGCAAGAGGGATGGAGCGTCGGATATCAATGACTCTGAGTTTTTAAATTGAATTGACATATTATTATCTGCGTTTAAATGCTCGAAATTGGCAATCGGTGGCTTGCGTTGATCAGGTCCTCTCGGTACGGTGACTCCGAAAGTCCGTGGACTTTTTTGTACATATGCGCCGAGGAGTTGGCTGAGGACAAGAAGACACCTCTGACCAACGTAGGGTACGACACGACTGCCTCGAAAACCACACGGCACCTCTGATATACTGGGTACCCATCAATCTCTACCTGAGTGATATCTGCGAGCCATTTTCTTTGCTCTAAATTGTTGCCTTCACCGCGCCCTTTAGCCATGAGGTGACCGCCTGTCTTCGATCGCGAACAAAGCACACTCTCGAATCGACCGCAGCTTTCCTTAGCTATGGCTCCCAAACGCCCTCCTATCCTTCTTGGCCTTATGCTCCTCAAGCAAGCCGCATGCTTCTATCTCCCTGGCGTTTCGCCCTCGTCATACTCTCGAGGCGACCAACTTGAGGTAAATGTCAACGCCCTCACACCTTCGATATCCCGGCACGACGAGCAAATACATGCCGTGGTTGCCTACGACTATTACCACCCAGCTTTTCACTTCTGTCAGCCTGAAGGGGGACCTCAGCCCAGGCGAGAGTCGCTGGGTAGTATCATATTTGGCGACCGCATTCAAAGCTCCCCGTTTCAGTTGTGGATGGGATTGAATCAGACATGCAAGATTGCTTGTACGGGTGACACATTTGATGAGAGGTCAACAGCCTTTGTCAACCAGAGGATTGAGGAGGCCTACAACGTGAATTTCTTTGTTGATGGACTGCCGGCCGCCGAATTGAGAGAAGATCCCCTCACCCATGAACGGTTCGCCAGTCCCGGGTTCCCCCTGGGTAAAGTGCAAGAGGATGGGACCAAGATTCTACACAACCACTGGGATATCATCATCGACTATCACACGGCAGGGCTTCGTGGACTGAAATACCGTGTGGTTGGTGTCCTAGTCCAGCCACAATCCTACGCTGATTCTCACGTCTCGGATGATGGCAAGGCAAGTTGCGCTTTCAATTCCGGCCCTCTTGTCCTGAAGGAAGGAGGAGGAACACCAGTCACCTATACATACAGCGTTTACTGGCGTCCTTCAGACACGGCTTGGGCCACCCGCTGGGACAAATTGCTGCATATCGTCGACCCCAAAATCCACTGGTTTTCTCTCATCAATTCGGCCATCTTTGTCGTCTTCCTGATCGGTATGGTCAGCACCGTCTTGGTCCGGGCGCTTCGCAAGGACATTGCTAGATATAATCGACTGGATAACATCAACCTGGACGATTTCTCGGGGACCTCTGCTGTTGATGAAGACGTCCAAGAAGACTCGGGCTGGAAGCTGGTGCACGGCGACGTCTTCCGACCGCCTCGCTATGCGCTGTTATTGAGTGTGTTACTGGGGAATGGCACGCAGCTCTTCGTGATGACAGCTATGACGGTGGCGTTCGCCATGCTAGGGTTTCTTTCACCTTCCAACCGGGGTTGGCTCACATCCATTGGTCTTCTGCTCTACACCATCTTTGGCTGTATTGGCGGATACGTGTCGGCGCGAGCATACAAGGCCTTTGGCGGAGAGAAATGGAAACTCAACATCGCACTCACACCCGTTTTTGTCCCTGGCATTGTATTTGGGACATTCTTCCTCCTCAACCTCTTTGTCTGGGCGAAGGGGGCTAGTGGGGCGGTGCCGTTCACGACGATGCTGGCCATCATCTCCATATGGTTCCTCATCAGCGTGCCGTTGAGCGTAGCCGGGTCATGGTATGGGTTCAGATCGCCGGCAATTGAGCCACCGACGCGAGTCAACCAGATACCGCGACAGATTCCGCCTGTGGCGCGCTCCCTCCGGCCACTGCCCTCCCTTTTGCTCACGGGCATCCTGCCATTCTGCGCCATCTTCGTGGAATTGTACTTTATCATGACATCGCTGTGGACGAGTAAGATCTATTACATGTTTGGATTTTTGTTCATATGCTACGGGCTGATGGCGATGACATGCGCTTGCACTACTATCCTGCTGGTGTACTTTTTGCTTTGTGCCGAGGATTATCGCTGGCCGTGGAGGGCGTTCTTTGGCGCGGGGATGACGGGCGGGTATGTGTTCCTGAATGCATTGGGATTCTGGGCAACGAGGGTCACCTTTGGAGGACTCACCGGAGCGGTTCTTTACGTGGGCTACTCGGCCCTCCTGAGTTTCTTGGTTGCTGTTCTCACTGGTAAGAGGTCTACCGGCCCTGCCATGCCGAGTGGATGGTTGAACTGACTGTTGTATACAGGCACGATCGGATTTTTATCGTCATATGTTTTTGTCCACCGCATCTACGGATCGATCAAGGTCGACTGAGTCGACTGAGCGCCACCAGTTAGTCGAATTTTGTATTTTATGGCAGGGAGTTGGAGGCAAATGGGAGGAGGAAAAAGCAAACTTTGAAGCGAGCCGAGATGACTATCGGGATTGATCGTATATTTTGATGGGAAGGCGGGTAGAATGTCTCCATACAATGACGATCTCGGATGGAGATGCCGATACGGCCAGGAACCAACCTGAAGCAGAACAGCAGAAACCCACAACGTGTTGCAGAAAGTTGTGGTTTCAGAATGGGAACAAGCTGCCAAAAGGAAAGGAATCAGCACGAGCGGGAGAGGGGATCGTCGATGGCCTATCCACTGCACTCCTGTGATTGTTCTCCGTTCATATCCGTCCGCTGCTTGAGCTTCTGGATGTCGATCCGTGGGTCCCAAGTGTTGTCTACGGAGGATCGCATTTTTGTTTTGTTTGTTGTAGTTGTAGTTGTGCTTGTTGCATGTTGTCCCTTTTTCTTTGCTCCCATATTGACTGTTGTCGGAAAGAGAGGAGGCAAAATGCAGCCGCATTTCTTGTGGAGAAAGGCAACAGCCATGGCCATTGTCACATCCAGGACTGGGTATATTTGGTTGAGAACAAACGTGTGACAAGCCCCCAAAGTAGCACCTAGGCAGAGTTGAGGATGAGACTTGGACGGAGAGTATCGACCGAAAGGGACGTTTGTGGGCCACTGACGTTGATTCGGACAAAGATGTGGACGAGAAGATGCACGAAGAAAGGTGGTGTTACGTACTTGTAGGGAGTGTGAGACGGAGAAGGGAGTGAGAGAGGGGAAACTGTAGTTACACAATGCAGTCTGCGCTCTCCGTCTTCCTCACATTATTCATCCCTATATCTGTGAGGAGAAAGAGGAAGGTGGGTGCAGATGGATGCGAGGCGGCTAATAGTAAAATACAGGAGGGTGAGGGAATTGAATCAGTTCTGTGTACTTTGTAGCCCTTGTTGTGGAAGCAATCGTGGTAATAGGTGCCCGGGAATATACCCAGTACTGTACTTGGTAGATCGGATATCTAGGAACGACGCCCGCCCAGAGAGACAAATGGCCAGGTGATGCAGGTCGTCGCAGATGGTGCGTGGGTGGCACCCAGTGGCTGCACTTGGTGGCTCTCGGGTGGCTCTTGGGTGGCTCTTGGGTGGCCATTAAGCGGCCTCTCAGTGGTCTGTTAGTGGTCTAGGGGCCCAGCCTGGGGCCGGGGTGGTTGGTGGTGCTGTTCAGTAGGTTAGTCACAGACACGCGCCGACGTCACCGTGCAGCAGCCACTAGCCCCCGTTCCTTCAGCTTCCCGCACTCCCAGTGGCCAGTGGCCAGGCCACAAGTGGCCTGTGTCGTCGACTTGTCTCGGTTGTCTGTTCTCTTCCCTCCAACTGTATATACACATCCACGACGCTGAAACTGCCATATTGTGCGAGACTCACCAATTCACTCTTCCGAAGCACGCTATCCACCTCGCCACTCCTATTCGGGTGTCGCGCACCGCACCCTTGCTCTCTCTACCACAGTATTCTCCCTCAAACTATCCTCACACTTCACACCTCACCATCAGCCCGTTTCTTTACCACCATCATACTCTCCACCTTGCTATCGTTTCCGCCTTGCGAGTAGTCTGCCTATCATTCAGCATTGTCCTACCTACACCCCTCTACTCTCTTGTATCTTGAACCTGGACCACCTCTCAACACCCTTGGGACTAATCGATCCATCTTTCCAAGACAAGACGGCGCCTTGCTGTACGCCATAGCGGCCGGACGCGCGCAACTGGACCATTTGAACCATCCTCTTTCACGAAACCTGACCCTAACGTCCTGCCCAACTTTACTCTCCATGCCTGCCCTTCGACTGCTGCGAGGTTGCAGACACCGAAGTTGGACGACCGAGTGTCTGCATCCGCAATAATGAAGTCGTCAAAATCCCAGCGTCTTGGAATGCCCCCTCGTGGCCGCTCTTCTCGAAGCACCGATGGCCATGGATCGGCGACAAGATCGGAAGAGGAAATTGTCGGAGACAGAAGAAGTGGCACAGACGCGTCCTCCCACACTCCCACCTCAGCGCACCACCAAGTGACGACTATCTTGACACGCGAGAACTCGGCTGGAATGGAGGCTATGCGACGAAGGATGAGTGCCGCGCTAGCTCAAAAACAACAGATGCGTGCTGCTGCTGCCGCAGCCAGTGCTTCTAGCGGTTCGTCCGATACCGCGAAACAAGACGACTCTTCCGAACCCTCGACGTCTCTGCAGCAGACCGAGTCGAGTTCGGATGAATCAGTCAATACCGGCGCCCTCTCGACAGATTCTGCCCGGACTATCAGGGCCTCTTTTGACATGACTCCGGGGACTGTCAGAACCCCTTCATATCCGTTCCCTCGCATGGCTTTGCGCCTCAATCGCCAAATCAGCCACCGTTCAGGCCCCTCTCATAGACCGTTTACTCTCTTGTCTCCCACCAATGAGCCGCCGTTGAGCGCAGACCCTGCACAGCCTCCCCATCCGCAACGGCAAGCATCCTCTTCGGACCTGAGTACACCAATTGGCCAGACACCAATGAGCCCAGGTTATCCTGAAGACCCCACTTTCCCGGCGCCCGACTTATATGATATCATCCTGATGCTCAATGCTGAACCAGGTCTAGAAATGTGGTGGGTCAATGTTACCGAGATTTTGTCCGAGGTCTATGGCGCTGAACGAGCATCGCTGGCGGTTCCTGGTGATATCACCGATCTAGAGAACGTGCCGTGGGGCCAGAAGGCAACCTACAATGTCAATGGCAGTGAAGGGGTGCCTTCTTCACAATTGGAATCTCTGGCTACCTCTGACGCCGACGCCACCTCTGTAGGCCGGCGACCAGATCCCGGCAATAGGATCCCCAGCGACGCTAGTTCAGCTCCTCCACGTCGGCCTCCTCTTCTGTCTCGGCATTCTATCGCAGGCCCCACTCCCGATCCATCTGCGAGAGGTGCGCGCCAGCGACCCGCAGGGCCTGTCCGCGCCTATAGCACCGTACCCAAAGAGCCCGCAGAGGAAGTCATGGCAATCTTGCCGCTCTTGCCCAGGCTGACCAGGCAGGCCGCTACACCTCGGTCGACGTCCGTGGCAGATTCAGATCCCTTGGCATTCAGAGGGCAGTACAACTTGTCTGGTTCCGCCTCGTCAACTCTTAGATGTCATGTTCATCGTTCGATCCAACCGCTAGAGGCCGAGTCTGACCCTTTACTTGTTCGCACGGGGGTTGCATCCTTGTTTGGTAAGAGGAAGCCTGTCGTATTGACGAGGGCCTATACAGATACTGCGCCGAGACAGTCACCCAAGGTAAAAGGTAGGGAAGATGATCGAAGTGCGCCACCGACGCCCTCCCCAGGGGGTTTTGAAGACCGCAAACTTGCCAGACCCGGAGATAATTCAACGTTGCAGAGCGCTTTTCGCGCATTTGACGAATATGAGCAACCAGAACCGTCACCTTGGTCGCAGAGCCCTTCACCTTCGCCTGCAGCACGCCCCGATCCAGCCGAATCGCCTTTTTTCACGCAACCTACGGCATCCATTGACGAGACCGCATTCGAACAGAATCCTCCTGCTTACGACTATGCGTCCACGGCCAATCAGTCATTGAGTGCGATAGGGGCTGACATGTCCAAGACACTTATTCACGTGCCACTGATACAACCAGTTTTGGCTAGAGGAACTATGGCGTCTAACCTCCGTTTTCCGATAGCTATTCTTTCGTTTCTGTCCCCGCTGAACCCGTATCCACGTAGCCTACGACATTCTTTGGAAGCCCTGCTTCCACATCTGGCAAGCTCATATTCACTTGCGCAGCAGTACAGTGCGCTTCAGGATCGTCTGCGTGGCACCCCAGGCAGTCGACATGGAGCGGCATTCGGCCTTGGTGGCACATTCTCTGATGAAGGCTCGGAACTCGAGCTAGTGGCTGAGCTGAGTGGACAAATTGCGCAGGATAAGGAAAACGCCAAATCATGGACACACCAAGAAGATCTCAGCCCTGGTGTTCTCAGGGAGAGTCCTGGCAGCTCTGTCGCGAGCACGCCACTCTTGGAGCAGTTTGGGTTGAGTTCGGGACAACCGCCAACCCCAGGTGGCAAGACGGGCTCTGAAATGGTGGACAGCTATTTCTCTGCTAGAAGACAGAGAGCCGGACAACAGCCACTAACGCCTGGCCCGCGACCGACAAAGGACGAGACCGAACAAGCCAAGCATTCGACTGAGAAAACTTCTGCGAGTTCAAAGGCGGCTGGGAAGAAAACTACCACAGGTAGTGCCACAAAGACGCAGCCCGACCCTCCAAGTCCGATGGCGCTTCGGACGGCGAGCATCGCTTCTGAAGGTGAAGCCGGAGACCATTCTTTCGCCTTGTACGATAGGATTGATGCTCCTCGGCGAAATACTGCTCGGCGTATAAGCGAGCATAAAGATGACGGCGAGAGACCTTTACCTGAGCTAATATCGTCTCTGATGCTCAATGCGGTTCCACTACAACTTTTCCTGGCCAAGCCGAATACTGGAGACTTGGTTTGGACAAATCGTAAATTTGACGCGTTCCGGAGTCAAGGAGAAGGTCGCGTGCGAGATCCCTGGAAGAACGTCCACCCAGCAGACAGAAATGGCCTGGTCAAGCTATGGAATGAAGCTCTGAGAACGGGGAGTCAGTTCACCCACTATATCCGCGTCAAGAGATTCAACAGTGACAGCGATTTCCGCTGGTTTGTATTTCGAGCCAGCACTTTGCTGAGTAACAGCGGCCGGCTCCTGTACTGGATCGGGTCATTCCTAGACGTGCATGAACAGTACATGAAAAATCTCGAGGCCAGTGAAAAGGAGGCCATTATGGCTCGTGACACAAAGATTCGTGCACTTGCAGATGCCATTCCACAGATTCTGTTTGAGGCCATCGAAGGAGATGGCATTGTTGCCGTCAACCAACAGTGGCATTCCTATTCAGGCCAGACTCTCGAGGATGCTCGAGGCTTAGGGTTTGCGAAACATGTCCATCGCGATGATCTGCATAAATGCGGCATTTTAGCACCATCAGACGTCGCTGCCATCGCTCGATCTTCAGCAGCTAGTGCCTCTTCGTCCAGCGAGTCAAACAGAACAGTCGCAGCGGTCGCACCGCCGCTTCCTGCACAGAAGAATCTCTTCTCGCCTGATCTGAGCTCGCTGGATCGGATGATCAAGTCAGGTTCGGTCGTCGTGGAGAAGGACGAAAATGGACGTCTGTCTTACCTGACAGAGATCCGCTTGAAATCGAGAGGGGGTGGGTATCGCTGGTTTCTAGTACGTCTTGTTCGGGTTGACACTGGCTTATGGCAGAGTCAGAGCGGAAAGGCATCTTGGTACGGGACATGCACCGATATTGAGACACGGAAAGCCTTGGAACGAGAACTAAACCAAGCCAATGAGAAGGTTCACTCAGAAATGGAGTCCAAGACCAAATTCTTCGCCAACATGTCCCATGAAATTCGAACACCACTCAACGGCATTTTAGGTAGCATGCCTTGGTTGGTCGAATCAGAATTGGATCACGATCAAAGGCGGACAGTGGACACCATTCAAAACAGCGCCAACAACCTAAGGGAGCTTGTCGACAACATCCTGGATGTGACTAAAGTTGAGGCTGGAAAAATGACACTGCTTCCGAAGTGGTTTCACGTCCGGACACTCTGCGAGGAGGTCGTGGATACCGTGTCATCCAGAGCCATCGAGCGTGGGCTGGAACTCAATTATTCACTGGAAGCCAATGTTCCTTCAATGGTAAAGGGGGATGCCTTCAGAGTACGCCAGGTTCTGCTCAATCTCCTAGGGAATTCCGTCAAATTTACCGAACAAGGCGAGGTGTACATGCGATGTTCTTACCGCAAGGCTGACCCGGCCAATTCAACAGCACAGGCGGACAACTCTGGCCTGCTCTCATTTACTGTAGTCGATACTGGGCGTGGTTTCAACAAAGACGATTTCAAGCGGCTTTTCAAGCAGTTTGGTCAGATTGGGGGCGGCAGCAGTCATGAGGCAGGTTCAGGATTGGGGCTTTTCCTCTCCAAGCAGCTGGTCGAGATGCATGGAGGCGAGCTTTCCGTGAAAAGCAAAGCAGGTGAGGGCTCGACTTTCAGCTTTTATATCAGGGTCGAAGTGGCTCCTCCTGGGTCTGAAGTTACCTCCCCCCAAGTAGCCGCTAGAGCCGGTCAACAGCAAAGGCAGTCACCTTCGTTGGGAGGGAGTGCCAGATCGAGATCCGATAATAAGACCACGACAATGGCGTCTGCCAGGGGTCTTTCGTACAGCGAGGGGGTCATTCAGACGCCCGGCCTGTCCAGATATGTCAGCTCTCCTCTGCAACAGGCACCTGCGTCGCCGGTCGTCTCATCTCCAACGCTGGTCTCACCACCGGTCCTCCCGTCAGATAGCTCCGGATTGTCGATGCGATCAAACTCAGGCAATATAGCGTCCACCTCATCGGCCACTTCGACAGTGCAAACGCCCGAATTCGCACCTCCCCCTGAATCGGCAGTCTCTACGAACGAACGGCAAATCCTGACAGAAAAGGCAATTGCCGCTCACCCAATTTTTAAGCGGAGCAAGAGCGATAACGACGGAAGTGGACTTGTGTCGGAACAGGCACATCCTCAAATGTATTCCATCATCATTATTTGCCCTGCCGAGCATGCACGGACGGCGATCAAGCAGCATATTGAGCACGTGGTTCCATACTCGATCGCAGCCAATGTCACGACCATTCCAGATATTAGTTCCTTCCTGGGTCTCTTGAACGGGCCATCTCCGGCCACTTTCACACACATCGTCTTGGACATCCCGGCGACTTCAGACATTATGCTGTTTATGCGTCAGATGGTCAACTATGGCGGTCCGGTGACACCAGCGTTGGTGGTGATTACAGACCACTACCAAAAGCGGGATATTTTGGATGATTTCACTGCCCTGACGGCCAGCGGACGTAAAGCCTATATGATTCACAAACCGGTCAAGCCCTCGGTGTTTGCCATGATTTTTGATCCTGCACAGTTACGCAACCTGAGCAAGGATCGAGCACGCGAGGTTGCGCAGTCGAGCTCTGACGACTTCCGACACATTGCCAACTTGGTCAAGGACAAGATTGGTGGAAGAGAGCACCGGGTGCTGCTGGTTGAGGACAGCGATGTGAACCGGATGGTGATCCAGAGGTACCTCAAGAAAGTGGCGCTTGTTAACGACTGTGCCAAGGACGGGCAGCAGTGTGTGGACATGGTTCTGGGCAAACCACACGGGTACTATTCGCTCATCATCTGTGACATCCAGATGCCGGTCAAAAACGGGTATGAGGCATGTACGGAAATTCGGGAGTGGGAAAGGAGTCACAGATACCGGCCGTCGCCGATCATGGCACTGACAGCGCACGCGATGCCAGAGGAACGCGCAGCGGCGGCGAATGCTGGATTTACCGACTATCTTACCAAACCGGTTGATTTTAATGTGCTGGGGACGATGATGATGACGCTACTGGACCCAAGCGTGCCACACGTGTTCTTACGTGATAGGCCTCTCGAGTCTTGAGTTTTTCGAGGCGCAGGGAAACGATTCTCGGGTAAAGGAAACCTCTGCGTTTGTGTGTGCTGTCCACCGGCAAGGGTCACTAGTTCCACTGCATTGTCAACGCGTTGAGCGAGTCATTGCGAAGCATTCTGGAGGTGGCGTTTTCTTGTTCGTTACCAGTGGCAACTTTTCTGCATCTTGATGTTGGGGGCAAGACGGACGACACACAGTAAAGAGGCTGATGGGCAGCAGCCATATTGTTTTCATCAAAAAGGGAACGGGTGGGTAATGGGGGAAGGGGTAATAAAGGCTCAACCAACACCAGGGGTGGGGAGATAATGATACGAATGTACATTGCAACCGGGTTAAAGGGGACCAATTTTGATGTCGATATGTTTAGGACCAAAGCCTTAGGGGAAAGGGCAACTCCTCGACGAGAACCACGAGATGCATGAATGGGCGTGGAGGCAAGCTGGCATTGACACTTGGTTGGGAGAAAAGCGTTCCGCCTTGCTTTGGGCGGCGAGATAAGGATGAAAGAAAGTAGCTTAGCTTGGCTGGCTGTCCAGCTGGCAACCAGCCGAGTAGGTAGACGTATCTACCTGTACCGCGCTAATGTATTGAATGAGTGAAGCAGGAGAGAGTTGAGTGTGTGATGAGCGATGACGAGGCAGTGAGTGGGAGGTTGAACTGAGGCTGTTTGACCGAGTTTATTTTCCACGCCTTGGCCAAGACCTTATGTCGCTGTCGCGCACAAATCATGTACCAAGGTTCGGAGTACTTGTAATAGCCATTGGTACCTAGCTGAACTGTTATTCCAGGAAGGTGGGTGTTCCGGGAGCAGGGAAGGGCGGCTACTTATGGAGGAGGGGGGAACTCATTGGGGGCCGGTGAGTACCTGTGACCTAGTGCCGCTGCCAGTCATTTGCAACCCACTCGACTATTTCTCAACGCCCAATGAGCCAGGGAGGGTGGGCAGCCAGGCAACCAGGCAGCCGGGCAGCTACGGGAGAGAGAGACCAGGCGCCAATTCGATTTTGTAACGCCCCCATGTTCTAAGTCCAAGGTGTACTGCAGATATGGGCAGGCCTATCGTGTCTCTAGGCAAGCCTACGAGCCTAATGTCCATCGCCCGTGCCCGTCGCCCGTGACCGTGCCATGCCTATATCCCAATCCACCCATGGCACTGTTATGCCTACTTGTACTTGTTAGCTGTTAGGTGTTGGCTATTACCTCTAATCGCCTTAGGTACTCCGTAGTACCTGTAGATTCCCTTCTCTGCTCAGCCTGCCTGCGACGGCGGCAACAACCAAGTGAGTGACTGCACCTTCCCACACTTTCTTCCTTTATTTTTTTTTTTTCAAAACTGACGACCACTCACCAACATCCTCATCACCACTCATCACCACCACCACCACCACTACTACCACTAACACCACCTCCACCTCCGCGACCGCTATCTCCTCGTCGCTCCTCGCCCTCCCACTCTCCCACCAGCACCCTGCGCCATCACCTCACCCTCCCACGCGCCAACGCCCAACGCTTGCCCCTTTCTTGACCCTGCCTCTCGCTGCTTTCATCCGGCCTCTAACGTCTGGGCCTCTCTACCACTCCTGAATCCTCCTCGACAAATTCGACATGCGACCCTCGTTTCCGCATCCACTGCTGCCCACGCGCCTCAACCCCCCCCCTCAAAAAAGTAAAATGTGAAAGTTCAATGAGACAATTTCCCAATACCTTTCTTTCAACACTCCACGTCTCACACACATATACCCTTCGCAAGTGGCCAGTCCTCCACCTCTCCTCCTCCATTTGTTCCGGCAAGATGAACTTTCCTATCTCAAACGGCCCTCCCGCCTCCTGGGCCGAATCACCGCTCTTCCCGCCTCTTCCCCCCTTGCTCACGTACCATCACGAACCTTCTCCGTCCTCGCTCCATTCGCCTTTCAGAACAGCCACTTCCGTCCGCCGTTTCGCTTCTAGATCCCGCGACTAAGGACCCTCAGGTCCTGGCAAAATGCCTCATCGACCCAATGATCGTCGTCGGCTTCCCGTTCCCTCCCATCAACTGCCTGACTCGGCTTCAGCTGAGACTTTGATCCCACCCTGCCATTTCGTGCTCGTGGAGGGTCTCTCTCCGCTCTCTTTGGTCAGCCCTTGACGGCCTTTTCCCTTCTGTCTGCCGGGCGGAAGGTGACGGACAGTGCCGACCCTGCTTCCACCCTGGCCGAGTCCTTCTCTTCTCATCATCCTGCTCGAGAAGCGGGGTCGGTGGGCTCATCATGACACCCCCCTCCTCTTGGGCCACGACTCATATTGGTCCGCCCAGAGCGAGGTGATGAGCTGGCAGTCTCCTCCCCTGCTCTCCTTGTGACGAGAGGAGCGCCCAAATTTGCCTATAAAAACCCGTCTCTTCTGTCAGAAAGTCCTCCTTCCTCCTTCTTCCTTTTCTATCACTCGACTTCGAGGAACTCAACTAACCCGTCTCCTTTCCCTTCATCAATCTTGGTCCCAAGCCTCAAGGTCCTCCCTACCTCTAACCATCACATCTTAAGTTATCCTCGACCCCCCGCCTGACCCTCTTCCTACTTATCATCTCTCCACCATGGCTACCGCCACATACTCTCGTCATCCCACTAGCTATGCCACTCACCAGAAGACCCTGCCCATTACAATGCCATCAGGGAAGGCCCCGGTCTACAGCTATCCGCAGTCCCGGGTTCTGGATTCTCCAGAACTGCCCGAGACGGGCACATCTTACGGTGGCAGCCGACCCTCCGCTGGCTCCTATTCCGTCAGATCTAGCTATGCGCCAAGTCATCACAGCAGCGGAGACTGTGATTCTTATGCGCATGCCGGCGTGGACGTTGTTGACATGCTCAGCGACAAAATGAATGCCGCCTTCGACCCCATCCGAATGGATCGCTCATTGGCGAAACAAGCCCAGACGTAAGTGGAATTTCCAGCGCTCATGGCGAAATTGGCAATCTGATCAGAAACAGATCTGGCGAATTGAATGCTAAACAGCGCGAGCTTCAAGAACTGCAAGCGATGGCCCAGAGGAGATTGAAATCTGCGCGGGTCAATTTCGCAGAAGGCGTAGAGGCCATCAAGGAAGCCCGACGAGACGTCGAATACACGACTAAGAAAATTTCGTGAGTTCCCACACACGAGGCTCCGCTCCGCCCTTTCGGGAAGCGCAACAGTGGCCAGGCTGACTTTTCCGGGTGGTAGGGCGATGAAATCGAAGGCAGAGAAGAAACATCCGGATGCGTACGCGAAAGCCAGCCGCAGTCGCCACGCATAACTCCACGGCGGCCACGATTGACGATGTTACGATTTTCCTTGCCTTTCCACGTCGGACCCAGCTTCTTCGATTTCGCGACTCATTGAGAAACCTCCCATTTTGCGGAGGGGGTTGATATGGAGGTGAATTTTCCACTGGGCTTCCGCTCCGCCCAGGCCTTTGATGTCGTCCGACCACAGCAAATCAGAGTCCATCATCAAAGTCGAACAATCATTCGCCGGGAGGGCCAAAGACAGCCTTGGCGGTAGTCCTCCGGGGTGATTGACGTGGCAGTGGGTTTAGGGTTCCGCTCCACCCCACGAATTGAGCCAAGTTTCTTGCTGCTTTTGCCCCGCATGGTGGCCAGGGCGATGGCGTGCATGACGCCAGGCCCATTTCTGCAGCCAGAGAAATCGCCCAGTTGCCGAATCTGCACTGCAGTGATCGACTCTGCAGGAACCGGCCACCCCAGCCAGCAGACGCCGAGCGGGTGCCACCATGGAGTCCCATGCAGGTACCTCGTACACTGGGCCAGTTTCCCTCGTTTGGTGCCACCTACCCCACGTCTAATTGGATCACGAGCTCCCCAGGCCATTTTTGGGACGAGATTTTTTTGCCATGTAGCGCGTTTCCCCTCCTTTCGGTCACAAGACCTCGATTCTGCAGTTGACGAGCCGCGGGAGCTGCAGATGGTGTGGAGATTGGGGCGTGCTGGCTAAGCCGGATTTGGCGCTGGGCCCGAACAGAACGGGGTTTGCGAGCAGCTTGCTGGTGACAGGATTCCCGTCTGGGTGTCCCTGGGGCGGTCGCAAGTAGGTTGTGGCTGCGTGGAAGGCTCTCGGGGGCTTTCTGTCCCGTGGCTCGGGCCGCGACTTTGCTTCTTGGTTTCCTTTTCAGACTCCATGTATTCTTATTTCCCCTGTTAGCAGTTGCAATTGGACAAAAGTTTCAATTTTAGCCGGTCCGGCGCTGAATCTGTCCCCCTGTAACGGAGATTCGTAGGGGACCTTGAGCTGGGTTCGGGGAAGACCTTGGGGACCCAAGCAGGGCCGTCTTGAGGGGGTCCAGTGGTGGCTATGTACTGATGGGGAGGCTGCTGGAGGCGTAGGGGAGCATGTTGAGGGCGTTCAAGGCTCGGTTGGCGCTGTGACAGGCGTTCCAGGGTGATTAAAGCACGCCCCCAGGGGGGGGGGAGGGGCGAGGCTGGTCCTAGGCACCCGTGGCTAAGAGTAAACTTGACCGACCCATGCGTGCCGTGGTGCAGTATGTGTTCTGTAGACTTCGGCGGACCTAGCTCCCCCACATTGTAATCTTTCAGCAGATATCTACTTCTAGGCTGTTCGTAATCGCCTAGCTGGCAGCTCGCTTGATTAACCAAACTGCCCAACGACAACTCCCCAGTGCCTAGAGCACCATGCCCAAGGAGAGGCGGGGAGAGAAGGAGAGAGAGAGAATGAAGGCATTCCTAGCGCCAAGTTTTGAGCAGCCATATAGGTCTTGTAACTTCTGTTCCAGCGCCACACCTTCGTATTACGTCCTGGATACTTAGTGCCTGCCTTTGATCTGGCGCTTGAATTTTCACGATATGACTACCGCACGTTATCCCTCTCCTCTCCTCCTCTCCCTCCCTCTCCCTCTTTGCGTGTGCGTGAAAGTATATATATACTCTCCGTGTGATTGTAGTGGTAGTTAATGAGCCTCCTGGTAGTGTAGCTCTGTGGAGATCAAACATGTGCCCCTACTCTACGTATTAGGGACAATATACAGGACCATGGACATGCCTAGGGTGGATCGGAGATTCGGGAAAATTGGAGAATCTTAATCGCGGACGAGGCTGTGCAGCCCCTTTTTTTTCTCTCCCTCTCGTGTTTGTTTTTGTTTTCTTCGTTATTGTTTTTCCACAGTGTGTTGCCCTTGCGCACTACAACTACGACAATCACCACACCATCTCTTTGGCCCCTTTCCCCCCTCTTTCATTTTTCTTTCCATTTTACCCCTTTTCGGCTACGTAATATTCTTTCGTTCCTGTCTTGTTGTTGTTGGGGTTTTCTATCGTGAGGGAAGGGTTTCGTGCATGTTAATAGAAGCTCGTGTGAGTGTGTGTGTTTGCTCATTTTGTTTCCCTGGTCGTTCTTGTTCGTTCCGTAAATTCGTCGTTCACCTGTTGAGCTGGTTTGCTTGCTTGCTTGCTTGCTTGCTTGCCTACTGCCTTCCTTCCTTGCCGACCAACAGCTCACAACGCACAATGAAAAAATGAGGTTGTAGAATTCCTAGGTCTTCGTCGTAGAGCGGGGTTGGCGATAATGTTGACGTTCTAGACAAGGAGATCATATATAAACAAGGAGCGTTGAAGTCATCCAGGTCATTGCGGCTTTCCATGTGCCTGGTCGTCCCATGTGTTTTACTTGTACTCATTCTTATGGATAGGGCACATCCTCGAGGGAGTCTCGTAGGCGATATTTCGAGCGCTTGGAAGGGACAATCGAGAATCGACAGCGAGATCTTGTCGTCACGAAGAACGATTGGTTCGACATTGCTCTGAGGAATTGTCATATTGGTCCTCTCCACGAGGCCTTCTCGCAAAGCTGTTCTAGGCCCTTGCGAGCAATGACCTTAGTCCCAACAAGTTTCTTGCGATGTAGATCCATGAATCGAGGGGGATGAGGGTGCTTTTCCATGCTTGATCGTAGAAATCTGGAGTTCGCAGTAGTCATACAATCAGTCTCTGCTTCAGGATTGGTGAGATCCCAAGGCAAGTATGGTGAGGATCAGCTGCCGTGCGCAATATTTTTCGGGTTCGCTCAACGGAGCAAATCTTTGCCCCGCTGAAATGTGGACGGAGAAATCGATGGTCGCCTCTGCGGTATGGAGTTGTGTCGCCCGCTGTTTATTTACGGTGCTGCAATACCCCTGTTCTGGCATTTTACACAATCTCGGACAACAGCGTTCCTGGATTCTAATGCTCACCCAGCCTTCTGTTGAGTTGTTCTGGCCGCTGCGGCTAACTTTCTGTTCAGACCAGGATTATCTCCCCCCATCCCCGTGTTTCGAAACCGGAACCAAGGATCATTATATACAAAGCCGGGTTTGAAGTAGACCTTGTCACCTCGCTCGTTGATTTTGCCACGAGTCCATTCATCCAGTTCCTCCGACGTATATGATATTCCCGTTTCCGGAGAAGTGAATATGATGGTTGTCTGTTGTTGTGTCGAAAAGGGGATTGAGTTAGAAGATGGCTGGGACAGAATTGACCGTTGTTGTTCCTCTCCAGGCGACTTGACGGACTTGAGGGCTTGAGAAGGGTTGGAACCCGGAAGACCAGAGGAACTTTCAACATGTGGTACTGGATCTCTCAGGGTTGCTGACTGAGATGGGACCTGCGTGAATGACGTGTCTAAAGTCAAGGTCAGAGATGTCAACTTTTTTTCAATCTCTCGAGTTGAGAGGATTGAAAAGAATGGAGGAAAAAAATAAAGAAGCAGCAAGGGGTAATATAGAGGCTCTGAGATGGAAGAGCCCGCATTAACCAAGCAAAGTGGTCGGGTCGGACTACCCACTCCGGGCTTAGCAAAACCCAGAGTTATAGTCTCACCAAGAAAGAGATTCATGGCTATGGCGAACCAGAAGATAAGCCTGTCTCTTGTATTCCAACTCAATGATTTGAAGTAGAGGGCGACATCCCTCAGGAGATAGTCCCTCGATCTTCCGCTAGACAATGACTTACCAGGTGGGTTTTTGGGGCGGCGCATCGAAAACGAGCTGAAGCCCATCATCTCGCGCATTGCAGCTTCGGGATCGGTGGAAGCATCTCGGAAGGGATGTGGAGGCTCTGGCATAATGATTTGCAGTGAAGCTCAGAAGGCGAAAAGCGTGACTTGATGTTACTGAGGAGGGAGAATCGATAAGGTTTGAGTTGGAAAAAAGAATAGTACTAGGTCAAATGACGGCGCTGACAGACGTAAAATGCTTGGAGTGTTGTCATTACAAGTCTGGGCATCGATAGCCATTCCTTACGCAAACTTCTCCCTCTCCGCTGCTATGATACTCGCATCCTTTTCTACCACCGCAGGCTCAGCTGCCTGATAGCGTATCGCAATGCGTTTAAAAAAAGAAAAAAAAAGAAAGAAAGAGGTACCGGCATCCACTATGCGTAGTCCTTTGACATGTTTCATTCGCAGCCGAGTATCCAATACTCTTCCCATTGCACGCTTCCGGCAAGGACGAGACGCGGTTTCCATAAATGTACGACGCTCTCTCCAGTCAATCCCTCCATCACTTGACTCATGGCTTGTCGAAGCAAACTTATGGATGAGACATCACCGGTCGCAGAAAAAGACCTCCCGGACTCTGTAGCAAAGAGGACGCGGATTTGTTTCCGCAACTAGTCATGCTTTTATCCATATTTCGGACGTGCAGCAAAACTCCCGTAGACGTGAATATACCTGCATGATGGCCATACGAGTAAGGATGTGACGGAGGCAGGAAACGAATCAGCATAGCGTACGGTGCAGATCGTACCATAATGGATTCAGCAGCCGCCGGTGGTATTGTTCTTAGATCATGCGTATAGACTGGCGAGCGGCGGCTGAACATACCTGGGACCCGGCGACGGCAATGGCACGAACAAAATCGTCATCGGTGTTGTCCCGGCTGAGCATCAACAGCAGAGGGCGTTGTACGAGGACTTGAATTTGCTTGTATCTTTGAATCGTCAGCAACGAGAAACATAACAGACGAAGAAAGCGCCCATAGCAGTGAACATGACATGGTTACCTGATCCGCATAACAGTCTGTTGGCGCTGGAAACTCGGACTGCCCCAGGTCGGAGAGTCTGCTCCAAATTTGCCCGCATGTTTTCATACTCAGCTCTGGAGTTGCCTGTGTGAAGAAAGGGATAGATCGGGTAAATTCAGTTGAAATATCCATCGACGAGATTGTCAGCTAGATGCCGGTCTAGCAGTTTTCGTGTTTCGATTGTGCAGACGCTATCCTGGTCAGCCCCGTCATGGTAAGCATGAGCAGTGGTCGACGGCGATCCCCTCGGCTGACCGTGCTGTAAACGGACGCCCTGAACATTTTGCATCTCGGGCTGAGCTCTTCATACAAAGGTAAATGTCGACGAATCTCCAAAATAACCATCCGCACCTCCTAAATCGCTTGTAGATGCATCATTTTGAGCCAGAGTGATGGAGCCGTGTGACAGTAGATCGACACTCGCGTCGTGCCTCGCTGGATTCATATGTGAATACGTTCCGTCCCTCATCAGGAGTGATGAAACAGTTGAAATTGCATTCATGGGTCCACCGCTAGGTCTGCAAGTGGAAATGGATTCTCGCGGGGAAGTCATCTGAGGGCCTTGCTGTTTTGTGCCCACTCCACAAGGAATATTACTCAGCTGAGATGTGGGTTGACATGTAGACGAATCGCTGTGTAGACTCGGTAAGGCCATCGAATTGATGCCATCGCTACGTGGCTCATCAGTGCGTCAATTCGAAGAGGATCTCATAGGTACTATACGATTGGATAGCCAGATTAGACACCGAACTGCTGTTCGCGGGAAACAACCCTGTCATAGGTCTCTCAAGCGAGCTTGAGTTCGGCAGCACGTTGGATGCATCCTGACAAGCGATACGCCTACTTCGACATCCTCCGCAAATATGGTGCTCGCCATCACACCAATGTTTCCGCTTCCGACATCCAAGACAGCTTGCCGCGAAGGCAGCCTCTGTCTCTTCGCTCGTTCTTCTGCCATAATAATCTAGCCTGATTTGGGGTGCCTAAAGCACCGGTCACAGCGATCATGGATCAGACACAACAAAGATGAGTCTCTGTCGCAGTGCGGGTTCGGGCCCAGTGTCCGGAAGTTGCAAGCTTAGATAGGATGAAGAACAAAAGCAGAATAGGCGACTGCATGATGGCGGATTGAACAAGATGATTGAAGATACTCGGCGGCTCGGCACAGCCTCGTCAGCTCCGGATTGGTTGTACGGACGTCTCATACGACACCGACTGCGGAGTACCGAGTACTTTAGTTAGGAATAGCTGATGAGTGTTGCTCGAACTTCAGGCATCGGGTTCGAGTTCGTCTGTTGCTTATCTCCTGCGAATGTCAAGTGCTCCGCTACCGCTGATCATCGGCTGTCCCCATCACCACTGTATTCATCCTTCGGCAAGGAAAACACAGGAATTCGGAGCTCGTGCTCAGAGTCTGTTATTTCCTGAAAGGCTAGCTAAAGCTAGCCTTAAGACTATTCAAGCCCTACTGCTTGTCTGTTTCTTTCTGCAAGAAACTTTACAAGTGAATAGATGTTGGAGCCTCGCAGGCCTGACGACCCACTCGGCGATTAGTATCGGTCTTTATCTCAATCCTACAACAATGGCGCTAACATCTCTTGAGGAAGAGTTGAGGAAACATGTTTGGTGGGGCTGTATACTCCTGGGATGTACGCTGGGCATGAAGTTCGGTCGGCCACCACTCATCAAGACGGGAGGTGGTTGCCTCTTGCATCATCCGGCCCAACTCCTGCACAGATTTTGGGAACTACAGTTATCATCGTTGGACAACTGTCTGAATAGTGGCGAACAGGGCCTATTCATCTGACGGGGGAACTACGATCTGATGAAGATTGTGGGGCAGAGGTTCTTCAGCAGCGTCTTATCTTATTGACAAGGGAAGGATTCGAGGGTTCTATCCTCCAGCTACTGCTGATGAAAGGACGAACAGATACCACCACGTCCGCCTTCTAACTATATCGGCAAGCTTTTTTGATCTTCAGTCGAGAACAGATCCAGGAGCTCTTTCTTCAAGTGGACGACGCGGCATCCGCTCAGATATGTATTGCGTCTGTCCGCCGTTCTATACAGTTGATCTGCGCGCCAGAGAATCGCCACAGGTTGAACTCGCCCTACCATAATTTGCATTATAAGCCCCCTTAAAGCCCCATAACCGGTATAAAGCTCACTCAAACTCAAAAGACACTTTTGCCGCAACTGGGGTCACGCTCAGTCTTAAGTCCAGAGACGCAGCACAGTTCGAGGCGATAGGGGTCACGCATGATGAAGTCCTCGGCTTCTGCATCGGCTTTCTGAGAAGCGTTTGCCATGCTCTTCCGCTAACAGCACGATATCACTTCATGCTGAAACAAGTCCAGAGCAAAATTGGTAGACCAGAAGCGAGAATGAGCGTTTCCGCATTGACCACGAGACCCGCTACAATAGACATCACGGGGGACAAATGACCGATCGGAACGTCAAATAGGCGATGTTAGCAACGACGCTGCTGTCGTCGGGAACGTGTATGATATGAATGGGGTCTTTGGTGTTGAGTCCCTGGATTGCAACGATCTGTTAACACATGGGCGGCGGGATAGAGATAAATACAAGTGTGAAGTACGACTGCACAGCCACACCTCAAGATGGCTTTCGCATGGCTTGGATTGAAACAGCCACACCTCCGGTTTAGCAACGCAAATCGGCAGTTGTTGAGGACAGCTTTGGCAATGGCACAGAGCGCTCTTTGTCCGATACAGTCAGAGTCTAGACCTTTGCTGGCATCCCACGGATAGATAGAAGCGGGGTAATTATCAATCCTTAAACTTCGTGCTCTGTAGCGCTCTTCTCTTCTCTTCGATATTGTACCACAAAGTTTTGATCACCTTCTATACCACCCCTGCACTCGCGCCAAGTTGCCAAGTTGTACTGGCCACTCACATCACGACCAGCTGTGGATTCTCGGGTCTAGCACGTGTTCAGGTCCGTCTAAGGCTGTGGCTGATATACGGCTCGAGCATTCATCGGTAGGGACAGTTCAAAGGTTCTGGAGCAAGATCTTTGAGCAGATGTGCTTTGCTAACTCCTTCACCTTGAAATTAAGACGAGCTCTCCTAGCTTATCTAGCAACCAGGTCAGCAACCCAGCTTCTGAGACCGGAGACTTTATCCAATAGAACCGTCACCCGTGGGTGATAACTGAAAAACAACCACAACACGGGTCAACTATGGCTACAGCTCTCATAGTCGAGGCGATGCCAACATTGGATCCATCAACAACTGCCCAAACGGCAGCAGCAATACCCAAGGACGTTAATTTCGACCCCGATGCCCTCAAATCCAAGTACTTCGCCGAGCGGGACAAGCGCCTTCACAATGGCGGGCTTGACCAGTATCGACCAGTCGAAGGCTCCCTCTCAAGCTATGTCGAAGATCCTTACGTCGAGCCTGGCTTCACCCGCGACCCTGTTGACCTGGATTGTGACGTGGTCATTATTGGCGGCGGCTACGGGGGCCAGCTAGTCGCGGTGCGGTTGATGGAACAAGGAATAAACAACTTCCGGATTATTGAGAAAGGCGGCGATTTTGGAGGCACATGGTGAGGGCGCTATGCTTGTATTGACTAGTAACGGGACAGCTGCTAACAAGATCTTCTCCCAGGTACTGGAACAGATATCCCGGGGCGCAATGCGACATCGAATCCTACATCTATATGCCACTTCTGGAAGAAACCAACTATATACCGACAGAAAAGTACGCACATGCGCAAGAGTTACTCGATCACTCGAAGAGGATCGGAGAGCAGTATGATCTGTATTCAAGATCTCTCTTTCAGACTGAGGTGCTCGTATTGCGGTGGTGCGCCTCTAATTCCAGATGGTTGGTTGACACGAGTCGGAAAGATAACATTCGAGCACGGTTTGTTATCCCCGTGGCTGGCCCACTTCACAGACCTAAACTGCCTGGACTGCCCGGTATCGAATCATTTCGAGGCCATTCATTTCACTCAAGCCGCTGGGATTACGATTATACTGGAGGAAATGAGGCGGGCGGGCTCACTAAGCTCGCCGACAAGCGAGTGGGCATCATTGGCACGGGTGCCACTGCGGTCCAGCTAGTTCCGCATCTTGGGGCAGGAGCGAAGGAGCTCTACGTTTTCCAGCGGACACCATCCTCGATCGACATTCGCGCAAACAAACCAACCGACTGGGAATGGGCAAACTCATTGCAGAAGGGTTGGCAACAAAACCGAATGGATAATTTCACCATAATTCTCAGCGGGGGCTTCCAGGAGGAAGACCTCGTCGCAGACGCCTGGACGAATACTCTCGGGAAACTCCGCCCGAACCCGATCAAAATGAAGACTGTGGCTCCCGAGGCTTATGCTGCTGAGCTCGAGCTGGCCGATTTCAAGAAGATGGAATCACTTCGTGCTCGGGTGGACGCCATCGTCGAGGATAAAAGAACAGCTGAGGGCTTGAAACCGTGGTATAACCACTTTTGTAAGCGTCCTTGTTGCCACGATGAGTACTTGCAGACATTCAATCGACCAAATGTCCACCTCGTTGACACTGAAGGTAAAGGGGTGGAAGCTATCACTACAAAAGGGGTCGTCAGCAACGGCAAAGAGTACGAGCTCGACTGCATTATCTACGCCACCGGCTTCGAAGTCGCCACAGACTTCTCCCACCGTGCCGGCATGGACATTTACGGACGCGATAATCTGACACTGACCGAGAAGTGGCGAGAGGGTGCCTTGACGTTTCACGGCTGGACCACTCGCGACTTCCCGAACTGCTTCTTCGTTAGCAATTTGCAATCCGCCCAGTCAGTGAACTTCATCCACGCCACAAACGAGCAGGCTATCCACCTCGCCTATATTGTTTCGGAATGCCAGAAGCGTGGCATCAACACCGTCGAGCCCACTGCCGATGCAGAGGCGAACTGGGTCGACACAGTCATCGAAACGACCAAGATGAGGCGCAATCTTCTGCGCGGGTGCACCCCGGGCTACTACAACAACGAAGGCGACTTTTCATTGCGTGCCCAGCGAAACGCGCCCTACGGAGGAGGTGTAATGCCGTTCCTTGAAATTCTAAGTGACTGGCGTCAAGAGGGTAAACTCGAAGGTCTAGATATTGTGTGTGTGCAAAGCGGTGACCCGTGAATACACAGACCATCCGAAAGAGTGGGAGGAGAAAGGGACGGACCGTTGCAATAGTCAGAGCAGTGGGTGCATGCTTTATTGCTTTTGTGGCTTTGGTTTAGATATTGCTTTCCAGACATAGATGGAATCTGTTCGCTTATTTGACCGAAACAAACATAAAAGGACCTCATTGTTTCATCAGGATGCGAACTACTCTAGTGAGCCAAGGATGCTGGCTCACTTCCCTCCCGGCGTACTGAAAGCTTTGTCAGAGTCTGTCCCGACAGTGCGTATTTCAGCCTTAGCCCGAGAGAACATTGATTATTGCCCAGGACGTGGAAGGACAGCCCGCCGAACCGAGGGTCCTCACTTTTCAATTTTCAGAGGCTCGCACGTGACAGAGTCTCCCATCCCTGAGCTTTTCAGCCTCGTCTACTCGGGGGAGCATCGGAGCAATATACACTTCGTCTTCGCCGTCGGCCGTGGAGAGATTCAGGGGATTGTTCAAGGGAGGATTTGGCCCGATCGATAGGGCGAGTTAGGAGCCCCAAAAACCAGGTTGAGCGTGTGCACATCGTTATTGGAATTTTTGGTGAACATGGTCGAACCTGATGAAGCAGTTCCCAGACTTGTTCAGGGATTAGCGTACATGCCTGGAGGTGTTCGTGTCCAAACAAGACCCCCTTTTTGCAGAAAGAATACATCGAATCCATGACCCTGGTTTTTCCCCTCCGATGACCCGATCTCTCCCAAGCTCCGAACTGATCAACCGGCCGGCGGAAACCCCACGTCATATTAGAGATTTAAGCCCAGACTTTCCTTGGAGCATGCAAGATTCCAGTCCGAAGGGCGCGATAGAACTCCTAGATAGAATCAGAGTTCAGAAGCATCTCCTAGGTTGCTGTGCCATCTCGTCTTTAAGCTCGCCCTTTTGTGTTGGGGGGGGGGGGTTGGCCTCTCTAGTTTGCTTCCACCTTCTTCTCCAGCAATTCCAGTCTCCTCGCGTATGTCAAAAACCGCCCAACCTACCACGAAAGTAACCCCTTGCAGTTCTGCTTTTCTTTCATGCAGTTCATTCTCCCTTCCTCTTTCTTGAGACGTATGGCCTTGCTTTGGTCCTCAATTTTCCGCCCCTTGTAGTGTAACAGAGCACTTCAGGGTTCGGCGTGCGCGTGCGACAACGCACAGAGGCCTGTCCAGCAGGTCGGGAATCGAGAACGCGTTTCTGGTTGGCGCTGACAAGACAACACCACCACCAACACCACCCAGAGAGGCAGCGGCTAGGGCTACGAACACCTAGCACGGCGGCGTCATCGAGGAGCAGGACAGGACTGATAAAACACTCAGGAATCAGGTAGACGGCACCAACAAGCCATGGAATTCATGATACTCTGTTCAAACTGTAAAGAATGGCACTCTGCCAGCACTGTAAACTGTCCCGCACCCCCCCCCCCCCCCCCCCCCCCCCCTTGCCAGCCCATTTTGGTTTGACATGTGACTGGACAACTCTCCCCCCCTGCTACCACTCCATCAGCCCAGTACAGCGACTTTGCCTTGTTACAATAGTGCAACCCTTGCAGGAATAGAGCACGACCAGATGGACCGAAATGGCATTCGATCGGGGTAATGTCACGAAGAAACTTAGGCTCTTCAGTGAAGACCTGGATCTGATAATTAGGCGTAGTTGAAGTTGTTTCGGCACAAGGGACAGCTCGAGCTATTGGAGCTCTTAAACCATCGGAAGAGGCAAGTCCCATGGAAGGTGTTGCGACAGGTCCCACATCGTTTGTTGGGGGTTTGCATGTCTGTCCCGATGATAGAGTAACAGATGGCACACTCACTTTGGCCTTGCAGAGCGCCTTGTACGTTGCGCCGAAATGCGACGAGGCCCTCGATAATGCTGCCAGTGCTGAATATGATGATTTGAAAGGTCCGCAGCCACGATTGCCAGTTCTTGTCCGAGACGCCCACTCGAGTGCGGGATGACACCGTCGGAGAATCTAGAGGATAGGTTTTCGGCAACGATATCGCTAAAGATATTGAGGGCGACTCGGGATCTACGGCTATCGACGCCACCAGTTCAGAGCCGCTTAGCGACGTTTTCACTGTCAGAGGTGCGTCATTCTCCTCTTGCGATTGGCTTTGTATCCATTCGCTGACTGTTGCAGCAGCAGCTGATATCAAGGCTGGTGCGAAATATTTCTGAGTCCAGCTCTCCAATGGCGACTTGACACGGTTCTTTTGTTCAATGAACCAACTTCGAGTGAGTCCGGGGAGAAACAGTAAGCAGCAATAATAAAGGTGCATAGCGAGGTGCTGCTCCTCTTGCTCATCTGTCTCGTCAGTGCCTCGTTCAAAGGATTTGATGTTGATCTTCGATGCGTCAATTGCCCGATTACTCGAGATCCGGCAAATGTCGCAGACGAAGTCAAGGAGGTCTCCGAGTATACCTTTTTCTTTGATGTCCGTAGCATAGAACTCCCGCAGCTTGTACGACGCCATTGAAAAGTGATCAAAGACCAAATGCCAGGAAAGCAAGTAACTCTGCCGAGAGGACGCAGACCCTGGACCGGAGGCCTGTGGTGCGTCCAACACCATATTCAAGAGCTCCGATGGGAGATGAGCAGCCTTTGACTCGAGGGCAACATCTAGCGAGATCTGCTCCTGCTTGGAGGGAATCGATCGGTGCAGAAGATCGTAGGCAGCGGTTCGGACAGGATCTTCCCGCGACGATAACAAAGAGTAAAGATCCGCATCAGGCGGCACGTTGATGTGCGAGAGCTGTCTTCGAAGCAATTCAGCAGTAATCCGGCGGGGTTGGTCAATCTCTTTGCTGGAGTCATTGAAGCTGTTGAGACAGTGCAGCAAACTCCCTTCCAAAGATGGCTGTGAGGCTTTCCAGGCATCGACTAAGTCCTCATTTGCATCTTCAGCGGTGGCAAGGTCTCTCAGACGTCCGTATACTCGAAGTGATGCATGCACGAGAGGAAGATCGCTGTTCAAGTCATTGCCATTCTGCAAAATGGCGAGCAAATTTTGCAGGCTGCGTTCCCAATGGTCCCCATAGATGTCTTTGGTAGCTGTAACGATGGGTTCAAGAAGTTTCATGGCCATTGTTTGATAAGCTAGGCCAGCGACGGCATCACCAGCGACACGCACAAGAGTTTGCATCAGGAAGATCTGCCGTTGACTAGGGATGCTCTCCAACGGTTCGGATCGTCCGTTTAGGAGAAGGTCTAGGAGAACCAGTGCCTGTAGGCCCTTTTCGGATGTGCAAGGAATCATTAAATCGGTTCCGGTGGCAATCAGCTCGTTGAGTAATTTGCGGCCTTGAGGTGAGTTGATGAGGTAGTCCCGACAAGTACAAACCAGACTTGCAGATAGCGCGACCTCTTGAACTCGGTGTAAATCCTTCATTTCCTCCCCGAAGGTGGACGTGATTATTGTAGGCCCGTGTTGGTCGATGAAACGTGACGTAACGTCGGTAAATGTCAGGCCGTAATAGAATGCCGTTGGGTTTGAATTTTTTAGTGAGCGAATCTTTTCGATCCAAATTTTGAGCATTTTATCATCTTGAGCCCACCTCTGAACCAAAGAGTTTCCTTGCGCGAGTGATTCAGCAGCTTCTTCCGTGACCTCATCGCTGGTGTTCTCCCAAAGATCATTTGCAGCCTCCAGAGTCAACTTCTGATTGACGAATTGTAGAGCAAGGGGATAATAGCTGTACAGCGTTTGCAATTGGTATTCTGATTGACAAATCATTATGTCAGTATCAAGTAGGATTTTTGTCATGTAGAGAACAAGTCGAAATAGCAAGGAGAATTCGTCAGGGTCTTTGAGCTGCTTCGTGGTCGTCACAGAATCTACAGGCTTAATCATGAAGATAAGTCCGTGGAGAGGATTCGTGATTGAGAGTGAAAGGTGTGGCATAGTGTTCATATGAGCTTCGAGAGCGGCTTTCCACTGAGTAACAGAGGGAACGAGAGCGGCAATCAAGTCAGATTCGTGTGACTGCGAAGTTTTGAGGGTGTCTTTCGCGAGATCAATGAGCACGAAGATAGAAAGAGGAACGCCGTTTCCAGAGAGCTGATCGGCAATGACAGCAGCAGAAGAAGCTATTGTGGATGACTCCCCTGCAGGTAACGTTTTAATTTTTGCTATGAGTGAGGTTGCAAGCTCGGCTGTTTCTGCACTGTCAGAATCGGAGAGAACGAGGAGCTTCGCGAGAATCGTGCTTCCTATGTCGCCAAAGATAAGGGAAGAAGTTGAACTAAGCAGGAAGCGAAGAACTGCGAGCTGCGATGGTGTATCGGCGCCTGGAGATAACTGAACGAGAATCTTTTGGCAACAATTCTTGTGTAAATTGGACCGAGCCAGTTTAGAATTTTTCAAGACACTCTTCACAATTTCTTGGGCAAATCCGTTTTCTAGTTGTGAGGAGATCTGGTGGATAATGAAAGGCTCGATTTCAGGATTCTGCAAGAGATCCTCTTCGGAAATTTGACCTAAAAGTCGTGCAAGTGCATTGGCGCTGACATTATGATCTGAGCCCATCAACTTTGCGAGAGCCTGTCCCAGATTTCGATGGAAATGTAGCAGGACGGAAGTTAAGTATTCTGCAGACGGGCTAGCGAGCAGGTCGACGGCATCTGATTCTAGGAATTCTTCCAACGAATTGGAAGCTATTGTCTCCATGGGGGAAGTGACTGCCTCGAGAACAGCAGCTGCACTATATGGCTTGCCCCTTCGCGTTTTCAGGACTTGTAAGGCGGCATTCAACAGGGAACCATCTGTCTCTTGAAAGACGTTCGCTGCACGCTGAGATTCGGCCTGAATGATAAGTGGCTTGAGGCGGAATAGCCGTTGAGCGTGCGCGATCACGTCGTCCTGCGATTTTGCAAAATCTTTCGAGCTTTCTGGCAGGGATAGCTTCATGCGAGCACTGAGTTGCTCACAGTATCGGACCCATACGTTCTCGAACGACGAGAAATTGCAGTGAATGAGATTAATGAGTGCTGACGCGGAAATCTTGGCACTGTGTGAACTCGGAATGTCCCAAACAGTTTGCTTAGGATCGTGAACAATATATTGATTGACCAATGGCAGGATGTTCGCTTCCAACAGTGCTGCTTTAGACTGGTCATCTTCCAATAGGTGGAATGCCCAGAAAGATACCTCGACATAGGCAGACCAGGCAGCTTCAAGATTCTGGCGTGGTTCTTCAGGGCTGGCTATGCCCAACCGTAAGGACTCGAGTAATGTTGTGACATCGTCTAAGCGACCTTTCCCATCGATGGTGCTCCAGACTTCGAGTGGGATCTTTTTAAGAAGCATCGCGACGTTAGACCAGAAATCCGCCGGGCCTCGCTGTGAGCCTTTCCGCAGGTACTGGAACAGCCTTTTGGAGGCCGTTGTTTTCGAAGAATAATCCGCGGTCCATATCCCCGACCGGACTGAAGTGAGGGCGAGAAGAGCTTCTAACAGTTGGCGGGACGAGCCCAGCTGACTGCTATGCAAAGCTTTGCCAATGAAGCAAGCGCTTATGATTTTCCAATCAAGCTCCCCAGGGATCACATCTGCGCACACGCAGGCTAGGTTGCAAACAGCGCTTCGCAGAACAGGATCCTCATGAGACGAGTATTCCCAAAGCTTTTTATCTGCCACAATCCTTCCGAGGCTCTCCGGAACGTCAGGTTTGCTGGTACCTGTCACTTGGGCGAAATTGATCTTGATAATTTGGCTGAGCATTTGCATGGCATTCGCAACTACTCGAACAAATTTGGCCTCTGAATCATCCGGCGTGGTCGACCGTTCATCGCTCAATGTTTGAGATGTCTGGACCAAGATGGCATCATGGGCGTAGTCAAGGAGGGTACCCCGGTAGACCTTCCACAGCGCCCGTCTCTTGTCCTCTGTGGCAAATGCAGTCGCAACTGACTCTTGCGAGGTTCGGGCCACCAACTTGTCATTATCGTAGCAGCCAGAAAGCCATGCTCCGATCACCTTTGGTAGACGAGGAGCCATTCGTTTGCCGGCGAGAGTAGTGAGAGAGCCCTGCAGGGCATGCGCGAGTTGGCGGACTCTGCGTGCATTGTCGATCGAGGTCCGAGGGTATAGGCTGACCTTCGTGGAGAGTTAGTCCGCTGTCAATCGGGGCGAAGAGAACAACACACCCATGCGTCCAGCAGGCCAGAATCAATGGAATCGCCCGAGGTCAACGAGTTCACATAGTCCTGTAGCTCCTCGAGTGCTTTAGCTTTGGTAGTACTATCTTTCTTGCTGAGGTTTCGGAGGGAGACAACCAGGTTCGGATTCGAAACAATGCTGAGATTTGGTTGTTCAGCGATGTAGGATAGGGAAGAGGGCGCAGTCTGGAATCCCGGGGACGGGGTGCGGAAACCAAAGGCGGAGGATGAGGACGATCCAAACGCAGCAGAAGCAGCACGAGCGCTCGAAGCGGAGGCCTGTGACTTGAACTTCTTGCTCATGCTGCCGCGATCGTCCTCCTGGAACGTGTGGTGCTTAAGGGTATGGACGGTTGGATGTCTTTAAATTCGCGGGGAGCCTCGTGGGCTGCCAGTGCCAATTTCTCCGCGTCGAGGGGTCTCCAAGCTCAGCCTCGCGTACGTCATGCAAGTCTGCCTCACTGGCCTTTCGCTTTTGCTATGTATTCTCCAGCATTTCAGCCTCGATTCACCGAACTCCCAAGGTTGTTTCTACACACTCGAAGTCCTTGTCCAAAAGATTTAGAAGAGCATTAAATACGATTTGCATCGCCAAGATGCCTCAAAAGACGTTTATTCCGCTTGGTGAACTCATTCTCAACCGGACGATTAAAGTGAGATATATGCTGATCCACATCGCCTTGTATTCGCAGAAAACAACCCTGAAGTCATGACCAAACTGGCCCATCGACTGGGACTGTCTCCGGCACTCTCTTTCCACGATGCATACAGCCTGTCCGACCCTGATTTGATGGCTATCTTACCTCGACCAGCCAGTGCCCTGCTGTTCACCTACCCAAGTACCGCAACCGCTGAAGACCACTACAACAGGACCAACGAGGCCGAAGGAGGTTACGAAGGTTCAGGCCGCGGGGAACCCGTCATGTTCTACCGCCAAACAATACATCACGCCTGTGGCCTCATAGGTCTCCTGCACTGCACCACCAATGGGATGGCGGCCGACTTCATCCAGGACGGGAGTGATCTCGACAAATTGGTCAAAGATACAATTCCTCTCAAACCTGCTGAGCGAGCTCAGTTCCTCCATGATTCAGAAATGCTGGAAACAGCTCACGCCACGGCCGCAGAGTCGGGTGATAGTACAGCGCCGCCGCTAGGAGAAGATCCTGGCCATGCTTTCATTGCATTCGTTAAGGGCAAAGATGGCCACTTGTGGGAGTTGGAAGGGAGAAGAAAAGGGCCGGTCGATCTTGGTGTGCTTGAGGGGGATGAGGATGTATTGAGTGACAAAGCGCTTAGCTTGGGACCCCTTCCATTCCTGAAGCGCGAGGAGGAGGCAGGTAGCGGTGACTTCAGATTCAGCTGTACCGTGCTTGCTCCGAGTATTGAGGAGTGACGAAAAGACACATATGGAACATTCATTGCGCCAGGAGAAATTCCGGACTCTTGAGGTCGACCCAACCCAGGTTTGGCTCACTCTGCTTCCAACCTAGTCGCTCTTGCACGATCTTCGAATATGTCTTGACCTCGTCGATCGAATACGACAGAAATGATACCTCTTCCTGTCGATGCACGCCAGTGCACGAGAACATTGCGTAGACCGTCCTGCTCTCTCTAGCACCGTCTTTCACCGTTCCCAGTGGCTTCTCATACGCTCCAGCTCCGTGATAAAGGCTTCCCAGCATAATGAACGCCTCTCCCATGCACATCTCTGCGTCGACAACTCCGCGGTTGCCGTCGGGTCCAAAGTCGGGCATATCATCGCCCCACAGATGGCTGCCTGGGACGACTCTCGTAGCACCATTGGCCTTGGTTGTATCGCAGGATGGAACGAACAGGCCTAATAGCATATCACGGCCTTTCTCGTACTTATCGGCATGGGAATGGCGAGCATGGTGATTCTTGTCGTCGCGATGAAGGTTTTGCGCTGGAGTTCCTGGAGGGATATCAAATGCAATTGAGATTGAGAGCAGTGGGTGACTGGTAGTCGTGAGTGGCTTGTTGCCGTAATAATGAGTCGTCTCAAGTGCCAGAAAGTGTTCGCACAGAGCTTGATAGAGCGGATCGGCAAAGAACTTCTCTCGTACTGTTGCGCTCTTTCCGATGAGTCTAGTGACTGTTCTCGTTTTGCCTTGAAGCGCTTGACTGCCAGTCAGTATGTGGAGTAATGACAGTGTTGCACGATAGAGAAACTTGCCGCCCACTTTCACACCGTTTGCTTGCTGATCTAGCCACGGCCGCACCTCCCATTCCGCTTTCTCAAGCGTTGCTTTGTCGGTGAAATCCTTGACTATCACACAGCCATCGGCTTCCAACGCTTCGATAAATAGAGACAACGGAGCTGATCGTGAAAGCTTTCTGATGCGATGTCCCGGGCTATGGTCTCCCTTATGACTGTCCCAAGCAACGCGTCGCGCGTGCTGAAGGATTGACGCCATCAGCCGTGTCCTTACTGTACCTCAATGCTAGTGTCGTAAAAAAAGATAAGGGGTAACGATGGCAACGAGCAACAGGAGAGCAGGGTACAGAGAGTGACGGGCAAGATATAGAGGGATAGACAAAGGTCTGGCACCCTCGCCAAATGGTTTCTCCAGAAACTTACCACCGTGAGATCTCCCATGATGTAGGACCAGACTCGGTGGCGTCAGGTACTTTGAACAGACCGGATCGAAGTAAGCGAGCTCACTCTTCGAGGAAGCAAGCGGCTCACACAATGAATGATTTTCCGCGTTAACAAATGTAATCGAATCACCAAAAGGTCCCGGAAAGGCCAGGGACTTTGCAAGGGGTGACGACGACTCTTATCGGAAGGGGGAGTGGTGGACTCCTCCGTTCCACTTGGCATTGGAAAGCGAGAGCGGCATAGAGATCATGTCTGCATAATCTGCTGAGTTTAATGATCAATCTGGGCATTAATGGGTATATCCATTTGCACCACGGGGTTGTGGCATTCACGTTGGTGTCTTGGCTCCTGTTGCCGCTCGGATATCTCGGATGACTGTTGTTAATATTTTGATGGTCGTTGAAAATGGAAACGTACTGCCGTGCTGATCTCCGTCTTTGCCCTCGTCGCCAAGCCATGTGTATAATTAGTTGGACGAGATAATCCAGCAATAGACTCTTTTTCTTCCCTGTGGAGAGTCGAAATGGTAATAACTGCATCGGGCTTCAACGCTGGAGTGGATTGTTGAATATATCGGCTCTCACACGCGGCTGTGGATTCAAAATCGACCGTGCTGCCCGCTCGGCCGCCAGGCTCTGGCTGCGTCCCAAGCTTTACAGGCAAGACTCGTAATGCAAAGGTTAGAGGATCCATACCTGGTGATCTCGAGGCAGGCATCCGTCTAAGTTCAGCTGAGGGTGAAATGGAGTCGTGGCCATAAAGCTTCTCAACTTTGCTGAAGTTCGCTACGTCGTAGTCTGCCATGTCGCAATCTGAGTGTAGATTATGATCATTTTACCAGACCGAGGAGCTTCCCAGCAACAGAATCCCACTCGGAGTTCCATCGCCGCTGGCTTTCCCTTGTAGCCCCTGCCTTCAACCTTGCAAGCTGTTGTGAGCTGGGATCAAACAATTCACGAAGAATGTCTGCCAACTCTTCTGAGCTGCCGAAGCCTTTGCCATTGACGTTTTCCGTCACTAGCTCCGGCCATGCTGCAAACTTGCTCCAGCCCACCACCGGGAGACCAGCACCGAACATGTCAACCACTTTCATGGGGAGGTCAACTCCACTGCTGCTGGTATGTAGGGAGACGCCGAGATCTGCAGAGCCTAAAAGAAGAGCGTAATTCTCGAAGCTAAGCCAGTCGGTGTAGATGCTCACCATTTCCAGCGCCTTTGCTGACCGCAGCTCTCGAATTTTGCCGAGATAATGTTGCCTTTGGGGACCTTTTCCTGTGATAACAATGACAAGTTCTGGGAGCTGGGGATGAGAGGAGGTGGCGCTGGTAGAGTAGCTACAGAGTGCATCCAGGAGAAGATCGAAATCTTCGTCAGGTGTCCAAGAGGTTGAAGAGACGAGCAGCCTGACCTTTGTGTCTAAGATATCACCGAAATGCTTTTGGATAAGAGGGTAGCGCTGCAAGAAAGCTATTCGCTTCGAATCTGTTAGAGGCTGGTACAAGTCTGCTGGTCGGTCATGCAAGGTCATAATGGGAGCAGTGATCTTGTAATCAGACTTTAAAACTTGAGCCATTGCGTCTGTAACAGTAAAATTTGCATTCGCGGCCTTTGCGAGAGTAGTTTCATAAAACCTGGATATTCCGACCAAAGGATGATCTGACCCGAGCTTGAGAGCCAGGATAGAATACCCAAAATTATGCCAGTCAACGATCAGCCGGGTTCGTCGAAAGAAACAGACAGTAGAAACAACCAGTAAAGTGGGTATCGAGGGGGGGTTCTATAAAGGGGTTCGTTAGAATATCAAGGCCAAACACAGCAGAAAAAATATACCTGAACAAGCATCCACTTGCAAGGATCAGAAGAATAGCTCAAAGTGGTCCATAGCGTCCATGTTTGCAGTAGGACTTTCAGAGGTCCACACAGAAGAAACAGGATCTTGTTGCTGGTTTGGAGCCATCGAGGAGGAGGCGATAATGGGCGGAGCCTGACATTGGGATGCGAGAGCAGCTCGGGCAATGGATCAGTCTCTGGGCCCATAGAGTTAGATCGGTGTTGTATCGTAGTTGTCTCGGGCCGTTATATATTCCTCACCTCTATAACCAATAAGCTGGACACGGCCACCGTGAGTCGCGATGCTCAAAGTGTGATATTGCATACGGGGGCTTCGGCCCAGGTCACCGAGCACCACGACTTGGACCGAACATTGCTGATCGGCGGCGAGCTGTGGAGAGGGCAACAGCAAGAGTAGGATGGTGACAATGGTGGAAATAGCCACCAACACCGTCAGCAGCATCTTCTTCCTCGTCTTCTCCGGTATTTTCCTTCGTCGGTGAGAAGAATGACGTCGACCAGTCAGAATGTCCAAGGTGATGATGGCCAGATTGATGAAAGTGGGTTAGACTCAAGAAGCGAGGAACCAAGGACACCTGCCACCAAGGACACCATGAGGAGTTACTAGGTGTTACTCGGTAGAGAAGCCCAAAAAAAAGGGGGGGCTTGAAGGGGCGAGAGACGAGAAGCGAGAGATATGCCAACATTGAACCCACTGGCGCGCCCATCGGCCAATTAGCGACGCAAGAGAACTGCATGCCGAGCTGCGAGATGCGAGATGCGAAGGTCAGAAAGGTCCGTCGAGGCCCATCAAGGCCCATCTTCTAGGATCAACTGCGTTGCCCCTTGAAATCCTCCATATGCTGCTGCCCACTGACATTCTTAGCCAGGGGCAGCAGGCTAGACACGAAATGTATACCCGGCTATCCCAGCTATTATCTTCGTAATCTCTTCCCCAGACCATCTCGTTCTCTCCCCCCCCGCCTGCGCCTATCGAGAAGTCGGAAATCAGCTTAGTTACCCTCCAGTCGCGTCAACATTCAACAACAACCCTGAGCTCCCTCCGCCAGGCAGCAACATCACCGACACCGCTTCTTTCGAGTCTTCCCTGCGCTGGCTATCACAACCGTGGATGTTGATTCTACACCAAAGTGTCGCCTCAACCTTCAGCACCATCTGAAAGGACCATGAGCGCCACCTTCACACTGCCCATTGCTGCCACCGACAACTGCAAGCATGGGCATCCTCATGGTCCTTCTCATGGCAGCTCCCACTCCCACTCCCACTCCCACTCTCACTTTCACTCCCCTCTGCATGCGAGTCCGAGTTTCAATACGCGCTCCCATCAACGGACTCGAACAGGAAGTCGTCTCACGGCCCCTATCCCCTTAACACGCATTCCCTCCGAGTCGATCGTCGAGCAGAATGAGGCTGCCATGACCGCGAACCGTTTACCTCCTGTGAATACGCATTTTCACGAGCATCGACATGTCAGCCCTGCCCCTTCCCGTGACAACTCGGGAACGCAGTTTCTGCCAAAGAGAAGGGATACAGAGAAGACAGCGTACTCATCCCTTGATGTAACCGAGCGGTCGTCATTCAAAAGAAATTTCTCAACACCAACACAGTTTCTACTCGACGCAACCAAAAGCTACTCCCTACTACATGGGATACTGGAAGACGATGAGTCCCGGCGGATATTTTATTTCATGATATTGAACCTCTGCTTCATGGTGGTCCAGTCAACATATGGTATCCTCACGGGCTCTCTGGGGTTGATCAGTGACAGTATACATATGTTCTTCGACTGTGTAGCCTTGCTGGTCGGGGTGTGCGCCGCCGTCATGAGCAAATGGCCTCCCAGCCTCAAGTTTCCCTACGGCTACGGTAAGATTGATACCCTGGCAGGCTTAGGCAACGGCATTTTCTTAATGCTCATCAGCATTGAGATTGTCTACGAGGCCATTGAACGACTGTTCTCTGGTGCCGATGTCTGCCGAACCGCGGAGCTGCTTGTGGTCAGCACCATCGGTTTGTTTGTCAATCTGGTCGGCATTTTCGCTTTCCATGGCGCACACGATCACGGACATGGACATGGAGGACACAGCCATGGGCATTCTCATCATGACCACGACCACGACCATGAGGACACGAAAGATCACAGTCACCACGAAGCAGTAGGAACCCCCATGACTGCTTCGGCTTCGCCAATGAAACATAGACGTGGTGCAGCAAGCGACCGCCATCGTGGCGGAGAAAATATGCAAGGCATCTACCTCCACATCATGGCCGACGCACTCGGCTCTTTGGCTGTTGTGGGATCCACCCTCCTTGTCCGCTGGACCGGTTGGAGCGGGTTTGATCCCCTAGCATCATGTATCATTGCGGTTCTCATTTTTGCATCTACCATCCCTCTCGTCACCACAACGACAAAGATCCTCCTTCTATCCCTCAACTCAGACATTGAATACAACCTTCGAGACATTCTCAGTGGCGTGGCCGAAATTCGCGGCGTCGTAGGCTACACCGTTCCGAAATTCTGGCTGGAAGATATCAAGAAAGAGCCCGGTCACCACCATCACCATGGCCATTCCCATACACACGATGACCATTCTCATTCGCATTCACACTCTCATAAAAACAGTGATGGTAAGAAGTGTGATGGCGAAAATGCCGACCCCACCGTGTTGGGTGTGATCCACATCATTGCCTCATCGAGTGCAGATCTAGAGGACATCAGGGAACGAGTCTCGACGTACTTGCGACGGCGGAAAATGGATGTCGTGATTCAGGTGGAGAGGGAAGGAGAACAGCGGTGTTGGTGCGGCGGGGGCCAGAAGAGCGCGAAAGCGTGAGCCTCGGTGCCACATGCAAGGTTTTGATGTGTTTAATGATAATAGTGCACGCCAAAATCACGAACCCAGATGTATGTATGTATGGGTCAAGCCGGGGATTGCAGAATCACGAACCATTTTCTCCCACCACTCTATATAGGCAGGGTTGGGGCGGCTGCAAATGCCGTCGCAGATAGAGCCAGTCCCACGTTATACGAGCCGTACAATACTATCCAGATCTCCCATGATCCCCAGCTGGCACAAATCCGTCGGTGAGGAAGGAGCACACCAATACCGCGAGACGATCAATACACATAGGGAGAGACAAGTAACACGTCTCATGTAAACGAAGGAGGGTGGACGAGGAATACACGTTACAAAACGAATATGATCCGTATGTACCTACAGTGCATGTACTATGTCACGTTAGAAAAGGGCGGGCCATTATCATCTTTCAACTGCCCTCCCTCCCTCCCCACCGCCCTTTCCCTTTTCTCATCTTCCTTTTTGAGAGTTTCACCTTGCTCAGTCCGCAGGACAAACCTATATTGTTAAATTGACCCCCAAACCCAACCAATTCCTTCGCTATCCCATATACATATCCCATGTCCCAAGTCCCATGTCCATATTCTCATGCTCATTCTGGTGCTGTTCTCATATCCAGCCCGTCCATTTCCTTTCAGGAAAACAAGATAACCAGCAAATGTCCTTCACCTGCTGGCTACATAAGCTACAGCAGCCTAGCCCTGCGAACTCAGCTCAGCGGGCGGTTGTTGTTTCGGCTCCGCACCGGCGCCCGGTTGCGAACTGCCCACCGCGGTGGTCGAAGTGGTCTGGCTGCGCGTGTCGCTGGTACCGAGCCCTGTGCTTTCGCGATGGGGGTGGAAGTACCGGACCTCGTCCCCTGCCACCTCGGCTGGGGGATCTTTGTATTGTTGTGTCTGGGAGCCGTAGCTGCCGCCGGAAGGATGGAATGGCGGCGGCGGGGATTGCGACGAAGGCGGGTACCCCATAGGGGGATATCCTTGAGGTGCGGGTTGAATGCCGTACGGATGGTGGTACGGATCCTGGACCTGCATCATCTGCGGCGGCTGGGCATGGGGTGCGGCATACCCGAAGGCCGGACTGAATCCATGTTGCATGGGCGAGCCGTACGGTTGCTGCACCATATTCGGGCTGCCCATTCCCGGTGACGGCGCCATGGTCGTCGCCACAGACATGTGTTTGGGATTCTCCTGCGCTGCGGCATACGCCCCGGATTCAGGGCGAATAGGCCCGCCTGCCGCGGTGTTTGCGGCTTCGAGTTTCCGCATCTTTGCTCTGCGGCGGTGACGGACGGCAAGGCAGGCCCAGAGGAAGCCAATGAGGAGAAGAGCGGCGAGGCCAACGCCGACACCGATCCCGATTTTGGCGCCCGTGCTTAAATGCGTGTGATTTTCCGCTGCTTGTTCGTTATCGGCGCAAGGGAGACCAAGGGCCCAGACTCTGGCGACAATGTTAATTTCAAAAGGGCACAATGAGGTGTTTGAGCAGCAGATCAAGGGGGCCAAGCTTACTGATTCACTATGACGTTTATTGTTGGGGTTGTCATTGTCGATTGCGCGGCCAAGGATGCCGACACTACTGAGGTAATGGACGCTAGCACCGCCGAATCGGGTGAAATGGTCGTAGTGAGTGTACTCACACAGGGGAGGTTGCCGATGATGCTTTGGCCATATGTAGTGAAGCCGATCGGGCTAGCATATTCGTTCAGTACTTCCCTAAGAATGAATGGGGAGAGACGAAAAAAAAAGACGCTCACCAGCAGACCGGGTCGATGTCAACCATATCACTGTGATCAAAAATCAGATGACACCCTTGAAACCTAGAGCTTCAACGATCGGCAATACCTTGGACAAACAGTAAGTGGAGCATTGCTCAGCATTGAAATGATTCCCGTCGGAGTTGGACTGGGAGTCGTGCCTGTCCACGATGTGCTCGACTCTTCATTATTTCCTGCACCACTTGCCTCCGTGGCTGACGGAGAAGCAGAACCCGTCTCTTCTGGTTCGTGACGTGTAAAATTCAACGACGGACAGCACTCTGGCCGATCATCGGAACATCCAACGAGGGGCACTTCCACCGTATCGCCGTCCGGAAACGTTAGAAGGGTGAATCGAGCAACATTGCATCTGGCCAGCAGGAATCAATACCGATAGAGACAATGCGGCGGATATTTTCACATACGTCCCCACAAGTAACGCCTGACCCGTGAAAGGCACAGTTTGGACGGCAGGGACACTGGTCGGAGTCGTATAGGTCGTGGTGGTTGCGCCGTCATAAGTGGTACCTGAAGTGTAGACGGTTGTAGTATACACATTGCCGTATGCGTCGGTACTGGTGACCACTGATTGCGCATGTACAACGTATGGCAAAGCAAGCAAGAATAAAGGAGACATTGTTGCAAACCTCATCGTGGCGGCCGACACGTCTTCAAATTTGGGATCAAGTAAGTCAAAGCTTGAGGGGAGCTCCCGGTCCCATTTGAAGGAAGTAGCATGGAGGAGGGAAGCCGAGATAGAAAAGAGATCTTCAGCCCTGCGGCGGCTGGGTTTCGATATACCCTTGACCAAAAAGGCGGGATGGCTCATGATTGAACCTTCCTCGACAGCCGTTTCCACAGCCAGACCACGCGGAACCTTACCCTGCAGTCGAACCACTTTGGAGGAGCAGCCAGTGTCCAAGACCAGCGTCTGGGAACTGTCTTTGTGTGCAAGTGGCACGAACACGAAGTTGGGCCCCCAACGGCTTCGCCCTTGCGTTGTCATTGCTGGAGGTTTAGGCGACGACAAGCAAGCCAGGTAGCTCATGGCTTGACTCTAGCGGCTAGGTTGTATTGGCCCGGATTGGTAGACCCAAGTCTGGACCCCAACTGATACGAGGCTCAACACGAACCCTTCCAGCCAAACAGGTCACTTTGGGGCGGCCGATTCGCCGGCGCGGGCGGGCAATAAAATCACATATCGAGATTAGGCTGCAATACTGAGTGAAAGTGAGTTTCTGGGCTGGATCTAGCCAAAGCCGAATGGTATGCGAAGAAAACAGTGTCTGAGTTGCACAAAGAAAGAGCGTGTCAATAGAGAGGGGGGGGCGGTCCTGAAGCAAAATGGTGTTGGTTGAGAAGCCCTCAGAAGCAACGGCAAGATTCTTCCAGTCTGGAGCTCACCCCCTCGCCACCATCACTTAGGCTTTTCAAAAGAAAAGGCTGGACCAGCCCTGTCGGGTCAAGAAATCGTAAAAGCGTCTTCAAGCTCAAAGGTAGAGAAAAGAAGATTTCAGCTGCCAAGTCTCTTGGCATCTCTGCAGTCTTGGCGCAGATAGAAATGTACTGTAGGAGCGAGGGAGGAGCTTAGAGGTAGAAGGACTCTCCGCCAGATATTTTATAACCCCAATGTTCAGCTAATCGTCCCTTTTTCTAACTTGTAGGAGAGGGTTTCCTCTTTCATTGCCGTATGTCCATGTCAGCGGAACGCCCTTCGCTAGAAAGGGCGGACGCCAAGGAGGATAAAAGTGAGGGCAAGGAAAACAGTTGCACGGCTGCGCGACAGGCTTGCTGTGCTACCGTTGTGCAACGAACCCTTCTGTGCTTCAGGTCAAGGAGGCCAAGCCTATCTCGAATGTTCTTTTGCCATATGACGGCTCATTAGCGATGGAATCAGCAGAAAGAGAGGTTGATTGGAATGCTTGCGTCCAGACAGAGCTCAGCGGAGTCCGCTGAGGGTACGGTGCCATTTCTATTATGCCCAGCTCGAGCATCATGGACCAGCCGTGTAACTATTCTCGCCTTCCAGTAGAGAGACGTATTTTGGGTAGACGATACTCTAAAAGAAAAGTATACCCCCCTTGAGCAGAGCTTTGGAACGGAAAGCCCAATAAGATCGGCCGATCTATTGTTCATTGGTAACTGCGACATCGTCATAGTAAGCTCTCTTCGACTGGAATTATTCGGTTGCCTGAAATCCCCCAGCCTTTTTGCCCTCCACAAAGACAACTGGTGACGTGAAGGGTTCTTTTCCATGGACAAAATAGGATATGACACTGAGCAGTATCGAACTTGTCTACACTGACGGCGCTTAATTTCCTGTACTCGTGTCAACCGGCAAGGTTGATGGGAAAAGTGGAATACTATTGCAAAGCTGCAATAAAGGAAGGCGAGGTTGTTGATTGAAAGCCTGTATCGTCTCAGACTCCATCGCGCCGCTGGCAGTGGCTCTCCTCTGATCCGCTTGAGACAAACACACCCGATCGAGACCATGCATGCGCTGAGCAGAGCCAGCAAGGTAAGAGAATAGATGATATTGAGCCTGCAAGGATCGTTTGGGCTTTGCCGATATTTATGGAGAGGTATCAATGACTTTCCGCGATGCAAACAAAATCATCCGAGGAGAGACACTTACGCAGTTGTTGAGCCAATGTTGATGACGCAGAGCACTGCAACCCAGAAGGATGTGGCGTATACTGCATTGAAAGAAATGTTTCGCCTTCGCTCAATCTTACTGAGCCATTGGGAGAACAGAAACCCGCCATCTCGTGGGAAAAGCAAAGACCTCGCGGCTGGTCGTGGCAAGCGTTGTGATATCGCCGCTGAAGATGCGCACCAGGAGAAGAATACACAGCACATAAGCCAGGGCGCTCGAGCCTGTGTTGAGAAAGAGCTGTAGATACGGTGTCTCGGCGTTGATCGCCTCTTCGAGCGGTGCGATGCAGCATAGTAATCAAGGTGATGATTCCCATGAAGAGATTCAACAAGTAGCTCCACCACATGGAGCAGGGAACATTTAGCGAAGCATCGAGGTCTTCCTCCGAGAGATGACATGTGCTATCCGATCCTGCAGCAAGAGAATTAGTCTTGACAAGAGACCCGTCAAGCCGAGTTGAAAAATAAGTGGCACACTCAAAATTCCTCGCTGTTAGACTGGTTGGTGGCCTTCGTCTGTAATGAGCATTCCGTGTCCCTTGAAAATAGTGGTCCTCTGTCATTCATCCTACACTGTCAATTATGTTCGATATAGCGGCCGCTTTGACGTTACTGAGCGCCTTCGAGGCACATATTCCATGACAAGAGTGTGCCAATAATCCTTGAATCTGGCTTGACCCGTATTGGTGCCGTACCATATGGATGATGCGCTTACCTAAGTTGCAATATGACAATAGCGCCGAAACAAGACATGAGAATTTATGCACCTGATGGCTCCGGTGGAAGGCCGATGTAAATCCTTGATTGATTTGAGCGATGAGCTACTGGATCTGAATGGTGAGCTGTGTTAGGGACTGTTCGCGGACATTGCCTTCCATCAACGCAGGCACGTTTTGAAAACTTCGCCAACTCCTCAGCGACAGCGTGTTCAGTTGCGAGGGCTGAGTCGCGTGGTCGCGAGTAGTTGTAGCATTCCTTGGTAATGACAATGACACTGTTTGCTCGGTCCGTAGGAGGCTCGGCGGCAACGCTGCCAACTAAGGCAGATGAATCGCAGAGCCGCCTAACCCGACTTCTCGATAACAAGCACCTTGTAAGGATACCAGAATTTCCCGCTCCTCAATAAGATTTCACGTTTCGAAGAGTACAGCGAGGTTGAGGATAAAAGAAACGATCTTCTGTTACAATGACCATATCGCTTTGACATTAGCACTATAGCTACCATAATAGGAAAAACAGGCATGGTCCAGATCGCGGGATTTAGTGATAGGGGAGAGAATTGTGGATTGGTGTAGATTACATGGTCATCAAATTGCTTCTACCCAAAAGATCGCGAAGAACCTATCTACTACTGCTTCCAACACATCTCACTCCACGCGTTCTCAGATAGCATCTGTACAGTTGTCCAACGAAGTGGTCGGCGTCGAGTCATTCTCATCAGCACGCAAACATGAAAGCGGCCTCAAATATCCAACATGTCTGAAATTGGTTTTCCCAACAACGCCTTGCATTTAATCCAATGTAAAAATATCTTCAAAAGCAATTGGGACTGCCTTTTGAATGATATCAATTATTATCAACCAGTCTTCACAAGCCAGCGGCGATCTTGCCGGCAACTTCATCCGCAACGCTCTCCTCGTACCAAGCCTTGATGCGAGCGGCCTTTTCGGGGCTGCGAACCTTGACATCCATCTCGAAAGGAAGGGGGCCACCGATCAGGTTAGGGGTGAAGGCATCGGAATCAGGCCACTTGGGTTGACCGTTGGCATCCAAATATGGCTTGAGCTCGAAGCAACCGATGATGCTGCCGCAAGCGACAAGCAGTTCTGCCTCAGTCACTTCAATACCAGGGCACATGCGGCGACCCATTCCGAAACCGTGATGGCCCATGAGTCTGGGATGTTCCGTAAGAGGCTCCTTGTAGGTGGGGTATTCCTTCTCGAGCCATCGCTCCGGCTTGTAGGTCTCGGCATCGGGGTAAAGCTCGGGGTTGCGGGCAAGAGCAAGATCGACAGCGTGAATAATAGCGCCCTTGGGAAGGTAATAGCCGTTCCATTCATCGTCCTCCTCAAGAAGGCGGGGAACACCCAATGGGACTGGCGGTCGCCATCTGACGCACTCCTTGATGGCTGCACGAAGGATGGGGAGGTTGGGAGCATCAGAGACTTCAATGACACGGTCACCAATGACTTCGTCGTATTCCTTGTGGACCTTCTCTTGCCATTCTGGGTGGAGGACCATAGCGAGGAAGAAGCAGTAGAGAGGACCGCCAATGGTGAAGATGGCGACAGTCACCAACATACCAACAGCGTAGGCAGCCTCGTGGTCGTCGAAACCAAAGGATCGATTGCCAGCCTCGGCCTCCTTGCGCTCAAAGTAGGTTCGTGCGTAGCTGATGGGAGCGATACCTTGATCCATTTCCAGACGGACCTGCTTCATGAGACCCTTCCAAAGCTTCTCCTCCTTCTCACGTCGCTCACGCACGCGTTTGATGGACGGGTTAAGCCACTCGGGGAGACTGCCAAGGAAAGGCAACAGGTTGGTGATTGGGCCCGAGGGTGAAATCTGGGGAATGAATTCACCAGCATTCTTGCAGTGAGCAGCAGCAGAAGCAGGGCTACCGTAACCGAGACGAGCGCTAATACGGCCGCAGAATCGATCGGTCAAGGCGAAGTGGTCCTTGGGGTCCATGAGGAGCTTGTACAGGAATCGCTTGCACTCGTGGCTGACGTAGCCGTAGTATTTTTGGTTAAAGCCCTGGGTCAGGACAGTGTGGGCGAATTTGCGTTGGTTGCGCCAGTGATCTGCGTTCAGCATTAGAATTGAAACCCTCATCAACTGGATGGATTCTAGAACTTACCATCATGCGCCAAAAGGGGCAGGTACTGTCCTTGGGAATCACTTCCGGGGACAGCAGGCACCATAGGACGGGAAGAGTAGATTCTGGCCTTCTTGCAAAGCAAGTCATAGGCGATCTTTGCATCACCAACCCAGATATGCATCTCACCGCAGATGGTGGAGCGGAAAATACCATTATATTCATCACAGAACTTCTTCATCGCAAACCAGGGGGCCATTGGGTCAACGTCGTGGACACGGCCTATGTAGGGGATGGTGCTCATGGGGCCGGGAATGAGCTTGAGACCTGGCGGAGGGCGGTCCCTCAGAGCATATTTGATAATCTGGATAGCGGTGACCAGGATGAAAATACCAGTGCCAATGAACCACTTGTAGGTCCCAATGGCATTGACGGCTTGTTGAGACTGGAAAAGAACGTCGGAGGTCTCATTGGCATTGAGATAGCTAGAAATCTGGGTCATGATGACCGACGGCGAGATGGAGGCCGCCATTGTAGGCAAAAGGAAAAGGGACTGCCCTGCAACTGACACTTGCAAGAGAAGCAGAAACCAAACGAAGGGAAGGGGTGAATAGATATGGAAGGACAAACGGGACACCAGGGGAGGTGCGGGCAGTCAGGGTGCCGGTAATATATCAGGGCCAGTTGGGCCGGCCATCAAGCCATCAAGCCAGCAAGCCAGCAAGCCATCAGGAAGATCCGAGATGGACTGGGCCACGGGCCTGGGCAATTCCTCCGAAGAACCAGCCTGGCCGATGTGATAGGTGCATCGGGAGGGCGCAGTTGGCAATCAGGCCTGGGAGCACAGGAAGTCAGACTGTGTCCGTGGCTAACAGGTTGTTCTTCCCAAGAGGTGCTTCAGCCCCCCCCCGAGCATTGGCAGCATCAGCTTTTGAAAATGGTCGACACGATACATTAGTCCCACATTAGGCCTCGACTAGCGCCCGTCAATCATAACACCTTCATACCCAAAGCGGAGAGATGTGGATCCATTTGTCTCCAATTTTGGAACACGAGCGGTACAGCCACGGGGTACCCGCAACGTTCCCCTGATACAGCCCCTGAGACCGCTTTGCTAAGATTGGCATGTCCGTAGCGGTGCTAATCGACGGATTGAGTATGGCTCAATGCAGCCAGACTCGGCGTGCCTGCGAAAATGTGAGATCACATGACTTGGGATGTAATCTCCTATCGTCCAATACCATCTGAATACCCAGTACCATCGAGACACCGTCTAATTATCCGCCACTACACAGGCCCCCAGCAAGCCTACCAATAACACGCGCCACCCTTTGAAACATGGCAAACCTTGGATTGCGGGTGCAGCACAAGATCCTTCGATCCATCCCCCGTATCTGGACCGAGTACAGTACATATCTTGCCTGGCAGGCCATACAGTATCATCATCATCATCATCATCACCACCACCACCAGCCAACAGCTTCAACGGACCACTGTAGCACCATTCCTCAGATGCTTCTCGCTCCCAGTCTTCCCTTGGCACCTTGGGTATGCTGACGGGAGTACTGGGTATTCAGGCCGAGGAGAAAGCCACACTTCCTATCAGCAGGATCAAATTGGATCCTCGTATCCTCGCACATACGGTAAGTCCTCCAGCTGCACCACATAGGGGCATCCAGGCCCTCCCCTTACTTTCTTAGTCTCGCCCACTCCCACATGTAGCAAGTAAGCGGCGATCGAAATTTTGCTGACAGGTTTCGGAAATCGGGGAACCAGGGGTTTTCTCGTCAGCCTTGTCAGTTTCTCTTCTCTCCCACGTGCGAGGCTGAAGCCTCTTGGCGTTGCCCACTTTGCCATCTTGATTCCCATAGCAACTGGGATCCTCGATAGTATTAACTCTGTCTCCGGTAAAGAAAATGCCCAAACTATTCTGCCGTTGAGCCTCGGCGCAAGACACTCCGTCCCCAGTATTCCGTATTTCCTATGCAAGACACGTGCTAGTCTAAGCATTGTGTTTTTTGCCAAGTGTCCAGCCACCACTTGCTTTCATGTTGACAAAAATCTTTCCCGGCAAGCCAGTCAGACTGAGCCACCTCCACGCTTCCCCCTCGCTTCACGGCTTCACGGCTTCACGGCTTGACTATAGCCAGCCAATCTCATTTTCTTGTTTTCAATGGACACTCTCAGAGGAAGCAGCCTGGACCCAGTCACTCTTTCATATTGGCCAACCTGCAAAAATGCGCTGACCTGGTCGCTCGAGGATTTGGCCGTTGCTGCAGGTGAGCTGGTGTATATCCTAACCCCTCGTGATGCATCTCGATCCCTGGGAGATCCAGGACACAAGCAATGGCACACCTTTGCTCTCCGCGTTAATCAATTTGACCCTTCCGAATGGCCTTTTCAAGATTTGGCCACCATCACTCAGTTCTCGATCGGCGAGGAACTCTCTGAGTCTACAGTTCTGTCACTCTCTTGGTCTCCGTCTGGACTGGGCATTTACCGAAGAAGCGTTCTTGCGATTTTGACTTCGAACCTCGTTCTCTCACTTTGGGAGTCTAATGGAAGGCTGGGGACCTGGCAGCGAACGGCAATTGTTAATCAGTTTTTACCGATTCAACCCAGTGACAAGGACGCCAGTATTTCTAGACGAAAACGACGTGTTCGCGCCTTTCACTGGCTACCCGCACTCTCGCTTTCTGTAGGATCCAGGTGGGGCCTCCAGCTCCTGGCTGTGGCCGACGATGATTTCACAATCTCGTTCTTTCAGCTGTGGAAGACCAACGGTACTGTTTATGGACAGTGGTCCTTCAAGCTTCTTGCACAGTACAAGGTCCCAGATCTACAGCATTTTGATGCCAATGCGATGAGAAAACTCAGCTTGCGAGCGATTCTAGCCCAGTCCTCACCGATCTCGAAGCTGGAGTCAAGCAAATGGCAAATCAAGAATGATCCAAGTAAGCATCCCGGGACAGCAGCTGCGGATATCAAGGTGAGCTTTGGCCAGTGCAGCGAGGCGAAATATGTGTCTCTACAGGCCAAGTTGGTGGATGCAGACAGCTGCCCAACCCAACATGAGTTGGCGCTTTCAGTCAGGCCTCTAAGGTCGGCGTCAGGATCGTTCTGCCTCGAAACGCCCACCGAAAGCCTATTCGATCTTGCAACTAAGAAGCCTCGTTCCGAATTCGACCGAAAGTTCAGACTTGGGGGAAGAGTTCGTGTCAATTACTGGGGCACTGCGTTCTCTCCTGATCACGCCATCGCAGCGGCATGCATCTCGTTCCACCCTTCGGACATGATTGAGTATGGTGCACCGTCGAGTCAACGCACTACAGTGGTATTCATACACACGCATGAGCCGCTCATCTCGGACTACGTTGCAGAGAATCCGTCAAGGGTGCAGGAACGCATCCTTGAGTTTGTGAGGGACTCGCCATCTGGCTTGGTGAAAACAGACTTGGATAAGAACATTTTGCGGACTGCCGCTGCCCTGATAAAACTGGATTTCAAAGACTCACCGTCTCTCACTCGCTGGGCAGATGAGTTGCTGACTCTGCTTCCAACGAGTGCTTCCGGCGAGGATACCAGTGGCACGGACAAGCAACAAGACAGCACTGTGCTGCAGCAGGCTGACAGTAATGCGGACCACACCGCAGTTGTCGAAGCTGGAGATAAAAACTTTCTAGCCTACGAGATTTGCGAGCTCTGTGGTGATATCATTCCTTTTTCAGCAGCAGCAGACCCAGGTCGAGCGAGGTGCAACCGAGGTCATCAATTCAGCCGTTGCAATCTTTCCTTCGTTGCTATCCAAGAGCCTGGAATTTCAAAGTACTGTTCTAAATGCGGTAGGCAATTCCTCGATCCTGGCAAGCTGGAATCTGCGGATGGTCCAAGCTTGAGTCAAGCGCTATTTGACAACTTCGATGTCTGCCCGTATTGCCAAGGCAAGTTTCGGGGGTGAGACTGGAATGCGGCTCGACGAAGCCTTCTGTGTCACCATCATAGATTGGGGCTGAGAACAGGTTTCCTCCACCGCTACCATGTTGGCAGAAGAGGGAGGTATTGAGCGTCTCTTTGTCCTGTCCGAAGAAGTCAAATTATCCAGCCCGTCGCCGGATTCTGAAATTCTCGACAACTCGACGGCTTTCTGGGAACAGATGTTGCCGCAAACGGAAATATTCTTTCAACCATGAGCGCTCACCGCAAGCAATCACCCAAGATGGTGCTGCTTAAAACACTCTCCAGCGATGATACTAAATCCAAACTCCTTGATATCTCTCTTGTTGTGAATGTTCACTGCCCATGGTCTTCAATCCTTCGAGCCCGGAACGAGTCTTTGCTCGTAAACAAGTCGTTGTTCCTCGTATTCCGAAGCCTCAGCAAGAAGAAGCCGCCGCAGACAAGAAGGCCAACGAAATGTCGCTTGACAGCGTGCCGAGATCGTCTTCGCCGAGTTCTGGCTTGCGCAGAGGAATTTCTCGGCTGATGCGACAATCGCAAGACCGGCCACACCCGCCTCCTCCTAAAGAGGTCAGTCGATGGTCCAAAACCACCACAGAATCAGAGATTTCCGATGCATTGCCGGAACCGCCATCATCCTCAGACAAGAGAAGGAGCTTCCTCAAAAAGAAATCGAAGCTAAAAAGGCAATCAAAGGACACGACAAACTCAAGCCCGACAGACCCATTCTACGACCCGGTGACAAGGCAGCTCCAACCAATTGGAGACATCCCTCCTGTCCTTTCCACAAGTCGAGATGACGAGCCGCCGCGGACAATGTACAATTCGGATTCCGATACTTCGTCTGAGCTCGACCCGACAAGCCCGATCATCCACAGAGCAAGCAGCGTCCGTGTGAGCAGACCGCATATTGTGCAGCACAGCAACAGCTCGGGTGGCTCTGTCCCAAAGCTATATGTTCCGCACTCAACCCCGACGTCGATGAATGATGCGCCATACATAGAAAAAGCATCGCAAACCTTGGGCGAAGGACTCAAAAACCTCTACAACTTGACACCCGGTGTCGAGAAGAGTGAGAAAACTATGGTCCCAGGCGGCCCAGGTGACGCTCTCAAGGCGCTCGAAGGTCAAGGAGTGCCGGAACTTAAAGATGACAACAACACCGCCCTTTCCCAGGCCCCGGCCGAACTCAGCAACGAGCCGCGTGACACCATGAAAGAAATCATCCTCGAGTGGCCAGACACTCCCAGCCGTATCGAAGCGCTCGATACCTTGCCTACACCGTTCGGTGGGTTTGGTTCTGTACGCATCCCTCGCACCTCCTACGCAACCTACTCGACAAGCCTGAGTACCAATGCCACCTATGTCTCTCCTCCGTCCATCGTCACAGACGGTCTCCGGTCGAACCCCCCCTCCGAGAACGATAAAAAACTTTCCCGGGCCATCTCAGCACCAGTGCGTAACCCCGCGCGACGAGTCATGATCCGGCCTACGGATCTGATCATCAACAAGGGTGCCCACGACCATAAACTGTTCCGTGAGAATATCGTCAGCACACCGTACCCGGCGAGACATAGCAGTATCGGCGAAATCGACGAGATTCCTTCTCACAGACCTCAAGAAAAAGGTGCAAAGACGCCCAAGCTAAGGCGGTCGAGACCACTGCCTCATCAACCCGAAAAGTCCGAACAAGACGACGAGAGCAAGAACGCAACCAACACCGGCAATAACATCAACAACACTACAGAGGATTTCCAAGACGAGAAAAGAGACGTCGCCCCCGAAATCCCCTTCTCCACAAAACCCACGCTCCTCTCTCCAAGCCCGGTGCGGCCTGCAACGGCAAAATCCGACCGCTTCCCTTCCCCGTCGGGCCCGGAGATCCTTTTCCTGGACCTGTGCCTGGACCGCCACCCGTCAGCCCGGGTTACGGTGGAGATCGAGGTCACCGACAAGGCGACCTTCGACGACGAGCAATTGTTCAGCATCGTGCGGGACAAGTATGTGACGAAGCTTATGGGACGTGGAAGATGGTGGTTCTGCGCGCGGACCTTGGAGGGTGCCAGCAGCACCTGCAGCAGTGACGTCGCGGGGACAACAAGTCAGCCATTCGTGCCAGGAGTGCCATTCTGGCTCGGCCAGCAGCAGGTTGGCGGCGGCGGGGGGGACTTTGACGGCGCAGACTTTGTGCGGCACTTGCTCATACCCCGAGTTGGACGGAGGCGGAAGATGTGGCTGCTCTGGCTCCGCAACAGCCAGCATCACGACTCGCATGGCAACAATAACAATAACGACAATAACAGCCCGACAGCACGCCGCGGGCGCAGGTCCTACTTGGCCCAGCAGCAACACGCTGGGAATGGAGGATACGCGTATAACAGTAGTAGCAGCCCGCAGCAACAACCAGGCGAAGCCAACAATGCGACAAGCCCGGTCTTCTCCTTCGTCCATTCGCCGAGTAACAGCGACGGCATTGTGGGCAATAATATCGAGCCATCATCGACAACACAGGCACACGGGCCCAGTAACGGTGTTGGTTTTGGTTTTGGTGCAGGTGGAAGTGGAGGTCCAGGCCTCACGGCGAAACAGCCCTCGATCTCTCTCCTGCGAATGCCCTTCCAGGCATCATCAACTCCAATGTCCTTCCACCGGACCAAATCCCTCGCGGCGCTCACCAACCTACCGTCTTCTTCCTCCTCCTCTTCCCCGTCCAGCTCCTACGCAACGAATCCTCACCCCACCTACCTGGCCCAACTCCAACACCAACACCTCCAGCACCCGCAGCGACAAGGTCCGCCCAGGATCCATCTCCACCACACATTCTCACTCGTCTCCATCGCCCTCTTCACACTTCTGCTCCTCCTGCTATCGTGCCTGACGGCGACGTTCTGGATCCTGTTCGGCTACCCGGGCCGCAGCGCCGCGGCGCGCGACGGCGCGACGGCGGTGGGCGGGCACGAGTACGCGCTGAGCTGGCGGCGCGATGCGCAGGCCCGCGTCGGCGTCGGCCTCGTCATGGGCGTCGTCGTCCTGCTTGTTGGCGTTGCGGGCGAGGTCGGCTGGGTCTGGGCCAGTTGGGTGCTTGTCTAGCCTTGCCTTTTCTGGATCTAGCACATCTACATAGCTGGCTGACCTGCTGGCCCATCTGCTTGTCCATTTGTTTGTTAGCTAGCCGCAACGAATAGGAGGATGGGGCATTTCGCAAGGTCGGCAAGTCACAGAGAGAGAGGGAGGGTCCGGAAGCTCGGGAACGGTGGAAAAGGAAGGGAGCTACGTAGACAGAAAGACAATTCAAAGATTATACTCATCACATTGTCCTCCGTACTGTACTATAGTTTACTCTCCTTTCTTTTTCTCCCCCTGGCCTGAGGTTCTGTGTCCCGTCGGCGAGGCCAACTGCCTGCCCGTATGTAAATGTATCGCCCAATGTATTTCGGACACATATCTCTTCCTTCGTCGTCTCGTTGATTCAATAGATGACGCTACATCTATCCATACACAAATACATAAATGGCCCAAAATCGCTGACCACCAGTTCCTCAGTCGTCCGTGCCACATCAAATCGAAACATCTAGTATATGCTATATATGATATATCCTCCTATAACTTCCTACTCCGCTATCTCGAAGCTATCCATTCTACCCTCCCCATCTGAAGTTCTACTTCCTGTCTGCAACTAAGCATTCACAGTCATAACCTCGGCCACCCAGTCGGTCGCTGTCGACTTCCTCTTTCCTGTTGGTTTGTCCTTTGCCTTCTCTAACTCCTTGTCACCGTTGGCTTGCTTCGCATCAGGATCGAATTTTGAAGTAAGAGATAAATCAGGTGTATCGAAGAATGAGGCTGAGAATTCTGATTCGAATTTTTCTGATCCAGATTTTCCAATGGCTGGGGACGTAGTGGTGGTGGACGTAGGTATTTCTGCAAAAGGTGTGGCAGCGGAATTGTCTTCCACCTTATCTTCTGTCACGATTTGAGCCTGAGCCGAAGCTGGAGGCTGAACTGAGGTGGCAACAGGCGTGGGGAACATGTCTGCACCTGCTTCTATGCTCGGGTGTGTCAGGGGAATACTTTCTGTAATCTCGCTGGTCATAGGTTGGGAATCATGGGTCGCCATCACGGGTACTGGTTCAACGAAGGCCCGGTCTGCTGATGATATCAGCTCAATCACAGGTTGGCTGTTCGCAATTATATCCTCGGCTGCAACGGCAGCGTCATCGACAATTTGATTGTGAACACCAGTTGTCTCGGGGTCCGCTGGCTCGCTGATGAGAGGTTGACTCTCGTCCGCTTCTCTTTCCGCTTCTCTTTCCGCTTCACCCTCATTTTCTTCGGCTATCACGGTTGAACCCACATTTCGTCGCCCATGCAAACTTGCAAACCTAACAAATTGAGATGGAGTAGAATGTCTCTTCATCCTCCGTGGACTCGAACTCAGCTGTCCGATGGGCTGCTTGACCGGACTCGAGGAAGCAATATTCATATCCATGTGTGGCATCTGCTCACTCTCGGCGGCAACCTTTAAAGGACCCGTATACGGTTCAATTGTCGCCTGACGCGTTTCGTTCTCACCCACCTCCATTGGGATAATGGGCGTAAACTTATGTCGGCTCGCATCAGAACTCCGCCTCTCGGATGACCCAGATGTTCGTTCAATCTCAAAGCTGAAGTTTGTTCTTAGGTTCTCGTTTTCCAGCACGGGACTCAGTCCGCTTGCATATCCCGGGGGCCGTTTCATTTTCCCACAGCAGGCGCATCGAGCATAGACTGGAGCAGAGATGATTTCCTTTTCTTTCCCTTTGAATTCGCTCGGGATAATTACAGAAATTGGGCGAATCGCCGGATGTGTCGAAAAATTATCGTTCTCAATCGTCGCGCCATCCACTTTTACTTCGTCAACTGCCTCAACCGAGATCGCAGTCTTGTTTTCAGATTTTTCTGCGTCGTTGTTCTTGCCGAGGGATAGAGTCCGTCTTCTCATCTTCTTGAGTTTGCCCCCATTTTCCGCACCTTCATGGTTGCCCTTATCTCCACCAAAGAGAGCAGCATGGATCGTGAACCTCTTCTGCTTTTCTTTTTCCTTCTTGGGCGATTCCGGCTGGCCAGTTTGATTTCCCTTTTCGATGGACGAGTCTGTTGCCTGTTTGGGCCGAGTATCGACATTCTCCAGCTTCTGTTCGTTCAGAGCGACTTCTTCATCACTTTGAACCTTGGGCTGATTGTGTAGATCATCTGCTGGGTCTAAAACTGGGAACTTCTCGGTGCAATCCACAATCATCGAGACGGGTGAGTCAGTCACTCTCGGCGGACTTACCGGCCTTGATGATGGAGCGCTGACGTTCGGTACAGAGTTGGTGCGTAAATTCCGCAAACTTTGAGCGCGATAAATGCTGACTTCTGGTGATTCATGTCTCCCCCGCTCTGGCGACGTGCTGACCTGGCTCTGTCTCGGTCTTGAAAAGTAAGACAGCGGATTGGAGACAATCTTCTGAGAAGGGTGCTGTAGCATGGTCAAGGATCCTGTTCGTGTAACTTCTGGCCCTCGGTAGGTGGGAAGTCCACGGTATGAGGAAGACCCAGAGCTTGATGGGCGAGAAGACAAGCCATTCGCCGACATGAAGGCAGCTTGCGCAGATCCCCGGGGTCGAGGAGCATGGATAATACCGTTGGCGTGGCTCTGGACCACATGATGGCCATAATGATGGCCATGGGTGCTAGATTGGGACGATCTTCGATGAGTATTAGGCGTAAGTGGAGGGGTTGGGATGTTGACGCTGTTGTTTTTGGAGATAGAGTTTCTGTGTGTCTGTGCTATATAGGGTGGAAGCTCATCAGGGGATGCGGGAGGAGTTGCATTGGTTGAACGTCTTGATCGGGATTGAGTTGAAGTCGATTTCGAACTGGATTGACTACCCGTCTTCGAGGCGAGGGCACTATGGTTAAGCGATCGAATCTCGGCCGGAGTAAGTTTGGTGACGTTGGCACTGTTTCGGACGGCATGACGTTGTCGTTGCTTCAGCGTCTTCTGTAACTTGGCCATATCAAACTCGTCTGCATGAGAATGAAATACATAGGTTAGTGGACGTCGGACAAGACATGGATGAAGTACTTGGTGGGAGGGAAAAAAAAGCAAATAAATAACGACAACTGGAAAGGGCAGGGCAGGGCTGATGGAGATGGGTCCGTGAGGGCAGTCAACGGAAATGGTTGGTGTTGATGTCAATGGTAAGCCCAAACAGAACTTGACGTCTGCAAGGTAAGCTTCCTAGCTGAGACAACACAAGTCACTCACCCGAGGGATGTGCGGTAGCCATCGCTGGCATGGCTGGTGTTGGATAAGAGTGCTCTGCTAGTAGGATAATGCCGTCAAAGTCCGCGGTAGGATATCCGGTCAGCTGGTTGCGGTAGCACAGCCAGTGGTACTGTCGTGCGTCCGGCCCAGCCCCAGGTGACCGGACAATCTGGCTTGCCAGGCAAGCAACAATAAAAGGGACAGGTTCCGCCGATTTTTACGAAAAATTCAACAACGAATGCAAGACGTCGTCGCTAACTGGCAGCAAGACCGGTGCCCAATCTGTAGAGAGGGAAACTGCAGACGATCTTCGGATGCTGGAATGGGAATCAGCGGTTGCGGTGTGGAATTGGCGGTGCGATCGTCATTCCCGAAGCGGTGCTCTCGGCTGGATCCTTCACAGAAAGAAAAACGTGGTCAACGGAGTCAGAGTTGAAGGCGACGGACTAGTGGTGTTCCGTCGCAAGGGGCGCGATACGTTCGACACAGGCCGCGGCTGTCGGACACTGAACGAGTGATGAGAAAGAAACGAAAGGAGGGTAGCTGACGTGCGAGCGATTGATGGATAGATAGCCAGATGGAGGGATGGACGAGGGATGCCGTGGATGGGAAATGGTGGATTGGAAATAACAGGAAGGAGGGGCAACAGTGACTCTCACCAGGACCCAAGTTGCTGGACCTGGAGCAGTGGTGTGGCTGCAAGAACCGACATGTTAGTGTCTTGTCGCATTCTTGCCGATGGGATCTTTGACAATGGTGACGATCGACGGCGTGGATTTGAAGGAAAAAGGCGGCAAATGCCTCTCCAGGTCTTTCTGCGTTTCCCTTGGTTTGTTTTGGACAGTCTCTCCCTCTGCTTCCTCGGGTTGTTCCTGTTCCTCCTCTTTCTCCCCCCCGGGGTCTCGATTTCCAGCGCGCTCACTTGCCATGGTGATGGAGAATTGGCCAGATTGAGCAAGGGCTCGAACAAACGGCGGGATCAGGTGGATGGGGGTTCGATGGAGTCTTGCGGCGCGAGATGCTAGCGAGGTCGTTGGCTAGGTTTTGGAGAGTGTCTTAAGTTTGAGGCGCCGGGCTGCCAATAAAATGCCATCCAGGCTTGGTAAATTGAGGTACGCCAATGCCGTCGACGGGCCATGGCTTTTTGGGCGGGCGTAAGGTGGTCACTGGAGGGGTCCCAGCTCGCCACAGCAATACTCGGGTACCCAGACTACCTACAAGTAGGCGCCCGAGGCTCCCTGGGGGCTTGGGCACCCTAGGCTGCCAACTAACGCAAATGAACCGCCTAACCGGACTTCTCTACAAGTAAGACGTCGCCAATTGAGCATCAAACGGGCGCCTGCGGTTCCCTCAGCACCCAGCATCCACCGCACCCACTCGGGGAGTTCCCAAACCCTGTTTGCCACGCACCGCCCACTGCATTTGGGAGGAAAACAACTGAAACATTGCAACAGCCTCATGCTCAACCTCTCGACCCAGAGCAGAAGTCTTGATGAATGGTTTCCGTATCCAACGGGTCCAGTGACCATGTCCAGCAGCCTCATTTCCCTATCAGTACCTCGTGCTCGTCCCTCGGAGGGCATTGCCTCTCATCTCTCCTCATCTCGTTTCGGGACCCTGGGGTTTTGCTGACGACTCCTCCCCATACCAGTACCCAGTAATTACCATTACACCGATAAGGGACAACAGCAATCCTTGCGTCGTCTCACATATCCTGGCTTTTCTTTACAAGTCCAGGTTGCCGAACTCGTGCAAGTTGAACCACCCCTTGACCACCCTCAGCTTTGTACCTGGAGATACATACCTCGCCCACTAGCCCGATGATTGCATGACGAAAAAACCCCCCCATCCCCGGGAACCCTCAAGCCACTCATTGACTTCTTTGATATAACACCAATCTCGCCTCGTCTGCTTGCTTACACATGGCGTATTCAAACTATCGACAAAATCAACCTTATCAGATAGGATACGACGCAAGGCCTTGCCCCATCATACACATCTTGTGCCCGCAAGCTTCTCCCGGAGCCCATGACCGAGTACCGAAGCAGGAGATGTGTGCACACGCGACAACGCGTCATCACAAAGATTTTTCCCATGTCCAATTTCCGTAAGTATCTTGAACTTCTTCCGTCATGATATCAACTCCAATTCCATTGCGGGCGTTGTGTCATCCCTCATAGAAAAAAACATTCGTAAGCATCCTGCGCGAGGCAGTGATTGCTTTGGGTATTTCGATACATGTAACCAGAAGAATCCTCCCGATTTTAAGATACCTCCGTCTCTACATACCTCTCGAGGGTGATGGCGCAGGATGGCCATCAGTCCTCTTGTTTTCGTATGTGTTTACAATGCAAGGCCGGTGCCGTCACCAGTCCATCTGTACAAAGCAAGCACCTCGCGTCGCCAATGTTGCTGCTCGGCCAAATCCTCGGGGATGCGTCCTCGCACTTGCTGAAGAGCCGATCGCATCACCTTCCGGAAGTTGCGCTGCCCCTGATGTCAGTCCCTGGACATATTTCCATGCTGCACGCGTCTCTAAATCCAACTTACCTGATATTGCGTATCCAAGGTGGCGACGCACGCCTCATGCGCTCGAACAATCGTCTCACAAGCCTTAACCACATCGGGGCTGACGTCGCCTTGCAATTTGTCCGCGAACAACAACAGCAAGAAGCTGCCTTGAAGAAGATACACGCCGAAAAAGAAGGGCATAAAGCTCAGGTCGGGATCATCCTCGATGATTTCGGCCACTGCCTCAGCGGCGCTCACCGCATGTCCCGTGGCAGTTACAAATGACTGAGAAGAAATCCAGAGGTCGTTGTCGTCCAGTAAAGCAATCGGATCCCACTTGCCGGTCAGGAGAATATGCAGCACGTGCATAATGTGTGTCCCATAGGCCACAACAGTCTTGGTCTGCAGCGCCAGTTCCGAAACACTGTGGGACTCATTCGTGCCCGCCGATACCACCGATGGAGTAACCACATCATTGTGGCTGGTATCTTGAGAATGTCCTCCGGAGGCCTCAAAATCTTTCAGACTCTGCCCATACGTCTCCAGCTGTTGAGTGATCTCGTCGGTGTGATCGTCCCAGTTTTTGGCCTTGTTAGCCCTGGGTCCAAACCGTGGTCGATTGCGGGCATGATTGAGATCCAAAATCTCCCCTAGGATTACCATCAGAGGTAGGAAATAGCCGAACACGCTGTGCGACGTGCATTCAATGTTTAACCCTCTTCTGCGATGCGCGGGATCCGACGCCTTGTCGAATCGCCCGGCCTGGAAGACGTCGTCGTCCAATGGCTGCAGCAGGCTCTCACATTCCTTGTTGAGGAAGAACATGGGTCGATTGTAGCACAACGCCAGATGACGATCTTGCATGTACAGTAGCCACCAGGTCCGCCGTCGTTCCTCCCTTTCTTCTTCCGACACATAGCCGATAGAGTTGCGCCGCGTGTCATCCACAGAAGTCTTTCGGTTTTCTCCCGAGTGGCCGTCTGTGTGATTGCTTCCAGCATTATTTTCTTCGCCATCCTGCTCCGGCGGGTTAGGAGGAAGCTCACGACCCAGCCGGATTTCTCGAGCGAGTGACCAAGCAGCATTCCACCATCGGAGGCTCGCTGCTTTTCGTTCGCTCGCGGACACCACCGTAGCCAGGTGTATGTACGTCGCTAGATTGTCAATTTGTGCTCGATCGACGCCGTGACCTCCGGAATGTGTTGGCACAACGAGAGCACCCAACCCGCCATCATTGGCCGCCATCTGCGGATAGTTGGGATTCGGCGTCGGAGCGGAGGTGTTGGGGTGGCTGTGAATTAGGGGTTTGAGCATGTTTATGGTGAGTTCCAACAATCTTTGACAGATCCGAGCTCGCGCGTCTAATTGAGTTGTTAAGAAAGCAGCATCACTGGTTTGCGCCGCGATCCACAACATGCTCGCCAGGAGTGCAGGAGTACATGGACGGGGATCGGTAGGGTGCAAGAAAGACTTCTTTCGGAAGATGTAGCCCAATATGTACGGATTGGCAGGTCTCAGATAAGCCGAAGTTGAACTGGTGAAGTATTGCTCCAACAGGTCGCACGCTAAAGCTTGAGGAATGATGGATTCAATGTGAGGCAGCAGAGGACGAAGCACGGGATATCTTAGCGTATCTGTGATGCGAGGCTGAGCCGGTAAGGAGTCGTTGATGAACATGGGCGACGTGAGCGCAAGCCAATCCGGCGATTCGACCATAGGTGCTTTGCCCATGAACGCGACTGAATAGTCGTCTCCCAGCGGAAACCCGAAGCCTTGTGCTGCCCCTTGCACGTGCATGGAGTCGAGGGTGGACGGCGCATACGCTTGGTTGGGAACGGCAAAATCAATGGCTTGACTTTGGGTAATTTGAGGTACCATGGACTGATCCATCTCGTGCAATTGATGGGCCGCAGGAATACCCACCCCCGAAGAGGGATCAAAACTGGTAAAGAAAGCCGCCTGATGATGGTTGGCGTCAAACCCAGCGCCAGAGGGAGTGTTGTTGGTAGGCAAGGGATTTCCATCGAGCATGCTGTCGCGACCGGCGTAGGAAGTGGTGGAATACTTTCTGGGACCAGCCGACTGGTGAACAGTGGAGGCATTGTTGTTGGCCAGTTGAGCGGTATTGGCATAGTTGGATTCATCGGCGGCATCCGTCTCTTTCTTTGGAGCCCGCCCTCGTTTCTTATGAGCGCGAGCATATTCGCAGACGAGAGCATTGTCTGTACAGTGGGCACAGGGCTGTTTGCCGTCGCATTTGGTACGTAGTTGATTGCACTGATCACAGGCCCGGCTTATTCGTCGTCGGACTGCCGCCGAATCATTCATATCATTTGGGTCCAGCTCCGACTCTCTTCTCTTGCGACCGGCTTGCAGATTGTCATTGTCGTATGGTTTGGCTTGGTTCTGGAGCATCGAGGTAAGCTGCTGAGGTTGGGAAGTAGTGATCATGTCGGGTCTCTGAGCATAGTCGTGGAATTCCGAGTAGGAGTTATGGGTCTGTGGGGGAATGCGGGAGAGCATGTCTGCGGGATTCGAGGGCGACAGCAGCACAGGGCCACTGTCATCGCTCTAGAATTGGATGAAGCGTCGTCGTCAACAGACCGGTGTTGCTAAGAAGAAGATGCGCAGTCGAGAGCGTCGGGATGGTGGTCAACGGCAAGCGACCGGAGACAGCTCCTGCACCCTCGGGCGTGATACAAGCGGTGCCAGCAGCAACAGCAGAGAGCGCATTTGTGTGTGGAGATTTTTTTCGCTCACATGAGACGGTGAAGGGATCAGAGGAGAGAGCGGGACACGGGCGAGTCAAGCCTCGACCATGAACCACCATGGAGCGGGGATTGGCAGAAGTTGGGGCTCGTAGGCGAGGACTGCTTGCTGGTCAAAGCAGGGTCTGGGACTCTGGGTAAGCAGTTTCTGGGTGGTTTTGGTGTTGGATGACGGGCCCTGGGGGGCCCGCGCCGTTAAGTTAGGTAGGCAAGCTGGGGCCGGGGTAGGGGATGGGCTAGTGGATGGGCATCTTTATTGGCAGGATGCTTGCCTCCTTGGAGGTTTGGTGACAAGCACAGGGATGCATGCGAGGTGTGAGGAGTCGCAATAGGACGGTGGGGCCGGCCATCAACAACGTTCTGCCGCTGAGATGCAGTATGTAGTAGATACCTCGGTGAGTTGGTCGTACATACCGAGTACTAAGTGGTTCGTACTCACAGCTTACTCAACTATGGGCGTTGATTTCTAGGCAAGAGAGAGAGGATGGCACGTAGATGACGCCTTGCTCAGAGATGAGTAAAGGAGTGGTTTATAAAGGCCGGATGGATGAGTGAGAGGGTTGTGTACGAGGTACCTAAGTAGATTGGTGTGGTGGGTGTGTGTTCCAGTTCCTTCGTTCGAGCTTCCTCGTGGGGAAAGGCTCTACTAGGCCACTACTGGGTAGGCTGTATGATGCGGGGCACCCCCATCCCAGGCAGCTTTAGGTTGCTCAAGGTTGCTGTACCTCGTAGAGCCCATACCAGTACATTCCCCCAAAGCACCCCCGTACACGGCTACCTCGTACTTACGGTGCAGGCTGTGGCTGTCCAACATCACCTGCTGGGTTAGTCGGCCATACTTACCGCCACCAACGGGCGCCACCACCACCCACCCAAATCCACTGCGTCATGATGCTGGTCCTGCTCTTATCCAACCACATCCGCCTTTACGATGTAGCATTCGTGATCTCAATGCTACCTAGGCACTACCTCGTACATAGCACACTTTCCTTGAGCTCACTATTTCTCAGTTGCTACAAGTGCCGACGTCTCGGACTTTGCGCGTCGACTTCTCCCTCCGCGACTGGAACCTTTGCCACGCCCGCCCAATCAGCAGTGCGCCTTGTGTTGTTTGTAGTTGCGAGATATTCTTGTATTTCTACAGGAGAGAAGCATTACCAAGTGCAATCCTGCCATTCCTCTATTCAAAAATGACCCTTGGCTGAACGCCTCTCCTCCACCGCCTTCTCTGCAGCTTGAAGTGCAACGTACCGCCACTGTTCTCGGCCGCTTTCGATGTCGAATGGATGCTAGCTCTAGCAGGTTTACGGAGTGTTTTAGGTCATCCAGTGGTGGAGCATGACTTTGCCCCATTTCGGAGAGTGTTGATACTGAACGACCCAGCTCGCCAGGCTTTCGCGAACTGCGTCGTTCTCATCCTCTGCGGGATCACTCCCAGAGTTGCCATTTGCGATGTGTGCATGCGTAATCGTCCTTTGATATGCACAAATATCTTCACAAAATGCCAACTTCGCCGCCTCGTTCCTGTGCCACTCGAGGGTACATTTTTGTCGAGTCATCCTCAGGGTGGTAGTTGGCGCCAGGTTCACCACGGATGAATCAGCATGAGGATTCTTGCCACCTCGGTGCCACCGTAAATTGAGCATGCGGCGGGACTGGTGGGTTACGCGGATCTGCACATGTTGATTGCGGATTGACTCGGTTGGAGAGCGGTGGACGGTGTGCCTGCTCCTCCATGATGGATCATCCGCCTACCGCAATTGAGCCGCTGTTTGTCACTGAGGAGCATGCTCGCTCAAGATCTTGTTCAGTCCATTCCGTTGAACACATTCGTCAAAGTGGAAACTGTGCGCCAGTTCGTCCAGCTCTTTAAAATCCATCCCCTCGAATTGTCTGGCAAACTCGTCCGAGAATTGCGCGCTCAACCACGTCTGGATCACGGCGCGCATGAGGTGCCTTTCAGTCTGCCATGGACTTGGATAGGCATCCTTCGCTGTCGGACAGATCTTGTCAATCCACTCCACGAGAGGATTCAAAACGGCTTCCGCCTCGGGCGCATGATGGACCCCCCACGCATCCAGACGGTATCTCTTCTTCTTGTCCAGGAAGGACTGGATGGTGCGGTTCCATTTCGAATCCCGGCTTGTGTGCACCATTCCTTGGACGCCGATGTCCTTGTATAGCCAGATGCTCCAACTAATCTTGTACTTGTCGTAGACCTTGAACTGTTGGCCGAGCATGTTGTACCGATCCTGGTTGATGGCTTCTGCGTCTTCGTCCTCGGCTGGGTCAGCGTAGACTGGTCCGAATTCGCCATTCCATATGGGACATTTGTGCTCGAGCATGAATGCGGCCTTTCGGAGGAACTGTCGGTCCAGTTTGCTGTTCTGGTCGTCGGTGCCTTTGTAGCGTTCGCCAGTAGGAAATCCCATCATCTACATTTTCTCATTAGCAAAATGCCCGGCGTCTGACCTAGACCTCAAGACAAACCGAGTAGTCATGGAGCGCGTATACACAATTCGCCAAAACCTCATCAAAGCCTTTCCATTCCATCGAAAAAGTATTGCCATCCAGCCACAGGATGTGATGATTGTCCATGGCACGGATAGCCGCTTCGATCCGTTTGTAGAACGCCGGCAGGCGGACATGCTCGGGATCGCATGGCTCATTGATGGGGTTGTATCCAGCCACCCATGTGTTATCCCGATACCTTTTGGCAATCTCCTGCCACAACCAGATCGTCCTGTCCTGATGGTCCTTGTAGTCCCAAAAGGCGGCATAGTTGGTAGGATTATCGGAGTGCCAATCGGGGTTCTGGCCGCCCGGCGCGGTGTGCATGTCGAGAATTGTGTAGATCTGATGCTTTGCACACTGGCAGTCACGTCATGGCAGTTTAGTCGGGAATGCTTGGGCCATCATCGTCGGATGATAATATGCTCACCAGATCAATAACTCTGTCGAGGTGCTTGAACCCAGACTCCTTCAGCACCCGAGGGTTCATGTCGTCTTCCAGGTGCCGGTAGTTGAAGGGGAGTCGGATGCAGTTCAGCTTCAGGCTGGCGAAGAAGCGAGCGTCCGCCTCAGTGAAGTGGTATTCCAGCCACTTGTCGAAGAAGAACTCGGCCTTCTCGTCGCCCAAGACTTTCCGCATAGATGCTCGATGCTGCGACTCGTGCCCAGGGTAGCCGGTGATGAAATTCTCCATGCTGCGAAAGCACCCCCGTCAGCTGCCAAAACTCATTGTTCCGCACGCAGCAAAGAGGACGACTTACTTCATCCAGCCTCCAATAGCTGCTCCCCGGAGAACCACATGGTGGCCATTGCCATCTACGATCTTGTCGCCGTCGACCCTGAGATAGCCTGCCGCCATCTTTGGTGGTGGTGAGAGAAAAAGAAAAACAGACCGAAGCTACAACGATCTTCTGTTGCCTTGAAGAGATATCCTTACCTTATTGCTCCCGGGTAATTAAAAGCGGGCGGAGGGGCGAGCTCACAGAACATCGTTTGCTATTCTTCGGCATTGGCTGGCGGGTACAGGAGTCAAGACGTTTCCGAACTCGCGCACCGAATGAGAGAGAGTTTAAAACCCGTCGAAGCTCTCTGCCAGCCCAGGCAGAGTGTCCGAGCCAGTGAGCGCATCTTCTATCTCAATCTGTAACTTACAAATGTGTCCACATGGCCAGCGGTCCGGCTAAATGATCTGGTCATTCGCCTGATATACAAAGAGGGACCGTTGAGACGCTTACGGACCATGGTTTAAAAGTGATAATCGCCAGCCATTTAGCCGTATGACTCTTGGCAATAGACTTCTACCGAGTGCTCGTAATGGATCGTCTCTCAATGTGAAGATGACTCGAATGTCATGGTGAGCATTGTTTATTACAGTTCTCCCCATCTTGTAAAATGCCTTTCTTCACCCGCGGGAGTCACCGTTTGAGCCTCGTGTAGTTGTTAGCGGTTAGTGTCGTCGTTCCAACCTTTTCCATTCTCATGTGTATCAATGGAGCAAAGAGATGAACGTCACCAATTTGCAGTGTGGATAAAGAATCCCGTCGTTCTCTTCATTCCACGACCATCGCCTCGGCCATAAGCAGTTCCTCGTCAGCAATAACCTCATCAAACTCGTCCATGCCATCGACATGACCATTAGTGCCATTTGGCTCTGGTGCCTTGTTCACCTCACTATGCATGTAGTCGTGCATTGTTGCATCTTCTCTTCCCATATCCCCTTCTCCTCGCCTTGCTTTTTGCTCTTTCTGGAAGTTTTCAAGCTCTTTCAGGTCCCAGCTGTCTTTACCTTTGGTCGAGCCGTCAGGTAGTTTCTGCCCCGGCCCCAGAGGCTGAGCTATACTCCTCAAGAACTTCTTTGCCATGCCCACAGCAGCATCGGTGCTCAGCCCAGTCTGAGCATCAGTAATCTCTTCCGCAATCCATCGGGGTAGTTGGGTCCGTTTCTTCTGAAATCGACGGTCGGCCAGAACCATTATGCCGTAGTCATCTTTCCCTCGCAAGACGCGCCCTAGACATTGGGCCGCGTGTCGCATGGCGTCGAAAGACAAGAAGTCTTGTTCCCTGATTCTGTAGTTCTCTCGCAGGAACTCCAACCGTGCCTTCAGAATCCTCGATTCGGTGTACTGGAAAGGCGCGCCCATGCACAGCACAGTACGTCCATAATGATGATCGAAGTCGATCCCTTCAGACACTTTGCCACGAGCGACGCAGAGCAAAATCGCGCCTTTGCCATTTTCACATGCAGTGCGGTAGGTCTCCAGTGCCAAACTAGTCTCTTGGGCGTCCGGGGTCTCCACCAGAATCAACTTGTATGTCCAAATTTGGTCCAGAATACCCATACCCTGCCACATACTGATGATCATCTCCATGTAAAGATAGGACGGAAAGAAGACAACGATGCCGTCTGGTGTAATTTTCGCAAATTCGTACAGTAAGGCGCCGTAATTCCGTACCACGCCTGGATCCGAGCGAGATTGGAAGCCAGATGTTATGGACTGCTGATCCGAACCACGGGTGACGATCATTGGCAGGAAAGATCGTCTCGCAAGTGACATTGGATATGACTCCTGTGTCACGGTACTAAAGTTGAGCATTCTTGGGTACATCTCCAGCGGAGATATAGTTCCAGAAGTGATGATAACAGAGGAAAACCTTTCGAAGACCGGCTTGATCGCAATTGAGGCATCAAGACAAGCGAAGTGCAAGATTGGGTTGGGGACTGTCGCTTGCTCGGTCTCGAATGGCTCCAGAATCAGGAGGAATCCGGTTTCGTAAGTTGCAACAAGTGTGGCAAAGGTCGCTACTTCTTGCAACGGCTGATAGTCTTCAATATTCGTCAGTTCCAAGGTGCGGACGAGTGATGTTAGTCGTTCGGCACAGAACCGCAGTGGTTTGCGCTCGATGAATGTCAACTCTTTGAGATGTGCGAGGAATGATGGAGCGGTTTCCTGAATGACGTATAAAACTTTCATTCGGGTCTTCAAGTATTCGATAAAGCGTTTGAGAAATGCCACGAAATGCTCGGCTCGACGAATATTGCCAGGGACAGCCTCTTTTAATAAATCATCCGGCAGCGTTGGATTAGCCATGAAGGCGTCCTCTGCTCGAGCTTCATCTGCTTCTCTCAAGCCTTCCACGAGCTTCTGGTATTCATTCTGAAGCTTTTCCTCATCGGATGCCTTCATCTCCTCAATCTTCCGTTCCAGGTTGCTTGCACCACGAGTGGCCTTCCTCAGCGAGTCTTCGGTTAAATCAATGGATAACGACTCGATGCAGACGTTGTCGATATTGTGAGCTTCGTCGAAGACGACTATGCAATCCTTGGACAGCTCTTTTGAGACACGTTCCGCAATTTTGGGGTCGAGGAGATAATGGTACGAGTAGATGATAACGTTGCAAAAGGGCATCATGCGCCGGGCTGAGAAGTAAGGGCACTGCTTGTGATCTTCACCATACCTTATAAGTTCATCCAGAGTGAATACGCCAGGAGGGACTAGATTGTGCGGCTCGAGGAGATCTAGATTATCGTGATAGACGCAAACCTCGACATCTTCTCCTCGCTCCTTTTTCTCTCTGACAAAGCCGGCTGTGAGACTTCGACACCTGGCATCGACGACAGCACCACTCTTTTCCCGCTTGACCGAGGGATGTAGGCACAGATTCTTTCTGCTGGTCAAGCCCAAACCTCGAAAGTCTTCAACGAACCCAAGTTCTTTGGCGCGATATTTCATAAGGGCTCTCAACTCAGCCAAAGCCTTCTCGATCTCCGACATGGTACGTGAACAGTAGATGAGCTTGCGGTGTTCGGGATAGTGCTGCTGGTACGCCACGATGAGGGACAGTAAGGAAACGGTCTTGCCAGTCCCTGAAGGCATTTCAAGGACGCAGTGACCCCCGGCTTCGAGGGTTCTTTTAAGATCGCACATGTACGCATATTGTTCAGGATAGATTCGAGGATAAGGGAAGAGAACAGGCAGATCGCTAGAAGCTGTTAGCTGTATGGGGCGCGATAGAAGGAGACGAGCGCACTCAATGAAGAACTTCATATTGAGAGCGTGACCTTGATCGGCCACACTCCCCCCTGCGTGCGTTTCAGAGAGCGGCTCTAGGTCAATCCCATGTCAAAATCTCGATGGCCTCAGCGTTAGACGCTCTGAGGTTGTGAACAACGGGAGAGTGATGATGCCATCGGGATTGTGGTTTGCTTTTCCACTGTGGTGGCACGCGTCTGGCACGGCATAGGCAGCACCAGCCTCGCGTGACGTACGCAAGGCTGAGTTTGGAGGCGCAGACACCCCTCGACGCGGAATTGGCACTGGCAGGCGCTGGCTACCTTTATCGCGTCACGCCATGCTCGATATTTGCGCTCTTCATTGCGTGACCACGTCATTCACTGATATATCACCCTGTTGAACTGACAACAAGACCAGTTTGTGCTCGAGCATGCGGTTCAAACAATAACCATCCAAATCCCACTTTGGTCCTATGCGAGCCATCCTGCCTGGGCGACCTCAATCCAAGAGACAGGCCCTTTGCACCGCGCATTGGTGCAGTCTGCGTCTGGTCGTGAGTTGTCTTCCATTCCACCGTTCTCAGCCTCAGTCTTGACGAGGTGTGCAGGCATATGTATCCGGCAATGCCGCTGTCATCCTCAGCGGCCCTCAGTCCATCCTCCAAACCATTTACGTCGATACTGTCGATGCCCTCACTGCGATAACCCTCGAAGAGACTACGGGTCGGATAGCCCTCTGCGATGCAACTCATGTCTATATCTACAAACCGATCGGCCGTGAAGAGGGTGTGCTGAGATGGATTCAGGTCCACGAGTTGAAGAATCCCGATGGACTGCAGGTGGAGTCCTTGTCTTGGGGATCCTCTAAAGAACTCTTGCTCGGTGGTTCCAGACTTGTCCTCTGGCTCGTACCCGACGCTGGTTCTCCGACTATCGTTTGGAATCAGCCACTGGCATATCCCACCGCCCTTGCATACTTTTCTCCCGACAGCAGCTTGATTGCCTCGGTAGGCCGGTATGACCGACTTGTCAAGATCTGGAGACGCCTTTCGTATGAGGTGGAAGGGACCAGATTCGACGTTTCCTATCTACCACACCCGGCTGCGGTAACGAATTTGCATTGGCGCAAACCATGGCACGAGGAACAGATTCTGGACAACCTTCTCTACACGTTTTGTTCCGACAATCACATCCGTGCCTGGACCAATTTCGACCCCCACGCCCTCACAGCACTACAGCAAGTCAGTGATATCAACATGAACTCTTCGATCCAGCCACGGAGACTAAGCACCAATCCTATTAGCACCAGACGATATGCCTTCATCATTGACAGCCGTGACTTTTCGACGGCCACGGAAAAGGCCGTTGAGAACTCTAGTCCCAAAAAAGCGGACCATGCCCTTGAACATCTCATTGAGATCGCGAATCGAAGTCCAGAGATCTGCGTCGTCCTCGACGGACTGGGTCACATGTCTGTGTGGGGACTGGAGAACGCTGGATATAAGAACAGAATTCTTCCTTCTGTGTTTCACATCTCCCATGTCGATGGCATGAACGTCCATGTTCCACAGCTGAGCGACCCATTGGAAGATTATGTGCAATTCTGCATCTTCGCTGGTGGGATGACCGAGTCATCGTTGTCAATTCTCCTCCATTCTTTTGCGGGAGATATTGATTGGTACGATAGTCAGATCACGCATCTGTTTGACACGGCCGCGAGACGAGATAGGACGGAACTGATTTCGACAATGGCGGGACACGGCACGCCAGTCCGGCGAATTGTCCGAAACGTGGTCGGCACCGTCGTCCTGTCTGGTACATACGACGGCAACACCAGCATCTGGCAGCACGAAGGAAATCTATCCAGTGCTCCCCTCTTGCGACGGAGTTCGTTCAACGTCAATGTGGAAATTAAAGATGCAGTCATCTTGTCTCGTGGGAGATACGCAGCAATCCTAAGTAACCATGGTCTCGAACTGTGGGATATCCGCGAAGCGAAAGCTAAAAGACTTGGAGTCTGGAAATCTGATGGTAATCATTTACCAGTTCGCATTACCCAGAGTCGAATCGCCAGCGAACGAGAACTTACCAGCCGCGTTATCGTGGGTTATCACGCGGATGGGACTGTTGAAGCCTGGGAGCTGCTCCTCCCAGCGAAAGAACCAGGCGCGACAAATGGTTATCGCGAGATGATACGATCGTTGGGAGATGTCAGGCTACATGCGCAAAACCGGTACAATGCCTTGATTTCCGTCTGTGACAATATGAGCACAAACAAGCGACCGGCCGATCCTCGCGAGATCCACGCTTTAGGCTTTGCCGCAGCACTTGCCAAAGATGGCACCTTGGAGATGGTCAGGTCTCAGGAAGAGCCAGATTCGACGAAGCCACATCTTATCTCTGGTGCTTTGATTGAAACCAACATCCGCAAGCCAAAAGCGATCAGTGCAAGCGGATACGGCAAAATTGTGGTTGTTAACGATGACAGCAGCAGCCTTAGCATATGGGATGCCAAGACCGGTTCGTGGGAGTATGAACATGAGCTTGATGGGACGGACACTATCCATACATTCGCATGGGCTGTCTCGCCACAAGGCTTGGCCTTAGTCGCTGTTTGCTTTGACTATCACATTGTCATCCTGGGTCAGGTCCGATACGCTTACCCAGTCAGCGAACCGGCTTGGGTAGATCTGCGACATATCAGAATAAGAGACTTTACCACCCACTCGATCGGAGACTTATGCTGGTTGAGGAGCGGCGACCTCGTCGTGGGAGCAGGCATTCAGCTTTCCATCTTCAAGGGGTTCGCGAGGAGTCATCACAATGAAAACGCCAAACCTCTACAAGATTTACGAGCAAAGATGCGAAATGGCGAAACTTTCGCCATGATGGCAATGTTGAACTCATTGGTCCCAGTCTTCCATCCCACCTTTCTCGCACTGCTTACTTGCGTTGGAGGGCTCAAGGCTACCAAAGATGTGTTATATCACCTTCACCGTGATCTGAAGTTCTTCACCGAAGGCGATGAGCTGTCGAGCTTCGTCAACATTCAGCCTGACAGGATCACCAATGCGGAGAGGCCAAGTCAGACGATTGACAAGCCGTATTATACGGCGAATGGTGATTTAAACGGCGATGCTGAGAATCTACTACTTTCGGATTATGCAGAAGGTCTAGACGACAACTTGCGACGATATAAACTGTGGCAATTGACGAACGATGAACAAGCCAGACTAGTGAAACAAGTCGATGTGGTTTCTGAAATAGAGAAACAAGAGGAGTCGGTGGATGCCAACGGCCAGCGCTACCTCCAAGCTCTATACACGTACGGCGATGAAGGCGTTCCATGGAGTGCCATTGCGTTCGCCTCGTTGAGCACGTCCCAAGAAGTTCTTGTCGACCTGGTCACTCGCTTGTACGGTGGTAAACTCACTTGGGAAGCGGCGCGGAAGTCGGGACTGTTCTGCTGGCTTTCCGATGTGGAAGCCCTCCGGCAGCAAATGGAAAACGTCGGTCGAACCGAGTTTACAAAGCACGAAGACCGCAACCCGGTGGATTGTTCGCTGTATTATCTTGCCCTTCGCAAAAAGACCGTTCTATTGGGTCTCTGGAGAATGTCGATCGGGGTGCGAGAAAAGGAAAATACTATGAAGCTGTTGGCGAACAATTTTGACGATCCAAGATGGAAGGCCACTGCGTTGAAGAATGCATATGCGTTGCTAAGTAAGCGACGCTTTCAGTATGCTGCTGCCTTCTTCTTGCTAGGAGACAGTCCCTGGGACGCGGTGAGTGTCTGCATACATCAGCTGCAAGATCTGCAGCTTGCCATTGCTGTTGCACGAGTGTACGAGGGTGAAAACGACAAGCAGCCTTCAACTTTGACAAGGTTGATGGAACAAACCATCCTGCCCATGGCCGTCGAAAATGAGCAAGGACGGTGGCTGGCAAGTTGGGTGTATTCGGCGATGCTTGATCGTAAAGATATGGCTATTCAAGTCCTTGTGCATCCTGTGCACAAGATCGTGGGTAGACCATTACTCGATGGGCATGAGGAACCGGGGATGGTCGGATCACTCAACTATGCCGCCAACGACCCTCTTCTGGTGCTGTTGTACACCCAAATTCGCGCTCAACTGGCGAAGCAAAACCAATGGCGCAGCGAGGTCATAAGCGCAAAGGACGAATGGGGTTTCATCATGCGTTGCGTGAGGCAGTATCTCCACATGGGATGTGACGTGCTTGCCCTGTCCCTCGTTAAGGACTGGGAGTTCGTCCCTGAAAGTTTGGACAAGCAGACAATAATTGCAGCAGTGGAAGAGGTTCCGCCCCCGCCACCCAGCCCGGGCCTCCAGCGCCGCAAGACATTCTACGATCTGGAAAAGGAGGAAGACGAAGAGAATATCCCGCAGGCGGAGAAGATGAAGAACAAACAGAAGAAGCCCCCTCCGACCATGTTCGAGGAGCCGAGTGCGGATAGTTTGCTCGATAGTTTTGGATTCTGATTCTGGTCCTGGTTCCCTATGCCGATTCGGGTTGCGACCGCGAGCGCGACCGCGATTGAGATTTTGATGGGGTGGAAATCAACGGCTGATTTAACATTTAGACATGGTCGTGAGCTACTATTGTTACTGATCATTACTTTTGTGATGACGACGAGGTACACAATGCATACAGAGCATACAGGTAGATTTCGTCTTCCGGGCTACCTAGCACGTAATTTCATGTAGAACCTCTTTCGCGATTGATCTTCATTCTCAACCAGCACGGATGGCTACGGGTATGAACAACCAAGATAAGCGGTGTCCAAGATTCAAGATGCTCTCTATCCATCCATCCATCTATCCTTCCCTACTCCTAGGAATTGGATCTAGATCTTGATCTGGGCTCTAGCTTGTGGGCCCTTGATAGGCTCTAGCTGGCGAGGCTCCCTTCATCTCCTTCCATGTCCATGTCCAACTCTCTCCTTAGGTGCTGTGGGCGGTATCGGGGATGATCGGATTCACACGCTCACCTTCTCAGGATCGTCGTCCTGATCCTCGACGACCTTCTCCTCCTCGTCGATCTGCCTGACCAACATCTCCTCGCGGCGGAGGACGTCGTCGTCGAGATCTGTCCACCCGACCTCCCGGAGGATGGGGCCCGTCATGTGCAGGTACTTCAGGTGTCCCGACACGCGGTCCGTGAGGTCGAAGTTCTCGACGCCGCATACGCCCTCCTCCGAGATGTCCTGGAGGCCCGCGACGGCGAGCTGCGCGCTGCTCGTGCGGTACAGGAACGCCAGGATGTAGTCCTGCCGCGAGTAGACGTTGACCAGGCGGCCGGCGACGACGGAGCGCATGGCGCGCCACTGCGATGCGTCGCACGGCACGGGCGCGCCCATCAGCACGACGTTGTCGACCAACCCAAAAGCACCGCGCTTGGCGAGCGTCAGCAGGCACGAGTAGACGACCCGCGCGCCGAGAGACTGGCCGACCAGCGAGACAGGCCGTTCGCCTTGGACCTTGTTGATGAGCGCGTCGGCGAGCACTTCGCCGGCCTTGACGGCGCGCAGCTTCGCGATCCCGAACGGCGAGTCGACCAGCTTGATGGCCTTGCGGATCACCAGTGGCGCCATGAGCGCCGACCACACGACCGCAAAGACCGTGCGCTTGACGAGCTCTCGCCGGATCTGTGACCACGCCTGGCTGACCACGAAGTCCTTCAACGCGGATCCCAGGTTCAGGAGGGCCTGCAGTTCCCACCGCAGCGCAAAGGGCTCACCACCTTCTCCCAGCACGCGCCACGGCAACGTGACTTGTTCCTCCTCGGTCAGCCACCCGGATATCCCAACCGTAATACGTAATCGACGTCGCTGCTTCTGGACTTCTTCCGGGTCATCTTCCCTGCCGTTGATAGGCAGGAATGCAAAGTCGTCGATCTCTTTCGAGTACTTTTCCATCGTTTGACTCGTCATCCTCGCTCCATACGCGCCGAACAAACCTCCCACAAGCATCGAGCTTCCCGCCAGAGCGCCCAGATACCCTGCCGCTGCAGTCGCTCCAAGTCCCAGTCCGCCCATAAGCGTGCCCACACCGGCTGCCAGCAGGGGAGCAGCAAGACCGCCGGTAATTCCAATCAACGCGGCACCGGCCACGCCAGCGACGCCGATCTTCCACTTCCTCGCCGTAGACGATGCCTGTTGGGCTTTCTGGGTGGATTCGCTGGCGTCCATATTCGCTGCCGCGGTCAGAAGGCCATACGCTGTATCTTTCTCCATTTTGGAGACTTCCGCTGCACTGATGCGGAGAGACACCGCAAGGCGCACCAGGAGGACGCGAGAATGGGCACGGTAGGATTCGAGACTGAGCAGGAGGAGGAGAATTGCCTTGATAATCGTAGAGCGTTCACCCTGACTTAGATTTGCCAGCGGTGTTCGTGTAGATGGAAACACCTTTGAGAGTTTGTTGTCCACTTCTTGCTCACGAGAGGTGGGTTGGTATTGTTGCTTTGCAGATTCGGTCGCGAGGTTGCGGTTCCGCTCATAGTGTCTATTTTGCGTCGCTTCCTCGCGGGAATTGACCACCTCACCGACGCGGAGGATGACGCTTTCGGCCCAGGCGTCGAAAAATGTCAGGGCAGCACTCTTCAGAGCTTTGGATTCAGGAGTTGGCGAAGTCATCAGTGTATCTGGTTCCACCTCGGTCTGAGGTTCATCCTGAGGCTTAGTTTCCCCATCTTCGAGTTGAATGCCGCCTGCCTTATCGTCGACTGCCGTACTCTGCTTCGCCGACAAGCTCAATTTGGAGACCTCAATCGCTGCCTCGTCAGCTTTAGCTTCACCCGTAGGTTTCGGTTTCGGTTTCGGTTTAGGAGTCGGCCTCTCATCAAACACTCTCACAAGGCTCCTCCTCATCTCTTCGATGGTCTGAGAGATGAGGAGCGTCAAGTCGGCCCGCTCTTCACGGGTGAGGAGCGTTGCCAGTGACTGGTCATCTTCGGCGTTCCGCTGTTGGGCGCCGCTCCCGGCACGGCCAATGCCTCCCGGACGCTGCTGGGGAATGGCGGCGTTGACTCTGTTTTTGAGAGACGAGAGTGAAGGCATCCTCTGAGACTGCTGGCTGAAGATGTGCCTCGTGTGGTCAAAACCACTTGACCCAATGGTTGAGGATGGGAAAGCTTTGTTCAAGTATACAGGGGGAGATGTGATGTGCTATATCAAAAAGGCGAGAGGAGACAAGGGAATACTCAAGCATCGGAGAACGTGGTACATACTTGTAAGCTGACAGGGTGGTGACGTGAGCCAAGCACTTCACAGCCTCGTCGGTCATTCGTCAATGTTGTTGCGAGGCTACGCATGTGAGGAATGTACCAAGATCTTTCATAGTAGTCTGGATTTATCATGTCTTTCCCTTTACCGATGGGATCATTCATATCATTCAAAACACCATATAAGCACGCACGATGACTCGGAGCTTTCCACAAGATATACCAGGACCTTCCAATCAGATCCCCCATTAAATGCGTCAAGGGATGCCCTTGTTCCGTCAGGAAATGCGTGCGGTCTTGCCTTTCGTTACTCCTCTTCGCTAACCTCGCTCTCGTCATCCTGCATATTTCCATGCGCCATTCCAATGCCCAAGCCAATACCTCTATCCTCGTTCTCGTCCTCTTCTTCCAGCGCCGCTTCTAGTGCCGCTTCAAGTAGATCTTCGTCGTCATCGTCGTGCGAATTGACTGGTTCAGGTGGTGTTGGCGGGGCTTGGTCAATCTGCTGTTGCTGTTGTGGCCGACGACCACGGTCTCGCCGGTCTTCATCTTCTGACACATCATCCTGCGATCTCGAAACATCTCCTCTGTTCGGCACGACAATGCTCTTCTCCCTTGGACTTCCCAGCTCGAACTCCTCCACGTCTTCGTCTTCTCCCCCCGAAGAGGCGCCTTCAATATCTTTCATCGTCACGTCCCTATCCGTGTCCCGTCCTCTATCCCTTTCTCTGCCAGGACGACCCCTGGCGATCTCCTCCACAGGCGGTTTAGAAACCGGCCTTGAAGTAGAACGCCCAATATTCGAACTTAACCCACCAATCGGCGTTGCGGTATGACTGCGGAACATCTCTGGATCGACCCTCCCACGTCGAGAGCGTCCATTGTCTGGAGGGGGACTGCCCATGTCGATTTCCAGATCGCCATCATCGTCGTTGATGATGATATGGGGTGAGCTGCCGATATTGTCAGAGACATTGCGCGTGTGGCCTTTTCCAGCCTTTGGCTGACTTGGTCTCGCGGTGGTGCTCGCTGATTTAGGTGCAGCTGCTCGAGTCACGTCGCTAGATTCATCATCTTCGTCAGAGTCAAAAACGCGGGCTTTGCTGAGAGGTTGGGTAGGCTTGGGCATGTCTCGCTTTGTGGGGGCCTTGGCAGCGGGTGCACGACCGGGCCCTCGAGATACATCTTCGCTCTTCTTCTTCCGCTGTTGCGTTGCTCTAGAAGTGGCAGGAATCGAGGTCGGTCGGGATTGTGGTGTAGTAGGCAAGAATCGACTTCCTCCAGGGGCAGGCGTGGTCGTGCCACTCATCGGAGTCCGACTGCCTGGAATGGGCGTACGATTGCCCGGCACATTTGTTGACTTTTCGAGGGTTTCGCGTGCTTCGGCAAGGAAATGTCGGAAGTCGTAGGGGTTGGACGGATCCGGCGTCTCGTCGTCGGAAGATGGGGCTGCGTGCCCGTTTGCTTCCGGTTGTTTTGTAGACGACTGTAGATGGCCAGGTAGTTGCGGCAATGCCCGAGCGTCCTTGGAGGACATGCCCGGCGCAGCTTTCAGGTTCATGTCCAAAGACGTCGAGATGGCCTCCAAGACGAAGGCAGACTTGGACTGGTCGAAGATGAGAGCTAGTGATCTTGACTGGTCATCGGGTGTCCCTGAAGGCTCCGAACGCGACTTGCTGCTCAGATACTCGTATTCAGCGGAGTCACTATCGGACACTTCCAGATGATATCGGTCACCAGCCTTTCTCAGTCGACTCTCACGGGCGCCGAAGCCGGATTTGGGTTGCCAGTTATATCGAATGTTCAGAAACAAGTCCTGGGCTTTCGCATCTGCCTTCAGGCTCTCTCCGAGGATGATGGGATAGTCCCCGGATTGTCGAGGATCAACCAAGCCTGAAGGCTTGCTCGGATGGATAGCAGGCGATGCCATGGGGCTTTCTGCAGAGTAACGGGCCCGATAGAAGGCGGAGATGTTCGAAACCGCAGGGGGGGGGATCTTAGACGAGGGGCGCAGTAATACCACAGAGGAGCTTATATATATTTGAAGGGAATAGTAACAGATATTAAAGCGAGTGACAAGTATGAAACTGGTGACACCGCAAGGACACCAGTCACAGAGAGTGACCGAGGCAGTCCATCACGGGAAGGTGGCGAGCAGGTAGGAAGGCAAGAAGCTACAGGGAGTAGTTACAAGGGGTGGTGGTTACAATGAGCTGTGGTGATGGATGATTAAAAGGACAAAAGGACCAGGGAAGATGAATCGGGAACAAAAGGGAAAGTTACGGGGTCCAGAAGTCCCAAGATGAAGCGGGTGGGCAAAGCGGGCCTCCGGCTCCACTTCGGCTAATTCCGGCCGATATATAAATAAATAAAAACCACTTTGTTCCCATTCTCCGCTTCTCCACTGCCTTGTGTACTTGGTACTTCTTACGACATGTTCAGCCGCAGGACCAGAGGGTGAATTCCAACTAGATTGAAAAGAGAAAAAGAGAGTTTCTGCTTCAACCACTCGAGTTCAGAGTCTGGGAAGTGGATGGTACATGGGGTTGATCGAAGCCACTGTTGAAGAGGGCCAGGGGAAGAGGGTGAGGAGAAAAGAGACCTAGATCTTCCTTGACATGAAGAAGTGATCTTGGTGAGGCCGTGGGGAGAAAATCCCCCTCGAGCGGACCTTATTATGGTACTCCATACATAGAGTTCGGAGGTGGCGCGAAGCTTGCAGCCTCACCATGCCGAACGAGGCCTGCGATATGCAAAGCAGGATAGATTAGGCCTGCAACCGGCATCATGTCCAGCCTGCGAACTCACCTGGTGGCCCCATGAAGCTAACTTGAAATAACCCTTAGGAAATGGCTACCTAGGTAACCCTTTCGATCTTTCGAGACAAATCTGTCGATGCCGGAACCCACGCACCTTCATGTAAGAGGATAAAACCTGACCATGGCCTATGATCTATCCCGAATTCAAGCCCATCTACTCCAAACCATGTCGTCCAGCACGCCCTGTCACCGTGTGGGCGGGTATCATGAATAACATCATTCATCATCATCACCATTACCGGGAAATCCCTTTCCCTATTGAGATTACTTTGCCGCTGCAAAGCGATCAAGCAGTGCCTGCAATTCGCCATTCAGTCTCTTCAGCATGACAATCGCGCCACGACTCAATGGCTTCATGAACACTTTGGTCTCGTCGTCCTTGGCACCTGCTGAGTCGACCAGTGAATCATCGTTGTTTGATCGAGCCTTCTCAGAACTCTGCAACAATAGTTTTCCTCGCTCAACAACAGTGCCAAGTAAGCTGTTGCCCGGATTCGAGACATCGTGCGGAAGATATAACCAAGCAAGGATGTCTTCCACAGCCCCCGGAGGGTGGAGCAAAGCATTCTTCACAAATCCCCTGCTGATGACAAATGCTTTTTCACTGTAAGCCTCGGATTCCCTTGTGTACGCCTTGTCGTGTTCATATCCCTCGAAACCTGCCTCGTTGTAGAAGGGCTTCTTCACAAACACCAACCCCTGCAATGAGACGAGAAGCTGCAATAAGGTTGCCTTCGGGCTCCAGGTCTCGCTTGCCTCTTTTCCAGACCAGGTTCCTAGGAGGCTCAAGCAGATCTTGCCTTCTTCGTAAAGGTTCGGATTGATGCGACCCAGCCCACTGGTCCAGCTGTGAAAATGGGCTGTAGGAGGTTTCGAAGGAAACCCCGCAGGCAAGCACAGGTCGATCAAAAAGGGAGCATTTTCATAAGGCGTATCTTTCGGACCGATGATCAGGCACCGCAGGAGGTCGAGTCGACTCTCGTACGTGCGAACATAGATCTCGCCCTCGGGAAGCGACGTCGCCAATATCTGGTGCTCTTTGAAGATACGTTTGAGAGGACGGGGCGCTGTCGAAACATTCTGAAGCCCGAACTGATCAGATGGGGGCTCCCGGTCCACCACAAGAAACTGCGCAGGCGGTTCAGATCCCAGTGTTTTCTCCAGCAGAGAGAGCGCACCGTTTGAGCTCTCCGCGGTGCCCTGTTGCTCTCCGGCGTCAAACATTTCCAGATCCCCGTCACCATCCTGTAAGTCTTCTTCAGCGTCCGCAAACGTCTCGTCCTCATCAGACACCCAATTTTCGTCGCCGCTGTCATTGTCGAGACGCACTCCGCCTTCGTACTCTACACTCTCGGATACGGCCTCGGCGAAGCCTTCAGAGAATTCAGCCCACGAGTCAATGTCCATAAGACTGGAATTCGACGGATCCTCTTCCATATGATCGCTGAAAATGGCGAAGATCGAGTCAACATGAACCACCACATCTCGACAAGGTTTAGATGCTCCTAAACGGACAGTAACGGAGCCGTCAAGTCCCAGTGACACAATTTGACCAACCCACTCAAGCTGACCTACCGGGTCCTCTTTCTGTTTCGGCGTAGCCGCCCTTGACGAACAAGAAGCCGGGGGACGCTGCCGCTGAGGATCTGCGTTCATGCCGGAATCTAAATTCTCTCGAATCCGCCCAGCTGCCCCAACAAGCTCTGGACGATATAGTGTGCGGATTCCATTATCCGAAGCTTGGAATTTCTCCTGAGTTGCTAGCACACACATTGAGCCTCGCTGCATCATCAACGACGGAAACGACATGATTTCGAAGAGAGATACATCCTCGACCTCATCTCCAATGGGGCCAAACCAGGAGTACGGCGCCAGGATTTGGCCTGATGCACACAATACAATTTTGGGTTCCTTGTACCATCGCACGCGGGCAACTTTCTCGGTCGGATCAACTGACTGGACCACACCCACGCCGGTTGGCAACAGGTCATGGGGCTGCTCAAAGAACGTCATCTCGTCAAAGTCTTTTATCAGCCCATTCGCCTTTCCCGCTTTGTTAACTGGTCTTTGTCGCATACCTTCTCTTCTCAACACAATGTCCGTGGGCAGGACTTCAGCCTCGAAGAGGGCAAACGTTCTCAACGACTTCGAATCAGTTGTAGTGACACTACCGTCTTGCCACATGACAGTAACAGACGACCGCAAGAAAACAATTTTGTACTCGTTGAGATCACAGCCAGAAGGCTGATCCTTCTCAATGGGCAGAAATCTTCCATGTGAAGTTCCCTCGATTCCCTGATATTTTACCCTGGCTGCAGAGGGATCTCGAAAGTGGACATGGACGCCAACCCCCATACCATGGCCTGAATAAACAATTCGGCTATTGTTGACTTCGTCATGGGACGCCTGACCATTGGCAGCTCCAGCTCCAATGTTAAAGGCGCGTTGGTCAGCAGGCTTTACAGGCATCTTGCCATTGTCATAGATCGCCATACCCGCCTTCAGGCGCAGATCTGGAACCGTCTTGTGGGAATGGATGTTCTCGTAGATGTGTGTCTCGGTCCTGGGTGGTGGACCTGCGTTGAGCGGGGGCGGGTATCCCATGATAGCCCAATCGGCCATGACATTATGAGTTCGGATATCAATGACGACGCCTTGAGAAGGGATCCTCGGGTCGTATGATCCATGTAACCATCTCCCATTCCGGAGAGAAGAACGATCAATAATGACAAAGTCACCGCACTGTGCAGCTGTAACGGGGATAGTGGTTGTCCAACCTTCAGTGGCCCCTAGAATATCAGGTCGCCAGAGTCCATCGAGTTCAGGAACTGCAATGAGAGGCTTATGGTTGTCGGGAAGAGGCATACGCATGCCGAGAGACCCGTAGATGACCACGACGGACCTGTTTGCAAGCATGACCACGGTGTCGTATTCCACATCTCGAGCAGTTCCCACCCATTTACCAAATATTAAAAAGTCATCTAATGCGACATCCTGTGCTCTTTTGACTTCGCGTGCAGGAACGTTGTAAAGGAGGATGTGTGGGTTTGGATGCGTGAAGTGCTCAGGCAGGGTTCGCGGACATGTGTCCAAACAGGTCGGAGGCGCTGACAGAGTGTTGGCGAAAACAGGATCAAGGATGTAAGTCTCAGACACATCGATGACCGTGCCAGTCAACGGGCTTCCATCTCGTTTGACGTAGTCGCCGAGCCGAAACGAACGGCTGATGAGTACGATGTCGTCCTGACTGACAAGAGAGCACCCTGCGGTTGGATGCGCAAACTCGACGTAGAAATAGCCTTCGGGCGGCACGCCAGTAGTGAGGAATCGATTCAGGATGTTGGGCGGGACTTCGACATGGGCTATGATCAACTCCTCTTCGGCGAAAATTCCAATCGCTTGACTATGAGTGCGCTGGATGTAGCCATGTAAGGAAACATCTTGTCTGAGAGCGACATGATCAGAGACGTCGAATGGGCTCATTGATCCTGAGCGGGTTGAAGAGGTTCGTCACGCCGGGTTGTCGCGCACCAAGGAGAGATTGTAGAGGTGGATGAAGGCCAAGTGCGGGAAACGTCGTTAAAACGACCTGCGACGCGTCGACGACATTGAATGCGCGGGGCTGGTGAGTGAACTTGGTTACCATTACAGGCAGGTGGAGCGACCTTTTTACCAACACCCAGTATAAGCACCGCATCATAAGGCTGAGCTAATTGTCCTTCATCTCTCAAGTCTTGTCTCTCTTCTAGCAGAACTCCTTGTGCAACCAAGAACAGCGAGCTAGCTGGCTTAAATAGAGGCATATATCTTGAGAAGGCTGAGAAGTACACCAAGTAGCGACTATACATCGATCTGTACTGTGAATTGGGTTTAAAAGTCTCCAAGATGCTCACTTGCTGTATGTATAAGGGCAGCGTGAATGGACGGGACAATGGACCCCCTGTATTTCCGGCCACCAGTGAAAGCTACTTGTTTGTAGAGCTACTCCTTCATTGCTGCATTGTTCCAAGAACGAGGGACTGCTCTATCATGCTTTCTCACTTCTTTTGCGCAAATATACCTCAAGTCCCTCCTGAACCACGAAAAAGGTAGAGTGATACGCCAATGGCCGTCCAGGATGCACAAGAGTCACGTCGTACTCCCTCAAGATCTGCACGAGAGTCTTGTTCATCTCAAACAGCGCAAGGTTACGACCAATGCAGAGATGGCTGCCGCCTCCAAACTGTTCGGTGAAAGAGGCACAGTAAGCATCTGCCCTGCCAGGGTGTTTTCATATCTCAAATACCTCTCACAGAGGGGGGTGTCGATGGGGGAAGGGCCCTTGAACATACCTGATATAAATGCGAACCCATCAACTTAGCGTCCCGCTCAAACCATCTCTCTGGCCGGAATTCATCGTAATCATCTCCAAATATCGAGGCGTCCCGATGCAACACCCATCCATTGACTGCAACCTCAACACCGCCAGGGTAAAATTTGCCATCGATCTCGACACCCTCTGGTGGGGTTTTGCGGTAAATCCCTAGACCCACTGCTGGTCGCACCCGCATAGCCTCCTTCAAGCAGGCCTGGAAATAAGGCAAAGCCTGTGCTTCGGCGTACGTGACAATTTCAGACAGTTTGCCGGCCTTCTGAGCCTCATCGATCTCCTGGCAGAGATTGGCGTAGACCTTGGGAGCGTTGAGGACCAAGTAGAAAAACGACTGCATTGTCGAAGCTGTTGAGTCTGATCCCGCAAACCTACAATCACGCGTAAGCGGATGGAAAAAGAAACTGTGTCTTGTGGCAGCACCACTTACACAGCGCCGTGAGCAATGCTGAAAACATCATTCACTGAGAACTTCTCCGGATTCGCCTCATGTGCTCTCAACAACTCGGCCAGTAGATCAATACCTGTGGAATCGTAGGTACCGTCCTTCTGTTTTCGCTTCTCAAGTTCGGCGACGGCGATCTTCGTCATCGTGGTTGGCTTCATTTGCAAGCCAAGGTAGGGTCGGATGGGGTTGTTTCGGAGTAGTATATCGTATTCTGCGATATGGCCCACGATTCCATCGTACCACTGAACGTCGTCAATGTTTTTGATTGAGCCTTCAATGTCGATTTCTTGTTCCAAGAAGCCGAATTGTCGTGAAAAGGCGACTTCTCCAAGTACCTGAACGACCTTAGCTAGCGAGTAAGGAAGGGTTGCGACAGCCATACATCAAAAGCGAAATAATGCAACAAATTACCCAGGTTGCAGACCCTCTTATTTTCGGTGGCATACTTCTCTAGATGCTCCATCAAGAGCTTGATCATGTTCTCGATTGGCTCTGATCGCTTTTGCATCTGTGCGAGGCTGTAGGGAGTGACGGCATAGCGTTTCATCTGCGCATGCTTCCATTCACGAACTTCGGTGAAGATATCCGGAGCATGCTGTAACGCATCACAATTAATTTCTCTGGCCCGACGGCAAAGGGGCACATGCGGGTCATCGAATTTACCTTTGGCGGGAAGACGCTGTAAAACATCGTCTTATGGAAACCTTTACCCACAGCAAAAATGTCTTTGGCGGCATTGCAAGTGCCGAAAGATACCTCGTTGGGGGCGGTTCGGACTACAGGTCCTGCAGGTGGTCAGATTTTCGGCCCATTGTTTGGTTCGCAGCCACGAAGCTTACCGTATTTCTGATGCAAAGCTATATGGTCCAATTCGGTGTGCCCATTGTAAGTACTCCACACTGTTTAGGTTGAAAAGTCAGCAAGCACGACAAGAGAAAGGCAGGATCAGCAGGACTACCTTTCCAAAGCCTCGAACACGAAGCCAGCCACGGGCCTGGCACATTTCGCAGAGGAGAGGCATAACGCTTATAGAGGCATCGGATGACAAGTGAAACGACTGCTAAAAGGAGCAAATTTGCCTTCAACAAGGCCAGAGTCTGGGCAACGAGCGAATGGCTCGCTGCCGAAGACGATGCGTTCTCAGCCTTCATCTTCACAGGCGGTCTTCAGGTGAAACACGGTGCCTCGACGCTGTGGCTCAGGAGTAGAAGTCTGAAAGAAGGAGGAGGAACACAAGCAGCAGGAGGAAGAAGACAGGAATGAACCCATAATCACTATATCTAACAGTATGCGCCCCCCGCGCAACTGGGCTTGGTTCGCATCGTTCTGCCGATGGCTTCCCTCACGATCGAGAACCTCGTGTGATATCATCCCCCTGAATGTTCCGTTTCATCCAATCAACACCGCGCCTGATCGTGCGCCCTGGAGCGGCAATTGCAAAAGTCAGGCTCGGCTGAATTTGATTGGCACATTTGCTGGGCTGAAGAGTTCTGCTTCACCGATGGCAGTTGTTAACCGTGTAGCTCCAATGCAGCAGTGGCCCCGCGAGAGTCATCCACATCGGAAAAACCCCGTACACGTCGGCAGTGGCACTCTGACCCCACATCGCCGTTTGTGGAAGGTTGGATCGAAGCACCCCATGTTGTGGCGCAATCGATGTGGCGGTTGTGGCTGCCTATCTTCGCGGACATCGACTTTCTCAGAAGCGGGTAATCGCTTGGTGGATGGCGAAGGATGTGAGTGGTTGCAGTCAAAGGGTTGGGGCGTCCTTGGGGCGTCCCGACCATGGAGAGAATCATTCCGCATTTTCGAAGCACGAGGCTGGCCGTGCAAGGTGATGGGAAGCAGTTAGGGCAATTTTGGGTGGGTAAATTCCACAGGTATATTCTCAGCCTTGTTTCCTGAGCTCTACCTACCGGGTGGCTACATAGCCTTTCAGACTAGTCATTCATGTGGCTGGCCTAGAGAATTACATGGCCTCGCCTCTACCGAGTACATGTTAAATTTCAAACTTCTCTCCAACCAACTCTTCACTCAGTTTCCACAATTTCTCCGCGCCCTCCATACTCTCAGCGTACTCGTACGTACTCTGGCACTGGCAATCTGTCATATACATCCCACTCTGCGATTCAATTCTAGGATCTAAGGCCGCTACCAAAGTCGTGGAAATACCTTCCGCCATGCTCTTTGGTTTCTCCTGGTCGAGGGGGAAGTGTCTGCCAGTATTCTTCTGCGCGATTGCCTCAATGCTTGCGAGCGACGCGGGAACATCGGTCATGTGGTTTGCCAATTGCGTGTCGTATATGCCGCCTGGGTGGACAGCGTAGCTTTGGATGCCACGGCCACGAAGTTTGTTGGCGAGATATAGTGAGAAGAGAACATTGGCGGTCTTGGATTGGCCGTAGCTAGACCAAGGATCGTATTCCTTGCCATCAGAGAAATTGTAGTCCTCAAGGCGGACGGGACCGATTTTGTGGCCGAGGCTGGTCAAGTTGACAATTCTCGATCCAGGCCCTGCGGCAAGAATCTTGGGAAACAAGCGTTTCGTAAACAGGAAATGACCCAGATGATTGGTCGCAAATTGAATTTCAATCCCGTTCTTGTTAGTCGTATATTGTTCGATCGCCATAATTCCCGCGTTGTTGATTAGAATGTCGAGCTTGGAAATTTTCCCGTTGATGGTGGCCGCGGCGGCACGGACGGAATCAAAGTCGTCGAGTGAGACGGGGACGAAGTCGACCTTGATGGCAGGGTTGATTTCTTTGATGCGGGACATGATCGATTCCACCCGGGATTGAGAGCGAGCAAGCAGGATCAAGTGTGCTGGATTGCCATGGGCGAGTGCAACGGCAGTCTCTCCTCCTAGGCCTTTCTCGCTAGCGCCTGTGACGACGACTTATTGGCTTGTCAGTCCTAAGCATTGCAGAACATTCGGGGCCAAAATAACTGACTGGTCTTGCCCTCAACTCTGTCGGCAAATTCTCTGACAACCTCCACTCCGGTGGTCTCACGACTGAAAGTCTTCATCTTGAGTGACTGGCGTGAACAAGCTGGCAGAATCTGGCAATCTTTGGGCAAGGAAGTTGGGGTGAGTGTTTGAGATACGGTTGTCTCAGAAGAGGGTGAGGTAGGCGCTGGGGTTAAATAGCCTCGTAACCCAGGCAGAAGCGTGGAGAGCACCTGGGAGATATCCTATCTCCATCTCTACCACTTACCATTTTAATACTTTCTATCATTCCCGAAGCGGGAACATGACCGATCTGCGGATAGTTGTGCACACGTGTGACTCAGCCAGACGGCCGCTTTCCGCAAATATTCTCCATATGCCGAAGGGCTCAGGAAAGAACAATTTGCATTGCGGCCGACACTCGAACAGAGCAGTCTTGGAGCTGGAAAAGGAGAATTAAACAAACGGAGAAGCAAGCGCCAAGGATTCGGTCGAAGGCGGCCGCATTAATCCGCAGCAACATTAGCAACTCGGATTTTACATGTAGTTAAAGGCGGATAGGCGGCGATAGTCAGCGACTCACCTCTCGATGGTTTCTCAATCGGACCGATGCTTGCAATAGCGTCGACAGGGGCACGCGAACGTCATTCGTCAACATCGTAACCAGCTGTCATTAATAGACCACAGGAGAGGGAAACAGGTTCATTTAGGTCATTATTGGCTGTAGTAGCTGCCCGCCAGCCTCGCATTCGCGCTTTGGCCACAACTTCGGCTTCAAGCGAGGCAAGTCCTCATTCGAGCATAAAGAATATTGATACACAGCTTAAAGCGAGTGTTGATACTCATAAAGGGGTATCTCGAAAACAGAAAAGAACGCCGAATTTTCATATTTCAAAGCCAAGCCAAGCCCACCAAGTCCCTGCGTCGTTCAATTCAGCTCCTTCTGCCCCGTCAGTCTGGGCTTTTCCGCACGTATTTCCTCCGCTGATCTGATATCCAGGCTGAGAGCGATGGGCACATTCTTTAGATGTTCTCGATAACTCTGGCGTTCATGGCCTGTTGGAAGCCATCGTTGCTATCCATGTTGAAAGCGTTGCCGGTATTTGGCTTGGAATTATAGCCACTGGCTTCGCCAGTGGTCTGATTTTGGAGCATGGCGTTCATATCGGTGGGCATGGTCTGGTTAGTTGCGGGCAAGAAAATGACCTTGCTGTTGGCCGTCTTGGCCATGGCTTGCATGGCTTCGAGATATCTGATTTGCATGGCGGGCGCAGAGCTCAAGATATCGGCAGCTTGTCTCATAAGTTTGGCCGATTCAACCTCAGCACGTGCAGCAATGACCTTGGATTCACCGATTCTCTTGGATTGAGCGGCCATTGACAGCGAGTCTTGGAGGTCGTTGCTGAAGATGATGTCCTTGATGAGCATAGATTCGACCTGGACACCCCAGCCTGAAGCGACCTCCTCGATGATCTCGCCGATTGACTGCGCAATCTCTTCACGACGTTCAATCACATCCTGGAGAACACGTGCACCCACCACGTGACGAAGGGTGGTCTGAGTACGCTCCACCAAGGCCTGGCGAATGTTGGAGATACCAAAAGCGGCCTTGTGAGGAGAGGTGATGTGATAATAGATGACCGATGTCAAATTGAGGGTCACGTTGTCTAATAAAATATGGTACTTTAGTAACAACACTTGTTTAACAAACAACAAGGAAATCAACGTACCCTTAGTCATACACACTTGACGTGGCACCTCCACGATCTGGATCTTGACATCGACTTGAATGAGGCGTTCCGAGAGAGGGTTGACCTTGACCAAGCCGGGATCGACGGCGCGCGAAAAGCGCCCGAATTTGGTGATCAGGCCAACGTTTCCTTGAGACACAGGTTTGTAGGGGTTAGGGCAGATGATGCAGCATGGAATGGCACCAATGCATCCAATGCATTGTCCCAGGGTGTTGACTGCGCCGTATGTTAGCAGCGCCGTTCAGGCTCCTGACTCTTTGCGGGAGCGCATACTCATAGACCCGTACCAGCCATTATTATCATCCTCAGTGTCTTGCAGAGTCTGCGCATAAGAGGGTTGTAGGTCCTCACGTCGCGGTGGCTGCACCTTGATGACACCGCCGTTCTGGGGCCGGAATCCGATCGGAGGAACGGCACTCTTGCCAGTGTCGCCGGCAGACTCACGAGGAGAATCCATTGTCGAAGGGTCCGACTCAGAGATCAGGGGACGCGTGGACGACGACACGTTGGGCGAGGGAGGGTTTCTAAGACGAATTCTCAGAAAGGGAGGGGTTCTTGTTGTGATGGAGATGTGGTGGTGGAAGACTGTGTTGTACGCCCAGGAGAGTTGCGACAAGCCGCAACTGAATGGTGAAGGGGGATGAGACCGGGAGGATAATGTAACGAGTCAGTCTAGGTCGTCATGGATTGAGGGACTGATATACTCCGGACTACCCAGTAAGTATGAGAGAGATCTGAAAGACGGCACCAAGGGTGGAGGAGCAGGTGTGGCAGGCTAGGAGGAGGGCGAGCCGTGAGACTGGGCAAGACTGGGCCTAGCGGCCTAAGGGTCTGGCACCACTTCCTCCAACTCCCTTGCAACTTGGAGCATCCTTGAGCATCCTGCGCCTAAAACACATCCTGAGGCACGCTATTTCTGGAAGCATGGACCCCCCTTTCTCGCGCATCAGGATCCTGTTAGAGGCAAACTCCCTCAGTCACGGGGCATGAACATGCTGCTTAAGGACACTAACTGGCGTCTTGCATAGGTATCCATCTAACACTAGCCGAGCACCTGCACGGCCGTTGTCGACCTCCGAAGAAGACCTAGAAGACATTTCTTCCATGATGGGGAAGGACAGGTGCGCCTGACAAGACGACAAGGGGACGACACGCTGGACGTTCCCCTCGTATTCCGATGCGAAGGACATTTAGCGCAGACGAGGGATGAGGAGGTGGAGAAGCAATCGTACGACCAATGTCCAGTAAGCACTGGTCTGGCCGGGGCGCACATTTCCTGCTGAATTTTGACCTGTCATTGCAACTACAGACGAGGCAGTGCAGACAACCCATCTCCACCTGCGCATTACGCTTTCTTTCCTGTCTGCCTCGGGCCATCAGTGAGTGAACGATTTGCGTGGTCATTGTGCGGGTGCTGATGGTGCCCTGCGCGTCCCACACCTCAAGATGCGGCATATTCACCGCCATGCCTTGAAGGTACAGTACCCAGTATCTGCTGCCTATCCGATTGTACAACGGATCAGTAGCGTCAATGCAACTGTACCGAGTACTCCACTTGGAGACCTTCGGCAAGAAAGCTTAGCATTGGAATGGATGGCAAGAAAACTCGCCGACCTGTTTGCGTCTAGTCCCTCAACTTTCCTACTCGACCAAGCGACGGAACGCGCAATCACCCAACACACCACTTCTGCAGTGGACAGACAGGTATGCAACCACCACCAGACAGCAAACTTGCAGGATGCCTTCTTGGTGCTTTTCGACCTCGAAATGCTGTACCGAGTGCGGAGGTGTCTTCTTTGGGCCGCCATCGACATTGCCAGCTGCGAGTGAGCCTTGCCTTGGCAATATTGATCCTTCGTGGCTGGGGTTGATTGTGGGATGAAATTGCTTCTCCAGATCAGATTAATTGACCATATTAACGCCTGGGTCGCTCGGTGGGCATGTCGCCCCAATGCGGAAGATTATCTCTGTCCCCGTGCCAGGTTGATCGCCGCTGGGCAACTAATTTTGCTGCGGCCATTTCCCGACGCCCTCCCCCCCACAGCCATGCCACCCTGCCAGTCCGAGGTTGGAAACTGGAATGATCAAAAGAGCTCGACATGGGCAACTACGGCAATGTCGTCACTCTCCTTATTCTATCGCTACCCGCGAATGTTAATACGACGAGTTGTACGGGACAAGACGGGATTCGGCAGCATTCGTTCGAGAATCTTCCCTAGAACAGTTAAGCTTGTCGCTGGGGAGACAGCACCTCCACATCCACTTCGATATCCCAAAAATACCAATCCATCCACCCACCCAGTGACACTTTCAACCGGGAACGGCAAGTCGACTCTTTTTGACCCTCCTTTCGACCGATGAGCTTTGCAAGCTCACCATCACGTCGATGCTGCATCTGGAGACTGCATTGTCTGGCCTCGAGACATGCGTGTCTTGTGAAGCTGGATGGTGGATTGAGGACAAACGGGAAGTAAGATGGAGGTTGGTTTGCCATTTCAATCAAGGAATTTGAATTGCTCAGTCCTTGGTACCCTGTACAGAGCCAAGATACTCTGCACATCGCGAATATTGATGTGATTTCCAAATCTAGTAGCACTCGTCGGCTTCATCTGGATACATCTGGATACATCACCTTATGATGAGGTGCTGAAAGATTGCTTGCCTCAGTCCTCTGAGAGTAGGCGTTCCTGATACGAATACGATAGGGAGGAATCATTTTACCTTAATTTACCAAGTACTTATGTACCTACCTTCAGAGTATCTACTGGGTAGGTACGTAGGTCCTCAATAGATATTTAGAGCTCGTAAGCTACAAGTCAGGTAAATTGAGGAAGGCAGGCCGACCCGGAACTACTATCATCCGAACCACTAAGCTGTAGTATATGCGTCCTCCTAAACACGTAGTTCGGTAGGTACTGCTGATGGGAGCGGAGCAAGAAAATAAGCACCTAGGTACTTGGTAGAGAACCTTCTTTGAATGATTTTCATGAGGAATCTCTGTCACACAGTGAAGCGAGTCTGTGGCGCCAATACGAGCTCTCAATCACTCGGTGCACATCTTTGATCACAAGCTACTCCATACCTCTTGGTACATGCTTTCCACGGAATGCAAAGGATTCATCCTCTAGTGTTTTACATCGGCTGGCCGCGGATCTGCCACCGACTTCTGGTGTTCCCCAAAATACACGGATTTGGCGCGCTGAATGAACATGTGTCCAAAGGTGTTAAGATTCAAGACGGGTACGGAGTACTTGAACGGTGGACGGTCGAGGAGATTGGGCGATTACTGAGCGTCATTTTCCGTGTCAGGTAGGGTCAGATCTATTTGATCTCACCAACTATTCCCCTATGATTTTGAAACTCTCCGAGAGAAATCTGCCTTGCCCCAAAATAGTCGGCTATCATAGGTAGGTATGGAACAACTTGTGTCAGGATACTGTTGCAACCTGGCTGGGAGAGCCAATGGAAAGCGGGTTCTGGCTAAACTTCCGGACACAATCTTCCAAGAAATCACATCTTGTTGACTGTCGACTCGCTCGTTTACATGTGGAGTGGCATCCTCCTGATCACACCTTTGGTTGCAGACCATATTCCACAGCACAGCCTCGCTGGGTCGGGACGCCGTCTCCACTTTCCCGTGCAGGCATGGGGCGCGCAGACGAAGGTTGGAAGGAGCGCCTATGGAGGTGAAAGCGATACTCCATACAGGTGGAAAACAGACTCCTTAATTCTGCGTCCACGCCCGAGCTACAAATCCATCCGTCTATCACAGTCCACCGCGGGCGCACATCCACATTTACCGCCCTCAGTCCCGTTTGGGCTTTGTCCCGTCAATAATTGACGCTCTTACATTAAGGGGGGACACTATCGGATATTCGAGAGCCACAATGCCGCCGCAAGATGTCGACCAACCGAGCCACTGGTGTTCGAGAAGGTTCAGAGCACTGCTGCATGCTGATACTGGACTTGTCGCACAGCCACGACCGAAGCAATTCCTGTGAATGACACAATTATGTCTAGTTAAGGTGGATCAGCGCTATGTGCTCAGGTGCATCGCGCAGAAACTTGATGGGATGAAGGTGGAATACAGCATCAACAAGGCAAACCGTTGGGTTGTTACATTCACCAGTCCTCTGATCGTCTGTGCTCCGAATCCATTCTATGAGAAGACAGTCCATGATTCTTCCAACAACCAGCAAAAGATTCTTCCTTCTGCATCCCTAAGCCTGTTGCCTCGTCTTACCTGGGCAACCAGGGCCAAACCAATGCGGTCATCGGGTCTTCCATCCACCAATGTGATGGATCTCTACCTGGAGCTATTGGGGGAAAAGGGGTGTTGTCCTATCCACCTGATAATCCAAATCTCGTGGCGCAGCATTGTGTCTAATACACTGTTCCCCCGGGTTTCCGCAGCACGAACCATTCTCCGCAGAGACATTGCATGTGACGGATTGGATTCGATGGCTGAGCTGAGCCGACCTTGGGTCTCTCGTGTTCGCAAAACAGAGCCTTTTTTTTAACCGCGAAGTCCCGGGGACATGCAATGGCCATCTTGGTTAGCCATCTCGATCTTGATCAGCTCAGTTATGCGGGTAGTCCAGAGCATGGTGCGAGTGATAGCTAAACCTAGGGTTCAAGATTTCAGGTTCCATTGAGTCGAGTCGGAGCATCAAAGATCCATCGGAAGCTCGATGGGCTTGCGGCATTTGATTGACAAAAGTTTGATCATTCTGGTTTGCCCTTTCCTTGTTTATCTTGTCTAACGAAATATCTATGTAGGTACTCGGTGACACGCCGCCTGGCTGTGTTGTCCTATTTCCTACCCAACCCACTTCAACCAGCGTTGACATTGCCCCCCAAAATCCATGGCATCGAAGGCAGTTGCGTGTCTTGATTGCCCAACCCCTCACCCCCAGACATAGAGACTGCGTAAAACGTCGATATACACCCGAGCAGAGCGATCTGACTCTGACCGACGGCCTGGGAAGTCAACCTGCGTTCCGATCCTCCATCTGCTTTCGCCTCGCATCTCGTCTTAGTATTTACCTCAGCAACCAGAACGTGAGTCGTTGGTTTGCATCCATGACACCTGTCCGAAGAGTGCACCAATCTCCGTGTCTCTGAGTTCAGGAGAAAACCGTGTCGTGGATGGGGGTTCTGCAAGTCCCCGCAGCTAGCTGTCCCAAACCTCTGACAGTAATAGGATCCCTATACACTAAACGGCTTCTTGATCTCGGCAGCCGTGCCAGCAATGCCCCTCTGCTCGTCCGGGTTGAGTTCGACGCCGAACCAGGTCTTAAGCCCTTGGACGCGCTCCTTCTCCGACATGGCATTCAAGACGATTTCCTTAGGGCCTTCCCCTAGCCTCCTCTCAAAGACAGTCCCCGACAGGATCACAGTCCCCGTGGCTTTCGTCCTCGTTTCCTCGTCCACAAGAGTCCGCACCAGGACCAGCCGGTGGGTGAACCAGCTTGCCGGGTCCTGACTCGTGCGGTAGTTGATGATCTCGAAGTCCATGGGCAGCCATTCTAGGTCAGCAAAGCAGTAGCCGCCCTGCCACTTCGGGTAGGTCTTGTTGCGAGTTTCGAGGACCCAGAGCTTCTGGGATTGATCCGTGTTTGAGGCGATGGGCCGGTGAACGAGGCGGACCTCGGCGCCGGGGACGGCGTCGTAAGGCTTCGGGCTGCTGTGGTCCAGCGGGATGGGGTGAACCGGGGACGTGCTGCCAAAACCGACATCGACCTAAATAGAGGTGTTGGGAGGAGTCTTCGTGCAAGATCCGTTGGGCATGTTTGTTGGATTAGGGAAAGGGGGGGGCAATGAAAGACATACCAGATATTTCTGATTGTCAATGATGACGATGATCACCTCGTGCTGCCTGTTGACACCGTTACGTCAGTTACGGTTCCGTCGTCCTCGAGACTACGGAAAAAATCGACAATTGGACACGTACCATCCAGCAAAACCATCCGGGTCGACCGAATCGCCACTCAAAGCGAGACTGACGCGTGCGCCGGTGACATAGAGGCGATAGCCCAGGGACCTGAGGACGGTGCTGAAGAAGGCGTTGTTCTCCATGCAGTAGCCGCCCAAGCGGCGCTCGACGAGCTTGTGGTACAGCGCTTCATGGTCGAGGGACAGGGTGCGGTGCCACGAATAATGCAGCGCAATGTTCCCCCACGGATTAAAGGCCATCTGGCGCAGCTGCAGGGTCGCCAGCGCCGCGAGGGGATCCGCCTTGATTTCGGCCTCGAGTGTCGCGAGCGTGTAGTCGGCCGACGGCGGTGCGATGCATTTCGAGACGTATGTGGCGAGTTGGTCGCGCGTGTAGGTTGGCCGGGAAGACGAGAGGGAGGTGGTTGCAGCAGGGGTTGCGTCTTCGCCCATTGTGCTTTGCTACCTAGCTAACCAGTATTCAAGTTTTGCGTCTGCAAGATGGGATTGAAGGTGGATTCGGGATCTTGATCGCGGTATCGTTCCGGTTCTCTCTTTTTTTGTTTCTCTGTCTGTCGCAGGCATAAAGTCGCCTTCGCTCTCTAATATCAAGCAGTCGCGAGATCCAGCAAATCAGCGGTATAAGAGCTTGAGCACCCTCGTTGAAGAGAAGCGAAAGATATGAAATCAACAATGAAAAAGAGAGAGAACAAAAGTTCGAGTTGTGATGACTCTATCGGCGCCACCATCGCTGACAAGTTAGCAAGCACATACGCAGCTAGAGGGATTGGATCGGGTCTGTCCAGGCGGAGATGGACGATTCCGATTTATCATGCAAATTAAGCCATTGACGATTGAGCATGTTGCGTTTATGCTAGTAACTAGTAAGTAGGGACTCGGTAATCCACGTGGAGGGGGACGGAGAGGAGGAAAATTGGCAGGGCGAGGATCTCGTATTCCACGTTCAGCACGTGGAAGCGGGACATATTATAGTACTAATTAGAACTCGGCAGAAGACCTCGTACTACTTAATTGACTGTATCTAAGGGTGAGGGGGAGGTGAGATGGAGGTGAGATGGAGGTGAGATGGAGGTGAGAGGAGCTGTATATATATGTACCAAGTTTGGGTAGGGAGATATAGGCGAGGAGTCCATAACATATAAAACCACCACTGGAACTAATATCCTCCTTTTCCGGCTCATAGAAACAGAAGGGAGGTGAAGTAAAAGAGGCAATCCTTCTCAGCGTCTTCTCAGCAATTACCAAATCGCAACAAGCGGCTACATAGGCATTACCTAGGACAATAAGATTAGGTGACTGGGTGACTGGGTGACTATGGTGGGTGTCATTCATCTGTGGCTAGTGTGGCCCAGTACCCAGTAGCCCCCTTCAGGCACCAGGCTTCCTCCTTTCCTCCCCTCTCCCAATTAGCCTGTTTCTCACTTCCCGCCTCAATGCCACCAGCAGTTCTGTACCATCACGACCACGTTGTCCATTTCTCATCTCTCTCGTCCTTGGCTGCTCCGTCATCCTGGATCAGATCATGTAGACACAAGTCTATCGATCCCAAAATGGCCCAGTCTTTGCATCTCCATCTCAGTTCCAGCTGATCGACGCCCGGGTCGCTATCAGCTGCCACTCAACCACCACCAAACCTCCAAACCCCCCACTATCCGTTGCCACGCTACGGCATCTGGGTCCTGAATCCTGATTGTGGTCCTGATTGAAAACGCCCAATGCTGATTCTGATTCCTGTGCCCAGGCAGCGCGTTGTCCGCTGTCCGCTCGTCGACAACGTCTGGCTTCAGCCATGAAAGACACTCTGCGCAAGAAGCCCCCCAAGACTAGCTCAGGCAGCGAGTTTGACGTGGCTTCGCAGCTTGATGTCACGTCCCAGTCGAGTGAATCCGTCTCGCCAAATCCATGGGCCAGCGAGGCTTCTTCCACCCTGAATGGTGAAGGCATTTCTCGCCAGATCTTCAAGTCTTCCAGAACCCCCGACACTACGTCGCCCATACGAAGCATCATGTCTACTGCCACCAAAGAAGAAGAGTCGGGGTCGCCTCCCCCCTCGACCCAGCGATTGGAGGTTCCTGGCGCTGGCGACAACGCTGTCCCTGACGACTCAAGCAAACCCACTCGCCGAAGAAAGACCGTCACCAAAACTCCCCACACTTTCGAGCTCGAGGCTGATCTGACTTCTGTCAAGCAAAAGGAACAGCAACCTCCCTCTGCACCAGAAGAGCCGCCCAAGCAAGACGTCCAAACCCCAGCCCCCAAAAAGAAGAAACGCGTTTCTCAAGTTGTCCCTCCGGACGCCGCAACCACTGCAACCACTCCCACCGTCATGGTCAATTCAGTGCCATCAACTGGACAAGCAGCATCTCCATTATCATCCCCCAAAACACCTTCCTCTATTGCACCATCATCCACCTCGAATCAAACTCAAATCTCCGCTCCCTCAGCGACGACTTCGCCAGCCTCCCTCAAACCATCCGCCTCATCGACAGTCACCCCGGTAAATCCATTCACGACACAACGAACCAAGAAATCTCAGTCAATGTCTTCGGTCCCTCAAGTCTTTGGTTCCAATCCGTGCCGTTTTACACCACCGCCGCTTCCGAAGGAATCCTTCCACGGCAAAGTCATCGTTCTCACTAACGGCGCCAGTCAGACAGGCCAGTCGTTAATACGTCATTTCCACGCGGCCGGGTGTCGGGTGATTTTTGGCGACACAAATAGCGACCAGGCTCGCAAATTCATCTCCTCTCTAGGCCCACCGCACGTGGTCCACTTTAACAAATGCGACATGACCAAGTACTCTGACATGCTGGAGCTCTTCAAGCTGGCCATCACCATGTACGGTCGCGTGGACCATGCCATCTTCGGCGTGGGCGACGATGGCGGTCAAGCATGTACGGTGGGCGCAGGTGAAAAGGGCTGGTTTGAAGACCGTCCCGGCATAAACAAGACGGCCAAGATGGCTTACGAAGAAGTGGCCACCGAGCCCGCGGGTTTAGCAGACATTGTCACAGCGAGCATCCGGTTTGCGCGGATTGCATTGGCCTATCTGAAATATTCGCCCAAGTCCAAGAGCAGCAGCAGCAAAAAGGCATTTGTGAATCCTTATTCGAGACCTCAGCCCGAACCTCCTGCCTCGCCAGGCTTGAACGATCGCAGTTTGACCTTCCTCACCTCTGTGGCAGCTTTCAAGGAAACGCCGCAGCTGCCCATCTACCAAGTGACACAGCATTCGATTCTCGGGCTAGTGCGCAGTCTCTGGACCAACATTGACCCAGACCCTGAGCGGGACGGCGTCCGCATCAACGCCGTTGTCACAAACGTCATGGTCCCGCGTGCCGTCGCGCAATCCGGAGGGCGTAGCATGTCCGTGCAGCTCCCGCCGGACAGGCCCGAGGACATCGCGCGGGTCGTGGTGGGTGTGGTCGCGACCAACGCATCGACGCCGGATATCAACGGCGCCGGAAGGGAGACCTCAAGCGGCGCTGCCGATGGCGGAGGCGGAGGAGCAGGGGGTGTATGGTACGAGAAGGGCCACGAGAGGGGCATGCGCGAGAAGCACCTCCACGGCCGAGTCATCTACGCGGTGGGCACCGAGGGCTGGGACGTGCAGGAGGGCATGGACCGGAGCGAGGCCATCTGGCTGGGACAGAGGCCCGCCGAGGCCCTGAATCGCGGAATGGCCGGCCTCCGTCTCGGTGGCCAGAGTACCTGGATCTTGGATTTGGTCTGAGCGCAAAAAAAAATCCCATTTATCCATATTGTAGGTTCTGATATACACATCCCGTGGGCCATGTAGCTACGAGGCTATGTGGCTTATGTGGCTATGTGGCTGGTGGGCCGTTATGGCCGTGACTCTTCTATGACCTCTCCCCTTGGTCACCCCAGGCGAAGGGGCCATTGATCCCAACGAGTGCATGGCTAACCAACTACATGACCAACTCGGGCTTCTCCTTTTCCTTCATCTGCACGGTGGTAATGGCGCCCCAGCCATCGTCTGCGCTGTCCTCATTAGCCATCATCCGCCTTCCCTGCCTCCTCCCCCTTCTGCTTCTTCGCCTCCTCCGCTTCTTCCTCCTCCTCCCCCCTCCCTCCTCATCCTCACTCGCAGTCCCAGTCCCAGTGCCATACCCACTCTCCCCTCCCCCTCCCCCTTCCTCCTCAAACCCGAGCGCCATCTCACGCCTCCGCGCCTCCGCTTGCTCGTCTTGGGCTTTGAGCCTGCCCCTCCACCGCCAGAAGAAATACAACCCGAGCACGAGCGCCGTGAGTCCGAGGCTGACCACCCAGAAGATCCAGATGTAGCCGCTGACCCGCGGCGGGGAGGTGGTCAGGTCGAAGAAGTTCATGGACACGATGGCGGCGACGAAGGTCGCGGGCAGAAACACCATTTGTAAGAACGACATGGTCTTGTTGGAGTCGGCGTCCTCGCGGCCTGATTCGTTGTCGCGGAGGGAGATTTTGCCTTTGATCTGTGCAGTATGCCCAGTACCAGTGGAGTATGTTAGTCACCTGGTGGTGGTGGTGGTGATGCTATATATGTGAATGGACAGATGGTATTTAGGGTTCTTGTGGGCTGGAGCGCGTCATGACAAATGAAGTCGGGAAAAGGGGAGTGAGAAACGGGAGAGCGAACAGGGGCTCGACTAAAGGAAAACAAAAACTGGTTCGGGGGAACAGAAAGCAAGAAAAATTGCTCACAAAATCCAGAGCATCTCTCGTCCTCGCCTGCAGATACAGGCACGTGGACAGGTTGTTCTCGATCAAATGCGAGATGTTCATCAATTTCTCCTCCATGTGCGGGTTGGTCTGGTAGACGTAGGTGCGGTACGAGGCGAAGGTGTCGTCGCCTCCTCTGCCTCCTCCCTTGGCACCACCTCCTTTGGTGCCGCCGCCGTCCCACTCGCGCAGGAAGATCTTCTGCTCGAGGAACTCCATCGTCTCGAGCAGGAACTTTGCCAGCGAGCGCAAAAAGTCCAGGTTGCGACGCACGTACTGCAGCTGTGTGGTGATGTTGTCAAAGTGCTCGAGCGAGCCGATCTGCGCGGCGCGCGACAGGGACTCAAAGTGGCCCACCTCGACGCACAGCCGGTTGACCTCCCAGGCGGCGTGGTCGAAGAAGATGCCGAGCAGGATGACGGGCACGTGCAGCGGGTGCACGTACCACTGCTGGCTTGCCTTCAGGAGACGGCGCGAGACGTCGCCGATCGCCCAGTCCGTGAGGCCGTCGAGGAGGCACCGGGTCTTGCCGTCGCGCAGGGAGTGAGACATGGCGAACGACCACAGGAACGGGTCGTCGCGCCGCGGGTTGTACATCGACGACTTGAGCGATCGGCGCGAGGCTTCTGGGGCGCGGCGCCCGCCCTTCGTCTCGGTCAGATATTTTGCTCGCCGCGCTGGGCGGAGAACGAAGGGGAAGTGGATGACCAGTCCTGGACACGCATTCAGTTCAGTTTGGCCCTTTTTCTTTGTACCCGTTTGCGAGCCTGTGCCGAAAGAGAAAAGACGGGGCCATGGGTTTTTGAGTCTTTGAGTACATTAGCAGTCACATACCCATTCGGAGCGCCCTGGGAGGCTCGACATCAAAGCTCCAGACCGTCCTGCGCTGAAAATTTCCCACTTCTCGCGCGTGCAGCCTCATCCAGGTGTATTCGCGATTGAGATCCCACTGATGGACCGGCTCCTGCACGTCCGCAGCGAGGAAGGGGAGATAGTTGATCTGTCGATCGCCCGGGGGTCCCGTGTCATCGTGCTTGGCCGTCTGATTCACCCCCAGCGCCGGCCGCGTGCACAGGAGGCGAAGAGCTAGACGGCTTCCGCGCGGTGGGATCGAGGGGTGATACGCCTCGAACAGGTCCGGGGGAAGTCGCCGCGACAGCGGGTAACTTCGATCCACGACCTGCGCACCTCGGCCGACCGTCTCCCATATGTCGACGGTCCTGGCTTCGAAGAGAGAATAGCGATCCGTCTTGTTCGGGTCTTTGTAGGCAGTGTTCTCGTCGTCGATGGTGGCGAGGAGAGACACGCGAATGGGAGCCACCACGAACTCGTCAACGCCGTCATGGACCGGCTCTGTCGACTCGCTCATCTTCCGCGCTTAATGAATTTGAAAGAGTCAAACCAGAATGTGACAACCAAGTCCAAAAGCTTTCATCTAAAAGAAGGTGTCCTCCGTGCCGGAGCCATCCGCAGCAAGAGAGCATAATTGCAGGCCAACGGCCATCCCGAGAGAAGGCGACGGCGAGATGGTTCCTTTAAAGCATCCATCCTGTCCCAGAGCCGAGTGTGCACGCCTTGAGATGGATTGATTTCCCGCAAAAGTCAATTTTCTGGCGCTGTCAAGCCCAGTCTCAGCTGGTCTCGACGCAAGCCACAAACAAGAACCAGAAACCCTGCGCGGGGGTGAGCGAGCAGCGCATGGACGCCGTAGTCATCTCGTCCTTGATCGTTCCAGCCTGATGCAATCGATGAGAACTTGGGCCAATCGGATGTGACGAAAAAGGATGACGGATCTCGCGCACCATGCACGGCCGTTGTTGTAGACTTCTGTTGTCGTTATCATCGCTAAACTTGAGCGAGACTGTCGTTCGTTGAAGCAACCGAGCTCGCGGGTTAGCAGTGAGCACAGAGGGTTTTTGAGCTAACGATTGACGGTGCCGAGCGCTGAGGGCCGGTGGACATCAGCCAAGCTTGATCAAGATCATCAACAGCTACTAGGAATGGAAGCTGTTGCAGAGCAGCATTGTGTCATGGCATAGTAGTTGAAGTGCTCTGCACCAATGATTCACTCCATCTCTCCACATGTCGAGCATAGCTTTTACCGAGGCGCCCTTTTGGTGTCAACTGAGACGAATATGTTTACTTGTAGGAATTGGCTTAAGAAGGAAATCGAGAGAGCTAGATGGAGACGAGTGCGCTGCATGTAATATGGTGGTCAAAGGACAATATATTCGCGGGTTGAATGGAAAAAAGTCATGTGTATCATCTTTTATTATTGACAGCCTTAAACCCATAGCTTCGAGTGATGCGGTGTCCCACCATTATCAAATAGGCGCTGGATGTCGCAACTCTTTACCAATCCCTTCTTCTTACCAGTTTTGTCCGTCATTCGAATTGCGCCATTTCCTCTACCGAGATCGAGATTCTGGAAACATATCGTAACGCCGATAGATGTGGTAGGAAATTCGCCTTCGCTCGAAGCTCGGATGATAGCACCATCTCCGAGTGCGACCTGGTGAAACTCGAATGTATTGAGGTGGTCGTGAAGGTCTAGTATCACTCAAGGCCTTGTTCGGAGCCCATGTCTTCCAGCTACCGGGAACTACCCATTTCCGAAGCATTGAGGATTGAGAATCATTTGGCTTTGTGAGCTGAACAAAAACTTGAATCCAACTGCAAAACGCTTATTTCAAGGATGGTCGAGGAAATTATATATTTCACTTCACTCTGTCGAGGAGTGCTCGTTTGGAGGTAGATGGTCTTTCCAAGTGTCATATGGTGCGCATTGGGTATATCCGGTAGGTGCTCTGACACCACGAACGGAGCTGCCTCCGTCGGCTCGTTGGAGGGTTTTGTGCCTGCAGTGGATAACATGATCATAAGAGATCAACTCCGTGATGAGCGGCTCTTGATTCCTCATCGACCGGACCAGCTTCTCCCAGGCGTAGATACAGTGGGTAATGTGGTAGTCTTGAGCGACGTATACCGCATCGTGCTCGCCTTTTCTCATCTCCTCCAAAGTGTAGGCGTAGCTCGCCGAAGGATCAGCGTACCAGGTCCAGTTGCCAACGTCGAGGAAGCGGTTTGAGAGAATTTCGTCAAAACACGCAGCGGGTGTCCAGAGTTGCATCATCACATCGAAGATGCAGCCGCGGTCTCTGGCTTCTTGGGGTGTATATCCGCAGTTTTGGATTTCATCCTTCGACGAGGTTGAGTCACCAGAATCCTCGGTCGTCTTTACCGAGTCGTCACCGATGAGAGGGGTGGGTGTTGCGGCGACGGTGCTGGCGACCACAGCGGCTGCGCTGGTGGTTGACGTCGAGAGGGAATCGGATGTGGATGGAGAGGCGTGGGAGACAAATACCGACGAAATCAATGAAAAGATGGCGACAAGGATGGCGATGAACAGCGTGCCTGTCGCGACGGAAAGGCAGAGGGACTGCTTGCCCCAGCCTGCTCTCGGTTGAACCTTTTCGCTCGCCAGTGGGAAGGATTCATCGTTGTCGTTGGTGGAAACGGAGCGATAGTGGTTGCTGAGGCCCATGGTCGCGACGCAGGCCTGATGCCGCAAATCCTGGTGGTTCAGATCGGTGCTGGTGAGATTGAGAGAGATCGGGCCAGCGGTCACTTAAGAAGAGGAACGCGAACGAAAGGAGACAAGAAAGAAAACGAATGTGAGTGTTGCAGGGGCAACGTGAGACAGTGACAAATTGACCAAATGGGCCAGCGGAAGAAGATGTAGCAATAGGGACAGGAATTTGGCTGGGAGGGGATGGCGATGTTTTCATATGAGCAGGTTACAGGTGAAGTGGTTAACTGCGCCAACAACTGCGCCAACTGCGCCAACTGCGCCCATCGCCATCTCATTGCAGCATTGCATCAGCAATCAGGGAATCAGGGGGGGGAGGGCAGTAACGCCGAGCCACCCGGTGCCAAAGTTTAACCACCAGGGATAGTGATGGCGTGAGAAGTGAGGTGCTGAGGGTGGCAAACCCCCCAAGCCTCAGCCCCTAAGCCCCTAAGACCCCGAGCCCAAAGGGGAGTGTGGCCCCTGGTGGTCCTCCCCAATGGCCATTGGCAATGGTGCAGTCGCCCAATCGCTACACTCGCTTCTCGTCTAGAGTCTAGAAATCACGAGATGTTGGAAATTACTCCTATCGATAATCCCACTTTTCGCTTCATCCACTCTCACCTGACCATGTCTCTGATTTCTCTGCGTCCATGGAGTCAGCAGACAACACAATGGATATTACAACATGATTCTCAGCGTACTCGGTCCTCGCTACAAGTACGGGAACAAACCAGCGTGCCGATGGCTATTCTGACAGGCGCAGCAAAGTATCTCGCCCCAAACCTGATCTACCCTGATTCTTGTGAAATTGATTGCCCCCTAACCGAGCGAACTGGCGTCATACCTTACAAGCAGTAGTACTCTGTACTATTGGTGAACCTACTTAGAGCACTCTGTACCGAGTAACTCGTACCTACAAGTACAAGTATATTTGCTACCATTTAATCCCCAGAAAAAGGGGGCTCTCGCTTCTTGTCCAACTGCCAAGAGTCGGGAAATCTGCTCGGCCTCCCTTGGGACTAAGGTGATGCCGCCCTATGCAATCTGAGTGAGAACAGAGGTCAGTAAAAGCAGCGACGCTGCAATAACGTTTTCGACGTTAGCATCACAACTTCGTTTAGCCCGACCGGGTAAGGCTCCTCTGGGCTCCTTCATTGCGCTTGGTGACTGTCTCTTTAGCAAGTACTTGGTACTTGTACTGTCATGTAATGCTCGCCCGACAATATCAAAAACACTCAGCATCCGACGGACAGCCACAGTCTGATATCGTGCGGAGAATGATCTATCCAGCCATGACTGAAGCCGGGGGCTCGCTGCATTGTCATCACTGGGTCCCACCCTTTTAGCATATATGGGTCGTCGATTCGTGATCAAGCAAGTCAATAAGCACGAATCTCCCGTTTCCACCAGCCCTGAATGCTCATTTGAGCGAGATACAGCCGATCGAGAAGTATTCGAATAGCCTGATGGACCCGCCACAGCCAACTTGCTAGATATACATCTCCATTGGAAAGGCCAAGCCAATGATCACGGTAATTTAGTGTCTTAGACCAGCCCTCTCTCATTTGCACTGCGGTACATCTTCTTTCGCCATCTCTACCGAAAAAGACAGCTCGTCTCTGGAATTAATTCCAATCTACATCATAGACACGGCAACCCTTACTCGAGGGCCTTCATCTAGGATATGGATCTTGTCCGCGCATTGAAAGAGTTTAACCAGTCCGCATTGCCCAATAGTGGTTTGCAAAACCTTCACTGGCTGAAGACAAGGAAGTATCGGTCATTTGAAGGATTGTTTTACCATGGCGAATATTTATCCCAAGGAGCCTTAAAGACGTTGTCAGATAATATCACCTCGAAGTCTCATCGACTCTGGCATTGACACCCGGTGATCTGAATGACGAAACTCTCCTTTGACTGTTCCAATTAACAGTCTTTTTAAGTGTGTGCCCTTGGAATGATCATGCTGGAATCGTGCTAGTAAATTATTGGCACATGACGAAAGGAGCAATGTTCATCAACAAGCACAAGAATCGCCAACGACCCAACTCTCCCCGAGGTTGAGCTATTCGAGCTATTTGCGCAAATCTCGCAAGCGGTCTACTTGGATTTTCGGATGTCAGAGATAGCTGGGATGTGTTGGAAGCAGCCGTCCCGGTCGCCCGCTAACATCCTCCCCATTCAGATGGTATACGCGAGGCGGAAGTTTAGCTTAGACATGCTCGCTTGCACCACGAGAACTGTCTGTGTGAGGTTCAAGGGCTTTGTCTTGAATATTTCATCTCGGCACCCTAAACATCAGTTGGCCGGTAGCACCTCGCCACGGCATATCCCAAACCCCACGTTTTCAAGGCCGTCTTTTGTCCGTATCTGTGCGGCAAATTCGACTATATCGCCGTCTTCGAGATAGGTTCGGCGAATCCGTTCTCCAGACGACCCTTCTGCGCTCATTTCACAGGGCTGTTCTCCGTATCGAGAAAGCTCAAGGAAACATCCTTCTTCTGATTTGGTAGGTCCAGACATTGTCCCCGTGCCCATAATGTCGCCTGGTCGCAATGGACAGCCGCCACGGGTGTGGTGAGCAATCATCTGGGCAAAAGAGAAGACCATAAACTTGGTATTGCATTCCGCCACTGCATACCTAGTATGGTCAACTGAAAAGCGCCTCATTAGCAGTCATCCTAGTCATTACAGGAGCATGTTGCTCACCTTCTAGTGTTGCTCGAATAGGAACCTCGAAGATGGATTTGGTCTCTTTCTGCATCAAGTAATCAGGAAGCGGACGCTGTGAAAGGTCAGTCATGTGTTGTCAAAACTTCCCGTGGACCAATTGACTTACATCCACCTTGATTGGGGAGACCCGAAAAGGCTCCAGTGCCTCGAACGGGACGATCCAAGGTGATATCGACGTGCCAAAATTCTTGCAGGTGAACGGCGCACTGGGCTCCCATTTTTGAAAGTCCCGCGCGGACCAGTCGTTCAACAAAACAAATCCAAAGATATGGCCTTCGGCTTGGTCCACCGGAACGGCTTCTCCCATTTGACTGGGTTGTCCAATTACCACGCCAAACTCGACTTCGAAATCGAGGTCTCGGCAGGTGCCGGACACTGGCTTCCCACCTTCACGATATTGACCTTTTGGTCGGTGGATAGGGGTATCAGAGACCACGACTGAGGATGAACGCCCATGAAAGCCGGAAGGAATGTCCCAGAAGCTTGGTAATACCTGCGTGATATCTGCTCCAGGTTTGAGAAAGCCTGCACACTAGGCACCATGTCAGCAACACTGCATCAGGATTGGAGTTTGCGCACTACCCACGTTATTGGCATGATGAAGACCAACAAAGAAATCTGTGAAATCGCCAACGGTCACAGGGAGGTGCATAATAGCGCTTTGCATCGAGACCAGGCACTTTTGCCGGAGGTCGTGGTTGTCGCGCAATACGTGGCCTAGCAGGGTGTTGTCTCTTAGCAGCTCTTGCAACTTCTTTCGAATCTGGCTGTGCACATGTTGTCCGAGCCCGGCGTATGCATTGAGGGTCTTTTCTTGGAGAGTCGAGTCGTCAAATTTGATGTCTTTGAAAACTTGTTCTCGAGTTAACACTTTCAAATCGAGCACATGATCTCCCACCGCAACGCCAATGCGTCGAGTTGGGTCAGCGTCTGTGCTGAAAACTCCATAGGGTAGATTCTGTAGCGAGAAGTCTGAATCGATGGGGATTGGTAACCAAGAAGCCATCGTGATTGATTACTGGTTTATTCTTTTAAGTTTTGATTCTGCTCAGCATGTCTCAACATTTTGTGTCCTCTTCGTTTCCAAAGTATATGTATGTAGTTTGAGCAGCCGTAACCCTAGGAATGAATCAGTCGATGGCATCTTCCGTCAAGCGTCTGTTAGACACAACCGGGCCTGCTAAGTCCCAAACGCCGAAGCATATCGCTCGCACAGGTACCAGGAATGGCAAGGACTCGTACAGTAGGTTCCGAAAGTCTCGTCACTTGGACGGCAAATCAATCGATCCGGAAAATCGCCCCATAGTTTCCCGAAGCGAACACGATCTGGGCCACAGACTTATTAACCGACAGGAATTGTCACCCCGTGGGGAAGATTATGTCTTGGAACAGCCACAATTTTGGTTGGAAGATTGATACCTGAGTTCGCCGCCAGACCAGCTGTGTAGGATGGAGCAAAAGGAGGCGCCCATGACTGCAATGCACTAAGAGTGGCACAGCACGCTCGTTACCTCCCAGTGACTATATGATTTCCCTGTCTCCTGCATATACGCTCGTCTATTAACACCAAAGACTTCGCCACTGCCATTCATCCAAGCTGTTCTCGCATACCCTGCGAAGCTGTCGCCCAACATGGTAGATACTATAGCTGGTTCTGACATCACCAAGAAACAGGCTCAACACCATGCACTCGAGCATCTGGAGAAAGTCGACTCGAAGGATTCACTGCACCGCAACGACCTGGGTCAAGATGCAACAACTCTGGGAGGTTACTGGGCCTCGCCTAGACTACTGGGTTCGATCTTGGCCTCATTTCTCCTCGCAAACAGCATTTACATCGGCTACGCGATGCCCGTCAGCATTCTCTCAGTCATGAATGCTGACATCGGACCATCTCCAAACATCTATCTGGTTTCACTGGTATACACGCTCTTCACCGGAGTGCTGCATTTGTTCTTCGCCCGTCTCTCGGATATCCTAGGCAGACGGTATTTCCTCGTGGGAGGCCAAACGTTTGGAGTGATTGGTTCCATCATCTGCGCCACGGGCAACAGCATCAACGTTCTCATCGGCGGTAGCGTCCTCGCTGGCATTGGTGGTGCCGCAGGGCTGCTCTATCCTGTCGTCATACATGAGTTGCTACCTAACAAACACCGGCCCTGGGGTCAAGCTGCAATAACACTGGCAGTCCTACCTACTCTGGGGTTCGGCCCCGCCATTGCAAGGACCATGATCGCCCAAACCGCGGTTGGCTGGCGAGGAGTCTACTGGCTCAATGTGGCAGTGTCAGGAGCGTCAGTCGTCCTCTTTGCCACCTGTTACTTTCCGCCAAACTTCCATATGATCAACAGTGAGTTGACGAAGTGGCAAGAGGTGAAGGCGTTAGACTACGGGGTGAGTGATTGCCATCTTTGCAGCAGCTTCGAGTTCTCTCCTTCGTTCGAAGCAGAGCTTACACCTGTACTGTGCTGACTGTTGCCCAGGGTCTTTTACTATATTTTGGTGGCTTGATCTTGGTCCTCATGGGGTTCACGTGGGCCCAAGGGACTTATGCCTGGCAAAGTGCACATGTCCTTGGCTCACTCATCGTTGGGACCGTCACTTTGGTGGCATTTGGTATCTATGAAACGTACATGCCACTGAAACAACCGTTGCTACCGGTCAGACTGTTCAAAATCCCAAACATCACCGCCTGCATCTTTGTCGGCTCTACGATGCAGATGGTCTGGCTGGCACTAAATGTATTTTGGCCCATCCAGATCAGTGTGCTTTTCACTTCGAACGAAGTAACCATCGGCTTGTTATCCTGCACTACAGGGATTGCATTGGCAGCGGGGGAGCTCATTTTCGCACCTATATTCAGAGCTGTGGGATATTTGAAATGGCAGATGATAGTTGCGAGTTTAATGACCGCCGTCTTTGGCACTGCGATGGCCGCAGTGACGCACAAAACAGAAAACATGGGCATTGCCTTCACGGTGCTGGCCGGTCTTGCAGTTGGATGGATCGAGATGGTAACTATTGTCATCACCGGACTTGTGGCTCCACCAAACGATATTGGCGTTGCCCAGGGTTTCTTTGGTTCTACCAGACTGACTTTCGGAACTGTCGCGGGTAAGCCACCGTCTTTTCAAAAAGTAAGGCGTCAATTGATCTAACTCACTGTGTGTAGTCAGCATCTACCTGGCTATCTACAGCAACAGGCTGACGGCCTTCCTGCCGCAAGAGATCGTTCCCGCTGTCTTGAGCGCGGGTCTGCCCGCCAGCAGTATCCCAGATCTTTTCACGGCCATAACCAATGGCACTGCAGCAGCCTTGGAAGAAGTGCCGAGAATGACCGATGGAGTTCTTGATGCTGTTGTTCTAGCCACGAAACTGGCATATGCCCATGCTTTCAAGATTGTGTATCTGGCAACACTAGCCTTCACGGGCATTGGATTGGTCGCAGCATTCTTCATCACGGACGTCGACGCTTTCCTCACAAACTACGTCAACAAAACTATACGCAAACCAATGATTGGAAGTTCCGATAAGGCCGAAGTGTGAGCAGAGTCCATCTGCTACACTTGGAGATCTTGCTATTCAGCACAACGGTCTTTGGGGGGGGGGGGGGGGTCAGGGACTTAACAAGATTCCTAACCTGTTTTTGCAGAATACTTCTGTAGCAAACAGATGAGCAAGTCAAAAAAAAAAATCGTGTTCGAAGTCTTCCAGCTCTATGAACATACCGAATTTGCTTTTGCAGATGAGAGTCTGTTGCCACAGGAGGTCTTGATTCTTTAGTTGTCACAGCATATTAGGCGGCGTTCTTGATCATAATGTCGGTTCCTAATCGAGGGGGGTATTGTCTTTCCTCTAGGTCGAGGCTATCAAGTTCTGTGGGCAGGAGCTATCACTCTGTTTCAAGCACGAGTAGAACAGCAAAATGATAAAGTGACTACTTGAGCCGAAGACCGATTATTCAATGTCAGTAGTAGCCAAACGGTGAGCAACCATGGGAGTTTGCTTAAGGACTTCTCAAACAGGAACAATTTTAGAGGCAGTCTTGACGGAGTACCAAATTCTCTTCTACAAGTGACGAAAATGATTCGGTGGCCTCGAACGTCAAGGTCACGGCCTTGATCAGCTCTCCCGAGCGTTCTGTATTTCGTCTTCTGCACAGCCTTTGTGCGAACCCAATCTCACTCTCTATCATTGGCACTCTCTGGCACATGTCCATTAGCCGCGCCCAGGTCCTCCTTGAATCTCTTCCCATTCACCAATAGTGGCTGACAGTCTTGCAGGACGAACAGGATCCTCGCCCACTCGGTCGGACTGGGGTTGCTCCACGCGTGCATGGTGCCTCGTTGGATGGCGACATCTCCGCGCGTCATGTGCGTCTCACTGCCGTCGTCCAGTTCAAGCACCACCTCGCCTTCCATGACGATGCCATAGTCGAGGCTCTGGGTCCGGTGCATGAATCCCTTGCTGTTGGGCTCAAAATCCACGAAACGACAGACGGTGCCCTTTGGCAAGACGGCAGGAGCGACTTTGCCTCCTGAAGTTACCTCCTGGTGACTCTTGATGTCTGCGTCATCGTTCAGGTTGGGCGGCATCGTTGTTGTCGTGTACAGTAACGCGGAAGCGTATTTCAACTCCTTGAAGGCCGTCCATTGGGGTATCTCTGAGCTGTGAAGTGTCGCCTGGCCCAAAGTATTATGTGTAGTGATGTGAATGGTCGACGGGGATAATGGGGAGGGCTGATGGTTGGTGCCGTTGGCCAACATCTTGACGATGCGTTGGAACTTGTAAACGTTCTGAAGCCGGGAAGAGAATGTTACTCTTGCGTTCGGACTCGGGAGCCTTCTTTTCAATTTGGAAAAATATTCAGCTACCTCGGGGGCGTACACGACTTCACTGAGAGCAGCCAGACACCCCTTTTCACTCCACGGCGTGCCTAGACTTCATGCCCCGAGGTCAAAGAGGGTTGCCACCCCCAGCATCATATCTTGCATCAAGTCGGACAATTCGGCTAATCTGGAAAACTCGAATCGCGGCAAATGGGCCCCTTGCATGAGTTCCCTTTTTTTGTGACCCCTTCTCCAATGACCGGAGCATGATCACTGGCGCGCAGCTGGGCAGTTTGCAGGGTGGACAGCACGGACTAATCTAACCTCATTTGGAAGGGGATTCCCTATTGGTGGTGGGGAACTTCAACGAGACTACGGCATGGCAATCCCTGTTTCGAACCCATCAATCTTCTTCTTTTTTCGCTCCTGCACATTAGTAATGGCCGATACGAATTGTTACACCCCGTGGGCTTCTCAGTCGGAACCGAGCTTTGTAATCCGGAGCCTCTGGAGGTGCCCATGGGGTGCGTTAATCCCCCACATCTGAGAACAGAGCACTAGAGCAATAACCGAGCTTCCAACATCAATCACTCATTCCGATATTGTTGACTTAGCATCCTCGCTGCCGCCTTCGAGTCGCTATCTCGAAGGTGATACTTCGACCCTGTGGCCCCTCAAACACGCCTCAACGACGACTGCAATCATGATTTGGGCTACCTCTGGGACATTTCGATACCTTGTACCTTTGGCATTACTCGTAGTAGTAGCATTGGCCATATGGGTGAGTAATGTTATCCTTCAATCGAACAATTTTGTGTCGCGCCTGCTCACAATCATGCATGTAGGTCATCGCAAAAGCGTTCTCCGGCCCGCTCTCAGCAGTACCGGGACCATGGCACACAAGGTTTACAGGTATCGTGATCAAGTACAAGATATTGACCGGCCAACGCATCTTCTATGTCCATGACCTTCACCAAAAGTACGGCCCTGTGGTCAGAGTTGAGCCAGGCGAGGTGGTTGTGTCCGACCTGGACGCCTTCCGCGAAGTCCATCGCATCGGGAGTGGATTCGTCAAATCTGACTGGTACAAGTCGTCTACGCCGGGAATCGAAGACAACGTTTTCGCCATGACGGATGTCCAGCAGCATGCGGCTCGTCGAAGACTGCTGGCCCGCCCCTTTAGCAGGTCATCACTTTTGGCCAACTTCCAAGACTTGGTGTCAGACCGTGCGCGACTGGCCGTTTCCAAGATGAAAGAGGAAGCGGACCGAGGAGACTGCGACGTGATGAAATGGTGGACTTTGATGGCTACCGATGTCATTGCAAACGTGGCTTTCGGAGATGATTCACATCTTCTAGAAGCCGGACAAGTAAGTTGACCATGGCTCCTCCACCCATTGGCCCCCCCCTTCAAGCTGAAATGCCGAACGGACAAGCTGATAATAAAGTAAAGAAAAGCAGCTACATCGACGACCTGGAATTAGCGTCGATGATCTTCGGGCTGGTAGGCGAGGTCCCGTGGCTGTACAAGATGATGCGCATTGCAGCGCCCGCTTTTACAAGAAAATGCGACACTGCCCTCCAGAACGTGGTCAACTACGGACTATCAGCCGCAAGCCGCGCCAGGGAAAAGGTCTCCTTGTCCAGACACAACATCATCAAGGGCCTAATCGACGCGAGCCGCGCCGAGGGAACCACTATGACCGACTTCAGCCTGGGTTCACAGGCCTCTGCCCTGATTGTGGCCGGGTCCGGCACGACGGCCGTGACGCTCACTTATGCAGTCTGGGCCATCCTCCAACATCCAGATGTGCGGCGGAAGCTGGAACAAGAGGTGAGCCAGCTGCCGGACGACTACGACGACACGGCATTGGAGAAACTGCCGTATTTGAACGCCGTCATCACCGAGACCTTGCGGCTGTACGGATCAGCACCGGGGGCTCTTCCTCGCACCACACCAGCCAAAGGTATCGAAGTCAACGGGCTATACATTCCGCCTGGGGTGACGTTGACGACCCAAAGCTACACGATGCACCGCGATCCCGCAGTCTTCAACGATCCAGAAATGTTTGAGTCACCCCTTTCCCCCTTTCTTTCCCCCCCAAACTACGTTCTCCTACTTTAGGGCCGTTGCGGCACTGGGAAAACGAAACCAAAAAAAAAAAAAAAAAAAAAAATCCCTTGCGGCTGGCTGACCTGTGGACTTTTCACAGATACGACCCCGATCGATTCTACCTGAAGCCCCTGGAAGGCGCACAGAAGTACGCGTTCGGGCCTTTCGGAGGGGGAACGCGGATCTGTCTGGGCATTCACTTGGCCCAGATGGAACTGCGACACGGATTGGCAGAGTTCTTCCGTGAATGTCGCCATCTCGAGCTCTCCGAGGCGACCACACCGGCGTCGATGAGGATGGAGAATTACTTCCTGATCAGTCCGATCAGTAAACGCTGCATGGTCAAGAAGTGTGGGAATGTGAAGATGTGAAGCTCAATTGAGGCTAGATCATAAAAGACGCTGCGAATTGTGCCTAACCATGCATCTATTGCTACTGCTATTATATTGCATCTACTGGAGAAAAGTAATTGTACAATGAAAATTTCCAACGTGGACAATGTCAAGATAGATCACATGTTGACCTGAGAGAGGTCAAATGATATGGCTGGCTAAAATTCACCATCGTGGTCAGATTTCAATGCAAGTAGTGAGCAGCGACTTGAGTTTACCAGTAGGCGATTGCGCCTCATAGAACCGCCCATGAGGCGTGTCGAAACCACGTCCAAGTCATGTGAGCAAGGAGTACTACCATGAAAGGAGTACTGCTTAGCCTAGCAGTACCCTTCGACGCCTCGAACATGCGGGAATCCGCTGCAGGAAAGGGTTAGCTTATTCCGTACCCCAGCGCTTCCCTAAACTTGGGAAGCGGGGTCCGGGTTGCTGCGGAGACAGAGCCCATGCAGCGTTCGAGATGGTGTCGAGGGCATGTGTTAAAGTGTTTGCGCATGATCTATCAACCCATGTGTGAGGCTTGTGACTCGCCGCAAGCTTTGTCAGCATTCTTCACCAGGATCCGTTGAACCGGCGTTCCAGCCTTCAACATCAAAGTATTCCAAATTGCTTAGCTCCGTATCCAGCTGGGAAAGATCTGGCATCTCTCCGTTTGGGAAGAGATCGAGCATCGTTTGGTCAAAGAAAGGATAGTATGGGTCCAAAGTCAGCCTCTCTGTGACACCTTGGCCCTGGAGTGGGAAAGGAGGCCCAAATCCAATATCAGCCTGATTGTGCTGAGGCCATGGCTCTCCCTGCTGCTGGTGTTGCGTCTGATTGACGTTGATCTCCGGCTGAGTTGGAACATGATTGACGCTTGAGTCAGTGCCTCGTAGGTACTCACGGGTTTGGGGGAAGTCTGATGGTAGAGCGACGGGGCTGTCTTCCCGGGGTTGTTGCCGAATTAGAGCGCTCTGCAGGTCGTGCATGGGGTCGTCGTGTATAGGTGACCTTGTTGCCATGTCACGCTCGACAGTAGCTTGTTCAATTCCGAGATCTTTGGTCTCGTCTCCTGAATCCACGACTCCGTCACCTTTAGGCCGCAAAATGTCGATGAAACCGAGAATAGAAGCACGAGCATGTGAGGCATTGACCTTGAAGTCGACCAGCTTTCTGATGTCAATATACCTAGGCTCGTCTTCGAGAGTGTTTGGGAGCATTCGGTGGATCTCGTACAAACAACCAACATGTATTTGCTAGAAAGACATTAGCATAGGCTCCAGTGTTTATGAGGTAAGATCATCAATACAAGCAGCGCGGCGAACTTCCAGTACACAGCCACACTTTGTATAAGTTGAATGTTCGCCTTGACATTGGCACGTATACGACCTCGTACTGTCGGATTAGAGCACCACATGAATGGCATTTGAATAGCACATCCGGAATACGCTGCGTATGCAACAAAGGTTGGTATGGCACCAGGTCGAGCGTACGTCGAAACAACTGTTTTGACCAATTCTGAGAATGAGCAGGCGTGTTCAAATGCCACTTGCGCTGAGCAATGTCGAGAGGTAAGCCAACTGCTATCGCCGGAGCTCCAAGAGAAGAGAGGGATAATGGACGCGTGCAGCGCGCCCAGAGACTGGTGATATACGGCGTTGAGAAGCAGGATTTTAGGGAAGGAATGGGCGTCGGTCGCCATCTCGGGAACTTTTGATGGTGTCAATTTAAAGTCTGGTGACACTTCTTGCCACCAACTCGATATTTTTTCGTCGAACGCATGCAAGCTGGTTATTCTCTCACTAATATCCGTTTCGCGACACTTTATGAGCGAATGTACCGAGTACCTACCAAGAATTAATCTCTCCGTTCAAAAGGGCATCGGGAGCCAATATTACCAGAGTGTCAGGCCTTTAATCACCTCAGCATATAGGCTATGACCACCAGCCGCCGTACTTCGGTTAGAATCCAGGCATTCCGATGGTTGTCTGGAAACGCCAATATCGAAATCTTCTTCCGGCCACGGCAAACTCAAGCTTGACAGATCGACGAGTGGCTCGAAGAAGGTCAGGCTGTCGGCGGACTGACATTGCATCAGATAGCAGGCCCACAGTCGTCGGCGGCGCATTTCAGCTTCGAAGGCGTTATCACCGTACAACTTGGCTGGTTCGAGACCGATGACATAGAGCAACTGACAGCCCACTCCTACCAAAGTGAGTGTCCGCTCCACAACTAGACGGTGGTGATGTTAAATTATACCTTTGTAAAATTGGCTGACTCTCCAGGAGCCTTGACTATACCAGAACAGGCCCAGAGTCATCAACGTCACGATCTTATCCTCGTGGAGATCCTCAGGTTGTTGGAACACAAGTCGTCCAGCTTTCCTGGCCCATTCAACCATGAAGCCGTGGTCCTTCAAAGTTGCCTGACCATTTTGGTCTCGGTGGAAACTAAAAGATGTTCTATTAGCCAGTTGTCGATAAACTCGACTGAATTTCGCTTTACTTTGCTGCCCACGCGCAGATACTTAGCACGACATGGGGATTGGCTCTTCCGCGCTCGAGCGACTCTAAGAACAGCCTTTTGTGTAGCACGAGGGTAGCGTTGTATGCGTTGTCGAAGAACACTTCCACCAGGGTCAATATCAAAGACTTTGGTATTCCTAGGTCATAGTGGTCCATATTGGAATGGTTGGGTAGATTCGACGATGCAGAAATGTGTGGCATTCTGTCTGATATTGCGATATTTTCGGTGTTGGTTCTACCGCCATGCTGCCGCTTGGAAGATGCTGCCGGGGACTTATTGATGTTTGCGGAAACGAAAACATGATGTTTCCTTGCAGGGGTGCTCGTGCTGCTGTAAGAACAGGGTTGTCTCAATCTCGAACATCTTTTACAAGTCGGACGCTCTCCAGTGCACCGTATCTTTGAGTGGTGTTAGTTAATGCATAGGCATGATGAAAACCACATTCAGGAGGTCAATCACAGCGCCTCACTTTCAAGGTCTGGCATGTACCGCAGGCCGTGCGCGGACGGCCGACAGAAGGCCACATCTGGCAGAGCAACTCGAACTGGACCAAGGAAGTATTAAATGATGAAGGCCAGATGCAGCTACTCTGTTTCGTTTAGATGTGGACCAGATGAGAGGGCGCAGGGGCTTGTCATATACGAGGAAAGCTTCAAGCCGAATCATGAGATTCGTGGGTTTCAAATTCAATATGAACTCGGGAAGATGGTACCTGGCAATACCTGGGTAACTCCCTACCTGTGGCGTACGAGGCAAGTGGTGAGAAGACTAGCAAGGCGGGGATCTGGGGAGACGGCTTTTACGGATTTAATGATCACAGCGCGATGCCGCTGAACGACCCGCCGTACGACATTTCCTGGTCCTAACGGTTAAGTACTTAATACTCCACAAGTACCTCGTACTCGGTACCTCGGAATATTATATTCACCAGTCAGCTCGCCCTCTTTTGGAATGAGGATGATGCCGCCCTGTGCATGCTCCCACGTGAGCTGGCCGTTGATCTACGAGGTACTTCGCGTGTCGTCTTTAGCCGCCGCTGTAACTTCCTCTTCTCCGGATGCACATCCTTGTACATTCTACCCAGTTGAAGCCAGGCAACCAAGTTTCTCTTCTTCTAATTACCATCTCTGCACGTCTGCGCCTCACTAGGCTGCCACAATTTCTGCGCAACTCGGCAAAAGGTCTTGATCGAGTATAGAGGATAGAGGATTCCAGCCACAGCTCGTCAAGCCTCAGCTCGCACAAACCTTAGCCTCAGGCAGACACCAAAGCGGCCAATCGTATTCGTAGCCTCAGCCAATCATGCCATACTTCGAATGCTTCCATCAGTTGACGTTGAGGCGTCAAAGCCTCAGCTCGCGACCATGGTGAAGGGGTATATGTTTCGTGATTCCTGTCAAGAACGCGCCCTCGAATTGTACTAACTACACAGCATTCAACTCCTGCGACCATCCTACGGTCGAATAGCTCACAACCTTTGCGCTTGCGACCTCGACTACTCTTAACCCCGCACAAACGAGATACCCAAAGTTCATCTGTGTCTTTCTACCGACGCCATTCTTCAACCATGGGGAAACTTAGGTCTCCCGCGTCTCCAACCAACAGAGGCGCACCGAGCACGTTCCCGCGCATGGACCCTCCGCCTCCCTACGAAGAGTCTTCTCGTTCCTCCTCTGCTCATAGCAACGACCGACTACAAGGAGAAGAACCTGCGCGGTCGCAGGGTGAACCTCACCAAGCGGCGTCGCAGCCGCAGCCGCAGCCGCAGCCAGAAGAGCAACAAGCTGCTTCCGGGGCACATGACTCGTGCCAAAAGAAAGAGGTGACGGAAGGCTGTTGCACATTTGGTGAGGGAGCCTCAGGATGTATGGTGGTTGGAGATCATGCCGAGGGGTGCTTGAATTACGGTGACAACACGAGTGGATGGTATGGAACCCCGGCGCTTCCTCCTTGATTTTCCCTGGAGGCACTGCAAGATCCTTGTGCGAGAGGCGTGTGCTTCAATTGACAAGGCGCTGACAATGTCTCCATAGTCTAAACTACAAGTCCAGAGACGGATGCTTGCTTTGGAATGCTACCGAAGGCGGGTAAGCGACCAACCAATTTCAACCAGTCGTCGCCGGCTATTTCCAGTCATGCTAACTCTCAAATGCTAGATGCCTGAATTTCAACACGAACAAACAAGGATGTTGTCAATGTGGCTGAAAACAACATGTCATCACAACGAGCATCGATCAGATCTAGGCGGTAGGAATGTTAGTCATGAAGCTCACGCTGTGCGGGATATCATAGCATCGGCGTTGGAAGAATAGATGTTGTGGAGTTCCTGGTCAGGTTCGACTGTTGATAACACTCTGGGCGGCAATGCAATGCAATAATACGAATCTTTTCGTCCCCCCAACCCCCTTTCCATCTCGAGCGCCCTCCACCGCTCATCCATTCATTCTCCCGTTTTCTCGTTCTTAACACGAGCCAGTTCCGACGATTTGGCCTGACCTGGCCATGACCCTGTCCCTGTCCCTGTCCCTTCCCCAGACAGTGACTTGGGAACCGAAACAAGGGGGCCCAATCCCACATTCCCGCAAAAGACAAGAGATGAAGGAGAACAAACATCGAACTCGAATTCGTGCACGAACCAAAACGGCTACGACAGCGGCCTTACGGGTTTTCGTCCTGCTTTGGAACGTGCTGTACCTACTCGCTAGGGAGCCTTGTGGTCCAACGGCCACGGGTGGACATTTGTCCCTGCTTCGGGATACCCTTGCTGGGCTGAGTGGCCTCGATGTACTTGGTACGGAGTACCTACGGAATACAGTCTCGAGAGTTTACATCGGGGTTGCGAAAACTCTCGATGCAAGAACCGAGGGCGGCTTGCCCATACAGATGTAAATATATATAGATATATATCAGCAATCCAGGCAGAATATCTAGTGTACTTTGTGTTTATTGGAAACTACATAGTAATGCATGGAGACAGAAACGCCTGCATCCCTCCTCGGGAAAATAGTGCAAAGAAAGAATTGGACGTGGATCTCGTAAGAAGCGACCTGACTTGAAGGTGGCCATTGAACGGTCATACTCGATGCTTGAAACATGGGGCTTTTCGTATACCTCGACTGCACACACGCTGTTTATACCCCGCTGAAGTCTTCGTCTCCCTCTCTTGCCCCGTGCTGTCAGATCCTACGAGAATCGCGAGAAATAATCTCGACGGCTCGGTGGGTGACTGTATATAAGATGTCAGTAAAAGTCCTTGTGTAGGGGTAACATTTACTTTTGACTAGCAGTCTCCATTTGTGGAGTCGGCGATGAACTTCTGACATCTTTCTTGGCGGACTCCTGAGGTATGACCTGCTCATCCGGTTGTGGGTTGTCATCCACCGGAAAATGTCCCGGCATAGTAGGCCAAGGTGTTTTTCGGGGTGTTGTGGGAGGTGTTATATTCCCAAAATGAATTGCAAGCTCGGTTGTCCCGCCGTTACGAGCAGTCTCTTGAAGCCTGTTGCATTCCCGTTGCGTCTTTAAGAGCTCCTCACCAGATTCGTTCGGTGCCTTTTCAAGTTCACTGATTCTAGCCTTCAGCCTAGCATCGACGCCTTCAAGGGCCCTATTGTGACCCCTCAACTGAGCCCTGTCTTCTTCAAGGACCTCATTTTGATCCTTCGGCTGACCCTTGTTAGCTTCAAGGGCCTCACGTTGGCTCTTCAATCGAACCTTGTCTCCTTCAAGGGCTTCCTTCAGTTGAGCATTCTCGGTCTCAAGCTGCCCACATCGATGCAACAGCTGAGCATTGCCGTCTGTAAGGGCCTGGATTATTGTCTCCAGTTTGGTGTCAACTTCAAGTGTCTTTCCCTTTTCGGCGGCTAATGCTGGCCGCAATTTCTCAATTTCGGTCTGTAGACCAGCGTTCACCTTTTCCACCCCTTTGAGTTGTTCGCCACGTGCAAGCCACTCTGTTTGCAGCGTAGCATTGTGAGCCTGTAGATTTCCAATTTGTGCCCCTTGATCAGTATTCCGTTGGACGAGCTGTTGGAATATCGCGATGCCAGCGACCCGGTTGGGACAACTTTCGCAGCGATGATAATGACTGGATTTCCTTCTTCGTGAGGACATGATTCCAAGTGCAAAATGACTCGGATCGACGACGCAGAAGGGATTTGAGTGGATCCAGAATCCGCACTGGTCTATGTTAGTGGTCCATCATCACGTAGTGATCAGAGCCGTTTATGGATAGTGAAGATAGCAACAACCTTCTAAATGGAGTTGGTAAGGCTGAAGGCCAGCGGGTGCAGGTCGATTGCCGCTTCTGCAGAGATAATTCTGGGAGTCAGTTGAAGACATGTTGACTGCCTCGCTGCTTCCCATGTCTGGGCTGCGCCGCACGTGACTGTTCAGGTGCAACAAGTGGTGACCATTCTGTACTCGGTACTCAGTACATCGCTCCCTTGTGTAACCTGGGCAGATGAGAAGTTTCGCCTTGGGATAGGCATGGCCAGAGCGTGTGATGGCCGGGTATCGACTCCTCTAATGAGCGAGTGGACGACACTGTGAGTGGAGATACGATCCCCTGACGAAGCAAGTAGCTGATGATTGCATGGGCGTGTAGATTTTCTCAATGGCTTGTACAAGTAGTACTTCATGCATTCGCCCAATGATGACCCATGAAGTGGTGAACCTGCTCTTGTATGTGGAGTGCGAGAAGTGAGCTGTCGATTAGCTCTGGACACATGCAACGCTTAACCCTATGTGACCTAGCTCCAGATTAGAGTGGGCGAGAGTGTGGGGTTGTGCGGCGCTTTTGAATTGTTTTCGAGTGTCGAGGTGTATATATACATCAATACACGCTGTCTGTTCTGTCTGTTTATCTTCAATTTTTATGGATCCTGGATTTGCGCCGTAGGCAGCGCCCGAGCTGCACTGCCCAGTTTTATTCCAACCTAGAACTTCCAGACTTCTCCTGATGGCGCCAGGGTGGTAGAGTGATGCCCTCATCGCTCCTTGTCGAGAGTTAGGTGAATACAGAGTGAAGCTCTATCACCTTGGAGACCCGACATCGGAAATCAACCATTTTGGTATTCTGGCAATTCGCCGTCGCCTTGGGAAGAATGGCCGCGTTCTCTGCAGCCTAGCATCGTTACTATCCTCCGAAAAGGAGATCTAATCCAGCTGTGGATCTGTTTCTCTCCGTAGCTAAGTATACTCGCTGTATATAGGATGAGGCGTGCTGTTCAGCGTGCTAGGAAATCACCTCATGGGTAAGAAGGATCTAAAGAGCGTTACATTTGCTGGCGATTCGCAGAGTATTTCCCAGTGTCCTATTCAATAACCTTTAACAAAAGGAAAGGTATCATGATTAATGATAGGAGAACTTACCCACTTAGGAAACGGAGTGAATTTGTAGCGCTCCCCATTGAGAATGAAGGTGCCTTGAAACTTGCAGAGCTCAAAAACGGCGCCTGGCGCCTTAACTATTATTACTTGGGTCGTTTGAAACCAGGTTAGGTGATCCATAATCCGCCTGATGTCGTCGATTTCAACAGACAATCTTCGTAGAAGGATGAGTATTTCGAGCCAAGAAGTGAGAAATGCCTTGTCGCGGTTGTGCGTACACTTGTAGCCATACTTGTCCAGTACCGAACGCACGCTCGTGTCCACCATTTGCCGGATGTGGTCTTTAAACTCCCTGATGTCCGGGGTTGCTTCAAACTCCACAATGGACGTAAGGGTGAACTCGGCAATTTCAAATAAAATCCACAGGCGTGCTTCAAAGGGCGGGTAAAACCAAATAAATGCACAATTCCGAACGATTCCCGGCATTGTTCCCAGCGATCGTAGAAAATATGTCTCTTCTGCCTGGGTGCGCGGACTCTGGGGTATGCATGTCCAGTCTACCCAGATGTACGACCAATGCTGTGGCCGAAGCTCTGCTTGAAGAAGGCGTAGACATTCGCCGTCGGGATCAGGGTGATCTTGCGTGAGCCAAAAATGGCTCATAAAAAAGCATTCACTCCGGCTGACGAAGCCATTTTGGGCAGGCAGAAGAATGTAGTCGTCCAGATTGTCACGGCTCCATTTCGTCATTGTTTTCTGTGATAGAAAGGTCTTCCGTTGCTGGAAGAACCAGAACATCAGCTCCTTCGGTGCTTTAGCTAAGAAATCATCCAGACAAGTATAGCTTCGCAAGATTTCTGTGATCCAATCCAGGCTGTCAATAGCTTGCGCATCAAACGCGAGCTCCGACAACGACGCTAAGCTGCGAGTTGCGAGCGAATCCCACGTATCTGGAGGCGGAGGAGGGGGAGATGAGACTTCAGAAGCTGCTTCGTTGGACCTGACGAGGTCCCAATTGGATCTTTGTTCGGCATTGACCGGGCTCGAAAGATGTAGTTGGCCACTGTTTTCTGACGCCTGACTCTGGTCATTTCCCTCACTATCCAGTAGTCCTGCAATCTGGTCCTCGCGAGACACCAAAGGCAGAGCTACGCTTGGCTCGCGACCTGATTCCAGACATGAGTCCCGGATAGTGAGTTTCTGCAACGCGTCCGAGGTATCAGAGGGCTGAGGCTGTGGCATTGCCATCCGCCTGCCACAAGTGGGATTGCCTGGGGATTCAAGGTGAGTTGCAAACGCAAGTGGCCTGCCAACAAAGAAGACGGGAATAAACTCTAGTCCTTATCGATTCTTGACGCTAAAGCTAGGATCGCAGAAAGAATAATCACTTTGAAGTAAATCGTTGCCACTTTTCACACGCCCTGCCACGGCTTTCGAAAGGAAACGATGGTTGTCACCCTTTGATTGTACTGAGGACCGTTGCATGTGAAATGAGCATGTCCTTGGTCGATACACATGAAACGCTTTACCTGTGCGACCTAGCTCTTTGTTGCGGTAGGCACCAGTGCGGGCCTAAGTTATTTTTGAGACCATGTCCATCAGCCTCGACTAAAGAAGTGGAGTATATGTACCAAAGTTTCGGGCATCTCTCAGGGCGCAGGAGCCGAGCTGAGAGCAGCTTCACTTCTCGAACGGCTACGTGCGGAGTAGTGATGATCTAAAGTGATGAATGATGATGCTCAGATGCTATCTAGTACCTAGTACTTAGCTACATATCTGAGGAACGATTGGGATATTTACACGTAGGTGCCAAGCAGTGCCATGTCAAATACCGCAGTTGGAGAACACCACTACACAGCTAGTCTGTCCTGTCCTGTGCGGAGCACGTATGTAGAACGTGGCGCGGCCCGGTTGATGGAAGGATGGAAGGAAGGAAGCCAATTCTTTCTACTCCCTCCATAGATAGACCAGGCCTCCAGGCTGGCCAACTGAGAAGAGCCAGGCCAAAGAATCAGGCCATGCGCGCCATCCCCCCGTATTAACTAAGGTTGTCAAGCGGCTGGGTAAGGGCTAAGTCCTGAGGTAAGCTGATATAACTCCGTCCTGATCCTTGTGCTCCGTATATACGCCGCGCCGCGGAGGATAGGGGAGGACGAGTTAAAACTCTGAGGGGGTACGGTGCGTCAAAAGGAGAACACCTCCCACGTAGATAGGTCTTCATTAGGGGGGAAGGGAAGCGGGGTCGATTCGTGCATTTATGAACACGAAAGACTTCGTATCTATATATCCTCGCCCTTCGCCGGGGAGTCTGTAAGGTCTCTGTCCCTGTTCCACCGTCATCGCCTCATCATCACCACCATCACCATCACCATCGTCGACAGTATCGTGACGAACAAAAGAGCGCAGACATGGCCTCGTCTTCATACGACTATATAATTGTCGGAGGCGGCCTTGCCGGGCTCGTCCTGGCATCTCGTCTCTCCAAACTCCTCCCGCCGTCTGACACCAAGCAGGTGCTCGTTCTCGAAGCGGGCACAGACCCTTCTACAACCGACTACATCCTCACAAGCCAAGGCGCGCATCAAGCCTGGACATCTCCACACTCGTATCAGCTCCCGATCTCGCCCAATCGGCACCTCAATGGACGTAGCACGACTGTGCCGGTCGGCAAAGCATTAGGTGGGAGTGCGGCGATCAACGGTGGTGCGTGGACCAGGGGACCGAAAAGCGACTACGACCTGTGGGCCAAGTTGGTGGGCGACGAGAGCTGGGGATATGATGCATTGGTGCCCTATCTGAGGAGGGTCGAAAGTATGGCTTTGGTGGAGGGGATGGAAAAGGATGAGACCCAGCATGGATACGACGGCCCCTTGAAAGTCACACCAATTCGATCGCAGTGGCCAGCGAGGAAGTATCCACTCAGGGAGTCCGTGCAGAAGATGTGGGAGGAAGTCGGAGTCAAGTACATCCCTGACGGGAATGCGGGGGATCAGAATGGACTGGTCGAATTCGTCGAGGCCTGGGTCAAGAGCGCCAGACAGCTGCCGAACAAGATCCTGGATTTGGCAAAGGTGGATATTCGGACTGGGAGTACGGTGCAGCGCGTCACTTTCGCCAAAGTCGAAGGACAAGGACAGGACCAGCCCGCTGCCAACGGTGTCGACCTTGTCGGCGGTGAACATGTCGTGGCGAACAAGGAGGTAATTGTCTGTACTGGGACGTATCATACCCCCCAAGTCCTCATGCTCTCTGGAATAGGCGACCCTGCTGAATTGACAAAACACGGTATCGAAACTATCGCTGCCAACCCCGAGGTGGGAAAAAGCCTCAAAGATCACTTCGCACTGGGGATGGCCTGGAAACTGAAACATCCAGAAAAAGGTCTGGCCATCGGATCGCCGCTGTTCACCGACCCTTCCTATTTCTCCGGCTGGCCGATGGATTTTATCGAGTTCGGGCCTTTGGAGGAACTGTCAAAGCTGGAGCCTCTGGTCAAGAGTCAGGAAGACAGAGATTTGGTGCTCCGGCCGGACGCTTCGCATATGGAGATTGTGACCCTGTACGCGGGCATGGGCAAGGGGTTCACGGGCATTGACACTCCAATGGACGGGAGCTACATTACCACCATCGCTTGCTATCTGACGCCCACATCCAAGGGATCCGTCACCCTGCAATCGGCTAGCATCGAGGATCCCCCGGTCATTGATGTGAATTTCTTTGATACCGAAGCCGACAAGGTTGGTTTCCGACAGGCACTTCGGAAAGCAGCATCCGTCCATCTTGAAACCGAGGCCGGGAGATCCTTTGTCTCGCATGAAGTTCCCCCAGAGGGATACGCGTGTATCACCAAGGACACGACGGACGAGGAGCTTGATAAGCGCATTGCCGACCTTGGATATACCTTCCATCATCCGATGGGCAGTTGTGCAATGGGAAAAGTTGTGGACAGTCATTGTCGCGTGATAGGTATCAGGTGCTTGAGGATAGTCGATGCCAGTGTCTTCCCGGTCCCCATGGCATGTCATCCTCAGGCGGTGGTCTATGCGACGGCCGAGAGGGCCGCGGAGTGGATTGGTCGCGGGGACTAATAGATCTTTCTTGAACGATGTACTTGTAGGGAAGGAAGCCACGTATTACACGCGGCTTGTCATTCCAATAAGTCCTCGCTTCACTGATGGCTTCACGCCCAGACAGTTAACTCATTGTGCCTCCAGAGAAGCTCAGACTGCTCTAACTGTCGACTCTGATGTTGGTCTCCCCGGGGTTAGCTCCGACCCAGGACGGCCTGCTGTTCCTTGCGCCGGTAACTGTGCCCCCGGACGTGGAGAAATTCTCGATGGCGGATCCGTCGACGGTCCTGGCGTAGGATTCGGGTTATAAGGGGTCGAGCCTCGGACCCACAGGTCTGGGTAATTAACTTCGGCATCGGTTCTGGCTTGGTTGTACGCGTCCCTGATTTGTTCCATGACCGCATACACGTCGTCACGGCGATTCGGATTGCGGAAGTTCGCTTCTGCATCGTCGAGTTGGTCCACGATCTTCGCGAGGTCGTTGCGGAATTGTCGGGCGCGATTCGGCTGGTTGCGACTCTTGAAATAAGTAATGAGGCCCGCAATGACGGTGTTGGTGGCGCCAAGGAAGATGGTTGCGGTCCGAGCCCTTCTGTCGTTGAAGGCGCCCAGCACAGTGAGGGAAGCCGCAATGAGGATCTGGAAGAAAAGGAGCGAGTTGGAAAGCACTGCAACGAACCAATACTGGTAGGTGTGCCAACGGTATGCGTCTGTCACACGTTTTCGCAAGGTCGTATAAGCTTGGCCATCTAGACGTACTCAGTCAGAACAGCTTCAATGGGGTATGGACCTTGTGTCCTGAGATTTTAAATACCTGTACCGGCAAGCTCCCCAAAGAATGTAGGGGTGATCGGGTGCTGAGGAGACAGATTGCTCGATGGTTGCGTCGTTACATTGTGATCTCCAGCTGGAGGTGTATGAGTCGCTGCTTGTGGCTGTACATGGCTGGACTCTCCTTTCTCATCTATTGTCACAGCGGTCTTTGGGTCCATGGTGAACAGCTGCGCGAACGCTGGCACGCAAGGCGAGTGCGAGTTGAGATGCGGAACTTTGACATTTCCATGTCGGACAAGACGGGCTGTTCATTTTAGTGAATTCAAGGAGTGGCGGGAAATCAAGCCCAAATTGGCTGCTGAAGTGTCAGGGCCGAAGCGATGGCTCTAGCTGCCCAATCAAGGTGTATTGTAGAAATGACCAGCCTTCTGTGGTGTCTCGTTTGTGATGATTGTTGATGAAATATCGAAATGGGGAAGGCTGGCAAGACTCTTGGCGCCACTGGGCGACCCTGGGGATCCCTGGGTGCTGCCCGGGGCATCACTGGGTCATCACTGGGTGCCCACTAGCGGGTGACAGGGGGGCTTTTGAAGGATTGCCAACCCAAAAACTTCTGCGGGGCGTCGGTTTTTGATTGCGTTCCGGGGCACCGCCGCTAGTGCACGTGCGATAGCTCTCGTTCGTTAAATCCCTTAGGCGCGAGCTGCACCAACTCGTTAGGCGGAAAATCTCCGAGTCCCCCTATGACGGTCTACCGTGTGTACCCAGTACTGGGTACCGAGTACTGGGTACCGAGTACTCCGATAGACAACACGATACGACCCCCCGTCAGAACAATTGTCCTTCTGCTCGCCGTACCATATCAAAACCGTGAAGCATCCTTCCGAGTCGTCACCCTAATCCGCCTAATGACACTCTTGCAGGACGTATTCGTAGCAAAAGCCTCAGCCGAAGCCCGAAAGAAAATCATCATGGCTCGATCGAGACGAGTGAGAACGTACCTACGTAGGTAGGTTTATAAGGTGAACATAAGGAGGGCGCCTGGCGGGCCTTGTTTTTGGAGCAGGGAGTACAGAGGACTTGCCCTCGCATTGTTAGTGTGTGTCTCTTGCAATCGACAACTCGTACTTGATAGAGTCCTTCAGAGCAGAACCGTTCACCATGAGCACCACAACCGCATCGGAAAACATAGCCCTCGTGCGCCGCATGGTCACCGAGGTCCAACAGAACGGCCACTTCGACCTCATTGACGACTTCATCCACCCGAACTGGGTCGACCACCCCCAAATGCCTGGCCACCCTGGAGATCGCGAAGGCGTATACATCATTATGCGCAATCTTCACAAAGCCCTGTTAGATATAAAAGTGGAAATCATTCACAGTGTCTGTACCGGCGACGTCGTGGCCACCAACAAAATCATCCGCGGAAAGCAGGTCGGCGAGTTGTTTGGCCAGCCAGCATCGAACCAGGCGATCGAGTTTCGGGTCATGGACTTTATGCGTGTGCAGGATGGGAAGTTGATCGAGCATTGGGCTTGCCTTGGTCGGATAAACCCCGTATCAGAGGGAGCTTGAGTCTCAGCCTGGATTAGGCGATGCCGTACCGTTGCTGGCTCTGTTCAAGGCTTTATCAGGACATTCGAGTGTACAATCCCATCAGCAGATGCGGAGGGACAACAGGGACAATGAGACAACGAGAGAACAGAACAACATGATCAATGATTATGGGGTTCTTCCGAAATCCCCTTTCCAGGCCCGCAGAGTCCCTTGACCCCTGTGTCATTTTCCTCCATGCTATCCTTGGTTCATGCAATCGGCCGTTTGCCTTAAGTTAGGCCAGACAACACATCTTCGAAGCCTACTAGAACCATCGTAATGAGCCTAGAAAGGCCACTTGACCTGCCCTGCGAATTCCTTCCAAGATGCCTTCTTCGAGCCCGGTAGCAAGAACTTGTCGCTCTCAGCCTGATTCTTCTCAGCTCCTTTGCCGTAGTAGCTCCAGTCTCGGATCAGCATCATATTTTGTGCTATCTCCTCCGCGATCTTGTTGCCAAGTTTTGCAGCGGACTCGACACTGGCGGGTTGCTCGACGAATTTGATTTCTTTGCCCTTGATCTTTGATAGCGTGTCGACAATTTCCTGGGGGTGCATCCACTCGTCGACGCCTTGGACGTAAACTCCATTGGCTGCCGACCCGGCTTCGAGAAGGCCCACCGTGAACAAACCCGTGTCATTCTGAATATCAATCAAAGGTATCCAGGTATTCTGGGGATTCCATGGGAGACTGAGCGTGATCGCACCGGTCTGTTCGTCCGGCTTGATTTGTGTTTTGAGGTTGGACATGAAGTATCCCGGCATGTAGTACGAAACGATCATATCGCCTTTGACCTGCTCTGCATACTCGGCCACTTCGGCCTTGGATTCAAAATGCTCGACCTTGGTCAGTTCGCCGTGGGTCAGCTTGGTCACATGTGGCAAGGTCGACCAGACCAAGTGCTGGACACCTGCTGCCTTGCACGCATCAACAATGTTCTTGCCCTGCCTAATCTCGGCCTCTTTGGATGCCGTCTCCCAATAGTTTGTGACAGCGAAAACGCCATATGAGCCCGCGACGGCAGCTTTCACGCTTTCGATATCGTTGATGTCGGCTTTGGCTAGCTCAGCCCCTTTCGAGGCAAGCGCTTGCGCTGCTGGCTTGGATGTGTCGCGAGTGATGGCACGGACTTTGTACTTGGAGGCCAAACTGGGGTTGTTGAAGATGGCTGAGGCTGTGCTGCCACCCTGGTTGCCCGTAGCTCCAAAGACAGTGATGATTTTCTGGGCCATCTTGACGATGTTTCCGAAAGCCACTTTGGGGTCGACGAGCTTGAGTGTGACGTTTTTGATCCGCCGAGAGAAATACACTTTTGAGCGAACCTGAAATGGGTTGAGGTGACGTCTGCGATCTTTGGGACAAAAAGAGTCAGTCTTGCCTGAAGCTTTGAAGCTCCTCTTTATATAGGTAAAGCCATCGAAAGATTTTCACGCAAAGTTCTGTTCTTTTAATGGTCCCATTGGCTTCAAGCGCTGTGTTACATTAGGTAAGTACGTCTTTGCCGTTTCCAGGCGTCAAGGAGGGTCAGAGGAGTGAGGGTTAGTCATGTACTCGGGTTCGGCCTTCGCTGGCGATTAGGATCAAGAGGATTAGCTGGACCGGAAGATCTGGTCGGGAACCGAGACCGCGAGCAAACTCGAATCTTAAGACGCGCATGTGGTGCATGTGGTGCATGTGGTGCATGTGCTCAAGTGCTTAGGTCATGTACGGGGTGAGGTTAGGTGGTTAGGGAGGAGGGGGAGCTGACCAATTCCTGAGGCATGTTGGTCATTGTCGGCATCTAACTTCTCGCTAAGCCGAAGCAACAACTCAGCATCTTGGCTGATGACGCAAACTCTGGTTTCCTGTCCTTTCGGCTTCAGCATCTGTCACTGTGACAGACCGGCTCTTGTCTTGCTTTCAATTTCATCGACCAGTACACCCTCAATCCGATCCCGAACCCAGCTGATCGCTCTCACACGTCGTGGCACCAGGGGTTATCGATTATCAAGGAATGTTCTTTGATATCTTTCGTGACACTGCACATGTTTGACACACGAAGTTAAGAAAGTCGGCATTATTTCCAGCTTGTCCGTGACCATCTGTTTGTGCTCGAGAAAATTGTATGCAGGACTGTCACTCAGCGCCCAAGACAAAATCCGTTGCTTGCTGCTTCTTCGTGCTCGGCAGCGTCAAGGTACTCCGTATGGTACCTCGTACCTTGTTTAGAGTTACCTGTGTCTACGGTAGCGTCCAGTCGAGTCACCTCCAACAGAACTCCACAGATAGGAACAAGACGCATCTCTTGAGCTTACAAATTCCATTCAAGGGCAGACGGCCACGAAATTCTGACTTGGCGACACACCATGGGCTGAGATAGGCAATGACTAGAGACGACAAACAAATGCATGCCACATGGATTGCGACTCCTCCGTGAAAGATCCCAAAGGATCAAAGCCAGCCAGCTATGCCAAGCATCTAGGATGAGTTTCCTCGCACCTTGACGTTGCCGCTGCTACCTTGAGTGGCTACGCTCACAAACACAGATTGCTTGTGGTGTGAGCAGGTCTTTCCATAGCTTCCAAACTTCATCCGTAACTGAGGATAAACATATTCGAATGGTTCAAGCGAAGGCAAAACTACACCACCTACAACGGGGTTTATACAGAACTCGAAACTGGACAGCTTCCCCCCGCTTCAAGTCCGACCTTGTTACATGATGCGGCAACGACGCGCTTCCCGGTTAATACTCCTCTAGACGTTTATTTCACTGGCGCGAGTATCAACCTAGCGCGAGCCTTTGGCCCTGCCGTTATCAACATCTCGTTTCTAGGATACCACTGGATCTACTAGGTTGGGCCTCTTTTAGGATCATTGGTTGCTGCCACATTCTGTCACCTGCTGGAATTCTTTGACCGGAAGACGGCTAATCTGGGTCAAGACTACGATAATCTCGAAGCTTAGACGCTCGATCCAAAGAAACATACCGAGTACTCCTCGGTCGAAAATATATGATCACCTGCCACAGGGTCCAGGCGTGGAGGGTGAGAAAGAGCAAATGGAGGAGCTTGGATCCCCACACGCAAAGTAAATCCAACACAGAAATCGAAGTGCACACTACAGACACTTTGTAAAGAGCACAAACAAGGATTGAATTGAGATATGAAGCTGCAAAACCTTCTCATAGATGTATCTTCAGAACTAATGTTGCTTGAGGTTCGGCGAGGGACTGGTGGTTCCGATGGCCTCCGATTCGTAGAAGGATTGCTTCCATTCCCCACCCTGCCCGCTGCCGTAGCAACAATCCGTCTTTCCGAAACGGGCTGCCTACAACAGCGCCAAGACATGAGCGGTAATCTCAAAGTCATTTTGTATCACTGATAATAAACTTCTCCGGCTGCAAAGCTGGCCTGGAAAATAAACCCCAAACCCTTCACACTGCTCCTTGTTCTGCATCATGGATAACGCGGTCAAGATGCCATCCCAAACCTCGCTGTTCCAGGTCTATCTGCGACTTCGCCCGCCATTCCAAGTTCCGCAGTTAAAGCAAAAGCCTGAACCATGGCTCATCGTGGAACCGCCGAACTCGCCAGCTGAGCACGATGAAAATCCTGGCAATAACTTCTCTAGCCATATCACGCTACAACCTCCCAACGACTCGAGAAAGCGAGCAATCGAGAGATTCGGGTTTACGAAGGTTTTTCAAGAAGAGGCCACGCAATTAGACATATTCGATGAGACGGGCGTAGCGGACACAATCAAGAGCGTGCTGCAGACCGGAAGAGATGGACTTGTGGCTACACTGGGAGTTACAGGCAGTGGGAAGGTAAAAGACCTTGACCCGAGAACACCTCGGGGTAACCCACTGACGAGGAGGTAGAGCCACACAATCCTAGGATCCAAGTCTCAACGAGGCCTCACACAGATGACTCTCGATGTCCTTTTTAGATCAATCGGCGAACATATACGTCGACCGCACCACCCAGATCTGCCCACAGACACCAACCTCCTCTCCACTCTTCAAGCATCTGATCCTACAGAAGCCCAGATCTGGTCCGCAACTACGTTTCTCGAGTCGATTTATGCCGATGGCGACCGAGCCAGATTATCCCGAGCTCAGACCCCCATGTCACGAGCTCAAACCCCCATGATGGTAGGCATTGACAAGAATGAGCTTCCCGGCTCATTTCCCGCACCTCCCCGAACACGCACAAACACAAGCACCGTTGCAAATTCATCGCCGTTGGCATTTCTCTCAGACCACTTTACAAAAAGTGCTATGTCAACCACCCAAATGCTGCTGAGTACCCCTACGGCGTTTTCTTCGCCCAAGAAGTACCCCTGGCGGCCCCCGTCCAAAGTCGCATTTCTATGTCATTTGAAAAGCTTGAAGAAGTCCCCTGCTAAACCTTTGGTCGTTAAGGAATCTATCGGCCACTCAGTTCGAAGACCCCCTCTGCCCCAGCCGTCCACGTTCCCACAGCGTCCTGACATAGCAGGCTTTGCGGTGGACATCGACCGGCAAGCCGAATACGTCGTCCTCGTATCCATGTACGAAGTATACAACGATCGTATTTTCGACCTCCTCTCAAATCCTACATCACCCAATGCTCCACCCACATCGACGCGGCAGGGAGCAGCTCTGCAGAAAGGCTTGCTGCGGCGTCCATTACTGTTCAAGAACACTGAAATGTCTCCCGACATGAAGGTCGTTGCTGGCCTCCGGAAAGTTGTATGTGGAAGCTATGATGAAGCAATGATGGTTCTAGAAACGGGCCTCACTGAGAGAAGAGTGGCAGGAACTGGCAGCAATAGTGTCAGCTCTAGAAGCCATGGCTTCTTTTGCATCGAAGTGAAGAGGCGAATGAGGTCAAATCATAATGGCGGGTATTTGATGGCGTATCAGTCCCCCTGGACTGGTGGAACCATGACCATCTGTGATTTGGCCGGCTCTGAACGTGCTCGCAATGCCAAAACTACCGGATCGACGCTGGCCGAAGCAGGAAAGATCAACGAAAGCTTGATGTACCTTGGGCAGTGTCTGCAAGTCATCAACGACTGCCAACAAGAGGGCAGTAAACCCATCGTTCCGTTTCGACAGTGTAAGCTCACCGAGCTTCTATTTTCAAATTCCTTTCCATCGTCAAACCAGGTTGCCACATGCAGACCGCCGCAAAAGGGCGTGATGATTGTCACCGCTGATCCTTTGGGGGATTTCAATGCCACGAGTCAAATTCTGAGGTATGCAGCTATGGCTCGGGAGGTCACTGTTCCCAGGGTCCCCAGTGTGACCAGCACGATCTTGGGCGGTGGAATTCAAGGCAAAGCGGCACAGACTGGCAGGTCCACTCCGCACGATGTTGCAAGCCCTTATTTCATCACGAAGGAACTGGAGCAGGCAACTCATGAGGCGGCAAGACTGGCCGAAGAATGCGATTTCTTGGCCGTCAAACTTGCAGAGGAAGAAATCAAGCGCACCGAGGCAGAACTGAAGCTGCAGGCAGCGGAAGAGAAACTCGCGGTCATGGAGCAAGAAGTACGCGAGGAATGCTGGACAGAGATGGAGGAACGATTGGACGAAGAGCGAGAAAGATGGAGAGCCGCATGGGAGCAAGAGAGATTGAGAGGAGAGGCGTACGTGGACGGGAAGCTGGAGATTCTCGAGAAAACAGCAAAGATCACGATCCACGAAGATGCTCCCAGTGGGAGGATCGAAGAGCTCGAGAGAGAAAATGAGAGTCTTCGGACCAAGTTGCGAGCTCTGCAGCAGGAGATGCAAACAAGAAGCCCAACCAAGAAGTCTCGAGGAACAGCAGCGTCCAAGTCTCCTGTCAGGGGATTGGTTCTGCAAGAGTCATCCAACGTCAACATTGCGACCAACCCGTTTCTTGCTTCACTGAGGGCGTCGGCCAAAGACAGAAATAGTGAGGCAACGATCAAGGCCAGAACGAGCGAGGACAGGCTGGATGTATGTGATGTTTCGCCCCGGAAGCTGTCGTTGAGGAGCTCAAGTGCAACCAGGGTCTCAATGCTGGAAGACTCACAGTCTGCTGTTCCAGCGGCGAAGAAGCAACGCAAATTGACGACGCGCAAGTGGGATCTAGGCGACCTGGATGACATTTGAACTAGTTGTTTTGGGGAGTTTACTCTGTACTCTGTACTCCGTTCATGTTCATAGGCGAGTTATGGGATAGATGACGATGACATCGCGTTGTGTTGCTCCATGTCGGAGCCATGTGACTGACAATGGTCCTGGTCCTGGACTGTCAACTGAGGCATTCCGCAACCATTGAAGCCTGTGGGGGAACACCACCGGCGGCCCGCGTATGTCAAATACACAGAGAGTGTCAGCAATTCCATGTGGTACGGAGTACGGAGTAGGTTGGGCTTATTTCGCTAATAATAAAACTGCACCATTGTGAAGGGCGAGTGAGATGAAAGTGTGAGATGAGAAGTGCGATGGTCAAACACCAACCACCCGCATTATAGCACGGAGCGAGCCTTTGGTATGATGTAAGTAGCAGTTTGGGCGAGTGCCGGGGCATGGCACTAGCCTAGGGGCCGCAGCGGGGCTAGTGGGCGCAATTGCAAGGCCAAACAGACGTGGCTGGGATCTCAATCTTGAGACGGAAAGTTAGAAAGAGAAGTGCACACCACACACCACATTTCACACCACTGCTACACCAACCTCTACCTACGTTGCTTCTCTCTCTCCTGTTTTCTTCTATCCAAGCAATTTTCCGTACCTTTCTCCTTGCTTTGGCTGCTCTTCTTTCAACCGTCGCTCGTTCTGTTCCAGACTCAGCTATTCTTTCGACTCCGACTCCGATTCCATCCTTCACACCGCACGTATCCCGCGAGTCGCTATTGGTGCCCGCAACTAGCTGAAATTCCACCTCTCAGCCTGCCTCTCAGACGCTCGTGAACGTTGGGCAGCACGCAGACAGGCAAGAGGAAGAAAATATATAACCAGAAGCAAAGCCGCAAAAAAAAGGACAGGGTATCGTGGTTCCATTGAGACATATCTCTATTCACCCTCGATCCTCCCTCGGGGAGAGTCCGAGCTCAATCAATGGCGCCGACGTCCTACATCCGCAGCGTCAGCGCCTCGAGCGAACACTTACGGACCCTCGTTTCTCGCTCCGTGTCCTCGACCTTCGACACAGTCTCCTCGAAGCACTCCCTTACGACTTCCCGAACTTCCCTCGCATCTTTCTTCGCACTCATCATCAGAGAGGCGCTACAATTCTCACGACGCACGCTCCTTGCCTCGTCTGCCCCTTCAAATGCCATCCGCCGGGAACCCGTGCAGCCCGTCTTCCTTCAACCGTCAACGCATCTCGATAAACGGCAAAATGCCATCCTCGCAATCCCGACCACCTACGCTGGTCTGAACTCCGGTCCTGCTCCCGGTGCCTTAGTCGGTATTGTGCTCGGCTCCGTTGGTGGCTTCATCCTTATATTATACATCATTCTCTCGGCATTCCGCCTCTCAGGCTGGGGAGGCGGCCGAGAAGTCGTGCAAGAAGAAATCATCCGGCATCATCGAAGAAGACCTTCCCGCAGCAGTCCGAGCAGCAGAAGCCACAGCCAGCCAATGAGCCACGTCAGCAGTCCCCGATCGGAAAGGATAGTAGTGGAGGAAGATATTGTGGAAGTGGAAGAACACCACGGTCCACCTAGCGTCGAGGAAGACTATGTCGAAGTCATTGAAGAGCACTCACCAGAACGGTCGCCGCCGCCAAGGAAAACCAGTCGCAGAAGTGGCTTTAGGACGGTGGATCCGGCGGAATTTGGGGGAGGAGGAAGGCCGATGAGGAAGGTTTCGAGGCGGTAATGGAAAATGGTGAAAAAAAAAATTATGCTATCTGTTGCGATATCATCATGGTCATTTGCTGTCTGATCCAATGAAGCGATGGAGTTGGTTGGTTGAGGCGGGAATGTTGCTGCTATGGGATAGTAATCTGCATCTAGGGAGCATCACGGCCGAGCGATAAAGTGGATTTGCTAGAGAACAAGATGTTTGAAGCGTGTGAACTACCTCCTACGATTTTTGGTGCCCGTGTTCTTTCGAAACTGTCCATCTGCATTGACGTCCTACGATGCTTTATCTCGTCCGGTCGTGGCCAACTACGGAGCGAGTATATTACCCGCCCTCGATGTGCCGATCTGCTCTCTCCTTTTGTCCTCTTCCAAGGCACATTGACGTCTGATCTTCACAGTGCGGAGTGCGGAGTGCGGTGTATATTATTACCTACTGTAAAAAGTGCCAGTAGTGGCGAGCTAGGTAGTGTGCGTATCGTGGAAGTACCGAGTATGATCAGTCCCCCTATCACCCCTTTTCCACGGAGGACGGAGGACGGAGGACATACCGTCCCCCCCCCCCCCCCCCAATTCAATCCCAGCGCTTCTTGTGCTTCACGCGCAGCAGCGTCTCGGCGTTCCCGTGGGCGATCATCTCCAATTGCTGGGCTGTCACGAGGCCGCTGCGCTCCAGATCCTGCATGAACGCCAGGCCTGCCTCGTTGGTGGCGAAGGGGTAGTCGACGCTGTACAGGACGTGGTCGAGCTTGGTGTTGCGCAGGATGCAGGCCATGGGGTTGACGCTCCAGTCGCCACTGGTGGTGATCCAGATGTTGTTGTCCCAGACGGTCTTGAAATCGCGGTCCCTCGGCCCCCAGCGCGGCGAGAGCTGGATGATGCGCTCGAGCATGAAGGGCAGCATTTCGCCCATGTGGCCGATGATGATTTTCAACTTGGGGAGTCGGTCGAAGAGGCCGGAGGCGAAGAGGCGCAGGATGTGCACCGCCACGTCCGAGTGCCAGCCGAACGCGGACGAGGAGAGCGAGATGGATGCTGCGCCGGGAATGTTGGCACCTGTGTACAGCAGCGACATCATGTCGTCGGTCGGCCATATCGGGTGAAGGTAGATGGGCACGTCGAGGTCCTGGGCGGCCTGGAACATGGGCAGATAAGCGGACTCGTCGTAGTAGGTGCCGTCGGCTGCGTGGTTGTTGATCAGGGCGCCGACGAAGTCGAGCTCCTTGACGCAGCGGGTCAGTTCGGCTGCGCATTCGGCAGGGTGCGAGACCGGGAGGACGGCAAAGCCGGCGAAGCGGTCGGGATTGTTCTTCACTGCCTGAGCGAGCTGGTCGTTGGCAGATTTGCATTGGGATGGCGACATGGCGGCCGGGGCGTGAGAGACAATTTGCAACGAGACCTTGCCGGCGTCCATGGACTGGAGACGGAGGTCGCTGACATCGGCGAGTTTGTCGATCAGGCCGGGGATGTGCTTGAGCTGTTCTGAATATGAATCCGTAGACTCCGTGAGAATGGCTTGGGAGAAGAAATGCTCTTCCAGAGCGATGAGTGGAGGGACCATGGTGGATGTCTATACTGAGGAGCAGGTCGCTACTACGCAGAGGATGTATCAAACCGGGGGGCAAGCCACAGCTATATATCTCAAGTGAGGCCTCGAAGGAGGATGATCTCAATGGTTTTATATGCCGGACAATGACCATGTCGGGGTGGCCCTGAAGCGGCAGACCGATGGAGTCAGACGCGGGCAACGAGCAACGGGCAACGCGGGGTCTGGAGGCGAAAGGCGAAAGGCGAGAGGCGAGTGAAGCTGCCCAAACGAGTAGCTGGCAAGCTGGGCCTTGTTTTCCATCACTCCCTCTTCTCACTCACCTGGACTCTGCTGGAACCCAATCACGGATCAAAGCAGTTGGGGAACATTATGCACGTCAAGGGGTAATTTGTTTGGACTGATGAAGGCGGCGGATGGCCGTGAAGAGACGAAGAGATGAAGAGATGAAAAGATGGCCAGCCACGTCGGAACTTAATAACGAGTGCCGTGGCGGATGAATCCAAGTCCGATGGCAGGCAGCTGGTAACCAGCGAGCCAGTTCTTCTCACCTACCAGTAGATGTCTGATCTCTGCCCATAGCTCATCGGCCTCACCAGCCTCACCAGCCTCACCGGCCTCAGGATGGTCTCGGTCAAACAGCTCCCCTCGCTTCTTCCTGACGAGCCAAAGGGCCATCACATCGGCACCCCGCCCAAAGCCTTCCAAAACCCGTGGCCCTCGTTCAACCCAGGCCACCACAGTCTGGGGAGCATCATCAAGGTTCGCTTTGGCAAAGACAGACCACCCTTTGTGCCGATTCCCAGTGACCGCTCCGAGTTGGTGCCCGTCCAGAAAGTCGACTTTTCCACTTCGCACCCAGGCCCAAAAGTGACCTGGATCGGCCATGCCAGTTTCTTGCTGCAAACCTGCAGGGAGGAACCCGCTGCTCGAGGTATCAACATTCTCTGTGACCCTGTCTTCTCGGAAAGGACCTCTCCATTCACGTGGCTTGGTCCCAAAAGATACACACCCACCCCGTGTAGTCTGGAGGAGCTGCTTGATGCTGTCGAGGTGGACCTGGTCATCATAAGCCATAACCACTATGATCACGCCGATGCAGAAACCCTAAAGGCGATCTGGGCCAGAAGAAGATCAAACGTCCATTTTCTTGTCGGGCTGCACAATTCTCGCTGGCTGACTGCAGCGGGCATCGATCGTTCATCCATTACCGAGCTGGACTGGTGGGAAGGCGTCGAGATCGATGTCGAAAGTGTCGGGAAGGCCCAGATCACATGTACGCCCACACAGCACTTTTCCCGGCGAAGTATCTGGGATTCAAACCACGACCTGTGGTGTTCGTACGCTATCCGGGATCTGCAAGGGTCTGGCAAGAGAATCTACTTTGCGGGAGATACCGCCTATCGGTCCATCCACTCGATCAACTTGTCGCGAGAAGAAGAAGATGCACAGCCTACATGTCCGGCTTTCAAGCAAATTGGCAATCTGTTAGGACCATTCGACCTGGCCCTGTTGCCCATTGGGCTCTGTGAGCCGAGGGACTTTATGTCAAACGTTCATGCCAATTCATGGGATTCGATTCGAATACATCAAGATGTCAAAAGCAGGAGGTCCATCGGTATGCATTGGGGGACCGTCCGTGGCGGCTTGTCTCAGTATTACGAAGACGTTCGAACCCCAACGAAGCACTGGAGGATGGCCGCTGAAGAAGCGGGCTTGAAATGGGGAGACGAGATAGGTCTCTTGGATATCGGGGAAACGTTGATATTGTGCTGAGCGCTGACTTCAGCTGTCTCGGTGGCCGTCCCAGCCGTCTTCATTCGGACACTGCTACCCCACCCGTTTGAAGTGTCTATATGGACACTCTTTGTTCTCGCCCACAAAAATTGTTCATCTAGGCAGCAGTATTTCGGTGCGAACGAGCCCAATCTTCTATCCTGCAAAAGCGAGCCTTGAGAACAACTTTATCCGACCTTTCGACCGGGGAATTCCGTACCTGTGCATTGCACCCCAGCTTTAACCCCGGGGGCTTGCAGCTGTTTAGGAGGCTCCCATGGACCCCCTTTGGCTGGCCCGCCACCGCTATTTATGTACTTATACTGTCATGGCCAGCAAAAGCCTCGGCCACAAGCCCCTCTCGCCCGGTCGGTGCTGGGAATCAAGCTCAACGCTAATGCACGACACTGACATGTTTGCTTGGATTGGCCGGACGCGATCGCCTGGCCCTTCACTTTCGTCCTTAGCGGTGGATGCGGAAAAAGCATCTCATCTTTCCTTCCCTCGTCCATGTTTCGTTCCCAAGACGACTATGGATCCGTGGCCGATGGACCAGGATGAACTAGTGTTGCCTGCGCATTCTTGAGCTTTGTCGAAACTCTGATTTGCAGGACAAACATGGGTCCAAGGTTTTCCGCGAAGTTCGATGCAAGGTCGATCTCCTGATGTGTTCTATCTCCGACGACGCGCCTACCCAGTTGAATACGAGTATGAGAAATCAGTCGACCAAGATGACGTCCCACATTCCTACAGATTCTTCGACATATAAGTCTAAACTGCCGCTCGACGGGGGGGTAAGGACATTTCTCTCTTTGATCACCCTTTCTGCTCGCATCTCTCTTTCTGCTTCGTTCTCAGTGACCACTGCGTTCAAGGTCGACATTGTACACCTTCTTCACCAGACACTACTGCAATTGATTGACATCTCCCTTCTCCAGATAATCAATCTCCAACAGTTTTCATAACTCTAAACTCCTCGCCAACATGTTCTACGGGCTTCGCGCCCTCTGGTCTCAATCCTTCCGATTGCCCACCCCGTCGCTCACGGAGAAGAACCTCCCCGATCAAGCCGGCAAAGTCTATATAATTACCGGGAGCAATACTGGAGTTGGATATCAAGTTGCGAGCATCCTTTACGCACACAATGCCAAAGTCTACATAGCCGCACGCACAGAGTCAAAGGCTCTAGCAGCCATCGACTCCATCAAGGAGCAACATCCCAAGTCTCAAGGCAGACTGGAATACCTGTCTCTGGACCTGTCCGACCTGAGCACCATCAAAGCAAGTGCTGAGGATTTTCTGTCCCGCGAAGACAAGTTACATTGGCTGGACAACAATGCTGGCGTGATGATCCCTCCGCTAGGCTCCAAGGGCTCCCAGGGCATGGATCTGACGTACCAAACAAACATCCTTGGCCCATTCCTATTTACAAAGCTGCTCCTCCCCATCCTGAAGCGCACAGCAGAGGGTGAACCCAAGGGCACCGTGAGGGTCAGTTGGGCGGGCAGCCTTGCCGTGGATCTACAGAGTCCGAAGGGCGGTGTGAGATGGAAGAAGGGCGCAGATGGAAAGGAGACATTGGATGATGGAAACAGCAATCCCTTCACATATGGTGTTAGCAAGGCGGCAAATTATTTCTTTGCGACCGAGTTTGGGAAACGATTTGGTGAGAAAGATGGAGTTTTACACAACGTGAGTCCCTCCGGGGCTTTGTCCCTGCACTGTTTCCCCCGGCTGGGGGATTGATATCGTCATTATGCTCCAGATTCATGTCCACTCAAGAACTAACCGTGTGGCGCAAACAGGCATATAACCCTGGCAATCTCGCATCCGACCTCCAACGGCACATGGACGACCAATACCCGTCCTGGGCACGACGGTTCTTGCACTTCCTCCTCTATCCAGTCGTTTTCGGCGCCTACACCGAGATCTACGCGGGTCTGTCGCCCGACCTGACGTTGGAGAAGGACCAGGGCGCCTATATCATCCCATGGGGCCGCAAAGGGTCAGTCCGCCCGGACTTGGTTGCGGAAGCCAAGAAGGAGAACGGGGAGGCCAAGAAGTTGGTCGACTGGTGTGAGGAGGTCACGAAGGAGTTTGCGTAGGGGCTTTTGCTGGACGGGTCTCGCGTGCGGTCTTCTTGCCTTGCCCTTGGGGAACACATCCCCTCGTGAAAATTGAAGCCGAACCTTTCGGGCTGAATCCGGCGGCACTGAGAGGATTTGAGATCTTTCGAAGCCTCATTTTGAGCGCCTGGTGTACCAGAAAAGGGTGCCTTGACTCTGGAGGCAAAGACCTCGGGGACACTCCTCGCCTTTCACTTCACACAGACAAGTAAGAGATTACGTGTAGTAGGAGTCGAAGGCATCCCCCCCTCGGGTCCCGGTGCGCTCCCGGCGCCCAAGCCGACTTTGTCGATATTACCAAAACGAACAAGAAATCGCTTTGCCGTTCTGCTATGTACCTAACGTATGTGCGGGGAGCATTGCGCCGTGTATTAAGGTAGAGCGGAGAGAGGAGGAAACCGGTCAATCGGTCCGACATTGCGCCGAATCTGCCCTGAGGAGCGCTTCAACAACCCCGGGACCTGGGGCGGGCGGAGAGCGAGAGCGAAGAGCTCAAGGAGCAAGCACCCTCCAATGCGCCAGTATGCGGCGTGGAATGATTAAATACTCCTGCGTCAATTTCGATAGCGATAGCAATATCGATACCAACATCAATGTTTCAGTATGAGATTGAGATAGAAGAGATAGCGAAGGATATAGGTAGGGAGGGATCTATCCAGCGAGTCACTATATAACTCCTGTGTCAGCGATGGGGAAGCCCAAGGCCTTGTTGCTGGGCAGACTTGATCAGTAAGTACCTACCTACCTACCTACATACATAAATACATATTTAGGTCATTCATGTACTGCACCTATACCCATATCCATATCCATATCCCATTCCCAACCACATGCATGCACCCGAGGACACCGCTGTGAAGGAAAGACTTTCCTCTCAGAAGCTCTGTTGTTGGTTTAACTTTTCTCTGTCGACTCCACTGGATGATTCTTGTTGTTCTGTTGGTGTGATGTGGCTTCGACGCCCCCAAGTCTCTGTCTGCGGGAATCGATCGGGGGGCTAACAATCCACTCTGCTGCACTATTACAGCGCTCGCGACGCATGGAACGCCCTGTCTGGCGTCGCCGAGCTCGTCACATCCCATGCTCGCAGCCGGGCTGAGTTCATCGAAGAGTGCAAGAGCGGGACACACGACGGCGTGGTCGCCATCTGCGACCGGGCGCCGTCGAGCCTCGCCGTCACGGGCAAATACGACGACCAGCTGATCGCCGCACTGCCCAGCAGCTTGAAGTTCATATGCCACAATGGCGCCGGCTATGACAACATCGACATCCGAGCTTGCACGGCGCGCGGGATCCTCGTGTCCAACTGCCCGAAAGTCGTGGACGACGCGACCGCCGACACAGCCATCTTTCTGATCCTCGCCGCCCTGCGCGGCTTCAACAATGGCATCCTAGCCATCCGCAACGGGACCTGGAGAAGCTCCGTCCCGCCCCCGCCACTCGGCCACGACCCGCAGGGCAAGACACTCGGCATCCTGGGCCTAGGCGGCATCGGTCACAATCTGAAGAGGAAGGCCGAGGTGTTCGGGATGAAGGTCATCTACCATAACCGGACGAAATTGAGCGACGAAATGGCCGACAGTGCAGAGTATGTGAGCTTCGATGAGTTGCTCGCCAAAAGCGACGTGTTGAGTCTGAACCTTCCCCTGAACGTTCGTGTAACCGGGCCATGTTTGTCGTCTAGTCCCGCGCTGATCCTTGGCCCATAGTCGAAAACACGGAACATCATCTCGACCAAGGAGTTCGAGAAGATGAAGAGAGGGATCATCATCATCAACACCGCAAGAGGTGGCGTAATGGACGAGGACGCACTCGTGGATGCGCTCGATTCCGGGCAAGTTCTCTCCGTTGGATTGGACGTGTATCAAAGGGAGCCGAACATCCATCCAGGCCTGCTATCAAACCCGCATGTCTGTCTACTTCCCCACATGGGGACATCGACTGTGGAGGTACGTTTCCCCCTTGCGATTTGAACTGATCGACCCATGGGAACTATCTCTTAACCGGGTTCGATAGACCAAGACGAGGATGGAAGAATGGACAATTGGCAATGTGCTGGCGGCGCTGGAAAGGGGGAAGCTGAATAGCGTGGTTCCTGAACAGGCGCACCTAGTTTGACGATGCATTACAGATTACTGAGTGAAAGGGTCAAATACTGTACAAGGAAGTTAGTGGCCTTATTGCAACCGCGTTACAGCCACTCGCCGTCATTTTCTGCTCCAAAGACTCCCCCCATCCGTGGAACACTCAACTCGCCCACGTCAAGAAGAGAAATGTCGAGAAAGTCAAAAGAATTGGGGAAGGCCTCTGGCGCCCGGTGAACCACCAAAGTACCGAGCAAGTTTTGGAGCCCGTAGGAAGTTCGTCTCGTGTCGTTGAAAATTTCAAGCCCTGTGGGTCCACCGGGATTGTTCTTTGTGTCCAAGATCAACTGGATGATGTCGGCATATCGCTGAGCGCACAACCATCGGGTGGCCATGTGTCTCAGAACATTGAGCAAAGGCTCTAGGTCTGTCGGCGTGGACCCGTAGGCATTTTCGTAGCCCGTCGTCCAGAGAATGATAAGACTTCTCGCAGCCACCCATACGACAAAGGCAAACATTGGATGGAGCCGGTCAAGCTCTTGCGTCTGCAGCGAGCTCGCCAGTGACGCCACGGTTCTGATGGCCTGGCGGCAACGGCCGCGAGCCGACGCAGACGGTCTGAGATAAGGTGACGTGGTAGATGGGAATGCGGCAACCGTGTACATTCGAATGTTGATGCTACGTCACGAAGAGTCAGCAAGAATTTTACAAGGTAAAATTGGAGAGCGTAAAATTCTTACAGATGAAAGGTGGCATGGAGCATGAACCACATCGGATCAAACGAGGCTGGCCGCTCTCGGACCTCTTTGGGCAGATTCTCGAACCAGGTGGACATTGTGATGTCCAGTCGCCGAAAGATGCTCTGCCATTCCTGGCAGTGAGCAGGAAGCGACAAATTGACTGGCTGGATGAGGAGCTGATTTGAGCGATCCAGCAATGCAAGCAAATCAATGTTATGATGCCACAGACTAGCAGGGCAGTGGGTATGTGCGGGCTTCGCCTGCACTCCGGCTTGGAACCACTCGGGCGTCATTGTCTGACCCCAGTCCACGTCACTCGACGGATAGGGCAGTTTGATGGTCTTGGTGTCGATGCCACCGGACTGTCCGTGAGAGACGCTTGAGAAGCGATCCAGGCTGTAGATTGCCCAGAACAGGCGCCGCTTCTCCTCCACCGCGACATTCGACGAGTCCATCCCATCATCGGGGTCTTCATTCCTTACCAGCGGAGTGTTGGTCTCTGGCGTCGTCGGAGAATGACTCTTCCCGAGACCCAGCTGGTGGGCCGCCGTGACAAGCATGGCCGTCAAGTTCAACGTTCTCGGACCTGGCCCTTGACCGATGGCATCCAGGGCTAAGAGGGCGAGCGCTTGAGTAGAGACCAAAGTACAGGTGTCGACGGTCTTCAACAAGACCTGCTCGCGGGAGAATTTCACGAAGCTATCCCGCTCTTCGGGAGAAGGAGCCTGTTTCCTCCAAAAACGGAAAGACACCGGCACGATACCGTGAAGCAGGATCTGGCGCTCTGGGGTAAACATGTTGGCGGTAAAGTTCTGTTTGCAGAACAAAGGGATGTATGGATAAACGACTTCGAAGAACAACTCGACGAGCTCCTGCACCACCTGTCCAGGTGGTAGCCCCCTCTCGGTAAGGTCTAGGGATGGCAGACTCAAAGGAGCAGGTAGGCGTTCTATCAGCGGACTGGCAGGGAAGTAAGGCATTTCGGGTAGTTGCTGTGACGGTTGCCACATTTGGGCCTCTGGGCCATTTCTTCCTGATGGACCCGCGTCACGAGCCGGGGCTTCGAGGACAGTACTTGATGCGGCGGCAATGTCAGGTCGGACATGGTTGAGGACGTCCTGGATTGACTGATTTATTTTGTCCATGTTGCTTTCCAGGAGACTTAGGCGCTGCTCTATAGCCTTGCCATAACCTGGACGTAAGCCAGGCTGGCCTTTCTCCCGGTAGACGCAAGCAGTGCCTAAATAGAGGAGATGAGTGACCAAGTTCAAGCGAGAGCTGCACAAGGGCTTGCCTTACCCGTCCGGCGACAGGTGCCGCAATGTGGGCGGGAACTGTCGCACCTTGTCTTTTTCTGCTTGCAGGTCTCACAACTATTGGATGCGAATGTCATGTTAGCCGATCGATGTGCAGGAAAAATGCGGGCAAAGGGACACACAGAACATACGCTTTGGACAAGGTCCTGGGGCGTTTGCTAGATGGCATGAGCATGTCCCCGTCCGCCGTATCTTGACCATCGGTGGACATGATGGAATTACATTCTCTTCGAATCGACGAGGGGGGAGCAGCGACTGTGCATTTCGAGGTGAGGAACTGGAGATGTCTGGAAAGCTGCTGAGCCAAGGGTTGCATATGGCGAGTTTTCAGACGGAGAAACGCCGCTAGTTGAGTGGTACACAAAGTATGTACCTAGTTGATGTGCTGGTGCCGAGGCCCTTGTAAAGATGACAGTAACAAACAGCTATATATATCCAGGTTACTACCCAGGCCACTACCACATGTAATGAGTGATATCGAGTCCCCTCGGCTCTCTCTCTCATGCGAAGTATTGTCACGACTTTATATATGTCTATCAGAGAAGAGGTTGAAGATGATCTTGTTGCGTCTACCTAAGGGGGTGAACAAGGCTACCTATATAGCCTGGAAAATGAAGAGGCTGGGCACGATCTCTTTTTGAAAATGTCTACTGAGAGTGGTGGACTGTTTTTTTTTTTTTTTTTGATGCTACAGATAAAATCTCTACGTGAGAACTATTTGAGACAGACGACCAACGACAACGTGGCAAAGCCAGGAAACGTACTTGTCCTCCCTGACTCAATCCAGGGTTTTCCTGTGGCTGTCAATATGCCATCACTCCTGCAAGTCGCAGCACCTTGTCGGTGACCTGGGGCTTTTCCAGGGGCTCGGAACGGTGTCGAGGGTCGGGAGTGCCATCGGGTAGTCTTGCTTGCAGATCTCGCAGCTTGATGTTATCGTGCGGCCAGTGCGTGGTGGCTCCCCACGCGCCGAAGACTCGCTTCTTCTCATCGAGGGCCTCCCTTGATGCCAGCTTCGCCGGGGCATAGGCGGCGTAGATGACTGCCCTCGTTGTGGTGCTCTTCTCCGTAGGCTCCCCGCCCCAGTGAATGGTGCGCGAGTCCCAGAGGATCAAATCCCCCGGCTCCGCGAGGACTTTCATTGGCTTGAGACCACGCCTGGTGAAGAATTCCATGTCCTTGTCGTCGAAATAGCGGTTGTCCTTCCACTCCCAGCTGGACGGATCAGTCTTTGTGTCGAAGAACTCCTCGACGAGCTTGGAAGAGCCCGGAATGACCACCAGCGAGCCGTCTTCGGGACCGGCGTGGCTTAGGTTGATGATGCCCTGGATGCAGTGCAGCCCGCGCTTTCGAGGGGCTTGGTCAATATGCGGCCATGGGGCACGGGGGGTCTTGAGGTTGGGCAGAGTGACATTCAGAGAATCAAACGAGACCAGCAAGTCGTGCGTACCCCAGATCCTGGCGAAAGCATCCATGACACCCGGCTCCTGGCGAGCCTCCCACATGAACTTCTCATGGACGACAGAGTAGTGCTCGTAGGTATTTCTCTCTGTCTGAACTGGGAGCTTCTCCTTCTTCCAGGTCGACGGGTCACTCGGATTCAATTCAGGGTCAAAGGACTGGAGCCATTCGATCGCTTTCTGCCGGTAATATTCTGCCCGCTCTGGTGGAACGGCACCCTTCACGACCGCATAGCCCTGAGACTCCAGTTGGTCGAGCCAATCTCCTGTCGAAGCCGTCAATCTGTTGCCGTTGTTTAGCACTGTGCTTTGTTAGAGATGCAAGGGGCCCTTCCAAGCTTACCTGAATGGGCTGTAGACGCGAATGGAAGCAGTGATGGTTTCTGTAGCCATGTTGATGAGAATCTCCTGGACGACAACAGGCAGACACGTCAGTCATGGATTTGATGCCAAGTATCCACCCTTCAACTCAGGCGTTTACCTATATAAACCCGTCGAGGGGTCTCACGAAGCCTATTGATAGCATCATCCAGGGCGTCACTGAGAGGCACAACTTCCCCCGGCGAATGTTTGTCCCGAGCAAGTCGAGACTCAACCATGCTACCCCTCCCTTGCGGGACATCATCGTCGCGGCTGTCAGGGGCTAGAGGTATTGACAGCCTCGGCCTTCCCCCGGGGCTCCACCTTCCAGGAAGCCACAGATTGCAACAAACGGGGGATAATGGATCTTCTGACAACTCGGCAGATGTTGGCCCAGGAACGCATCTGCGTGACAATACTACCTTCCCGTGCTTGCTGGTATACCACTTCCGTCACCCTGTGCGATTTCGGAAAGTTGCTCGGGAGGTACAGGGGGAAAGCCCAACGTGAGCGCGGGAGAGAGCTCCCCTAGCAAGGCTCGACGTCGACTGCCCCTTAAGTAACCCGTCCAGGTTGGAGGACATTTCATCCGTACCAAGTTCTTTGGATCTCTACACTGCCCTGAACACGCCTGGCAAGGCAAGAAGATGCGTATTCTCGTCAGCGGAGCGGCCGGATTTTTGGGGCAGATTGTGTCCAAGGCCCTCCTCGAAGATGAATCCCACGAGCTCATCCTGGCAGACATTATCGAACCACCCATCCCTCGCGGTGCCAAACATCCACGACGTGCAACGTCGGTGAAAGTAGACCTCGTGGAATCCTCTGCCAGCATCATTCCAGACAATCTAGACGCCGCGATTCTCCTCCACGGGGTCATGTCCTCGGCGGCCGAGGCAGACTTTGAGCTTGGATACCGCGTCAACGTCGACGCCACGCGATCCATACTGCTCAGCCTGGCGAAGAAGTGCCCCGGGGTACGAGTCATCTACGCGTCGAGCGAGGCCGTGTACGGGACCCCCGTGCCCAAGAACAACGTCACCGAGGCCGACATCCCGACCCCTGAGATGTCGTACGGCTGTCAAAAGGTCATCTGCGAGACGCTCATCAACGACTTCACACGCCGCGGCATGATCAACGGCTTCTCGCTCCGCTTCCCGACCATCTCCGTGCGTCCTGGCAAGCCGAGTCCCGCCGTTTCAGCATTCTTGTCGGGCATCATTCGCGAACCCCTGAACGGCCAGACGTGCACGGTGCCGCTCAAGGACCGCGCGTGGCGCCATTGGATGTGCTCTCCCAAGACCCTGGTGTACAACGTCCTTGTTGCTCTCCGGCTGCCTCGGGACGCACTCGCGCCGCATCGCAGAGCAGTCAACGTCCCCGGCTTCGCGGTCACGGTGCAGGACATGCTGGACGCTTTGGAAGAAGTCGGCGGCAAGGACAAACTGGCCTTCGTCAGGGAAGAAGAGGTCCCCGAACTGCGGTCGGTGCTGTACTCCTGGGCCGATGATTTTGACAACAGCCTCGGCCTCTCGTTGGGCATGAAGCAGGATACCTCTTTTGTGCAGTCTGTTCGCGACTATGTAGAGACCATGAAGGAAGCCTCGGCGAGCGAGACCAATACAGAATAACCATAAAAGGCAATCGCTGGAACTTGAATCTCTTGAATTCTCTATTAGCTTGTCGGCCTGCTCAACCCTGATACTTTACGCTCTATCTTTTGTCCACTGGCCCCAAAATAGGGAAAGAAATAACCACCTAAGCCTTGCCCGTGGACATCAACCAGTCCATATGGTACTCGACCACGGCCTGCATGGCCTTTGTCTGTTCCTCTATCACCTTGGTCAGGGGGACTTGGCCAGTCAGCTCAGCCTGGACCTTTGTCCAGGCGGCGGCGACGGGCCCGTTGATGTTGACCTTGGCCATGCCGTGGGCGATGCACTTCCGGAGCAGCTGTTCGCCAAAGTAGTCCTCATGCGCGCCGTGCAGGACGAGCCGGACGCGGTCGCCGACCTGGTCGTGGATGCGCTGCAGGCGGGCAAAGTCCAGCTGCGGGCCCCGGGGTCCGTAGGCGCCGTGCACGTTGCCAAAGGCGGGCGCCAGCCAGTCGATGCCCAGGGCGACGAACTCCTCGGCCTGCTCAGGCGTCGTGAGGATCTCCTCCATGCCCACCGTGTCGGCGATGCCGTCCTCGCTGCCGTTGATGCGGCCCGGCTCGCACTCGGTGATGATCCCCCGCGCGTTACAGTACGCCACCAGCTCCCGGCTGAGACGCATGTTGTCCGTCTTCTCGTAGTGGCTCATGTCGACCATGATGCCGTCGTAGCCGCCCAGGTCCGCCGACCGCCGGATGATGTCGGGCGACTGCGCGTGGTCCATGTGCACGCCGATCGGCACCGTCGCTTTGTCGGCCGCCTCGGCCGCCGCGTGCAGCAGCAGCCCGTCAGCGAATTCGATTGACCAGGGAAACAGTTGGATCAGGGCCGGCGACCGTTTGGCTTCGGCGGCGCGCACCGTCGCCAGTACTGCCTCGAGGTTGTAGCAGCACACTGCAGGAATGGCATATTTGCCGGCGTAGGCAGCGTCCACGATGGCTTTTGCGCGATTTGTCTTCAGTTTGGCAGCAGCAGCATCAGCGGCAGTGGTAGCTATTCCATGTGTGCCATTGACGCCGTTCGTCGTCGCCATGTTCTTTGAACCGCAAAAGAGGGGGTCACAATGCAGCTGTAGATTCAAGCGCAGCCCAGGCTACAGGTGTGAAATCTGCAAGTTCTTGTACTGCTTCCACTCTCCCCTCGGGAGAAAACATCGTGTCCAACTGCCCGAAATCGGACGCGCCTGTCGTGTTATCTGGTGCCGATGCCCTCTGCTCCTCTCTCAGCGGTCGGGGTATCATTCACATGGTCATGGAAAAGGAAAATGCCGGGGTGTGGACCGCTGCATGTGGGAAGGGCAAGATGAATGGCCCGATATCTGCTGAGGCGTCGGAGAGACGGCTTTCCTGACTCTCACGCAGAATTGACCATTACGTGGTCCTGAAGGAGAGTCTGAGAAGCACGAGAGTGAGTTACTTCACTAGATATGGCCCAATGGGATAGGCCCTCCAGACCCAATAATCGCAGCAGGCATTTGAAAACTGCTTCGTTCCCCACGTTTTTCTCCACATCTTCGCGCCATATCACTACACACTACGGAACCTCGCAAAGCCCTTTCCGCCCTTGTTGATGCTCTGAAACGGGCAAACATTTTGGATACGAATCTAAGCTTTGACCTCGACATGCGCGGTGCTGCTAGACTTGGTCTCATCGGCCTTGGTCGCTAGCGCTGCCTCTTCGGCGAGAACCTCGCGCTCCTCGACCTCCACGACGTGATCTCCAAACGCCGCCGCGATCTCTTCGAGAGTCTTCTGCTTAGTTTCCCTAAATAGCCGTCAAAATTCCGCTTCTGCTGGGATACTGGGGGTTGTCACTCACGGGAACCACAGGTAAATGATGGCAAGGTACACAGAGCAGCAACCGACAAAAACGTAGTAGTAGTTCTCTCTGATCTTTTTGAAGGCGCTGGGCCCGGCCTCGGTGACTGTGTCGTACAGGGTCAGCGGGAAACATAGATCAGGCCTAGAAGAGGTACGCACTGGCGACATTGACGACGTAGTGTGCCGTGGCAGCAACGCCCATGAACTTATTGCGAAGGGACACGGGGAGAACCTCAGCGCCGTAGATCCAAGTTACCGGGTTGATCAAGCTATCTGGCCTTTGAATCAGTGATGGTGGGCCATTTGAAAGTGCTGGGGGGTAAAGACTGACAATATCCAACTGTAAATACGTAGATGCCGAGAATGGCGAACCCCTTCCCAACGCGGTTGTTTGTATCTTGAAATTCGCGCTGCATGACGGCGGCATATATCTCGGTGACAATTGTCCAAGCGACCCCGAGGAGCAACATCCTAACAGGCTTTAGCTGACGAGCCATCTGGTCCGTTGGGAAAGATACTCACTTTCGGCGACCCCAAATGTCGGGGAGAAACTTGATGGATATGGCACTGGACAGGAAGGCGCAGGTGCCCCAAACCGCAGTCAGTGCCAGGACAGTTCGACTTTGGATACCTAGAGATTTGTAGAGGGTCGCTGAAATCTTGTGAGTTTACTTGCTGAGGCCTCCAGGTCATGGCCGCTTACTTTGGTAGTACTAGGTCGACGATGTCAATAAACTCCTCTACAATGGACACTGACTGCATGCAAAGCAACGTACCTGAATGACATTGACTCCAGTCACCGCTGTCAGGACCTGAACTGCGATAGACCTAACCGCCCAATCAGTGTTCTGTAGGCAACGTTGTGCTTGGTGAAACGACGTACACCAAGACCCGATGGCGATAGAGCTTGAATGCTTCCCCGAGAGACGGGAGGTGTCGCTCCATCTCGAACTCGATCTGAGATCTCATAAGGCCGAACTCTTGGATCACGTCGTGGGAATGCAAGTCACTGCGGATCTTGACGAACGCGTTGCGTGCTTCTTCGACTTTACCCTTTCGAAGCAGGTACCGGGGGGAGTTTGGCATAAAAGTCATGAGGCCAATCAACATGATTATTCCCCATGGGATCTGGAGGCCGAGAGGAAGCCGCCACTGCAAGGTGCCATAGGGAGCATAGTTGCATGCGAATCCAACCCAGTTGGACACCATGATGCCGCAGGACAGACCGACTCCAGAGAGACCACCGATTAAGCCGCGCGACTTGGGGCTGCTGATCTCGGACAGATAGATTGGGACGGTGGCACAAAGGGCGCTAATGGAGCCGTGAATGATTAGTGTCTGGGTTGAACAGCTTGGGTTGAGCGTCGTAGATATATCCTTACCCCACTGCAATGCCGGTCAAAATGCGTCCAGCAAGCAGCTGGCCAATGTTGACCGCTGCGGTTTGGATGACGCATCCAATGGTAACAATCACACACAGCAGCTGCATGAAACCGATTCGACCCAGCTTGTCCCCGATCAGGATTTGTAAGACAGCACCAAATGCTTCTCCGGCGATGTAGATCGCGCCGACCTGTTGCTCGTCAGGATGTTTTCAATGGCGCATCTCTGTTGGGCTTGATGCCCATGCCATACAGCTCCAACAAGACCAGGATCCGGATGATTCATGTACTCGACCCAGCTCGGGTGGGCGATAGCTGTCTTCACCGTCAGTCCTCATGGGCAGGCCGAAGGAGTTGAGTCTGCTTACTGGTTGTCACGATACCCGTATCGTATCCCTGCCATCACAATCACTATCAGTAGGCGGGCAAGAAACTAACAAGCAACAGCGTACGTATAAGAATGTGCCCAGAGAGGCGAATAGGGCAATGCCCAAGGTGTATCGATTGCTGGCCATGGCAACGGGTCCACGTCTTTCAACGGAAACAGTGATCCTGGAGGACGAGGACAGCCCAGGGCATCCGTCAGAGTAATATCTTCAAACGTTGACCTCCGCCTGGCTAGACCACCGAGATGAGCGGCTCGTTGGTTAGCGTTGTTAGATGCATTTCTGCGGGGTGTTAATACCCCGGGTTTTGCGGGGGGAAAGCGATTGAGCTTGTGGGGATTGCGGCTCATTGTCGACCCGGAACAAGGCTAGGGATTCTAGCGACGGCGGACAAATTCGATAGAGAAGTCCACGTAATAGGTGGCTGGAGAAGCCGGTGACTGGCAAGTCAGTCGAATGTTGCCCCGGACCCGGCCGAACCAATTTGTCGCCGCTTTGAGGGCCGTTGTTCTCTTCTCCAGGTACCGAGATAGCGAAGTTGGACTCGACCACCTGGTGACTTGACTGGAGCCTGGAGGTAGAGCCTAGGGAGAAAGCATTTTGTTGGACGGTGGTGCAATCACCCATCCCTCGCAGCATAGAAATATCAGAGTTCCACCCCCGTGCACTTCGCTCGTCACCGCACAGAGTTCCGAGGGAAAAAGGCAAGGCAGTCTCCTCTGAATTTAATAATATTGCAATATGGACCCAGTCGCTTCGGCTTCAAACGTGGGAGTGGGACCTGATGGGAGGAAGACTGAGGATGAGTGGCTTGGCGCACTTCTTGTTGATGCAGACACGAAGCTTCAGAGAGGCGTAGGGTGCGAGGTTGATCCCCACGACACAGGCCAAGCAAGGTTGGAAGATTCCATCTATTCGTAGATAGCCCTCATTTCTCGTACAGCACTCTGACACTTACTCGTGACATCTAGTGACTCTCCCACACTTGCTGACCCATGGAAATCAGCCGATTGAACAACTCATCTCTTTCCTTCATGGCCATGGCACGGTACCGCGATCCGTCCTTCGCGACGATCTCAATGCCGTCCTTGACCTCCCTCTCCGTCGCCCACCCGACCACGATCTTGCCCTTCCATCCCAGCCCACCGATCTTCTTCACCTCCACTATATCCATCATGAACACCGCCCAATCTGGGTCACGAGGCATGCTCTCCACGTTTTCTTCATCATCAAGATGCGTCGTGAAATATACACACGGCGAGGCAGGCCTCCTGCCACTCGGCGGTGAAACTGAGCTGTCAACATAGACGGCGCCCTTCCGACCATGATATCTCGTCGTGAATGCCACGGGTCCCTCCCTCGCCTTGCGTCTCAGTTCTGCTCGAGAAGGAAGCACACCCAACTTCTCCTTCGCCTGGCCAGAACCCATGGTGGCTTTAACCGTGTCAGTGGTCAGCTTGGTCTCTACTGCGCCGGCCGTGGTGGTCTTGAATGCAGAGAGGATCTTGGCGCCGAAGCCGCCCTTCTTCTTCTTGGGTTCCTGGGTTTCTGTGGCTTGGGTGCCGCTGGGTTCGTCAAGGGTAATGACATTTTCGATTTCGGAATGCGACGCATCTAATCCTCCTTCGGTAATGGCTTGCTTGTCGAGCTCGGCCGGCTTGTCAGGCGGCGCTTCATAAGACTTGGGCGGTGGCGGCAGTGGAGCACGGTTGGCCTCGCCAATGCGCAGTAAAGTGATGGTGAGCTGGGCATTGGTTGGCACGCCTTTGAGGAGAGTATTTCGGATCTCGAGGTATTTCGACCAGTCTGGGATCTTCTCATTCAACAATTGAATAGCGCGTCTGATTAAGGGGTCGGAGAAGAAGCCGAAGCCGGTGAAGAAGGTCGATCCCTTCATAACCCATTGAGCAGGTGTGATCAGAGAGATCAGCAGAATTGGCACGAAGATTGCCCCAAGCTGAAGACGATTCTTTTGGGAAAAGGGGGGTGTTGGCGACAAAGCGTTGGCGAGGCATTCCCACATGTCAGAGACCTCTCCGAGGCCGTGCATTATCGGTCGAACTTGTTTCCACATGGCATCCTCCATAGGCTTCTTTGTCTTGTCCTGGACGGTATCAGGGTCACCGCCTTGAGCAGCCGAAGAAGCATCTGCCGCGGTTGTAGCGATCTTGGTTGGATCAGGCATGCCTTGATCCAAGGTCTTGCTACCGCCTTGATCGTCTGGGCTTGCCTGGTCGTGACGGCCAGCAGCACTTGAGATGGCCACAGAAGCAATGCCGGAGACCAAATTACTAGCTTCTTGCTCAACAGCCTCGCCCTTGTATTTCTCTGGTGCCCCAGTGACACTATCATGGCTGCCCAACACGCCAGCCTTTGGTTTCTGCACTCCACCCGTCTTATGGCTGACCAAGGCGAGGGGCGCCGAAGGGAACAGGATGCTCCGAGACCGAGGAACGGTGATGAGGACGATGATCATGGCGAGCAAGCTGGGCACAATGAAGTCGAAAAGCCAAGCCACAAAGTAAACCGTAGCAAAGCAAGCGGTCCGACGGGGTTCGCGCCAGGATCTCAACCTTGCAATGTGCTTTCCAAAGGCGATGAGTCCGACAATGACGGTCATGTAAAGACGTTCAATGTTTGAGCGGAGCTTGTCGGGGGAGAATTCCTCGTCATCGGCGGTGTTCAGGTCCAATCCTCCAGGAGGAGCCTGAGGGATGGCTTTGACATGGTACATTTGCTGGCAGTGCGGTAAGCGTGTGTTCCGAGAAGCAGCCAAAGAGAAGAGAAGCTTGCCTTGTTGAATCTCCTGATCAAGGTCCATAGTTCATCGTTGGGCAGGCCGCCGACCAAGTTATCTACACCCACAGCGTTGGCTTGCCATCCGAGATTGGTTGTTCTGTCCTCCTTACCGGCCCTCTGAACAGCGCCCTGGACTTCATGGTCCCCTGTCGCTCCTGTAGCTAATTGGTGACTTGTCGTGGTATTTTGGGCCAGGGGAGCATTTGAGGTTACCGCAGCAGGTTTCGCAGCTTGGGTGATTCCTTGACGGAACTCTGAATCGGGAGGTTCTTCTGCTGGAGGGGTATCGCCGCCGTCGCGGAAGACGTAACCTGGGGCGGGCATGTTGAAGATGAGTGGTAGAGCAGAAACGACCAGTTGCAAAGAGGAGAGTTGGTATGAAGAAGGGAAGGAGGTTTGACGTTGGTGGAAGTGATGAATGCTCTCTTTGCCGTCAGTTCTGCTCCTACGTCATTGGCTTTCTCCTTACGCATCTCAACCAGGTCAACTTTTCCCCGCCACGGCCACCAATCGATCCTTGTCGCCAATCGTGTCGCCTAAGTCGTGGTCGGCTCCCTTAGCCTATTATATTATCATTCATCATCAATCTCTGGGTACCTAACTCGAAGTGAGTCCCTGGGGGGGGGGGGGGGGGGGGGGGGGGGGGGGGGGGGGGGGGGGGGGGGGGGGGGGGGGGGGGGGGGGGGGGGGGGGGGGGGGGGGGGGGGGCTTTAACTATTCATGGCCTAGTTGGCAGCCCCCGGTGGCCCCGCTTCATGTCTCTCTTCCCTGTTCCCTGTTCCTTGTTCTTGCCGCCCAGATATAGACACCGGTCACTGACACGTGAGGCAAAACAAGGGCGTGGATGAATATCCCCCATGTGAAGCACTTGTAACCTCCATCAAAGATGCCCACCGCAATACTTCGGGCGCGAGTAGAATTCCTTTTGGTCAAGTTCCGATACCTTATCGTGAAAGATTCCCAGTGTATATGTCCTTGTGTTCTTGGTGCCTCGTATCTCATATCCAAGCTCCGTGCCAATTCCAATGTGTTGCCCAGATTGCCCCCGCTATGTCCAGTCGATGAATGATATCCGTCCGACCATCCCAGATTCGGTCGGCGCTTTTATGCAATTGAATAATATGTCTCATGTAACGGTCCCGCCTGCGCCATCGTATACGGTTTCCCATGCACGTATTTACTCCTCATTGGCTCCTCATCGATCGCGCAGTGGATCTGTCCATCTCTTCCTCTAAACCATCCCAATCCGTACCTCTTGTTTATGTTTTTCAGCCTCGTTTCCATGGCCTTGTTGTTCAATGTCTCTGTATCAACAAAATCTGTGAGCATGTTGCTAGCATAGATGAAGGCCAATACTGCTGCAATGGTGGACGGCTCCCGCGGCAGGAAGGGGTGTCGTCGTCGAAAATATACTAGTGACGTGGTGAAAATGACGAAAAGTAAGATGAGCATCGACAGAATGAGTGAAGTCCAGAACGAAACGAACGTCTCGTCGCCGTTGGACCTGTCCTCCCCGTGACTGCCCACGTGCATAAAGTCCTCCGAGTTAACCGAGAAGGAGCTCACAGTCACCGTCAGGATATCCAACAACACCGAGGATACCCCCACCAGTGCCAGGAGGTAGTGGCCATTAAGCAGGGCTTTGAAGGGCATAAGCCCGTACACAGTCGCTTGATAGTCCAGCGTAAGGCTATTTTCGGGTCTGGCGTTTCCTCTGGAGAGCTGATAAAAGGGTTCCATGAGTCGAACATCAGACTCAAACGTGCTGAAGAACAGCTTCAAGCCAGTGGCAATCAGAATGGGAAGCCATGGGGCAGCATTCGGTACTACCCTAGCTTTGGTCAACGTGATGATGGGGATCGATATGAGACAGAAAACCATAAAGGCCAGGAACGGAATAGCCGCTTGCATCTGGAGCATCAACGGATGCGGACTGGTGAGCTTTCTTTCGCTGTCCTGCGGCGGCTCACTCTTAGTGCTCCATTCACCCTGCCAGATGGAAGATTTGTAGAGCACGTATCGTCGATGCGCCAGTCGTTTGTGGATCTTTGCGCAGTTTGCTTCGTCCAATCCGGCGAAATCTTGGAGGATGTGCGATTTGGTGGCCATCGAGGCAATCCCGGCGATGCCCTTCGGGTCGCTGAGCAATCCAGACTTGCGCCGCAACTGAATGAACAGTATGACCAGCACGATCGCCACGAAGATATAGCTTGCCGACAAGGCCCGAGACCAGCCCGGCGAGATTCGCACCCAATAATGCTTTTCATCGCCGGGGCAACCGTCCGCATTGCACCTTGGATCCGGATTCGTGGCAAAGGTGATGGAGGGGTTTTGTAGGGCAGGTGACACCATCGAGGCAACAATGTTGCCCGTGGTTGAGAAGAACACGGCCCACTGGCGGAGTCTAAACGCCTTGAAGGGGACGAAATACTGGAACATGGTCAAATGATCCAAATTTAGGCTGGCCGCTGCTGAGGCTCCTCGCGGTCGGGATAACTGATAGAACGGTTCAAGACGGCGAATGTCGAAATCCATGATCGAGAACAGGACGGCGTAGACGATGGTGATCATCGTGGGAAGATCTGGATCCCCGTTAGCAGAGTGGACGTGGGGATTAGCGGTGATCACTTACACTTCCACGCAAAGAAGTCCCACGTCGAAATCTCGGCCACAGCGTCGAACGCGAGGATGCCGCTCTTTTCCCGGACGCTTTTGAAGGATCTCTGACACAGGTACTCCTGAAATCCCGCCAAACCCAAAGCAAGCACTATTAAGGACCAAATATACCAGCTCCGCATTGACCATGGTTTCCAGTTGGGGATGTCCGGATCCTCGGGGAAGAAGTAACTCTTTGTTTCTTGGGGCAAGACGCTTTGCCTCATGGACATGGCGTCGAAGCTGCGACTCTGGCGATTTTCTGAATTCCCTCCATCCAGGGTGCTCAAGTCAACCACTTCTTCGACCTCGACGATCATGTTCTTCTTGTGCGCAAGATCCTGGCCCAGGTCGCGTACCGTCTTGCTCCGGTCGATGCCCGAGCTGTCAGCGCTGCGTATTCCTCCAGTCCCTCTTCGTACTATCCTGGTCGGATCACGCCGCAGTTGCACGCCTACCCCCTTCATTCCGTCACCTACCGAAGCGCGCTTCTGCACAAACGAGCGAAAGTCAGGTTTTCCGCTAGTCTTGTTCACACGCACGTACTCGGTATCCTCATCTTGGAGGCGCTCAGCGTCGGGGTTTGACAAGTCGGTCAGCTCCCAGCCCATACCCTCCAACGACGAGATATCTACTATAGCATCTTGGCCATCCTCGCCATCATCCAGAGTTGCATACTCCCGGCCTTTAGAACGTTTGGTGGATCGAAAAGTGCCTCGTGACATAGGATTGATTTTGGTGGTCAAACGCCGGAGCACCGACGAAGCAGCGGATTGCCCTGCGCTAAAACGGCGAGCCTTCGGCGGCGATGCTGGTTCTACCAGGTCGTACGATTCATCTCGCATACTCTCGGTTTCGTCAATCGACTTCAATCGTTCTTCCCCAGAATGACCTCGTGAATGTCGCCGATAGTAAGGAGCGGATTGTGTCGCACCGATCGAGACACTAACTCCAGGCGAGCCCTTCCTACCGAGAAGTTCAACCTTGTCTGGAGTCGAGGTGCCGGCCAGAGGCATTGAACCGAGATCGTACTGTTCGTGATCCATGCTGACGATTGTGAGACCTCAATTGTGTTGCGACGTGTCGGATAGAGCGGGGTCATCTGTGGTCCATAATTGTTTCGACGGTGAACAATGTCAATGAAGGCATGCTTCGATAGCTTGATTGAATTCCTCGTAAATGGCGCCAAAAACAAAATTCCCCTAGAACCTATCCAGAGCCGATCATTCGTTGTTGCAAAATATCGTGATACGGCCTTGATCACTCATCGGGACGACAGTAACACAGGTTCGTTTGACAGGAAATGCTCTGGACAACCAAGGAATGGCGGTGTCAATATGGAGGAGAGCAATGAAATCCCAGCCGTCAGCAGGACGTTTGTAGCTTTTGACCCTTTTGGTGATCAGAGGGTGGTGTTGCTAATATCAATCGCCCGACTAGCAACCGATAAGCAACTGGGGTCGGGGAAATTGGGACGCGCCTGTTGAATCAGGAGCTAGACTCTGTCTCGTAAGGCTGGCGTTGGGCGCATGTACGAAGAGGACTTCGTCCCCAGTACCTAAGTAGCAGTGCTCCAAACGCGGGTTCGGTGGAAAGCCGCCTGTCACCTGCGCGCAACAAGCATCATGGCAAGGATCAACGACAGATGGCACAAGATGCACAGCTGGTCGAGAATGGAGGAGAAAAGATATGAAGGAAGAGGAAGCAGCCCAAACTGAAACGGCACAGCGATAAGGAGGCCGCTTACGTTTTCAGCTTGTCTTGGGAAGAGATGATTCTGGCCATCGTGGAACGAACCATGCGGCGCAACACGAGGGGGAGAGGAGCAAAAGGACAGGGGCCGTATGCCGTGTGGCATTGGGACAATGGGATTTGGCCATTGACTTTCTCGGCGCCATGAATAATAATATTAAGAGTCTCGGTGCAGAATCTAGATTCCGGATATGGCGCCATGCTGGATGCCCGTTGGACGCCATTAGCCAGGCCCAGTGTGCGCCCCCCTCCCCTGAGCCACAACCCTTTGGGAAGATTCGCCCTGTAAGGAACACGCAAAACACTCTGGTGACTCCATACTCGTAGGGCGCCTGGCCCTGCTCAACGCATCCTTATTTGTCACTGCCGACGGACTATTACAGCGAGGATCTTCCGGACTGTCCATCTAACTGTCCGACAACCCACTGCAGCGTCAGCACCAGCCTGCTCGCCTGCACCCTATCCGGCCTGGCATTCTCTGGCTGCATGTGTTTGCTGTTCCCAGCAAGAGGCCTCATTCCTCACTGCAGAATTTGGGGTCCAAAAGCCTTTGACCCTATACATCGGCCACAATCCGACAACATCCCTTCGACTATGGCAAACCGAACCCTTCTAGCTCGGTATTTTTCCTGGCTCTGCTAACAACTACATGCCATATCTGACGGGTGTGGGAGTGGTCAGGCGACTGATCAATCGGGGCGGGAGGTGTTGGGAGTGTTATTTTCTCTCGTGGTTCAGGCATGTTTCATCCTTTGGAAAAGGACGGTGTCCAGGATGGACCATGGGCTGGCGCGCCTTATTGGTCAAGGAGCCCGGTCATTTACTCTCTTTGCAAGATGACCATCAAGCCCATGATTCCCAGCATGACCGTCTTCAACCAAGGGTGCTCGCTAAGCATGATGGTCACGTATCCAACGGCTGGCACATATCCGCGGACACTGCCAATAATATCCTCTTTTCTGTCCAGATAGCTCTGGCCGCGCGCATAGAGTTCCGTGTCGTCGGCGACGTTGTTGTCGCCTTTCGTGAGGAGTTTTGGAGAGGCTTTCGACAGGTTCCCGCTAAGATCGAGGATTAGTCGAACGGATTCCTTTCGCCGGAGGGTAGATAGATGTCTGTACCTTTTGTCGGCTTCGACAGGGGCCGCAGCTGCATGACTGCGGACGACGCGATGAACAATGGGAATATCCTTGCCCTTGACGTTGTAGACGACAATTTCCCCCACCTCGGCCGTTTTGTCTCGATTCCAGAGGAACAGTAAATCACCCCGTTGAAAGGCAGGTTCCATCGATCCACTCAGCACCACCACGATAGGCGAGGGCGAGTCTGCAATCACTGAAAGAGACTTCCATAGCATAAAGGCCGTCGACAGGACCAGGGCAAAGTTCAGCACCTGCGACAGCGATTGCCGGGGATTGGAAAGGTATGGGGCAAGAAACGGTAGCATGGCGACGAACTGGTGGGTGCCAGGTCTCAAAGGAAGCTTCTTAAATTGAGAGGTGCAACATTGACGTCGAGAGATGGTTGCCACGGAACGAATTCAACAGGACGACAGGAGCCTCAGTGTGCAGGTAATACTGTGTAGCGCATATTCGGTACGAGGTATACTCACCAAAGACCAGGTGGCAGAAATTCGGGCTAGGGAGGCATTTCTTCCGGGGTTGACCCGGCTGGTGAGGCTCACTAGGCTCACCTTGGGCTCACCCCAAGCACCCATAGCGCAGGAAGCCTACGGAGTACTCAATACAAAAAGGTACAATCAGACAGCCACCATCATCTGGCAGCATTTAACTTACACTCTTTCACAAAATAGACTGTGTAATTCTTGCTGGCCATAACACTCTATCACATCGCCCTCGTAATGAGCCAAAACATCAGTCAGTAACAAGCAACATACACCTCACTCAGAGAGCACAGTTCGATACTGCCCAAACCCAGCCTGTCAATCGATTTGCAATGTCACTGGCGTAGCAGCTTGTTGAGTATCCGCCCTCGTCCAGATTACCGCTCTCTGCGATTGACCCGGTATTGTATTGTCGGGCAGTCCGATAGTATGCCTTCGCGTCCTTGCCCGCTCCTTGATTCAGGATGCCAGCGAGGCCATCCCCGGTTAAGGTTCCAGCGGTACCATCAAGGACCATGCCAGTGATCTCAGAGGCAGGACACGGAGTCTGGATGTTTCCATTCGTATTGCAAGAGAAGCCGCCGTTGTGAGCTTGCATCAGACCTGGATTGGGTACACCGTTGTCAGTTGTTCGGACGCGAACGCAGCCATTGGATTCTTGAAGGAGGATTGCCAGGATGAAGCGGTGGTCCACGTTGGTTTGGGATGAAGCGGACTGCACTGCGTCCCAGATTTGGTCGATTTCTTCGTCGCTGTTGTCAGGCCCATTATCTGATCCTAGGTTGACACACGACACCCGCATGAAGTTTTTATTCGCGTTGAACCTGCAAAGATATCAGTCGAGTTGAGGAAGGCTGTTCTCGTCTCCTCACATGTCTTCAAACGAAACCCATTGCGCCATCTCCGGCCAGCCAGCTGACGCTGAGCCGTCGCCAGAATAGGTTCTGTAGATGTCACTTCCCGCACCAGCGCCATCGTTGATGTCGGTTGGATGGTTGGCAGCGCCCAGAGCAAACACTTGGTTCGATGCAGGAGCAGAGAGGGGAGCAGGACTGACAATGCCGAGCAAGGACGCGGCACACAGGAGCTGCGGGACGTGTTAGTTCGAAATGACAATGACGGGCTTTCGCAAACAGTTCCACTCACGGTCAGGTACATGGTTGCGGGACACGTCGACGCCCACTTGTCGGCCACAGATAAAAGACAAATAGTCATCGTGATGGATGTACTCATGGTGTCTCCTTTACTGTGCGGAAGCCTGATGATTTGGGATGTCCACGAAACAGCATTCTCCTGTTGCGTCCGCAGGATACTCGTATGTTCCATCACCACATAATATCCCCGCCCGACACAGCGCCGCCCCTTTTCTTTCCAGCATCCATAGTGACAAGTCCGCATCCATGGTGGCTATCAGTCCAAGTTTTTTGAATGTCTCGGTAATATCTGGTGTTCCTACGCCTTTCTGCCCTCAGGCAAAGAAAATTGGCGGCTCACCTCGCAGCGCCCTATATCGATTGGTGGCAGCCTCCAGGCGAACAGCGCCCTTAACGAGGAAGGGCCAGTCGTCTGCAAAGCCTTGAGTGACCTCCCAACTCTCAGTGACATCCGGTTCGCCCCATAGCACGCACCCATGTTTCAAAGCAAGGTCGATCTCATGCCATGTATGCCTGCCGGCAATCGCCATACATAGCCTTCCCTCTAAGGGATGCTTTTCGACATACCAATATTCAATAGCATTGTCTCTGACAACAGAGTCAGGAAAGATGTCGAAGCATGGGTGGTGCGCCACGGTTCGTTGGAGGAATGTCGGCTGAAAATCCGGGGCCAGGGTCGAAGTGTCAATATTCCCAGAGATAAAGGGACTGTCCGAGGCCCAAGACGCCATAAGGTGCATTTCGAGGTTCAACGCTCTAATGTTCTTAGCGAGTCCACGGAAGACATTGTAGTACATGAGGTTAAGAAGCTGATCTTCGGGGCTGGGAATGAACGTGTGGTAGCGTATGTCTATGGCGTGGATGATGTTTTCTTCGAATGTGACAGGATCTGAATCTGTCATCGAGGCGCCTTGGTCGTCGAGCTCGACATTGATAGAACTAACATGCAGCATTGTCTCTTCGAATCTTCGGCACCACGACTGCACGAGCCCAAGTTTATGATGACGGCGTGATGGCTTGGACGAATCGGCAGACGTAGTGATGTTGGTTTGTGCAGAGAGCTTACCAGCAGCAGATATCAAGGACCGTAGAGAGATGGGTTCGTTTGATATCTTCTCATCCTTCACTCCGAGCACAAAGACGCCAACACCGGGAAGGGTGGGCGCCCGGTTTCTGGCTCAATGCCGGCTTCAGCCATGGTCATCTTCCGAACCAGCTTTTGTTCGGCCTGCCGTTTCCCTGCGCACCTTCATCAGCCGAGGGAATACGTGTCAGAATGAGAGAGCCCAACTGTATGCCCGTCGATTCAGTCGGTTTTGCAGTCGGCGTCGCTCTTTGACATCCATTTTGCCAGCCCACAACTCATCCACGTTCCGAGCCTCTGGATGACCCATGAGCGTCACATCAAAGATGCCATGGTCTTGCGTGCGGTCCATCACTGTCACTCCCTCGCCTTCTCAGCTTGACTTCGCGGACGAAGGGTTGTCCGCAATAGACTGCTATCAAACCGGTCGAACGAAATTTGCGGGTGCAACACGAGTTTTCTATCTTGTGGTGAACGATTAGTTGGCCAGAAAGGGTCCATTGTTAAGAGATAGAGCTAGGTTTTGAAGCACGGATAGAGATAGAGAGTTCAGGCCGAAGCGGATGGTATATTTGCTAGGTTCAATGATTACTATTCAATGATTTCGCTGACACGTCGGTGACACGGAATGAATGCGAAGGTGCAATCATGGCAACCTTATGCTGACGCATCAACATTGGCCAGCCTATAGCCGGTGAGCCTGAACTCGAGGCTGTGGACATGTTCAGTCTGATATCCTAGGGCGTCATCGCGGGCCGAGAGTTTTCCAGCTCCTAAGATGGGGATGGTCAGAGCGTCAAGGATGAGATGAGATAGGGGCTTTTCCCATTTGGTGGAGAGCCATGATAGGTTGTCTCATGGAAGGCGAAAAGGTTTATTGGGCGAAGATCATCTGATTCCACGTATGCCATAGGAAAGAGCCCAGTCATTCTATTCCAAGAAGCACCCCCCTGATGAGATTCAGTAAGGGGCTCAGGGAGCTTGTGCAGGCAAAGGCAGGCAGACACAGGCTGGTGGTCGCCGGTTGCACCTGGTGGCAGGTGATTTTTAAATGACGTTAAATGACGTTAAATAGTCTTGTGTTGGGCGAAGAGGAAAATAGTTACTCCGCAGGTTCTAATTGTCCGCACAATCGTATTCGTTTCCTCGAAGACGCGCTGCGCGGCGAACTGCGTCCCAGATGCCTGTGTCCAGGGGGCGTCATATTCACTCAGAATATGCAAATACACACGAACAGGGTTGACTTGCGCACACACGGTATTAACGGTTATGTTTTTGAGCCGTTTGCAGGATCTCACTTGAATTTCTTGACCTTCAACAGGTCCGCCAGGCCGAGTCTGTTGAGAAAGGTCTCTCTCACCAAGTCACGGACGCCGTTGACGATAGCCGCGCCACCTCCGTCGTATTCAACATGTACTCTGAACGGCCGCTTGCCGTACTCCGCATCAACAACGCGACGGACAGCTTCAGCAACGGCTCCAGGATCAGCATCTGGTGATACAATCCTGTTATGACCCTCAGCAGCAATGTGATCCCACCCTTTCAGAGCGCCTTCCATGTACTCTTGTTCGATTGCTGTATCACCGGCCTTCATCGCCGTGGCGAAGTGGCTGGTGCCTTTTGTGAAGACGCCAGGCACGACAATTGACGTTTCAATACCGAACTGGGTGAGCTCCACGGCATACGTCTGTGCGAGGGAATCTTGGGCAGCTTTTGCCGCAAAATATGGTGTCAGGAACGGCGAGCTCGGTCCGTGAGCACTGCTGGACGATACCCATACAAGGAGTCCACTTTTGGCCCGTCTCATATGGGGCAGAACAACTCGGTTAATACGATGGCAAGACAGGCAGTTGACTTCGTACAACTCCATAAATTGTTCGGGCGTAAAGGCCTCGGCGGGCCCAAAGTTCATGTGCCCTAGAACATGTCAATCCCTGTGCGAGTCGCTTCTCTCGAGGTATTTCGCGCGTACCAGCATTGTGTACAACGACGTCTATCCTTCCCTCTTCGGCCATGATCTCGTCAACCGCCCTCTTGATCGAGTCGTCCTTGACCACATTGAGTTGTATGCCTCGAAGCTGACAGTTGTTTTCTCTAGCGAAGTCTGCGGCATCCTTGTAATCCGGAGTTTTGTCCTTATTGGACTGAAGGAAGCCAGCATATACAGTGTGGCCTGATCTTGCCAGTGCTCGAGCTGTTAAGGCTCCAAATCCGGAGCCTGCCCCAGTGACCAAACTCACCAGAGGTCGTACAGCCATTTTCTAAGTGTCTCCAAAATCTGGCAAGTTATATTGTCCGTGGTGAAAACAGCTGCGAATGACAGACCTCTTATATCTCCTAATTGTCTAGAGGATCGCTTGATGTTCCAGATGCCCTACATATCGACTCTATCCTCATTTCTTTGGTTGGACTTACCAGGCACGGCGGCCGGAGATCTGGATCACCTCACTCCAGGGACTTTCACTCCATAATCCGCGCCTATGTACGAGCGGAATACAAGGATGCACTCCATCGAAGTTAAAAACACCATACGTTGGTAGTGTTTTCCAGAGATAATTACATCAGTGGCGGCCTTTCTCGGCAAAAGATTGGTTCATCCGATGCACACCCGGGCACTTCGGACCTTTCTTCACGAAACGTTTCGGTGTTTGCGGAGAAAGGTATTTCCCGAAGGAGTATGCTTTCCCCTATCGGCAAGGCTCGGTCTGCATTGTTGGCCTTGCTGCACGGCACTAAATGTCCGGGAACTCCTGGGATAAGAGAAGAAAACAACTCGTCTTCACACGACACCCGTCAGGGACACGTTTCGATGCCTATCACCGTGGATGATCGGGACTTTGTCCGAGCAATAGCAGTATCATTTTGCCCTTGGAAATACCAAAACTCTACGGCAGTCATGGCGCCACAACAAACCAAGTCATATATTAAAGGGAGACAGCGATCGAAAGTCATGAGCAACTCCCCGTCCAATCCATATCGATATCAAATTCATGAAACAGATCAAAGCAATCATATCCCGATACAAATCTAGCAAAACCTCTTCTCCCCAGCAAGCAAATCCCCTTACCACACCTGCGACTCAATCACCAGCTATAACCAAACCCATCGCGATGTCTTCCGCCCCCCTCTCAGGCAAAGTCGCCGTGATCACTGGAGGCACGAAAGGCATTGGCGCAAGCACAGCAACACTTCTAGTCAAACTCGGAGCCAAAGTCGTGGTCAACTACGGCCGTGACAGCGCCGCGGCGGAGAAAATCGTCTCGCAACTCGGCAGCGACAAAGCATATGCTGTTCAAGCCGACGCAGGGACGATCGCTGGCGTCGAACAACTGGTGAAAGCCACAGTCGAAAAGTTCGGGCAGATCGACATCCTGATCCCCAACGCGGGGATCCTGCCCATGAAGACGGTCGAGTCATGCACGGAAGAGGACTTTGACAGGACGTTCAGCCTCAACGTCAAGGGGCCCTTCTTCCTCGTGCAAAAGGCCCTACCTTACATGGCGCGGGGAAGCAGTATCGTGCTCATCTCCACGACCCTCTGCCACGCTTCGACCGTCAACGGGCCCTATACTCTCTACTGCGCGACAAAGGGCTCCATAGAACAACTCACCCGCCTGCTCTCCAAGGACCTGCTCGCCAGCAAAGGCATCAGGGTGAACGCGGTCGCGCCAGGCCCCACGGCTACAGACCTCTTCCTCGAGGGTAAGAGCCCACAGGTGCTCCAGATGCTCGCAAGCTTCCACCCGGCCAACCGCATCGGCAAGCCTGAGGAGATCGCCGAGGCCATCGCATTCCTGTGCGGCCAGGGAGCCGAGTGGGTGAGCGGGCAGACCATCAGGGTGAACGGCGGCATGGCCTAGGTAGTGAAACGACATTTCATAGCACCGAATGGAGGTGTGAATGAGTGAGACTATATAGTCTTTGCGCTTAAGAGTGTAAAAATAAATATAAAAAAAAAAAGGGGGGGGGGGGGGAGGGGGAGGAACAAATAGAGCGAATGGAAGATATATGTACTGTAACTATGTGATGCAGAATAGTCAACTGCACTACCTGTGAGCAATGGAAGGGCTCCATTATCTAAATTTTATCAATACTTCATATATATATGCGCAGGGCAGCATAGCATACATGACTTGTCTTGGTTCCGATGTATAGTGTAATATATTCTCTCCTATGATTCATGGCAGCACGCATACACACACACAGACTGAGAAACAGCGAGCGAAAGAGTAGTATGTGCCGCAGACACCGGAACTAGTTCTAGATTTTTGGGCGGGAGTGCATGCATTGATAGCAAGCGTTGAGCCTCGTTGACAAAAGAGAACGGAAATGGTCAGGGTCATATCGTAGCATCTCATATCACATCACACATCACACGCTAATCGTCACCATGAAGGAAAGTAAACCCCCAAAAGGAACATGCATGCATCTTTCGTTCCAGCTTTGGTCTCTGCAAAATACTTGCTGGCAAGCTGGTTCATCTCGTTTAGTCAATACCGAATTCGTCAAGGGGTGCTTGCTTGTCCCCTTTCAACCGCTCCCATATTAAGAATCGATACCATGAAGCCCATCATCCTCTCTTTCCCGGGCCAGCTTGCTTCAAAGCAAACGCATCCCGAATCTTCTTGGCCTGCAATTCCTTCTCCCTCTCGAACTTCTGCTGGTTCGTCTCGGCCCGCTCTTTTCTCTCGCGCTCCCGGCGGGAATCTATCCCAGGCGGCGCAGCGCATATCGGATTGACTTGAGGGCTTTGGGCAGCGGAGGGCGGTTCGGCGGTGCCACGGAGGATTGCGTCCCAGTGGTGGTGATCTCTCGCTTCTGCTCGGTTGCTGTTGCTGTTGCTGTCCGTAGTATCATTGGCCGAAATCTTATCGACGACGTAGAACGTCTCCGGGAAGGTTTGGGTGCCATCGTCGTAGTACCATCGCAGGGAAATGATAGAAGTAGAGATATGACTCGTTCCGGTGTGGTCGGTGAACGTGGTTGGTGCACTCGAGCGAATGGCGCCGCGAGTGGCGACAGCTTTGCTCTTTGAGATGATGCTCTTGGGCAGGGTGCTATCGTGAAGGGCATTGCACAGCTTGATAGGATGTTCCTGGCCCTCGGCGATGACGAAAATGCATACTCTCGTATTCGAAGCCTATTACCAGTATCAGCAGGCATGCCGTCCAGATGTGCTCGGCTAGTAGCGAGGAACACGGATCGAAACCGTACCATTGGTAGAGTCATGTCAGATGGACGAAACAACTGCGGACGGCGGGCTTGCCAGGAACGATATGAAGACTCGAGTTGATGAGGATCTTGCATAAGAGCGTTCGAGATTGGGCGATCGCGCCCTGTGGACATGCCTCAAAAGGGGCGGGCAACCGAGGAATGAGGCGAGTACAAGGCAAACAAGCCAACAACTGAAACTGCGAAACGGCTAGACAAACTTCGTGCCCAAGCCCGGATTGAAATGCCCATGAGTTGGCAAATCAGTATTGGAGGATTCTTCGCCTTTCATATATCCGCGAGAGACTGTGCTCATGTACACCTTCTGCCGACGGTACATCCTTGTCGACCGACGACTTCAAGTGATGAGGTTCTGCTGCACTCCGGCTCGCTGGTCACCTGGAAACGTTGGGCGTGACCATGAACGCTAGATTTGTCACTTCAGAATGCAGAGGTTGAGAACAAGCCACAAGCAGTAATTGACAGGTTGAACAAGACTTCTGAAGATACCAAAACGAAGAGTCTCATTCTCGGATCCGCTGTGGCGGCCTCTGGGATGTTCAGATGACCATATCCGTACAAAAGTAACGTCGTTGGCCGTCTGGCAGTATCTTGGTGACTTGGAACTTTTACTCCAACCAGTTGTGTAACAAATCCGTCTTCAGTAGCCCGTCCCTCAAACGCCGTCCTTGGTCCGAATCCAGATTTTGGTCGGATTTTGTCATACAACTTCGCTTCAGAAATCCGTGGCGAGAATGTCCTTTCTCAGAAATTACGGTCTGTGTCTCATCGTTGGTGGTACATTGCTGGTGGTATATTTTTCTTCATAAGTTGAACATCTGCGCTCGTTCTTCATCCGGTTGGTGTGCTTTTATTGTGAGAAGGTTGATTCGATGCCCTAATGTATGATGCTATAATTGCAAAACGCTCCACAGAAACCACCAACTTTTCGGATGTCCTCATGCTGCCGTTTCCTTTCTTCGGTTGTGCTCAACCAAAGTGACGAAGTCACTCCAGTTCTCCTCGATCCACGGTCGCCCGAGGATGCAGTCGAATTTGGCTTCGGAGTCTGGAGGCAAAACATAGAACGGCGCACGATATGAACGGGAACTCTGGTCCGCTTCGGAACTGTAACTCCGAAAATGCCACTGAAGGATGACGGTGCTGCTGAGTTCGGTGTATCCACCAATCGAATGCACACGGCCCTTATATGGCTGTTTGGTCAGATCGAGCTCAGTGTGTGCGTCGTCAGAAATCAGATTGAAATCGGCGCCTGTATCCAACAGTACTCTTCGTGGAGTGGTCGTTGATTGATGATGACCTGCCCTTTGATCCTTCTTCGGCTCCAGGTGGATGAACATGAGGACCACAAAGAGGTTGAGACGCTTCCTCTTTTCCTCCATCAACATGACTTCTCCGAGACGTTTTGACGGACCCTCACTGTTGTCGCATCTTGCTGCTCTGCTCTGCTTTTCCACCTCTGTCTGGAACGAACGCACGATGCTAGAACCTCGCAGCTGGTCAAGAATGGGCTTTCTTGCCATGTCCTTTGATTCCGGAATAACTCGAAGTGAAGTGGACTTCGTTTCTTCTGGCGAACGCTTCATCCAGCTGTCTCTGGCTATCCTGTCGTCCACAAAGTCAGTAATTCTAATGTGCGCCTTCGGAAGGTGGAAGAATTCTCGTACTGGTTGGTGGCTTCTCGGCTTCCTCCCTCACTCTAGGTCAGCCGTCTCAGATTCCGCAAGCCATTCAAACTGCAAAAGGATAGGGTCTTCAGCCGCCAGCACGCTGAAAAGAGCAATGATACGGACAGACAAGTCTGTCATCTTAAATAACACCAGGTAGCAGTCAAGCTGCTTTGGGGAATGGCATGATCTCTGCTTGGAATGTGTCGTTGTACAAGGTCGGGCCCGTCCTTCGAGCGAGCTGCAATATGCCAACATGTGACAAACTCCTCCAAGCACGACGAGAACCCTTCTCCCATCTACAGGGCTGCAGCTGTGGGCCTCCGAAGGCTTGAGACATGTCGACTTTCTTGACAAAAACTAGACCTTTCATGTGCAAAGCAGGACAGTCTTGGACTGCTCGGAAGCACCTCCCAGAATCATGGATCAGTTTCACGGCAGGGGGCGTGTCTTTGCAACAGTAGCACCACGGTTTGGAGACTGATAGCAACTGAATCGACGATTGCCAACGGAAGCACCGGTAACTATTTCAGGGCCACATTTGGTAAGGGAAGTTGCAGCATTGGATTTTGCCGGGCTGAAGGAGTCCGAGACCTTGTCAGACTCTCGATGGGTGACTGTTGCGGTGCAAGCCGTGTCTCGATTTTTAGAAATGACCAGGTATCCAGGGACTGTTGGACTATAAATCAAGATGGGGTCATTCCTACCTACCTCATGAGATACCGCAAAATAGGCTGGAACATGTGATGAGAGTCTGCTTCAGAAAAAGCACGTGCGTAAAAGGCCGTTGCCACGTAGAATTGACAGCACGCGATAATCTTCGCATAGTTTCCGTGCGCAGGGACAACCAGGCTCGCAATATGGACTCACCGCGAGAACAACAGTCAAATGGAGAGCGTTTGGAGAGTGGAATCGTCCGGTCATGCTCCTATTGGAAGCTTCCCGTCAATGAATGCTTGAAGAAGACACCTCGGAGCCTGCCAATTCCTCTTGGGCAGCGACGCAGGTGCAAGCCCACCGACGGGCGCCCCACTGGTGAGGAGTGGCGGGTGCGTTGGACGAGTTAGTTTGTGATTCCTCATTATAAGCAGACATCCGCCCGCCGTCCTCCCACAGAAGACATGCCCCTGATCTCCATCACCGTCTCGGAAGCCACCGACAAGATCGCTGCGTTACGGAAATGACAGGTTACGGGGCTTTGGCAGCAATGATGGCTAGCCATCAAAACATTGAAGCTTTCAGGAAATTCTCCAGCATGAACCTGGAGAATATTCTGCATATGCAAGCCGAGCTGCAGCATCTCGAAGTGGTGATCAACGAGGTGAGGAAGATACCAGGGTTGAACAGCTTCGACCGGATCTGGATCGATGACCCTGAGAGCATGTCTGAAGAGGACATCCGCCGAATTTTTGAGCGGTCAAGGACCCTGCTGGACCAGTATTGTAGGAAGCAAGGCTCTGGAACCAATGACTGAGAATAGACGGCTGACCAAGTGGGGGCAGATCGAGCTCTATTGAGAACAGCAAGAATCAACGCGCTGCAGCAACCGCGAAAAGACAACCTTCAGCTCCGCCGGCAATGGTACGACGAAGAAAGTGGTGGCGACCAGTTCTTGTATGGGGTGGAAGCGGGCATTTTCCGAGATGCGAGCATTGAGGCAGACCTGCTAACGCTGAATGAAAACATTGGAAGCAAAGATGCTCTAGCCAACTTTCTGAGCGAAAAGGTGGTGCCGCTATATCACCGGGTAGTAGGATATAAGCTTCACCGGTCCATGGCAGAGAAGGCATTTGAGCGGACCTGGGAGTACAGACCAGAAACATTGGTGCAGGTTGGGAATACGATATGTATGCTGTTGTCAGCCGTGATCCCGGCATTGTCAATCCTGGTGCTGTTCAGCGTGAAAAGCATGGCAGCACGCCTGGTTGCAATCAGCATGATGAGCTTGGTGTTTTCATTGGTGATGAACGTGATTGCTCAGAGACGAGCCGACGTCTTTATGTCCACCACAGCATTTGCTGCCGTGCTGGTGGTGTTTGTAGGCTCAGCAAACGTTATGGGTGGTTGACAGTGGATCGCGAGAGGTATACAAGGGAAAGGGAGAAAACCCCCGAGCAGTTGCACTGTGACACCTTGACCCAAGGAAAGGCTGGTTGTGGTCATTTCGTTATCGACTTCTGTCACACTCGGGCTGCTGTGGGAGCTGGAAAATGCAGTCGTGCGGGCTCAAATGCAATTGTTGGGGTGCAGGATGGCCAAAGGCAAGATATGTCGTCTGAGGAGTTTGATGTGTCTGTTATTGTTTGTACTGTGAGCACACAACTCCGCGCAACCTCGGTCAGCACAAAAGGGCAGATATTAATAACGGGTCTCAAGCGGAAAACTCTTCCATGAAAGCACTCGAGATGAGACAGAACCCGACGGCAATGATTCGGCCGCACCGGCAAGGGATGGTTGATTGAGGCCAGAGAAAAGGGCCAAAGGGCAGGGGGGGTGGATGGAGAAGTGCCCTGTAGGCACCCACGTGATTATGGTGGACCTGTCGGCACCGCAATTTCTATTTTCCGAATCACGGGACCCGGTTGGCTGCTCGGCTGGCTGAATGGTTGGCTTGGCGCGTTGATGAGTGCTGACAGTTGACAGGTCGAATACCTCGTAATTGAGGGGTAGCTAGTAGTGTCCTCACCCAGCATGGAACTTCGGCAGCGCAAGGGCCCTTCAACTAGCCCGGAGAGCAAGAGGGCAAGAGGGCTAAGCCAGAGAGCCGCACTTGTACGCACTGCTACTGTCTTCTTCCCCAACCTCCTTCTCTCGAAGCTCCCAGGTGACGGAAGCTGCCTGCCTCTCCCCCTTCGCCCTTCGCCTTTCGCTCCTCGCTCCTCTCTGCTGCACTTTTTCTCTCTCTCGCACTTCCCAGCTCTCCTCTTCTCTCCTCCAGCCTTCTGGAGCTTCCCTCCTTGTCAAGCAAGGTCAAGCGGCACGCCAACCACTGGGCCAACCTCCTTATGCATTATGATGCTCACACTTCGGCCTCTGCCTCTTCCCACCCCCGACTGCCTGAAGCCCGCCTCATCCCTCCCCCCCTCCCCCCGATTTCTCTCCTCTCCCATCTGTTCCCTCCCCTGAGCAGCTGCTGACTAGTGCAGACCTGAGCCCTGGACTCTGGGCCCTGACGTTTGCCAACAGCTCCCCCCCCCCGAGAGGTCTCCCAAGTTCTCAGCCGTAGTCCACACGCTCACCCCCTACCTCGACCACGCACCTCTTCTCCCTTTCCTTATTTCCACCCATAGCTACCTTTCACTTGTTCCTGTATCCTTATTTCATCTCCTCTGGACCTTCTGCCATCTTCCTTCGTCTACAAGTCATATTCATACATCATCTACACCCATGGCGCCCACCAGAAGCCGACCTGGCGATGAAGAAGAAGAGCTCGAGCTCCCGGAGGACGATGACGAGGAGGAAGAGGAGTAAGTCTCGTCTTGTCCGTCCTCGTTTGTTATTTGCCTCTGCTTGGGCTTCCTCCATTTGGGGTGAACCCGACTGTGTGAAGTGTCTTTAGATTTTTCATTACCGTTTCTGCCTCATGATTGTGCGCGAACCAAGTCAAAGCCCAGCATGCATCATTTCATCCTCCTTGTTCTTGCTGTCCTACACTTGCGCCACCAATTGTGCTCTAACCATCCCGGACAATTCAAAGTGCTGATGTTATTGGTCCTGAGTAGGTATGAAGAAGACGACGACGAGGATGATGAGGATGAAGAGGAAGACGATGAAGAGGAAGATGTAGAGGGCGAAGAAGAAGAGGAGGAAGAGGAGGAAGAGCAAGGTAAGTCCTGATCTCACCATGACCTGAAGTAAGCTCTGCTACCGTCGAAACTTGATTGCTAATCGACTCGACGACACAGCTCCTCCCAAAAAACGAAAGGCTGAAGCCGAACCTGTTGAACCTGTATCCAAGAAGTCCAAATCTACCGCCCAGGAAGAGGAACAAGAGGAGGACGAGGAAGACGAGGAGGAGGAGGAGGAGGAGGAAGGAGAAGAAGAAGAAAATGGCGAGGATGCTCCTGAAGACGATGCCGACGAGCAAGACCAGAAAGTCGAGCCTGCGGCCAAGACCAAAGTCATTCGGGATTCCAACAGCAAGAAGGCCGTGGCCGCTGCCGAAACTGAGGAGCTCGACGATGAAGACTAGCCATTGATTGTTCTCATGGGCGGGTTTCTCTGGCCAAGTTGAAGTGATCGTTGGCATGAAAGATAGACGACGGCGAAAATTTTTCCAATGCAGTGACAATATCTCCCGCACTGACCGCCGCGGGGAAAATTGCCGTGTCGCAATCCCTTTTCTTTCCCTGCCTCCTCCCAAGCTCCTCCCCTATCTCTCTGGAAGTATTTGCCATCGGTTGTGCCAAGTCGCCCTTATAGACTGCTCTTGTGATCCTGAGCGAAGATTTCTTCTGTCTCCGTGATCTCTTGTTTTGCAGACTGCAAATTAGTCGATGGCTTCAATCCGAGGTTGCAACCAGTTCAGCCAGAGCTAATCGCCAGCCATTAAGAGCGTTGCTCCTCCCTTCCTGTCTCGGCTCGGGACATCCGGTTCGCCTGACTTGGCCTGAATATCTCTAAGCTCCAAGCTCCAAGCTCTTTCGCCTTGCACATTCTGTAGGAAGACGTTGCTTAACTCCTGGATTGCTCGTGCTGATCACCTCTCTACAACTGACCGTGTACTCAAGCTCGTCAGGCGATCTGGTGAGCTTGCCAGCTATTGCCCGTCCGTTTATATGGTACTGAGTACTCGATTGACTATGCCAAAACCAGCGATTCGGAAATAACAACAGTCCGCTGGTTCCCTCGGGCGCAATTACGGTGATTAGCGGGCGAAGCGGCCGCACATGGAATGGCATCCCTTCGCTTGATATTGTTCGCAACAACCAACACCAGCCAAGCCAGCTTACCAGGAGGCGAGAACTTCGTCTAAGTCATACTCGGGGTTGCATTCGACATTCATGCTACTCAGTGCCTCTCTCGGTCTTTAGCTGGTGGCCGAGAGATTTTGTGGTCTTGGCCAACGTTGTGAGCATGGAAATCTGTTCGCACGGACTTGATCATTTGCTTAGATCCTATTAGGGGAGTTTAAGCTTGAATTTGTAGCCGCCTGCCTATGCCTACTCTACTTGGGCATCATTTGTAGCAGATGCTCCACTGCGAGATTACTTCATCAAGTCCGCTCTCCGCTGCGTAGATCGGCCGCTTGCTCTTGGCTGTGCGCAGGCAAAGAATGCATTCTAAAGGCCGAGACATGCAAGAGCGCCGGGTTGGTGGTATAAAAGTGTTCACAAGGTCGACCTGTGTCAGTATGAGATACCCAAGTTCTGTACAATAACGATCAGCCACTCCTCGAGCCTTCTCCACGGGCCAAGTTCCATTCACGATCTCCGGTTATCTCAGTCGAGCCTCGATAACATTTCAAAACAATGGCAAGCTGCAAGGTCTGGTTTATCACCGGGTGCAGCAGTGGATTTGGTCGGGAACTCGCACTTGGTGCGTTGAGACGTGGTGACAAAGTGATTGCAACTGCTCGCAATGCCAGCAAGCTTGACGACATCAAGGCTGCCGGCGCCGCCACGATGAGTTGGGATGTCACTGCGCCGTTGGAGGATCTCAAGAAGGCAGCTGAGGAAGCACACCAAATTTACGGAAGATTCGACTATCTGATCAACAATGCTGGTTATAACCAAGTCGGTGGATTAGAGGAACTCACGTAAGTCGTTCTTTGCTCGTTTTGATATGATAGCCATATTCTGATTGAGGAAGTCCGGAACAAACTCAAGCACAATTTGCCACCAATGTCTTTGGGCTGTTGAACACTACTCGGGCTATTGTTCCGTTCATGCGAGCGCAACGGTCAGGGGTTGTGGCCAACTTCTCCAGCGTCGGAGCCTGGCGCGGTGTCGCCGGCGTCGGTCTATACTGTGCTTCCAAGTGGGCGGCCAGTGGTCTCTCGGAAACTTTGTACTTTGAGCTCGCAGACTTCAACATCAAGGTCTGTGCCATCGAACCTGGATATTTCCGATCCAACTTTCTCAACGCCGGAAACAAGCTCAAAAGAGAAAACGTAATTGCTGATTACGAAGGAACGGCTGTGCGAAGGGGAGAGCAGTTGATGGATGAATATGACAACAAACAGCGAGGCGACATCAAGAAGGGCGTCAAAGTCATTATCGACGTCCTCACTGGCGACAGTGGGAGGGAAATTCCAATGAGATTGGTGCTCGGACCAGATGCGTACGCAACGATCAAGGCCAAGTGCGAGGAAACAATCAAGGGTTTGGAGGAATGGAAAGATCTGACTTGCTCAACCGATCTGGACGAGAAGTAGAGTGAGATGGCCCTGATGGTCCAGGTGTCGACGATAATTGGACCTCGAATACTGTTGATTGACGGAGGCCAAAGACCAACTTTGATTTGAGCAGTCGGTTTACTGGGCACGCCTATCTCGCGGCCTCGTGAAGGTGTTTGCATTAACAATGCCTTCTGGGGCGATTTGCACACTTGTCTCCCTCTGTTTCATGGATATCGGATCGCTGCTGTCTCGGAGGATGGATTCGTTGCGAGAAACTCACGGGATTTTGCCTGCTGTCGTCCTTCCTCCTCACATGGTAGCAAAACCGAACAGTAAATTGGGCGGCTGCTGCTGCTGCTGCTGCTGCTGACTGGGTACTTCTCAAAACTCTATGGAGGAGTCGTGTGTGGCCTTTTAATGTACTTGGTCCGTATACAACGACGACGACGACGACGACGACGACGACTGTGCTGACATTACCTTAGGTCAGGCCAGGCTCTAAGGTTGGTTGACCTATGCACCACCTTCTGCTGCCTCGTCCTCGTCCTACTCATCCTCTTTCACCCCATCCACTCGCATTTCCTCGTCTGTCTAGAACCCTTCCACCTAATCTACCGTCTGATCTGATCTGATCTTATTCGTCCACTCGCACGCCCGCCTCCCTTGTGTCTTCCTCCTCCTGTCCCTTTCCGCTCATTCCCCCCACTCAATTCTACCCACGCAGTCGAGTCCCGAATCCCGAGTCCTGTCTAGCTCAGACCTATCAAGACACATCTAGGAAGGAAATTGAAAAGTACTCCGCACAAGGAGCCAAGGGTCGAGGTGCCATGAAATGACATGACATAACGTGTTCAGTCCCCCGAAAATCCGCCCCCGAGTCATGGTCACAGTCGTATGTATGGAGTAGCCATGATCATGATCCCAAGGTCCATCATTTCATGTACAGTGTGTACGGGTCCCATGCCCATTCTTTCGCTGCTTTTACTACATCTCGCTTCGAGTGCGGTGATAAAAATAAACTACCCTTACCCCCCCAGCAGTAATAGCGAATCCCAGCACTCGGAAAACTTCATCCTCCAAGCTCGAACTGGGCTCGGGGACCATTCTCAGCCCCCATATTAAAGTACAGATACTAATACTTATCCATCTTTTGAAACCCCGATTGCCTTGTCCACCCCTGCTACCCGTATGTACCTACGTTAGGCGATTTCCCAGGTGACCCGTTCGTTCTCCTATCCCGCATTGAGCAGGAGTAACATATCCTCTTTCAAATCTGGGGTGTGGGAGGAGGAGGGGGGCCTTTTGCTTCTCTCTTCTTCCTGGTTCCCTGGCCTTTTTGAAACTTGCTAGTGCCTTTGCAGGCGGATTATTCTTATGCTTACTTACCCGCTTAGGTGTTCTAGAGAACACGAGGAGGGACGCGTAACTCGATGCCAATTTCAACATACCATCTGTTGGACCATTATTGTCGTTTCGAAGGCTGTACTCCGTTTCTGACAAAGCTACTTACCTGTCTACCTACTTGCCTTGTAGCTGGCTAGTATGTACAGGCTAGGCTAACTGCATAGCTAGTATTACGCTAGCTAGCCTTTTACCCTTGTTGGTTTACCTCCCTCCTCCCTCCCTAGGTAGCCGCCTTCCTTGTACGGACAGCAGACATCTCAATTATTTGGAATAATCTGGCCACCTAAATATAGCTTCTCCTTCTCCTCCATCCCTCCGAGCTTTCCCCTTTCAGGACAGGACCTAAGGCCACATACAAGGACAGGTTGCGTTGATTGACTAATTTGTTTGTTCTGGATCTGGCGCTAACCTCTCCACCCCCTGGCCGTGACCCTGGACTTCGGATGGTCTTGCCTTGATCCGAGAGAGCGGCGTGAGAGAGAGGAGTACTGTAGGTCGCGAGTGGTAGATACTCCGCCAGACGAGGCTGCGACAATTACGGAGTCCCTACGTCGAGATATGTACACGGTTGGCAATTAGTTGATTAGTTGAAGCTTCCCTGCCTATACGTAGCCAACAAAGCCGCGCCGTTCGTGTTCGTGCAACCACCTACTCCCTACTGTTCCGCTTCCTTGAGGTAGATACCTATTCAGGTCGGTAGGTAGGTAGTCAGGCATGTATCACGTTTAGATCATCTCCTCCTCTATCACAACCATCACCGTCGCGACTACCGCGGACCTGATGCTTCCTTTCTCCCCTTGTGGGAATGGGAACAACCATCAGCCCTTTGGGTCCGGACAATGGCCGCGAGGAAGAGCTCCTCCTTCCGTTTCCCGTTTCCCGTTTCCCCCGTCCCCTCTTGAGAGGGTCTGTGTTGCTAATAATATGAACGACCTACTCCTCATCCTCCTGCTCCCTCTCCTCTCTTTTGCCCAATTACCCATGCAACTTAGGCATGGAGTACTCTACCCTAGGGAGGAGTAAATTCCCGTCCCCCATCCCCCCGTCCGTCCCTCGCCTATGTAGACTCCCACACCCTCTTGCCTCCCTCCCGAGTCTACATCTCCCCTTCGATTCCCCTTATGCATGTGCATTGCATGACATTGCATGGATCTATTCGTCCACGCGGACGGCAGGCCAACACGGCTACAAGGGCTGGTCCCGTCCAATCACCGTGTGCGCCGGTGTGCTGGAACCACTGTCATCCATCGTGTCGAAAAATTTGCCATATATAGCACGGCATATCTCTTATGCAGGTATGCCATACGGCGCGCTCTATACTTTTCCCCCCAGAGCCTCGTTATGATAAGTCCACGCATGGTCAAGCGTGACCATTTTTCCTTTTTCCATCATTCCTTCCAGCAAGCTTCGTCCCACCTTGGTTGACGTTCCCAAAGCGTATTAGGGTGTTCCTGGTGGTCCCGGCACTGTACGGAGTAATCCTACACTATAGACATCGTTTTGTCACTTTCGCACCCTTCCAAACAGGGCAATAATGCCTCCTGCTGACATGCCTAGGTATTATGGAGCATCAGAATGCCAGTACACCCCGTTCAAACTCCTCTGCATACGTCTCTCTTTGTGGCTGTGCTCGGGTCATTCGTTTTCTTCTACCCTTCGAAAATCCCCGACGGAAAAGACAGGCACTTCATCCCCTGCAAGACCTCTTCCCATGACAGCTCTTTCGTGTCTCGTAAACTACGGAGTACTTACGTCCTTCATAACTCCACTTGTGCAACCGGTGGCGAACACCAAAGACCGCCCTACCAAAAGCCCAGCGGCGCCCATCTTTCAAGACACAAGGTCGCCACATGGTCGTAAACTTTGCCCTGCAGGTGTTAATGCAAGGCGACGACGGCGTGGCGGCCGCTCGTAAACTTGCTTCCTGCTAACGCAAGCCTTGGACCGCACGAGGCTGAACCGTCGGACGATCCCCACAGTCATGACCGGGGGGGTTTCATTGAACAACACACACGCACCGTCATTGAAGCGCGCTTTATTTCCCTTTCTGCACCTCACACACTCTCTCGCCTTCCTCCACATTCACAGGTTTGATCTCCACACATGAAAACGAGTACTGTACCGTACCCGTTAGCTTTGATGAGACCACCATACTCCCCGGTCAGAACAGACTCGACCAGACCAATCCAGATCAGATCAGAGACCAAAGCGCCCGGTGTGCGTGCCCATCTCGACCTCGTATCGCATCTATTTAGAGACCTAAAATTAGAACCTGGCGCGTTCGCACTCAATTTCCACGACGACCCGCGCCATGAGGCGGTCCCGCTCTGAGCGTTATAATTCCCATATGCAAGTGAGAGCAGACGGCAGAGATCCGAGGGGCACATGCAGGCATGCAAGGCTTTCAGAATGACAAAGCCTCCCATGCAGAGCGAATTGACGACGGTTTCGTCCGTTTCTATTTTCTGCCCTTTGACAACCGTGATGAAACGTCGAGGATGACGGTGCAAGTTGCAATGGGGAAAAGAGATGAGACAAGAGACGTTCGAAGATGGCGCGGTTGCCCGTCACGTGGAGGCATTCCCTCAGGCTCCCTGCCCGTCAATTGCCAGCTTTCGAAGAGCAAAGGGAGTTGAACATTAATGGAATCTATGTGTATATTGCGCGCGTTGAAAACAACCACTCACCAAAACTGGAATCAGTCCTGTGGCGTCATGATAGACTCGACCGTGTCAATGCAGAGCAATTTCCCATCCCAACCCAAAGCGTTCATGATGCATGCCCCATGCAGATTGCAAACCTTTCCCCCGCTTCCTGTCCTGTAGACGGATACTTGAATAGTCACAGGGAAAGCAAAAGACTTTTCCCCTCGCTCCGAATTTTCCTCCCGTGCTTTTCCCAGTAACCGTCTAGAACCCGCCAAATAAAGATCGTCAAGTTCAAAATCCAAGCGTTCGTCTCGTCGTCACCCGTCGTTGCTTGATTTGCATAATGCGAGAGTTGCCAAATCGTATGTACAAAGTGTGTACGCGGAAGAATTTGTTGAAAGAACGGTGTCCAAAACTCTACCTCCTCAGGAGTCTGTCCATTTTCCATAAGACTCCGTCGAAAATTCGTATTGAGTCTTTTGAGCTTGGCCAGCTAGTCACATATGGACTGACTGGCCCTCGAAGGTATCCATGAAATTCCAGTCGATATCGCCCGTACTCAACCTTGGGTGTGGATCGAGATTGTAACCTAGCAGTGCCGTCCTTGCATGCGGATCAACCTCGTTACTGCCAAAGCTGTGCTCAGAGCCCACCGGGAACTGTTGTCCGGGAAAAGCTGGTAGGAAGTCTTCTGATCCGTGGGCTGGTTCCGAGTAGAGACTGCTTCTCATCCCCGATTGCCATTGCATGGGTGCAACGAAGGAACCCGGGGTATCTGGTTGTGAGTATGCCCCATGCACCAAGGCCGGATTTGACAGTGCTTGAAACGCCGTCGGCTGTGCGAGATCCATTTGATGACTAGTCGGGGTTGGAATGCTGAATTTAGCATTGGGTGGTGTTGATCCGTTCGAATAGGTCCTTCTAACTTGACTTTGCTGGGCCTTTTGGCGGTCCAGGGCCGCCTTCATTCGCTTTCGGATGATGGCGTTGCTACGCTCCAAAACTGGCATGGTACTTGAAGTCTTTTGCAGCACCTCCAAGAGAAAACTCAAGCCATTCTTCTGTGCTGCAGCCGCGGGGTCATCGCCCGGTTGGTATTCTCTTTCAAATCGCAGAACAGCGATGGTTGCGGCAATGTAAACGCTGTAGGCATTGAGATAGGAGACATGAGTAAGTCCGAACGTATTTGCTTGCAACATGATCAGATCGTGGATGGCCCCTGTTGCCTGAATGCACATTTGCCATGACCGCGCGGGTCCCGGTGCGCTCATGTCCCGTGCTCCAAGCACAACCGGGCGGTGCAGAAGGATCACGGTTGTGTGGTAGAGTAAATTCAGCGACATAATATGGACGGGTGGTGCTAGAGATGGCATTTGATCAGGGTTGATTCGCAGATGAGGAGGCAAGGAAATGAGCCAGTCTCGTAGGTCGCGCGAGATTCGCACAAAAGGCGCCTCGCTGACTGCTTTGGCTTCTGCTGAATGGTCTTCCTCTTCCATCTCACGGCGAGCCGCCGCCTCAGAAGAATAGATGTTGTGCATCAGATCGTTAAGAATGACGCAAATCTTGCACAGCTGTCGGAAGCATGAAACCACATATCCAGGGCAAGGAGGGTAATTGGGGGCACTCGCGAGTTCAGGCGTCGGCGTCTCTCCATAGTATGGTGCCCAGAGGTCGCTATCACTGTAGTCATCCATGAAGGTAAGGGGAACTTCCTCGGTCGCGGGAGTGAAACCGGGCATCCGACCCAGGTATAAGGACAGGATTTTATCCCAAGTATAGCAACTCCAAAACAAGCGCTTTCGAATTTCGATGTCTTCAGGTGTCAAACTTTTCACAAACGCCTGGAGTTTGTCGCTGGGAAGGTGGATTCCCATATCTAACGCCATGCGAAAAGCGACGCCTGAGAATGTCCACGCTTGAGATGATCTCCCAAGCACGACTTCTCGGGCAGACTGTTGCAGCAGGGCTTGAATGGTTGGAATAGAGCTGTTCCTCAAAATGTCCATGCCCAAGCCAAATCGCGCTTCATCTGTGATTTTTTGCATAAACTCTCCAGCGCTCATTGAGCTTCCCATGGGGCTGTGCTGGCTCAGTACACTGTGATATTGGTCCTGGTAAACGTCGTGATTCAAAAATCTGGAACCATGTGCGTGTATCACCTAAAAAGCCAATCAACAAAATAGCCTGAATCCGGATTTTTGGCAAGGTTTTGCCATACCTTCAACAGAGTTTCTGAAAAGTATGGTGGATCTTGGGCGCCTGGAGTATTCAGATCCACCATGGCCATGCCTCTTGTAAATGCAGGCCTGTACACAAACAGAAATAAAGGATGCATCCAGCACCAGTGATACTTGAGCAGTTCATGCGAAATTTCCTTTGGCACGTTTGTCTTCGCGGCGCCATTTGCAATTGCAAAAGGTTCAATCTGTCTTTGGTGAGTGGCATTTAAGATTAGGTCTCGTTTTACACGCTGGTCCTCGTGCAGATTTCCACTGTAACTGAGCTGGGCAGCTATAGGGGGGTGATGGCGCTGACTTGACGGTGGTTCGTGAATGGGAGACGTCGAGTTGTGAAACGTTACACCTCCACTGTCGTCCACGCTAATGTCGGCTTCCCACTTGATATGTCGATTTCGATGTGCCAGAGCTTGACCTGAACTTTGAGATCCGGCGGTTTCGCTAGCGGGCGATGCTGAAGGCAGCTTCTTGTCATCGTGAGAGCCGGCCTGGCCCCATCCGTCAGATACCCCTGGTAGCGAGACACAACAAAGAGGCTACTTCGTACCCTGCTTAGCCAAACTTGGGTCTTGGCTTGTCGCAGTTGCGCTTTCAGTTCCTGGATTTCCTCCTCTAATGATCGCACGTAGGCGAGTGAGGGCGGCTTGTCGTAGTGACAGTCGTCTTTGTATGCGATGCACCTACAGATTGCATCAGAGCTATCGATCCGACGCACATTGACCGTCGTTACTCACGTGGTGCACTTGGGTGTTTTGCCGTCGCATTTCGACTATTGACAAGTTAGCGATTTATGCGAACGCTTCTGGGGGCCACCAATTGCCCCCCTTTCCGCCCTTCCACCAGGCTGAGGATTGAACGAAGAGAGGAGTGAGTGATCAATGATACCTTTCTTCTACGGCAACCAGCGCATGTGGACTTGCGATGCTTGGATTTGGGTTTTTGTTCGACTTCGGTAGGCATGTTTGAGTATGGAAGGACAGATCGAGTCGGGATTGCAAAAGTTGGGAGAGCAGAGAAATGGCCAAAAGTCAAGTTGAGTTCATGATCCAAAGCCTCGTAGGGCGATGAGGGACTTTGAATGGCTTGTTCTCCTCACGAGATCAGAATCAGAATTGGAGACAAGGTCCGTCAGCAAAAGTGCCACCCCTGTCTCGTGTCTGGAGAGCTAGGATATTTTTTTTAATACAGAGGCCGGCATGGGAAGGCAAGGTATTGCTTAGCGTCATGCGAGGGCGATTGTCGGGGCAGCAGACCCAAACGAGACGGAATAGACAAGGGTCAAAAACTCTGCGGGATGGCGGATGAGCAGTTAGGGATGATACTAGCAACGACCTGCACTGGGAAGGGAAAGTACCATCTGATGCTGAGTTACTTCTCTTTCTGGAATAGCAAATATGGGACGTGGGAAGCTACAATTCTCGAGAATGAGTTCAGAACGACCGGGGGTGAGTGGTGGGTTCGAAAGCTTAGGGCACGAGTAGTACGAGGAGGAGGCCGGGGGGGTGGTTGTGGGTGGTGGGTGGTGGAGGACGGCGGCGCAGGGCTGCGTGTGTGGTTGTGGGATGACGAGTTTGGTCTCTTCCTTCTCTTTCGCCTTCTCGTCCGCTCCAAAAAGCTCGCAGCTGGACTGGAAATGGCAGAAGGTGATGGGCCAGTCGAACGGGGGGGACAGCTGCTCGACATAGCCGAAGCCGCAGCGAACACGCAACCGTCCGGGAGGGAGCAGGTGAGCAGGGATGCGGCATGGTGATCAGGATCTGAGGGAAGTCCGACCCGTGTTGCAGGATGCGCCCAGCGCCGAGCGACACACCTTCTCAAAAGCGCAAAGGGCAGCGCAAAGGGCAGAGAGAGGAGCTTTTGGGAACTAGAGAGAGCTAACCCGCCGCTTTGACAAGCATTGGGCTGATCAAGAGGGAGTTGGGGGGGATCATAGTCAGTAGGGGTCGTGATGACGGGGATGGCCAGGACAGAGGGAGGCACAAGAGGCATTAGAGGCACTAGAGCAGGGGATAGATCGGGTTCTATGACATGCTGTGCATTAGCGGGATTTGTTAATACAGTATGTCCAGGCTAGTTGAGTAAAGATTCTTACTGAGAATGGACCTTGACGGGAGAAGGAAGTGTTGTACCGAGTACTAGTGAAATCGTGCGGTACTGGTACCCGTAAAACAACAATACCGAATGTTAGAAACAAGAAGATTGACCAGAGAGGCCTATTGTTGGTAACTCGGTATGCTGGAGGAACCACTTTCTGCGAACCCGTTGATCAACCACTCTTGTAACCCTCTTTTTCTCTGTCTCCAACGCTATTATCAAACCACAACTACCTCAACAAAGGGCAGGTGGTGGTGGATGGTGCACCCGGCCCCGAGGCCTCACCAGCCCAAAGCACAAAGCCCAAGAGAGAGTTTTGGTCCTTCTCCAACCAGGCAAGCGCCATCGACCCTGAACGAACCAACCATCTTGCCCTTGTGCCAGCTCACCTGTCCAGCGGCTTTGACACGGACTGACTAAAACACGGCGTCGACTGCGATCACCACCGATACTCCCCGTGGACGATGGACTGCTCCTGCCACTGCCGCTGGCGCCTTACAAGTGGCAATTTCTCAACTGCTTCAGATCCTGATTGATGATTGATGGCCTTTGCTTCCCCTTTGTCATCAAATAATAAGAAACTCAGCGCCTTGTCATCTCCGGCCCAAACTGCTGGAAGCCCCCAAGAGGAGGAAAAGGCCCAGTGGGAGACAAGCCTGTGCCACGTCGTCATAACATCTCGCTGAGTTTCACGAACACGAGTCGGTCAGCGATAGGCAGGATAGGCCATGCAGGGTCAAAGCCCACGTCTGGTTAGTTCCAACCTGCCCCAACCGACGGGAACCGACCTCTCAGATCGCCCTTTACCCTTATGTTGACCGTGTCATCGTGGGCTGTATTGCCTGGTTTCCAATGTATTCCAGCCTGCTCACGGCTCACTGCTCATCGCTGAAGGCCTCAGGCCTTGATGGCTTACGAGTATAGGGGAAGCTAAGTAATCGCACAATTTACACACCCCCGGACGCTTCTCCTGCATGGAAACTCCTTGTTCTTCTGTCTATCCCAATGTGATCGAAAGCCAAAGCTTCGAGAAACTCGAAACCTGGCCCGACAGACCATGGCTGCTGCTGCTGCTGTTCCCACTGGTGCTCTTGCGGATCCGCACCGTCGATCTCTCTGAACTTGAACGAATACGGAGGCTTAGCCCAATCGATACAATGGTGTTGGGGTTCTATCCCAAGTATAGGAGCGGTCAGCACTCTATTCGACATAAGCACTATTTGCCTCCCGCTTGCTCCATGCCTGAAAGCCAGACGTTCAGTGAGTCGTCGGCCGCCCTTGCTTGCCACGAGGGGGCCGAGTTATCAACCACTCTCAATCAAAAGGTATGGACTTGAATGGATCCAGTAAATATGTCCCGACCATTGCGACTTACCCTCCAGCGTCCCCTAGCCTTATTCTGGAGTTTTCGTCTGGAGAATCCCGGTCGATTTTCGAGCCCACCCATGCCTTTGGAATAGCACACAACCTGCAATCACGAAAGCATGCCTTTCCCCATCGACAACGTTAGATAATAGACTTCCGGGTCATAGGCAAAACTATCTGCCAATTTCTGCATCATATGCAACGTCGGATATTCATTATCCAGTCTGACTAACCCTTCTATAGCAAATCGTGGCGTCCCAACGGCGCTGATATCCTATGGGCTAAGGGCACAACCGGGGCGCTGGAAACAAGGCTAACGTACCTACACTGGGTCCCTGGTCTTTTTCCTTTCTCCAACGTCAACGAACATTTCGAGATTTCCACTCCCTCTCGATCTTGATCAACCAATTGTTTCATGTTAATCCCGAAGGATCAGCTTTTCGATAGGCGCTCCGAACCGTGGTTCCACTGAAAGACCTCTATGAGATGACCACCCTTTTGATGTCTGCATCTCTAAAATTGGCGCGTCTCGAAATTGGTTGACAGCCGTTAGACGAAGCCTCGCAGCTAGATTCCCACCTCTGCGTTCCCATGAGTTCTCGTGGAGAAGGCCACACGCATGATGGGCGCCCGAAATCTTACAAATCAATAATTACCAGGCTCGTGAACCCTGTCAGTTACATGCTGTGATTAGTGCTCAGCCTCCTAGCTTGCGAATGCCAGACTCTCTCTAATGGTCTGTTTGAGGAAGGACCATTACACACTGATATTATTGGGCCCGATTGCGACTCCCAGGCTTTCGTTTCCCAGTGACGTCGATTTCGAGTCAGGTTAGGCGGAGTCAGAATGCTCGCACAAGCCCGAGGCACAAGAGGCATTAATCTCTCAAAGTCTTCCAAGATTTCGCAAAAAGGCTAAGCCGACGACTCTCTTTGTCAAGCGTCGCGGAGCGCTCATGCGCCCAATCTTGACAGCCGATATCCGGGGTTCTTCGAAGGATTGGTCTAACACCACCAACACCTTTGCTGGACTTAGTCATTCGACTTAAGGTTAGTGAACCCAAAGTGCGTGTTAAAAAAAAGAGGCTAAATTGCCCCTCCTCATGCACAAGGTGACTTGACCAAAAGTACGTGCAAGGACACATGGACAGGAAAGGGATGTACCGTCAGCCAGTCACGGATGGGTCTATTTTCTCTGAATCTGAATCCCATGCCAGATCACGTGTTTCCACCCTTCATCGGGCAGTCGAGAGTGGCTAGCCATTCTTGCAAGAGTTCAAGGTCCTTTCATCGCTTGACATCCATCCTGATGGGTTTGCGATAGTCTCCTGCACCAAACAAGTGGATGAAGTCAAAGGTGGTGTTACATATCTTGACTCTCTATTATCGCAAGGATCCTGCTCCGCCATGGAGGCGACTTTGCTTCCCACGTTCTGGACCTCCTAGATCGTTGTTCAGGTCCAAGTCATGGACAGCAAGCAATTCTCCATAGCCATCCCATTGACCGGTGGATTCTACTAGCTGGAACCGCCGGCGTCGCCGCTAGCCTTGGAGTTCTCGAGATGTCGTCCAAGTGCTCCTGCCCCAAGTCAACATTCTGCTGCTGCTGATCAACAGAGAGACTTCACACACCTGCTCATACCAAGTGTAGAGCTCTGTGGCCGGGCAAGGCCAGGTCCTTCCGCACGACAAAGGTGACGGCCGTGATCACTGGTGCGGACCCATCACATTTACCCCGCGTGGTCAGGGTCTTGAAAGTTCGACGATCCACGAGACCTAGGCCACTGTCTAGCAAGACGCTCTTCGGGGAAGAACGATTCTCGCGTAGAGTGGTGTATCTCGAGTCCTCAGCAAGACAGGTCTGCCACGTCGTACGCCGCACCACCACGGCGGATCCAAATCCCCGCTTCTATACTGTTGACCAACAGGGAAGAAATCAAGCATCATGCGCAACGGCCCATGCGCCGTCTCATACTAATTATGATACATACTCTTCCAGGCTCAAGGTCCCGTCGGGACGGCTTCGCACGAAGAAGGACCAGACACAGAAGGATATCGGCGTGAATCAGATTTCCCAGACGACCCAGGGAGGTTGTTGTTGCTGGTCCGCGTGTTTCATCCTGTTGAGGTGGTCTTTGACAACAGCATGGCTTTTCTGACCCCAAACTTGAGACGTGGAGGATTTCTCTGCTCAGGACATCGCCTCGCCCTGTTGCTCCTGGAGCACCTCATCGTCGTTGCAGTCGAGGCAACGGCGGAGCTGATTAGCCCTCTCTTAACTGTCCGGAAAGTGGCCGGTCAGGTGCTATTTCGCAGGGCGAGGTTTCAAAGGCCGCGTCAATCATAAGTACTTAGACATGTGCTTCCAGGTACATAGTACATAAGTCTCGCTGGACCCTTCTGGCTTCTAGACTCCAAACCTCCAAATTCGAGACTGCGGTGCTGTGGTCTGAGGTCTGAGGCCTGAGGCTAGGGGAGACACTATTCACAAAGAATGCAAAATCGGCAGAGAGAACGAACTGTCGCCGGGTCGTACTCGGTCCTTGCCTTCCAATGATGCAATGAACAATCTTCGACTGCCGCAAAGGAAACCTTGGTTCTCATCTTTGGCCCTGGCCACCCTTTCTTGACCCTTTCCGGCTTCTGCTGAAGGTTCGTCATGTTCTCAAGACAAACACAGAAGCAGCCTGGTAAGTGTTTCGTTGAATTGGCCTCCGCCGGCTCTTCACTCTTGCCGCGCGTAATTTCTTTCTACCTAGATGAAGAGAGAGATAGGGAGAGAGAGAAACGGACTGCTTCGGATCTCCTCAGCACTGTCGCAGTCTCCAGTTTGGGTCAATATCCTTTTTTTAACATGCGGGTTCCTGGCTTCTCACCTACCTACCCAGTACATAATACCCGTACCTAACCGTTAGGCTGTTTTCTCTGCTGACTTTACCGACCGACCAGGCCAGGGTGCCGCCGTCCATTGTCATGGAACTTTGTTGGTGTGCCCAGCCCACCAGCCCTATGGTTTCGTCTGGAAACTGCGCCCCAGCCATGCCTATCCGAGGCTGGTGAGGCACTTTCAACCCTCCACATTGTTTTCCCTAGTCATGCTCACCCACAGGTATTGCAGCACCACGGGCATGTCCACAGTGCCCCTAGTCTCACTCACTGCGTTGCTCGCAAACTTCATGCAAGAATGCCATCTAAAATATCCCCGTCCCGAATGCCTGCTGCACCTTGCCACCTACCGCCCGGTCGCCCGCGCCCTCGACCTGGCGTCTCAGAGCACACATGCCATTGCTCACCAGCAGTAGCCCAGTCCTGAAAGGGACTTCGTGCTGATGGGTCTTTTCTCTGTTTATCGAAGCTCTAGTCCGCCGCCGAGATGCTTGGAACCTGCTTGCGGATGTCAAGGCGACATATCTATCCTGTCGTCCTGTGTCGCTCTCCCACCTTGTCCTAATCACGGCTACCCACAATCTGCAAGATGGAGAAGCCAAGCATGATAGAAAGAAACGACAGTGACTCCGGGACCTTGGCGGGGGAAGAGCTGGGAACAATTGAACCCTATGGAATACAGCCAGAGTGTCTGAATCCTCGGCAGTCTGAAGATGCGCAGGATCCTCTGAACTGGCCTCTGTGGCTCAAGGTTGGCCCATGGAATCTGTCCTTGAAGGCCCAGAACTCCTGTTGATCATCTGCAGATTGTCATATTGACCCAGACGTCCCTTCTTGCCGCAATTGGCGGTCTGAACACGGCTGCCATCAACCCCGCCTTGGTGTTGCTGGCCCAAGACTTTGGGATCAGCAAAGTTGCCGCTTCGTATCAGACGTGAGTCTTATCTTGACGACGCCTCCTCGTCCACCAACTGCTGACTTTGCACCAAGCACTGTCTGTATAGCCCTCAACGGAATAGCCCCTTGGCTATGGATTCCACTTTCGAACAAATATGGTAGACGGCCTGTTTACTTGGCTACGACTTTCTTGGGCTTCATTTCCGCCCTGGGCTGTGCCTATACCCGATCTTATGGTCAGCTCATTGCTGCCCGGGTCTTCAATGGCTTCTTCCCAGTCGCTTTTGCCCTGGGTGCTGCCACCGTCGTGGACTTGTTTTTCTATCATCAGCGCGGCAGAGCCATGGGCTTTTTCACCGTGACCATGGTCAATGGAAGCCACCTAGCTCCCATTGTCGGGGGCCTGCTGGGTGAGTACTGCGGCTGGCGATGGATCTTCAAGTTCGTGGCCATTGTGGATGGGATCATGTTCACCACCGCTTTTTTTTCTCTGCCAGAAACACTGTACATCAGGAAAAGGTCTGTCAGCGCGTCGAAGCCCAACGTGGTAAAGCTGCCGACTGAGCATCCACCTCGATTCACAAAAGAAGTCTACTTCTCCCGCTTACAACTCTATTCAAATATCCCTGAAATCAGACTGAGGCTCAATCAGTTCGTGCTTCCGGCGTTGAAGATGATCAAATATCCGTCAGTCCTGTTTCCGGCTCTATATTACGCCACTATGTATGGTTTTGCATCCATTCTGCCCGCCGTCACTGTCGCAGCAATCTTCACAGAGTTCTTCCATTGGAACACACTGACCATTGGCCTCACTTTCGGCGCATCTCTCACGATTGGAGGAATCCTCGGCGAGTGTGTCTCGGGGTGGGTGGTCGATCGCATGGTCAAACGAGAGCGAAAGCGACTCGGCCGTGATCCGGAACCGGAGGTTCGACTTAAAGCCATCTGGATGGGTGAGATCATCGTGCCTGCTGGACTTTTGATCTATGGCTTTTGCCTGCAATATCGCACGGTGTGGATTGCGCCCATACTCGGGATGGGTATCGCCTGCTTTGGCCTGCAGATCATTACAACGACGACATACACATACGCAATTGATTGTTACCGCACAGAAAGCAGTGAGGTTGCGCAGCTGTTCAACTTTATCCGTCAAGAAATTGGCTTCACTTTCGCATTCTATGTCGTCCACCTGGGGAACAAAATCGGATACCAGTGGACTTTTCTCATGTTCGCTCTCATTGGCGGCGTATTGGCCTTCATCCCAATGCTCTTCATCATTTTCCAGGGAGAAAAGTGGAGAAAGAGACTTGGAAAGCCAGTGGGCGTCAACGTCCTTGAGAGCATGATGGAAACAACGGACGAGCATAATCATGCCTCTGGACGGAACGACATCGGCAGGGCATAAGGCCCAAAATGCGAGATGACATGTGGCTGATGAAACGCACAAGGGGATGGCACGCCATGGGATTTTGGAATCCCATGCCACTGGCAGCAGGCCTGTCACGCAGTGCCTCAGCTAATGCAAGTCATCTGCATCGTGACCAGATCTCCTGCAAGGCTGATGGAGCACGATGTCGGCACGACCCCGCGGGAACCACGGCTATCAGTGCTGCACGTCAGTGGTACATATACATGACATATACGAGGTGACATCTCACTGATAAATCTGGGTATCCCGATGGTGTGTGTCGGAAGCGAGGATGGCGCCAGTTGTCCGGGGGGTTCTGCGTGGGAGGGTTGTGTCCCCGAAGCTTCTTGCTAAATCCCGGAGATTTCGCTGGTACATCCCCCCTCTCCCCTTAGCTGGGCTCCCAATGGGTGTGAAAGATGGTCCGCCCGGGAGGACTCCGGAGCGCATCATCAACCAACCACCAGTCTATCTTTCATCGTTTAAACTTCGGACAGATTAGGATCACCGCTGCTGAAGAACACTGCAGCGGCACGGCCGTGGGATATCCGTTCATTTCCGCTTGGGTTCCTTATTCTGCTGCCTAGCCACAATCAATTCAGCTAGCCGTGGTCCCACCGGAGTCTGCTGCAAGAGAGCGGTCATAAGATGGCGACAAGGGGTGAATCTGACATGCTAGGCTCTTCATCTGTCTAAGGTATATTAAGCTAGAAGGCCCTCGACAGAGAAAGCCTGCAGGGCCCTGCAAATCTTCGATTCACAATCGCCCCGGAACGAAGAATTATCCAATGCTTTGTTTTTGCCATGAAGAGAGTCTCAAAGAACGCTCCATCGCCCGAATCTTTTTTTTGATCTAGCTGACCTAGGAGAGTATCTCCAGTACTCTCGAGTTTTCCGGCTTTTGAGTCCGCTGTGAGGATCATCGATATTTCAAATGTTTGGTGAAGGGGCAAACCCTTTCATTTGCAATGAAAGCAAGCCGAAAGGCATTGAACCCTCAGCCTGTGAAGTCCATGGTATTCTGGACTAGGCGCCTTCATTGATCGTGCTTAAGAAGCCGGAGGACCACAGGATAACCAGGAGGTCTTGGGACTTCCTACTCCCGTCGACACTTTGAAAAGGTAGTTTTCTTTCTTCTACTTCGGTCAGAACTATGGCTATGTTGACCTTGCCATACACGATATATCTCTTCGAGACAACCCTTACGCTGACACAATGGCAGCGCGCCACAGCGAATGGTCGGTAGTCATCTTGCTTCACAATGTATCAGAGAGTTCTTACTCTGAGGAATTGCACATGGAGAGACGGAGTGGAGGATGGGATTGTGTGTCATGATACGACTCGTACGTACAACACCCAGTCGTCCTCTGAGTCATGGCCTAGGTGGAGATCTCTCTCTACCTTTAGGTACACCATCAAACACCAGTAGACTGGCCGGAATATGGCCGCCCTTCGTTCGAGATAGCCGTGACGGCAACTACCCCTCGTTCTCATGGGATGTTCTGGACCGAAACTCTCAAATGCCCATTCACTACTAGACCTCGAAGCTTGGCAGCCAACGATACAATCCCCATGAACTCCCTATGAGGAGCCTAATGAGTTAGCTCTGTCAAGGGTAGTCCGGACTCGAAAGTTTTCCAAACGGAGTGACGCCGCTAGTCGAGATTGCTGTCTAACAAGTAGGTACGCGCATGGAGTTCTTATACGCAAACGCGTGATCATCGCTGGATCCCGATCCCATACACCAAAGGGAGCCAAGAAGTGCTTGTCTCCACTTTTGGGGACGTGCCCGCCTCCATTGGGGGAGAGAGGAAGGAAAAAGAGAGAGAGAGAGAGAGAAAGAGAGAGACGAAGAGTTTGCCAACCTACCTAGGCAGGTGGTGCCTTCCTATAATGTTCAAGTGCAGAGGAAGTCCTATCCAGTCGCAATTCAGGTGAGGCTAGAAACGTGAGGAGCGGTAGAGGTTTGGTGAGGCGAAGTGAGGTAAGAAAATAAGGGAACGAGAGGGGAGATACGCGGCAAAAGACGGGAAGAAGAAGACGACGAAGGGGAGGAACGGAGAGTGGTCCTGGATTCTGAACTCTGGGTCCCAGGGGCTTGGAGAGGAATGGGCTTGAGAGAGAGAGCGCGAGAGAGAGTCGGGACCGTTGAGAGGACGGACATTCGCCGGGCCGGGGGGGGGAGGGGAGCCAAAGAGGGAGCAAAACGTATGGAGTCCTCAGGACGACATGGCCTGCCTGCTCATGGCATGTAGAGCACAAGCAAATGAAAAAACATAATTATAGACGCGAGTACAAGGACCGGTGAAGAGGTAGGAGAGGCTGTACGTCGCTGCAAGTCCAACTCCGTTGAAGGCGACATCCCTCTTGACACATACGAGGAAGGTACAGAGTTAGTGACTACACCGATATTCTCTATATCTCCTCGCAGCGACAAGGCTCTGGCTCTACATATATTTTATCTACGTTCTTCTCTCCTCCCCTATGTACCTAGGTAGGCTTGCACGTATCCAAGGGGACAGAAAAAGGATAGTAGGAGTCCCGTCCGTAATACGGAGTAGTTAGAGGACTTGTATAGGCGAAGGAGACACGGAAGAGGGGAGTGAGGGAGGGAGAGAAGGAGAGATGGAGCATGGAGTCCCTGTTATTCCGAATGCTACGATTACGATATAACAAGGACCTCTTGTCACCCTGTTCTGTCCTCCGTACTGCCACCCTGCGTGTAATATGTTTCCTCGGCTCGGCTCAGCTCAGATCAGCCCACCACCACAGATAAAATGAGGAACCCTCAACCGCCATCACCAGCACAGACGGAGGGCAAGTCTCCATGCAGATGCCAAAGCCAGGTGTACTCCCATACTCTGTCCTGTATGCATGCTTCCTCAGCTCAGCTCGTCACGATAGACAGAATTTCTCCTCGGTCTGGGAACTGAAACATTGAGCCCAATGGGCCTACAAAAGGGGATAATAGGGAGAGTCCAGATCCAGTACTGAGATTACCGGGGAATGCTTTCAACGCCCGTGTCGATCGCTGCTTTATTGCTGTGGAGTCAGTAAGCTATATCCTTGTACACCCGGTGCAGTTCTTCAACTATCGATACTCTGTTGCGGTCTACACACAACCAGTATTGAGACGGCAAACCTCTCACTTTCATTCCGACCTCTGTTCATCTAAAACCACAGACGAATCCTGGCGAGCCAGCCGCTCTTGGGCGGTTGAATCAGCTCTTACCCGCTTTACTGTGATCAACTCTGCCGATCCGTCCTAGCCTTCAAAGTGAAACCTAGCATTTCCGCTCACGACCCTCATCACTCTGGCCTCATTACCTGCTTCGAAGTTTTCTTCTCCCACCCGATCGGCTTCGAGCTCGTCCCTCCACATGTCATCTGAAGTCAGAGGGAATGTCTCTGCTCGGGTTCTTCCATTGGCGGCATCATCGCCCTGAAGAGCCTGTTGTGTAAACCGACTTTCGTCCCTTATCCTCAACCGCTGCAACCGAACGCCTGCAGCCCGCACACTTCTCATCAACTCCCTGTTCCGCCGATCACGCAGACTGATAGCTCGTGCAGTTGGACTCTGCTGCGCGGCTTCCTGATCCCAGCCTTCTCGGCCATGGTATGAAACAGAGGCAGATCCGATACGGAGCATCCCCGGCGGTGCGGTATAGGCAGCGTCTTGCTCGGTGATCAATGGATACCTTGAAATATCAGCGGGGGTTTGTGGTTGAGAGCTCGCAGGAAATGAATCATTATACACCGTGTAGACATTGCCATCCGGATATCGATGCCTTGAAGGTCGTGGCTCAGTGCGTGGCAGAGCAGCAGCATTGCGAATCGGCGTTGGCGTGATTGGCAACTGGGTTGAGCTGGGAGATGCATGTTGCTGCTCAGAGTCGTCCCTTGCTGGTGTCATTGGAAGAGGAGGGGAGCTCGACATATCAGTTATGGAATACATGTGTCCGAGGAGGTCGCTGCTTCGACGGCGTTCTAGAGTACGATCAGCAGGGTTGTTGTTGTATGCATCTGCGGAACCATCCCCTGGCGGTGAATCCAATACCGGACTCGCGAACATGATGTCTTGTGCTGATTGTGTCCGAGCCGTGGTCCAAAGGGGTGGTGTCCGTTCAAAGGGCGCGCTATCCGCCGTATCGTCCAAGGAGATCCGATTGATCCCGTCTAGGATATGATCCTGGGTCAATGTATCCGTAACAGAATCTCGCTCGGAGGATTGATATGGGTAAGTATGACTTCGCCGCTTGTAGTTTCTACGTATGGGAGTGACCATCGGCGCAGGAACAGTTTTTGCCTCCTCCGGGTCAGCAGAAAGACGCTCTGGTGACACCGCCTCGGCAAATCGCAGCAGTGAGCTTTTACGAGGAGCATGCCGATTGATGTGAACGGTTGGAACTGGTAACGCGGGCGACATTGGCCTACGGTCCTGGGAATCTTCACCCTGGTGAGCGAGAGATTCTGGAGTATTGTCTTGCGGCTCGCCAGTGTCTCCAGAAAGGTCTGGAAAGCAGGAGACCGGCTCATCTGTGGACTCGGAAGAACCGCGAAGAGCAGGGCTTTCAATCTTGAATTCGCCTTGGTCACTTTCTTGCGGCGACGGCCGGGGACGAAGGTAGGACAGTTCGGTGGTACTCAAGATGGACAGGTCGAAGCCTGGTAGACCGGGATAGACTGCATCTGCCGCAGTCTTGCGGTAGTCGTTCAGATAGCGAATAATGTCTTCCTTCTTGAAGCCTTGCCTCAACAAGCCTTGGTAGATCTCTGTTTGTCGTACGTGGAAATCAATATCGCTTTCTGAAATGGACAGGCTGCTGGGTGGTAAACGAATCATGATGCAGTAGTTAGCAATGAGACAGGATTCCGATACGAATCCGACTTGGTACTGAGGCAAGGGTCGAGGCAGACGTGTGTTCTCGCTCCTCTGTATCCATGAGGCCATCAGGCGGACAACCGCCACGGCTTGCGCGCTGGACTGAGGCAGGAACGTCACCTTCGCAGTATCCAGCATCCTCGTCGAGCAATGGGGGCAGGCAGGAGGGACAGGCCTGGTCACGGAAAGATGTTCCCTTACCTCTGCCATTGATAGCAACATTTGATGTGGACACGATGGCAATGATGGGTTGACATTGAATCACACCTCCCTCCACGCGGTCCTTCCACGTCTGCCCATTCTAGACGGTCATTCTGAAGAAGGCGCAGTGCGTACTCCGTACAACAAGACGAGAAGCTGTCGATAGACCACCCGCCCCGGTTACGCAGCGGGGGAATCTTTTGTACATACGACGGACGTGGATGTCTGGTGGATGTCTTGGTGGTCACATGAACTCCACCGCAATGTTCCCATCTTTCCATCTTTGCATCTTTGCGTCCATCTGCGCAGCCGAAGTGGAAAATGGCCATCTAGTAATTGCTCGACGCGGCGCAAACAGTGTGAATATAATCAGTGCAATACTCGGTACACACATAGATAATATCAGCACGAAGATCGCGTCTCGACTGCAGTTCTCTCGGCTAATCGGTGGCTAATCTGTCCTGGGAACTGCGCTGCGCCGCAGCGCGACCCAACATCCATCCATCATCCTGGCGAACCTTTCGAAACCATCAATTCGTTACCCGGCTGCACCAATTCACCAACTACTGTTCTTCTTTTATTCAATCACTCTCTCCCCACGCTCGCTACCGCACCTCAAGCTCTTCGCCCTCGGCGCCGTCGTCCTCATTCTGTGCTGTCCGTCGAAACGAGAGCCCTAGATCAGACTCGTGTGTCCCAGATCAGATCAGATCCAGGGGACTCGCAACCCGCAATCTGAAACGACTCGCAATCTGTCTTGAATCCTCGCATCTTGACAAAGAAAAGACACTCACCTTCTCACTGCTGCTCTGGATGCCGCAGCGATGAGGACACCAGAGTCTCTACTCTGATCAAACCGCTCACCACCGAGACGTCATTGGGCACAATTCCTCCTGTCCAAGCCACCTCGTCCACGAGTCTGAATCCCCCGTGCCACAATGGCCGACCTCTCACTTGGTCCGCTGCGGATTGCGAATCCCGATGATGCTTCGCCCGATACGCCATTGCAGCCTCAACCGCCCGCATCTCAGTTCCCCCGGGTTTCGCCTCTGGTCGACGCCGATGGGAGGACAGATTATATCTCCGCCACCCCTCAGCGCTCTCACAGCCCTGTGTCCCCAATGGAGTCCGAGACCGGGCCCGAAGACCTCCCATCTCACGCGGTAGCTCCCCCGTCGTTCTCGTCAATACCATCGTCTACGCCCACGCAACCTAGCTTCATCCAAAATAATGCATCCGCCGAGCGGCTCGCCCAGCGACAAAACATCCCCTATAGCTATCAAGATCAGCAACAAGCACAATTTCCTCAATATCCTACCATGATGCCTCAGAACCTCCACGATCCCAGGTCGAATGCCTCACGTCCGGGTTCCGCATATTACACTCAGTTGCCGGTCAACGGCTCAGCTACCAACGGGGTTTCCCGGCAAGGATCGTATAGAGTTCGGAGCGATGGGTCAGGCTCCACAGGATTTCCTCAACGGACATCCTCAAAGCGCTCGGGACTGGGAGACGTTGCTGGAGTGCCGTCAAGAGACGATAGTCACACCGAAAGAGCATATGGTCAAGGACAATATACCCCGGGCAACGGACCATTACCTCCGCGGAGAACTTCTCGGGGTGTGCCCGGCCCTCGCATGGGAAGTACACCGACCGGCAACACACCCCTCTCCACCACCCCTATTTCCATACAGACACCCTTATCAAGTTCCCCGTACAACATGGAAGACCGTCCCCTGACTAGCGCCGAGGAGTGGCAAGAGCGCGGAGCCGCCGTCGGAGTAAAGAAGGAGATTGGAGCAGATGGAACTGTAGCTTATAAACCGGTCAAGAAGGGTGTGAGGGACTTCAATTTCGGCCAGACCCTTGGAGAGGGCTCTTACAGCACCGTCCTCGCCGCTACGGATCGCGCCAGTGGACGACAGTATGCCATCAAGGTCCTAGACAAGAGGCATATCATCAAGGAGAAGAAGGTCAAATACGTTAACATCGAGAAAGACACCTTGAACCGCTTGACCGACCACCCGGGCGTGGTGAGACTGTATTACACATTCCAAGATGAGCGATCTCTATACTTTGTCCTGGATTTGTGTCCCGGTGGAGAGCTGCTCGGAGTTCTGAAGCGGATGTCGACCTTTGATGAGGAGTGCACTCGATTCTACGGCGCACAAATACTGGACACCATTGAGTATATGCATAGCCGGGGCGTCATCCATCGCGATCTGAAACCTGAAAATCTCTTGCTCGACGAAAACATGCACATCAAGGTCACCGACTTTGGAACGGCCAAACTGCTGCCTGAAAGGCGGAACGCCGAAGGCAGAGTCGATTTCGAACCCGACTCCACCTCGACCGAAAACAGGGCCAACTCCTTTGTGGGCACCGCAGAGTATGTGAGTCCCGAGTTGCTGACCGACAAGAACGCATGCAAGGCCAGCGACATGTGGGCATTTGGCTGCATCATTTATCAACTATTGGCGGGACGGCCGCCTTTCAAGGCCGTCAACGACTATCAGACCTTCCAGAAGATTGTTGCGCTCGACTACGAGTTTCCACGAGGGTTTCCTGACGTCGCCCGAGATTTGGTTGAGCGGTTGCTAGTTCTCGACCCCCAAAGACGGTTATCAATCGAACATGCAAAGAACCATCCTTTCTTCACCGGCATCCGGTGGGGTCGAGACTTGTGGAAGCAGATAGCACCGCGGTTAAAGCCATATGTTCCTCCTGCAGCACCACCTATCAAACTCAACGGCAGCAGTGCACAAGACAGCTATCCACCAGATATCATTCCCGGCCACAGTACGCATCCGACGATGCTCCCTCCCAACAACCAAAAGCCGCAGCCGAGAGTTGTTACAGAACTCCCGCCGCCAAGCCAACTCGACATCGAATGGTCACCTGTCCTCACGAGAAATAACGAGCGGATTCTCAAGCTAGGCAATCTGACTGTGTTGTCGACGCCCAACCCTCACAGTCCGCACGGTAACGAGGGCGGGGGCAAACTATCGAGATTGTTCGGCGGCAGCAACACCAAGAAACGGCAAAGGCTCGTTATGGTGACCTCGAGTGCAAGGATCATTATTGCCGCGGCTGGTGGGGAGGACAAGAAGCCGAAGTCGGAAATCTCGCTCCTCTCGCCAGGGACTGAATATTCCAGCGCGACCGATTCCAAGGGAGTGACCCAATGGATTGTCAACACCGTAAGTTCCACGTGAGAGTAGTGAGGGATCAAGAATGGGTAACTGACACATTGAGCAGAAGGACCGACACTATGTTTTCGAGGACCTAAAGCCCCAGTCAGGTGAACCGATGGCCACAGCGCTTGCAGCGCAGGAGTGGCTGGACGTGTTAGGACGAGCACGAGAAATTGCGCTATCCTCGCAGAATGCCAACAACAGTTACTCAAACGACGACGCCCTCAATCTCTCGTCCTCGGCGTTGTCGAGCCATGCCAGCACCATTGATCAACCGACGGATCTCAGTCCTCACAACGCAAATCAATCACATTCTGGGCGAGGAATGCTGCACAAGCAACATTCAGGCGGCGACGCCGAGTCGCTGAAAGGGAGAAAGCGGTTCAGCAAGCGGCAGTCCAAAAGTGGACTGACTGCAGTCTTCTAGACAGCGGTCGTCGAGAAGAGAAGCGACGATGGTGGCGTTGCGGGTTTCCCTGTGCATTTCTTGACCCTGAATTAGCATAGCATGGCACAACTTGCAGGCGCGATCAGCATGGCGATTGGGAGGGTGGGAAAAGAGCCTCGACGAAATGGCCTACATATGCAGCGTCGTCGAGGGTGCATTTGTAGAGAAGGGCTTTTGAAAGATCTAGAGAGGAGACTAGGTATATACCAACAGTAGTCCGCCTGACCCTGGTAACCCTCTTGCGGTGTGTCCAGGCGCGCTGTCTGCGAGGATTAATGATCACTGGCGAGTATTAAAAGGGACTTGCCTTTGACGGATCCGCTGGATTCATCTTGTTCTAGCTGATTGTTTAGCGCCCTGTGTTGTCTACAAATGAGATGGGGGCGTTGACTGGTGGTGCTTGTTGCCTTGGTTCAGCTTGGGGCACGACTGGCTGAGATGGACTGGACAGACTTGACTCGAGCTGCAGGTCCCTCCACACCAGGCACTCCTATCCAGTAGTGATCCCAGACTACTCTCCATCCGGCCTGCGCTCTGCTGCTCCTTCGCCACTTCTCTGTCCCGCGGTAGCCTCTTCAAGCCTCTTCTACCCAGGCCACAAGACGCCTTTCCCACCATGGCGCGCAAGAGACAAGACGTCGCAAAGGTGTGCTTCAGCACCAGGACAGGTGCTACAAACCCCGAAGGCAATTAATCGACCCCTCGGCTGCCATACTGCAACACGCGAAGTTGCGTCGACGAGGTCAACCAGTCTCAGGTACTTGTCTGCTGAGAAACGTCCTGCGACTCCCACGACTTACGCCCGACTTCTGTGGGCGACAATCGAAGGCAGCTTCGCAAGGCAGCTTTGCGAGGCAGAAGCAGCGGGCAAAAAAGGTGACAAGGTCGGCTTCTATCCAGGGGAATAAAGACTGCGACCGTCTTCCATATGAGCTTCTCTCGAATACCAACAATTCCTGATGAATGCCATTTCTGGGTGACATGACATGAACCGGCAGTCTGCGCCACAAGCACCATCTCGCCCCGTCCAGCAAACAACCCCAACCTCAGCTCTACCGATGGTTTCACGCGCCGAGGTCGCAGAACACCCTCACTCCCGCTCCCTCTCCCAATCTCGAGGCGCGCCTTCTATTGCTTCCCGCACCTCACGATCGAGGCATCATCACCACCGAGGTCGCTCACATTATGGGGCCTCCTCTCATGTCCCGCAAAATGAGTTTCCCTTCTTTTTACAGACCGGGGATGTCGAGATAGTCATTGCATGCGATGGTCAAGAGAAGAGATACCTGCTACACAGTTTTACCTTGGCCCAATTTTCGGGCTTCTTTCAGGCCAGCACAAGCGAAGAATGGTCTCGAGGTCAATGGCAACAAGGTGGGCGCAATGTGACGTCTGCTTCGCGACCTGGCCGGGCGTTGAGTGATATCGGGGAGGAGTCTTCTCAAGTCAGCTCTACTCCTGGACCCTCTATTTCTGCCCCTCCACCAGCACCGGCACCGGCTCCAAGCCAGCGGCGGAGATGGAGGTATGAACTCGACTGGGAGGACCTTGACGAGGACGACGAGCCCATCCTGGTTCAAAAAACTCCCGAGGGTGGTCTTTTCACCGCAGCAGCAGCACCGCCGCCGCCGCCGCCTTCTCAGCCAGAACGCCCAAGACATCCACCCATCCACGCATCCTTCTTCCGTTCGATGGCCAACTTGACCCTTTCTCACCACAGCCCGGCTTCTCAATCCAGCGCTCAACTCGCAGCAGCCCCTCCTGACCCATGCCTCACGAACCCGCTCCTCAGAGACTATGACAACCTCTTTCGCATTTTTTACAATTACGCTCCGATTTTAAACTCCTCCAACATCGCCTCCGCCTATTCAGAATGTAGGGCTCTCCTTTCACTTGCAGACATGTACGACGCTCTTTCCGTGGTTGGACCTCGAATCGACCACCACCTCTTGCGTTTCTCATCTCGGCTCTTCAAGCAGATTGCCAAATATCCGCCGTCGTACCTCAAGCTTGGTTACCTCGCAAGAAGTCGAAGCATCTTCTCTGAAGCACTGACCCACGTAGTAGGCCAATGGCCAGCCGCCTTGCCGCACATCAAGCCACCCAATCACTCTGGCGGAGGATATGAAGTGCCTCAATCAGTGATTGATCTGATCGAAGACAAAGTCGACGAACTTGAGGAGTTGAAGCAGAAGATCGAAACAAAGTTGTTCAGGTTGACTCTGACCACGACTCGCGGCGAGAGGGTGAACCCGGCAAATGATTATCTTGGCTGGTTGGCCGTTAGTCTCTGGCGCCAATGGCTGGCAGAGAATACAACCCCTGAGATTAGAGGGATATTGAAAAACAGTCCAAATTCGAGACCCGGTAGCGGACATGCGAATCCAAACATACCTCCGAGTCCACAAGGTCGACCACCGCCTCCTCCCTATCAGCCTCATGCGCCTGCTCCATCGGCAATCAATACCGGCCGCATCTTTCGCTTGATCGGTGCTACCAACCCCGACACATTTCTCGCGCACGACGAACTAAAACGCTTCCTCAAGCTTCCACCCCCCGGCTCTACTCACTCTCTCTACAGTCGCGAAAATCTACGACGATTTGAGCGCAAGATTGACGAGATCAAGAACGTCGCTAGAGATATTGTGAAGCCATTGACCAGGAACTGCCTCGAACTGGATTTGAGGAGTCTGAGTGACGGGGGAGGTGGAGGACTTGGATACTTGACGTGTATGAGGTGCGAGGAGGACGAACTGCCCTGGGAGATTTGACGCAAGAAAAGTTTGATGGCTCGATACCGAGGAAGAGGAAGGAACTAACTGAACGCTCGGCCATGCCCACATCTGTCGAAACAGAAGCCGCCCTATAATGCCGTAAGATACAGCCGTCGACGCCATCAATCGTCAAACTTTCAGATCTCATCATACTTGTCCAGTCACAAAGCTCGACAAACTTCACCCCTTCAGGGCCTTCTTTGCCCCCAATCACCTCCTTGATACCCAGAAAAGCATGATTCACAACCAACTATTTGTTTCACGATTCCCTCTTGACGAACGATCCCACGAATCTCCTTTATTCACGATTGATGTCATTTTGAGATTTTCCTGCTTTTGGTTGCGATTGAAATTTAAGCCATGAGCCGAGCGACTGTGCAGTACTATGTGCTGTAGAAACGGAATATCAGAAACAAGGATAGTTGAGGAGAAGAGGGACAGAAGCGTGCATGCATCATTGGAAACGAAAACCATGAGACAGGTGTAGACATATAGGTGTTTTTGCACCTGTATAGGTAGACACTTGTGGACATTTAGGATACCCTTTATGACATTCATATTCATATTCATGTTGATGTTCATATTCCTAGCAATGCCGGCCAGCTTCAACAGATCCATTCAGGAAACACGATGTATCTCTACCCCCATTTCCATTCTTGGTCTTGGTCTTGGTCTTGCTGCGGTCCTTGCTCCGGAACCTCGCCTCGCTCGACGAGGCTCCGTGCATTCGCCGTGCTTGACGACGGTGTCCAATCGCTCTGTAGGGTGGGGAATCTGATGTTGATGTTGGTCCAGTCCCAAGCGTTCCTACGGCCGAGGTGGCCGGTCGGACGGAAGGGGAAGCGAAAGAAACTTGCGGGAAGGTCTTGGAGATGGCGGATCTCTGTTGCATCTGCGTCCATGTCATGGCCTGTACCGGCATCTTCTTCTCTTCTTTCCTGTTCTGCCGCGCCCGTGGTGGCCGTGGTTAGCGTAACTGGGTCGCAATGTCGGCGCATATTGGTCTCAGCTACCGCCGCCACGCGCAGTGAGATGTTGTAAAATGCGTGCAGCTCACGGCAACGGCTGCGACGGCGAGGTGCGGGATCCCCGTGACAAGGGGATTCCGTATCTGCGTCGTAGTCGGTGTCGGTATCAGTGTCGTTTTGCTTCGATGCTTCCTCTGCTGGCTCCTTCGAACGAGTCACCGCTCTGCTGTCGCCGTTGTCGCCTATCTTCGAGACGTTTTCTTCACTCTCCTCGCTCTCGTCCTCGGTTTCCAGATCCTTTTCATCTTTCTTGTCCCCTTTCTTTTCCTTCCTGTCCTCTTCCCCTTGACGACTGCTGTTGCTGAAAATTCTATCTTCGTGGTATCGATGTGACTCATTGGTGGTCTGCTGGTTGCTGGCTGGGAAAGAACCAGGGACTGGCGGTTCGAAAATGCCACCATCATCTTCATAGGCCAATTCCTGATATCCAAGTTGGGGGATCTCGGCTGTGGAACCCCTGCTGACCTTCTTATCATCGCAGCAGCATTTGGAGGCAATCCAAACTGCAGCGTTTGTGTACAAGTATAGCTGGAAGACCTCTAGGAGGAGCTCTTCTGCTAGCATGACATGGTGCAAGAAAATGGACGCCGTCTGGTCAGCCAAGGAGAGAGCAACAATGACGCCCGACACGGTTGAGACAAAATATTCGCCTTGCAGGAAGAGTAGGGCCATAGCATTCCAAGTTACCGGGACTGTGAGGGAATGAAGGTGAGGATGTGCCCTGGCCCAGGAAAGCAAGTCGCCGCTTTCCATGGTGTCACAGAGCCATAGAGCAAAGTTAAGACTGAGGCAGAGCAAGCAGCGCTCGTGAAAATTATCACGCGAGCTCCAAACCCAGAGCCATAAGCTGTCAGGCAGAGCAAAAATCGTGGCCATCCACGGAAGGATATAGGTCGTTGCGCTGGTGAGAAGGAGATCGTATGCTGCAACAAGGAAAATGAGACCCCGAAAAGAGGCTGGTTTGGGAAGTTGTACCATGGTGATTGCTGGTCGGCACCTCTAAGTTTGATAGAATATTTGCTGTGTGGATTGAGGCTATGTGCTAGCGAGGTGAGCGTGGAGGAACAGAGGGTTGATATATGCGAACAGAAGGTCGATACACATGGCTGGCTCAGCCATCCGAACCGCAGCGTACAAAGAACTTTTCGTAGTACGCCGATTTGTTGTCGTGGTCTTACCCTGGGGAGGAGCGCTTTCATTCGCATCCGAGTACATGACGCCGGTGTCTTGTCAGGGCATTGTCGGGTGAATTTGACATCTGGTGCTCCAGGAGACTGATAGGCAATGACCCAGAAGGTCGTCTTGTCGAATACTAAGACTTTGGAGCCTTCTATGCGCCTTTCTTTAAGCTGTTCTTGACATGGTTGTTGGGGCATTGTCTCCTGAGACATGCATTCAAGCTCTTCAAGACAGGGTTGAAAGGTGACGGTGGCAAGGCCGAAAGATGCGGTAGTAGACAACAGCGCAGCAAACTGTTTTTGGCAGAGACAATCAGGCTATAATGAGACCTGAAGGCTTTCACGCAGAGTTGACACAGAGTTGACACAGTCTGGAACGCTTGGACCTTTGTCCTCGCGCTGCCCAACAATTCCCACGAGATTCTCGTTTTCATACTCTGCCCAGCCAGAGCAGTCTTTGTGGTGTCAGCCAATATCCATGATCCATCCTGGTCTGTGAGGCAGCACCTGGGCTGCTGATCCCTTGTTCCCTTGCGGCTTTCAATTCGACCTGATTGATCTTCCACGATCGAAGCACCCACGTACTTGCCGCAGCGAGGAGGAACATACAGCCCACAAAGATCTGCGAGCTGAGGTATCCAGACGCACTGACCATTTCAAGGGCAATCGGTTCGGCGAAAGTCGTCGGCACAACCAATGACAGACAAATGATGCCAAAGGAAGAAGGCAGTCGTTTGAGCCCTACCACTTCGGCGGTCACTGGTGTGACGGTGTTCCAGAAGATGCCGCAGACGCATCCTGATGTCAGAGCGAAGGCTATGAGGACGCCGTAGGATTTCGCTGGCACCCACAAGGCGAGGCAGAGAACTCCACAGAGCGCGGTCATAATTGCTGCCATATTGATACGGCCAAAGGCATCCGAGTAGTATCCAATCACCGGTCTGCCGACTCCAAGACCAAGATTGAGAACAGCACCAACAACGGATCCTTGTCCAGCCGTGAGACCGATAGAAGTCGCGTAGTTGGGTAGAGAGTAGAGCAAGACAATATAACCCAGTTCAGTAAGCACTCCCCAGATGACGACTAGGATAACCTCAATGTGGCCGTATTCACGATAGTTGAAAGCGTTTTGCAAAGGTTGAACGGCCTTGTTGCGGTCCTTGAGCAGGAGTGAGCAGGCTCCGTTGACAGCGAGCCCGCAGAATGCCAAAATGCGGTAAGCCCAATTCATGCCCAAGCTCTGGACGATGCCACCTGCCGCGAGATTGTACGCCAGCCCCCCAAGACCAGCTCCCGAAGATGCAATTCCCATGGCGAGGCTCCGGCGCGTGGAAAACCATTGGGGGAGAGCAGCAGTAGCCGGGATGTAGAGAAAGCCCATGGCCCATCCGAAACAAACACCTTGTGTCAAGAACAGATGCCATATCTCTGTCGCATATGAAGCACCGAAGAGGGCAACGAAGAGCAAGGCGGTGCCGATGAGAAGAGTGAACCTCATGCCTAAGTGCCTCGTGGAGATGTTCACGACAGGCGCACTTAACAGAGACTGGGAGATTGAGAGACCGCCAATCAAGGCGTACTCGAGATGTGACGCGTGTTGGAAAGCAGGATCACTGAGGTAGTGGGCTAGGAAGATACCCCATGCCTGTCTCAAATGAGCTTTTTTTTCTTTTTTTTTTTTTTTTACCAATTCGTTCGTTTCATGGTGCTTACACTGTTCAGTCCCCAGGTATGGGCATTGATCAGGAAGACACAAGCTGTGCAAACCCAGCCATAGCCACCATTCGGAGGTACATCTTCAGCAGAGACAGCATCTTGCGGAGGGTTGGCCTCCATTTGGTTGAGTGACGATTCCTCGAAGACGTAGCTCTGAGTGCCATCGGATGCAACGAGCTCCAGAATTTCTGCATTGCTCATGCCTTGGCCGCTGGTAGAGGTGGACATCGTCGTCGAGGATGTTTCACAGCTGGGAATTGAAAGGACGAGTATATATTACATACCACAAGTCGTTGGTGGTTGCGGAAATGGGCGACAATGCGGAGAAGTGGAAACCATCGACTTGGAGAGAGTTGAGATGGCTAAACATGTCACTTACTGAGAGGGAGATGCCCTGGACGCATGCACAGTGCCGATTTGCCAAAGGGCGTCCAATGACGTATCAAAACATGCGTATTGCTGCCTAATTGACTCTTTGGATAGTTACTATCGGGTGATAATATCCATCATGGTGAGGACAACATGTTCATTGTAAAGGCCCAACAAGGACCCCATGCTTCGTTCTGCAAGACTGAATGATGAAAACCTGCGCTTCTTCGTCGCCGGAGGGTGCTCAATGTTGTCAAAGGTCTAGGAAATGCTATCGTCCAATTGAATGTCTCAAAGTACTCATCTCAATAGGATGCAGAGCCGTCGTTCTCCTCCTATGCTGGGGAGTTGGCAGGAACCTTCAGGTGCGATCTTGGAGTGAGAATAGCCGGGCTCGTTGCTGCCGTGTTAACTGATGCTCCAGTTTCAACACCTTTTGATCCTTCCTCTTCACTGGATTGTCCCGTCTTTCTATTCACCGCTGATACAGTCCTCCTGCATGAAATCTGTGGTAACCTCGAATATTTTGCCGATTGCAGCACATTCGCATCTTCTGATGAGTCATCCGAATCTTCCTCGACATCGATACTCTGTGGGAAAGGCTCGCTGGCAGTCAACCGCCGGCGAGCGTTTCCTGAAAGTGATTTGATTTCTGGTTTGGCACCGTCGCTCTCCGGTTGTGCCTCTCTTGAACTCTCGATAGAATGTTTCTCTCTACTTTCCAAGGCCTCACGACCTTGTCCCGCCCACTTTCGCTTCAAATGGAAAAGCAAGGGTGGGCGCGGCTCCGAAACCACGTCTGGCGAATTGTGAATACCTTTCGCTACCGTCCCTTTGAAATTATTCTCCTGGTTGGAAAGCGTCTCGAGTCTGTCTTGTATTGACTGTCCGTTGACTGAATTCCCCGGATGGCTTTCTCTCGCAACCGACATCTCTCCAACTGAGAAACTTGTACTGTGATTGCCATCTTGGAATCGTCGAGGTCTGAACGTTCGAGCGTCGGGGTTGAGAACTGACTCTAACGATCCGCTTTTCCCCGGCGACTTTGAGCGCGAAAGTTTCCTACCCAGAGCATGGGCAAGTCTTTTGGTGTTCGTCCTACCTCGCGCGTCAACAGCAGTATGCGATGCCTGATGGCTTCGACGCTGTTCTTCCTGGATGCTTGATGTTTCGTTGGTGGATCTAGGTTCTTGTTGCTCTGCGTCCCCATCCTCGCTTTCTCTGCTCATCCTCTTGACCAAACCTTGGGTCTCTTGCCCACTGGCACTCAGATCGTTGATGAGGACGGGTGCATGCAGTTTTTCTGGGGAGCAAGACCGGGATTTAGATTCACGCTCCTCAGCCTGCAGGCGAAGTTGGCTACGCCAGAGCTCATTGTAAGCGCCATCCTGTTTGATCAGAGCTTCATGCGTGCCATTCTCGACAATCTCGCCGTCGCGAATGACAAGGATATGGTCAGCGTGCAGAACTGTAGACAAACGGTGCGCAATCACGAATGCAGTCTTGCCTGCACAGAGTTGGCGGATACTGCTTTGAATCTTCTTCTCGGTGATACTGTCGACGCTGCTGGTGGCTTCATCCAGAAGCAGAATGTCCGCCTTTTTGAGGATCGCTCGCGCAATCGCGAGTCGCTGGAGCTCGCCACCCGAGAGTTTTGTGCCGCGCTCGCCCACCTTTTCCTGATAGCCATGCGTAAAGGACATAATTTTGTCATGTAGTGCTGCTGCTTTGCAGGCTTCAATAGCTTCTTCGACAGTACAGTCAATATCAGGGTATCTGACATTTTCCAGCACCGACTTGTTGAACACGACCGGATTCTGAGGAACCATGGCAATGTGTTTGCGGAAGCTTTCCATCTTAATGTGTCGGATGTCCTGGCCATCAATTAAGATGCGGCCTTGGTCCACGTCGTAGAATCGGAAAAGGAGTTTCAAAATGGTACTCTTGCCACCTCCCGTCTGTCCGACTAATGCTAGAGTCTGGCCTGGTTCCGCCCGGAAGGTAACACCCTTTGTCACTTGTCGTTTGCCATCGTAAGAGAACGAAACATTCTCAAATTGAACGGCGCCTTCTAGAAACACAAAGGGTTTAGCATCTGGCAAGTCCTGAATGCGTGGCTTCTTTTCCAGTATCGCCACCAGCTTCTCGGCGTTAACTAGCTTTTCAGCTACTCTTGATAATTCGCTTGCCAAAGAAGATAGTGGTCCAGTGAGTTGCGCCCAGTATGTGATTAACACAACAAAATCACCAATTTTGTGCTGATGATGTGCGATTTGCAAGGCGGCCACGCTGCATGCGGCAACAAAGCTGATGCAGGGAATTACGTGGCGCAGTCCCCGGGTCCAAGTCTCATATACCCACCAAAGGAGCATTCTGTTCTGAGTGATGTCGCCTTTCTCTCTATACATCTGGATCTCATATGGAATGCGTCCGAATTGGCACACTGTTGACCAATTCAAGGTTGACTCGCTCATTTGGTAATACTGCTCGTGGTATGCATCCAACCAAGACCGACGCATAGATCTCTTTTTGACAAGTGCCTTGAAAGTTAGCCAATAGAACAGGACCACCGTTAATGCAATTATATAGGTCATGTAAGGCCCAAAGAGACATGTGAGGACCACGGCTGCCGAAATCAAGTCGACCGTTGTAGGCAAGAATTGGAACATAACGTCATGAAGCAAGTCAATCGCATCTTGACCTTGATGCATTGTTTGCCAGATGATCGAAGACTTTTTGGAATCGTGGAAATCGGCCGATAAGTTCATGATGTGACTGAAGCAATGTCGCTGCAACGCGACCACCAGATCAGTGTTGACTCGCCAAGACAACCAGGTTTCAACGAGTGGGAGGCCAGCGTGTGACAACAAGAATCTGAGCAGAACATATAGAGCAATTGCCTTCCAAGGAATCACCTCTCCGAGTCCATCAATGACCATGCCGAGACTGAGAGGGAGTGCAATTGTAACGACTCTCGTCAAAGCGTTGGTGACGCACACTCCACCAAAGTAAAGCTGTAACCTGCGAGACCTTGGGTACATGTATGGCACAAAGAGCTTGAAAGAGGCGAAATACTGCCAGAATGGTCTGTTTCGAATGCGCAGTCTGTCTGCTTCTTCCTCGTCCGGTCCTTGTGCCTCGCTGTGTAGATTGGGGCTGATCGGAGATGACTCATCGCCCAGCAGCGGTCGAGTTTCATCCTCATTTTCTGTGTGTTTCTTCCGCTGTACGAGTCGAATGAGGAGAATATCTCCGAGAAGACCAATCTCAACTGCTAGCTGAAGTCCTTGGAGAAGGGACCGTGCAAGTAGGTATTCGTCCCGGGACGCCGTGCCAGGAAGGGAGAGTACAAAGACCGCGCCTTGGCAGACGAGAAGAATCGTACAAGTTCCAAGGTGAGGGAATGATGTGATTGCGGGAGTTCCAGTAAGACTAAGCAGGATGATAGCCCAGACCAGGGAGAGGAAGAGGGCGTAAACGGCGTCCGGATCGGAGATTTGGTAGGCGTAAGATCTCTTCAGGTCAATTACTGCTTCGGCAAAAGACAGGATAGCAGCGATACAAGCCAAGCCAAAATGAAACTTGGGCAGATTTCCCGTTTTCGGTGCTTGGGTTATGGAGAATGAGTTGGCGATCGTAGCAACGGCGAAGAAGAAAGAGGACGCAACAACGGTGAGGAGCTGAAACACCCTCAAAATGAATGGGACTTCAGGTGGGGCGTCAAGTACCATGTTTGCTGTCTCGTCAATAGAGAGGATCGTGGGATTGTAGTGGGAGAGGAGTAAGATTCGATCAACAAGAGGTGGTAGTGAGGCAGAAGTGAGAGCAGCGATGTCTGCCTAGACAGAGGCGTGTAGGCAGCACCTGATCGAGAATACATAAACTTTTTGTTCGATACCACAGAACGGATTCCCAGGAAAGTAGGAGACATGTAGACTCAGCACAGAAGCAGACTATGAGTGACCAGAAGAGGAGGTCGTCGTGATGGTGAGATGGACTCGTGCTTAGAATTTGATCTGTGGCAAGAATTGGGGGCCAGTTCCGTTCGCGTGGCAGGAGCTATCAGGCCGGAGAAGAAGCCATTTCGCGGCTTTAGCATTTACAACTGCATGAACGATAGGCTAAGGAGATAGTAGTAGGCTGAATCTCTGTTGGATTTCGATGAGGGTGGACTCAATCTGGCTTACGGCATGCTTTGCAGCCTCGCACTAGCTAGTGACACGGCCTCGTTGGTACCATTTCATCTCTTCTGGCGAGTCAGAATATTGAGGTAGGCTTCTACAGCCTGCATGGGACGAAACTTGCGCAGAAGAGAGGCAGTCTTCAAGACTGCCGCCAAATGGGAGCGGGTTGGTGTCAGGTCAGACTGACAGCACGCTGCGTAACCATAACCTCACGAAGGAAGTGCGAGACTCGTGTTCTGCAACAAAGCTACCTCACAAACTTGTAGCTAGCCTTGCTGTCTCGCTCCGTTTGCATTCTTCGGCTGGAGGCAGATGGGATGGGACCTATTCGACCAGCATCCCCTAGTTAGACCAAGAGGAAAGGGCAATGACAGAGTCCCGGGAACCTGTCACCAGTAGTGATTGGCTGTCGGCAAACCACTAGGTGCCCATAGACAAGGAACAAAGGATCAAAAGCTGTCAAAAGGGTTTGTTGCAGGAAGACTGCATGTCCCGTTGCATCCGAAGTAGTAGGACGCGCCCTTTGGCTTGTTTGCAGCTGGATCTCAATGTCGCACAACATCATGCTAGAATAGGCGGAAGGGTTGCCGATCGCAGGGCGGCACAAAGAATCGATAGAATGGATGCAGGCCGCTTGATCTTGCTTCAACAGGCGTGCTCTCAGCACCGGCCTAGATTGATCGATCTTATTAGCGGCATCTGTACCGTTCCAGGTCCGGCGATACCAAAGAATGGTGCAATTGCAGTCTTGGTGACTGCTTGGAAAAGTCCACCGACAACGGTGTCCTGGAGATCCTGTCCTGTCTGCTTGAAGTCCGGATAGGCATTCAGTTCCAGTAGCCACACATTACAGTCGTGGTCGATTAGGAAATCCACGCCGAAGATTTCAAAAGCATTCGGCACTGTTTGGAAGTGGACCATTTGTTCACGAGCTGCAGCCTCAAACACTTCGCCAGTTATGTCGCAGATCTGTTGGAATACGTCGTCCTTCCAGTTTGCGTGCATTCCGGTTGATTCCAGATCCCAGAACCGGTGCACAGAGGTGATTTTGGTCGCCTCATCTTGAAAGCAGGTATTTGTCAGATGTTGTGCCAGGTCAAGCATATTAGGGCCTGTGATAGAAGCGGGAGGCTGATACGCCTTTGCCGCAAAAAGCGCTAGCATCTCCTTGTATACGTACACCTTCAGAGCTCCAACCGCCAACACGTAAGCCCGGATGTGGAACTTGCGGTAGCCGTAGGATTCCAGTAGTAGAGGAGGGTCGATGTAGGGTTGGGCGATGAAATGCCTGAGTTGAGATGTCATTGCGTTACCCTCAGGAGATTCGCCCTGTTTGCTCGTATGAACATGATGAAACTCGTCCTCCCCACTTGAGCTTTCGGCATCGACATCGGGTGCATCCTTTTCCCACTCCTCGAAGATGGTCTGAAGTTCACCGCTAGTTGAAAATAGTCGGATGCCGTTGCCACCATCACTCATTCCTGGCTTCAAGATCCACCATTTCTTTTGTTCGACGGACTCTTGCTGCTCGTTTTCCGCCAAGCTCTCGGTCAGGTCCCATGCATCCACCAGTGCCTCATCTAGAAATTCTGCGTAGTCAAGTTCGAAATGCACACATGGCTTGAAATGCTTCGCCAGAACGCTGCTCGGGTGTTTGACTAACCAGGTAGACACGGTATTCGACAGATAGTGCTTGCGAATAAGCGCTTTTCGGATGACATAGGAGCAAACAAGAGAGGTCTGCAAGTGCTGCATGGCATGCTCGAAGTCAATTCTCTCGTACGCAGTAAATTGCAAAACACGGTTTGAAGGATCTGGCAAGTCACCCAGGTTCGAAATGAGCCGAACAGGCGCTGGAGCTAACTGTCCGAGGCCGGATAGAATGAGAGGCTGCACATATTCATCCGGATAATCAATCAGTGCATATATGGGCGGAAAATTCGGGTCTATATTGCAGGCTATTGAGCTTGAACGAGTATCATCTCTGTGGAGGAGCCGATCAGTAACTGTGCCGGGGCTGCGTCACCTAAATCGCCCAAGGTGAACTTACTCACAGCTTGATTTCACCGGTGTAGTGAGGTAAGTGCCAGAAATTGGCGATCAATGGGGTAACCCTGTGACTATAAGTGTGCCTCCTCAGCCACTGTCATCTTTAGAAGACTTACGTGATGTTTCCTTGCAGGACCTCCCAGCCATCGCCCTTGCCAGCATCGACTACCGCCTTGCGGACGTCTGCAAAATTCGGAGACCACTTGAACCTGCGATGAGCTCTCCTTGTGACGCGGTTGTTGTTGTTCCCGTTGTTGCCGTTAGCTTCACCAGTCTCGCGGATTATCTGCTCCTCCACGTTTGGGTTCTCGTTGTCTACCTCCTCGGGCAATTCGGTAAACGAGCTGCCGCTGAACCATCGGTTTTGTATCATTTCAGCATAGAGAATTTTGGTATTCTCGACCCCTTTTCGGAGAGGAACGTTGATGCTGTATAAATGCACGTCGTCCGGCCACTCTTTGGTCAACTTTTCCATCAGTCGAGTGCTCAACCTCGAAGCGGCAGAGACGATTTCGAGATCGTGTTCTCTAGAATCGAAAGCATAGGATAAGGCAATGCTTTTCACGCCGCTCATTGCGCCTTCCATAGCGCCGCCAATGGTCCCGCTGGACAGAGCAAAGACTGCGGTGGTATTGCGACCATAGTTCGGGCCGCTGACTACGAGGTCGATTGGACCCCTGTCCTTGAAGACATGATGGAGACCGATCTGCACACAGCTTGCCGGTGTGCCGTCTATCAAAATCCATTCTTCTCCGTCATCGTTAAACGGCCGATCCGAGGTGATCCCGTCGTCCTTCAAGAGGGAGCCGGGGCGATAGTAAGTCGGAGTCAAAGTGTGACCAACCATGTGTGCTTTCCCTATCCAAGACCTCTGGACGTGAGGCAAGACCACTGATACCAAGTGCCCAGCATCTTGAAGAGCGGCCACTAAAGAATGAACGTATGGCGATGATTGATTCGACGGAGGGCCGTCATCATTTACAACCTGGCCCAGGAGTCAGCATATCTTCCCATCAAAGATTTTGGAGTCGCTCACAAGTATGTGCATGTCGAAGGCTAAAGTCTACCGACCAGACACTAAGTCTATAATGCAAAAAGGTCTATGGAAAAGGACTATCTACATTAGAGAGAAACGGACCTGACAAAAACTCGAACATCGGCTTGGCATGGGTCTTGGCATATATTGCGCCGCTTTAAAGCATGATCCTCGGGGAGGTATCCTCACCTTTGCTCACCTTCAACTGCGGCGTGACTTCGGCGCAGCGAAAAAGACCACACCACAACGATGTCATTGCATGGGGACTCCGTCTCTCCCCTGCTCTCCCAAGAACAACGCAGGCACAATGCCAGAACACCACCGCCACCGTCCTCGTTCACGTTCTCGCTCACGTTCTCCCAATCGTCATGACCACAGACGCTCCCACCATTCCCACCGTTCCCGATCTCAGGAACCGCATCACCAGCGCATCAAGCAATCTCCTGCACCTACCAAGCCATTGCCACATGGAGCGCGAGAGCTTTCACGCCACGACCTCCCCGCATACCGGCCCTTATTCGCGCTATATCTGGATATCCAAAAACAGTTGAACCTCGAGGATTTGGATGACGTGGAAGTGAAGGGACGGTGGAAGAGTTTCGTTGGAAAATGGTAAGAATTCACCACATGCTCGCCGACGTCTCATGAGAGCCAGCGGAAAAGCAAGTGTTTGAACGTTGATTCCAGCGGCGCTGGGGTGTGGAGATGGAAGGCCCGGTAAATACGCAGGCTAACATGGCAGGAATCGTGGAGAACTTGCGCAGGGCTGGTATGATTCGGAGACTTTAGACAAGGCGAGAGCGCAAGACCAAGTCTCGTCCGACTCCGACCGGAGGACAAGCACAAAACGGAATCAGGAGAGGACATCTGACACTCGACCGCCGGCGCAGGGCGACGATGAAACCGAAGAGGTAGACTTCGGCCCCACCCTCCCCTCATCCCTCACAAGCCGCCTGGAGTACGATGACTCCGCTAAGTCTCGAGGCCACGGCGCCTCTATCCCTTCCCTTGAAGACCTCCGTGCGCGCGACGAGCAGGCAACAGAAGATGCCCACGCCACCCGCCGGGAGCATACGCAACAGCTCCGTCACGAACGCCAACAAGATCGCAAAATTCAAAAAGAGCGCCTCGACGAGCTTTTACCGCGCGCCCAACCGGGGACCCGCGAGCGCCAATTAGAGAAGCGCCGCGAGCGTGCTGAAGCAAATCGCTCCTTTGCAGTTTCAAAGGAAGCATCCGGCGATGTGGATCTAGTTGATTCTGACCTCATGGGGGAGGAGGACGGTCTAGCCGAGTTCAAGAAGATGCAAAAGGAGCAGGAAAGAAAGAAGAGTGAGAAGGAACTTCGCAGAGAGGAGACATTGAGGGCCAGGCGCGCTGAGCGAGAAAGTAGATTGCAAGCAGTGAAAGAAAAGGAAGAGAAGACTATGAGTATTTTTAGGGAGATTGCACGGCAACGGTTCGGAGCCGGAGAGGCTTCATGATTAAAAGGAACCCAAAAGAATAACACTTTTTCCAATTTGCTGGGATATGAATATCTAACTTGCGTTAAGAGCAGCGACAGCCTCTGCGCCATCAGGCGGCTGCTGCTGCTGAGAGGATGATCCCGAAGATGTGCCATTGGCGGTGACTGGCACATTAGCCCCATGGCTCGCAGCCGCCGGGCTAGGATTATTTGCCGCCTTGAGTGCCGCCATCTGCCACGCAGGAATGGAGGCTTTGCTGGTAGTTGTTGGTCGGCTCGAAGTTGCTGCAATTGGAGTTGGAGTTGACGTAGGGAGTTGTGATGTCGAGCTCGTCGACGATGGTGCTGGCCTTGGAGTATTCACACCGCTACCGGCGAGAGTGTTCTCAGCCGAAGGGGTCGCTGCCGCGGTGTTTGACGCGGAGGCAGACGTGGGGCCTGGCAAGGTAGCCGGCTGCGTGCGTGGGACTGCAAAGACACTGGAACCACTACCCATGCGATTCCCCATGAGGACTTTCAAGCTGCTCAACTCGTTGCTCAGTTCTTTCAACTGTCTCTCACTCGCGTCTCGCACATTATCAACAGAGCGAGGCAGACTGTCTTTCATGTTCTTAATCTCTGCTTCCATACGTCGGGCATCGTCTTCTCGCTTCTGGTTCGCGGCTTTCAGCTCTGCGACAACCTCTTCGATGTCGGTGATGGCGCTGTCTAATCTTTGGGTTCGGGCTTCTTCCGCTTGTTTCAATGCAGCAGTATCGGAAGATAGTGTATCGAGAAGCGCAAATGCCTTATTGAATTGCTCGTCGATGGCGGCTTTATCCTGTTCCAATTGCGGAGGCGTGGGCGGCGATATTAACGGTTTGATGTATCTCTGAGCAAGAACGTAAATGCCATATCCTGCACCGCCGACAACGGTGGCCATGATGAACCAGTCTCTCCAGTCTCGTTTGGGTGGTTCCGGCGGTGGTGGAGGCGGCCAGTCGCCGTATGGGTTATAAGGGTAGGGGTATCTGGGACCCGGAGGACCTCGGACGTTTGGAGGAGGATAGTAGGGCGCATTGTGTGGTGATGGAGTTGGGTTGGCAGCTGCATCGCCGCTGGCACGGGCGAGAGATACAGCAATCTCCTCTTGAGTGAGGTTCTTGGATTTCAGGAACTCGATCCGCTTCTCGAGGGGAGCAGATGCGACGGATGGATCTTGAAGGAAGGTTACCGCCGATGAAACGAGGTCTTCGCGGGGCGCCATTGTCGGCGGACTATAATCCCTCAAACTAAGTCATTCAAAGTTGAGATTGTGAGGTTACCAACAGGTAGGAACAACAATTCTGATGAGAAAATCGAGGCTGGAAGAAGAGACCCGATGGAAGGAGGCAATGTGATGGCGTCCAGCCATCTTCAATTGCTTGCTCACTTCTGCTCAGCCGAGGCAGTATGTCACGTGCGGTGATCAGTACCTTAGTCAGCGGTCGCCGTGGTGATGGCTTAGCGTGTTGAAGTAGCCTGGTTTGCCTGCCCAGCCTGCCATAGTCTGTTTACACCAGAAAGCCGCTTTGTCCCCCATTTCTATCGAGCGCGTAACTTTTGAGCGCCACAAACAATCCCCGCGACTCACTATTCCTCTCCATTTTGCGCCCACATTGACTGTGCCGACAGGGTCGAAAAACTGAAGTAAGCAGATTTTTGGATGTCGAGAGGTCCATTGGGGACTGGCACAATCACGATCGCAGGCAGTCTACCACGATGTCCCAACCCACCGGCTTGTTCAGCGTCCGTCGACCTAGGGAGACCTTGGGCAATATCACGAACTTCTCAGGAATTCCCCAACCTGCCTCTGCGATCAAACGCACATCTTCGAACACCGAATTGCGGAATGTGCCCTACACCGCATCCCATGTGCGATCCACCTCGATAAACCAGAGCATCCAGCGTCCTGCGCAACCAATATTCCAACGTTCGTCGTCTGGCGGCAACTTGGCAGATATGGGCATGTCAACGGCTCGGCGATCGGTTTCGAACAATATATTTGGAAGTCAAAGTACTGGGCGACAGAGTCTTGCGCCAAACCAGCTCTTTGGCTCCCAGACTCCGGCATCGCAAGGTTTACAGCGCAGAAGCAGTATCTTTTCTCGTCCCTCTGGCCATGGTACCACTGCGCATCAGTCATTCTTCTCACAGCCTCCCGCTCCGGCAGGCGCACCTAAAGACCCGAGACCATTGAGAGACTCGTCGTATAGGGCACGACTAAGCCAGGAATTGCTGGACTATCTGACGCAGAACAACTTCGAGTTGGAGATGAAGCATTCGTTGACCCAGAACTCGGTCAAATCCCCAACACAGAAGGATTTCACATTCATGTTTCAGTGGCTATACCGTCGCATTGATCCAGGTTACAAGTTCCAGAAGAGCATCGATACTGAAGTCCCTCCTATAATGAAACAGCTGAGATATCCTTACGAACGAGACATCACGAAATCACACCTGGTGGCGGTGGGTGGTCAGAATTGGCCTCGCTTCTTGGGGTTGCTGCATTGGATGATGCAACTCGCGCAGATGCTGGACAACTTCACACGTGGTGCTTATGATGATGCGTGTACCGAGGCCGGTGTTGACATAGCCAGCGACCGCATTGTCTTCAGATTCTTGTTTGGCGCCTACCAAGACTGGCTGCAGATGGGCCCAGAGGATGATGAAGAAAGTGAAGAAGCAGCACTTCAACCACATATTCGGGCAATGACGGATGAGTTCGAGCGAATCAATGCCAAACATGCGGAGGAGCTCAAACTATATGAGGCGGAGCACGAAGCGCTGAGGGCACAAATCGAGGAATTTGAGCGGAACGCGCCTGACATCGCCAAATTGGACAAGCACTTTAAGATCTTGGAGGATGACAAGAAAAAATTTGAGGAATACAACGCCAACGTCCAAGCAAAGATTGAAAAGTACGATTCAAGGATAAAAATTCTCGACGCGGAAACCCAAAAGGTCGAGGCAGACTTGGAAGTTGTGGAGCAAGAACGGCAGAATTTGCAACACTCGGTTGATCGACAGGGCTTGAACATCCAAGACATTGACCGAATGAACACAGAGCGAGAGAGACTCGCGAAGAGCCACGAAGATGCCCTGGTTGCACTCGACGAAATCAACAAGAAGGTCCTCGAGAAGGAAGTCGAAGCAGCCCGCAAATTGGAAGATCTAGAGGCGGTCGTCAAACGGTACAATTCCCTGGGCTACCAAATGTCCCTCATCCCGTCGTCAGCAGTCAATGCCAAAGGCGCAGACTACGAACTGTCCCTCAATTTGTCGGAACAGAATTTCTCCTCGTCGACATCTCAATCGCGCCTGAATCGTGCCTCACCCATTGAATCCGACCGCCTTGTCACTGACCAAAATGTCGGGCATTCGCCCATGCATCTCCTCAATCTAGACCTCCGCGGCGTCGTTCGCAATGCATTCATCTCGCTCCGCAAAGAGATCAACGAGCGCCGAAAAGCCGCAGCGGAATCGGATCTCAACGCCCGGGACTTTCTCGACAACATATCGGAGGCCCTGCACGAGAAAAACACGGAGATAGACAATCTGAACTATCGCGTGCAGGAGGCTTCTCGGCAATACTCGACCTTGAAAGAGAATGGCCAGACGGCGCACACACAGCAAACTTCGGCGATCGAAAAACTGGAGAAAGAACTGAGTAGGATGAGGGAAGGGCTGGAAAAGGGCGTGTTGGAACTCGAGCAGCGCGAGATGGAGGTCCAATTGGCATACGAGGGCATGCGCGAGGAAAGCTCAAGAGTCAGGGAAGAGTTACACGGCGGGATCGAAAAGCTACTGGAGGACGTCATCCGCTTCAAAGTCCACGTCCAAAAGGGCCTGGAGGAGTTTGAAGGCTGGGTGGGCGAGGAAGTCGAAGTCGAGTTGTTGGGCGATGAGATGGGCGAGCTTGGTCTGGATGACAAGCGGGATGCAAAGGTGGATGAGGACATTTTTTGATGAATTGATCCAAACCGTCTTTCCTCCTTTTTTTTGGGCGCGGGCTGGGAGCGTGTTTCTTTGTTTGAGTTTTTCAAGTCCGCTCGATCAATGAACAGAGAGGAATTGAAACGCCCACCAGCTCGCTTGGTTGTGGGAGGGATAATCCGGGTACGAGGTACGAGGTAAATACATATGAGGATATGTCAGCGAAAATGCCCACCTCACCCCGCGATGTACACCACCACCCCCTTTTCTTTCTGGACAACTACTACGGAGTATCTCATCCGAGGTACGCAGGTTCGTTCATCTCCATGAAATGCATGATTTTGACAGGGTACCGAGTACTACGCGTGAACAAGGGCGAGGGACAGCCGGTGGGAGTCGAGGGGCTTGAATAGCCCGTTCGATATCTCCCACTATATATATTTACAGCAGCGTCGTCGTCGTCTGCTTCGTCTTCTGGGAGGAGCCGTGCCTTTTCATTTAGACCACGGTCGTTCATTCGTTCACGCATGCATGCATAGTGTATTCATTCTACTCCGGGCTTCTTTCGTCATCGTCATTCTTTTCTCATGAGCTTCTTCTGTCTCGTAGGGAGGAAGCAAAGAAGGTGGAGGAGAAGTGAGACGGCACGGCTCTTAGCTCCTATGTACCTCCTCACCATGGTTATCCTGACGGTATGCATGTATGTATGCGGGCAGATACCCATATTGATACCGTGATACCGCCCCTGAACCGTCATGACCGGGAACTCCCTGGAGTGAACAACACCGCACACCAATGCTATTCCGACGCAGAAGTCGCGAAACATGAACGCCCCAAATCAAAAGATCCGATCATACTTTCCGTCATCTCCGACGCCAACACCAGTTCATAAATCAAACGAGCGGAAACCTTCGTCTCCCGAGTTGATACATCAATCCAGGTCGAAGCGTCACTATGCCCCGACACTGACCTGCCCGCCTCCATCTCCCGCCGCACCGCTTTGGCTGTTTCCCCTTTCCCTCTCCAGAGACTCCTCGTCAGGCAACATCTCCACTTGTCTGAGCAAGAAGCTCTTCTCGTCTAAGAACTGATCATCGTCCGTCCTTCCCTCCAAAAATGTGGGCAAGAACCTCAATAACCTCCCGCGGTTCTTGACCAGGATCCTCTTGACCTCGTCGCTCTTGTTAGGATTCGCGACAAATACCTTGAATACGTGAAATGCCTCGTATTGGACCATCTTTCTGTCGTCTTTGAGCAAGGTCATTGTTAGTTTCAAGTGGTCGGCGCTGGAGACGTATTGGGTCATGATTATGTAGTGGCTGCGGTCGAGGAGAAGTTCCCCCAACAGTTTGATGGATTGGCGTTTTGTGACGTATGAGGGGGACAGAAGGAGGATGGGATTGTAGTATTGCGTGAAGAAGAGGGTATAATTTGTCGTGAGGTATTGCGAGACGAGTTGTTTGTGTTTGGTGAGGATTTCCTGGATACCATGGTAAGACACATCGGCCATGCATAGAACGTATCGACATACCCTAAACGTCGTAAACGCATCGGCAGACACCTCGAAGCTGCTTTTATTGATCCACTCAAAAAACTTCCAAAACACACCCTTGCCTGTTTGCTTGCGGCTGACGTCCAAATCTTTCAAACGCACGGCCTTTTCACCCGGCTGAGATTCGTCGTATAGTATCACGGCCGCAATTGTGTCGTACGCCAGTGCCTGTCGCAAGATTGTCCCACACGGCATTGCTGACTGGGGGTATTCGTACCCGCGACATAGTTCAATAATGATCTCGGGCCGTTGAAGTACAAGGTAGGAGATCGCTGAGGGCTCCGATTGACCAGACTGTGACGAGGTACTGGTTGAGGAGGCTTTGTAGCGAAGGATGTGGGAGAAAATGATCTGTGCATCTTTCCGGGCTTCAAAAGGCAGAAGGCGGATGGACTTTGCCAGTTCAAAGAGGATGTCTTCTTGAATGATGCAGTGCACGAGTTGGTGGACTTGTTCGGGGCTGCATTCGACTTCTGGACTCTCTTGGTTAGAATAGGTTGTGGGTTCGTCGCGGGGTTGAGGAGGGTTCGAACCAGGAGTGCCTTGAACAATCAATTTCATCTGGGACATGTGTTTCGCGACATCTTCTTCTACCTGTACAAGAGGGGTCAACACTCGATCTGAGAGCCGGGTTGTGAGGGCAGATCTGCAAACCTTGGGACTCGGATTCGGCTCGTGGAGTTTGACAAGCAGGTCTTTCAATGATCTTGCAATCTCAGCGGGCTGCTTTTGCCGCCCTCTCCCACCAAACAGAAAGGCCATCTCGGACCTCTATCAAGAAGTAGCATGCAGTCGCTGAAGAATGGCCTAGAGGGAAAGAATGAGATGAAAGCAAGTGACCATTCTGCGGGCGCTTCGAAGCGGGTGGTCTGGTGGCTGTCGCTTTCCTGCGCGCTGTCACGATCGCGGCCGCAGTTGGATTGAATTTGGACCCGCAATGTTTTGGCGTATCCGTTGATTGGGCAACCACAGTACATATTAAGGAGGATACGATATGATTTCCTCTCCGACTATCAAAAGTGTCAAGACACTTTCACGCCCTCAACTGAGAAATATCCTGCCTCTATCACCCCGGTGGTCATTCACGTTCAACGAACCCCCACCGACACATCCTCTCAAGCCTCTCACCACGATGCAGGGTTCTACCTTCCCCCCTTCTCGCTGTTCTGCCTTGACGAGCACGCAGCTCGCTTTCATCAGAAAATCCCGCCACTATGCTTTTCCACAACAGGCATCGCATCTGGTTATCGAGTGGAACAGGCCTCCGACATAACAGCAGCAAGACTATCATCAGTTTCGCAAGTCAGACATGGTCAGATCAATAGGGCAGAATTGTCTCATGCACTTGCAGCTGAGGGAGGAGATGGTTGTCCTTACCTTCAGGTTCCAGGATAAGCAACAGTCATCATCGGTTTCGCACTGCGCGTCGTAGCCTGGAAGTATGGAACATTTCTTGGAAGCCTCTTGATCTGCTGGATTGGCGGATCCGAGGCTATTGAGGTTGTCGGTCGCACTGGAGTTGTTGCTGACGTCCATGTCAATAGGAGTCGCTAGGGTAGTTGCTGGACCGAGAACGAGAAGGCAAAGGGAAACAGTCAGGATAAGAGATCTCATGTTGGTAAGCTCTGTTGTTGTTGTTGTTGTCGTTGTTGATGTAGCAGCAAGGCCGACTGTCTAGGATAGAGAATAGAGAGATGCGGACTGATCCATCACAATTTGAGAGGCGCCTGGCCTGTTTATTCGGTCGGGCAGGCAATCCTTTTGTCACCATCATTTTGTCACCGCCGTGAAGTCGGCCTGTGCCGTGCCCCTTCATTCACCATCGACATGCCTTCACCATCACCCGGTATCCATAATGCTCACTTTTCCGATTTCACTTCCTTAGCTCATAGGCACAAGCATGAGGAGCTCGATGAGGAGGCACAATGACCGATCGGGATTAGGTTGAACGGCGGCAAATAGCTCTGAGAGAAGCAGCAGCAAGCCTTCTTTTATCTCAGAGTTAGCGATATTGCCCATCACACTTAGCACCAACTGAAAGTGTTGAAGAGGATTTACCTCATTGTCCCAGCCCGCACAGCAGTCACAGTCACGAGTGCACGTCTTATCTTTTTCACCAGGCAGGATGGAACATGCACACGACTTTTCGGCGAGAAGCTCCATGCCCGAATCGGTTGGATCGGTGATGTCTGCTGTGATGGTCTCGTTGGCAAGCATAGTGCTCGAGGCAATAGTTGAGGTGGTGACGATGGTCGCTTGGCCAGAGTCGGAGGAGGTGGGAAGGGATGTGGTGAAGGTGCTGAGCAGGAGGAGAGTGATTCGACCGGGCGTAAAGCAGAGCATTTTGATCGAGACTTCTGATTTTCTCTATGATGCTGTAATGGTGGAGAAATCCTCTGTTCAGGAATGTTTATTTCGTGATGGGAGTAGTCAACCGTAATGTGCATTTGAGACGGCGCAGGTGCCTAGGTAGGCAAGTGGTACCTAGGTGGGCATGTCCTGGTTGTCGCCAATGCATTCAAATTCGCCCGCCTCTAATTCACCCCCAGAAGCGTCTTCACAATGAATCCTTTAAAACCACAAAAAAAAAAAAAAAGGTGCTGTGTAGGTCAACGGTCAACTGGTAAGAACAACTCCTCTTGTTGACGGAAAAGTGCCCCCAATGTGAGAATAAGGTGAAAAGTGTTCCTCCGCTGATGAAAACAGTTCACGTTCAGAAAAGTCTTCAACTCTCGTCCTTGCAGTATGGCTGGAATCATGCTTCGGCATCGTAACCCAGGTCGGCCACATTCTATCGCTTCCTGGCTTCGGCTGCACCATCCGAAAGCGCTGTGCTCTTCCCCAGATCAGTCGGCTCCCCCATCTCATCACTCTCCTCATCTAGGCTCTTGGGCCCTGAGAGAGTTTCATAGTCGAGCTCGGTCGCAGCCGCCTCCACAATACTTTGCTTTCGTTGTCGTTCTCGTTCGCGAGGAAATTCCTCGTGGGGTTTGCCTTCAAACCTCTTGAGAACCGCCTCAATCATCTTGCCGAACCAGTAGAAGTTCAATGAGTTCAGTACCAGATTGCAAGTCAGATACACTCCCGCCAGCCAGAAGGGAACGGCTTTAGAGTGCGGGCCAGTAAACTGCATCACTTCAGTTTGTGCTACGATGCAGCTCTTGTCGCCCAGACAGAGTTGTCCATCTCTGGGGACAAATATCGAAGAATGGGGAGAGGTAGGAATCTCTCGAAGAACTGACCCCGTCTGGATATTCAGGTGCATCGTATGCCAGACATCTTGATACACCCGCAGCGACTGGTAAGTTCCCCAAATCAAGCGACAGCCAAAGAATACGGAGAGAAGGATCATTCCATTGTACCATTGGAGCTGAGACCCGGTCATGTTGAGCTTGTCGCAGAACCAGTGGATGTTGAGGAAGGGGGTGGATAGCTCGTAGAGAATAAACACCGGGCCATAATAGTTGCAAAATGGTCTCTGCACGACTCGGTCAGTCATGAAAAACGCTACTCCACGACGAAGGATCTTACAAATCCTAGGGCAAACACCGAAAGAGCCGTGATAGCATGAGCCAATATACCCGGACCAAAGATCTTAATGTAGCGCGCACTCACTACAAGGTCCCAGACGAAATATCCCGTCGCCAGACCTTGAATGAGCCCCGAGGCGCCAGTGTACGCGTATATTCGCTCAATTGGACTTCTTTGCATATCCTTTCGCTCTTGATCCTTGAAAATCACCCATAAAGCCGCAGTATTGATGACACACGACTGCAGGAGGGACACCACGTGCACATCCCAATTCACGCGAGTGCGTCGCGTGAGCTTGGGATAGATGTTGGGGAACAGGAAATTCGAGAGAACGGGCGAGATGATGGATTGGGTTGTCTGGTAGAGGAGGAATGCTCCCACGACTTCGTGAATGTGATACGGCAGAGAAGGGAGATGGAGAGCCTCGCTGAAGGGCTTCACCAGACTAACAGCCCATGGTGGAGGAGGCGGGAGAGGGTCTAGCATCTTTCAGAGAGACCGAGGTGTTGATGGAGGAGGCTGTGAGTTAGCAAGAGGATTCTCCGTCGAGCGAGTCTGATAGAAATGGTGTAGGTTACTTTGGATGTCAATGAATGCGAATAATAGGGAAGAAAGCGAGTAATTTGTACAAGTTGGCATCAAACAAGTGGCATTGTGCATCTGGCTCACTGGTTACCAAACGCAGCGAATAAGGAAGGAATGACGCACAAACAGGCGGAAATTGTTGGGGAAGCAGGGGGAGGAGCAGGGGCAGCCTAGTGTAGCCTAGTGTTGCCCCTTTGGTGCCTTGGCCCTTGAGGAAGGCAAGTGATCGCGTTGGCAGGTCGAGGGCCAAGGCTGCGAGCCTGATTGGGACGAGGCTCCCTCCAGGCCGCTGTAGAGGAGCTCCTGTAGAGACTCAGTATTAATAGGTGCATGAAAAGAATCAATGTCCATATTGACTATCTTCATACTTGATCCGTCATCATCCCATGCTGGGCGCTATGTTGTAATACTCGCTGAACGCTCACTACTACCCTTCATCTGACTATCTAGCCAAAATAAAAGCATCGACTCCAGAACGCCAACCTTTCCAATATTCCATCCTCTTCAACTGCACATATCCTACGCCGTCATCTGGAAGTATTCGTTATGGCTCTCTGCCCCTGCCGTCAATGGCTCAGTACCAAGTCCGCTGTCGCTACCGTGATACTTCATCCCTTCCTCGGTTATAGCAGGCGGGGGCTGGAGATCCGACATTGTTTCTGCTTCGAGATTGGGACTCTGCCCTCTCTCCAGCGTGGTTAGAGCCATCGAGCTCTCTTCAGCTGCATTGCCTTGATGGTCGTCGCCTCGACCGCTGTGCAGTACCATAGCGGTTTGTGTATTCTCGTCCATCTCCTGTTCCTCATCCTCCTCGGCGATGCTATCAGTGTGTCCGTTCACCGTACCGACAATACTGCTGTCACAGCTCGCCGACCGCCTGCTGTCGCCACTCAAGGTGCTTCCAGTGCCATACGTCATGCTGTCAGTGTACATGACGCTCGTCCCATAGCTGGTCCTCCTTTCGGTGCTTGCTTCGCTATGGTTGTCGTCATCACTCTCATCGTGGCCAACGTCAAAATTCTCCTTGTCCGTCAACTCCGTTGGAGCACCATTCCAACTGGCCTTCCGTCCGTTGAGATAACTGCTAGGGTTGCTTTTCACTGACTGGCTTCGTTTGAGACTGACAAGGCCTGTCGATTTGGGCACAGGGGCAAGCATCAATGCCATATCAGGCGTATTGCGACCACGGTTGCCGGTGACATGGCTGGTGCTGAGAATTCGCCGATCAACAGCGGATGTTCTTGGAGTTGACGCGGCCTTGGCGTTGGAGGTTAGGGGCGTTCTCTTTTTCAAGGCTGTACTAATGGCACTGCCAATCGCTGAGTTTCCCCCTTTGATGGAAGTTCTGGCTGTGGCCGTACTTGTGGTGCTTGGGACACGCTTGAGGCTCATGGATGCATCGCGTTCGGCCGGACTGATTTTGGATCTGTTGATAGCCTTGGAGGATGTCTTGACCGTTCGAGCCTGGTTTACAAGGCCTTCAAGAATGCGACGCTCGAGGACCTCTGCTCTTGCGTTCATCTCACGCATTTCGTCTTGACGGATTTGCAGCGCAGTCTCAAGCTTCGCCACATCTCGAGTCAACTTCTTTGTCTGTCCAATGAGCTGTTCTTGTTCTCGCCTCAATGTTGCCATGGACTCCAGAAGAGAATTCTTCTCTTGATTCAGGGTAACAATATCAGCCTCGACTTTCTCCTTCTGCGCCGTTCTCTTCTCCAAAGCAATCGCCGCCTCCGTCGCCTCAGCAACTTTCGAGTCATGGTGCTCCCCCATTAGCCTTGCCTGTGTGGTCACCATACTTGCGATCTCAGCAGCTGTTGACATGACTTGTTGGTGGATCTCGTCAAGTTTCAAGAGGTTGGCTAGGGAGTCTCGAGTCTCCTTCTCATGGTCCTCTAGCCCTGCATACATCTCTTTCGCAGCATTCGCATGGGAAACAAGGATATCCAACTTGTCATGCACCTCACTAGTGTCCTTCGCCGAGTTGGCATGGGACAGCAGGGTGTCTAACTTGTCATGCACCTCGCTGACCTCCTTGGTCGAAGTCGTTCGAGACAGCAGGTTGTCTAACTTGCCATGGAGCTCGCTGATACCCTTCGCAGAGTCGGCACGAGAGAGCAGTGTGTCTAATTTGTCATGCAGCTCGCTGTCGTCGTATTCCTTTTGGGCGGGTAATTCTCTGACCGGCTCAGCAGCAGGCAAGGCTGGTAACAAGGGTGGAATAGCTGCTGGAATGGAGTCCACCCCAGATTTGATCTCCTCTGTTGCTCGTGCAAAGCTCTCGGTTTGCTGCTGCGAATGCTCGTAGTGCTGGGTTACCACTCCAAGCACTTCGCGAATGGCAGACAGTAATGCAGGCTGGTGGTCTAAGAGACTGCCTTCTACCCTTGTTGCTGCCGCTAATGTCTTTGCTACCTCCTCCCGAGTCACACCATGTTCGAAGGCATTGACGGTGTGAAGGTTGTCCACCTTCGAATTAGTCTCTTCGATCGAACCAAAGACGGTTTTCGAATCTTCGGAGATACGTTCACAGGTCTCCGTAACTGTGGTCCCTAAAGTGTCCATGAGCGATTTGAGATCGTCGACAACCGCCTTCGTACTGTTCGTGGCTTCTAGATGTGCGCTGTCTCGCTCCTCCAGAGAACTCAATTTGGCGTCGCTAGCAAGCTGAGCGTCGTCGTACTTGGTCATTAGAGCATTGAATTTGTCCTCAATGACAGATTTGAGTTCGGCACCCGTCTCCTCGTGCTTGGTGAATAGCGTAGCATCCCGTTCTTCCATCTCGGCTTTAATGGTGGAATGATGGTCCATGTGCCGCTCAAGTTCGCCCTTGATCATGGTTGACATTTCTTCAATGCTGGCTGCTGTGGCGTACTTGCTCATATCGTCATGGTGCATTCCAAGTACTTTGTTCAGTTCAACAATTCCCTCTGCACTTCCCTCCACCTTACCGATGAGGTCGTCCCGCAGGTCGCCGATGATATTTTTGACATCGTCAATCTTTGTGGCCAAGCCCCCATGTTCGATTTTCCTGGCTTCAAATGCTTGCGCAGTGAGGCCATTGTCAGCCTCGAATTGCTCCCGAAATGATTTGAGGTCATTCTTCACATCTGTGATATCCTCCTTGCTAGGCAGAGAGGCGAGATCTGGAGGTTTGATGTTTTCAATCTGGCTCTTGATGTCCAGGCACAGGGATTCAACAACTTCCAAGTCACACTTCTCGAGACCGACCTGTTCGCTCTTCGCATCCTCCAGCTTAGATTTGAATTCATCCATGCTGTTTTGGACGTCTTTCAACATCAGTTCGATCAAGGTAAAGTCTTCTTTGTTGGTTTGTTCAGCAGCGCGCTCGCTCGCTTCGTCGACTGCTACTTTCATTTCCTTCAGTGCGAACTCCAAGGCATCAATCTGTCTGGATTTCGCCAATGGTTCAGATTCTGGCGAAAAGGTTTCGTCAATCCTAGCCTTGATATTTCTCAGGAGAGTTTCGATGGCTTCAGTGTCTTCTTTTGATGCAGCATTCTCCGGTAAGACCAGTTCGGGTGGGGTTGCTTCTCGAACTCGACTGACGGCATTGGTGACATGGTCGATGGCGCTATATAAACCGTCTAGATCATCTTTGTGGATCCGAGTCTCGCCAGTCTGGCTGCGGTCGACCGACTCCTGAACTTGCTGGATGGCATCTTGAAGCTCATTCATGTCGTCTTTGTGTATTCGAGTTTCCGTAGGAGGCGGTGGCCCAGGCATTCCATCTAGCGCTTCGACTTTGATTCTTAATTGTGTGATCATCACCTTTAAGCCTTCGATTTCGGTGGTGATGCGGTTCTGGTCGTGTATCACCATCTCCTGTCCCCGAGCCGTTGCCGTGTCGGATTCTTCAGCCTGCTTCTGTTGAAGGCGCGAGATATCTGCTCGGACATCCTCAATCCCTGTCTTGAGCGCATCAAGGATTTCGTAGCTTGCGCTGAGGTCAACTGGGCGATCGGTCAATTTCTGGATGTCGGCTCGAATACCGTCAACTCCGTCCTGAAATGCGTCAAGGAGTTCACTAGTATTGGACAAGATACTTTCATTCCCGTCGATCTTTTGACGCGATGAGCCAAGTCCCTCCCGGATGGCGTCGAGAACTTCATCGCGGTCAAGTGAAGAGCCACTCTTGATGAGTGCACCAGCGAGAGCTGTGCGCATATGCTCCAATTCCTCCTTGACTAGGCGCACAATGTCTTCACTGTTGCTGCTGAGAGTCGATTGTCGGTCGTCAGCTATGTCACGAATGGCGTCGAGGATCTCATCCTTATCGGAGAAAGCATGGTTCCTAGCCATGTTTTTGTTGATAGTTTCACGAAGGTGTTCAAACTCTTTCTCCATTGCGTCCAGAAGTTCAGGTGTGTTCGGCGCCCCACTGCCGCGTGCTGCAAAACCTTTGTCTAGATCTGCTTGCATTGCGGCAAATCCAGCCTTGACCGTTTCGATGATTTCGTCCTTGCCAGTAACGTCAGAAGCACGGTCGACATAGCTCTCTATGTCGGCCCTTAGGTCTTCGAGTCCGTCCTTGAGAGCATCGAGGACCTGCTCCGTGTCCTTACCGCTGGCGGCTGAATATTGCTGGAACTCATTCTTCATGCTACTGAGAAACTCATGCATAGCCTCAATGACCCGTTCTCCCATTCCGCCAAGGGGATTCTGTTCGCCCTCCAGACAAGCCTTGATTGCGTCAAATAGATCTTCGCGGTTGAATTCGACCTCTTTGGCAACGCGATCCTGCTGAGAAAGGCTGTCCTTGATGGCATCACTGATTTGATCTCTGGTAACCGCCTCATGTTGCGCTAGTCCTTCTCGAACGGCTTCAAAGACATCGTCTTTGGTCAGATCAATGCTTGTTCCCTGGGACGCAGTCATATCTGGCCATTCGATCTCCTTAATGCCCTCGCAGACAGCCGCCAAGACATCTTCCCGGGTGATTCCAGCTGGTGTTGGCATCGGAGGAAGTTCGAAATCTGCGAGTCCCTTTCTGACAGCTTCGAGCACGTCTTCGTAAGTGGCGCCAGCATCTTTTGCAGTGGGTTGTTGTGGTTGATAGGATTTGAGACCCTCTTTTAACGTCTCCAAAATCTCGTCTCGTTCTAGTCCAAAATGCTCGAGAGCAATTTCCGGTTTGCAATCCTCCCAGGCCTCTCTAACGGCGATGAGCAATTCTTCCCGTTCGGCAACCGGGTCTCGTATAGCCTGTTCGCGAGGCTGAGGTAGTTCGGCAAGGACTTCACGGACCGCCCGAACGACTTCTTGCGTGTCAACTGCAGGACGATTCTGCTCTACCGACCGTCTCCCGCTTTCTTGGACAATGTGGTGCATATGTTCCTTAAGTTCAGCGAGGCCTTGCTGCACAATCATTCCGACCTCGTCGCTTGTGGCTGCCTGAGCTTCGACACCAGCACTTTTAGTCGACGCTGTCGTTTGTTCCAGTTTCTTTGCAATCTCGCGTCCCATTCCCAGGACTTCTCCTCGAAGTTCCCGAACCAGTACTTTCACTTCATTTGTGAGACCCCCTCCTTGGGCCAATGATTGCTTGACACTTTTTAACATCGCAACAACATCGTCAATGGCCGAGTCGGGGGCTAACATCGAAGCCCGTCCTTCGGTACTGGATTTTGCTTTGGCCAAAGCCGCTGCTTTTGATTCACCTTCAAGATAGAGGTCCAGGTTTGATGGGCCCTTGTGACCATCATTGGCGCTTGATCGCACCAGCGCACGTGATCCGGATTCCTCCTTCATGTCCTTCATGAACACAAGGATATCCTCCAGTTTCGACATCATAGCAGGGTCGAAGGCGGTTGAAATAGGTGCATCTGATTGGGATCGAACAAGAGCTTGTGACTTTACTGCTTCCAGAGTGCTCATGATTTTGTCTTGTCCTTCGCGGGTGGCCATCTCCCTCAGTACTTTCTCGAGGAGGGCAATGCTTGCAGCACCATCAACACATGTGATGGAAGGAGACGCCGTCAAGTCCCGATCAAGTGCAGCAGAGAAGCTAGATGGACTGCCAATGCGCGGCAGCCCGAGACTCTTGGGTCGTGGAGAGCCGTTATGTGCTTTGTCGTCGAAATACATCCCTAAGTTGGGCGTTGATCTGCTGGCATCTGGAGGAGCAGCAAGTAAGCGAGAGTCGAGATTTGTAAACTTGCTTTCCAGACCCGCTATAAGTTCTCTGAGGCTCTTGCGGATGTCTTCGTCCCTTGCCGTAGTCGCCTCCTTGAGACTCATGAGGTCGCCGTAGTTATCTTTGCTTCTCTTATTCAGACTCGACATCTCTTTTTGAACATTTGTGACAATCGATGTCAAGCTCAGGATCTGACTTGACAGGGCATCAAATGAGTAGGACGTCGGGACCGAAGGCGACGCTCCATTCGTGATGTCACCTAGCGGTGTGGCATCCTGCCGATTTCTAATGGTCTGTAAGGCTAGCATATTTGATGGAGGTGGTGTGTTCTCTATATCTTTTGATCTTGCAGAGCTCCTTTCAGTGGGTGTTGGGGTCTCTGATCTGGGTCTGGTTGGACTACGTTCCGTTGTTTTGCTGCTGGGGAAATCCTCAAAATCCACGAACTTTGCCGTGCGAAGACCTTTGTCTGGTGATCGCCTTTCCAAAGAGTCGCTCAGCCTGCTTATTCCCGGGCTCTGTAGGTTTTGCATTCGCCTATTTTGTGCTCGTATGACATTTCTATCTGGCGATGTCGGGGGAGGATTACTGGTGTAGGCACTGGGGGCATTTTCTCGTGCCCTCGCAGCAATCAGAGCAGCGGCTTCGTCGATCCGTTTCGATGTGTTAGATCTCGTCAGAGGGCTTCCTGGAACTCCTGGGTTCAGTGGAAGTGGTGGAGGTGCTCTATCGGGATCTGAGCTATCCCACCTGTCCAATGGGTCAGTATTTACTTGGAGTATCCCGCACGGGCAGAAGACTCACATAGGCACTGAGCTCCTGCCAGACTCTGAGAATGAATGTTGATGCTTGACCATTCGAGACTCAGCACGGTCCCTTGAAGCATCACGCGAACTGGTAGAGTAGGTTGACATGGTCAGTGCCTTCTGCGGAGAATCTTTGCGAGGAATGTCGTCAATTGAACTGAAAGTGCCCGGTACTCATAACGCACTTCCCTTACTCCGGCATTAGCCAAGCACAAAGTCAATAAGGAAACAAGACACAATAACACATGAAGTTCAATAATGCTAGTATGGTATTGAAAGCAAGAGACTTTGGCGCTGGCCTGCTTGCACAAGTTGACGTTGGGTAGCGGTACTAATGTGATTGGCTAGACGAATCGAGATGTAAACAAAGCTAATTGACGAATCGGCAGACCTGCCTCTGCAGTACTTGCTAGAGGGGAAACTGCGGCGCCACGTGTCCGCCCTTGAAAAGAAAAGTGGCATAGTCTGACAACAGGGGTGTGCGCCAGCCTAGCCAGCTAACAAGTTGAGCCTGGCAAGGCTGGTTGACTATCAGAGTAGCAGTCGACCTCATTCACACAGGAGACCATCTCACTAACAATGACATGATGATATCCTGTCATTTAGTTAGTAAGTATACGGAGTACTCGGTGCTGTCACCGAATAAGGGACGACATCGCCGTTGGTTGTGCACTCCTCTCCTCGACGCTTAGGGAAGTTGCACCGAGTGCCCACTGTCAGACCGCTACTTCATTTCTGGACTTGGCGCTTGCTACACGTGACCTTGAAAACCCTACTCCGCCAAGACTAATTTTTGAGCAATTCAGCACCTGGCAAGCGAACTTTACGCCATTTTGCAGCCCTATCTTCTCCCGTTCTGTTCAACGACGACCTCAAGCGCGAAAGTCTGACCTCAAGATGAAGTGTAAGTATAACCGCATCCGAGTATTCCTTGCGATAACATTGACGCATAGCGCAGTTCTCAAGGTCGGCCGCGTGGCCATCATCACTCGAGGCCGGTATGCTGGAAAGAAGGTATGGAAGAGAGAACGGACTCAATCACCTGAAAAGAATCCGAGGCCTGACAATTTCTCTGCAGGTTGTCATCATCCAGCCAGTAGACTCCGGCACAAAACAGCATCCGTTCTCCTACGCCCTGGTTGCAGGCATTGAACGGTACCCTTCCAAAGTCACTCGCCGCATGGGCAAGAAGCGAATGGAGAAACGATCAAAGGTCAAGCCCTTTATCAAAATGATCAACTACAATCACATTATGCCCACGCGGTACACACTTGAACTCGAGGGATTGAAGAACGTGCTTTCGAACGATACATTCAAGGAGGTTTCACAGAGAGAAGATGCGAAGAAGAACGTCAAAAAGGCCTTGGAGGAGAGATACTTGAGCGGCAAGAACAGATGGTTCTTCACTCCTCTGAGATTCTGAGTGTGGGAATGTGCATTATGTCCGTGAGCAAGCATTTTGCGACGATACGCAGGGGGATTTCAGACGTGCGGTCTGCGGGAGGCAGGAATGTTTGCATCGTCAATAAACCAACCCCAATTATCAGGCGGTTTTCAGATCAACCATTGTCGCAAAGGTTTGTTGGAGCGGACTTGATCTCTGCACCGGCAGGGCTGCAATGGATGACGAGAACGCGGCCCAAATGAAAACAATTCAATGTCATTGTGAAGATCTGCTGGTGTTTGCAATCAAGGGCTTCAGGGCTCATTCGAGATACAAATCATCTTTCAAGCGTTGCAGGTTCCGGAACAGTCCAGCCGCACCGCCGCTTCCTTCAGTTGAGCTTCTCGGATTTCTGCCCACGGCGGAGCTTGGTCGTGCAGAACTAGCCATTTTAGCATTCCGAGCCCTCCCTTGTGCATCCAGCGTCTTTTTCCTGTCTTCCACCAGTTTAGCCAACGAATCGACGAACTTCAGTCTGGTCTTTTCTTCGCCCGTGCCCTTCCAAAGTATTGCCAACTGCCTGTATTCTTCTATTCTTTGAAACGCTGCCTCCAGACCGGCATAGCCGTCCGACTCTGGTCCCAGTAGATCGTCGATTTCCGCCCGAATACCTTTCAATACCTCGCGTGCCTCGTCATCTTCTGCTGTACTCTGTATTCCCAGTTCAGGTGAAGAGACTGAGATGAGAGATGAAGCCATGGACAACTCCGAGGGTGGTATCGGCCATTTCATTGCTTCTCCAAAAATCGTGATCACAGACTCCAGACGTGCTTTAACCTTGCCTAGCAGCCGCAGTCGAGTCATGAAGTCCGGCTCCTTCTCCGATCCCGCATTTTGCAAAGTGTCATCACCGTCAGCCTCCGGGCTCAAGACTGGTGGCTCGTTGCCAGACACCTCGTTCTTGACAAACTGACTGATATCATCTCGCAACGACTCGGTCAGCAGGTCGTGGAATCCGTTCACATCACCACGAAGGACTTCTACTTCATAGGCAAGCCGGTTCCCACTGCGGATGATCTCGTCCGTTAAGGATGTCAATTCCGCGGAGGAGCGAATACTGATCGTGTTGAGAGATGCGAGCAGCGCAAGTGAGTCGGTAGAGGCACTTTGAATCTGCGTCGACCGGCCTGATTTTGAGATCTGGGTCTGGGATGACAGATTTAGGTTGGGTAGCGAGTCGTTCATAAAGTCGACGGGGTCAAACTGAGGCTGACTAAGTTTGGCAAGCATAGATCCACTGCTGTCGTCGTTTTGCGGATTGTGCTCCTCGCTGTCTATGCGAGAAGGCATTTTGGTCTTGAAGACCCAGCTGTGACCGGTTTTCACACCTTCAAGCCGTCCTGTGCCAATTCCAGCATGCGTCTGAGCCCCATTCGCCTTAGACTTCTAGGTCGAATGTTCAATGATCCTCCAATAATCAATCATGATCAGGACATGTCATGTTGTGCACGGTATTCTTCTCTGTTGCGGATAATGAATGTTGTGGGAAATACTAATGAAAAGAGAGATCATCAGCAAAGTTCCTCGTCACCTTGTTGTCATGACCATCTCCGTCGGCTCGGAACGACTATACACCGATCAACCAACATGCCCTTGGCGAGGCCAATTTATTCTCCAAACCGCGTCTTCTGACCAGCTCTTCCATCTCTCTTCTTCGTAGTTTCCAAACATTGTCGAAGAATATATATGTAGTAGGTTGGAAGTTTGTTGTCGTGAGACCAATGACCAAGCTAGCAGAAGACCGTCCACAAAGCAGGCTGCCAACAGGCAGGAAAAGACTAAAATGGCAGTCTCACTTGCCATTATGCTCTTGAGGAGCAGTTTGACCTGTGATGGAAAGCGAAGACTGAGACAAGACACAGCGATCAGGTTACGGCGACTGGCCCCTTCGCTGGATTTGCTATGCTTGCGCTGCGCCCTAGAAAATGCGGGCTGCATTTCCCACGCTGCGGCCCACCGACTTCACTCGACTTCCTCTGGTCCACGACCTCTTTGTCGACGATGATAACTAACTGCAGGGCTGCCTCACTTGAGCATTCTTCACACGCCTTTGATTCTACTGCCCGTACTTCAAGCGCCTTTCCCCTTCTTTCTCTTCTCTCAACTCTCTCCCTCCCCACTATCTCCCCTAAGGGCCTCTCACAAGGTGATGTTTACCTGGAAAAGCTGAGGTAAATCTTGTTCTTCCCTCGGTGAGTCTCTCAGCTACCTAAATTTCATGTCTATCTCTTCATCGGATTCTCATGCCGAGTTCTCACAGTTCAGATCCGAGCAAACGTAAGTAACCTCTAAACGGACCCCTTCTCTGCCCATTATGGGCCGGAAGCTCTTCCTCAGTCACTTGGCCGAAGCCAGCCGCCTAGGGATTGACAACATCCGCAACATCCACAGCCCAGAGGATGGCATCGTGGCCTTCAACTATGTCTATCCAGACAATCACCTTTTCCGAGTCAACGTCGAAGCTTTTGCCAACGATCTAGCAGAATATCCAGATGGCAACTCGTTTGTGCTATCCACCAAGGACAACTCGCTCGATCCCATCGTCGCAGGGACATTGCAAAAAGTCACCGAAAATGCCCATGGCAAGCCTCTTCCTAAGTTGTTGACTGAGGTCTCAGAACTTTTGACAACGGCCATTACAAAGGAGTCTGCGCAAGACTGTACCCTGGCCGACCAGGCAATAGCGGACGATGATTTTGATTTGGCTATGGAAGGCGACTCTGACGATGAATGTTTTGGCCTAGCTGCCCTTGACCCCGGCAGTACAGGGCGCGCCCACGCCCCCAGCTTATCAGCTGGTTCCGAAGAGAAGATGGAAAAGATACGTGCAGATCTTAAGGCCCTTAAGAATTCAGGCTATCGCGTTGGAGTCTTTGGAAACATCGCCTGCTCTGGTATCCTATGCGTTTCAATTCGAGTTTCCAAACTTGGTCTCTCAGACGAAGCCCTGCAAGCCTGGAACATACAACGAAAGCATTACTTCCTGTTGCTGATCAGATACACTGGGGCTATCGTGACGCAACCAGAGTTACCGATGCTCAGGATCTGTCGAAATCCATGGATATGCATGTGGGACTTTGTGATCATTACAAACCTCCTCTGCCCCAAGTCCTGGCTCTCTATCAATACACAAAGCCGGACAATGTGACCTCAAACGACAATGCCGACACTATATCAAAGGATGATCCTGCATTCCAACAACTGTTCATCGGCAACGCAATCAACCAGTTACTTGAGGAGCGTGTCTTCAAGATCATCTCGGCTCGGCAGCTGTACGATCTCACTTGGCTGGGCGCAGAAAAATACATCAACGAGATACAAGCGACATCGTCGTCTTCGATCATTGGCGACATGACACCCTATCACTGTAGTGATGACCCTGACGCGAGCAATCTTCCCCCGATAGTCCTTGCAGACCACATGCGCCAAGAACGACTTGCGAAGGCTTCGTTGCCCCTGATCATCATGCAGTTCGCCCTGAGACACTTTGTCCGATGCACGGAGTTCTGCCTCGTGTGCCATTGCCGAGTCGACGACGCTTTTGAGGCTTTGAAACCATACGTCTGCTTGAAGCCTCTCTGCCTATACCAGTACATGGCGCTTGGTTTCGGCCCTAGTCTGGAATGGGAAATCATGACCCAACCGTACGTTGTGGACCTTTTGGTCAGCTTTTGCTATGCAGCTGCTCGTAGTGGCAGAATCAAAGAATTCCCCATTGGCATGAACTTGATGGTGCCCGTCATACCGCGTTTCAGTGAGGTATCCTACCCCAGAAAGTCCTTTGCATGCTTGTGGAGTATGAGCTTGAGGTGCTTGGTGGTCGCAGATGACGAAAAGAAGGAATCAGCTGTTAAGAATCTCAAGTCTGGTGACTGGGTTGTCCTCCTCTGTCGTCAGGCTGGCGCAGCAGCCCATTGCCGGGTTATGAGGGTCGATCTGCCTGATGTTTGGCTCCATGAGCCAATTTCGGTTCCATTACCAGAACATTTCAGGATTTTTAGCTGTGTCACAAAGGAGGCTCATGAGAACGGCGGCTTCCTCAACGCAGAATGCTACCTGTACGACAAGAACTTTGATGACCTCGTTAAAGAACACCAGCAAGGTGCAATTATGACAATGTTGGATGCCCTTCCAGGCGTGATAGAGATGCATCGATATCTGGAGGGCCAAGGAAAGAGCCACGAGTTAAGCTTGAAAGCATGGTCTGACCGGATCCCAGAGTCAACCGTGAATCTTCTTCGTTGGATTGTCGCGTCCAATAGGTCTTGCATCTTCCAGGTCGACGACATCGGCAGCAAGAATGGCTGCGAAATCCGTGGAAAGGCCGAAGACCGTGTTGGAGGAATGGCGTCTTGGATCCAATTTCGCTTCGCTCAAGGAGCTCCGGACAAAGAGAAGCGTTTCAACAAAAGTGTAGAGCGGCATGCTCGAGCCACTAGAACCAAATATCCGACTCTTTTTGCATGGCACGGAAGTCCAATGGGCAATTGGCATTCAATCATCCGACAGGGCCTCCGATATGATGACATCCTCCACGGCAGATCATATGGGAATGGCGTCTACATGAGCCCACATGCGTCTACAAGCTTGGGATATACGCACGAGATTGCTCAGAGCAATTGCGCCTGGCAAGGTTCTTTTCTCAAAATTGAGAAGATGCTTTCCCTGCAAGAGGTGGTGAATGACCCTGAGCAATTCACGTCCACCATGCCGCATTATGTGGTGCCCAAGGTTGACTGGATTCAGACGCGATACCTATTCGTTAAGACCAAGGATGCACCTGTTCGTCGCGACTTGGCAGTTGAAATCTATGAGCAAGATCCAAACCGACGAGCCTACAACGAAGCGTGCGAGGTACTGTCAATTCCAATGACTGCTATTTCCAAGGCTCGACGACCTGGAAACAGCATCGACACGACCGCGACCCCTCGCGGGAAGCGTACCAAGAGAATCTCGACAACGGACTTGGCGACGGCCGAGCAACGAGAAGACGATGCCGACAGTGTAGTGTCGGATGCAGATGATTTGGCCCTGTTTCAAGTTGCCGATCAGAAGTATGATCCCCGGCTTCATGATTCTGATGCTACTGCTGAGAGCCTGTGCGTCAGTGGCAAAAAGCGGCCTGCAGAGGTAGCAGTAGAGACCGACTTTGTACCCGGCAAATTGGACGTCAAGGACATCACATTTATGGAAGCGCCTCAGGACGCTACGCCGGTAGCCACTAAGGCGCTCATGCGTCTATTCAGAGACGCTCTGAAGACGCAGGAAACCACCCCGCCAGCCACACTCGGATGGTACATCGACCGCAACTTGGTCAACAATGTGTATCAATGGATCGTGGAGCTGCACAGCTTTCCAAAGGATCTACCCTTGGCCAAGGACATGAAAGATGCGGGAGTGACGTCAATTGTCATGGAGATGCGATTCACCAGCCAGTATCCTTTCAGTCCTCCATTCATTCGAGTGGTCAAGCCTCGCTTCCTACCCTTCAACCGAGGCGGAGGTGGGAACGTCACTGATGGAGGAGCCATGTGCATGGAGGTGTTGACTAACAACGGATGGTCTGCAAGCCTCTCAGTTGAAAGCCTCCTGCTTCAAGTGCGGCTAGTCATCTGTGATACCGAGCGCCCTGCGAGGCTTGCCCATCCACCTGGCTCTAACTATGGTATTGGAGAGGCCATTGCAGCGTACATCCGTGCGTGTCGTAACCACGGCTGGAAAGTTCCTGCGGGGTTTGAGACGATCCAAAATTGAAGAGCTCGACGGTCATCATGCGATCTTGCCAGGGAAAGGGCATGGCATATCAGCCACGAAGAAGACGAATTCGACATTGAGGCGCATGGGACTTGTGGATCGGGCAAATGATAAGAAGATGAGAATGGGGTCGGCCATTTTGAAGGGCGAGGGTACAGGCAAAAGATGGAACCCTCCAAAGCGCGTCTCGCCCGCAATTCCTCAATAAGATGTACGAATACGCACCTTGGGTTGGTAGCACAGCATTGCATTACATAGCATGGAGCGGCGGTCAGGCATACAGGGTGACCAAGGACAGACGGCATTGGCATTCGAGGAGACAGGTGACGTGAGCCGCTGAACAAAGGGCGCGGCAAGGCTTGCCAATCAGACATTGCCGTCCCGGGCTCGTACTGTACACTAGGTGGACCCAAAGTGAGCTTTTCCATAGCAGAGAAATTGTTGAGCATTCCATGTTCCCTGGTCCATTGCAGCGACACAGGTGCGGAGCATTGTGACAGCCACTCAGCACCAAGCGAAAAAGATTGGATACAAAGGGGCGATATTATTACGCAGGATAGGCATGATAGGCAGGATAGGCAGGATAGGTAGGCTGGATCGGCTGAAGGGCCTGACAGTGAGTGACATGTGCCATTCATTCTCATTTCCGTGACGGACATGCACAATGCACGATGCACATGCTTAGCGCCTTTCGACCCGAACAGTTTCACGCATGAGCCACGTGTCTATCTGTCTACTACGTTGTACTCGTCCTTGTTATACATGTCTCGTCCTCGTCCTGACCCTAGGGCCCAGTGCCCAAGTGCCTAATGCCGCGCAGATCGCGCACGTAGCAAGCAACTTGCTGTATAGCCAATGTCGATGGTCGCTTTCTTGACGCGTATTGTTAAGGAGATGTACTCGGTACAAAAGCACATGCTCGGGACACATGGTTACATTCCCATCGGGCTGTGCTCGTGGTGACGGGGGAAGCCAGTCTCGGGGATTGCCGTGTCGGCTGTTGTCGCTTTGGTGAGTGATGAAGCTTCGGAATGTAGATCGATCTAGATGAATACTTATTTACCGGAAATTAGAAAAGGCCCCCCGGGGGGGGGAGAAGAGATATATACTCGGTACAACGCTCTGCGAGTCCCTCCATAATATAACTCACATGCATACCTGTTACATACTGGTAGTACATACTTGTACATACATACATATGCAAGGCCGTTTTTAGAACCCGCAGGAAACCCACAACCCGCCGGGTCCATTTTCACATGCGAGGAAGGAAAAAGGAAAAATGTATCATGCATCATGCATGCAGGTCGCAATTTCTCTCCGACATGCTCGTCACATTGATTGCCGTTCGGCCAGGCTCTTGTTTGACCAGATACAGGAAACGTGATTTTATCTCTCACAGCGTGGTCCCCCGGCCTTGCAATCCGATTACCTACATATCACTCGGAACGAAGCAGCAAGGCGTGTCTATCTCGTCAAATACCCGTCATTCAAGGTTATGCTTCCCAACACAGTGCTTACCCCAGGAAAAAGGATCGTTGATGCATGATGCGGGACGGGTCAGACAAAGACATGCGGAGGAGAGGGGTCGTAGGCTCGTTCAACAGATAGCAAGGATATGGATTACCAAACGCTAAGTCGCCGCGAGTGCACATTGCCATCCCACTTCCTTCTTCCTTCTCCTTTGTGTGATAACGACGAAACAAGCATTGATGTTCCTAATTAGCCGCGTATGTGCAACACAGCAGACCGAGGTCGACTCGATGTTTCAGGTATCAGGAGAGATATGTCATTGCCACACTCGACGAGGGCGCTCCAGGCAGCCGGTTCGGATTCTCAAAGGTGGTGTGAAGCCAACAACCATGCGATGGGATGTGGCGAGGCGAATATCGCGATTGGCTGGGGGGAGTGAGGATGAAGGAGCTTCCACGGACATGGGACTGCAGGGGATGAAGTTAGCAGACATGACCAGAGACAAAAGAGGACAAGCCGACAAGCCGGAAGCGGGAGAAGCGATAGGGTGGTTTAGAGGTGGTTTAGCTGTGGTCAGTTTGTCTTGCCAGTGCTGTGTACTTGTTACTGTTCCACATGCACCCAAATATCTTTCCATGGCATCATTCATCCAGGATCCGGGGGAGTCGATAAATGGATAACGTGTTGCAGCACTAGCAGTAGCAGTAGCAGTAACAGCAGGGGGAGAGCAGCGGGAGGATGAGGATGAGGAGGAGGAGAGACGCAGTCGGAGGTGCAGTGGGTGGTTCGGAGACTGCAGACTGCGACTTTCACATGCTAGACTTGGCAGCGGCGACACACACACGTTGCGGCTTCAGTCCACTTTGTCGGGCCACTGAACCAATGCGCAGTCCTGAAGGCATGAAAATCATCCTCCCTGGCCACCTCTGTATCGGGTTGCTCTTGATCAGCCTAATGGCTAATGGCTAATGGCCAGCGGCCCCCAGCAGCAGCTCAACAAGAAACCAGCCATGCCACAGGCAATGCTATAGCCACCTGCTTGGTCCAGCTCACAGTCACCATATTATTCCTCTCACTCCCTGCTCCGACTGGCCTTTTCAGTTCCCATCCTTGTTCTTCTTCCTCCTTCACACACTCTGTTCCGTATCAGAACTGCATTGACCGGCACTTGGGTCCCATCTCCACATCATCCGGTGAGTATCAGGTCCTTGGGTTCCTGCAGCAAATTCCCCCAGCACCGGACCACCGATCTACGCCCGCCTTCCTCAACAAAAGGAAACCCCGAGTAGCTAGGCTGCTTCTCCCTTTGGCGTCTTCACTGCTGCTGACTAGTCTACGCATCATCATCTCTGTCTCTGAGCATAACTGATCAAGTGCAGTCTCCTCGAAAGTCAAACAACACACCATGGGTGAAGCTACCGTCAACGGCGACATGCCGCATTCTGCCTTCCTCTCGGTAGGTGGCCCTGTCGAGCCCTCTCCTCTGCATTGTGCGTCTGCTAATCGCCTGTTCCACCCAGCACATACAATCCTATCCTCTCGTCTCAGACTCGATCAAGACCATCCAGCAGAATCCCTATGGTGTCAAGTCGATCGAGCTGACCAATGCCGGCTACACCAAATTCGTCAAACCCACTCTCCCCTACTTCCAGACGCCCGCCTCCTACGCAAAACCCTATGTCGCCAAGGCTGATGAGCTCGGTGACAAGTTCCTCACCAAATTTGATGAGCAGGTGCCCATTGTCAAGGCCGAGACCAAGGACATCCAAGACAAGGTTATGGGCTACATCCATTGGCCACTGGAGACCGCAAACACCACCAAGGACTGGGCTCTCGCTACTTACAAGGACGAATACAAAAAGTGCGGAGGGGAGGGCTACGTGGCGGGCGGCAAAGCAGTCATCACCACCTCCCTCATTATGAGCTCCGATGTCCTCAAGTGGATCAGCTCTTTTCTCCAGGGCAAGAAGGAACAGGCCAAAGAGGTTGTCAGCGAGAAGACCAGCAAATAAACGTATCGTCATTAACTGCACCCGCTCTGCCCTGTTCCGGCGCCTCCAACGTTGGGAGCGCAACCCCTCCAGTCATGTACAAATGAACCAACCCAGAATTTGATACCCCGATAACTACCAGCACACTGAACAAGATCCGATTGCTCCCCCATCCGGCGGCATCCAAGTCCTCTAAGGATCCTATTCAACAGCGCCACAACAATCCAGCAACCCCCAACTCATACGAGCAAGCGATAATCACGGCCCTTTTCTTTTTCTCGCGAGCATTCGCTGTTGTGGATCTCCTTCCCCAACTTCGAATTTATCCTTGATAGAAGTTTGTGGTCTGCGTTTCTGAACATGCATAGAATCGGTAGTTTTTTGTTGAAATGATATCAAGTTCAACGCAATGTCATACTCCCTTCGTGGCGATCAGCAGCTCAATCTTCGTTGGGCATGCCTGTTCTGAAACCCGGCTTGCGGCAAAGCATGTGAAAGTGTTTTCTTCTTTTTGCCTTCTTATCGTTATCAGAAATTTTCACATGCTATGATGTCGTCTGTGGAGACCGGGAGGATTAACCGCCTCCTTTGAAATTCGACTTCTTGGGCAACTCAACCATTCGTATCGTAGAGGGATTCACAATTCCAGCTCTGGAAAGAGGCAGACAAAGCGACAAGACATTATGCCCAAAGAAATCCATCTCCCCCTCTTGGCCCGCCTCTGCCAGGCTCCTGTCCTGCGATGGCCAGAGGACAGGCAGGACCCGGGCCGTTTCGTACTCGGGGTCCGGTGGGAAAGTGGGAAAAAGGCAAGGTCAACGAGACTCCTGTTCGCCGGACATAGTCTCCACCATCATGCAAGACGTGATCCGATCAATCTCGGGTCTTTTGCTTCAGCCGGTTCAAAAGTGGCCTGGCTGTCTCTGCTGATAGAGTGGGACCGTACTTGTTTTGACGCGACGAACAGGACCATGACCAGGATCCAGCTCGCCAGAGAGCCGCACAGGTCGGTAGGTAGAACAATACATACTTCTTGAAAAAAGTATCTCCCCCTATCTCGTCTGATGATCGGTTTTCAGGCATGTGCGTCACATCGGTATACAAGTACAGAGAGGTGCATAGGTAACCCACCTGTACCTAGGTGTGCAGTATTGTACCCATCTCTTCCCTGTCCCTACCTAGACCACCCATGCTGGAAACCGCGATTGCAACTGGAACTGGTGATTCAGAACCCAGCGCGCGTGCGCTGAGCGAACTTTACCTTTCATTTCCTTTCCTTGCTCTTCGACGGCTCGGTTCTTTCCTACCGAGGGCATATCATGCATACTGAATACCCCCGGCCCGGGGTTCTTCTTCCCCCCGCGACGCCATATGCTTGATTGTCTAGTGGATATATAAGGTCGTTACCCGTGCTTGTGCTTGTGCAGGTTATACCCCGACCTCGAACCTGGGATAAAACGGGGGTTCATCACGTCTGGGTAGACCTCCTGACGCTTATTCACCTGATGGGAGAGTAGGAATGGTCGGGTTTGCAGTATGCACCTACGTGGACATGTGCTCGGCATTTTTCTGACTCTTCTTACCCTTTGACGACGGGATCTGCAGAGGTTTTCACAGTCTCGTCCCTCATTGACACGCACTTGACAGGTCCCATCACTAGGCTCAATCCGCCGGAGTTACACGTCAACGACCCTGCATTCCGCGATAAACTGTGTACCAATCCACCCCACAAGAGCAACAAGTACCAGTGGTGGGCGAACCTGGTTTCCCGTGTCCAGCTCCGGCTTCAGCACCATTCCTCAAGATTCACATCGTCTGCGCCGAAGTGGGTTGGATGCCTGTTTCTCAAAGATGACCATGTGTCAACTTGAGCCTATGATAACCATGATAACAGAACGGTTGGGAACGTTCTCCAGACGCCCCACCGAGGCCATTTGCTGGCGGTTTCCATGGATGGTGTCCTTGATGAAGAGTATGCCGCAAGACGTCGTAGCCAAGAAGAATTTGGAGGTTGGGCTAGGTGCTGTGAGTGAGACTACCGCAGCGATCCCGTCAAGAATATTTTTCTACCTGATTGACATGCCCTCGAATCTGGAGAAGAGCGTGCGGAACTGGCGTCGCTGATTTCATCTTCTAGTTCACCGATACAGAATCTTTCAGAGATAGAGCCACTTCCTCTCATACCAGCCTTCATCAGCGGAGGATTGCGCATCAGCTATGGTGTCGCCGCTCGGACACCACGCATAGAGCCAGTGAGATACTACGTTATGGCGGCCTCACCAACCCACCAGGCACACTGACATCAATGGCTAACGCTCTTGTCTCGATCGATTTAGACATCTTCCCTGACGTCGAACGCTCGAGCCGCGACGTTGGCTGCATAACACAGATAACCAAAATCTCGACAAGCATCAAGTTGCCAAAGGTTCCCGTCAATGTCTAGGTATGAATCTAACGTACGCCGGGATGTGCCTTGCCATGACTTTGAGGTCAGGCTTGAATTCTGATCTTGTCGAGACTAGAGTAGAGGGCGTGAGGTGGAGGCACGGCTTGTTCATGGGTTCCCGGAAAGAGGAAAGGGACCCAAGGATAAATCGAGATGACCCACACAATGGACTGGGGAGGTTGCGAAGAAATGCCAAGTCGATAGGTGCTTGGTGGCCTGCTGAGTCGTGACGAGCGTGCAGAGAAACAGCACTCACCTCAAACAAGGCTGTAAGAACCGATGGTCTCTGATCTTGACAAGAAATGATAAAATCCGTTATGAGCCGAGGAATTTTCGACGTCGACAGAGCACTGGGTATGGCCTGGAGGGTAGGATCGCCCGAGAGCCGAAGATAAGTATGGATGCTGGTGATCAAGCTATACGTAAGTCGGTTTGACGATGGGAGATAGATACCAGAATCTTCGCATGAGAGCAATTTCGCTCTTGGTGCCGGTAGATCTGGGATTGCAAGATAAAAATGGATGGGCACGCATTGAGATCCCTCTTGGGTTGAGTTTGTGCTGATAAAAAAGATAAGCCCGAGCAGTCAGTACCGAGTATGTAGAGCAAAATTGTCAAACGAAGTCTCAGGAGATTACACTCCACATTGCCTGGGACAACAGGTGCAGCCCGGAGGAAGCCGTTACCCGCGGGGAGCACAGGACCTGAGACTGGGATACCTGGTGGATCGAGGACATAGGCGCATTCCTTTGCAGGGATGAAAACGTGGAAGTGGTATCGCGTGGGAGGAAAGTAGCCAAAGTGAGAAGGAGGAGGAGAAAAGAAGCTGCGCAGCGTGCAACCTGCATCAGGGCCAAGATCAGGCCCAGCACCCGGTGCGGATGATGTTTTTTCCGGCCTGCCGATTGCGCAGTTGCGCTGCCCCCATCTTCCCATCTTCACCTATCACAATGGTCAAAATGGTCCACTTCCAACCACCACACGCTTGTGCCTGCCATTTGCGCTCCTGGTCCTCGTCCTTCTGCATGGTTTCGACTCCAGAAAAAGCCACAAAAGCCACCACCCTGTGCCACCACCTCTTTGCCTCTGAACCACTCATCCTACGTCAACTGCTAGTGCTCATGCACAACCTCGCCAGGGCGCAGAGATAAGCTCACGCAAGGGTCAAGAGATACGAAGAAATGGACACGATCAAACAAGCCTCAGCCAGATCATGGCTTATACCTCTTGAACGATGCCGCTTCTGCTTCTCTTGTCGATCTAGCTATAGCCATTGACATCACCAACAAGATCTCGCTTCTCGTCGCCAATCGCTTTGGACACCCTGTTTGAAAACACGAAGGGATCAACAAACCATAATCGACCCTTCACCTGAGGTCTTCCAGAAGAAAGGCATTATCATACGTCCTCGGTATGTCCTCTGTACAGGTTGCCGTGCCTTATCGTGCATCCACGAGTGCAGGGTTCACTAAAGGGCCTAGGCCATGGTCAGCGCCAACCACGATTCGATCAAGCTTTGCCGACCCTGCAAGGCCTGCTCTTCTTGTCCAAAGAGAATGGGGTTTGGCCCTTATCAGGGACCTTGAAGATCGCGAGTGGATCCCAACCTTCGGCCGATTCCCACCCAACGGGCACCGACTTCCTCTCCCGCATCGCAGTGCTTTGCATCATATCGTCTGCAATTATCGCTACGCTGCTCATCCCCTGTCGCGTATATCTTTCTCGCTGTCCGCCCGTCGGCACGTACCTGTTTTTCACTCTATGGTCGGGTTGTAAGCCACCGACAAGATGTCGAAATACGTGACAGAAACAAAGAAATATATCCCCAGTGGGGCGACTGTCAAGGCCAGGGCGACCACTCTCAGCGTATGGGAACTCCCTAAGCAAGGTAATTCCATCTCCTAGACCTGTGAACTGACACGGCTACTGACCCAAATCCGTAGATTCCGCTCTTGCTCCCAAGGATGTATGGTAAGTCGATGCCTGCGCACCCGCCGCCTGAGGCGAACCGTCAGGACTGACCCAATATCCAGGACCAATGCGGACATGGACCCGGTCCCCCCAAAGTACCAAACCTGGACTTTGTGGACTTGGATGGCATACTGGGCAACTGACACCATCAATCTGGGTACCTGGGAAACCGCTTCTTCTGTGATTGCCGTGGGTCTAAACTGGCGCGACGCAATTCCCATCATGGTTGTCGGTACGAGCTGCGTGGCTGTGCCTATGGTCCTCAACGGTGCCATCGGCGCCAAATTGCACATTCCATTCTCAGTCATTGTCAGATCCAGCTTCGGTTACTACTTTGGTTACTTCTGTATCGTCTCTCGAGCCATCTTGGCCATGTTCTGGCTTGGTATCCAAGGTGCCAACGGCGCACAGTGTATTACTCTCATGTTAACCGCCATCTGGCCATCGTACGCACACATCAAGAACCACCTCCCCAGTGATGCCGGTATTACGACGCAGGGAATGATCAGCTATTTCCTCTTCTGGATAATCCAGCTTCCACTATTGCTGATTCCTCCGACGAGGCTTCGCTATCTTTTCATAGTCAAGCTGATCGCTGCACCAATCACCGCATTGGCTACTCTCGGTTGGATTGTTCACAAAGCTGGAGGCGGTGGCGCCATCTTCTCCTTGCCCGAGACAGTTCACGGCAGCCAGCGCGCCTGGCTCTGGTTGTCATGCATGTCCTCGGTCACAGGGTCTTGGGCCACACTGGCTTGTAACATCCCTGACTTCAGTCGTTATGCGAAGACCTCACGCGGTCAGTATATTCAGCTACCTTTCCTTCCGGCAATCTTTACAGTTTGTGGTGTGATGGGTATTGTCACCACGTCTGCATCCAAAGTTCTTTACGGAGAGTTTCTTTGGAACCCGTTGGATATTATCGCCCATTGGTTGGACAACCCTGGCGGTCGTGCCGCTGCATTCTTCGCCGCGCTCTCGTGGTACGTTGCCCAAGTTGGCACAAACATCACCGCAAACAGCATGTAAGTCTTGAATTCTTGAGTCTGCCACATCAATCGCTTTCATATGCTAATGTGTCTAGTTCCGCCGCAAATGATCTGACAGTTCTATGTCCCAAATACATCAACATCAAGCGTGGTTGCGTCATTGCCGCTATTATTGGTGGTTGGGTCATCGTCCCATGGAAGATCCTTAGCTCTGCAACGACCTTTTTGGCCTTTATGGGCGGCTATGCCGTCTTCCTCGCTCCCATGGCCGGTATCATCGCCTCCGACTATTGGATCGTCAAACGACAACACGTGGATGTGCCTGCCCTGTACGATCCTCGCGGTCGATACAGGTACAATATATATGGCATCAACTGGAGGGCGATGCTCGCTTTTCTTCTCGCCATCGGCCCCTGCATGCCCGGTCTGGCATGGAGCATTAACTCCAAATCTAGAATCACGACGGGTGCACAACACCTGTATTCTTTTGATTGGCTCTATGGCTTTGTAGTCAGCATCTTCGTCTACTCCGTTACCAGCTACATTTGGAAGCCGACTGATCAAATCGTGCCACACACGGTGTACGGCATCCCCCAAAACCCGGATGACGAAGAGGCATACGAAGAAGCGTATGACGAGAAGGTGCTCAGGCGGGACAGTCTGGTGGGAAACCCCAAAAGTTTCGCCAATGTAGGTGGGATTGACAGCATGGGCAGTGCTCTCCATTTTAGGAAGTCTGTTGATGAAACTGCCAGGGAGAGTATCGAGGTGAGACGAGCAAGTAAGGCGAGTCAAGGTGGTCAAGGGCCGCACCACCCGGGTACGGTTCCGGAACATCTCAAGGGTGTTGATCAGGAGGTGCTGAATGAGAAGGTCTAGCTTAGCGTGATCACATCGACGTGACCTAGGGAAGCAAGACGTCTCATCGCCGCGTTGGTCGTGCTCTGGCATCAAGCTCAAGGGCCCCATCCCGAGCCAGATAAATATCAACCCCACGATGGATTCGCAACCAGCTCTTGAGCCAGTTGGTCGCCGACTGTTCTCTAGGGAATTGAAATGATACCCAACTACATGTCCACGAGACCAAAATTGTATCGAAACCTTGTCGGATCAACTTGTGAAGCAAACCAAAACGGAGCTAGGCAAATTGGTGTAGACTTGTGGGGATCCTCTCCTACTTAGGTACAGACTAGAATCTGATATTGATCTAGCTTTCCCTTCGAGTTCAATCCGATGGTTCTGTTACGTGAGTCTTGATCATTTACTATGCGTCTGATTCAATCCCGAACTTGGACCGCCCCCGAGCAAGCAAGTGAGCGAGCGTTCGCTTCTCATGTCCCCTTACACTAGCCATGTATGCACGTATGTACCTATGTAGCCGTGTGTATATACGTATGTACCCACCACCCCCCAGCAGTACCTTTGGCATAGCTTTGCGCATAGGCCGCGTCCTGAGTCCTGCGTCGCATCTCCTCCTTCCCTCCCTTCTTCCCTTCCTTTCAATTCCCCTCCCCCTTCCTTTCCTCCTTCTTCTCTTCCTTCCATGTCCCACATCCCTCGCCCTGCGAGCTCAGACTCAGACATCGACATCGCAAACAATAAAATACCTCTCGACGACGCCGCCGGCGATGACCTTGCCGTGCACGGGGTCCACGGCCGCGCCCGTCAGCACGGTGATCAGCGACCCGTCGTCCCAGTACAGCAGCTCGGGCTCGTAGTCACGCGCCTTGACCAGGCGCAGGATGCCCGCCTCGCCCTTGAAGCCATAGTCGAGGAGGTGGTCGCCGCTCAAGCGCGTTTTGAGTGCCAGGACGTCGGGGAAGACTGGGATGTGGTTTTTAGTTTTGGGGGGTCTTTTTGTCCGCTGTCCTTTGGTGTTGGGGGGCCGCAGCGAGGGCGGCATGTATGGGAAGAAAAGACGGGAAAGGGAGAAATGCAGATGCAGATTGTGAAAGCGGTCAGGACTTACTGCACACTGCGATATCGTCTGTTCCAGGTATGAGCGAGAGGTTGTCCGCCGCGGCGCCGAGTTGCTGTATTCGCGCAATCAGCCGGTCAGTCCCCTTTAGTTAGATCTGCTCCTGGCCCGATCCAGATCCATTCCCGGGACAAGAACCAGGTGGAAGACTCGACAAAGGACAAAGATGATTACGTACGACTTTCTTCCTCACAGTCAAGGTCTTGGTCTCGGGGTCGACATCGTAAATCGTGGTCGTCGCCTCGACGACATCATTCACCATCAGCGTCTTCCCGTCGTCGACCAGAAGCGCGCCGTTTGCGCTCGGGTGGGCGTTCGGCGGCGAGACGGTCTTGCAGTCGATCTCGTGGGACGACGGGTCCGACGAGGCGTTGCAGTAGACGACGTCTGAGGCCCACTTCCACGGTCCCCAGTGGTCTTCGTGGCTGCGGAGGATGGTTGCCAATGGCCCGCCGCCGTAGAAGTAGTGGTCGTTGGTGATGAAGAAGGAGCTGTGTCGCGCGACCGAGTGAGTAAGTGAGAGAGAAGAAATACTTGTTTTGGCACCCTTTTTTTGCTTCGTGAAACACACCCAATATCTCTCGTTGCCCCAATGTCATGGAGGGTGGGAAGTCTTACCTCAAACTCGTCGCGGCCACGGCATTGGGTGTCTTGATAGCTGGATGCTTGAATTCGCGAACGTACGTCAACACGTCGGAGCCGATGGTGTGGGAGAACAGGACGATGGCTTCTCCTTTGCGATCGTGGTTGACGGCGAAGAGGTAGATCTACCGTTGGTCTGGTCAACGGATTGTTTTTTTTTCCCCCCTTTGGCAATCGTGGGACTAGGTCGACAGAAGACTCAGGAGAGAACAAAAATATACCTTAGAGTCGTCGTCTTTCGGCACCAAGATGTCAATGCCGTGCAAGATCAGGTCGTGCGAGGAATCGATGCCCTCGATTTTCAACTTGGTGGCTTTGTCCGTCTTTGAATCGACCATTTTTCGTCAGCTTTCCCCCGGTCTTTCCCGCGAGCTCTATGCGCTCGTGCTCCTGCTTGACTTTACCTTGATATCGTATTTCAAAAAGTACTCGTGATAGCTGTCCGCGCTCATGGTGTCATGGCGGTTCAACGGCGGATAGAACGCCTCTCGGGTCTCGGGGTAGCCGCATGCTATATAGAAGAAGGGAAGTGGTCAAATTGCAAGTCCAGAAGACGCCAAAAGCAACAGCAGCAGCTTCAGGTGTGATGTGAGCCGAGCTTTGGAAAAACAAAGGCCGCGAACGAACCTAGGAAAGCCGTAGCAGACGGATGATGGATACGGACGTCCTCGCAAGCTTTACCAACTGTTTTTAAGGCGGGAAAAGAACCCTTGGGGTCAGTTTCTTCATGTTCTCTTGGACCTTGATACACACAACTTGGGATCTCACGAACGAGGATTCGTCCAGCATTTGTCATTGTTCAATGGGCCATGATGCAGATGCGTCGTATGGATCGTCGCATCCGCCAGTCGTCCACCATACAGATTCAAGACCGGATACGGGTATGCGTAGAAGATGCCGCACAATGCGACCAGGAAGGACAGCGGCCCGAACCAGACCCAGTTGTTGACAGCCATGTCTAGACGGCGCGAGCAGGGTTGCGAACTGGCCGGTGGGAAAATCAATCCACAGGGATCTGGAAGGACGTGTGGTGTTTGTGATGTCTTGATGGCATTGATCGAGGGTTTTCTGGAGGGGAAATGGGGAAACCTCGGCTATGCATCGGTTGACAACAGCAAGCGACAGTCAGATCTGTACTCGGTACGAGCCATTACATACGAGAAGCTGACCATATACAGAAGCGGAGTTCCCCCGTTCGTTCTCTGACTGACTTCACAGACGCCAGTATCGGAGGGCCTATGCAGTAATGATTTTGACGTAAGGACCTTGAAGATAGCAGCCTTGCCCTCCATCACCTGGGGCTATGTGTACTCCCTCAACTTCCTCAATATCTTACCTCCAATTTTGTGGATCAGACTTGCTCGCTGCCCGTGGCCATGCTGTGATTGGGATCCTTGCTGAAACATGTTTCCAGCCAGTCCACCAGAGCTCGAGACTGAGGCACCGCCACTCCACTGCCCAGAGACGGACAATGCACAGCACATGGGTTGGCCGTCGGGATGAAAATGCTCTGGCCCGAAACTGAGGATTCTCGCTTTGCGGTTGTTCCATCCTTGTCCCTCATGCTCGGTGGCGTGATAGATGCAATACACCCTTCCATCTCCGTACGGGGAAGGAATGAAACTTGCATGCCCAGGCCCGAACGGCCCTCCCTTTGCTCGGTCACTTACAAGCAGCGGCGTTGGTCGTTTCCTCCACGATGACTCCTTCAAGGGGTCGTCGCCGACAAGCTGTAACAGGGCCAACCGGTAGTCGCTGGTCCAGCTCCCGTTGGCGCTGTAGATGATTCCTTGAAAGCCGGGAATGCTGATGAACGTGGGACCTTCGTTGACGCCATGGGTTCCTCCATCCGCCCTCTCCCATGGTAGTTCTGCCCTAGAAATGCAGGTGAGTGTCGCTGGTCGCGCGACTTCGGGAGTCTCCAGCTCGATCAAGAACAAATCCTGCTGCCGGTCTGAATGATCGCCCAGCGGCCACCCGGAGTAACAGCAATATAGCTTCTGCGTACGCTGCAGATAGAAGACTGTCGCGTCGATGTTCCAGTGATCAGGCAGGCCTTTCATCTGTCCGAGGAATTCCCACGCTCCCGCCTCCATCGGGTCTTGACTTCGACTGCGCAGCAATAACGTTCTATGTGAGGGGTTTCCGATCTCCGGGTGGGCGCCGCAGAAGTAGATATACCATCTTCCATTCAGGTAGTGCAATTCGGGGGCCCAGATGTCTGCCACCCAGGGAGTTGCGGGCGGTGGCTTCCATGCGATGATTTTCTTACAATTCCTGAAGTTTTCCATGTCGTGCGACATCCATATCTCGACGCGGTCTCCGCAGGTGAAAGTCAGGTAGAAGCGGTTGTGGGCGGCGACCATCCAAGGATCAGGAGTATCTGTATCCGCTATGGTCTGGTTGGACATGATGCCAGTTAGCTCACGCTGAGATCGACAAGATCACAATGCGAAATGTTGGTTCGTAAAACCGGGCAAGCATGTCATGATCCTGCGATGGTTGCGAATCAGAGAAAGTGAACAATCTCAGTTGTCATCGACGTAACTGACAATCATCGGCTGGGCACAAGTTGCCGAATCGTGTCCCGCGTGCTGTTGTGTCACACGACATTTCATCGTAATGTGCTGTATAACCTCTCACATTAACTGCCCCGGAGAAGGGCTCAGAAGTGTACCAGTGTTGTGATAGGGTCTTAATGATTACATTGTGTCTCTGTATAAATTTCATTTCAGCTCCTGGGGGGTATCATAGTCATAGATCGTGTACACATAGCTCATAAAACATTACTCCTCCTCTTCCTCCACTGCGCCGACATCCCTCCCAAAGAGCGCGCCAGCTGGGGTGTAGGCAGGTGTCGTAGAGGCCAGCAGCTGGTTCCTTCGAGCCGCCGGCGTCGCTGGAATCAGAGAAGCCTCCCTTGCCGTCTCTTCATTATTCGAGCTAGCCGACACCTGCCTCCATTTCTGGAGAAACCAAAGAGCCCGCTTCTTCTCATTACGATGGAATAACACATCAGCATCCTCCTCGAGCCTCTTTGTTCTAAATGCCGCATTCCTCCAATTCCTCAGCATTGACAATGCGTAGCTGGCGGTTCTTGTTGCCCGGTACTCGTCTGCTTTCCTCTGATTCTCGAGCATCTGTCGAGTCGGGACGAGCCAGTTCGAGCCAAAGATTTGAAGGTGCTCAATAAGATTCTTGCGGAAGAAGAGATCGGCTTCGAGGTTGGCTTCTTGCATCTGTTCGGTCTTGTTGAACATCGTTACAATTGCACCGTGGGCTGTTCGTTTTGCATCCTCCACGTCTTTGCGAGCCCGGAATTCCTCAGCGGTCGTATTCATTTGACGGATCTGGGCGGCCTTCTGCCTCCAAATGTTCAGTGCCGTTCGAGCGATATTCATCTTGACCTTTCTTCTCATGTTTTTGTATGCCTCGGTGTACTTGGCCTCCTTGCTCTTCCTGGTTGCGGCTCGCCATTTCTGGAAGTATCTAAAGCTTAAAACATGCGTACGAGTTTCCACGGCCTTTTTCTCCTCAACTCGGAGTCGGGCCTTCTCCCGCCATTTCTGGAGACTATGCTTGCTTGCAAAATAGTCTGCTGCGGCCTCCGCTCGTCGTTCATTCAATCGAATATGCTCCAGCTGCACCAACCATGTGTGGAGCACTCTCCGGCTCAGATTCCCTTCATACACAAGAACGGCTTGACCTTCTGCTTGCTTGATTTGGTACCTCTTGACCACCATCTTTTCCAGGACATTTTGAAGTGCTTGGCGGTCGCGGAAAGCAGCAGCTGCGACGTCCATCTCTCTGAGGCTCGTAGTCTTTTCTTGCCATTTCTCTAGGGTTTTGCGGAGTATTCTCTCATCCCTCACTTTGACGAAGAGCATTTCGCGGGTAGCCAACGTCCAGTGCTTCAACGAAAATACAGCATCACGTCGCGTGCGAAAGTTGTTAGCGACATTGTTCATTTGGCGGATTTCCGCGACGGTGTTGCGCCAATGCGATAAGACCTTTCTTGCCAGATTGCGTAGGTATAAGCTGTCCGCCACTGCATTCATAGCCGGGTCTTCGTAGTCCAAATATGCGGCTCTTTGCAGCTGCAGCTTGTGCCGCCATTGTTCCAGCGCTTGCGATGCCAACTTTCGGTTGTCGAGGGTTACAGCTTGCTGCCAGAGAGGATCATTTTCATCAACTGAGTCGATCGAGTCAGATGTACCGGGTCGATAAAGCATGGAAGCAGCAGTGTTGACCCGTCTTTCTTGTCCATCTCCGTAGTCGGTTGCCCCATCCGTTGTAGTTCCGTCTGTAGTCAACACTATGTTCGCCTCTTGCAAGACGTCGAGAAATTTTTCGTTGAGGGGAATGTCAGGGTCGATCTCGAGTAGGTCAAGGAGCCACCGCAGGCAAGGGTCATCGTATTGTGTTGAGATATGGCTTTCTGAGCATATGGCTGCGTATTCGCGTATTATAGCAGTGGGTGTAAAGTTAATGGAGGCTTCTTGGAGGCGGAAAAGAATACGGTGCAAACGGTCAATATCTGCAGGGGAGAAGAGCGTCACATCACTGACAAAGGGTGCCAATTGTTCCGGCGTCATGATAGCGTTCAGAGAGCACCATTGTCACATACTGAGATATTGTAAGAAAGGGAGGGCACACTGGAGCCAAGCTGGATGGGCTGGACCAGGCGAGCCAGGGGATCGCGTTCAGCCTTGGCAGGTGACGCGAATGCACGTGATTGAGGCGCATCTCGGAAAGCGCTGCACAGCTCGACACCACCAATCGCCCCTTTTACCTTCAGCCCTTCAACCTCCGTCGCTATCTCCATACTACAAGGTGTATATAATTAATCGCTTTGTGACTACTGTCTTACAAATCATACTTCTCCTTCTGAATAGAGGTTGATCTGTTCCTGACTGCATGATTCTTAACGCGGCCTGAGTATTATGTTACTTAAAAGCTGACAGATCGGGAAAACTCCGACTCTGCTTCGACCTCCACCCAACAATGCTCAGATGTAACAGCACTAATGTCCATATGCTCCCGTTGTCAAACACGTATTCCAGGAAGTCGGCGCAATCCCGCTGCAGGCAGATGACAAGCTTTTTCCGCCTCAAGGGCTTTTGCTGACGAGGATGAAGAAGCAAATCAACCGCACCGGCGTGTCATCGCTTGGGCGGGTTTCCTAATCGCGTTCTGACACTATCCATCTTACTCGTACGCAGCCTCGCCGATTTCTATCCCTGGTCTCGCTATTGCTTCGAGATGAGTCATCTGGCGATGCGTCGTGAGCCGTGTCTCGGGCAAAAGATTTTGAACCATAAACTCTAATGACCGAAAAGGATACTGCCCTATGGAGACGCGGACGGCTGCTGACGCGGCTCAATCAACGACGACAAGGAGCCGCCCTGGCTGTGTTCGAGCATATTGAGGACCGAGTACACTGAAAGACATTCTACTCACCATTCGACTGACTTGAAGTTGGCTTGTCTGGTTTGACCCACATGAACGACGAGAAAGGCAAAAGGTGGAGTGTGAACAGAGGTCTGTTAAAAGCTCGTCCTTGCTCATAGTCGAGCCTTGAGCGCTAGTTGGCTGTGAATATCGGCAGTCTCACTATCTTCAGGGATAAAATACAAAGGGTACGGCTGCCTATGCTGTAACCAAGACTCACTTTTTCAATCAGTACGAGGCATACATGATGGCTCAGTTAAGCGCCATCCAACTCTTCCTTGCCGTTCTAGGTGTCTTCACAATACTGCTCTTTGCGTACAGACTATTCTTTCTCAATCCACAGGCCAATGTCAATCATTCACTTCCGCCCGGCCCCAAACCCAAACCGTTGCTGGGAAATCTACCCGACCTTCCACCAACTGGCGCCAAAGAATGGCTACATTGGATCAAGCACAAGGAGCTTTACGGCCCGATAAGCTCCCTCACGGTTCTGGGCCAGACCATGATACTTCTTAACGATTACAAGGTCGCGGTTGAGCTGATGGAGAAGCGTTCCGCCTTCAACTCGTCTCGACCAAAGCTAGTATTTGGGTCCGAAATGTGCGGGTGGGAACAAGCACTTGGACTCATGCCCTATTCCAACAAGAGCCGCTCCTACAGAAAAGCGCTGCACACCGTTCTCGGCACCTCTGCTGCTATTGACCCGTTCCGACCGCTCATCGAGCTGGAAACGCGTCGGTTTCTACTCAAAGTGCTTGAGCATCCCCAAGAGGTGCTACAGCTTATCCGGACTCAAGCTGGCTCGATTATTCTGAAGATCGGCTATGGCTATACAATCGAACCGAATGCGCGCGATCCGCTGGTGGATCTTGCGGAAGAAACCCTCGATCAATTCTCCAAATCCTGTATGCCTGGAGTCTGGACGGTGGACGTGATACCTGTGCTCAAATACCTCCCCGAATGGCTCCCCGGTGCTAGCTTTAAGCGCACTGCACGTCACTGGAAAGCAACGCTTCATACAGCGGCGGAAGTGCCTTACAGATTTGTGAAGGAACAGCTTCGCAATGGGACGGCCGAGCCCTCGTACCTTTCCAAGCTTCTTCAAGATGAACACGGACCCCTGTCTCCGGAGGCAGATGATGTGGCCCGGTGGTCTGCCTTCTCAATGTACGCAGGGGGTGCCGATACCACCGTATCCTCCGTGGCCTGCTTCGTCTTGGCCATGACGCTCTATCCTGAAGTCCAACGCGAAGCCCAAGCGGAGATAGATGCAGCAATAGGCACTTCGCGCCTGCCGACATTCTCCGACCGCGAGTCTCTTCCCTACGTTGACGCGTTAGTTAAGGAGGTTCTTCGTTGGCATCCAGTGGCTCCTATGGGCGTACCTCACCTGACGACCAAGGCTGATGTCTACGACGGATATTTCATCCCCGAAGGTAGCCTTCTAATACCCAGCATATGGGCCATGCTCCACGATGAGGCCATCTATCATGACCCCGAAGTGTTCAACCCTTCCCGCTTTCTTGGTCCGAACGCTGAACCGGATCCTCATAATGTGTCGTTCGGCTTCGGCCGCCGGATCTGTCCTGGCAAATTGTTCGCCGATGCGACTCTATTTTCGACAATTTCTGGGTTTTTGGCAGTATTTGATGTGCGGAAATGCGTCGAGAATGGAAAGGAGATTGATCCAGTCGTGGATTTCGCCACTGGAATAATCAGTCATCCTAAGCCGTTTAAATGCGACATCAAGCCGAGATCGGCCAGTCACGAGAAGCTGATTCAATCTGTTGAGATCGAGTATCCCTCTCCGGAACACGGTGATGCAAGACACCTGTCCAATGCTGCTGCGGTATAGGCCGGGCAGTCGAGAGGGTTTGGTCTCTAGGGTGGCTCTATTCATTGCAAACAGCCTGTGTTGGTTGTCTGGAACGCCGATGATGGCGGTTTGACTTCGTGAACGAAAGGGATTCAGCTGTAGGAAGCTAGCTGCAACGAGATCGATGATGTGCAAAAGCCGGCGCTCGAGGTATCCTGAGAATGATCTTGTCTACGAGTTCAATGAAACACAGGAGGCCTGACTTTAGTTTGATCAATATATTCTTGCTTTCTATAGCGGATTCCCCAGCGACTCCATAATCGGGGTATTAGCTGCCAATATACAACTAGATAATCAATCATGCTGGTGACACGAGTCACATGTAGACACAAGTCAAAACGACAAGAGTGTTGAACAAAAAAACATATTGATGGTTCCGTAAATAGAACGGGACAGGACAACTGGTCCCCGCATCCAGCCTTGCCAGCCTCGGCTATATATGCACTTGGGGAGTAGAATACATAGACCAGATTTCTTAGGCATCGTTTATGAATCACCATCTCGTTCAAGAGAGCAGAGACAGGAAAAGTTTGACAGACTTAACAACTCGGTGCATGTCGGCTGCCCTGCTGCTTCTCGCGCAGCTGCTTTTAATGGCTATTTCGTCTCGTTGATGAATGTTGCGCCTCCGTCACACAGAACTCTTCAACCAACAGAGGGCATATATACATAATACTCGGTCTCTAGTCCAAGATGTGCATCTAGAGCGTGCTCACACAACAACCCTAGGGAGTTTGATCGCTGCAGAATATGTCTCCAGCATTGGAACAGCCTGCACAGTGGCTTGAGAGCTACGCGACCGATCGCCATGACTGGCAGCAGACGACAAAGAACGACCGCCTCATCTTCTACCGGCGCATTGGCATTGTCGAAAGCTTGTTTAACACCGATGGCACCGATTTCGAAGGCAGGGCAGATCTCACGATGCATCTGCATGTGAAAATGAGAACGTTGCTGGAGTCCGAAGCTTTGAAGGCGCGAATCTTGCTTGCGTTAGGTGTTATGCGGCAGAAACATATCCTTCTCTCCACCAGAGTTGCCAGAGCTGTCGATGTCCTCCCGCCTGGACAGTATCCTTTTGCTCCCGAAGACGGTTTTTATGTCTTTGAGCCATGCAAAGATCTCGAAACGATGTTGATCGAGGCAAGGAAGCACGTCGTGTTCGTGGAAGACTATTACCCGGAGGCAGAACCTGATGAGTTCTTCGTCCACACTCTGAATTCGAGTCGATGCATTGACGAGGCCCATGCGCTGAGCAGGCTCTATGTCATGCCGATCAAGAGTGCTGCAGACGGCCTGCATCAAGTCCATTTCATGTTCGTCGCAGGGCACGAAATTGTCGACGGTCTCACTTCGATGCGGTGGATGTCTTCGTTCATCGACCTGCTCAATCTCTCAGCCGAGCGACTGTCCTCTGAAGCAGACCGTCTATGCACATCTTCACCAATCGGCAGACTGCCGCCTGCCCAAGAGTCTTTGTATCCTCCAATGAAAGGATCTCCGGCAAGGCAGCGATGGTCATGGCTCCTTACTCGCATACTTCGCCACGCTCGAAATCCACCTCCCGCATCGTTTCAGAACCCGCTTCGGCGAAGGACAAGATTACCCCAAGCCGTTTCACTCGACCGGAAATTCGCCAGCGTTCTAGACTACACCCGAACGCCACCACTCAACACTTTCTCCGTCAGAGCAGTTCTAGGCCCAGTGTCTACAAGAAGGCTCTCCAGAGTCTGCCGTCAGGCGGGAATCAGCATAGGAAGCGGCTGTTTCGCGTTGGTGGCAATGGTGATGATGCTCTTCGAGGAAAGACGCAATTCGCATGTTCCTGCGCAGGAACGCCTTTCCTTCGTAGGCTCCTTCCCTGTAAACCCGAGGCCCTTCCTAAGCGGTAAACCTACTACAGGGAGAGAAGACAGTCTCATGCTCGCATTCAGCGACGGCATCACCCTGCCGTTCCTATCCAGCGACTTGGATCTCGAGGGGAGATTGCGGTTACTGGGTAAACAAGCACACCGCCAACTACGCCGGTACCAAAAGCGGCCGAGGACCGTGGAGGAAGAGATACAGCTCGGTTCCAGGAGCCTAAGCCGGCTTCTGCCCCTGCTGTACCTCTCCACCATGGAGTATCTCGAGAGAAAGAGTCAGACGGCCAGAAAGCGCGACTGGAACATCCAGGGAGCCTACCCGGCCAGCACGGGGTCTAGTCTAGCGACCTGTGGGGTGAGCTCGGTGGGCGCTCGAGGGTCCATCATCGCCTCGGGCAAATACGACACGAGCGGCCAATCCTTGCGGCCAGGAAGAGGAGCGGGAGAGGGAGATCGGGACGTCGTGGTGGCGGATTTCTGCAACCTTCACACCACGGTTCGCGCCAGAGACGGGGAATTCCTTGTCGGCGTCGCGGGGGACGGCGATTACCTGATGTTCGGAGTCAGCTACGATGGATGTGCAATTGACCCGGACCTGGCGAGCGAGTGGAAGCTCGTCATGGAGAGCATTCTAGAGGACCACGACCCGGGGAAAAGGATCACCAAGGTGCCGGCCATCCCGTCCCACAAGCTCTGATGGGACCCTAGCAGATTATAACGATGCTAGGTACTTGCAGCAGAACATGAGCTGCGGGCAGGAGCAGAGGCAGAGCAGGAGAGACACAAAGGGAGGAGGGCCCTGGTTTCACAACCCCACCAGTACTCGGTCGGTGAGAAGGTTGCACCATCGACGCTCCAGTTCAGTCGTGCTTTCAGAATTGCCTCACAACGCACGGAACGATGACGGTGGCGAACTAGCTCCTCCCAGCTCACATGCTCTAGCACTTGCCACGGAGTCGAACGATGCTCTACGCAGGGATTTATGGTGAAGTGAGCGTGGATTTGTCTTACGCGTTGCAAGCTTGAAGTCCTGCTTGCGTTGATCCTTGACCGAGCGAGCCGTTTTGTGAGCGAGTGAATGAAAGAGGAAATATTTTGAAACAAGGAATTCGATTAGCAAGCAAAGCTCATGAGCATTCTGTAGTCTCCCTTTCCACGACTCGTGCCAGTGGAGTCACGTAGACAACTGTTTTCCCCTCCTTAGTAAGTGATACGTATGTACCAGATTGCCAGCCTAGGCCGCAGCGGTTTGTTTTCTACAAGATATACCTGAAATTCTCGCTCGAGTCGGTTTCCGCGCCGATCTCGTCCTCGGTGTTGACGATTTCGCGGACTGGTCCGTACTTCTCGTCGAGCTTCTTGTTCAGGTGTGTCAACCAAGCAATCTGCGTCAATGCCATCGTCGCCGCGAAAGTGCAGAATCCAAAACTGATCCAGAATCCCTTCTTGTAGTGAGGCGCCTCGCTGGCCGGGAAGATGTGGGTCCCCACGAGCGGCCCGCACTGGCCTACGAAGTTCATGAGGATGAAGCCGGCGCCGCGCTTGCTGTCGCTGCCGTTGTTGTTCGCGACCCAGGAGAGGACGAGACCGATACACGGGTACAGTCCGCCTGCGACGAGGTAGAGAGCAAAGTATTTGACTCCGACCACTTCGACCAGACATAAGATCAGATAGCCCACGGCGGCGGTTCCGCTGCACATGGCGAGGAAGATGCCTCGGCGTTGGAAATGGTCGGAGAGATGACCGATTGCAAGCACAACGAGACAGGCAAACAGGTAGGGCGGTGCCGAGAGACCTTGGGCGTGGAGAGCGGTGAAACCCATGCCTTGGAGGATGGTTGGTATGTAGATTGGCAAAGAGGCGTAGCTCACATTGCAGGAGAAGTACATGAGGGTCGGCAACCAGTTCTTGAGGTCGAGCAATGATGCAAAGAAGTTCTTGATATCGATCTTCCGGTCACGCTCGACATTTCCGACCATTCGGACCATGCGAGCGCGGGCAATCTTCTTTTCCTTCTCGGTAAGGAATTGGCAGTCTTGAGGATTGCTGGGGAGCCAGTAGTAGCCGAAGAGGCCCACGGCGACAGCAGGTAGACCTTCCACGAGGAACAGGGCACGCCAACCTGCGATGGCATGATGGTGTTTTGTGACAAAGTAGGCGAATGCTCCGGCAAAAGAGGCCCCTAGAGGAGCAATTGACACGTACCAGCCCAGTCGTCGACCCATTTCTTTGCGGTAATAGAAGAAGGAGAAGAAGTAGGCCAGTCCAGGGCTGTAGGAGGACTCGAAGATGCCCAACAAGAGTCGCAAGACCAGCATGCCTGCAAAGTTTTGGGCAGCACCGCAGCATCCAGCAATGGTACCCCAGATAATGATGACGGTGGGGACATAGTATCGGGCTGGAAAGATCTTGTAGAAAACAGTCTGCCAGTCAAAGAGAATGTAACCCAAGTACAACGCAGTCAAGAGCCATTGGTACTGGCCATCAGTGAGGCCCAGATCCTTGGACATACCAGCCGTGTTAGCGTTTCCTATGTTGCCGCGATCCATATATGCCAACAGGTATGCACCGGAGACATAGCCTAGGACGATGATGTCGATTTTCGTGAGCATGCGTTTCTCCTCCGCCTTGGTATAGTTGAAGGCGAGGGCCTCAAGCCTGCCGACGGCCTCGATTTTCTGCTCGTTCTCGGCGGTGGAGGTGATGTCCTGGCCTTCGACATGAGTGATGTCGGTCTTGCCTTGGACAACAGAGTCTTTTTCGGCAGCCATGGTGGAATAGCTTGCTTGATGAGAGGGTGCAATAGAACCGGAGAGAAAGAGAGGAGTGTGAGACTGGCTAAAGACGTGGCGACTCGGTCAACCGCTTTATGTAGGCTCGAGGGAGGCTCTAGAAGCACCGTCCCTCGTCCAAGCCCCTGGGATATCGGCAGTGGTATCATGGCTAGCCATGGCCTGATCCGTGGGGAAATCTATTCAAATGTCAGGAGAATCCCAACCCCCACTGTACTCTGTAGATCCATGGCGTTCAAATCCGGGGAAAGCTTCTTCGGCCACTCTCCGGATGGGTGAAGTGCCTGCATGAGTCTTCATCCCCAAGTGCCGCAGAATTCGGCTTTATGGGATAGAGCTGCTTTAGACATGTTCCGGTCGGGGAATGGCCGGCTGGGCAAATTCAATTCGTACGTGGGGGATTGTCGAGCGATATCGTCGCTGCACGTCGGTGTCAGTCGCCGTACATAGTCCCTTTTAAAGAACGATACGCCGGTCCGAAAACTGGCAAGACTGACACACTTTGACATTTTACACCGTTCTGTTCATTCAAACTTGACCCAATAATGCCTTCTTTCAAGATTCTCGTACTTCCCGGAGACCATATCGGCGCTGAGGTCATCCGCGAAGCAGTCAAAGTACTTCGTGCGGTTGAGGCCCATCCCTCCGTGGCTAAGCAAAGCATCAAATTTGACCTCGATTTTGATTTGTTGGGTGGCCAATCTATCGATGTTCACGGCATCCCTTTGACACCCCAGGTCATCGAAAAGGCAAAGAACTCCGTTGCTGTGCTCTTCGGCGCGGTCGGTGGCCCAAAATGGGGCATGACTGGAGCCTTGCGGCCAGAGACTTCGGTGCTAGACTTGAGAAAGGCACTGAACTGCTGGGCTAATATCCGGCCATGCAAAATCCCTTCTCCGGGAGTTGCCAAATGCTCGCCACTGAAAGAGTCCCTTGTGTCGGGAACCGACTTCATTGTTCTTCGAGAAAATCTTGGCGGCGTATACTTCGGCGAAAAGAAAGAAGAACTCGACTATGCTCATGATGTCTGGGGCTACCACCGATGGGAGATTGAGCGAATCTCGCGAATGGCTGCTTATCTGTCACGCAAACATGGAGGCCCTAAAGGTCCCAGCAAGATCACTTCTGTCGACAAGGCCAACGTTTTGGCCGTTTGCCGACTGTGGCGTGAAGCTGTGACCACGATCCACGACCGAGAATTCCCGGACATCCCTCTCCACCACCAATTGTCCGATTCTCTGGCCCTGATCATGGTGAAGAACCCTAGATCGCTGAACGGCATTGTGATGTGTGACAACATCTTCGGGGACTTGTTCTCCGATGAAGCAGCGGCTGTTGCAGGATCACTTGGCTTCAGTCCTTCCGCTTGTTTGTCTGGCATTCCAGGCGAGCCACTTTCCACAGGCATGTACGAGCCGAGTCACGGTTCGGCACCAGATTTACCACCCAACAAAGCCAATCCAATTGCAACGATTCAAAGTGCCGCCATGATGTTGCGGTACAGTTGTGACTTGGACTTCTTGGCCAATGCCATTGACGAGGCTGTTAGTATTGCACTTGATGACAAGGCCTCCGGCGGTCTCGAGGTTAGAACGGGCGATATCGGAGGTACTGCCTCGACGACGGAGATGGGGGATGCTGTGGTGACTGCTCTCTTGCAAGTTCTGGATAAGGCGGAATCAAATGCCATGTCTGAAAGCGCTAGGCTGTGAGGACATCTCGATAGATCAGTAGATAGCGGACTGAAAGTCGAATCCAATACATCTCGACCCCCACGGATTTTGAAAGACTACACATTATCTCTCTCGCAGCCACGTGGAGACTTGGGGGTAATGGATGTGCGGTTAGTTGCAAGTCGATGGGAGCTGATCTTTCAAGGTGCCTGGAGACCCTTGAGACGGCGGTATGGCGCTTTCGAGGGAGCTTCCCCCACGGAGCCCGGCCATTCCCCGGACACGTGAACAAATGATACATACTGGTGATGCCTCTTGCTGGCAGATTTGATACGAGCACTGCCTGTGTAGCACACGACCGACTTCGAGAAGCCACACCGAGTCGAAATGCCTCTCACACTGTACGACAAAATCTACCAAGAACATTTGGTAAATCCTGACGACAAAACAGCACCACTATTATATGTGGATTCGCATCTGATTTTCGAGGTCCCAACCGCTCAAGCATTCGATGGCCTTAGGAAGAACAAACGCCCCGTGCGAAGGACAGACTTGACGCTGGCTACAGTTGATCACAATGTTCCAACGGATGACCGGTCCCAATACCGGGATGCGGCGTCTTTCGTCAAGGAGCCACAAGCCAGAACCCAGATCACATTGCTTGAGAAGAACGTCAAAGAGAACAATATCAAGTACTTAGGCATGCCCGATCGCCGGCAAGGTATTGTCCATGTTGTGGGCCCGGAGCAAGGGCTAACGCTCCCTGGATCTACAATGTTCTGTGGCGATTCCCATACGCCTACCCATGGAGCAGTGGGCGCCCTGGCTGTGAGTGGAGGAACTTCAGATATTGAACACGTGCTAGCCACCCAGACTGTGCTTCAGAAGAAGTACAGGAACTTCCGCGTTCGTGTCGAAGGCGAACTTGGTCTGGGTGTCTACTCCAAGGACATCATCTTGTATTTGCTGGGCAAGATTGGCACAGCGGGAGCGACCGGATGCGTCATTGAATTTTGCGGGTCGACCATTCGAAACCTGTCCATGGAGGCACGAATGGTGCTGTGCAATATGAGCATTGAAGGAGGTGCTCGAAGTGGACTCGTGGCCCCCGATGAGGTCACATTCGAATATCTAAAAGGGCGACCGCTTGTCCCTTCGGGGGCCGACTGGGATAAGGCTCTTGCATACTGGAAAACATTGTATAGCGACGAGGACGCTCAATGGGACTATACTGTCGACATAAATGCTGCAGACATAGGTCCGTCAATCACCTGGGGTACCTCGCCAGACGACGTCATCCCAGTTAATGGCAAGATCCCGGATCCAGCAGAGTATGACGAGAAAGAACCGTTCAAAGCCGCCGCAATCCGCCGCTCACTCAAATATATGGACCTGAGTCCGAACATGCTTGCCACTGATATTAAGATCGACCGTGTGTTCATCGGATCTTGTACGAACTCGAGAATTGAAGACCTTAGAGCTGCCGCAAGAGTAGCAAGAGGTAGAAAGGTCGCAGATTCGGTTTATGCGATGGTCGTTCCAGGCTCGGGGCTGGTAAAGCAGCAAGCAGAAAATGAAGGCCTGGATGTTATTCTGAAAGCCGCCGGCTTTGACTGGCGGGAAGCTGGCTGTTCCATGTGTCTGGCCATGAATCCTGACGTCCTTGCTCCGGGAGAGCGATGCGCCTCAACGACAAACAGGAATTTCGAAGGAAGGCAAGGACCTGGCGGCAGAACCCACCTCCTATCCCCAGCCATGGCAGCGGCGGCCGCCATCAAAGGTCACTTTACTGACGTAAGGGAGTTCTTGACCTCGCAAAATGGATCACTCGGGGTAACACAACTGACGCTCAACGGAGACAAGGTCAGGAGCTATGGTCCAATTGAGGTAACTCCCGCCGTCCCCGCCTCTGCAATTGATGGCGGAGATGATGCAATTGCAAAACGACCATCGGCAGAAGCCAAGCACAGTGTGGAAGGGATCCCCAAGTTTGACGTGGTGCGTTCTGTGCCCGCACCATTTGACATGCAAAATATCAACACCGACCTTGTGATCCCTGGAGAGTATCTCAAAACCACGAAAAGGACTGGTCTAGGGCCACATCTGTTTCAGGAATTGCGATATGACAGCACAACGCACGAAGAAGTTCCCGAATTTGTCCTGAATCAAGACCCTTACCGGAAGTCTAAGATTCTGGTATGCACCGGGGAGAACTTCGGCTGCGGTTCCTCGAGGGAGCATGCTGTATGGGCACTGGTCGACTTCGGCTTCCGATGCGTTATTGCTCCTTCTTTCGCATCCATATTCTTCAACAATTCCGGAAAGAACGGGTTGCTAGCAATTCCCCTTGAAGACGTCGAGGCTTTGCAGAAAATCCATGCTGAAGGCCTCGTAAAACGTGAAGTCGAAGTGGATTTGCCCAAGCAGGAGATCAGAGATGCCGATGGCAAGCTGATTGCAACATTCAAGATGGATCCATACACCAAGCACTGCTTGGTCAACGGTCTGGATGACATCAGTAACACGCTTTTGAGCGAAGAAAAGATCTATGACTTTGAAGTCAAGCAAAAGTCGAAGTTTCCATGGTTGTTTGGTCGCATTCGGAAACTGCAATCTCCGAAGCGTCTCGGTCTTTATCTTCCTGGTGCACAAGACATCTTTGACTGGTAGGATTCGGCGTATGGAGGAGGCAAATTGGACGCCATCCATCACACATATCCAGCTGATGTCGGCCAGCACGTAGATAGTTTAGCTAACTGCTTTCATTAAGCCAAGAAAGCCTTAAATCCCAATTCCCAATAACATGCTTTTCATAGTCGTTTTCGAAGCCTCGAGCTCGGGTTCTCGGGCTCATTTTGCCCGCAGTTGTTAGAATTATGGCGACGTGCTCTCGACGCGTGGGCACGCCAGCATTCTCCCAAAGAACCAGGATAGAGCGGAGGGCGGAGACCGCACCCCACGCCTATCGCCCCCACGAGTGTGAAGGTTTCGACCCGGAGCCTTGGGCTACCCCAAGGGTGGTGGCGTCGGGCTTTCGCCGTTAGCAGTGGGGAACCATGGCGAGCCGTGAGGGTGAACTGGGAGAGAATAATTGCTGAGTGAATGGTGGAATATATTCCTTCAGGTCGATAATTAAGTCGAGAACAAAAGACCAAAGACCAGATAAGAGCTTCCTTTGAAAGGAGTATCAATATGACGATCTCCTATCCGACAGTGTCGCCACTTCGTTGCGGCTATCTCTCACCTCCAGCATCGAAATTCCTCGCGGATGCCAAAGAAGGGGAGAAATTGACCATGCCGTCAATGGCTTTCTTGATTCAGCATTCCGCATCAAAGTCAAAGATTGTCTTTGACCTGAGCATCCGGAAAGACCTGACCAAATACCACCCTGGACTGCAAAAGCACCTTGAAACGAGACATCCATTAAGCAGCGAAGACGATGTGAAGTCAGCGTTGGCGCTGGGAAACGTCGACGCCTCACAGATCGACTATGTGATCATGAGCCACGTGCATTGGGACCATGTGGGTACCCCATCTGATTTCACCTCTGCAACTTTTATTGCCGGCCACAATACGGGCAAGCTGCTCAGAAATGAAATGGGACCGGACCTAGCAAACCCGTTCTTCGAGCCCGACCTACTGCCGATGGATCGCACGATCGAATTGCCAGCAACACCGAGCCCCAAGACTGGTGAGGTGTTTGACGAGGCTCACAGATGGTATTGGCGGCCCATATCTCCGATTCAAAATGCCATTGACATGTTCAACGATGGCACCGTTTACATCGTGGACAGCCCAGGTCATTTACCCGGTCATTTGAACGCCTTGGTACGAGTTGCTGTTGACAAATGGGTGTACTTAGCTGCTGATGCTTGTCATCACATGCGGATTTTCAAAGGCGAGACGGATTTCGGGTCCTGGAAAGATGACAAGGGTCGAACAACCACAATCCATAAAGATCTCGAAGCAGCATACAAGACGCTAAACACCATGCGCGTGCTTCAAAGGGATGGGCTAAACGGCATCCCGGTCGAGATTGTCCTCGCACATGATGGAGAGTGGCAGGAGAAAAATGCGGACCATTTCTTCCCAAATCATCTTTAGTGGAGTGGCGTGGCTGGCTTTGTATAGGACTTTGATGTAGATACTGGGATATGTGGCATCGCTGGATGACATATTAAACTCCATATGCCATGATCACGCGACTTGGAGCCATCAGGTACTGATTCGATGAGGCGGCAGGACCCCCGGTTACAACGTTGTCATTGACACAGGCCTCCGTACGGCAATAACGTGCTCTGCGGTCGTTCCCACGCACGATTGCCGAGGTTGAGATACAAGTGGGATCTGGTCTCGTTGCTTTGTAGCGATCCCTCTCTGTGCATACATGCGAGTCCGCAGCAGGCGGGAAGAAGCTTGCGAGCTTCGGTCTCGTCTCCCCGGATTTGTCCCAGTAAGAACTGTTTTCCGTGGGGTGGGATTCTGCTCATCCCATCTCGGTGGATATCATCTCTGCGCCTGCCACATGCAAAATGCCGGCACGAATTTGCTAGGTCGCAGATTTGGGGTCGTACCCTCGTCCACGAAGGTTCAGCTAGCCCCCACAACATAGGATTGATAGTTTCTGGCACTTTTCTTGGAGACGTTTGGAGATGGTTGTACCTGCGTTCTCCAGAAGGATCTCCTTGCATGGTTGTGGAGTGTCTGGCGATCTACCGCGGCACTTCTCCTTCGAATAACAGGGTCTTGTGTCAACCAATGCCATCATTCGTATAACGTCTCCAACGGTGCCCGAGCATGGCCGTTGTTGGACACTCGATTAGAGCAACTCTATGGATTTCTCTAAGACGAAATGTGCCGAGTACGAGGTAGAAAACTGGTGGACATGTTAAAGTTTGGGTCCCGTTGGAATCTAGGCATTTCATTTGTTCAGACTCGTCGGGCTCCACCGCGTCCGATGTCTCGGCATCAACTCCGCTCCGCTGATGGGTCGCGAGCTTTTTCTCCCGCCTGCGCGTTGAACGCAACCTCACACTAATAAAAAAGAATACAGACGTCCAAAGGCCTCGGCCCGGATTCATAGGCAATAAATATATGACAAGATGAACCCAGTGCAGGGCACGTTGATGCCCTTTCTCTACCCTTGCCTTTTCCAGGCCTCTGCGAACTGCCTGCGCGCTCAAGCTCGTCGGATTCAACTTCACACCCGCCCCCGGTTCCAACATCTACACCAATCCAGTCGACTCTATAAACCGTCCGTTGCGGAAAACGATGCGTCTCTCATCGCCCCTACCTTCGAGGCTCCTGTACCACTGACCCCTGCTGCATTGACCCACCTGAACCCTTCACCGGACGATTACTCCCGCTCGATCTTTGTCGACAAATGCCAAATAACCATCCACGCGGGCTCCGGTGGGAGTGGATGCGTGTCATTCCTACGCGACGCTCACATAGCCGATGGGCCGCCCAACGGCGGCGACGGCGGGTCTGGAGGAAGTGTTTTCATCCAGGCCGTCTCTGGACAAACTTCCCTTCATAAACTTGCCAGACGAGGTGTCATAAAAGCCGGTCGCGGCATAGGGGGGCAAGGCAAATCCCAAGGTGGACGCAGGGGGGAGGATATCTGCGTCCAGGTCCCTGTGGGGACGGTCGTGCGAGAAATATGGCGCAGCGATCCCAGCGCGGAAGAGGAAATTCGCATCAAAGAACTCCGCGCCATGAGTGATGAACCAGACCTCTTCAAGATGCCGGATAATGGTCTAAGAAATAGATTCATCATCTACGCCGGCGCCACAACTGCAGACGACCGTCAACAGATCTCTTCACATTTGCCCTCGCTCACTTCTCACATGCTGAAGCCCAGAAAGTCCCATCTCGCCATCCTGCAGCCTCGGGCACCTATCCATTTAGACCTGGATAAGCCCATGGACAAACCCATCCTCCTCGCCGCAGGGGCGGTGGGCGGGCTAGGAAACCCGCACTTTGCGACGAAATCCGACCCCAAGCCGAAGTTCGCGACGAAGGGTGAATTAGGCGTGCGGATTAAACTCGAGTTGGAGCTCAAGTTGCTAGCGGATGTGGGACTGGTTGGGTTACCTAATGCTGGCAAAAGTACATTCACGCGCGCGATATCCAATTCAAGGACGAGGATAGGCGACTGGGCGTTCACCACTCTCGCACCCACCATCGGAACGGTGATCCTGGATAACAACGAAGGGCGTCCATTAGTGCGTTCCGGCGTCCCATCCGGACACCCAGATAACTCCTCTTCATCTAGAAGCATCATCCCGCGTCAATCCTTTACCGTCGCGGACATTCCCGGACTCATCGAAGACGCCCATCTAGACAAGGGTCTCGGGCTCTCTTTCCTCCGACACATTGAACGGGCAAGGATCTTGGCATTTGTGGTGGATTTGTCTGCTGGAGATGCCGTCACGCAGCTGAAGGCCTTGTGGAAGGAGGTCGGGGAATACGAGAACCTCCGGGATCGAGAAGTGAGTGAACAGACGGAGCGGAGGCTAATCAATTGGTCCCCCTTCGAAGCCCAAGCTGCGCCAGCCACCGGGGACGGACTCTTCAACGACGAAGGAGAGGAAATGTCAATATTTCCTTCAAGCTCCGCCTCCTCCCGTACATCCTCATCCACACTCGAGCCATTGGCTTATCCGCCCATCAGCGCGAAACCCTGGTTCGTCATCGCCACAAAAGCAGACATCTCTCATTCGGTGGCAGCCGCCGCGACGACACCAGAAGCCAACGCTGCGTCAACGCAGGCAAACTTTCTTTCTCTGGCAGCATATATGAAGCAAGTGGAGCACGGGCAAGTCGAACATCCCAGCGGGAAACAAAACGGATGGCGGAATCGCGTAGCTGCTATACCCGTTAGCGCTATAAGGGGAGAGGGGATCGATAAGGTGATGAGATATACGGCGGGCGTCTTGGACAGCCTTGTCATTGGGCGGTAGGTTGTGAGCTACCAGACAGGGGATGGACGGAGTGAGATGAAAAGTGGGGTCCCATGAAAGCAGGGTGACGTGCTTGAGACTGGAAGGGCTCAGGGACAGAGAAAAGGAGAAAAGGGAGGAGACTCAAAGAAACTCGGCGGGTTTAACGTACTAGGGCGATAGTGATCTAGTCGCAGGCATGAGACGCGAAGGCAGGGGGGGAACTTTATACGCTCGGGTGTTGCGATATATGGCTCAGGCAATGCCCCGATTACAAGGACGGGCTCGTTGAAGATATACCACTCGGAAAATGGCATTCAGGTGCTCATCCCTCGAGTGATATTAAGGTATAAATGCAAGCATGGTCACAGAATACACTCGAAAGAATCAACCAGACGGAGGTCGTACCTATACTTGACCCCTTAAAAATATGAAGGCGGAGAGCATCTCCTTGCCAAACTGTAGAGATGCAGTGGTATTCAGCTATTCAGCCCTCTAGGCATTAAAGCTGCTCTCTGTGAATATTCTTACGTGGTCTTGACGACAATCCCACCGCTCAGTGTTGACGCCATTGAGGTGAGGCCTTGGGACAGATACCGTCCCTACCTCTATGAGAAGCACCAGCGGACGCACACCATTCCCTCTCATACGAAACCCGAATGAACAATGAAACCCACAGAAGCGCCGCCAGCTCAATGAGTCGCCGACATACTCCTTCGGTATTGGTGAGCATTAAGTTGCAGTAAGTTCTCTCTGCGCAACAGCTCTCTGCCAAATTTGGTTCTTGGGGGAGTCAACCACTAGAAACTCCTACCTGGAGGTCCGAAGCTGTTTGGTTGGCCGACGATGCCGCCCAATGGACTGGCGTGATGGATATGCTGACTATGACCCAGTAAAGGGCTTCCTATCTCACCAACGCTGCCTCTGGGCTGTTGACTCGGGGCATCCTCGACGAATTTGATGACTTGACCTCTAGCTTTGTCAATGATCACCTCAAAGGATCCGCCGCCATTTTGTGAGTTGCCTTCGGTGTCACAAATCCCAAGCATTTCGTCCATGGAAACTGGAGGTTCACCTGGTCCTTTGAGACTCTCCAGCAGTCTGAGAACATTCTGCACCGGATGATACCCATCGGCGCTCGCAACCGGGATTTGCGACAACTGACGACAAGCTTGGACAAGCATAAGTCTGACGGCAATCGGACGTGGGAGATGGGACCTTGAAATAGCTTGAGGTCCAGAACCGATGGCTCCAAAGGGGGGTTGAGCCCAGCCAGGACTGGGACGTTGCGAACCGGGCGGGCCCCAGCTAGGAGTAGGAGCCATGCCAGGATTGAAGCCACCCCAACCAGGGTTCCCCATACCGAAAGGCTCCTGCTTGTGCTCGGGGAAGCTGCTCGCGAATGGTATCCTCGTAGATCCGGGCGGACCGACAGGTGGGAGACTCATGCGTGCATCCGAATTTTCCAAGAACGGCGCATCCGAATCATCCAACAACGCCTTGCTACCAAGCTGCGTAGTCAAGTAATCAACATCGACGTCCGGAGTATTTTGTGGTCTCTGTTTGTCCGGGGTTGTGCTGGATGGTCGAGCAATGGGTCCTAGTCCAGGACCTAGTCCAGGTCTTCCTATTGGCGCCTGCTCACTGGACGGTTGCCTGGAATGCACTTGAGGTTTGGGCGCTGGCTGTTGATTGACAATAGGGGGCACTTGACCTGGAGCTTGTGGGACAAAGGGCATTTGTTGACCCGGTTGGAAAGGTCTTGGAAACCCTGGAGGATACTGCATGCCATTCTGGGCGAATCGCTGCTGGTTACCCATAGGAGGGCCCTGGTACATGTGCATCGGAGGCATCATAGTTGGCATCATTCCTGGAGCACCCATCGGGGGACCACTTACTCCCAAACCAGGCAATCCATTCATATGGAACGAGTATTGCCCCCGGCCGTGGTTGTTCAGAGGCGACCTTGGAGCGGAAGGTTGCGGGTGATGAAGTGGCGGAGGTTGCCCTTGTGCTTTCGCCGCCTGGCCTAAACCTGGTGTCTGAGGCATGGCGACAGTTGCTGGAGAAGCAGAACTTCGGGATGCCTCGGTGCTAGCTTTTTGTGATCTGGGAGACGAGCCATGAGAATGCTGCCCGGGTTGCGAAGGTTGTCGATTC